TTTCGACTTCAACGCCTCCACTCTGTTGCGAGGAATAATCCCAGTCTTTTTCCAGGCAATTCTGATGTTGAGGAGCGTCATTGTGTCCTTCCGGGCCTGCTCGTAGCACTCCAAAACCTCCTCCTTAGATGGCCTGAGTCCCAGACGGCCGCTGGGCGTCTCCTGGAATAAGGTCTTCAACCTTTTCTTCACCAAATTGAAGACTCCCACATCTAACACCTGGACTACATGGGAGCAGTGAGGTTCATAAAAGATCAACCATACTTTGTTTCTCAAGCAGGTGGCTAGGAACTCGTTATTCGTGTGGGAGTCGTGGCCATCACACACCAAAACCACCCATGTGTTGCCGTGGACCTCCTGAATGTGAGGAATAAAGATACGTTGAAGCCATTCTAACGCAATGGGATTCGAGGTCCATCCATTGGGCGACGTAATAAACCTCCAGTCGGTGAATTTGCCCTCATTTTGGTTGCTAAATCACTGGGCTTGTACGTTAACCCCCTTAAGAATCACCAGCGGCGGCAAGGTCTCACCAGATCCGCTCACACACTCTAGGGCAGTTATCCATTCACCTTTCTCGGCCCCTTTCTTCATAGCCACGTTGCTGGAGGCCTCAGAGACCACCCAATGGGAGTCCCCAACCCCCTGGGCGATTCCCATTTCGTCGACGTTGTACCAGCGTGCTGGCATGAGGTTAACCACGTCAGGAGCGTCACACCGATCGAAAAAAATGTTGATATTTGCCATTGTAGCACCATTCACTCGGTTATAGTCGATAATACGAGACTTCATTATCTTGACTTCCGGGTTTCGAGACAGGAACTTGGATGCCCAATTTTTCCTTAATTCTCGAGCATCCCCGGTGGCATGGAGCATCCGCTGGGCCATGAGACGGAACTTAGAGACCGCCGGAGAATACCCTAGCCGTGCTTGCCCAAGGGCCCAGCTTGCCAGCTTATGTTCGAGATACGGTGAGAGAGCCTATTGGAGAGCGCTGGTCTCATTCCGCGTTGGGGTGCCAGAGATTCATCGGTTGACGTACGAGCGACTGATTTGCCATTTGAGGGCTGACGAGCGGACTGGAGCTCCGCGTTGGATGGCCAAAATGGCGGCTTCAGCTTTTATTTGACGGTTGTAAAATGACATCATGAGATTCAGCAGTGGATAAGGATTCAAATAGTGTGCTTTGTGAAAAAAAAGATGCAAAAGTGATGGTGTAGATGGTGGATCACCATAATCCTGGTGGTTGGTGAATTACGCGTTTGTGGGTCAGAACGCGCTGGTCCGCGGGGGGGTGGTCCGCAGGGGGGTGGGAGATGTTACTGTGTTGCCGCAGTGTGCATATACTTGCTTTTTGCATCGTGTAATTTCTACCATGGTATCTGAAGCAGCTTGCACACTGATGAACCTTGGGGGTGTATTGAATATGTCTTGAGGTCATTGAGTGGGCAAAAAGCGTGAATAGTTTCTTTACTGCGCTGGGCAGAGAGATTATCTACGTGGTTTCTGGATCAGAATTAATCGTGTTCTTTGAGAGTATGCACCTCAAAGGTCTGTTGCCTGTTTGAGCTTCAACTTCATCAGCAACAGCAGTGTCGGTAATATCGATTGTGAATCCTTCTGCACTGATGACCTTTCTTGGGCATCCATTGACCTTGTAATGGTGCCAGACTGTGTGGGTCTTAATCTTTTGTGCCTTAAGAATGTCAGCAATTTCTTCTTGGGAAGCCAGAAGCTTAGCCTGAGTTGGCTTGTCCCTTGGGTGTAAGGTAAAACCAGAAGGACAACGTGTCACTTCTCTAAGCTCCTGAGGGTGGAGCTTAAGTCTTCTGTTTAGTGTAGACTTGATTCCATAAGGCTCAAGGTGGCTATTATCCATGCGGACAAAGACCCGGAGATTATCCTGCTTCCTCCTTAATTGGTTGATAGTGATGAGGGCACTAGGCTGTGTTTTTTTCATGGTAGTGTTGACTGTCCATGGATGCTGTCGTTGGCCAGAGGAGACAGCTTGGGCAAAGGTCATGGTGGGCTTCCCTATTTCTATCCCCCCAGAAGTGGCCTTTCTTGTGGTCAGATCTCGGGTTTCCAGCCACTCATTCAGACATTTGGAAAAGAAAGCGCTGAACTCCTTGGCATGAGAGTATAGTTCGGTTCCAGCTTTCTCAAGTGTCTTATCGACTACTGCAGCACACTCTTGAAACATTGTCATCCTGGCTTCATAGAGATGCTTGTCTTTAGTCAGTATTTTGGCAACTTGGTCCTGGCACTCTGAAGAGGAGACTTTGTTCCCTGCATCACTTCCAATGGCTTGGTCTGTAGGGATTTCGCTTGACTGAGGTAATTCCATATCAATGGTGCTGCTATTATTGATATTTCGGGATTTTTCTTTTAGAGGGGAAACAGTGGTGAAGTCAGCCTCAGAGACCTGTGACGGGCTGCTGTTGATGTCGTCGAGCAGTGCCTGGCGGAGCCTGCTTGGGGTTGCCGGGTCATGTGTTCTTTTAGGGACTGGGGATTTGAACACGCCGCCAGTAGTCGTCTTTGGGACGGCCACTGGCGTGTTTGGGGGCCTGTCGTGAAAGGGTGCCATCCAGCTTGTGAGAAAATTTTTCTGCGCCTTGGCAAGGATAGTCAGGTACTGAGACAAATGCCTGCTTTAGTGCAGATGTAGAGGTTGCGCCCTAACAGCGGGGCGCCAAGAAAAATAGTTGTTTTTGGCAAGAGTGTGTGTATCTACTATCCGTTGGCAGCGGAAACGCTCTAAAGGATGGGGCTTACTGCCTAACACATACTGGCTACATACAAGGTTGGATTCGGCTCACACCTCATCACCTCTGTGTTGCTTAGGACCATTGTCTCTCATCGTATGCTTTTGCCTCAACCCGCTGGGAGGACTTCTGCTTTGTGTCGAATGGTCGCTTGGGGGTCATCTCAAGCTCTGACGCGTCCCTTAGCTCAAGTGTGACTGTCAGATATCATAACAGTGGCGTATTTAGTCTTGTTGTGATTGCTGTAAGTAGCATATCTATCATCCTAAGAAATCACATGTTAGCTGCCGGAGGTCCCTTTCCCACCTATTTATGTAGGATGGTACCCCCATCAGCTATCCCTTATTTCTCTTCCAATACAGACCATTCCTAAATCTCAGTGGCCTCGCCGTAGTGTGTGCTGCTGGTGGATGTCCCCTTCCAGGCCGCCGTCAAATTTCTCGAAACAGATGATGCGCCGAATCCAAGGGACTGCTTATGTTTGTTTGTTTTGTATTTAACGTGGGGGATTGCTCGTCAGTAGTGCAAACCACGCCTCCCAGAGCCTCTGCATTGCAGGGTTGTGGAGGTATCAAGATAATAAGTACAGTCAGTCCCGCTCACGAGCCCATCCCTGTTGCGGCGCTATGACCTTGGGTCATCCATCTGGTCCTTCAAGAACAGCTATCTATCTAGGGCAGATTGATGAAAAGAATTTGCTCTTCTCCACGAATTTTGCCCATTCTGTGCTCCTCTCCCCTAAGTATTGTAAACAAGCTGCCCTAGGCGAGTACCTGGGCAGCAGCCGATTTTTCCCCAGCCTCTTACAAAAGAAAATGTGTTTAAGGGGGGACTGCTTACTTCTGTCCAACCAGCTGCCAACCCAGTGTGACGGCGTCAGGTGACGGTCAGCCAGCAAGCGTACTCTGGTGCCCGTCTGCCCCTGTCATCACCTGCCTGTCACCTGCGTGTCACCTGCGTGTCCCTTGCCCGGCCCTCACACTCTGGGAGTGCTCCTGAGTGTTTGCATGGAGGCGAGAGTTGATCCGGAATGGAAGAACCTCTATGATATGCCTGGTATCTAGGCCTTCTTCGAGCTATTTCTGGAGAGATATCGCCTCTAAGGAGGTGCAGAAAACCGCCCAACTGCAATGAGTTAGATAAGCGACAGAGCCTGACTGAATGAACAGTGAATGAATAGCAATGTCTGTCACATTTGCACGGGGGACTCCTACGACCCCCGCACAATTAGAGTTTGCGGGGTGCATACCGGGAACGTGCCGCATTACTCTTTTTAAGGTTGTCCAATAGGAGCTTCTTGTTGATTTCGTCTTTTGAGCGCCGAGTCACGTGATCGGAGTTCGTGGGGAACCTTGAACTACCAGGGTGTCTCAATGCCCATTGACCCTTTGTCGGACAAGGCAAAGCCATGTTGCTTTGTTAGGTACTGTGCACCTATCGACATGGTTGAAAGTACTAGATACGCTCAAGCAGCTGCAAACCTTGTGTATAGGAGCCAGCCGACACCTTGCTTGCCTCCTCTCCCGTTGTTGATACTGGTCGAACTTCTCTAATCTTTTGGCAAACACACGTTTGGCTAAGATCAGTGACACACTGTGCATCTCAGAAGTGGGGCACCTGCTGCAACTGTACTAGAGCTCCTAATTCTTGCTCTCGATCGTCCCACCAGCTATCCACCCACCACCTAGCTACCAGCGTACTCACCAGTCTTAGATGCCAATGAATTCCATTCCACATCAACAGCCCCTATAGCTCAGTGGTAGAGCGTTGCGTGAGCAGACCCACTTCCCAATCTCAGAGTCTTCACTAATTAACACAATCTAGACTTGTATTCCCAAGACATGCAAAGGTCCTTCGTTCGATCCGGGGTGGGGGCATGAGATAATTTTTTGATTTGCTTGACCTCCTCTTATTTTTATTGTTTTTGCGCAGCACGCAAAACCTCTGACCTCACCTCGCAGGCTCCTGCCATTCCGCTTTGTGAGTTCAATGGTGGGGTATTTGCGACCGAGCGTCATTGGACAAGCGCTAAGCGTTAACAACTTCACACCATCCTCAGCTATGTGCGCCCTCAGCAAGCACGATCAGGGTCAGCAGTCGCAGCTCCATTTGGACCCTCCACCGTTGTTGATTGACTGAGCATGATTGTGAATACCACCAACCTGAACTTCACCTGCAACAGATCTGATCAGGAGCCCACCTCAAGACACCACTACTCATCCAGCTCCCAAGATGAGTGAGGCAACCTCCGTTTCCGAGGCAGAGGCGACCCTCTTCGGCCGCAATGTGTATGTTTTTGACCCGAGTATGCCGATGGGCGAGATCCAGGCCAAGGCAACATCCATCTTCAAGCAGATGGAAGCCAACGAGTTTGGGGGCGAGCGCTACGCACTTCTCTTCAAGCCAGGAACCTACAACGTCACATTCGACGTAGGCTTCTACACGCAAGTCGCGGGATTGGGCCAGAACCCAGACGACGTGCTGATCAGTGGCGGGGTCAATGTACCGGCCGACTGGATGCCGAACAAGAACGCGACATGCAACTTCTGGCGATCGTTCGAGAACTTCGCCATCAACGCATGCGGTCCCAGAGGCGAAACCACGGTCATAGCTGTGTCGCAGGCTGCGCCTCTTCGCCGGATGCACATACGAAGTCCAGGAGGTCTTTGGCTGTTCGAGGTGGATATGAGCACTGGAGCTGGAGGCGTAAGCCAACCCTCCGATAGCCTCTTATGCCTTTCCGTCTTATTTCGATACTCTACTTGTTCTTCAGAATCTGCTCGTGTACTTATTCCAGGAGGATTTGCTGACTCTAATTGTTGCAGTGGGCTTCGGGCGGCTTCATGGCCGACTCGGTTGTTGACCACCAAGTGCTACCTGGATCGCAGCAGCAGTGGCTATCGCGAAACAACAAGTATGGATCATGGGCCAATGGCGTCTGGAACATGGTATTCGTGGGCGATGTGAACGCACCGAGCCAGGCGAATTTTCCGAAAGACGCCTACACCACCGTCGATCGTACACCCATCATCCGCGAGAAACCCTACCTTTACTTCAATCAAGGCCAGTATGAAGTATTTGTACCAGCCCTGCAGAAGGATACGCAAGGACCCAGCTGGAGCAACGGATCCCCAACGCCCGGCAAGTCCATCTCGATTGACCAGTTCTACATAGCTCAGGCACCCACAGCGACTGCGGCGAACATAAACGATGCATTGGCCTCTGGCAAGCACGTGCTCTTCACCCCAGGTATCTACGAGCTGGACAACGCCCTCCGCATCGCCAATGCTGACACCATAATACTCGGTTTGGGCACGCCCTCACTGATTCCCACGACTGGACAGCCGGCTCTCTGTGTAGCAGATGTGGACGGTGTATCGATCGCGGGCCTCATTATAGACGCAGGCGGAGTCAAGTCACCCTCACTCATCGAGGTGGGACCCTCAGGCAGTTCGGCAAGTCATGCCTCCAACCCGACATTCCTATTCGATTTGACTGTTCGTACCGCGGGTCGCAACACCAACGATGTTGGTATTATGATCAACAGCCACGACGTTGTAGGTGATCAGCTGTGGCTGTGGCGCGCAGACCACGGCAATGGCGCTGCGTGGGATACCAACCGCACCAAGAACGGTGTGGTGATCAATGGAGACAACGTCACGATGTACGGTCTGTTCAACGAGCACCACCAAGAGTACCAGACGCTCTGGAACGGCGAGAGCGGTCGTCTCTACATGTACCAATCCGAGATCCCATACGACCCTCCGGATCAGGGCTCGTGGAAGAACGGCGATACCAACGGATTCGCCTCGTACAAGGTAGCCGATACTGTCAAGAGACATGAAGCCTGGGGCCTCGGTATCTACTGTTACTTCCGCGATTCTCCCACGGAGCTCGAGAACGCCATTGAAGTTCCCAAGATCGAGGGCGTGAAGTTGCACCATCTGACGACGGTATGGTTGACAGGAGTCGCCGGTAGCGAGATCACTCACATTGTCAACGGCACTGGTGACCGCGTCCATGCAAGCCAACCCGAGTCGGCAATGCGACAGACGATGAAGGGGTTCTCGGCTTCTCCTGCTTGAGATAGAGACCCTCATTACCAAAACGGATACAAGCCTCTCGAATCGGCGAACGGGCAAGCGTCCAACCTTACGGGTATACCTTGAGAGCTTATTCCACGCGGCATGATGTTGATCACGTTCCATAGCTTATGTAAAATCAACTGCCCACGGACATGGGAGAGATATAGTTTCTGCGGATGTTTCAGAACGGTGCAAAACGCCCGGCGCGAGCCACATTCACTTCCCGGTTCAATCCACTTCTTCCAACCTCCACAAGGCCGGCATCTCAAAAATTTAGTTTCGGTACAAGATTCCGGACACACGAAGGTTATGTGACGTGAAACACTTCAACGCAGCTTGCCTTATTTCTGTGATATATAATCGAATGGTTAGATGGTCTCCCCTAAGTTTCCGGCGGAGTAGTAGCTGCATTGCACGTATATCATCATCGTAGCACCGTCCGACGGTCCTACGGACCTCCGGACCCTACCCTGAGCTCTCCTCATCATCAATTCTCCTAGCCAGACAGTCTGTCACTCGTCCGCTTCGAGGGACACATAGCTAGCTGCTAGCATATAACCATCTCATCGATCATCATGGCCTCCAGCGGCTCAAAGAGCGATATGAAGCCCGCGCCGTACGCCGAGAGCGCCACTGAGCAATCTGTGTCGCCGTCGCCCAACCGACGCCGCCGCGGTGGTCGCAAGGCAAGCCGGCATCCGCAACAGATGCAACCGATGCCCGACTACCAACTTCAGCAACAGCAGCATCAACAGCAGATGATGCAGCAACAACAGGCCATGCAGCAACAGCAGGGCGGCGGCGGCAAAAGCGACACCCTGAAATTGAGACTGGATCTGAACATCGAGGTCGAGGTCACGCTGAAGGCCCGGATCCATGGTGACCTGACCCTGGCATTGCTGTAAGTATACTCTCATTGCTCGGCCTGTCTGGTGGCTTGTGACATCTTTGCTTATTTGCGCATGTAGTGATACTTGATCAGAGGATAATCGTGAGCTCCCGAGCTTTCTTTTGCACGGAGCCTGGTCATCGTATACAGAGGATATGGATCCACTGGACTGGTTTTTGGAGATGAATATGTGATCAAGTGCATGGGACCTTGTGGCTGTCCCTTGCTGTTTTTATTTTCGCTCGGGAGTCCATACGCAAGGGGATGACCCCCGGGGTGAAGGTGGTCACTTGAGCCTGGTGTTATCGACTGTACATGTATTATTACCGCAAGGGATAGGAAGCTGTGTTAAAGAAAGAATCCTTTTGGTAACCCTCCTCTTTCTCAAGCATGGCCTTCGAATCTGTCATCGCATGTTGTCAAGGGTCGGTATACGAGAGGTTCCACCACGACGCGGCTAACTTGTATGTCGCGCCTTGGTGATGATCTCACACAGCAAGACTACAATCATCATCTCATAAGGGTGTCATGTTGACTTGTAGGAAATCCGACCTCCCCTAAACCGATCAACATCCTGCTGCAGCGACTCTACATGAGCGCCAAAACAGTCTTCATTTCGCATCACCGCCCCAATACCTCTGCGTCACCAACTTCAAAATTTCCTCCGAGAACTCCCTCACGCCCCTCTCTTCCACCCGCGTCCGCGTCCTTGTCGCCGTCTCCAGCATCCCCGTCTTCGGATTCGTGCCCTCATACCGATACAGCTCCCGCTTGACCAGACACCCCTCGACCGCCCACCGCGGCACCGCCTCCTCGAACACGACCCCTCGTTTCACGCGCATCATCTCGACGAGCTCCGCGCCCGTCCTCCCGTGCATCTCCCTCGCGCTAAACAGCGTGCGCGCAAACGCGCCAATGCTATTCCTCACCGCGTCGCCGCGACACCGCCACAGCACGCCATTCAACGCCTCCGCTTCGTCCGGGACGGCGAACAGGCGCGCGTCAAAGTGCGCTGTGCCCAGCACGCCATACGCCGCCTCGCCCACCGCGGGTTCCGGGGTGGCCGCCAGCGCGGCCGCGAGGTGCGCGTTGAAGCGCGCAGAACAATAACCCGCAGACAGCGAGGCGAGCTTCTGCACGCGCTCGCTGAAGGCCTGCACGCCGGCCGGGAAGACGAGCGTGATCTCGTCGGATTGCGTGTACGCGAGCGTGGCGCGCGGGAAGTAGTGCGTCAGCAGGTCGGCGGCTGTGGCGGTCATGGCGGCGTGGATGCGCTCGTCGAACGGGCGGGCGAAGTGCGATGTTAGTTTCGAAAAGCCGTGGCCGTCGAGGCGCAGGAGCACGGGGGAGGAAGCGGGGAGCGTGGTCTCGGTGAGGGATTCGTAGTGCTTCATGCGGTCTGCTAGGCTTTGCTTGGGGGTTGGTGCTGATGTTGCTGTTGCTGTTGCTAGCTCTGTTTCGGGTGCTTGTGAGGTCATGATGGCGGCTGATTGAGCGGCGCTCCCGAGATTAATAGGTACGCGCCGTGTCCAAGTTATCTCACGGTTGGAGATGAGAATTCTGAAGGTAGATGGGATGTGAAGCAAGATGTAGAGTGTGGTCTCAAGAGGCAGATAGATATATCTCTGACTCCCGGCGGTGTTGAGTCACCCTCTCAGATGTGGAGAGGATTATTATTCGACTCGGGCACCGGGTGACGATACTGCACTTCATGTTGGTATATGAACCGTCAAAGACCTGGTGCAGTTGCTAGATCATGAAGAGTAAAGACAAATCAGTTGCTTGTCTTGAATCCACTCTCCTGGGGTCGGGATATTTAATCTTGCTTTAGCGTTGCTATTTAGAGGATGTTGCCTAAAATAGGTAGCGGCAATACCGTGGGGGAATGCGGCGCGTTTTGGATAGTTGACAGCTGACATGGTTGACAGCCCTGACAGCTGGCCATCATGAAATGAACCCAACCTCACTCCATGTCTTTAACCGTTTAACGTCATAGGCAAGGTGCTCCCCCGTCTCTGAATCCATTCTCACGGATGACTCATTAATGATCGAAACACGAACGACGAAGCTTGTGCTCGATACTGTCTGAACTCTCATGACAAGATGTCCTTGACACTTTTCCCCGACGAGCTTGTCGTCCAGATCGCATCCTACATCCACCCCTCAACAAACTTCAGCTTCGCATTGGCATGCAAGCAGTTCCTCCGCTGTTCGGAACCCTATCTTGCGTATCACGCCCGTTGTCATCGCCTCCTGCGCGGTGGCATTCAGAGCACTGAGCAGGTGCACAAAGACCACTACCTGCGCGCAACCCTCCGCAACCCGATCGTCGCATGGCATATACGAGAGGCAACGCTTGATGCACTTCTAGATGATGAACGCGACGACGATTACAAGGGATACGTCGTCGGGATGGATCAAGAGCCGACTGCGCCGGCCGCGCAATCAGAGCTCTTGGAGCTTCTGAAGCCAGGCCTGACAGACCATGAAGATATCACGGTTCAGACTCGTGCGTTTGCACGCAAGCACTTCTACATGGCAGATGCGGACATCAAGGTCTGGCTTGCTGGATGGGAAGACGACGACCAGACCCAGGGCTATTACCGACCAGCTACGCAGCCCGAAATCAACAAGGCGGTATTACTCGCCTGCTGCCCGCGGCTGTCTGATGTCACCTGCACCATGTACCAAGATGAGTAAGGGTCTTTCCCACTCCCACAAGGCTTATGTATGCCAACACTAACAACCGACATAGACTCGACTGGCCTCTCAACTTCGTCTCACAGGCAGTGAAGACAATTTACGAAACGCCGGACCACGTATGGCCCGAGGGCTTCCGAGCCCTTCGTTCGATCCGCATCGGCGTCCGCATCGAGGGCCGTCACAATCAGGACAGCTACGAGTACGAGGCGCGCGACATAGCGCCGCTCTTCGTCCTGCCACACATCGACAGCATCTGGTTCAACGGCCTCGAGTCGCTCATCGGTATCCCCGAAGGCGCTTTCATCCCGCCCCCGGGTAGCTCGCCGCTCAAGAGCCTGTACCTGCAGTGGGCTTGCATAGAGGCCGATGAGCTGAAGCCGCTGCTTCGGAGCGCGGCGTCTCTACGTTCGATGACCTTCGACGCTTGCGGCATGGGGGAAATTCAAGAGATTGTCGAGTTCATGGGCGAGGTGCACGGCGACTCGCTGGAGGAGCTCGACATCGGCGACTCGCGATACCGAGGTAATGTATGTACATTTTCGAGTCTTTTATTTCCCCATATGGCCATGCCCTGAGCGGGAACTTCCTCTTATAGCCTGTGTCAAGAGCCTTCGCTCCCGAGATACGCATTACGACTCCATTTTTTCTCGGCGAAATACCTAAATGAAGCAATTACTGACTCAGTTTTGCGAGGAGATGGGTACGGGGCTGCTGAGGAAATTCAAGAACCTCCGCCGGGTCAACCTTGATCTCGCAGACTTTCTACCACCGGGCGACGTGACCGTCGCAGACGGGGTATACAGACGGTTACGTGCCGCGCTGCCGAGTTCTCTCGAGTCCATCATCTGGTCGACCAGCTACTGCGCCAAGGACGAAGAGGAACCGCTCATCGACGAAGCGCTGGCACGACTGGTCGAGTCGGACTACATGCCCGCTCTGAAGCACATGTCGCTCGCCTCCTTACAGACGCGGATCCGGGCAAACGCCTTGATGGGTGGCAGGCCGGTGTCTGATGATATCCTAGGGTTCCCCAAGACCCTGGGGGCGGGGATACGGCACGGCGTCGATGTCGAGGTCACGTCGCAACAACAGCAAAAAGCATCGAGATCATTTCATTTGGGGGGCACGTTTCATTGACTGGGGAATCGAACGTCCCGCTAGGGGACGTCATTGTACATTTTTTGTAGATATACCCAACGATGGCGCATGGCATCAGTGCGATGTCAGATACTTTGAGCTCAATAGACGAGCATCAATACCAGCCAAAAGACTGGGATTGCCCGTACCCGATCTAAGCTACCGCGAGTATGAATCCATTTTACAAGTAGAGCCCCTTAGCATTCATTGTAGGACAACAAGGAGAGCAGCCTCCAGTCTACAGATACGGCCGAAGAACCTCCTGCGTATGGTCCCAAACCTTCTCGAGCGCCTTCTCCCGAAGTACATGCATGGCCTTCACATTCGGAGTAGTATCGCACTTATAATTGACGAGAAACAGTCCATCTTCCGGCTTCCCCAGCGAATTCACGCCCGGCTTGCCCTCCCACGGCACGCCGCGGCCGCCAAACGCAGCGCTGGTGCTCTGGAACAGATGCCTCGGTCCCGCCTCCTCGTCGCTAGACGAAAGAAGACCAACAAGACGAATAACCGGCTCGAGCACGAGCCAGACGAACCAGGCCATCCACGAGTTCGGGTCCTGGCCCTGCAACCCCCGCCACACATTCCCCGTGTTGACCGACCCGGGCCAGGAGTGCACGAACGTGACGTCGGGATTCTCGCCCGCCAGCCTCTCCAGCGCCAGCGTGTGCATGGCGACATACTGCGTCTGCGCCCTGATAAAAGTAAAGTTCCCAGGCTTCTTCAAATCCAAATCATCCACGTTGACACTACTTGCGCGCTCCAGCCCACCGCCCAACACGCTGACGACCCGCGGCGCCGCCGCCGCGCCCAGCACGGGCAGCAGGAGCCGCACAAACAGGATGCGCGAGTAGTGCTCCAGGCTCTGCGCGACCTCGAGCCCCTCCTCCGTCTCCCGACGCGCGCCCATGGGCGCGTAGCCCGCGGTCAAAAATAACAAATCGACGCGCTGCTCTTTTGTCCTGATGACCTCGCACACGCGCTTCGTGTCGGACAAGAGCGCGACCTCGGCCTCAGTCCAGACGATGTCCGCCCGGGGGTTGACGGCGCGCAGCTCCTGGATGAAGGCGCGCGTGCGCTGCTCGGAGGCCTTGCGCCCGACGAGGTAGATGCGCAGGCTCGCGCCCGTGGCGACGAGGGCGCGCACCGTGAGCTGGCCGATGCCCGAGGTGCCGCCGACGAAGACGGAGACGCGGGGGGCGGTCGCGTCGTTGAGGAGCGCGTTGGAGGCTTCGATTTGTTTGTAGGACACCATTGTGTTGTGCTTCGTAGCCGTTAGGTAAGGAAGTAGACGTTTTTCAGCTTTGATCTTGTCGCTCGGGCTGACTCAAAGGATCATGGAAACGCACGCAGCGATGTAGCTGAACAGTTGACTCTATCGAAACATACTATCGAGCCCTCATGAAAACCTGAGAATAAGGTAGTCAGTCTTATTTATACCATGACTTCCTTAGGCAACAGCGTGCGTGGCAGCGCCGGGGTCCGGGCTCTCTCAACGCGCCATGGATGAATGTTCTCGGGCACTTTATCTGGGCATCCTCCCCCGGGCGCTGCATTCAGGGGTCTTAGCACGTGTGGGTCGAGCTCAGACCGGCTCAGCCACAGGTTAAATTCTCAGAAGATCGTGAGAATGACAGTTCCCCTTATCGTTTTCATCCCTCATCATGGAACCGTGAGCACACTTACGAGCATCGGAGTGTCCATGGCGCAAACCGAGGCGTGGGGAAGGCCTGCTCTAACGACTACACTGAATACTTTGAAGACACACATCACCAAGCCCGAGATCTAATGTAGAGCAATCACTACATAGCAAAAGTATGAGGCTTTCGACGCTTGGCTTTTATCACCATCCGTCGCCCATTAACCCCGGCCTCTACCTCCCGAGCATGAGTATATGCACCGAGCATCGAGTATCAGCAGCACCTCAAAATGTCACACCACCTCACCCCCTCCACCCTCCGCCAGACCCTCCCAACCCCAACCCCCCACGTCAGCGTCCGCCTCTCCATCGCCCACCTCCTAACACACCATAACAAGACCGCTCGCACCATCGCGCCCTAAAGTTAGACTGGCAGCTCGGAGCCGCACGCGCCTCGCCCATCAACAAGCCCTCGTAGCCTAGACCACCCCCAAAAACCCTGGCCGCACACCATGACCCGCCTCCCCGAAAACGCGCTGCTCGCCGCGGAACACTACACGCAGGAGATCCGTCCGCATCAGGCTGGTTGATCTGCGTGCTCGAGTGCCGCGCCGCCGCGGAGCTCGAAGGCAAGCGCGCCTGGCAGCTAGCTGCACAAGGCCGGCCGGCGCAGCGCGTTCAGGACGTGCGGGGAGGAGGAGGAGCGGTGGTTCGGCAAGCCCGTCCCGGTCGTCGTGTAGACGGGGTCGGCGTGGGACCTGATGCACGAGCTGGATGGTAGGGAGGGCTACGGCGGACGCCTCCTGAGCGCGCGCCCGGCCCGATGAAGGGGCTCGGTGGAGTACGCGCCGTACTTCTAGGACCCGGAGCTGAGGCGACATCGCGAGTTGAGGACCGCGCGCATGTTCATGGTCCAGACTAGAGTGTGGATCCTGCGCATGTGTGCTACGGAGCTGGAGAAGCGCACGGGTCGGCTGGTTCTGGAGTACGAGCGTGCTGTCAACCGCTAGAAGCGTAAGATCCTCAGTGTTCATGGTGACTTGGGGAAGACATCGTGACACCCGGCAGTCGATCTGCGTGAAGATTGAATTTCTCTGAACCACTGTTCTCGTACGAAGTTCCATCTCTGATCATCTACCTTTGTCCGTTGCAGATATCGCACCATGTCTATCAAAGAGTACAAACCCCCATACGGCCTCAGATAGGAAATTGGTGTAGCAGACAGCCTCGTATACACCATGTGGCCGTCAATTTCTCATCGATCTGTCCCGTAACATCGTCCTCCAACATCAGAGCTCACGGCGGCGAAAGCACAATCCATCGACCCTTCCAACTCCCAAACTTCTCCACGATCAGCTCCTGCGTCCGGTCCCATTGCACCCTGAAGGCCCCTGAGTTGAACAAGGGCGAACAGACCACCATCCCCTTCCCGTCATCCGTCCAGCTCGCCTCCTTCGCCGCACCCCCCGACGCGACCTCTCTCAGCTGGTCACGGAACGCAGCCAGCGCCGTCGCGGTCTGTTCCAAGATCTTCGCCTCTCCATCGCGTCCCGGTCAACCCTGCGCCGCGCTCGCGCGCCCGTACCCGTAGCTCGTGAACAGGCACACGATGTGAACTCTGGGCGCGCCGGCCGCGACGTCGGATTCCTGCGGCGGGATGATCAGGCAGCGCCCGACGATGTCCTCCCGCGTTGCGTATCGCGTTTCAGAAGTTTGCTTGAGGCTGTCGCAGTAGGTGTGGTAGTTTGTGAAGGCGGCGGGAAAGATGGCCTTCAGCTGCGCGGTGATGCCGGAGCCCCATTCGCCAAGACAGTTGGTGGCATGCACAAAGAAGGTGTTGCCTGGCAGGGAGCGCAAGGGCATGGAAGTCGTGTGCACAAGGGCGAACGGCCTTGTGGTGGTGGGTGTGGGCATGGTTGTGTTTGTGGCGACTGGCGAAGCCATGGTAAGTACAGATGCAGGCTGGGAAATGATTCGGCTGCGGTGTCCTGGTACCTTGGTCAGAAATGAGAGCTGGGAGGCGGGACTACGAGGAAGTGGCAAGCGTTAAAAGGGGGCGGCAGGTTCGTCCTGCGTTGGTCATAATCATGACAGTTTGTGGAAGGAACCTACTTTGCTGCTACCGTTTGGTGCATTCCGTGTGTTTGGCAGTGACCGCCGCAAACACACCCAGCGAGAGATCTTCCGTCCTCTGGTAAGCCCTCAGTCCCAAGAATTATGTGGGTTGTTGCCCCGGACATTTTCAGATGATAGTAACGGTGTGCACCAAGTCGGCTACTCTGGGATGGTCGAGAGGTATCTGCTCCATGCCTTTCAAGTCATCGCATGACTTCAGTCCAAGTCTCGAAACCAACAAGTCCCAAATGATCCGTCGGTTGGACCAGTAGGTTACGAACATGCCCATTCGAACGTACAAAACTTCATCCGCCGACGGGCTTGAGCATGCCCTTAATACCAAGCCCTGTTGCGCTGGTGATGTTCGGGACTCGTCCTGTCCCGGTCTTATTGGAAACCCGTGCACGAACAGGAATAGGAGATTCGATTCTCGCTCGGCTTGGAGAACAGCCCATGGCTCTGGGTTGTCATTGGTGCGAGTCAAGTTCTGGTCCCAGGACATATAGACACGGTGGAACACTTCAGAGGCGTCGTTCTCGTTGACAATATTCGCGGTTACCGGCAGTACACCATACCGCAAAGACATGCCCAGTGGCCCTGGCATAACCCCATGAGGCGATTCCCCGGACCACCAACTTTGACGACACGCAGCTGTGCAGTTGTGTCGCGTCTGTCGAATCCACGGAAGCGTTTATGACCTTCGTGAGAGGGAATCGCCCGTTCCTGGTTCATAGTACGAGCGATCATAAACAACCGGCCCATCCACCTTCGCCCTGGACCAGGTGGGTACCCTATTTCCAGGAAGAGTTTGGCAGTCCCATTCTGTCGCCCGCCAGCATAGTTGCTTGCGGTGATCTTCCCTCCAGACACCAGCGAGATACGCATCTCCGAAGGCTTCCTGGGCTTCTCCAGCCAACCCAGCCAGGGCGATCATCTTGTCTGATGTTTTTGTGAGGGCACAGGACGAGTATTGCTCTACAAGCGCCGCCCATTGCTGACGGGCGTGCCACTCATCCTTGACGCCCATGTGTGGCTTGCCCGTGAGCTTCATCGCGCGTGAACCATAATCCGAGTCTTCCCATAGTTCCCTAGGGACGCCTGACGGAAACTCCTCGGAAGCAGTGAGCTCCGGACACTCCCAGTATACTTGACGCTTTGAAAAGCTCAACTGCTTGGCTGCGAGATATCGTTCCTGAAGGACCCATGCACGTTTGTTAAGAGGCGCATTGGTGATATCGTCGTGGTAGCCGCGTAAGGTAGATATCCAGTACTCTCTCGGCTGCCTTTGGTCGTCGAGTGTGGTCGCGCAGGGGGTTACCGTGCCTGGATGTCTGTTGCTAAAGAGTCCCATACTGCCGTCTGCAGCCCATGTCGCTGCGATGTTGCAGGCCGCATGTTTGTAGATCAACCCCATCATCGATGACTGTATTTTCCAATCCTCAATGTCGTCTTGGATGACACACAACGAGTCGATCCAGATAAACTGGAACCCCATTGACCTCGCAACTACGAAGGCATCCCGGTATGTTCTTGGGAGCCTAGAAACATCAGAACTCCCAAGAAAACTCGACAAGTTGGTCTTCGTCAGACCCAGATGGTCGGTTGTGCCCCAGCAATGGCTTAGAGTAAGGTAGGGAACGACACCTGTGGTGGCGCAGCGGACCAGCTGCCATGCGCGTACGTCGGCCTTACCGTCTTCCAAAAGCTTAACAAGCCTGTCAGGTACAAATGAGTTTAAGCCTTGTCTCCTCTTGCGGCAACTCGCATGGGTCGTCGAGCAGATGTCGAACCAATGACGCCACAACGCAGACATTCCAGCCGTGGATGCCGCTCTGTATTGCAATTTCGGGTTGGCAGAGATTACAGCGAGGTTGCTGCTATTGTCTACTGAGACTGGGCGCAGCAACAACATTTTGTACAATCCTCTTTCGCGTGGCCCGCTGTAGAGGAGAATAAAGATATTCACTCCATCATGGAATATTTCTATGTTGACGATAGAATTTTTCATGTTCCATGATTGTATTCTCGCAGCGAATGTCCTCACGGCAAGATTGTGTCCCGACCGCTGGAGTAGCCGAAATGTGGATTTCGAGAGCCGAGCAACAGCGCGGCCTGAATCCATCTTCCTGTTATGGAGCGACGGGCGATACCCACGACCCTGAAGTTGGGCGCAGAAGTCCCGGTAGTTTGGTAGCAGTGGTGGAAGCCCTGTGTTCCATGCATGGTCGTCTTGCTTCTTGAACATATCGGTCAAAGCTTCTAGACAGAAGAAACATCCGGCTTGAAGCGATTCGTGGAAAGTGCGTGGTGAACGATGCAGGACAGGCCAGGGTTCGTCGTCGGGCGCGTTAACAAATCGATTGAAATGGGCACCGAGTGACCTCTGACAGTATTGGCACAGCATATTGAGCGGTTCTGCTGCTCGATTGAAACCAACAGTCAATGAAGTAGCGTATTGCGAGCGATGTGATATCCGGAGACCCCGGAAGCGCGTGGTGTGATATGCGAGGCAGCTTTCAAAGTATGCTGTGGAAAGAGTGAGACTGACGCATGGCGAGACTGGAAATGCAAAGGTGAAGGTTGGGAGAAGATGAAGAGGGGGTAAGAGCATGAGGTCCTAGGAAGTGACCCCAGCTGACAGCCCCTTCCCACCTTACCTCACCGCCTGCCAATAAATCCTGCCACTACTACCTCATGGCCATCGTGAGTGCTTTCATTTGTGACTGGCATTTAGTTGACCTTTGGATTCTACATCGTGCGAGTCGTTAGCCCTCCGACATGTCGTCGTACGCCTCTCGCAATTGAAATGCTCTCACTGATAGCCAGTAATGACGGTGTGTAGCATCGTGGCAAGGCAGGTAGGATGTTTGCACCTCAATATGTACTTATATATAGGTGTGAATGAGATACCCAAGGCAGGCGGTATCCCGCGCTCGTATAGGCAAACTAAGTAGTCAAGACTCAAGAGAAGCAAGGTGAGAGAAAGCATTAAGTCTATATACGGTATTACCTATTATAAATCCATTGATCAAACAGTCCTCCCCCACAGACACCATTCAGTCCAACCTACCACGAGTCCCAGATTCCAAGTGCAAAGCATCGTGTAGTTGGTCGCCTTCCCCCATTGCAATAGGGAAACTACCAGCCCGAGTTCCACGCGCCGCACTTCCCAGTATCCTTGACGTTCTTGTTCGTCTGCAAACAATCGGAGAGCTGCGCCTTACACGCGGCATCGGCATCCTTGTAGTTCTGGCCAAAGCGGCCCTGCGCGCGCCTGGCCGTCTCAGCCGTGTCGAAGTAGCTGACGGAGCGCTTGCTGCTGTAGCCGGAGCCCCAGCTCTTGCCGTCGGCCTGGCCGTTGGTCTTGCAGCCCTCGACGTAGACGCTCTCGCACTGCTGGAACTGCGCCTTGCAGGCGTCACTGCAGGCGCTGCCGCACTGGGCGCGCGGGTACGACGGGCAGTTCTTGCTGTCGCCGTCCGTGTACAGCTTGAACACATTGCCGTGCTTCCAGTCCGACTGGATATTGTTGCAGGTCACGACGGGCAGCTGGACGCCACCGACCGGATTGCCGGGACCGTAGTTGTACTTGGAGCTGGACGGCTGGATGCAGATGCCGGTAGGTGTAGGAACCGGGCAGCTGGAGGTCGGCGATGCCGATGTGGTCGAAGACGTCTTGCTAGTTGCCGTTGTGGTGCAAGGGTAGGTTGAAGTCACAGTTGATGGTGGGTTGCCGCCCTTCGGCGGAGACGATTTGAAACAATTGGACTTGCCGCCGCACTTGCCACTCGTGCAGTTACTGCCGCAGTAATCGTTGATCATTCCACACCACTCTCCAAAGTTGAAGCAGTCCATGGCGTCAGGCATGCCAGCTTTCAAGAAGCAGCTGGTGACCTGGATCGCACATTGCGACCAAGCGATTGTGCAGCTCTGATGATCATTGAAATCAGGGATGGGGTTGGAACACCTGTGATACCTTGAGTTAGCTGTTGCCCATGTATGATGCGCAGGCGAAAGAACATCAGGGTTGAAGTGGTGTCTCGGGAGTACATAGTCCTGCAAACACAGAGGCGAATCCCTAAAACATGACTAAATCGGTATGAAATAAGCCCAGGGTTGCTCTTACCATTTACCACAGCCGTATTCACAGACAGGTGGGATCACGACCGTGGTCGTGCAAACGGAAGCACTAGATGTCGTGCTGCTGGACGCCTTTGTGGTACTGCTAGCCATAGTGGTAACAGGACCGGTTGACGTTGCTGACGTTGTTCTTGATGAGATCGTGGATGAGATCGTGGATGAGATCGTGGATGAGACCGTCGAGCTGGTCGTCGAAGATATTGTTGATATGGTCGATAGGCTACAGCCGTCCGGCGGTGTTCCGCATGGTTCCAGCGACTGATAGTCTTTGGCGAGATACAGGCTCAGTCTCGCTGAACCACCGCACGTCTGGTTGAGAATCAGGTGTTAGCCTTTGACTCGGGGATCTGAAAGCTCGTGAACTGGACGTCTCCCTCGAGGTAGTTCACCTCCGATAAGGGGATGGAATAGCGCCAGCATCGACTCCGGATATACTGACTTGAGCCTGGTTGCCATTGCAGGGCATGTTGCAGGTGGTAGGATCCGTAGCAAGTTCAGTACCATTACCAACGACGACACCACAGTAGCATTCACCGCTGTACTATATCCAGCCACAGTGTTAGTTCTGATAGTGGTAGATGTAAGTGACAATAGGAAAGTCCCAAAATCAAGATGTCGTGATACTATCTTGATCATACCGGGCCATCGCCTTTGCTTGGAACGGAGGGACGGGGAACGTAGAAGGACTCGGAATACTGACCTCGGTGCCAGCGAAAGGGAAGCCTCCCGCCAAGCAAGAAGACAGGCACGTCTCAGTGGTCATAGTGGAAGAGTCGAGACTTTCCTGCCGGTAGAAGAGCGCCTTGCCATTTGGAGAGTCATCGGTCCAACAGCCAACTGGGGCATATTCTCCGATGGACGGCTCTGCGATTGTGGGGAAGGTTGGGTCTTGAAGTCAAGAGTTAGTAAATCTCTTCATAGGAAGTCAGGCAAGACATCTGCAGCTACTGCATGTCTCGGGAGCAGAGCATTCTCAAAATAGGCTCGCAAGGGGAAACTGCTCTGAAAAACATGACTAGAAAGGAGTGAACATGACTCCTAAATTCACATACCCATGTAGATGTTGACCTGAGTATCACCTCCACACGTCTGCGAGCTATTGCCAGTGCAGGGGAAAGAACATTCAGACTCGTCAAGCAGCGCAGTCGAGACCGTCTGGCCACAGTAGCAGACGCCATAGTAGCCCAGACCTGCCAAGCGATAACCGTTACCTAGTACTTCAGTTAGCTCTGCTATCGTCTCATTCAGAGACTGCCACGGATCTTACCCTTGCAAGCAGAGACACAGTCCTCGACCGTCATGTTCTGCTGGTCCTCGTCGGTGCGAAGGCTGAGTGCCTGTGGTTGACCCGGCTGGCCATTGTCGTAACACCCAGAGTAGACGAACGGGTCGAACGGCGAGAGACAGTTGGGGAGGTCGTTGTACCAAGCTTGTGCCAAGTGAATGAGGCCAAGAGCCGCGATTGCAGCAAACGACTTGACGGCCGCCATATCAGCGAGTGACTGACTACTGGATTAGGGAAAGAAGATTCAGATGTCTAATTATGAAAGACGAGGGAGTGTTGGGAACTGGAACCATCGTCATTACTGGAACGACGCAAGGGCTCATGTATATATAAATTCGAGAGATTCGAGACCTAAAGGTTGGAGAGGCTCGAGGCCCGTGAAGGACAGACGATTCCCCGTACGAGAAAACCACAATGCCGCTCCATGAGCGCAGTGTAAACATATTTGGATCTGTGGCATTCAATAATACGACTGGACCATCGTCAAAGTGCGCCGGACCTAGTTGTTCTCCTGCTTTAAGGGGCGCCCGGCTGCAGGTAAGATTCCATTGGGCTAACATATCATGCCATCTTGTAATGAGCTGATGCAACAGTGACAAATGGAGTACTGGGGATAGTTCAGCTCTCTGTAAGCCAGTGCAAGATCATCATGTCGCTCGCTTGGAATAGGGGAGTTCGGTATCGAAACATCCTCAACGACTTGCTTGAGCTTGGAGCAGTCAGGATGCCTGACCGATCAAGTCTCTCGTTAAGGTAGTCAGCTTGGGCTGGTAGAAAGAGTTCGAAGCGGGGCGTGATACTGCCATTATCATTCGAGGTGTCCAGCCCCACATCACTTTTACACACACACACACACACAATTCTAAGCTGGTGCCAGACAACCAGAAGTACTTTTTTGATGACAACGCTCCCTAACCACCGTCGCATGTGTCAACCGTATATTCTTAGATAGGCCTGGTTCGTACCTATCTTAAGAATGTATTATAGATATATGCAATGTTGGTTTGGGAGCGTTGTCGTATGGTTGCATGGTTAACGGCGACGACAAAAGTACAGCATTTAAAGTTGTCATTACCGCTAGGACGTCGCACATATCGATATATATATCTACTAATAGCCTTAAACCGTACTTATTAGTAGATAGTTAGATTAATATTTACAACGTTGACTTAGAATCGTGATAATCGTAAAGCGTACTTTCGTCGTAATCGTTAAAAGATGCCGAGGCAGAACATGAACCAGACAGCAGCGACGATAAAAGTACGTTTTACGACGATTACGCTCCCAACCAACGTCGTAAAACGTACTTTTATCGTGTCTGGCACCAGCTCAGAATTATGTGTGTGTGTGTGTGTGTGTGTGTGTGTAAAAGTGATGTGGGGCTGACACCTCGAATGATAATGGCAGTAGTAGACGTGGAGTGGGCGACAGCCACATCAGCCGCGGCCGAACGACTCGTCTCTCGCGCTCCGGCTTCCAGCGTGCTGGAGACTGTCTGACTGGGTACCTACATTAGCTGCCGTCCGGCCTACATATCGCAGGGCCCGTGTAGCAACGGGCAGACTAATTGCCGGCACCATGAGGTATCTGGGGGCATGTTGTAGACAAGGCATCGAGCTTACATAGCCAGCATGAGCAGAAGTCGCCTGCTGAGAGCCTGGTATCGTGGATCAGACGGTGTCGCGACTCGAAGCCGAGAGGAATGAGTCCCAGGCGTGTCCGGACTTGGTATGTAGTTCGCGCGTGTTTGGAGGATGGACGATCCCAGTATACGCCTCAATGCAGGAGCTCATGCAGTATGCAATATGCAAATTAGTCGACCTACATAGTCACATGCAGTCCACACATCGAATTGGGCGTGCCAAGTCCAGGCGGCGTCGCCTTTAGTGGCAATATACTTCAGCTTTTGACCCTGCCATGCAGACCCCTTTTCAAGATGGACCCTTGGGTATCCCGAAAGGGGACGCGTCGATCCCAGAGAGTCTAGAACCTCAGCCATTCAGGGCTGGTAATGTGGTGATGACTTCTCGTCACCCGCATTGACAAGACAGACGACTTCAGCCCGCCGCCACTGTTGAAGATATTGGTCAGATGAACGGCAGTCATTCTGCGCAACATTCAAATGACTGCGTCAAGTCACCCCCTGCACGCATCCGGCAAGGTAGCAACCACAATTGGTGTTACCATAGGATTTCTCGGGGCATAATTGAACGAAGTCATAGGGACTTGCTAACCCAGCGAGTGGGAGCCACCAACGGACACGGCACAGGCCAGAGAAGGATGCTGAACTGAACAAGTCGCTAAGCCAGAAGCTCAAACCACCCAATGGAATGTTCAGTGCTCAGGGGTAGCCACGATGGCGCCAAACCGATTCAGCAGCAAATCGCTGAGCTGGAGCAGGTCCGATCCGAACGAGAACCCTACGGTATTCATGGTATTGGGGAAACCTCTCACCTAAGATGATAGGAGACAGCTCGAGGAGTGAAGCGAAGGGAAATAAACACGCGCAGACATCGGGAATGATTCCATAGCATGATCCCACCGACCCGGCTGGGAAACAAGGCGCTCACAGCCTTGATCGTCGAAATGGTCGAGGCGCCAGTTCTGTTTCGAAGCCCGCTAGTATCAGTGCCCATGGTGCTTGAGTAGAAACGCAAGTCGATACTCTCGATAGGCCTCTGTCCCTACGAGAACGCAAGGACTGGGAGAAGTGAGAGGGTTTCACGAGTGATGAACACCATGGGGGCTCAGTGTGAATGCTGAGGTCGTAATGAATCGAAGGTAAGATGTCTGATGCCCACTGAAAGTAATCAACAGGGGAAGAGAGAGGGAGGTCATTTGCATATTCAATTACCATGACAAAGACAGCTACGGCTTATCTTGTAAGCAACGCGGACTCCTCGGCATCAGGCCGGAAGAAGCCACGGATCTAATTATCGAGAGCCGATTGTCATCACGCCAATGGTACGGACATGTTACTTCGTTGCATCGAAGTTACGAGCTCATCACATGCGACAGCTCTGCACGAGGCGAGCTATGTAGCCGTAGTCATCCATGTTGGTGTTCACTCACCTTGAACGTATGATGTGCTTGAAGTGTCCATCAATACTCACAACCGCGTAGCATTCATTGATAATGTCATTTGCAGCGATGTTCTCAAGCCAAGTACTCTCACATGGGACGTTGGGACGTCGAAAGGTATGTGGGTACATGCGTTCAGGTTGGGAATAGGGATACTCCTAACTTGTCCCAGGGGGATAGATTCGGCTGGGCTGAGGGAGGCCGAAAGGCTGATGAGATACAACACTTCAAACTTGCAACTGGGCATGTCGTCAAGGACACGAATCCTTGAGAAAAGCATGTATCATATGTTGTACTCAGCTTCTGGCCAGTCCAAGACGTATACCTGAGGGGGCAGCATTTGGTACTTACATGCATCCCCAGCTGGTTCACATCATTCTCAGGCAGTGTGGTGATTAAGAAAATAAAGGCGGTGGGTGACCCTCGAGGCTACCGCACGACATGGCCTCTTTTTCAGCAAATATGGCCTGGTTTCCATAGATAAACAAAAGTCATACAGCTTTCGAACCCTTCGACTTTTTATCACGCGTCGAGGAAAAGCGAACAGGATGGCTTTCCCAGTTTGAAAGAAGTCGCATTCCAGAAGGGACACCTCCCGAGACCACATTCATGAGCCATGTGAACCCGTAGTCAACACCTCCAGGAAGACCCATCGAAAAGTAAACAGTCCAGTACCCTCGGTCGCAAGGCTCGCTGGTGAGAGCCTCTAAGGCTGTCTAGCTGAATGATCTGGTTTCCTCCTACCTCCGGGCCGTAAAGACAGCAATTTCCCTTTCGGGCCCTCCGGAATTCGCATCTTCAAGGACACGATCGTTCATCCAAGGCATCTCGAGGCCCGCATCAATGCATCATCTCTTCTGTCTACAGTAAAATGCCGCTGTAGGCCCGAACAAGGGTTGTCTCTTTTCCCAAGGCCACTTCCACTTAGGTAGTAAATAAGGCCTAAGGTTTATGGTCAAGACGGGATACACTGAACTTCCAAGAGTCTCAGTAGACTTCTAGCTAAGCAAGCGAAAGTTTGTCAATAAATCGATGGCACAAGCACTCTGGAATAGATACCAAACATAATTTTTCGGATTGCAGCTGCTTATCCCAAGAGGTTTGTGTTATTGACATGAATGTAGTATTGATATCATGAATATAGTCTGACACCCAAGAATCAATAGAAGCATGCCGGGACGGAGTCTTACGGGGAGTGAGTGTGACTCGAGAAGGCAGTGCGCGTCTAGAACGCGGCATCATGGGATCTCGCCATAATTTCGTGGCTGGCTGCCTCCAAGAGATTTAAAATGAAGGGGCGGCCGTTGAGAGCGGGTAGGGCGCTCACATGCGAAGGAAGACCTCTCCGGTGATACTGTTGTTCACTCCCGTTCTTTACACTCTCGTGTCGAAGAATAAGACGTCGTCCCTACTCAACCTCTCTCTTTTGGGGAAAGCAACTTCCCACAGAGCACAGCAACACGTAGGCCTCGTGCCCTCTACTGCTCCTCTCGAGCAAGCCGGCGCGAACCCGGCCACCCAGGCAAGGGTAGAGGAAGAGCAACACGCACCAGCCACCGCATACTCCAGACCGTGAAGATGCCCGTGACACACCAAACGTCACGAGCCACTGGATTCGAGTACCACCAACAGCTCGCCGCCGCACAGTTTCATCCAGGGGCGTGCGTCGCATGGCAAGCTGCAATCCAGTCTACACCGCGGCCAGCCGGCAAGCAAGGCCGCCATCAGAGACGCAAACCAAGGACAAGCAAGCGCGAGCCCCGAGACCAGCAAATGCGAAGCGCGAACCTACTCCCTACCATCAGCGGTGTGAAAGCACGGAACCTACCACCTATACCTACCACCTTACCCCCCTGCCCTTCAAAGTCCATACCAGCCATCAACAACAATAACAACACCAAGCCCCCGAGTCAACGAGGTCCGCACTACCCCACGAAGCGAAGTCATGACACCAGCCGGGCTCACGCGCACGACGAAGTCGTTGCGGCTCTCACCGCCGCGCCGGTTATGTGACCTACTACGGAGATAACAACGGTTTCTCAATATCCCAGTCGCCTAGTTTCCTTTCTTTCGCCAAAGGCAGCCTCACTATTACGGATGGGGAAGAGCAGGGAGGATGTTTGTGTGTTGTCACTTGTGAAAGAAAGAAAAGCCAAGGATCCATGGTCGAGGCCGATAAGCGGTCAAAAACGCCGCTCCCGCAGGATGGTTCCGTACTCCGAGGGATCGCAACCGGGGACTACCTACCTACCTTCTCGGTCAACGCCGGTCCCGGCCGTGGACGCGGGTATAGTGACCAAGGCAGTCACCCGGTGCTGTCTCTGTGCTCTGGGCCACGTGGACTCGGCGGGGGCTGATATGGATGTCGGCATATGTGGAAGGGAAGGTGATCAGTCCACGGAATGTGAAGGTATCCAGGCGAGGATGGACGTAGCCTGCTTGCTGGCTTGCTTGCTTGCTTGCTCGCGTAGTCATCCATCTTCCATACCGCCTCCCACGTTACGAGACCGTAGACACACATCCAGCATACCCAGACTCTATCAGGACGCCATCACTAGTGCCCGGGATGGCGTGGTCATGCACGGATGACAAGCAGACGTGGATCCCGAGGCCCGTCGTCATGTGCAAAAATTCCCAGAGATCTTATTAGATCGCAATCTCGGTTTTCGTTCCGAACAGGGTGTTCGGACGAAAAGACCCGGAAACAGAAAGAGGAGAGCTGGAAATGCTCGATTTGGAAAGTTGCGGGAGGCACGGACACAAGGCGTTGAAGGAACCGGTGAGGTCGGTCTGGTTAGGCGCGTTGCTAGGCCGGCAAGGCCGGTTGCGGGTGAACTACTTGGTTAGATAAGATTTGACGTTCATGCCTTGTTTTAGTGGCGGTCAGTGGAATAGCCTCATCTGTCAACTTGTGTTAGAACCTTGGAAGCTCGTTAGTCTAGTATAAATAGCCAGCTTGTGGGGGCCATCTATGGCATCTAGACCCACCGGCAGGGTCAGTACTTCGGTGCTAGTATCACAAGACGTCGAAAAAGTAGGTGGGTTGATATCATGAGATCTCCAAACGTCGTGAGTGCTTCGTAAGCTCAGTAAGCGAAGGATCTAATCGTAAAGGGGTGGGACCGCTTTGAAGTGCTTGTGACATGTCTCCCAGGGACCGGGACTACGTACGGCGACACGGACTGGTCAGAAGCGTGCCACGCTCGATATACCGTGTCTCCTCGTCGACATGATCATATATGCATGCCGTGTGTCCAGCGTGACTTGAGCCAGGTAATCTGAAAGAGACATGGACGTAGCGGCGTACTGTTCGGGAGGTTGTCCGATAGCGCCACCGCCAGCAGTGCTACTTCTCTCCACGGCAGCTGGGAAGACTCGACTCGAGAAAGGCGGGCAATAGCAGAGATGGGATGAAGTGCATGCCGGCATATCGTGTACTTTGTAGCTCAAGATCTGTTCGTCGATTAGCGTGGAGATATAGATTAGATCCTTTCCGCTCTGTGCAGATTGCCGTCAATGCTGGCCCGACTCCATGTCTGCTGTACATACCGGCCGGCAGCCCACATATCTCGGTTGCTTCCTGAGCCGTTGGGAAAATTAAAAATTTAGGAGTATCGCTGTACGAGGTTACGAGCGCGGGAGCATGCCGACAGCTTCATGCGGTGAGAGTCCTAACGGTCTAACGGTCTAACTACCGGGCAGCGAGGCGGGCCATAGGTTCGCGCCGCGCACGCTGCAAGTCCAGACGTGCCGGTGGTAGGACCTGCGCGGTTATTGTTGCCCATCTCACGACGCTCACTATGCCTTTGGGGGATATGCATTTGGCATCTCCAGGTCCTTGATGTACTCGAAGGCGTGAGTGGCAGCATACACTAGCCGTGTCGCGTGACAGAGCCGAGGGGAATTGGTCTAGGCGGTATGGTATGGGAGTACGAGACGCCCCCTTCTTGGAGTTTGCACTGCATGTGCATTGGTGGGTGGCACAAGTGATAGATTCGAGCTGCATGAGGCATGTCTTGATGCTGATATCCATACTCAGGAACGACAGCTCACCCCTGTGTTGCCTGTGTTGCCGGCTTCGATGAGGTGGGCTCGAGGCTCTGGTCGGTCTGCGGTCAGCCGTGCATGAGGCGTCGAGTTGATGGTGGTCTGGACGTTTACTTTACCCCACGCGATCGACTCCCAGATCCCAACCACCTCGCTTGGCCGACCTCATTCGCCATCAGCCGATATGTAATATGTGCGTAGGGATCCGTTGAGTCTAGCTCGACAGGGATATCACTACTGTAGATAGTATGTCGCATCGGTTCGCTCTGCATGTCGTCAATGACAAGCCGAGTTGCATCAAGACCAAGGAAAATTCCTACTGCTCAATCTTGTTCACCGCTCGACGTACAGGATCTCCCTTGGAGGATTCACCATGCTTGAACCGCCGGTGGAAAATGCGACGCATTCTGGTGTTTGATACGAATACGTTCGCGACCATCACACCACATCAGGACTCGAGTGTAGCGTGCAGACTGCACGCTGCCGAAGAAATCTCTTTCCCTTGTTGAGGGAGCACTGCATTTTGTCGGAGGCGGTGAGAGCTACAGGTCTCGAGTATTGTTGTGCGTGCGAGCACACATGGACTCTCCCAGGGGATACGCGGAACGGACCCGCCATCAAAGTCGGACTTGGATACGTATCGGAGTGTGTGACCCAGAGTTGTGGGTGGGGGAGGGAAGGGGACGGAGAGATTCTGGTTTCGGAGATATTCTCAGCGGTCGTCTGCTCAGAGCGGGTCAAACGACGAAGAAGTGCAGGTGGTTTTCTACACCATCCTTTTTGCTGACACATTGAATGCTTAGGTATTTAAGAACAACCGCCCATAGCGCCATCACATGCTTTTCCTCTTGACAATAGAAAGTCGGTTGGAAATATAGTGACAGGATCAGAACCGCCCTGCCGTTGCGGCTGGTTGCTGAACGCTGTTCTGGCTTTACATATCAACCAATTGCGCTTGATGGGGTCGGGCAGCTGTAGAAGCCCGCTTGGGTTTCGTCTTTCAGTCATACCCATCGCCATCGTGAGAATATCGCAGTCATGACATCTTGGACCACCCGCTCACTGCTCAGATCCCAGTGCTTCTCGGATGGTAAGGTAGTGTAGGATCTGGATGCGGAGAGCGTTTCGTGACCCGCAGACGCATCTCTTTGGTACTACCATAAAGCGTTGAACCGGTTGCCACTTTGAGGATGCCGGTATACGGCCCCCAGAAGGCATCCAATGAGTGCCGAATGGTCGCCCATCTGTGTGTCTTGGCCGGCATTATCTATTCGCCCCCCTGAAAAACTGGTGAAGTCTAGAGTAGAGATCCTGATGCAGCTTGCATCATCCATTACTTTCCGGCGTTTTCTTCGCCTCCGTGTCAAGATCGGTTGTACTAGTACGTATCTTGAAACATATCGGCTGCAGTGTAATTGGCTTGGGAGAACGGCTGTCTGCTTCCACACCATTGTTAGAGTGCTGCAGGTGCAGAACGGAATCAAAGTCACGATGAGCTGTGAATCACAAGCTCACGTGAACAATGGCATCTAAGTTCAGGTCGGTCACAATGGAGCTAAATGCCAATGGTATTTTCTTCCCGTGACGGTTCGATGTTGGGAGCCCCATTGAGGCTGACACGATGATGCTCTAGGAGGAGTGACAGAAATGAAGCTATCATTGCTAGCTGAGTGATACGGTGCACGCGTGAGCTTGTGAGGGTCAGCGACCTCGCCATCAAGGTGAGGAGGTCGAGTGCACGCCGATGGAGGGGGGTTGGAGCGGTGTGAGTACAGTTGCATGGCATCACAACACGATGGAGTCAGTCTGCGGAAGAATGGCCACCAGATGCGAGCGGACAATTTCCGAGGCTCCCAATCCCTACCGGCTGAGACATCAAGTAGATGCTTGAGGCGCGTCTATACTTGTTGAGTGGTACTCAGCAAGGCGACGACGGCGACCCCAGATGGTTCATGGAGCAGTGGGCTTCGTCAAGGTGTCGGGGCTACTGTAGCTTGAACGTTAGCATCTTCCGTTAGCACGGAGTAGCAGTATAGCAGCACATAGTAATACAAATGCAGTGCATCCTTGCGGTTCCTAGGGTCCTTGACGATGAGACAGGCTTGGAGGTCGACAGGCGACAGTTGACAGGGAGCAGGCGTAGTGGTGCATGTCGCATTTGATGCGAGATAGGAGATCTGCCAATCGCACTCTCCCTATCTGAGGTAAACAACTACTCAGATTTCGAGTCACGTCGCACTGCGAACGGCAGACCCGGCACAGCATACACAGCAGGCACAGCAGGTCGTTGCCGAACGTGGACATGAGACTGGCGCTCTGTCATGTCGGTTGGACCATCATTGCCACGAGCGGGTTGATGTACGAGATAGGGGTCTTCTAACGGTGGGAAAGATAGTCGGACTTCGCATGGCCATCATCCATGGAGTTGACCACTCTGCAGATTGCCCCTCCGGCTACCTCCAGCCCCTCTACCTACCCCTCCATGACCAGACACCCCCCCTATTAACGCCAACCACTCGAGGTCCACATGTGGCCGCCGACCAATGCCTGGATTGCCCGACGACGGAATCGGTGGTGGTTATGGTCGCACGAGCCGCAGGTTGCGCAGGGGTTTGCGATGAGTCGCGCCTATGAGCTGTGGGCAATGGCACAAGATGGCATATGGCACATTTCTATGGTCAATCGGGACTACCGTGGCCTTGAACGTGGGTGGAGTATGACATAATTGTAACCACAGTTGGGGAGAGAAGACGACGACTCGAATGCAGGAAGGGTCCTTTCTCGACGGATCCATCCTATGCACAACCACAAGATGTCGGGCGGTATTAGATAAAAGCCTGAGATGCGCCCAAGCGTCATCTGGTGTTCTTGTCTGACGAAAGCGGCTTGTTGAAGGTTGCCAGATTGCGTCTTGCTAATAATAATAATAATAATAATAATAATAATAATAATAGGTAGCACGAGCGACAGGAACGCGGCGTCGACGGCAGTGCAATAAACGTGTGCCTGTGGTTGGCTGCCGACTCATCGACGGATGGTTGGATGATGGATGATGGAGCGGGAACGAGATCTGCGAACAGGCGAGCCCAAGGTAAGTTACCTCTCTCTGCCTAATAGGTAGTGACGTCTACTTCCTGCTAATAACATGAATGAACAAAACACGTACATATAAGTTTGCGCCTGGTGGCGTATCAATCATGTTTAGAGTAGATTCCTGGGTGGCGGGGAAGGAGGATGGCAGAAGAAGGATGACAGATGAAACTGCCACATATATCGATTCTGGCACTCCAACTCAATAATAATCACGAACATGACGAGGAGGCTTTGCCAACGGTCTGCCAACGGTCAGCCAACCGGGGAGCGAGGGGTATGTTTTAGGTGCCGCCTTCGCAAAGGAGGAATCCTAGTCAAAGACCCTGATCCCTTGAATAGCTGGCCTCCGTCATTAGAACTTTTTTTTGGAAGGGGTCGCCTAGCTGGACGTCTAGAGACGCGCTGACCGCGTGGTGAAGCTAATGACAATGCAACGGGCCTACTCAAAATGCCAATATCAGCCGGCCATCTAGTTCAACGCACCGGCCCTTCAACGAGCGGCTGTAATGTCCGAGTCGGAGAACCAAGTAGAGCGCCAGCCGCCAAGTAAACAACAACAAAGAAAGAACGACAACAACATCAACACAAGTAACGCCGCGCAACCGGCATTGATTGAGCATTTCGGCTGCTTCGGTTGACGTCACACGCCGAGGTGTTGGAAGCAACTGAAAAAGAACAAAATGACACCATGTTTGGAATGTTCTTCAAACCCTATGTATCCACAGTTGACCTCATCAGCGCGGCAAATGCCCAAGTCAAATATAGATCGTGTTTCAGAACACTGTCTTCGGTATCTTAAAATCGCATGCCGTCCAGGAAGAAGCCTCAAAATCCGCCAGGTTCTCAGAATAGGAAGTGAAACATGAAACGTGAAACAAAAATAGAGAGGCGAATTCGAGATCTGGTGATGGCGCAGCTATAGTGGTGAGGGGCATGGGCACCGAAGAAAACAGATGGCTACAAGCTGACAGGGACCCCGAATTTCGATAACGACAGGGGCCCTTCAACCGAGAACCACCATCCTTGGCCAAAGCATCGGGACAGGGACCCTAGCAACCGCCCGATGTATCTGAACTTGGGCCTCCGGTTGCCGGTGGCATCAGATCCCCTATCTCGTCAGATAACTTGAAGATATGAATGAATACCTTACCTCCAAGTTCAGCGTACCTAGGTAGGTAGGTAGGTAATGTATGTATCATCAGCGGCAAGACGTTGACATTGTGAGGTACGAGCAGTGGTCCATCTGGAGATACATCTTCTGGTGACTGGTGTCTGAGCGGGCAGATATTCCCTACACGGTTAGCATGCCCCTTCAAGACATGCGCAAGTGTTGATGCACATGGCTCCTGCAAGTGCTACTGTGAATGCAGCAGCCATCAAACAGGCCGCACAACTGTCCATCATTGGCTGAAGGGCCCACGGCTGATCAGATCAAGTGGTGGTCCATTGGCTGGGCCGGACTCGTATCAAAAGATGCTTTGCCGCCAATCTCCTCCTATCTGTGTCTCTCTCAGTTCAGCTGTTATCTAGATCTCCCAGTCCACTTCTTGTTTGTTCTGGATAGCGAATGGGACTCTCCTATTCAACCCCCTCTTATTGATGGTTTCTCCTTTACGTTGTAGAAACTGTAGCAAGTATTGGGCATTGGAGCAGAAACATTTAAGAGCTGGTGCTTTTGTGGGTGGTGGGTGAGCGTGCATGTTCATGGGTTGGATGGTGGGGCATCTAACCGCTGAAGGAACAGTCAGGTGACGGGCCTAACCGTCGCAGGCAGAAAGTCGCTAGAAACTGGATGAGTTCAGGGCATTCACAGCAGTGTTCCAGCATTGTTCTCGCTGCCTGTCGTACCGGTACTTGCAGCATCCTCAGAGCCCCACATGATATGGAGATTCACTGCCCCATATCGCTAAGAGCTGCACTCACATCCACACCGAGTGATCCCTGTCCCCGGCCGCAGCCACCTCCAAGACCAATCACGCAAGCCCATCCACCCAAGTTATCACTGAGCAGTGAGCACAAGGCCCGTGGTCCTCGTCGACCCTTGGCATTTTTCGTCAGTGGGCCTCCGCTGCTCAATCAATTTTATTTGGTATAACACTTGACCACTTCCCGTGCCCGTCCCCGTCGCAGTCGCAGTCGCAGCCTCTCCTGCCATTCGATCCCTCCTCCGAAGCCTCGACACCACCACTCACCACTTCGTGCCGTGGGTGCAGCGCTGAAGCAGAGGGTTGGGAATAGCCTCGTCCGGTCTCGACCGCCCTACGAACCTACGAACCTACGAATCTACGAACCTACGAATCTACGAACCTACGAACCTACGAACCTATAACCCGGCATACCTCTTGCTCCCTCTCTCCCTCCTCTCCGACGCTCATCTTATCCTCCCTCGCCCCCGCTCCCGCTCCGGCTCCGGCTCCGATTCTTCTGTGCTCTGCACATTCCAGACAAAGTGAAGGGAAAACTCTAGAAGTTGGGCTTGAAGAGGTACGTTCAAACACCACGATCACCAATACACGTTGTCCCAGGGACTTGCAACATTCCGGCCAATCTCCAAAACACAACCCCCAACCCCCAACTCCCAAACCCTCCACCTAGCCTTGCCTCGCTGCCTCGCCAGAATGCTTGTGCCTACTGTTGCCCGTGCTGTGACATATGCACTCCTTGACTGCTTGCCTTCTCGCTATGCCTTCTGACTACTGCTCGCCCATGCTTGTCATCGTCTTCCTGTGACCCATTCTGCACGACTCGCTGTTCACTAGGAAGTGGCCTGTCAGTCGTCGCAGGTTGCTCCTTGGCTGCCACGGGGGGCATATAACCGACTCAGCATGTTGGCATCTCGACTCTGCGAGTCATGGGCACCACATTTCCATCGTTCTCTACTGTTTCATCACTATCTAGCAGCTCGTCCATCGCATCCACTTCGCATCCAGACCCTCCCCCAGTTCGCTCCGGTCGACGTAGAAGCCCTTCTCAAACAGCCGCGACCATGCCAAGTTTGAACTACCGATACTAACTGAACTCGCGGCAGTGTTCACAGGTCATTTAGTCGACCGTTGAACCGTTGGACCATTGCGCGGAACCTTGACGCCGACGAGTCGAACCACCCTCTCCAGAGTCTCACTGTAGAACTTTCCGATATATATAGACCCCTACCGCACTGCGGATTCCTCTTGGCCTGTCCTCCATGTATACCAGAATATAACGATGGATTCAGAAGACGGGGAGTTGTTTGTCAAGGTATGCTTCGCAAAAACCTTTCCTCTGCCACCTACTTGACCTAACATTCTGCTAGCAACTCGCCATCTATGTGCGAACGCACGAAAAGGCGCTGGCCAACGCCTTACAGCTGAAGAGACAGCCAGGCCCCAGACATGGCCCTAGCCAGAGCGTTTCTTCCATACAGGTGTCTTCGCCACCCACCTCGCTCCCTGAACGCCCCTCGACCTCGTCGTCCGCTTCAGGCACTCTCGCCGCAGCACTATCCCTCGGCAATCTCAACTTTGCATCCCAGAGTGTCAAGTCCGCCAAGCTCGCGTTGACCCCGCATCATCTGTTCTATCTGCTGTCCCGGTTTGAAGAACTGGGTATAGATGTAGGGCCGATGAAGGTGCGCTTGGAGAACCTACACGACACCTCTACCTCGGCCAACTACATATCATTCCTGGATCCATCTCAACGTACCAAAAGCCGCGACTCCGATGTGGGATCGATACGGTCTGTCTCCAGCATACGCAGTGTAATGTCAGGTATGTCCACTTTGTGGGCTGGCTTTGGTATTGGGTCGAGCATATCGGCTACCCGCAACGAGAAACAGAAGGCCGCTGCGCAGGCTGATCTCAAGTACCTATATTCCTCCTTCACCAAGATACCATCCCTGCGACTGGCACCCGACTGGCGTGCCAAGTTGATCCGTGGGTACGAAGAGTTTCCCTTCGATTCTGCCGTACCTTTGTACGCCTTCAAGAATCTTCAGGCACTGGAGATCAGCAGCATTGATTTCCGACAATTCTTTGGTTGGGATCGTTTGGCCGAACAGCTACGTTCCCTTACCGTGAAACATGCGAGTATCGATGATCCCGCCGACATCCTAATCGATATTGTCCTAGATGACATGGACAAGAGGCGACGCCGTTCGTCCAAAGCGCAGTCGTCACCCACGGGGCCCCATGCGCATACCTCAAGTCCGAAGCCAAGCCCTACGGTTCCGCATGCGGAACTCTATCGGCCGACCTTGGTGCCAGCGGCTTCCGATCGTCGCGCTACCATCGCAGATTTGCACGTTGTTGGCTCGATGGGCAATGAATCCAACGAGAGCACATCAGCGAGTTCCAGCCGCCGTCAATCGCTAGCCAAATTTGAGGCGGAAGTGGCAAGATCTCCGGGCAAGTCGGGAAGGCCTAGAAGTAACTCTCCCGCTCGCCCTGCCAGTTCTCGCCACCATTCTATGAACCCCAGGGGCTCCCACAAGATCAGACGCTCCGGCTCCGGCAGCTCACATTCGAGTCTATCCGACTCATGGCACAACCCGAGAAATAGTGTTTGCAACCTGTCTTCTGTGGGCATCCTGCCTGCCTCGAAATGGCGTTTCTTGAAGCACCTTAGCTTGGCAGACAATGCATTGACTGCGGTGCCAGCAGCCAGCTTGGCCCCGTTGGCCAACACTCTGAACTCGCTTGACCTCTCTGCGAACCTCTTCACTCAGATTCCCGACAGCTTGGCCACCCTCACCGCTCTCCGGGCACTCAATCTCTCCCATTGCATGATTGACTCTCTGCATTCTCTACTTCGCAACCCATTGCCCGCCATCAGTGCCCTTAACCTTCGTGCGAATCGCCTCCAATCCCTTGCTGGCATCGAGAAGCTCTATCCGCTGGAAAGGCTCGATCTCCGCGATAATCGCTTGACGGATCCCATGGAGCTGGCTCGCCTCACTGGGATTCCAGATATCCGGGAACTTTGGATTGAGGACAATCCTTTCACGCGATCCCACCGGGATTATCGCATCAAGATCTTCAACCTGTTCCGCCAGACACCCGGTTATACAGAAGACATCATCATTGACGCCTCGGGGCCCACGTACTCAGAGAAAAAATATCTTGTGGAACGCGTCGCAGTACCTGCTGCCGTGCCTGTGGTGAAGCCCACCGCCCCCGAAATACATGCTGTGGAAGTGAGGAAGCCAACCATAATCTGCGACGAACCCTCCAAGCAACCTGCCGTCTTGTATAAGGAGCGTCGTGTCCGCCCAACACCGAAAGCGGTGGCTAGCGAAGTGAACACGGCTTCCACCCGGCGCCGTCGCACACCCAAGCGCCGAATTGTCGATCTTGCTACGAACGATCTCGCAACTATGGCTCCTCCGCAACCAATCAGTGTTGAAGAAGTAGCTGCCGGTGTCGCTGCCGCGTCGGGTGGCTTCGATGGAGATTATCGTATTTCACAACCTGCTGAGAGGCAGGAATTATCTCCCCTCACGGAAACCAGGTCACCTGATGCGCTGAGCCCTACCGAACTTCCACGCACGGGTACCCGGGTCCACAGCGTGTTTTCGCAGACTCCAGCTGTCTTTCCAGTCCAGGAGGCTCCGGGTTGGAAGGATGTTAATTTCGACATCAGCGGCGAGATATACCGGCAGAAGATCGAAGCACTGCGCGATACAGTCGGCAATGGTTATCTCAGCGTGCTTAACGAGGAGGGTTGGGACTCGACCCGTCCGGCCTTCCCCACCGAATTCAGCTCTGCCTCTCCTCTCCGATCAAGTCCTGCTACGCCCCGTACCCCCAGTATCGGGCAAGCCATTCATGCTGGGCGGACTCTAGGCTAGGAATCAGTCGTTGCGTTCGGTCTGCCTTGCCCCTTTCTCTCCGCTCTCCAGCGGCCCTGTTGATAGCATCAACCATACCCATTTGTGCTTTTGCATTTACAGATACACCCTTTGTTGTTGCATTATTGTCTTGTTGGTCTCGAGGAGCATAGCGTTCGGCGTTGAGGGGAAGGATGGTCATCGTTGCTTATGAGTCGCATTTGCATACTGCGTTGCTGCAGTCTCGGTTAATCTCCCCTTTCGGTTGCGATCTCCTACCTGTGCTAGATGGTCACTGTCGCGCAATCCCCCTTGGAAGGAAGATGGCCCCTCGTGTCCATGTGCGGAAAGAAGTTCCGCCAGACAGGTAGACTTTCCCTGAAGGAAGACGAGCAGGGCGGCGTTGTGCTCAGCTACAACCTCCTTGTTTTCCGCCTTTGCGGTTCTGGATAGAGATTCAGGTCATGTCTGATTTTTCACATTGTTCCTCCAAATTCCCCGCAGTGGCAATTGTTCTTTTCGATACCAGTACCCGGTCTTCATTTCTTCGTGGCATACGGGATACGAACGATATGAGATATGTTGATTGGGCATTATCATGTACTTCTGTTCTGGTCTTCGTCTTCTGCATTTGCAAGGGGGGCAAAAGGGGCGTTCTCGCCTGACGGCCGGCTCGGAGTAAAGAGGATCGTGCTTAATGAAAAGATACACTTCTGCGCTGTTCTGCTTTGCTGAATTATGACTTCATCTGTGAATGTAGATGTGCTGGGGCATATGTATAATGTACATAAGCTTGATATGACCCTACGTGAGCTGCCGTTGTCTGATAGTATACTCATTAACGCATTTCTAACCGTCCGCTCTCCTGCTCATTAATGCGTGTTATACACCGTGCTACTTGGGCGTAGGTCAACACCCTCTGTCCGACCTTACACTGTGATCCGGCGTCATCTCTGAATGTCGCATTTCAGGCGGCACTGGGCACTGGAGCTTAAGAAATAAAAACAAATCGTACTGATGGCGAGCATCCTACCCTTTCGGTCTGCCATGAGGGGGAGACGGTGTATGAGCATCGTCTCTGTGGGAATTTATGAGCTGCCGACTCGAGAGCCGAATACTGGCGGCCCTGCGAAGCTTGCGCGCTGCTTGGTGGGACAGTCTCTTCAGCCTTCAGGCTTCAGCGGTGTTGTGGCGTCGACGAGCTGTGGTAGGAAGACTGCGATGGTAACGTTATGTCCTTGTCTGAGCGTCGGTTTGGGTGCTTTATGTGTGTGCCGTTCTTTTAGTTACTGGCTTCAATAAACTTCCCCTCGGGCTACGGCTCATGACCTGGGAGCTCTATTTCATTTATCATGTGCTGCGGCCGCCTCGTATCCATTGGCTGCCCGGTGCACGACTGACTTCGCCATTATCAGGTGCCATTCTCCGTTGTGTATTGAACGACCAGAATTCCGGGATCCGTATGAACTACAAGATCACTTACGTTATGTAATGAGCTGGCTGTTGAGCGCAACATGAGAGAGAATAACTGATTTTCAGGGGTGGAGAACTGCATGTCATCTCAGATGAGCGAAACGGTCGATATTGCCCAGAATGCGGAAAATACTCCAAGTCAAGAATCGCCTTTCGGCGCCATCTGCGAGGGCCGAGGACGTCTACGTAAAGGGCAGAGTCTCGTGCTTAGAATCTGTATAGTAGACGAGATAAAATAGACGACCAGTATATGCGATTTCCTTCAGGGCCAGCCTTACATCTGTTGGTGGTTTACTGTACAGTGATCATACAGTGTATCAGGCTGTCTTGTCGTGCCATCCGACTAGCCTTCAGCAATAGTCAGCGCCAGCCTTTTCATCATTCGCTCATCTACTCAAGTCTCTAAATCCATGGACGGATATACCGCTTACCTTGAATCGAACTACCAAAGAAGAGCTGGCATAAATCACATGCACATGCCCACTACCGAACCCATCACGACCTGCGCTCAACGACTCGAACAACCACACCAAGCCCTTGATATAACGCATACCCCTATTCGATCCCGTCGCATGTCTCCCTACTCAGTAGTACCGGTGATGGGCTTCCAGTGACGGCTGAATCTTGTTAGCAACTCACAACTACCAACAGCGCAGAAGCGAAGCCAGGGCCGAAGGGCCAAAAGTCGTCATCCCACACGGCCGGGAGGCAGACAAGCGGCCCAGTACGCGGGCCGACACAAGGACCTGTACAAGACCCGCCCCGAAAAGAGCAACCACGGCGGCCAAAACATCGAGTCGCCAGCTGCGCGAAAGATACTAACCCACCTGCAGCGGAAGTGAGCGCTGGTAAGCAGGAGGATTGATCTGAGGCCACGTGGGCTCTTTGCCCGTGGTCATCTAGGACGCAGCGGTTGGGGCTTCCTCTGCTCTCCTGCGAACGTGGCCCTAGGTATCCACGCTACACTGAACCTCCAGAAGTCTCCGTACACCCCTCGTTCAGTAAGCGAGGGGCCATATCTATTATAAACGGAATAAGCACTCTGAAATAAGCACCAAAAATGGCTTTCGGATCGAAGCTGCTTGTTCCAGGTTCTTTATTCCATCTATGAAACATATAGCATTGGAATCTAACAATCAATAGAGAAGCATGCCGGACGGAGACTCATGGGATGGGTGTATTCACGCCCAGTAATTCTGACCACGGCGCTTTTGCCTTGGTCAATTTTCTGCGACCATAGGGGTCCTCAGGGGTGCATGGAGGTAAGATAACCTAAGGTAGCTGACCTAATAGGTTATGTTGCATTCAAATGCGCGGGCCGGTCGCTGATTCCACCACATGGCCGAACGAACTATGTCGATGAATATACAGGCTATCAATGTATCATCATGAATTGTCTCAGAACGACTGCTGGTGTTATCGAAATGTCGGCCTGCTGCTCATACGGGGTCCGGACGGTGACGTCTGACTCGTGAGATGGAACGGCGCATATGCATGCCAGTGCATCTACCTTGCTGCCTCCTCGGCTCTGCTTGATGAGACGAGAGGAGTGTTGGTTCAAGTAAGTACACGCGCACTTTCATCGGACCTGTCAGCCCTGCGATCCAAGGAGAGACAAGCATTAGGTACTAAGGCCCAGGTCAATCGATGTCCTCAAGTTGATCTGGTCTGCAACGAGATTGTTGTGGATTGCCCAGCTCACTTACTAAGTTACTCCTTGCTAATGGTTTCGTTGGAGAACATCGTCAGAGAGCGAGATCCTCTGCAGACATTCACTTAGGTACTTTCAAATAGAAGGCAACGCCGCTTCTTGCAGGTTGATACATTGCTGTGCTTGGCATATTTTGATATGCCCCGAGGCGTTTGACAATGGAGAGAGCGAGGTGGTTGAGGTACGAATGACGATATGTAATAGTCAGAATATACGGAAGCGACCAGTTGTATAGTAGGGCAATGATGCGACCCGACACCCGACGGGAAGCAATGTAGGTAGTCGCTAACGAGTGGTAAGAAAAAAGACGGTAGGGTATGGAGTCATTGCAGGAATATCGAGGAAGAGCCAAGCCATTGATAGGTTTAGCGACGGCCACGCACGAGGAGGGCGGGTACAGCTGTAGGTACTGTACTTATTACTATACGCATGACGGACAGGCACCTTGATAGGCGAAACTCGAGGACAACCAAGATCCAGATCTACCTAGCAACAGATGCAGGAACAGCAGCCAGTGGCAGTCGGAGACAAGGGGGCGCTAGACACGGTAGAGTTAGTGATGACTCTGAGACGACCGGTAGGGCTGAAACTAATACCTTTGAAGGTTGAAATGCGGGTTGCCCTTTTCGTCAATGTCCTGGAGTCCTGCCCCGATCCTGCTTTGCGCCGGTGATCTGATTGGCGCGCAGGACATAACACGATCCGGACTACAACTTCGAGAACTGGTGGGCAAGACGTACAAGCACCTGCAGTTGCTGATTGTGACTCTACATTGGTACCTACGGTGCAGTGAGTCAGATGAACAATGCTCTAGTTACGCCAGGCTACACTAACGATCTCTGATGTCTGGTGAGGACAGTAGTGAATATAATGATGCCGTGAAATGTCCCGAGGTTCAATCCACTCATACACCCTCGTGTACGTACCTAGGACACAGCACAGAAGCGAAGTGATACCATTAGCATTGACTTGTCGGCAACACGGGACCTTAAGCCGCCTCATGTATCACACCTGTACCTGCGACGGTTTACAATGATCAAGAGCAGCCAAGGAAAAGCTTGTCGGTGATGATAAGAAGACATTTAACTTTTAAGGACCAAAATGTGGTCGGCCACGATGTTTTATTATTATTTATGTGCGGGGCCCCAGGTTGGAGGCTTGGAGATGCAGGTGCACGGAGCACTCCTGGGACTGGAGTGGGTGGAGTGGGGAACTGCAGGTGGCTTGATTGCCTAGATTGGCTTATCGCCCGGCTCGCTTACCTAATGAATGGAGCCTCTCCTGCATTCTGGCCGACTAACCTGACTTCACCAGCGCGTCCTCCCAAGCCCTCTGCCCTCTGCCCTCGTTCGACGACGTCTCCTCCACGTGCCTGCTGCTTGTCGATTCCGGATCATAGCATAACCTCTCACAATACCATCTGTGCGCCCGCTAGTTTTCCGACAAGCCCCTCTCCAATGCCTTTTTGCCGCCCGACGCCTCACCCGAGCCCCTCTCTCGCGCCCCTTGCGACGCGCTGATTTAGCTGCCCTGACCTGCCCTGCCTTAAGGTTGTCCACCCTCATCGCATTCTCATCGTCTCGCGCACCTTCCCGCCACGACATGGCACCGAGTCCGAGAACACCAAGGCAGGCATCCTATGGCCGCCAGCGCAGTCGGCCCAGCCTGGTATCCACCGGCAGCACGACGCGACGCGCCAGGGATAGTAGCATCGTGGCCGCCACCGAGCCCCCTCCCAAGCGACGAAGATACGTTCCTGGTGGCCCTGGAGGTGGTGGGAGATTCGAGGAGCCAGCCGATCCAGTTCCTGTTGCCACCACTACCGGTCGCTCCAGAGCCCGCCAAAGTCTACCCAGCAACGACATGCCGACCCCCTCCTTCTTCCCTCCGACGCGCGAGCGCAGCACACGCATTCGCACTGCAACGCGAGTCGATGCAGATGATGAGATGCCCATCAGCTCTGCCGCAGCCGTGGCTGCCGCCGTCGTCCAGAGCGAAGGCTACAAACCCAGAGAAGAACGCGGCTGGGAAGAATTCCACCCGAATCTAGACATAGACGCCACATTCATGCTCTTTCATGCCGAAGATGTCGATGGCACTGCGAAGCCCATGCCAGGAACCCCGTCAGGCAAAGCTATCGGCGGAGATGTACGCGATGCTGGAAGCCCTTCGAAGGACCCAAACTCTGCCGTCCGCTCGGGCACGCCTAATGCCCAAGCCAACAGCGCCATGGCCACACCACTCGACCTCGTGTCAACGACGCCAACAAGAAGGCGGGCGATGCGACAACCGCGAGACTCGCTATACGCTACACGTGGAGACGCCAACCCGGCGCCCAATACCCCAACGCCGTTGCCCATCCAGGGCCAGAACAACAAGGAAAAGCTGGATCTCAAACTGCCATCATACCGCAAGACCGACCGCATATTATTGTTCGAGAGCAAAACGTTCGGCCAAGCGCGCTATGTCGACAAGGCAATGATGAACGTGGGATATCAGGAGAGCGACAACTTCATACGGCCTGATCGACGCTTGATCAAGGCCCACGAAGGCAACATCGATGAAGAACCAGACGTCGCCACCGCAGCCAGAATCGACGGCGATCCTGCCCCCCAACCGGCCAACAACCTCACTCGCGTTGAATACGACATGGACGAACAGGATGATATGTGGTTAGAGTCGTACAATGCACACCGCAAGGAGCAAGGTTGGAATCCAGTGACGCGGGAGGTCTTCGAGATCACGATTACCAAGATCGAGAAGGAATGGCACGCCCTCGAGAAGAGAATACCAAAGCCCAATCCAAAACCACCGCAAACGCATCGGCCCCGGTCTAGTTCCGCTGCGGCCGTTAATGGCGAACCGCAGGCTGGAGAGGAGCAAGACAGCAAGTGCGCAATTTGCGATGACGGGGACTGCGAAAACACAAACGCAATAGTTTTCTGCGATGGTTGCGATCTCGCGGTCCACCAGGAATGCTATGGTGTCCCCTTTATTCCCGAGGGCCAATGGTTGTGCCGGAAGTGCCAGCTTATTGGCCGTGGCGTCCCGGTCAGTCCTGTCTACAAGTTTCTACCTCTATACAGCTGCTAACAGATCTCAGACCTGCATATTCTGCCCAAACTCGGATGGTGCATTCAAGCAGACCAACTCGTCCAAATGGGCTCATCTTCTCTGTGCCATGTGGGTACCAGAGATCACCCTCGGCAACCATACCTTTATGGAGCCGGTCATGGACGTCGAAAAGGTGCCCAAGAGTCGCTGGAAGCTGACTTGCTACATCTGTAACCAGCAAATGGGTGCTTGCATCCAATGCGGTAACAAAGCATGCTACCAGGCATTCCATGTGACTTGCGCTCGTCGTGCTCGTCTGTTCTTGAGAATGAAGAACAGCTCAGGGGCATTGGACGTCCTCGACACCAACACAAACCTGAAGGCCTTGTGCGACAAACATTGTCCCCCTGAATACGCCAAAGAGAACGACGTAGTACGAGCTACCAAGAGGGCTAAGAAGTACTACAAGAAGACAATGGGCGAACGTATCTGGGCTAACAGCCAGGCGTCTGCCATGGCAATCGCAGCATCACATCGCCACGCTATGGTCGAGCACCCATCGGACGAATCGCAGATGACTGGAGCCAAGCTCTCAGCAGTCCTCGGGGACAAGAAGGGACAAACAGCAAAATCAATATGGAAGTTGCCGTCAGGTGCTCCCGTCATCCCCCAGGCAGTCTTTGAAATTGTAGAGGCATCATCGCAACGCTTCAACTTTCTCAAGCGGAAGGAGTTTATTAGTGATGCCTGTCGTTACTGGACCCTCAAGCGCGAGATGCGACGCGGCGCAGCTCTGTTGAAACGCTTGCAACTGCAAATGGAGAGTTTCTCCTCTATGGAGCTTACGCGAAGGGACTTCGCAGCCATGGGCCCTGGTGGCAAGGCACGGCTGTCGAGGAGGATCGAGTTCGCCAAAACTCTCCTGACAGATCTCGAGCAACTAAAAGTCATGTCCCAAGGGATAGTAGAGCGCGAACGGCTCAAGCTGGAAGCAGCCGAGATGGAGCAGGAATTTGTTGACACCTGCTATTTCCCCATTCACAAGTTGCTTCCGCCAATCATCGAGAAAGCGATCATGTGAGTCACTACACTTGCCTTGGTCCAATTCATCACTAACCACATACAGGCTGGACAAGGGTCTTTTCCATGATGGTCTCATCAAGTTGCAAACCAGGATCGATGAGCGATTCTATACTACGACCCCCTCGTTCGCTCATGATCTATGCGAAATCATCAACATCGGCATAAATACGGAGCCCGAAGCCGAGCCCGAACCACAGGCAACACTTGAACTCGTCGCGCCTACACCGTCCAAGAACGACTTCTCTGATTACCGAGATCGTAAGAAACTTGGCAAGAGAATCTTAAAATCTGTTCAGCCTCAGCTCGAGACGGCGTTACACCTAGAGGCCGAGGCGAGTCACAGGCCTTTTGACACTTTCAAACAAGAGCTAGAAGGCATGATCGAAACAAGTCTTGAATATCGCCCCAAGACAGCCTCCCAAGCAAATGGCGAAGCTGAGCCAAGCCAAGACGTGATCATGGTTGACTCTTCAGCTGCAGAAATAACTGTTGGTGGCCCGGCAGAAGGCGCTGCCACAGTTGAGAACGACGCCCAAGGCGACATTACGATGACTGATGCTGACAGCCAGAATGCTCGTGCGGATGGCAACATTGAGGTTGATACATCCAGCTTGGAAGCAGATGTCAGTGCTAAAGTCGAAGATGCACCGTTAGCCTTGGACCCTGTCCGCAATTCGGAAACAGAACCATCAGGAACGAAGCCAGAGTTACCATCTGTCAATGGGGTGCAGTCGCTGGATACACCTCCAGCGACTAACGGCTACGTTGCTGCGCCATCTGCTTCACACCATGGACCTCCTACCCCTCCTCAGTCCAATGGGAGTCTGGGACGACAGCCAACAGACACCCTCACAGAGGGTGGTTATCCGTGGTACTTGCAGGAGTTCGAACCCCAAGGGACTTCTGCAGTGCTACAGCAGTGGAAGGGCCGTGATGCCGTTCGCAGCCTTAGCGAGGAGCTCACGGAAATCGACGAAGATGAGATCAAAGGACTTGGCGTTGAGCTCGACAACGAAGACAGCATCACAGCATCGCCTGCTGCCTCGGCCACGGCTGTAGGAGGGGCGAACACCAGCCCTACGAAGAAGCCCGCGAAGGCGAAGAAGCGTAAAGCGCCTTTTCGGAGACGGTGATCGAATAGAGAGCTAGACACGCGCGATTCTGTTCTGTACTACTACTTCTGGGAGCTGTTTTGCTTGTATGTACTTACCACTTAGACCGACACACTTTGGTTGGTGCGCCCTTGATGGCTTTGCAGGAAATTACTATGGAGTTCGGGAGGTCAGCAAGCAGTGTCGAACCTCATTATACCTAGGATCTCCAATATGGGCGTTGGAGGGCTGAGGATACAGGTTTTCGATTCAGAGGCGGCGTTCTCGTGCCAGATGGCTGGACTGCTGAGCGTCTCTCACAGTTGGCATCACACTGGCCTGACCTGCCAGCCGGAGTGTACGTAGCTAATCACGATGTGCTTTTCTAAAGAATATCCCTTGCTGCTACTTACAGCATTTACATTGCGATCGCTTGTGGTGGATATACGAGAGTGCAAGGCGGAAAGTCTGTTGAGGTTCCTAGGTTGATGCATATACAGCGAGGACTTTAGTTGTCTGGCTGTCTGCACCAAAGGGACAGTCAGTGAGCCTAGGGCTTCTCAATCACGAGCGGTGGTTTCGTCCAGCGGGAGCTTGGTGTGGATGCCGTCTGGTGTCATATGGGATCTGGAGACAACGTAATGTCTATTCGTTATGCTCTGGTATCTAGCCCACGACGCGTCAAATGCCGTCGGTACTGGATCATCCATAGCGACTGTTTTCACCCCTAAGTCCGTCTACTGGTGCCCGAAGAAGCAAGCAATCCTTACGAGGGCCGACGAGCCGAAACCCTGGGTGCGAAAGCGTAGCCACGAGACGGTCCAACGAATACTCGAATACGCACAGACAGCACGCGTTCGCTGTCGAAGAGGCTACATTCAGGACCACAACTCTGGTGGGATAAGTTGCAGAACATCTCGCTTGTATGAAATCGTTCTCTTAATTATAGTTTGGTTATGTGGCTTGCGATGGTAGGCGCGTGAGTCATCGGAGAAAGCTTCGCTGCCCTATTTAATGTTCTTACTGAGTCTTCCAGCCTGAGCAAAGCGTTGAATTCATCTTTGAATCACAACATTGTTTTGCAGTGGAATAAGCAGCCATCCGGTAGTTATTCCACTCGAGTTTCTCTGGGGTAACCGCTTAATCCAGGTGATTATTCGACTTTTTCGGACCCGGGGAGCGTGGGGGCGGAGATGCGGCGGCTTGTGCGGGATTATCAACACTCCTTACAGCTGATGCAGGTGGAAGCGGTTGGACGCGGTGATGGTGCTGGTGGTGGCGGTAATGGGGGCATTGAGGGCATCGGGGACCCGCTCGCTTTCGCGGCACAGTATTCCTGTCGTTTCGTCAATGTCCACCCCTTTCTCGACGGCAACGGGCGCATGTGCCGGCTCCTGCTGAACGCGGTTCTGTTGAGCGTGGCCGGCGTCGTGGCGCCGCTGGGTGGCACGGAGGCTGCGCGCGAGGAGTATCTCGTGGAGGCGGGACGGGCGTCTGAGGCGGCGGCTTCGGGGCGGGGGGAGGATGATGATAATGATGAGGACGGGGTGCCGAGGACGAAAAATTGGAAGGGTCTTTCTGTGCTTGTCCTGCGGCATGCGAAGGAGGGCTTGGAGGAGCTTGTGGGAAGGTTGAGGGGGACTTGATATTGTTGTCTTTGCACGTCGGAGCCCCTATCTGGTGGGAGGATGGGTGGTCTGCAGTGACATAAGCAGTGGTGTGGTGAGTATTCCGGCATTGTTTTGCTGGACTAAACGCTAAGCACGGGTGATTATGCGGGATTCGTGTCGAGCGCTTGCTGTCTCCATAGTTTCAAGTTGTCAATGAGTGTTTCCTCGATCAACCGAGAGCCGTGTCATAATCCTCCTTGAGGTTGATGCAGAAGATGCGTTTCGTGGAAGCCCCTGTCCTCATTTCCCCCTTCTTAACCGTTGGGGGAGCGTCCTCGAAAGAGGACAATTCATGTCCTCTAGGAGATGCTCTCTGAGGAGAGGACGCTTGCCTTTTTGGAATAGGGGTGGGCGTGAAGTTGGTTCCTACAACCACGCCGCGGTACCACCTGCATCAGGATCCAATTTCAGGTGCACCAAAACCAGCACTACGTACTTCGACACGCAATGGCAAAGGATATCCCTTGAGGGTCCAAAAACTAGAACGGAGTGACTTTTCCATGGTCTTGTGGCTGGCGGCCAACCCACCTCTCCTGTTCATTAAGTTAGGCCTGGAGATGTGTAGAACTAACCTAGTGCTATATGTATATTGAAGTATTACTAGTGAATTTATGAATATGTCGTGTTGTCAAAGTAGATACTTTCAAGGCGTCGATAGAAAAGCGCGTATGGTGTCGAGCTGGTACGTATACCTTAGTATAAGAAATTGTGCGTTGTGTAGAGCTATAAACGAGCTTGGGACCGAGCCAGTATAGTTATTGATACGAAGGCTATTTTGTTTGAAGATGAGCATTACCTGCGTTGTAAGAAACTTACCCGGCGACCTCTGACTGGCAGAAAAAAAGTCCATAGGAAATGTTTTTTTTCCCACAAGAGATTTCGCATAACTACATACATATAAAAACGTAAGGGATTTATATTATACTTTTTATTATTTGAATAAGGATAATATATAAACGCCGTATGTTTGTAGGTAGTTGTTATACTTATCGTCGTGTTTTTATAAAATAAACAAATGTTCAAAAAGGTTTTATATATAGTGTAAACTTTAACTAATAATATTAAAAGTATTAGTATAAGTCCGATAATATGCGCATGTTGTTTTTTACGCATAAGTAACGGAGTTCATAACTGAATTTATATTTATATAATTGTGACGTTCTGTATATGTGAATAAGACATAGAAGCCCTTGTTTACTATATACGTATAACTATCTCTGGCTGAAGAGGAAAAAGAAGATCGAGCGGCACAGCCAAATGTGGTGGGCAACTAGACAAGTGTGTCCGCCCCACAATTCAGAGCCCTAGTGGGTCGGAGACAACCAGTCGTCTAGGAGGTCACGTGCTGTCACGTGATCCCAGGACCATCACCGATGGTAGCGACGTAGCAACCATCACAATAATTATGATTTATCGGGTAAACGTTTACTTATTGCCGTAGTAAGTTAATATCCTAGTATATGTTTATTGAAATAGAATAAAAATTACTTATCAATTAAAATAACAGCTAATGTGAGCATTGTGGTGCTGTTAGGTATGGGCTGCAGCTGTCCGCCAGGTGAAAGGGATGAAAGGGGCCCAAAGGGGGTGAAAGGTTCATTATGGTGACCAGTGGCAGGTTTGTTGTTCGCTGTCAGGCAGCAGGGCATCAAAGGGCTGTCACACCTGTATTTAGGTGGGAATCTCCCTCATGGATCCATAGACAAGACACAGACTATCATCTATCCCATTCTGGCCCCTGGATTTCCACAGCTAAGTTAATGTAATATTTCTGTCAGATGTTGGATCCCAGATATGGTGCCCTTAGGTGCAGTACCCACTAGGGGGCTGTCAAGGGAACAGTGGATCCACCCTGGCATGGTGCAGTATGGTATTTAGCTGTAGATTAGCCCTGCCGAGCATATTTGAGAATGACAACAACATTTGCAGCGACCGCTCACACCCCCAAGGCTTGTGACCCTTCTAGAATCTCACAATTTCATATATATAGTTAAGCTTCAACTTTAAAAAGTAAAAGAACGGGTTATATAAAAAGCACTATTAAGTAAGTTAAACTATAGCTGCTATCTTACTGGCTTATACTGATACTATTTAATATTGATTAATGCCATAATACGTTTTACCCCTTAATTATTTAATCAATCAGTTGTATGCATTCATTCGTCGGTGCTATCTTATTTCGAGAAGCAACATGGTAAAATGCAACAAGTAACATGACACCGCTTTATAATCTTCATTTATAAACACGGAAATGCCTACTTTGATCTATTCTTACTGAGCAGGTAGTCTAGAAAAGAAGTCCTCGGGCATTACTCAGGCACGTGACTCAAGAAGTAGGTCGGATCAGCAAGGAGCAGCTGCAAGTATTTGTCATAGAGATGCACACTGAAGCCCTTCATTCCGAAGACTGTCCATCTCATGACGACGCGGGTTGATTACATAGTGGCCCATTGCTACCGTGTTCTCAATGCATTGGTCTATCACTCATCTACGTAGCTCAGGCACAAACCCGCACTAAAGCTTCTAGGTTACTCTGCTGCATAGCGGCAGTAATAGCTCATAGACCGTGCCCGGTGGTTTGCTTCGCATCTGAGGATTTGCTCATAGATTGCGGCGCTATTCGGTGTAAGGTCGTGCTGATATAAAAACGCCAGGATTACCTCACTCCGGGCCATATCTGGCGAGGTTGCATAGGTAGACATGAAAGTGTTATATGGCGTGAGTGTATGTCACGTCAGACATGGCCCATGCCTTGGTGGGAGAAGCTGTACTGGCATGTGAAGGGAGATGGACGACGTGGATCTAACTACCTTGAATGAACAAGCGACTGTCCTGGAACAATGTCGTTTTGACGGTACTTTCGATTGAGCCGCGTGGTGATTTATGCTGACAACAGAGAGAAACTCTGGGAATCTTGGACGTGTCAATAATTGGCTCCTTTGCGTCTAACACCTGACTCGCGGCTCGGACGTCAGCGATATGGATTTACAGCAAACCCGGCCCGTCCCCGTTGGCTGTACCGCATGCCAATGCCGATCTGGGCAAGCGGGCGCGAGTACTGAGTCGTGCTGACCTTGACCTGTGCGTAAGTTCCGTGGACCCTTGAACTCAATAAACTCAGGGTCCGGACGTGCTGGCAGCTCCGGAGCTTCGTCGCTGGAGCAATGTTTAATGCAGACTGGGTTAATCTGCCGGCACCGCGGGGGTATTGGTATCTTTACGTACATAGAAGATCGACCCCGAATATAGGTCAAGTCATCTGAGCCCTAATCAGAGTCGAATGGAGACGGAGCCAGTTGTGATTCCGCCCTCGAGGTCGAAGAGGTGGATGAGAGAAGTCAGATGTGTGGATGTAAGTGGCGTGTGGTGGTGTGGAGAAAGGGGTAGAGCTCCTTGGACGTAAGCACTCTGGGACTGTACCACCCCGCATACTACATAGAACTGCCATACGACCGTTGAGTAAGTTGCACAAGTCGTTGACCTCATCCAGGGTTGAGTCAAGCGAGACGGTTGAGGCCATCGTCTCACTTGCCTTAAGACTCAAGAGCGAGACTGATATTGAAACATAATTGTACCTGTGCGGTGGTTCGTTGCCAAAACTTGGGTACCAGGGTATTCACCGTAGTCACCCACCCCACAGTTCCTGGTACGCGGCTAAAAGACGAATGAGGTTGTAGATTTGCTGGGTTGAGATCGGAATGCCGTATTTTTGGAATTTTGAGGGTGGCAGCTGAGAAGGCTGAAGTGACCCGGGAGTTCGGAAGTCGATCTGACACCATCTCCAGGGTCTGGCGCCTGAGCTTCTTTCCGGCGTCAAGTAGGGGTTCCCATTGGTCAACTGTCCTCGAAAACATCGACGAGACGGCATGCCTCAGGCCTGGGCCGCCTGGCTTCAACACCTTCAAAATTCGAATGTGTTGTTGGTCTATCTCTTGAACCCACTGCAGTAGATCGCTCCATTCACGAATGGATCGATCGGGAAGCGGCTAACGACGTGAGCTGAGACGCCAATGCCTCATGCAGCGGCTCAGGGGTCGCCATTATACGTGTCGATACCAACACTATCTTAGTGCGTGCTGGGGGAGGGGCAGAGAAGAATCTTATTACGCAAGCTGTCCAGCGTCATCGAAGAGCCATGTCGTCAGGCGTTTGACGGTACGATTTGCGGCGCGGTCGTATCAGTACAGCTATTGTTACATTGGTTTGGCCGTGGGACTGCCATTGTATGCCTGCGTTTAGTACCTGGGTGTCATCCCTTCGAAGTTCATATCCGAGTCATTGGTAGGCATCCGTTCTTACAGCAAAAGCAGCAATCCTACCAGTAGATGGGAAACTTTCCCGCCGCGGGTGATCTGCAGACAACGCCCATTGAGCTCGTCAACACAAAGCACCGGTGGAGAGGATAAATCAAGCAGATCTTTGTGTAGCTCTGGATTCGAAGGAAGCTAAACAGTTAGGAGTGCTGCACGTGTAGGGAGATCCAGGCAACTCTGTGAAGCGTGCATGAGCGGTGCCTGGATCCGGTCGACAATAGGGCCGCAGAGCCGCTTCCAGAACCAGGTCGATACATGTGAAAAAACTCTAAGAAGCTTTCACACGAGGAGCTCGGATGAGCTGGCTGTGAGTGGGCACTTATGGAACGCTTGTCGGTTCAGTACCAGGAGCACAGACAATGTTCAGAGCTGGAAGCGTCGAGTAGAGGCCAGTCAGGAAAGGATTCAGATATCATGAGCAGGACAAGGCGTGGAGATGGCTGTCTTGATAGCAGGAAGTTTACAGCCTTGTCCACCTTGGACGTTGAACGACAATACCTTAGGCACGAAGCTTCTCATTTGATGTGCCCGGGCAGAGATTGGTGATCAAGACAAGGTCTTGCAAGAGGTGCCTGATGCCCAGGCCACTCACTCACTCACTCACTGCTCAAAATGACGTGAGACTTGCAGCCAGCTGATGAAGCATAAGAACAAAGGAGTATGCATATCCCAGTGCAGCGTTGCCTTTGCGAAGAAGAGGATGTTTAGATCACAGGGAAGATATTGATGAACTTGGAAAAAATAGAAAGACTTGGCGCAGACCTGGACTCAGGAGAACGAGAACGATGCACAATGCACAATGCACAATGCACAGCCTCACTTTACCAATAGAATCGTCGGGTCTGAAACCCCACCTGCCTAGCATTCTCTGTCTTCCCACAAGGCCCCGCCCCGCCCCGGCCCTTTGTCACTCATATCGGAGCACCCCCGTGGACACCAGGCATCACTGGAGCCACTGGAGGGCCAGAAAGTCAGTGCACCTTCGGGGAGCTTGGGGACCTGGGGCAGCAGCTACAGGCATGTAAGTCCCCTACCTAGGCACAGCTCCAGTGGGCTCTTATAGCGGTGCAACAGTCAATCAGCCCAATCCGATCCTCCACGGTCCACGGTCCACGGTCCACGTCCACATTCACGTCCACGCAGGCCAGCCGCCCTGGGCATCCATCCATCCATCCATCATCCACCTGCACCCATCCAAATCCACCTTTTCCCAGCCCAGCAAAGGAGACAGGCAGGACAATTGACCCGGGCACTTTTTCTGTCTGCGTCTGCGTCTGCACGCCGGTCCTTCTCCCTACTACGGTCTACCCGCCCTTCCATCTCTCTCAACTTCTGTTCTCGAGAAGAACCCCGCGACAACGGCGACGCATTCCTCCATATTTCCCACGACCACAAGCAATTGTTGCCTTGTTGCCCTTTGATCACTGCGCTTCTGCACTTCTGCATGCTACATTGCGAGACACGTCTGAAAGAGAGCAAGCAGCGAAACGTCCCAAGGCTTTCCCTTCCATTGTTTTGAAGCGCCCTCAGACTTTCTGCTCTTCCGCCTCATTCCCATAACAAACCAAACCCACACCTGGCCAGACAACACCACGCGAAGTGCCTGAGTGCCTGAGGATTCTTCCCCGACCGAGCGACTCTGCGACTTCTGCCCAACCCCAACCAAATCCTCCATCCTCCCTCCTCCACCTATACACCACATAAGTATAGCGGCGAGTATCGAGTCCGAATCAAACCGCCCACCGACTACAGGACAATACGACATTGTGTGCATCACCATCGCCCACGAGAGCGATAAGCGCTGCCGCCCAGGCGATCCAGCATTCTCAGCCGCGATTTCGCTCCCTTCCAGGCGCCTTCTATTCCGACGAAGCTACCGACTGGCAGCACCGGGGCCGATCCGGCGCTCAACATCTAGGAGACGATTCATTCTCACCACACCTGAGAATACCACCCTGCACTGCAGCACCCGGTCACCACGTGTGTTTTCTGAGTGGGTGCATCATTGAGTCGCGAGCTTTCTCTGGGAAGCTCCGTAGTCGCTGGGATCACTTCATCGTGAGTTTTTCATCTCCCTTTTTGCTGTCTTGATAATCCACCGCCCCTCTTCCCCACTCCCTTTGCCGTCGCCCTCTGCCTCAGCCTTGAAGTGGCGTGCCTCTCAACCCGAACGCCGAACAACACCTCGACATTCTCACTTGCTATGCCGACCCCAACCTGACCTGACCACTCTCAATGCACTTTACTAATTTGGGTTCCCGTCATGCAGACCCAGGAAGTGCATCACATTGTGATCTCGGGCCCGACCGCGCGTTCCTAATCCGACCGCCCTTGCCATCCTCCTCTTCGCCCTGACACTGCAAGCTTCAAGTCCCGCGGGCCATCTCTGGCAGGTGAGGCACTCAAGATGGCGGACCAACATGACGTGGACCTAGACTCCATCATCGATCGCCTCCTCGAGGTACGTGGCAGCCGCCCGGGCAAGCAAGTTCAGCTTTTGGAGACCGAGATCCGATACCTATGCACGAAGGCGAGGGAGATTTTCATCAGCCAGCCCATCTTACTCGAGCTGGAGGCTCCTATCAAGGTATGCAAAGCTCTATCCAGACGATACGAACTAATTGGAGGCGCTAACAAATTATCGCGTAGATTTGCGGCGATATCCACGGCCAGTACTACGATCTCCTGCGCCTATTCGAATATGGTGGTTTCCCACCCGAAGCGAATTATCTCTTCCTTGGCGACTATGTCGACCGCGGCAAGCAGTCTCTCGAGACCATTTGCCTGCTGCTAGCCTACAAGATCAAGTACCCTGAGAACTTCTTCGTCCTGAGAGGTAACCACGAATGCGCCTCCATCAACCGCATCTACGGATTCTACGATGAGTGCAAACGTCGTTATAACATCAAGCTGTGGAAGACTTTTACGGACTGTTTCAACTGCTTGCCTATTGCCGCTATCATCGACGAGAAGATCTTCACAATGCACGGTGGACTGAGTCCAGACCTGAACTCGATGGAACAGATCCGCCGGGTGATGCGACCCACAGACGTAAGTTTCGAGCTGCCATTCCTGCAAAGACCCCAATGATCCGCCGGCAATGGCACGGGCTGTGACTGACCTCAGCCTGCTATAGATTCCCGACTGCGGTCTGCTCTGTGATCTGCTATGGTCCGATCCCGACAAAGACATCACCGGCTGGAGTGAAAACGATCGAGGCGTCTCCTTCACGTTTGGACCAGACGTTGTTTCTCGTTTCCTGCAGAAGCATGACATGGATCTGATTTGCCGCGCCCATCAAGTCGTGGAGGACGGTTACGAGTTCTTCTCGAAGCGCCAGTTGGTCACTCTGTTCAGCGCACCGAACTACTGCGGAGAGTTCGACAATGCGGGAGCTATGATGAGCGTCGACGAGAGCCTGTTGTGCTCCTTCCAGGTAAGTTTCTGAAAGCCTTGCGATTATTTTTTCGAGTGTCGACTAACGATTCGGCACGATAGATCCTCAAGCCAGCTGAGAAGAAACAAAAGTATGTCCAAAGCGGCCTCGGAGGCAGCAGTTTTGCTTCTCCCAGAAAGCAGTCCAAACCCTAAACAAGAGAATTTGTACGAACTTCCCCGTCTTCTAGGTTCGGCCGCCGATGATGTGCTTCTGAGCACGCTCAACCCGCACCCGAGTCTCGATGATTGTTCTCAACCACCGATGTTGATGGCTTGCAGCCGGCCGACAAGTGCCTGGTCCTCGACCACGACTTGGCTTGTCGATAATGCTGTTCGAGTAAAACCCCCGACCCACCCGCTTACGACCACAAGATTTCCTCGTACCTCGACAACCCGATCATGGATGGAGGATGACGGTGGCTGTGTCGATGATGAATGTTGTTCTTACACCGAAAAGAAATAAAATCAGGTTTTTCATTTGGAATGGTTCAGAACGCCCTCTGTCCAGTGTCTGCTCCGTGGCCATGGTGATGAAGGGGAGAGTTTAGACAGTTAATTGTGTTTCCCCTAACCATGAAGCTTACGGATTCATGCATAATTTGCTTTACGGTACTGAAAACATCACCCTTCCCAATTTCGGTGACGTACCGCCCTTCCAGACCTGCATTGACCTGTCGATCTCGAGTTACTCACTGTTACGGCCTAGCATACCAAAATAGCTGACTGTCAACTAACGAGTTGTCACTTGAAGTATTTTCCTCTCGTCCCCTCCATATCCTTGCCCCAGCAATTTGCCGCGTTACGCAGCTTTGATCTGGCACTCGTACACAGCGATTACCAGACACACCATGGCATGAGTTTGCTCGACGAACAGCCAGTCTGTCACGCGGCCGTATATCCAAGCAGCTGTCTATACAGGCCATATATTCCAGTTGCGACGAAGACTATTCGTCACGTGATACCAACTCGCGAGGTCGCCCTTTTCCGAGCCTTGCCCTGTGGGAACACAGAATATAGCCGTTGCGTGGGGCATACATATAAATGCCATGCTGCCTGTCTCATGCCAAGCAAATATAGTTTGGGCCCCTGGCGTGCATTCTGTACTGCTTGCCTGCTGGTGAGAACGGAGGTGACTGGTTTTTCAATGTCCCAGGTTTGAGGGAGGGAGTGGGGAAGGCTCGGGACGAATTCTTCTCGGAGGCAGGCAGGCAGGCCTAATCCTTGCCGTGGTTGGCTGTAAGCGGGTGAGGCTGTCCAGGACGGTGGTACAATGTGATGTGATGTGATGTGAGGGTATTTGTGGTTTTGCGAGGCTGTACCTATCCAGAGATATGCGTAGCGAGGTCGGTGGACGGACGGGGCTTCTCGAGTCTGTATCTGGCTGGGATGGATCTGGGATGATGAAATGGGCTGACTGGGCCTTCTAGCACGTCTGTGAGGGCAGGGAGGACGTGCTACGAAGAGAAACCGCAGCATGGTGGTGGCGACGGGGAGTCTCGGAGTCTTGGGGAGTTTTTGGGGAGGAAGAGGACGGTAACGTGGTACCTTGGGTAGGTAGGGCGAGATGGAATGGAATGGAATGGCATTGTGTCGGTGGAAAGATTTAATTAAGCCTAGGTAGGTACCAACACTGGCTGGGCCTGTTCGTTACATTGATGGCTCCTATCGTGACTTTTTCCCAAACTTGCCTTGTCTGGAGCTGGGGTCGGTCTTCTAAGAAGAATGGTAGAAGTGCTAGCTTAATTCTGAAACTATCTGGGTACCTACCTGAAGCTACCTAAATACTTGGTTCAGAATCACTCACGCGTGTTGAGGTATATCTATAGCAATGAAATTGCCTTCAGTCGCAACCGGCCTTCCCAGGCAACCAGAGCCCCAGTCTGCCAACCAACTATGTATCTACACTACCTTAAGGTAGGCAGGCCGGCAACCACGCAGCCGAAACCCACGAATGGCGACCTCAACCACTTCAACCTATCCTCCGAGTCGAGGGCACACACACACACGCTATCTGTCTCTTTATAAAGGTGTACCAACCAGCCATGTCCGTGAGTTTTGACAGAAGTCGATTAAACTCAGGACGGGAAGTTATCTACCTCCTTATGTTCATGCAGACCGCCGGCCAGCCTTGAGGATCCATCCATGTGGACAGACAGAGCAGTCCGACGGTCTCCAAGCATGCGAACGAAGGTGGCTCTTAGGTAGCAATGCGTCTCTTACATACATTTAAAGTCATATGATGTGGTTTCGATGATCGTCCGCCGTGTTCCTGGTTATAACGGAAACTGGTGATTCTGTTATAAGCTACTAGTTTTAGTTATACGGCCGTTTTTATAGGAAATCTTAAGCCGTGCCAGTTCTAGGAGGGTACGGTTATTAAGCAGGCGTACACGTTTCATTGGACCAAATTAGGTGCTTTGGAATATAGAAGCGTCGTGCACAAAAAAGCCACTGTTACTTTTCATCACTGTTATCGAGCTTTTCGGCTGCTACCCTCACACCAGGTAGGGACTGGATTAAGCTGCCATCTGGCACTGCTTGTATTCAAAGGATAGACATTGATTACTATACACCTAGGTAGCTAGAAGCTGTCGGGCTCTGAACGATTCTGTCAGGATATCCGACTCGTGACATTCTTCGTACTACTTGTCCCCACTTGTGGCCTAACCGCAGCACGCGCTGGATAGACCGCCATGGAACCGACGAGCCTCCACCATATTTGAAAGGTGCCACTCCAGGATTGCGATCCAGGACGGCCCCCGAGCCAGCAGAACAACATGGAAAGCAAGCACCCACAGCTACCCATGATCAACTCCGCGTAGCAGTGAGATGTCCTCACCACCGAGGCCAACTTGGTCTCACTTGCCAGCCTTCAGACACGTCTCATCACCAAGTTGCAATCGCTCCATGCCCTGACAATAGAAACCACCTGAAGCAAACGATTGCTATCAGCCGCATGGGCTGTAATGCTGATGGGGCTGGTCCAGAAGAGGAGCAAGATCATAAAGCTGGACAAAGGTAGGAAGACGAGGAGTAGGATGATGGACAGACCCGGAAGATACATGTCAAGCTCGTAGAGTGCCCCCCTTCGTAACCAAAAGGCTGGACATGCGGCCTTGCAAGTCGCGAGTAGCGGCTCATCGACCCTCAGGATGTATTGGTCAAGTCCAGCCAGTTGATTGAGGATCGGAACAATCCTTGTGTTGGGCTTGTGGGAACTGAGTAATACGTCTTGTAGCGTACTATATCTGGTATCATCACGAAAACCTGAGAACGTCGTATTTTCATGCTGTGTCTTCCCCTACGAATAGGAAGTAGAACCGATGCAGAGTCCGTATCTCGGTGGGTAGATCGAGTTCTTACGAGATATCGCGTACTCGGCACCAGCTTCCGTCTTTACTCGAACTTCGCGCATGGTGCCACCGGACTTCAACGGCGTATGAGATCGGGCTCGTGGAGTCTGCCGACTGGTTTCTCCTGGCGTATAGAGGATCCTACCGGCTTGTGCCAAACACTTAGTAGTAGCAGATGACCACTGCACGAGCGTATCGACCTATCATTTGCAATCCTCGCATTCGCCCTGTTGCGACTGCTGTTTGTCGTCTACGGACGTAGTAGTATTCTGTATGGGCGCCTCACGCGCCGACGTATCTGTCTTGCTCGTGCCGCTATCTTCGCCAACCTTATCCGGTCCCTCAGCCGAAGAAGATTGGGGTTGTATCTGCGACTCCGGCTGCTTCGTCTTCTTCGAATAGTCCCTATCCACGTGGCCCAGGTTGCGTCCCGGCTCGATCATGTCGCGCACCCGCCGCTTCAGCTCCTTCGTCTCGGGGAAGCCGCCGTCGACCTTGCGGTCCCAGAGTACGCGCTGCTGTACCGAGGGCGCGGACGGAGTTGCGTCTGCTGTAGAGGCAGGGTCTGCTGCGGAGGCGAAGAAGATCTCGACGACGAAGGTCCCGCCTGTGGATGGCTGGAGCGACACTTCGCCGAGGCCGGTCGAGAAGGTCGAGAGGAGCTCCTGGGCGAACTGTGGGCGTTACGGTTAGCCGGCCTATTCTTTCAAGGTTGTAGACGCGTGGGGTTGGCGCGATGCGTCTGCAAGAGTCGAGGAGCTGTAGACTCTTTCTCGCGACTATCACTTGGAAGGGGAAGAGAAAAGAAGGAATTTCGACTTGCGTATGCGGCTCGCAACATCCACTTGCATTGGGTGCAGAAGCGAATGGTGACACGAGGCAGAGGATATGGGGACGATGCGGGGTCTAGAGGCGTCGACGACGGAGGGGAGGGATCAGTCATGATGGGCAGACTTTGCGAGACGGGCAGCTGCCTTGTATGAAGGGATATATGAAAAGGGGTTTTTGGTCTTAGACCTCCAGTTGTTGGTGTTGAATCCCGACTGCTTGGGCTGTTTCGCCTGATGTCCTTCTTGGTATACTTTTTCAATGAAGTTGCGTCATTCTGCCGTCCAAAGTCTAACAACAGAAAGCAGCTGATTGGTCACACTACTTTATAACTTATTTTGTCATGGATCAGTCAGGCCCGGCTGCATAGCACAACGTCAACAGTTCCCGAGACATTTGTGTGGAATAAAGGAGCCTGGAGCTGGCTACTTGCAGGAGGCTATCAGGATATTCGAGACGCTGTGTCATGCCGTGCCCCCGGGACGTGTTTCCCTCTGTGGGACATGGAGCAAGGCTGGCTGTGTGTACTTCACATGGAAAGCATTGATTCTGTCATGTAATCTGGTAATCAGGCAGTCAGCTTGCTAGACTCCAAGTCGTGCATTGATATCGATACTAGGTGCAGGTGAGTATTCCCAGACCGCTACTTGTGGTCGAGGAGGACGGGAGGGTTGTTGGAGTAGACGATATCTCTCGCAGACGTCGGAAGACGGTGGGTGTGCCCCACATCGATTTTCTCCAGGTGGGCTGGTGGGCTTCCGCTTGCTCATCGATGGCCTCACGGACCCGATCTGCAGCTGGGATAGGGAAGGCATATCGCAGCTACATCCCTTCCAATTCGTGGTGCTGGTCGATGGTCGTGGCATCAGAATTGTAAGTCACAACTGAGAACATAAACAGGCTGACCCCATATCGTGCACTCAAGCGGATAGATCTGGAAGTAACAGTCGTAACAGGATTATGCACATTTCATCAAGTAGGTATGGTTGTCGACAAAGGGAAAAGTACAGGGTCGTGAACGAGTAAGATATTACATGCTGAAGAGCTCCCCGAGACCGTGTGTGTCCACTCCTCGGTGGCCGGCTGTCCACCATCCATCCATGAGCCAACCGCCTTGAGCCTGTAAAATAGAAAATATGCCGTGGATTATCGTAAAAGTGCCCAGTATGCGTCTCGAGGCCCCGAGTACTGTGGCTTTTGGGTCTGGTATTTCCGGGCTCCGGGCTCCCTTCCTCTTTACAGCCTCTCCTCTCACCCCCTCACGCCCTCTCGGCAGGCGTACGAGTGCGAGTTCATCGCTAAAATCAGATGGCCAGCCCGCATGCCAGCTTGCCTGCCTGCCAGCCTCGTCGCGACGTGAATCCTAAGAGAAAAAGAGCAAGGCCATCAAACGTGCCCATTCCCCCCACTAAGGTCATGGTAGCTTGACGTATCTCATGGCGCTACATGACCAAGCAGCATCCACCACTTTGTTGAGGAGCATATGGATCCTCGCCCCGTGGCACCGCTCCCCATACCGACGGAACCATGTAGTCTCTTGTGCTGTTGCAGTACGCGATTATGCTGTGTGGCGTGTCAGAAGCAATGTTCGCTGGTGGTTGTGCCATCCACCCGTAGAGTAAGGTCCGCCTCACCTCTTAGCAGCCTGCGATACTGGGATGCGTTCCCGCTCCAAATCCTCCCGCAGCCTGTTGTTGAGCTCGGTCAGACGTCGCAACTTGAGATCGGCCATCGATTGCTTGTTCTTCTTAATTTGCGACGGATCGCCGCCGTCCCTAGACATGTACTGCGGCATTGTGGACGACGTGGTGAATGAAGCGTCGGGGTCTGGTCTGGTGGGTGGTGGGAGCCAAGGGCTGGATGAGCTTCGGCCGATGGAGTGCCTCTCTGACGAGTCTGAGAATTGTGATGTCTAAATGTGGAAAGCAATTGCGGTCAGTCAACCAGTCGGACGGAAAAGACGGATACGCGATGTCGCGTGGAATAGGTTCAAGACTCTGCGTGTTGACACACCCCTATCGATTTGGCGGCGATGGCGCGGATCCTATGTCGGAACCGGACCCCAGGGCAGGAACGCAGGGCAGACATGCACGCAGGTAATTCGGGGCGGGAGAGTTGGCACTCACAGATCAGGGCGATCCCAGGACACGAGGGCGAAGGGCGGAGAGCTTCGGGGCGACTCGGGAGCGCAAGGACAAGGCGGGTGTGGTGGTGGTGGTATGGGTTTCGTGAAGCAGCAACAAGGTGAAGGAGAGAACAGAAGATTGGGAAGTGAGAGAGTTGGCTGGCTCGTCGGTCGCACGGGCAGATTCCAGGAGTCCAGGACTTCACTTCTCGATTCTGCAGCTGCCAATTGGCTGGAAGGGCACCGTGGCAAGGGGGAGGGGGAATTGACTATGGGGCTTCCCAGAGCTTTTCTTGCAGGCTGGGAAATTGGACCCCGTCTGGTGCGTATGGTGGTCCGTGCAGGGCGTCCACTGGGGGAGATCTTCAAGACGGGAATCATCAGCAAAGCGGGAAGGCACTAGCGACTCACGGGCAGTCAGTTGATAGGCGGGCAGTCAGGGCAGTCAAGGCTGTCTATCAGGCCGTCAGGGAGGAGGGAGGGATGACCTGCAGCACCGTTTACGACTCGTACCACGGAGTCACTGGCTATTGAACGCCGGCGGGGGTCCAAGATCGATAGTGGTTCTTTCCGTCCGCTACCTCCACCAGATCATCATCTCCATCACGTCGTCTCCTGGGCAATCGGGCTTCCTGGTCCTGGTAATCACAGACGTCTCAGATAACAAAAAGAGGCTCGCTTATTGTATCATCAACAGTTTGCTGAACCACCCAAAGCCGATGGTAGGGCAAAATAGGCTTGGTAATTCTATGATTATGCACATGATAGCAACTTTTGAAGGATTGCCAGATGCGTCTCGGCTCGCCTCATGCTGATTTCAGAATGCTGCAGTTTATTCGGGTCGGGACCGAGACGCGCTGTAGGCCGTCGCTGTCTGATAACATATCCCAAGATCCCAATATACGGGATGAGCACAACTCGTAAGCTCGTTCGTAATACTGGCCAACGTATTGAGAATGTAAATTCAGGGTGAAGTCGTATTCATTGCAACCTATTGCGTCCGCTTGCCAACCTAGGGAGTTGAGATAGCTTTCGGAAAATACTGAAGACGGACGGATTTCTTGCATGTACCAAATCGCTATGAGTTTCGCAAGTGCATGTGCACAGCGTTGACAGCGCATTAGATGCCGAAATACTGTCAGATGCTTGAACAATACGGGTAGGTAAAGTAGACAATCAGTTGGGATGACGGGAGTTAGGTATCAGAGGCGGATGATTGCAGGCTGACTCAGAAGTCAGAACAGCGAGAGCGTCACTGGAATTGTAGTTGGCTGACAGGTGCTGGCCCCGCCCAAGGCAGCTGTGAAGCCCTGTGATGCGGTCCCAACAGTGCCTCAAAGTCAAAGCCTAATGGTGCCTCAGAGGCCTATCGGAGATAAATCACGTGACACTGCAAAACTTAGCCCGTGCCCCTCGCTCCCACCCAAACCCACAAGAAAGTGGCACAAATCCAAAATCTTCTCTTGTGTGTGCGCTTCGTGCCTCTTTTCCCACGTCAACTCCGGCATCATCAATCTCCCATCTTTGCATCCATCAAGGAGATTGCCCAACATGCCGCCGCCTCCGCACCAGAAGCCGGAGAACGTGTTGAAGCGCGCGCACGAGCTTATTGGTGTCCACCAGGCTCCCGCCGCTCTCACCCTCCTCCATGACCACATCACCTCGAAGCGTTCGCGAAATGTCCCCATCGCGTCTCTGGAGCCCGTGATGCTCCTCTTGGTCGAGCTGTCCGTCGAACAGAAGAAGGGCAAGCTCGCCAAGGATGCGCTCTACTCCTACAAGAACATCGCCCAGAACACCAACATCGCGACCATCGAACTCGTCCTCAAGAAGTTCATCGAGTTGGCCGCCGAAAAGGTCACCGCCGCCCAGAAGAAGGCCGACGAACTACAAGAGAGCATCGAGGCGACTGCCACTTCGAGTATCGATGACTTGGAGGCTACCGAGACTCCCGAGTCTATCCTGCTGGCCACCGTCTCGGGAGAACAGTCGAGGGATCGCACCGAGCGCGCCGTTGTCACCCCGTGGCTCAAGTTCCTCTGGGAAGCCTACCGAACCGTCCTCGACATCTTGCGAAACAATGCAAGGCTGGAAATCCTCTACCAGAGCACTGCTATGCAGGCTTTCGACTTTTGCCTCAAGTACCAGCGCAAGACCGAGTTCCGCCGTCTCTGCGAGCTTCTCCGCAACCATGTGCAGACGGCGGCCAAGTACTCGAGTCAGATGCACGCCATCAACCTCAACGACCCCGATACCCTGCAGCGGCATCTAGAGACTCGCTTTCAGCAACTGAACGTCGCCGTGGAGTTGGAATTATGGCAGGAAGCGTTCCGCAGTGTCGAGGATATCCACACCCTTCTCAACCTCAGCAAGCGCCCGCCCAAGAATGTCATGATGGCCAACTACTACGAGAAGCTCACCCGCATTTTCCTCGTCGGCGAGAACTACTTGTTCCACGCTGCGGCTTGGTCTCGATACTACAACCTTTTACGTCAATCCGCCGCTCTGGTAGCCACCGGGCAAGGCAAGAAGGGTGACAATCCCTCTGCGACCGAGGCTGATCTGCAGAAGGCTGCATCTTTCGTTCTTCTGTCCGCGCTGTCGATTCCCGTTATCAGCACCACGAGGTCACGGGGTGCAATGGTCGACTTTGACGAGGCCAGAAAGAACAAGAACTCGCGTCTAACACACCTCCTCGGCATGAACACTGCCCCCACACGTGCTGGCTTGTTTCGCGATGCTCTCGCCAAGTCCCTCCTGAAGCGTGCCCGCCCCGAAATCAGAGATCTCTACAACATTCTCGAGGTCGACTTCCACCCTCTTTCCATTTGCCAAAAGATCTCGCCCATCTTGGCCAAGATTGGTACTGACGCCGAGATGGAAAAGTACATTCTTCCTCTCCAACAAGTCATCCTTACCCGGCTTTTCCAGCAACTATCTCAAGTGTATGAGAGTGTTGACCTCGCCTTCGTGGAGAGCCTGGCCCAGTTCCCGGAACCTTTCCAGATCACCCGTCCGACTATCGAGAAGTTCATCATGAACGGTAACAAGAAGGGAGACCTGTCTATCCGCATGGATCATGCCACTGGTGTCCTCAACTTTGACAAGGACGTTTTCGCTTCTTCCAAGGCCGTCCACGCCGGCTCAGCTGCTGGCTCTTCTGAGAATCAGACCGGCACTGTTCAGCGTCTCCAGAGCACCCCCTCAGAGATCATACGCACACAGCTTTCTCGCCTGGCAACCACACTGAACACCACCTGCTTCTACATTGATCCCTCATACAGAAAGCGTCAAGTCGATGCTCGCCAAGCCGCTCTGGCCAGAACCAAGGCTGGGGCTGAGAAAGAGCACCACAACACCCTTGCCCGAAAGGAGGTCATTCAGAAGCGAAAGGATGAGGCCTCTGAATTACATGCGAAGAAGGAGAAGGAGAAGGCGAGACAGAAGCGACTCCAAGAGGCAGCACTAGCTGAGGCAGAGGAGCGACGGCTGGCCCAAGAGCAAAAGGATCGCGAGGAGAAGCGTCTCAGAGATGAGCGTGATCGCGTACGTAAAGAGGAGCTCAAGAAGCAGATCGCTGATCTCAAGCTTGGACCAAACTCAGTGGACATCGATGTCGAGAACCTCAATGATATCGACATTCGAGCCATGAAGCTTGCTCAACTCGAACGGGAGAAGAATGACATCAAGGAGAGACTTCGAATCACCGGCAAGCGTATTGACCATCTTGAGCGTGCGTTCCGGAAAGAAGAAGTTAAGAAACTCTCTGAGGATTACGCCAAGCAGCGAGAACGCGACGTGGCCGTCTACGAGGCCATCAAATCGCAGACTCTGAGCGAGACCAAAGAGAAACACAAGGAGAGCGTGGAGCTGAAACACCGTCTTACCCGCCTGATGCCCTTCTACGAGTCTTACAGAAAGTCCCTTCACGACCGTCGCAAGGACGAATTCGAGAAGCGCCAGCGCGACGCCGAGCGGGAGCTCGACAAGCAGATTGCGGCCCGCAAGAAGGAATACCGGGACCGTAAGCTGCGAGAGAAGCGAGAACGCGAGGAACAGGAGAGATCCCTCCAAGAGGCGGAGGAGCGCGCGCAGAGAGAGAAGGAAGAACAGGAGCAGCGCGCCGAACAGAAACGACAGGAGATGTCCAAATTGAAGGAACAGCGAGAAAAGGAGCGCCAGGAGGCTTTGGAAAAGGCTGCCCTGCAGGCGAGGAGAGAAGAAGAGGCCATGCAACGGAAGCAGGCCGAGAAGCAGAAGGGTGGCCTGCCCGAACGCCTCTCGGAGCGCCTGCCGTCTCGTCGCGAGCCAGTGGCCATGGATCGTGTCGACTCGAACGAACGGCCTGCTGGGCCACCTCGTCTCCCACTCCAGGGTGCAGGTGGCAAGCCGTCGTGGCGTGAGCGCGAGCGGGATGCGTCTATGACCGGTGGACCTCCTGCTGAGTCCAACGGACCACCTGTCCGCAGAGCTACGCCTATGGAGCGAACGGAGTCCAACGAGCGTCCCGCATCCACAGGACCCCCTCGTCTCAACCTTTCAGGTAACAAGCCATCTTGGCGTGAGCGTGAGGCTGCCCGGCTAGCTCAAGAAGCCGCAGGCGGCCCCCCGAAGGAGAGCGCTCCTGCAGCCGAGCAGGCCGGGCCATCTGGTGAGGCGCTGAAGCCTTCAGGTGCGCCGGGCAAATGGGTTCCCCGGCATTTGCGTGAGAAATAGGGTTCTGAAGTTTTTGCAAGGACTGGCGTTATGGGGTTCGGCTCACCAAGTCACTTGCCTGTAATGTAGATCTTATGAAAATCGACCGCCCTCAGAATGCCGCTAGCTCTGGATGGACACGTAGTGAGATAATAGGCGTTTTCCGCAGTACAATGTCGATATTTCACCACCAGCCTCAACCGTGCCATGTCTTCGTGATGAAAGTCCCTAAAGTTGGACTCTGTGCGCCTGGTGTTTGAGCCGACTGCTCTTCTCACACTACTGACCGCGTCGCCGCTTCCCTCCAGGGGCTCGCGCGGAGCGGCCTGTTGCATGACATCTTGGTGTTCTCCCATGCTCTGCCCATAACTATCATCAACTCTGAATGCTCCCAACCACACGCCCTGTGCTTATGAGGACACCTTCTGGTATGGAGACCTAGGAAGACGAGACCACAGGTGAGCAGTAGGCTACCAGCCGCGGCACCCCTAGGTATGCCGCCCCTCATCCTCTGATCATACGATCTCCTACGATTCCTCTTGCTAACAGCAGACAGACGCCCGTTTCCACGGCCTAACCCAGTTCAGCGTATACTAAGGCCTCTGGAACGCCTCTACTCGCGACTTCGAACGGGACATCCTCCCCGTGTGCGAAGTTGGAGGCATGGGCATCGCTCCCTGGGGCGCTTGCGTATGTGATGCATAAGACGCCCTACGTCTTCCCAGTTGCTGGAGGGCGTGAGATCGGTCATCTGAAGGGCCCTCACGACGTCGGACCTGCTCTCCGAGATACAGGGCCGGCTCTCGGTTCTGCTCGTGTGTCTTGTCACATATAGCTCATTATCAAGTCATACCATACGTACTTGCAGTGGAGGCTATAGCATCACGGCTTGAAAAACACTGACACATGAACAAGAAGAACATTCAGTTGCTGCTCTGTTTCTCCGATCAACCTCCAAACTCCAAACTCTAAGCTCAACACCATGTCACTCAAGAACGTCGCCGTCTTCGGGGCGAACGGCCAACTCGGCCAAAGCATCACCAATGCCCTGCTCAAATGCAAGAAACAGACCTTCAACGTCCTCGCAGTAATCCCACCCGGCTCGCAGGAGCCCACAGTGCCGAGCTCGTCGAACTACAAATGTCAAACCATCGACGTACTGACAGCATCACGCGATGAACTCAAGAGTGCTCTGAAGGAATCGACGCTGTCGTCAGCGCGCTCAACAGCAAAGCCTTGGATTCCCAAGCCAATATCCAGGATGCAGCCGCCGACGCATGCGTCAAGCGCTTCTATCCCAGCGAGTACGGCTTCCACCAGACTTACCACAAGCCAGGCGACGACTGGGGCTACGTGCACCCGATGTGGGACTGGAAGGCCAAGACTATCGAGGCGGCTCTGCTGTATCTATATTGTTTTTATTCATTTTAATGTTAATAAATATTAGAATAAGTGAATTACAAAGTAATACTAGTACCACCCGGCCGTCGATTCTGAGAAGATGAGCTACACGCTCATCGGCTGCGGCGACTTCTACAACCAGGGCCGCGAGGCTATATGGTGTCCGTGGACGCAGCACGATCCGCCGAACGGCACGTATACCTTCCACGTCATCGGTCCGCCCGGCGCAGAGAAGGCGAAGGCGGACTTCACGCACATCGACGACTTTGCCAACTTCCTGGTCGCCACGCTGTGCGAGCCAAAACTATCAGAAAACGCGCACCTTGTCAAACAGAGCGTGGGGGTTTTTGGATGGGTGAAAACGTCTATTCTGGTGTAATCCGTGTTCTTGCTGTATCTCTGTGAAAATCCTTCTGTGGGCTAAGTGGCCCAAAAATGCCCTATCGGCCTTGTTGGTGCACTGCCACCTCCCTGAACGCCACGGTGGCTTGCGCGCCATTCAACACACCTCAACTTCGTCAGCGACACCGTCAGCCACGGGGAGATCGTGGCCTTGCTGGAGAAGTACAGCGGGAAGAAAGTCAGGTTCGAGAGGTACGGCGAGGATGACATGCACCGTATCGTGGCGAAGCCCGATAGTGCGCCGGATGAGCTGAGGCAGAGCGCTTTTCCCGTCGACTTCTGGTTTTTGGTTAAGGGTGCGCAGGGTACGGGGACGTTTCGGAGGCCCGGGGCGAGAATAGTAATCGTCTCTTTCCGGACGTGAAGGTGACGACGTTTGACGATTGCTTGAAGCTACACCACAGCGGAACATGAGTGAGTGGACGGAGGTGCGTGAGCAGGCGAGAGGAGAGATGGCGGAACATCCTATGTGAAGGTCGAAAGCCTTCATCATCCCATTTCTTGTCCAAGACGTCTGGTAATGCTCTCAGGGCGTAGGCGAAGAGCGTATCTTAGACGAACAATATCGGGCATATGGTACCGTTATGTTTAAGGGTTACTACAATCAGCGATGCATACCTACCAATGCCAAGCAGTACGTAGTGCAATCCTTCCGATAGCCCTAAATACACTCAACCCCTTTTTCCAACGGCCGCCAAGCCTACACGAAACACGGCTTCAACCTCAAAGCCAGGCAAGCTTGAGAAAGAATCGAAGGCTGAATCGAGGATAGGGCTTTAGCCTTGGTGGCACTGATGAGCTGGCCCTACCATTAGAAGTTTGTGCCCCTTCGAGCAACGGTGTGCCTCTAGTATGAACGAGTAGCTTGCCCTAATGACACTTTGAGGGTATTTTGAGTATTGAGTCCTGAGTCTTTTGATTAGAGCCCCTATCATTAGACGTATGATAGGAGCATATAGGATATATGCAATGATTTGTTCACTTGCAATGGATTGCTGTCACGATGCATGCTTGGAGGCGATCTAGAACATCTCATCGGGGAGTCCGAATCATGTCAGACTTGGACATCGCAGGTCCTTGCCAAGGTAGCTTACGGACAACCCTGTCTGCAGTGTTGCGGAGTCGTTTTCGTTGGAGGTAGGCAGGGAGGTAAACACTTTCTTCTATATGTGCCAGGATCTCCCATCCATGAGTTGTTTCCCTACAAGACGAGTCACGAGATTGATCCCCAGGGAGAGCGTTGTCACGTCTCGGAAACACTATGACGTGCCTTGCTGGAGACGCCCGAAAGCAACTATTAGCTTCCATCAGAGGCTCCGAGGTCGTTATCCCAGACCTACAGGAGATGATGAGACATTGGCCTGCCAAGGCCCATCCCGATATCAGGAGACTGGGGGCGGAAGTTGATGCGATGATACACCCAGTCGATCCCCTGCTCATGCCTTGCATCACTGATTATACTCACTTCTAAAAAATCAACAACGACTTCGAAAGATGGAGGTTTCAGACTTCTCCTTGTTTGGGGCATCCTGGTGGCCCTACGGATCATTCGAGGCATTGCGCATTGCAACTTGGTTAGGGATATGGGTGAGTTGCGTTGGCTGTTATTGACTTGTTACTGACCATGAAGCTGACATAGCCACGAGCTCTTCGCGTGGGACGACGGTAAGAGATCACACCGTGATGTGCCAGTATAAAGTTGAAGGGGTTTAGAATGCAATACGACTGAGTTCTCGTCCCTGATCAACGATTTTGAGAAGTCGTGTCAGATGAGAAGAGACACTTTAGTATTTGGAAGCATGTCTATCAGGGAAGACGACGGATCTATCCCAGATCTCGAGCAACCACTTCATCACCTCCTTCCGGCCGGTTGGAGAGGCTATCGTGAAGAGCTACGAGAAGGGTGAACATGTCTCCCGAAGTCCCCCACATGTCTAGCTAATTAGGCGCCAGACCAGTTGATACCGTCTTGTGCGAATGCGGCTCTATATCAAAGGGGTTGAAGAGGAGTGAAAGCTCCAGATGAGAGATGAGCTTCCTTCCACCGACGAGTACCTGGCTCATCGACTGGGAGGTACCAGCGCGGTCGGCGTGCTTTTGGCCATCCAAGAGCATGTTAGAGCCGCTTGATGAGAGCTGAACTGGGACGAGGCAGAGCAGCGTGTCTTTCTTTGCATTCATTCCGCTGCCACGGCAAGGAGCGGGTGGTTGGGTGGAAGGGTACTTGTACCTAAATGGAAAAAGTTCTTCCCAAGGAAACAAGCAGTGTCCTCGTGGCGTGGTTAGGATAAGTAATTTCACGTTCGGTATGGCCAGGCCTTAGGGTACCGAGTTCGAACCGAGCAACTGGGAGACCAGCGGTTCGAGCAGTGATCGGAGATCGTTTCGGCTGGCTTGTTTCCGCCCCAAACAGAATTCTTAAAAATCAAGAATTCATTGTTTTGGCCTCTGCTATGCTGTCCGAGCACAATCGTAATCATCCCACATATTGTTGACAATCAGCAGGTATGACCGGCGTCCACATACCCCCAGACGTAATGCAAAGCAAGCCAATGAAGACCACTTGGCACGCAACCGACACCAATATATCAGTGCAAGTAGTCATAACCCCCCAAAGCTGGCGTTGAGTCTAATGGCAGCCTTAGGGTCAATGACATGCTGTCACTCAAGAAGGAGGTGGTAAGTTTAAGCCAAATGCTTTTAGACGACCCTCGGAAGCTTACGTCTCCCATCGAAAGACCAAGGCCAGACCGATACACTGGTCCCCCTGTTGTTCCTGCAGCTCGGGTCCGTACAGGCGGCTATAGACGAGGCCACGGCCATGGTGCAGTCGTGAGACTGTCCGCCAACTTGACGAAGCTGCAAAAGAGATGTTGGAGCGTCATCCCGCTTCGCCAGAGCTTCGTGAAGACCTCAGCAGGTTCATCGACGGGTGCAGGCTATACGGCCAACCTCAACTGGGGGTGAGCTATCCTGTCCCCTTCACACACCCAGGAGAATTGTCTAATCGTTGGCAATAGGCTAGCTTCGAAACGATATGAAATCATGCTGAATTCGATGAAGGGTGGAGTGCACATCACCCTGTAGTATCTCATCCGTGGTTCATACCGAGGGTAAATTGTGAAATAGGCAGGAAGGCTTGTATCTACCAACAGTTGAATTAATAGAGCGCGCATCAGATGGACCAATAGATCGGGATCATGTATGGGGTTCATTGCGTTGGGGTGGAGATCGGGATGCCGCCTGGCACAATCCCAAACGGAAGCATGATGAAGAAAAGCTTTCCAAGAAGAAGTAATTGGTATACCGGGCGCCTCAACGAGACGACTGTATCCATGTGCGGCATGGCACTGGTATTGGTTACAGTCCCTCGACCTCGCACAAGATCGACCCTCGGCACGGGGCCAGCTCATTGCCTCCAGCTGGGCGAAGATAGAATAGTGCACAATGAATGGAACCCAGATACTGTGGTGGTCGAACTGGATGTACAAGTGGGTTTGACATTGGTTATATCTGTACCGTGTGCCTCCATTGCTCTGCCCATCTTGATTCCCAATGGCTTGCAATCTCACAGAGCGCTTAGTTTCCTGTTGACCTGTCGTTCGGGCTTGTGCAACAGTGGATTGAGGAGCATGTCTACACACTTGTCTTGCATGAGGTTTTGATCGGCTCAGGTGATGGTTATAGCTACGGCCAGCTATCCTGAAGTAGCCCAATAGCCCAGTATTTCACATGTTTTCAACATTCTCATCTCAAACGCGAAACAATACCTATCCCGTAGGCCGCGCCCTGACCCGCGGTGCACCCTCCAGCTCATTGCAATAGCAAACAGCCGAGACCTTGACGCCCTTCCTCTCCTTAGCCACTGCAGAAGCCAGCAGTTCGAACCACTGCACGAACGCGGCCATGTCGACGGTACCAACCGAGCGCATCCCCTGGAAGTCATCACACTGATGAAAGCCGAGTCCGTCCTTGGGCAGGTCTGGATGGCCTTGCGGTACGTCGAAGTGCAGCAAATGCCAGGGTACGATCGCTGACACCTCCCGAAAATGCGGCATGGAACGGACTAGATGCATGAACTTCTTGATGTCAGCGAACGGCCCTATGGTGTTGGTGACGGCCAGTCTGCAGATTTTGCTCAGCCAGGGCAACTCCTCGGCAGACATGGCCGGGTCGGTGTTGATGGCCGGCGCGTCAATCTGCAGGAGGCCCAGCTCGAAGTTAACAATAGCACGCACGGGGCCGTGCCAACGTCGACTGGTCATGGTCAAAGTCATGGGTCGCCGAAAGTTCAGCTCTTCGTGTTGGCGACAGTACCTGATGGCGGCAAGGAGGGCCTCGCGGTTGATCAAGGGCTGGATGCTTGGCCATGGACCCTTTCGTTTTTTTGCCCTCCGTGCAGCACTGCGCTTCCCCTTCGCACATCTTATGGACGAGCTGCATTGTATGGCGTGACATAAAATGGTCTCAGCGTGGCGAAGTGTGTGGCACTTCAGATTTCCTAACTGGGTGTAGGAGCGGTGACAGTATCTGCACCGGTACCTCGATCCGAATCGGAAGCCACTGCCGACAAGTCAACAACCTTCCCTACTGGTCAAGCCCAGGGGTTCGGGAATTCTTGTTCACTTACTCAGAGAGTTGGCGCTGAATGACCGATTCGAGGCAAGCCAGGTTCCCACAGCTGAACAGATGGCCGCCGCTGATGGTAAGTAGGCGGGGAGAAGCGAACTTGTTGGCAAAATGGAGTTTCTAGATTGCATGCCGGATCTCAGGGGGGAGCAGATTGAACAGGGTGAAGACCTTTGGAGCCGCGGCCGCTTTTGTCATGGACCGGGTGACTCGGCGTGTGCAGACGGGGCTTGGAGACATCTTCCCTGGTTTTCCAGTTCGGACTTGAGGGGATTCAGAGATGAGTTCCTGCGACTTGAGCGGGAAGACGTCGTTTTGTGTGCAAACCCCTGCCCGCTGCGCGCCAAGATGACGCCCAAGATGGCCGGAAAAAGCAACTTCGCGGCGCTACTTATTCTCGGCTCAGCGCCACTGCACTGCGAATATTCCTTGTCGTTGAAGCCAGCGCGGCTACTCATGATCGCAAAATCCCACCAGGACATCCATCTCCAGATTCTCGTCTTGTATAAAAGTGTCCAGCATAATATCCAGTGACTGGCCTGTTCAAACATCTCGCTCGCCTATGTTATGCACTCAACCAAGGAAATCAGGGATGATTGAATCATCTACCTACCCAGGTACACACCTAACAAAGATTTCCTGGGGCACGTATACTAACCTCCAAAAGTTTGCGTAAACCCCTTTTAAAACCAACTAGGGCGGTATTTTTAATGAGTTAGATAAACACTCTGGAATAAACATCAAAGAAGACTTGTTAGGTCAGAGCCGCTTAATCCATGGTGCTTATTCCACGAAGATGGATATGACATTGATGCCCAAGAGTTGATTGAGGCATGCCCTACCCAGACTTCTGGGTGGTGACTGTATCAAACCCCTTCAAACCAAGGCGTAACATTGACTATACATAGCAACTTCCAACTAGAGAGCAACTGTTGTGTGGTGCCATTATCTGACAACGAAACACATGGGTACACGGTCACAACCTGATACTGAAAGGGACAGTCCAAGAAACGACCGATCGCACGAGACAGGAGCCTGCTGCAGCAGAGGGGCGCCACCCCTTTACTTACTCACTAAACTACGCCTCCTCCTCTGCCTTCCTCTCCGCCTCCACTATCCTCTTATACCCAACCCAATCATCACTCCGCGGGAACTCCATCTCCGGCACATCCACCCCCAGAAACTCACAAATAGGCCCCCACCCGCTCCCAGCATCATACTCCAGAAACCTCCTCCTCCTCCCTCCCCCTTCCCCACCCGCAGCCGCAGCAGCCTCGCGCACACCCTCATCATGCTCCCGAAACGCCCGCCGCCCATGCGTCGGCAGGTCGTTCCCCCAGCAGTGCCGGTGGTACCGGTCCGCCATGGGCGCCAGGAGCGACGTGTTCGGGTTGGGCCGCGTCTTCTGGTACGTGTAGCTGTGCCAGATCGTGCCCTCCATCGACGCCATCCACGCGTCCTCGGGCCGCGTGGAGAGGATGATGGCGGCCTCGGGGTACGCGGCGGTCAGGTCGCGGGCGAAGATGGCGGCTGGGTAGTCGGCGAGAGCCTTTGTTTGCATTAACGTTGAGTTGTGTGAGCGACGCGGTCTGAGCAAGCTTGGGGGTGGAAGGGTTGGTGACTAGTTGCTGGGAAGCGAGAGGACCTGAGGATTACCTATGAAGTCCTTGCTCGCGCGTGTACGGGATAGGAAGGGGCCCTTGGGCTCTGGGAAAACGTGGAAAAGGAGGAGGGCGAGCTGATCTCGTACTTGCCCAGTATTTGGTCGAATCTCTCCCGGTCGAAGGGCTCCCCTTTGCCTTCGAATTTGGCGTCTAGAGCTTCGACCCACAGATCCTGATGGTTGTTCTTGCCGACTTCCCGCATGTGGTATACGGGAGCTATGCCGAGCAACTGGAGTGCATCCGCGATGGCTTGGGTGTAATTGTGAGCCCCGGTTTCCTTGGCTTTCAGGGGGAATGACACACATTGGGTGCCCGTGCGGGGCATCCCGAGGACGAGAACCTTCATTCTTGATATTGCTTGGCTGAGCAGAGACCGTCTGAAAGGTGACACTGATAGAAGATTGGTATTTTGTGACAATCTTGACATGTAATCATATATTATTTATGCTGCGGTGAGCACATGAGAACGATGGCGGCACCTCTTGGCCCCTGAAGCCTCGTCCCGAGTTCTCCCGAGAATCTGACCTTCCCACCCTTCTCATCCCAAGTTAGCAACTCGACAGAAGTTGACGTCAAGAACAAGCCGAAAAACAAAACCCGTGACCAAAACCTCGCATACATATCCTCTACCTCCCAAATCCAGTTCTCATTCATCGACGCACACACAACCTCCATCACGTATTCGAGATTTCCCCCAAGCCCGAGTTGCTGGCATAGTAGCGGACGAAAGAGCGAAGGAAAGAACATGGCACGTCTCCCTCTGTTACAAAGCGTCACATAAACTACTAGCCCGGAACCACCGTAACGAGAACTGGGGCACTACACTACTTGAAGACACATGCGGACACAGTCAAGGACATCGGACGGACCACATACCCATGAACAGATTTAGTTCCAAGGACTAGGTCTGACATCTTCCGTGGGTGGCTGGACCTTCTCGAGAGAGAAGACCCTGAGTAGTCTGCAAGGCCGAAATACTCGGGGAACATCATCTCACGTACCACCTGTGATGTGGGCAAGGCACTCGGGCACGGTCCTCAGACTCTTCGCAGAGGCGCGGAACCCAACTTCCCTCACGAGGACGCTTGGGATAGAGTGGTGGTAAATGGCGACCTGAGTGCAGTCGACATGCGTGTTCATAGATGGGACCCATTTTTGCGTCATGGGGCCGTTACTTCTTCACCACACAGGTTGGCGGCTTGGGTCTGGGCCGTCCGAATACTATCCGGGCGATGAAGTGTGGGCGTTAAGAGGTGTTGCAAACGCCTTCAAGGCCGAATGCTATGCTCTGTTACCTTAGGCAATGGATCAGGTACCAACGTACCCGGTACGGCCACAAGCTGACCACGAGGAAGACTACGATCGTGAGTCTCCCAGGTCTGCTACCCTGTCTCTGAAGAAATATCAAGTTGACCGCAATGCCTACGAGACATGGGGCAGAATCTCAGCGATCTTGACGGTGTAGAAGAGCCGGCGATCAAGTGGTCCCTTTGATCAGACAAGTCAAGCCGCTGCGACAAAGGTCGACCTTGGCACGATAACTCACAGGCTACAGCTCGGACGAACGAGACGCAGACCCTGGGGGCCGGATCCGTGACAGTCGTAGATGGCAGGTGCCCCTATCCGGGGATCCAACCCTCCTGCAAGGCCTCAGAGGCACGTTTCTTGCTCGCGAGGCCTTCGATGAATACCACGACATGTTTCTCAATGCGCCAGCCGTCGAGGCCGCGCAGCATGAGCCAGCGGTGCATTGCACGGGACCCCCCTCTTGCGCATCGCCGGCCTCTTTCGTGGCGTCCATAGACTCCGTTCCCTTCAGGATTAGCTAGAAACCGCTTGAGATGCTGCAGGCACATATTTCAAATGCGCGGGTGGCGTTCGACTGGGTACCCCGAGATCTGGTTGCGAGGAACCAATCCAAGGCTATATATCACGGATTGCCAGTAGGTAGTGACCGTGCGCGTGACATGGGATTCGTACCTCTGAATTAGTATAGCTGTTTGGCCATTGGTTTGGTTAGGTACTGATGATATTCATATTTCTCCTCTGCGCACGCAGCATGAATGTCTGATCAGACGAGTTTGATGAAGACACGGATGAAAAGCAAAGCGCTGGAGAAGCTCCTTGGTATGAGAGACTGGCAGCCGAATTTCCGAGAGGCTCCCGTTCGAACTCATTTTCAGAAGCATCTCTAATCAACTGCATCCGCCTGTCCTCGGTGCCTGTTCACGCACGTGCGTCTGCTATGAAGACTTATTAGCACTCAAAAGTTAGCTAGCTTATGGCATACCCGAGTATCGGACAAAGGGATTGTTGGATGTTCCCATCCATTGGATAGCTTCAGATGCTGAATAATGGCGTGGGAGCCGGGATAACGTGATGTCGAAAATTAATGGAAGCCGCGGCCAGCGGTTCGGAAGGTCAGCCAAAGAAAGCTGCCCCGCTAAGATTATTCATTTCCAAGCTCGAAGCACTCAACCGCCATCACGCCCGACAAGTCCCTTCCGAACCCGCGAGACTCCCGATCTTGATTGCCTCTGCCTCCACTCTGTACCACCTGGGAACGAGCTTCGAAAATCGTCTGGGACAAACACCATGTTCCGCCACAGCGTCCGGCGGTTTGCGACGACGGCAGCGCGCAGAGCCGCAGCCGCGCCCGCAGCCGACCCGTCGCCGTATACGCTCGCCGTCTCCAAGGCGCAGGGCGTGGCAAAGGGGTTGACCGGTGGTACGCAAGCAAAATCCCGTCTCTCATTCATACAATGTGCCATTTCCTCAGCTAACGCCCCCGCCCCCACCCCTCCAAACAGCCATAGGCAACACGCCCCTAATCCGGCTGAACAAGCTCTCCGCCCAAACCGGCTGCGACGTGCTCGGCAAGGCCGAGTTCATGAACCCGGGCGGGTCGGTCAAGGACCGCGCAGCGCTATATGTCGTCCTCGATGCGGAGGAGCGCGGCCTTCTAAAACCGGGCGAGCGCGGCACCGTGGTCGAGGGCACGGCGGGCAACACGGGGATCGGACTCGCGCACGTGTGTCGTTCGCGCGGCTACGACCTGGTCATCTACATGCCGGACACGCAGTCGCAGGGCAAGGTCGACCTGCTGCGCCTGCTGGGCGCCGAGGTATACCCCGTGCCCGCCGTCGCCTTCGACAACCCGCAGAACTACAACCACCAGGCGGCGCGGCACGCGGAGCGCCTGCGCAAGGAGGCACCGGGGGGAAATGGCAAGGCGGTCTGGACGAACCAGTTCGACAACACGGCCAACCGCCGCGCGCACATCGAGACGACGGGCCCGGAGATCTGGGCGCAGACCAAGGGAAAAGTCGACGCCTTCACGTGCGCGACGGGCACGGCCGGCACGCTCGCGGGCGTGACGCGGTACCTGAAAGACGTCTCCAACAGCCGCGTCAAGGCGTACCTCGCGGACCCGCCCGGCAGCGTGCTGCACTCGTACATCCAGTCGGGCGGCAAGCTATCCGAGCGCGCCGGCGGCAGCATCACCGAGGGCATCGGCCAGGGCCGCATCACGGACAACCTGGCGCCGGATTTGGGGTTACTAGACGGCAGCCTGCACATCGCCGACGCCAAGAGCGTCGAGATGGTGTACCGGTGCCTCGACGAGGAGGGCCTGTACCTGGGCGCCAGCAGCGCGCTCAACGTCGTCGCCGCCAAGGAGGTCGCCGAGCTGATGGGGCCGGGCCACACCGTCGTCACCATGCTGTGCGACGGCGCGTATCGGTACGCCGACCGCCTGTTCTCGCGGAAGTGGCTCGAGAGCAAAGGCCTGCTGGGGGCGATACCGGAGCATCTTACCAAGTACATCGTGCTGCCGTAGTGCCAAATTAGACAAGACAAACAAGAAAGAAAGAAAGCCTGAGAAAGAAGATATGCGTGAACTCTGACTGCAGATAACGGGATTCAGCGCTTGTCATTTGACCAGTTGGGTGATGATGGTAAAGCTCGGTGGATAGGTCTTTGTATATATGTACAGTATATGGGGGGTGGTATTACAGCCGTAATCTTTTCTGCAAGAAGCGTTTTGGCCCCTTACTCTACAGTAACATCGCGTTCGGGTAGGGGCTCCAAATCGTACACTCTGCGGTATACCTGCTCTCCTCTGCCGCCCCTTCCAGTCACGCCCGCCTCTCGCGCCTCCTGGACCTCGGCCGCCAACGTATCGTGCCGGGAGCGCAGCTGGTCCGCAAGTTGGGGCTCGACAACCTGGATAGCCGTCTCGAGACCGCGCAGAAGCGGCGCGGCCAAGACGACAAACTTATTCGGCTCCACCAAATAGCCCAGCTTGTCGTGGTCCTGGTACAGCTGCGCCGGCTGCAGTTCCTTCAGCTTCCGCCCCTGGGGCCACAACCTGACGATGTCAGTCGCGTGTTTGGTGACCATCTCGCGCACCTCGTCGCCCGCGTCGTGCCTCGTTACCATGGCGGCGGCGAGGTGCAGCGGCGCGGCCAGGACCATGGGGTCCCGGCTCAGGGGCAGCTCGCCGTCGAGCGGGGGGTCGTCCTTGCGCCGGCGCGGCTGGTGGCCCTCGTCCTGCAGCATCTCGAGCACCATCTCGGCCCAGCGCAGCGCCTGCGCGGTCTGGTCCGCATCCCACCTCGAATCGACGGCCTTCATCTGCACCCAGTGCAGGACCTCGTTGGCCTTCTCGCTCGAGTCGAGCTTGAACCCCGTGCGGCGGACGCTGCGCGCGCAGTCGATGATGTCGTAGATGCGGCCCTTGGCGCCGACGACGCGCAGGATCTTGGTGTGGAAGGACGGGTCGAACTTGCGGTTCGCGTACGCGATGCCCTCGAGCAGCGGCTTGAGGTTGAGGAAGTCGTCGCTCGTGTCGAAGAGCTGGATCGCCTGCATTACCGACCGCCGCGTCTGCGGGATGTCGCCGTTGAAGGGGTTCATGTGCCGGAACTTGAGCACCTCGCCGTCGATCTCGATGATGATGGGGTCCGACTGCAGCTTCTTCTCGTGCTTGGGCGAGTAGATCTTCTTGCGCTGGGCGAGGGGTAGGTACGACGGTAGGATGATCTTGTGGCGGATGGTGTTTAGGAGCTCGTCGAGCGCGGGCTTGCCCGTCGGCAGGAAGTGTGTGATTTGCGCTGCAGGTCATGCCGGATCAGTATGTGTTGGTTGACCATGGACAGGACATGGTAGCTTCTCCGGATGAGTATATATACCATTTCTCTGAGCTGTCGATGTGAAGCTCCGCTGCTGGCCAGCTATTATCCTCCTGGCCGTGACCTCGAAAGCGCCATTGCTTGCGCAAAAGGCGCCCAACACCGTTTTTCTCGACATGCCGGCTGTTGTCGCGCAGATTCCGTCTCAATCGTCGTAGCTGGGGCTATATGTAACTTCGCATGGCAAGGCCGGGCCAATATGTGGTTCAGTCAGTCGTTAAATGCTGGAGGTCTCCCCGGGACAGACGGGACCCTGCATTTGAAGCTCCGGCTCCTTCATAAAAATTCCAGGTCGCGGCACGGAGCAGCTGGCGCCAAGACCCGACCGCAACAACTTTCCTCCACCTTAATTGACCTGCAGGCGTTGGACCCCTGCAAAGGATACCAGCACCTACAACTCCAAAGATTTCGATTTCAGTTATCCATTGTAGCTTCGACTTCGTCTCCAGTCGGGACAGCGAGGTGACAGCACACACCACACCACACCATGATTACACAAGCAAGCCGGCGGCCCCTGGCCAGCTGGAAAGCCGTTCTCCGACGCACACGCCAGCAACGACAGCCGCTGCTGCTGCGCTCAATGGCCACCGAGACGACGCCGACGACACCAACACCAGGTGCAGCTATGCCCATACCACCACGGAAGAAGCCTACATTCCGTGAGCCACCACTTTTCCTTCTTCACGGTTCACCGACTCAGGACCCTACACTACGAAAGAACGAGAGAACACCGGCTGACATGTCACTAACTCCCGTCCCAGACACCATAAAATCCAACCTCCCGCACAAGCCAATCCGCACCGCCTTCGCCGTGTACCCGCGCCCGCCCTCCTCGCGCTCCACCACTCCCAGCCCACTCATATCCTACCACGCGCAGCAAATCCGGCGTCTCGACCGCACGGGCGCGCGCACAGCGCTCTTCTCCAAGTCGAACCCGGACGCCGCGAAAGCCGGCGACGTCTTACAAGTAACCACGAACCGCGGCGAGCCGTTCGCCGGCGTGTGTCTGTCGATCCGTCGCGCCGGCGTCGACACGGCCATCTTGCTCCGAAACCATTTAACGAAAGTCGGCGTCGAGATGTGGTACAAGATCTACAGCCCCAACGTTCTCGGCATCGAGATCATCTGGCGGCGGCCGAAGCGCGCGCGCCGCGCCCGCCTGACGTACATGCGGAAGCCGAGCCACGACATGGGTAATGTCGATCACCTGGTCGAGGCCTGGCGCCGCACGCGCAACGTGTTTAGTTCCAAGGGCAAGGGCGCCGCGAGCAATGCCGGCCGTGCTGGGAAGCATGCCAAGAAGGGTAGGAGGTAGAGGGTTGCTAGATGGGGGGTCTTTGAGCGGCTTGTAGGATGAGATGGCAGATGAAAGAGAGGGGACGTGTGGGCGAGTGGGTGGGCAATCCCTGAGTTAACGGAAGAAGTTGCGGAACATCGCTGGACATTAGGGCAGCGATTGAAGGTGTAAAAGCTGTACACAAACCTGTAGACATGTACTACCACAACTATACGAAGATTGGTCTGAACAGCCTCCCCTATCGGGTATCAGTATTCTCCATGGTCTCACGTAGACTGGCATATTTTGGGCACTAAGCAACCCTCCGTCGGAGTCCTGAAAAAGGGGGCACCCAATGACAGGTTATCCCCATACCTAACTTCAGCGAACTGCCAATACATACATCGAATTATGTATAACGCAGCACAGTCGAATCTAGAAAGACGCACTGTTTTCTACTCCATACGCAAGGTGCTTTATGAAGGTCCATTCCGTGCTGACCGGGCAAGAAGTTTGGGTATACAAGCCCTTCTCCAAGCCAAACACTGCCAAAGCAACCATTACGACACCAGTCGATTAATATAATAAGCCGGAAGAGCAGCTCCAGGCATCCCAATATATAAGATGATGCTACCATACAAGGTCCTTTCCATAGGGCGATTAGAACTCCCCGTAACTCCCTGCTCTGTTCCCGTGACAATAAGTATAGCGAAGTAGATGACAACCCCGGGTCCCCGTGGTTTGCACCTCTCTGATAAGAAAAGCAATGCAGTGTATATATGCCAAGCGTAAGCCTCCATCTCTAGTACCGTATATATCTCTATTCCAATGACGCCTCCCTGATCGTGCTCGCCCTCACTTCAGGTATATGGGAGTTGTATCATCCAGTACTCCCTAAATACCATTGCACCCGTCTAACATCCTGTCCCTGCCTGTCGCGCCTCCACCACGTGTTGTGGAAGGCTGGTGGCGGTGATTGAGCTTGTGGTCTATGTTCAAACACAGACTCACGGACCTGCGAAGGTTCTGATCTCGCTCGGCTCGGTTGTCTTGCAGAAGCCGCAATTTCTGTCTGTTCTGGCGATCTCACCCAGCCCATAGTGCTTCGCCTCCACTAGTGGTCAAAAGCCGGCTGTGTTTCAGCCCTCCGAGGTCTGGTGGTCGGCGAAACCGGTGGTTCATCGGCGTTCTCGTCGCTCGCCGGATCTGTTGTGACTTTCCTCAAAGACATTGACCTGCCAAAACTCACTGTCTCCGACTTGGCTACTGAGTGGTGGGGATAGGCTGGACCAGGATGCAAGAGTCCCGTAAACACATTCCGGTGGTCCACGCTACGAGTTCGGGCCCTCGATAGACTCATGGGCCGACCGGAGAGGCCTCCAGCTGACATGGTCGACATGCGACGTTGGAGCCTCAACTCGGCATCCTCGTCCTCCTTACGATCGAGATGCTCGCTGGGCAGCAGTACAGCGCGGTCAAGGCCGTAGGGTAGTCCACGATGACGGCCGCGAATCATCATGGCAATAATGACCAGCTTTCCAATGACGGAAAATTGCGAGCAGAGGGACGCGTTGATGCCCGTATATCCTAAACTCAACCCAACAGTGCCGTAAGCACTGACAACCTCGAAAAGTACAGCAAACATGCTGAAGTCGCCCGATGTCAGACGTGATCCCTCGGTAATGGTGAGAATGAAATAGCCAATAAAGATATACCACAAGTCGAAAGATAGCTGGCGACGCAAATGCGTTCCCACGTAGGACATGCCGCTCAAATTTTCGGTATCCTCGTCCGCGCTGTTAAAGACGCCGAGCGACTTCTCTTCGTACACGTTGGTCCTGCGGATGGAGATAGCGACAGGGAAGACGGAGATATACATCATGATCAAGTATGAGGTTTGGACTGCAGGATGGATCAGGGCGAGGTTGATGCAAGAGAAGCCGGCAGTTCGAGTCGACGCAGCTTGGAACCACCCGTCCAAGAAACGGATGTTTAATGGAAGCTCGGCGACGGCACCAGAGCCAAGCTAGGGATTGTCAGTAATAGCATCGGTAGTCAGACACGAGCGAAAACTTACATCGAGAACGATGAACAGAATCAGATCTATACCGTTGAGGGCGACCAGAATGAAGAAGAGCCACCAATTAGCATTCGAAGGGAATAACAGCGTAAAACACCGCCGCGGATGGTCGAGCAGGAATCGAAGTTCCTCCCACACACCAGACCCACGAGGCGCGAATACCGAGCCTAGCCAAATCATGAAGCGCAGCATAATAGGAAACCCGGTGTTTCCGAGTATGATAAGGAAGGACATGACGAGCAGGGGGAAGATGGCCGTGTTGAAGGAGTTCATGCTGTCGGGTGTCAAAGTGAAACCGAGGTCCATAAAGGCGGAATTGGATGTCCAAAAGGCCCACCAAGTCCTGTTGACGCCAGCCGCGTCGACGAATTTGCCATAGCTGTCGGTTTGCAGGATCCACGGTAACAGACAGACGATGCCAAAAATGGTGTAACCCCAGAAGTAGATGGTAAGAACCAGAGCAAGGGTCTTGAGGGATCGGTACTCGATACCGCCCAGCTCCTCTCTCTGCTCTTCCGACAGGCCCACGAAGTTGGAGTTTCGTGCCAGTGTTGGCTGCCAGCTCAGATATGGCATAGGGTCGTCGTCCTTGTGGTGAGTCAGGGCCGTCCTGATTCGTCGGAGAGGATTGATCCGCCCGGTGGGCAAGGCTGATGATGTTGCGGTGTCTACATGTTGCAGTGCTTCCTCGTCCCTTCTAGGTCTTCGAAACTTCAATGCTCCGGCGACATGCACTGCCGCCTCGACGTTCTCCGCTAGGTCTTCCCTTATGTGGTGTCCATCCCTTCGAGGTCGTTTCGGCTCTTCAAAGATTATAGTAGGTTGGCGGTCTGGGAAGGGCGTCTGCCCAGGCGGTGAAGATGCACCCATGCCCGTTGGTGTATCGACACTCGATCCTCTCCGCCTACGAGCAGCCGGACCTTCTTCGTCATCTTCCTCAAACTCTTCTGGCACAGCCCCCTGGTCAGCATCTCGCGGCCCAGGAATCCTGAGAACGCTCTTGTCGGCCTTGCGCTGCTTTTCTAATATGGCGATGTGCTCTGCGTGGGACCGTCTCGTAGGCAGAGGCGGCCGATCCTCGTCTCCAATATTTTCAACCGCGTCACTTCTCTTCACCTGGTCTGCGAATTTGATTTGTGGCGTAGAGAGTCGTGTTGGTTCGTCCCGCCTCCTATCATCCGAGCCGCGTTCGGTTTGAGGGGACTCGCCGAGGTGACCTGGGTTCACTTCGCCATTGAAAGGCTCCTCGTCCAACACCAGTCCATCGTTGGTCATCCGAGATGCTTTTGCTGTATTGTGCATGACAGTAATATGGCGCCCATTAACACCTTTCTCGGTATCTGTAGTAGTCGGTGTAGCCTGAGAACGGGAATTGGTGATGGTGTTACGCCGCATTCTCGCCTCTTTCACAATATGCTGGAAACGCTTCTCGAACCAGTACAAACGCAAGAAAACCACACTAGAGTTGATGGTGATGGGATTAGACAACATGGCGAGAAAGTACATGACAGCTTGCTGGAAGGTGTTGAGCAGGTTGACGTCAACAGTATTCAATCCAGCCTGGGTATTGGCGCCGGCAGCAAAAGCAAGGGAATCAATGTAGGCCAAATGACCGTCAGCGGAGGCAAACATCAGGATGGACCCTACAATGGTCCATCCTATGATCCAGAAGTCTACAAGCGGTTAGAAGAGGAGAGGCGACAGAAGCATGACTGGGAGCTCACAGTGGACGGTAATGAAGTCGAAGTGCGGATGTTTTGACACAAAGGAAGGGCGTAGAGCCTGCAGCAATGCCACGACTCGCTCACGAGTGTTGGGCATGGTGATGATCGAAGGGACTAAGTACGGCCAACGTGGATTTGATTGTGGTTTGATGCTCGAGTTGAAGGCAATTAAAGAGGGAAATGGAAACGCCCGGTGTTAGAGAGCTGCGGAGTGATAGGCCCAGCGTGCTAGGTCGTTGACTGAGAGGTGGATGCAACACATGATTGTCGTTTGGGGCCCAGTAACTATATCAAGGGTTAACAAAGGTGACGCATGGAAGGCATTGTCAAGAGAGGTGCCCAATAGGTTGGCCACGTGGAAGAGTGTGAAGCAGCAAGTGCGCCGAGTACAAGACATAGTTGCGGAAGGCATGGGCAATGTCAGCGGTGCGAGGTCACACACAGCGGCGAATGATTGACGAGTATAGATAAATGTGATCGGACAAAGGTGAGAGCGGCAGGAGCAAGCCGGACAGCTGTGTTGGTTGTAGTTCCAATGGTGCGCAGGTGGCTACTAGCCGGACGAAGTCTCAACATGTGATGGTCAACGTGCAGCGATGATTTCTATCAATGGGGAAGACCAGAGGGCAAACACGTGCAGGGGCAATACTGGATTGATGAAACGAGAATGCTAGCACGCAGTCAAGTTAACTTACCCTCATGCAGGTGCAACGAAGAATGTCATCGGTGGGAATTGGGAAGGTCAAACAATCGAAAGCTGATGAGTGTCCGGTGATATCGGATGGCTCAGGTCTTGTTGTTGATGATGATGATGATGATGATGTTGTTGTTGTTGTTGTTGTTGTTGTTGATGTCGTCGGCTGCTCGGAGGTTGAGAGTGGATGTGAGAAGCAAGGCAATGGATTATGGAAGCAAGCAAATCTTTATTAGATTCCAGATATGCGCTTGCATTTTGGCGTTGCAAACGCTAAGACCCCGGAGTGGCCAAGGTACCGCTATTAGCCACCTGCAAGTACCACCTGCACGTACCGCACGGCTCGAACCTCCAACTTTGTGCAGTTCCCCACCCCGTTGCTAGCGTTTTCAATCCTCCTTCCCAGCGACGGATAAAGCAAAGGTGCAGTGCAGTTGGGTGCGGACGAGCGCCGAGAAGGATGGATAGCTCCAATGGTGCGAATGTAGAAGGGAGCAAAGTCAATGATTTGTCAAACCCATGAGATATGTTCTCGGTTTCGGTTCTGTTATCTTTCCCTGAAAATAATGAAGATGATAAGATGATGATGGAATTGGAGGCGGGATGATGAGGTGTTTTCTCGGCTCTGCCCCGACTCCCAGTCAACTGTAACGCCGTCGTCGAAATTACAGCCTATCACGGGGCTTGCAGACGCCAAGTTGGCACCCCGCGAGATGAGCGGTGCCAAGATCTCCAACATCTCCAAGTCTCCAACGACATGCAAGAATCCCTGTCAGTATCACACGCCCACAAGCCAAGGGTGGCTTGGAGCAGCGCCTCCATAATACCAAGATCTTCCTCAGTCAGGTTTACTGCACACACATGAATGCAGGCAGATAGCGGCAAGTCATGTACGGTACTAGAGCTGCTTGGACCATGGATAGCCGAGCGGCGAATGAGGCGTGTGTCGAGGAGGAGTCTAGAAGATGCTTCTGCGTGAGCCCTAATGCAAGAGGACAGCACAGATGAGACACGCGGATCGAGTCCACAACCAATCGGAAGGTATGGAGCTAAATAATTCCAGTCGCGTGCTTGGAGACACAGCACCGAAATATCCCGAGGCGACACATGGAAAGAACAAGCGAGACAGCGTACCGAACTAAAGGTACCATCCTAGCATGCGTTCCATTTCATCTCATGCAGAGGCTGTGATTTACCGTTTACGCGTGATATCTATCCCAAATGACGTCATCACGAGATGCTCCTCCTCAGGTTCCCAAGATATCCCCGGCCCCGCCGCCCACCCGCAGTTTCCCAGGTGCCGCGGCGCCGGCAGACGATTTCTCCTCTGCCGGCATCTCATACTGGGAGCTCCACCATCAAAGTCTTGGGGGCAGATGACTGAACAGTGAAAAAGCCCATCAAGAAACGTCACGAGACGCAGTCGCATCCTCCCGTCGCAGCGACGTGCCATCCAATCCCGCAATCCCTTATCCGATCGCGAGACGATGGAGAACAGGTCCCTCCCCACCTTATCTCATCAACAACCCGCCTCCAGCTACCAAGCATGTACGAAAGAACGGCCCTTGCAAGCCCGGTGGTTGGTCTCCGGGCAGAAAGCTCCCATGCGCGAATTTTCGCTGTAAGAGGAAGGAACAACATTTTGGGGTATGCATATCACGGCATCGCGTGCATCCATGCGGGAGGGGTCACTCGCATCCGCGTCCCGTGAATTCCCACGGCTTCCAAGCACATCTTGGAGGTTGCCCGTCCACTGCGCCGGGAACCATCTCACATCTACTCCATGCCAAGGCGGTACGGTAACACAACATAAGCCATGCGTCGCGCCCACACAGACCAGCGGTGAAACAAATATTGCTCATCATGCTCATCTATTCTTGGAGGGTATTTCCTGGGGTGGTGGTCCACTTGCAGCCAGTAATAGACGAAAAGACCGAGTCCAGATGCCAGCCACCATGCGCCACTATGCCCAATTCCCATTTGAATACATTATTGGATAGTACAATTTCATTCCTCCTGGGTCGCTAGGTCCTTCATTCTCTGCTTCTCCCGGCCTATCTTCTTGAAGAAGGCACTCTTCCCTGGTTTCTTCTTGAGCGCCTTGTTGGCTCCCTTCCGCTGCTCGATGTAGGCCATGTCCTGCCCACCGCTCAGCTCTCCCAACGTACCGGCCGTCCGCCTGACACCCCTCTTCTTCCTCCTTCCCCCTGCTGTGTAGAAGAGGTCGTCTGTAGGATCACCGTCTTCGAGTGGTCGTTTTGCCTCCGTGTCCACAATAACCTTCTGCAAGAGTTCCCGACGGTCTTTGGGCGTCTTGAAGGTCAAATTTTCCATCTTATCCATACCTGCAAGCTGGGTAATGACCTTGAACGAGTAGCCCTGATCCACAAGGAAGGCCTGTCGTTTCGTAGAGTAGTACATCTCAGCCGTGTCCTTGGATACCAGAGAATAAAAGAACGCGTTAAATCCCTCGTCTGACCGACGTTTAGCTCGAAGGATACGCCCCAGACGTTGTGCCTCCTGACGCCGTGACCCGTAGTGAGAGGAAATTTGGATCAGGCAAGTAGCTTCGGGGAGGTCAAGGGACGTGTCTCCAATCTTCGAGAGGAAAACCGTCTTGACAAGCGGGTTGTGCATAAAATTGTCCAGAACATCCATGCGCTCGGAATTAGGTGTAGAACCGCAGATGAACAAGCGCCCCAAGGCCTTTGCGACATGTATCAAAGCGTAGACGTTGTCTGAGAAGACGATGATCTTGTCCCCACGGTTTTCATGGTAGTCGATGAGAAATTGGCAGGCCTGGATCTTCGCTGGGTTCATGACGTAGAGGTTCTGTTTGAGACCGCGATCTTTGGTCCGTAGATATTCATCGTAGAACTCGGTTGTCATCGGACACCAAACCTCAGCACATTGCACTTTGGCGATGTGGCCCTGTTCTGAAAGCTCCATCCAGTTCGCTTCGTAAAGCTTCGGCCCGATGAGGAAGTTCAGATCTTGGATCTTGTCGTCTTCTCGGAGCAGCGTTGCCGTCAGCCCCAGTTTGGCGTGACTCTTGATGGAATGTGATACTTTTCGGAAGATATTGGCAGGGACTACGTGAACCTCATCGAGCAGCATCAAGCCCCATTCGCGCCCCGTCAAGAAGTCCATCATCTTCTGCGAGTCGTACGCTCTCTTGCCAGACTGAGTAACCATGGGATATGTGGTGACGATAATCCCAGTGTTCCCTGGAAATTTCTGCTTGCTGTCTGCGGTGAAGACAGCGATATCTTGAGGCCCGATATTAGACCATTTCAGAAACTCCTGACGCCATTGATGCGCCGACATGGTGCTAGTGCAAAGCACTATGGTACCCTTCTTGATGGTGCATGCAGCAGTAATACCAACTAACGTCTTACCTGCACCGCATGGCAGCACGATAATACCACTCTTGGCTCGTCCGTTACCAAACATCTTGCTGAGACTTTTCTCTTGGTAGCTCCTGATCTGTGTTGCTGGTCGGAGGTCAATCTCAAGATTGGCATTGCGGTCATCATTACGGAAATCATATTCCTCGAGCATGGGGTACTGGATATCCAGACACCGCTTTTGAACGATTTCGACACTGGTGTCTAATATTTCGAAAGCATGCACTGCTTCTTGATTATCATCGTCATCGTCTTCTCGCAAGGCGTCAAAGGGGTTCTCCGGTTGCGGCTTTTCATCTGCTTCTGGTTGCGCGTTCTCGCTTTGCTGTCCTTGCCGAAGCTGAGCCTGCTGTACTCCTGCAGCGTTCGATGTTCCTGGGATGACAAGTCCGCCCATTGAAGGAGCACTTGTTACTGTGTCTGTGCCCTGTACCCGACACGGCCCGATTACTGGATCTTTGAGAAGCTTCTGCAGAACTTCAGCGTCGTTGCTTTCGACGAAGTATTTCGTATCCTTGATGACAAGTTTGACCTTTCCATAACTAGAAGCACAGCTTCGAATGAAGCTCACGATCGACTCGGGAAGGGGCGTCTTGGAAAATCGGTCAAGTGTATTCACGATATCTTGGGGTTGCAGCCCAACCGAGACGGCTGCGTAGAGACTATGGGGCGTCAAGGAATATTCGTGGAGAAATGTCGGGCGCGACAGAGGTTCAGCGACGGTGATGAGGAAATCTTTGGCTTGCTCCGCCAAAGCACTAAAGTTCTCGAGGATTATTCGGCCTCGTTGCGGATCGATCCAGATCGGTCGGCTCTTGGAGTCAGGTTTCAGAGGCAGGTAGGAGAAGTCACGCTTCCCATTATCACCGAAATATCGCGAGGCGGCATCGATGGGACCTCGTTTCGACTTGTCCTGGTAAGCTGCGAGCGAGAAGCGGTCGACAGCCTTCTGGATTTGCTCCTCATCTTCGGCAGGTTCGTCCGGCGAGCCTGGATCATCGGAGCTATCGATGTCTCGAGGCGTCGCGGGACCGGGTGTCGAGGCGGCCGAGGCTCTTCCGCTCTTTGCTGCGCCAGCGACGTCTTTGAGGTCAGTATCGATGTGGCAGCCAAAGCATAGGATATATAGACTTACTGGCCGAAGCCTTTCTCTTCTTGGGTGGCATTTTTTGACCAGACGGAGAGGCGCAAGATGCTGCCGATGAAGAGAGGGGAATCGCCAGAAGGGAAGGCCTGGGGGCGAATATGAAGATGAATCACAAAGCAAGCAACGACGTCTGAGGGAGTGCACGGGGATAAGGTAAGCAAGTTCCAGCCAGTCGGAGCACTTCCCAGAGCTTCTGGAAAGGGAATGGTGGGGTTGAAATTAGTTCCCTACAGTGACTTCCCGGGGAAGTCGCGACCACTTCAAAGTTCACCGGTGAATGTGGAAGACCGCATCCATCAGTCAATTCGCCAAAAACTGTAGGTCGAGGCTGATCTCAGAATCCGTGGTACTTATGGAGGTTGTATTGTTCAGTGCGCAGCAGTGATCATGTAGATGTTGAATTGGGTAGATGTACTTTTACCGTCTTCCCGGATGCTCGCTTTGAAGGTACGTGTAGGTCAGGTAGAGTTACCGCACTGCTAGTGAGCCAGCGGGGTGTGGAGAATCTCCACTCTCAGCAGCTGCTGATTGGCTCAGCCGATGCTGTCCCCAGACCGCCTGCTCTACTCGATCACACACCGCTTTGATCTGCCATATTCTGCCAGCAGAATCTTTGATTTTCAGGTCACCCCGCCAGTAGCATCCCCTGCAAAACACCACGCGTCGTGTTGGTACCTTCAATCTACCTACCTACCTACCTGCACCCTCGGAATGGGCATCTTGTCTCGTGTGTTCATCATCACCCTCTCTTCTCCATCGAGCACCTGATACTTCTGTCTCTTCTGGACCTCGGACTCTTCCTTTCATCAGCACGACTCCAACATGGCCACTCACACTGCCATGGCCCAGGGCAGTAATGCCGGGCTGCGCAATTCCCTGGAGCAACGCCTAGGAATCACGCAATTCGTTGCGCCCAAGGAGCGCGGTTGGCATGGACAGAGCCGCACACGGTAGGTTGCATCTATCCATGCCGTCTTACACACAACACCACCACAACACATCTTCCGTCCTGCCACCCGGCAGGCTCGGTGGCTCTGTTCCTCTTTCTTCAGCTAGTATTTGCTTTGGGCACCTTGATCTAAGCTCGTGGGCTCATGGGATATGTTGGCACTCATACTAATAATTGTATCACCAGGTTCACTGACTTTCAAGTCCACGAGATTACGAAAGAGGGCGAAGTACTCCATCTGACTGATTACCCTATGCACGCCAGAGACCTTCCCAAGACTGTAAGTTTACACATCACTCCAATCCCCGCCATGGTCACTGCTTAGGCACCACGCTAATGAAAGAACTTAGGTTCCACTCCTTCAGACTACAAGTTCCAGTGCCAGTCAATCATCAAAGCCTGCGAAGCCCACGCAGTCCCAGGATTCTAAGGGTGCTGCCCAAGATAATTCCGCTACTGGAGGAAGTGTCCCCACTGAAGGAAGTGCCCCTACCAATGGTAGTACCCCCGTCGAAGGCGATGTTTCCAACGGAGGAAATGCCCCCATTGAAGGAAGTGCTCCTACCGATGGTAGTACTCCCGTCGAAGGCAATCTTTCCAACGAAGGAAATGCCCCCATTGATGGAAGCGCTTCCAGCGGAGGAGCTGTTCTCACCAAGGGGGTTGGTTCCGATGTCAAGGACACCGAGAGGCCTGCTCTCGGTGCAGATCAGCCTATGGGCGATCAAGGATCCGTCATGGTTATTCCACGATCAGATGAGACCGCCCTGGTCAATATTCTTGGCCAGGCTGCAGCACAAGATTTGATCGCATTCTTCGAGAAGATGAAGAATAACCCAAGAGCGCCTCTGAAGAGCCACGGCGAGGTGAAGCTCCCTCCTATTGACAGATCCTTGAGATCACAAATCCATTCAGTAAGCAACCCGACGCCAAATTCGTCGCTCACAAGTCTAACGTCTTTCCAGGAAATCCGCCGCATATTCGGTGGCAAGATTGACACTGCTACCGATGCAGAGGGCTGTATCAAAGCAAGAGCTGTGGGTGGAGGCAGACAGCAATGGGGCAACCGTTCTAGAAACGATCGTTCACGAAACAATCACCAGAGCAACACTGACCGGGCTATCAAAACCCCTTACATACATTTCTCCTTGTACAAAGAGAACAGAGATACTATGGATGCGCTCAATCATATGGGCAAGGTTTTGAAGGTCTTTGCAAAGGATTTCGGCTCAGCTGGGACTAAGGATCGCCGGGCTGTGACTGTACAGCGCGTGAGCGTCAGAAGTCGAAATCTTCCCCAGCTGGTCGGACTCAATACCAAAGTCCACGGCATCAAGATCGGAGATTTCAAGCTTGCACAGGGTCCCATCACCCTGAACAGTCACGGCGGAAATGAGTTTGTCATCGTCATGAAGAATTGCTCCTTCAACGGTACAGACGATCTCAACTTCGAGCAGAAGCTCGAGGTGGCGAAATCCACTCTAGATTCGGCATTGGCGCAGATGGTCCAGCACGGGTTCATCAACTACTACGGCACCCAGCGGTTTGGCACGCATCAGATCGGAACTCAAGAGGTCGGCATAAAAATACTTCAGGACGATTTCGAGGGTGCGGTCAAAGCTCTGCTCTCATTCGACCCAAATCTACTGGATGTGTCAGACCAAGGTCAAAGCGCCTTCCGTCGGGACGACATCAATCGGGCTCGGGCTTGCTCAACGATCCTAAAGACTGGGGACCATCAAGCAGCGCTGAAACACCTCCCACAGAGATGTCACGTCGAGATGAGATTGATCAACCACATTGGAAGAAACCCGACAGACTTCCGCGGCGCAATCCAGACCATCAACAAGACGATGCGTACTATGTACGTCCATGCGTATCAGTCTCTCGTCTGGAATTTCGTTGCAAGCAAGCGCTGGGAACTCTTTGGTCCCAACGTGGTCAAGGGAGATCTAGTCCTCATCAAGCCTGATGCACCTATGCCAATGGTAGTCGATGACGAGGAGAAAAACGCTGAGGAAACGATCCATCTTGAAGCCGATGCAGACTCGGAAGGTACAAAAGGATTGGTGGCACACGTCTTGACCGAAGACGACGTCAACAGTGGCAAGTATTCCATCTTCGACATTGTTTTGCCAACACCAGGCTGGGATGTGGTCTATCCCCCGAATGAAGTTGGGGCTTTCTACGCAGAATTCATGCGCAAAGGGGAGAATGGCGGTCTAGACCCGCATGATATGCGTCGTCGTCAGAGAGACTTCAGTCTTCCGGGTAACTACCGCAAACTGATGGGCAAACTTTTGCGGAGCCCGTCGGCATCTGTTCAAGCTTACTCGAACGACTTGGACCAGCTCGTACCTACTGATCTTGATCTCGTCCGATCTCGCAAGGTCAAGGAAGCAGCCGAGGGTCAAGCTCGCAGAATTGAAGAAATGACCACACGTGATGCTACCCAGCAGAAGGTCACATCAGCCTGGCAAAGCTTTGGTCAAAACGTGCAACAGAATGAGCGTGAGGAGTCCAGAGCCAGGTTCGCGAGACGCAAGGCTGAGGAACTGCCTCCGCCTCCTCCTGTTCGGACGAGTGACACCTGGGTGCAGACAGCGCTTGATGGCAGTAGCAAGCGAGTCAAGATTGCAAGACATACCGACACTATCGAGCCCGAAATGCAGACTGCTGTTCAGCCTATGGATGGTGACGCTATGCAAACTGACAGCGAGGAGAGTAACAAGAAGCAGGTTGACCAAGCAGACACGGCCGAGAAGGCGTCCCAGACAAGCGTTGATGCTGATCAATCAGGCTCCTCCATTGTCGCAACGATCAACACACAGGTGCGAGCATTTGCAAATAGACTGATGAATGCCATCTATCAGATGATGGCAGCACTGAGAATCACTACTGACGTTGACTTGCCAAAGCCCGGTCCGGCTACTTCTCAAGATGAGCCACAGCCCGAGTTACAGACATTGATAGAGGCTGGGAACAACACGGCGCAGCCACCTTCAGGCACATCCACGGACAAAACGGCCCAGACAAATTCCTCCCACGGCGCTGTCTCGACAGCAATCAAAACCGGGCATACCAACACTACTAACGTTGACCAGCCACAATCTAACGAAGCGGCACAGCCTTCCGGTGTTGCAGTTGGAGAATCTTCTCCGGCTCAGGTTCAGCCATCAACTAGCCCTGATCTGACCACAAAGCAGAAAATTGCAGTTGTCCTTCGTTTCGCCCTAGATACGAGCCAATATGCGACCATAGTTGTTCGAGAGCTTCAGGGGGCCGCCCTTCAGACCGACGAGATGGACGTTGACGTCCCCACGACCTCTAAAGACGATGCCCCTTCGACCAACAGTACCCTTGCGAGCGAAGGTGCCACCAACCTCAACTTGTCGTAGGCGGTATTCAATCCGATCGTCGTCCACCGGCATCGCCTGATGAAATGTCCCTGATGTTGTCAGTGCTTGGCTGTTGTGTCGACGCTTACGACTTGGCAATGGTTCAGCAAGACGGTACAGTCACAGGAGTTGCTTACCTGGTCGGTCGCTTGTCAGTAAGCCAAAGCAGTTGGTCCCTCATTCAGCAGAGTTTACCCTGTTGGTAAGAGACTCGATGTTGAGTCCTACATACACGCAGTATCTCCTCCTGAGCACGAGTAGCACCGGGCATCCGTTGCTGTTTTTGGTGCTACTCGATGTGTGCGCTATGTAGACGTTGGCATTGCAATGATGTTTGCCAGAGAAAAGGATGAGACAGTGAAGCTTCATTTCGCTATATGAGGAGGGACAGGAGTTTCGATCCTCTTCACATGTACTATAGAGTTGCATGATCATGCGGACTAGATACCCAATTGCTGCGAGAAACATTCCCGAAGTTCTTCGTCTTACTTTCTTGATTTCGAATTATGATATCAAAGTTACTTTGGGATAAAGGGTCCCGTTGCTTTGGGACTGGGCCACCGTGAGATATGTCCGGTCTGATATGCCCCTACTGATCAGAGTCAGGCTGTCTGTCTAGCCCAGGGGCGCTCGCGATGCTGGTCCGTCTGCGAGGCTGCTTGGTAGAAACGACAGTGGATGCAAGCGAGTACATCCATATGCAGTTGAACATATCCAACGCTGTCGCTTGACGAGAAGCCACATACACTCTCCCAAGAAAGAGCTGACTTTGTCAATGCAGTCCCATAGGGTGGACTGTCGAACTTACCACCAAAGTCACACTCCAAGCGTACTTCGATCTTTCCACTGTCGCTCCCTTCTCGCTTGCTTTGAACACTACCTCGAAGGCGTACGCGTCCATTGCGCCGTAGAATCATGCTTCAATCTGGTACACGCACCGGCGTAAGCGTCGGCTGGACAGGATGATCGATTGGGCCCCGGTGTATCAAAGAGTCAACTGGAAAACGCGACGAGGCGATATGGGCAAAGCGAACCACGCTTGATTTAGACATTGAAAGCGGGCTTGGTGTTGCGCGCAGTCACCACGCAATTCTCATGATTCACATTGAAAGCTGCGTAACTTGGTCTACTAGTATTCGACTCCCAAGTCTATACGTGTGGGTGAATCACCAACACCACGTGGCAGAACGATGGTCTAATATGAACGGTTCAGACGGTAGAGGAGAAGGCTGATGTCACAAGGCTCCAGGCGAAATCACGACCAGTCGCTGTTGCCCGCATCTGAACATTCTTTTGTTATCTGGGAGGTCGCGCCTCGACCGCGAGTACCCTTTGTTCCAACACCATACGCCGCACACCATGACATCGGACCGAGGCAACCTTTCTTTGTCTTCGACTCGCCGAGTCCCGAGTCCGGGCGCTCGACTTCGTGGCCACATACCTAAGCAATCATGAGTATCGACATCAGTGCTATCGAATCACCATTGTTCATTCTGTTTCTGCATGGGCCCAACCGAGTGTGTTCCGAACTCGAAAGCCGGCGGCTACGGTAGATCCGACTGTTTACTCTCTCACGCAGATTGTTACCCTGCATAGGGACGAACGGCTCACGGAGAGCGTACTCACTGGGCACGATGAGTATGCTCCTAAAAGACGCGTTATACAATTACAGCACCCGTCTCAAGCCGAAGCCCCTCCAATTCAGCGACGATGGTCAGGACCGGTCGTTTTTCAGCAGGCGGTCACTAACCAATGTCAGTCGTAAGCATGCAAGTGGTACGCACGTAAACTGACCACCATCAAGGTCTTCAGTCCCACGATAAAGCATTTCAGTTTTGACGGAAGCGGCGGGCTACCCTTCGGTAGGCGCTCGCCTTCTCCAAGAGGTGAGGACTGGTGCTCAGACTTGATCTCACATCAAAGGGACTAAGGTTGTTCCGCAGGCCATTCCACAGAGTCTCTGGCCTCGAACGAGTCGTTCGACCTCGACTGGGACCAGAAAGCCCTATTGGAGCTCTCCGACTCAGTGCGGGCCTCTCTGCGGAAGGACAACGCAGTCGGGCCCGAGGCGGAGCGACTGAGCAGCTTCCTCGAGGCGGTCCTGAAGGACGAGGAGCGTAAGCAGCCGACGTTGGACTTCGAGGCCATCGAGTTCGCCCGCCTCGACAAGCTGCTGGCCGAGCTGCTGGCGTTCGCCGAGATGGTCAAGGTCGCCAGCTTCACGGCGGACCTGCCGCTGCGGTTCCGCGTCGACGTGTCGCATGCCAAGAGCCTGCAGCGCATCTGGCGGCGGCGCTTCCGCGAGCAGTTCTTCATGATGGACCAGCACCGGTGTGCGATACTCGTGAAGGGCGGCCGGCTGAAGGATGTCTCGTTCAACAACTCCTTGACGTACGACGTAAGCAAGTGGGAGACCAAGATGAGCGATCCGATCTCCGAGCTCGAAGGTAACCTGCAGTATGAGGCGGGGCAGTGAGTGTTGACTCGTCTCCGCCGGCATAGAAGTGATATGGGCTAACGGAGTTCAGCTGGTGGTTGAATATCACATGCGCCGAACGAGATGGCATTGTTGGTAGCTCGCTCGAGATGCCGACCAAGGGACGATACGGCAGCACAACCCTCCCTCTTTTGACGGGCTGGGAAGAACTGATCCGGACTAATACGGTCAAGTATATCCGTGAGGGACGCTCCTCCGACATGCACATCGCCTTGATCTCGCAAGTAGGGCGCCAGATCCGGATCCTTCGGGGGTACCGACTGAAGAGCATATTTGCGCCTCAAGCCGGTGTCAGATATGATGGACTGTAAGTTTAACAACCCCCCCTTTTGCGTGGAGCTCGGCGTGCAGTTCGGCGTACCTAACCGCATGCAGCTTCACCATCAAGCAATACGGCTGCAAGCTAGACGACAAGACCAACACGTACCGCCTCGAACTGACGATGGAGCGCGTTCCCGACCAGAAGTCGTTCGACGAGATCAGGGGGGTCCCCAAACCGTCACAACTGGACGACTGGAACCTGTACGAGAAGCTCGAGGGGGACAAGATCAAGATACTCCAGGGAGATTCGAACTACCTGGAGTGGAAGCTGACGAGGCAGGAGGATAAGGTCGATCGTGAGGAGTGGAGACGGGTGTGTGCGTTCCGAGCCTCTTTCTCGTGGCAGGGGGGGCCGCCTCTGTGATTGGTGTCGTTGAACAAGGCGTGTTGAGGCGTGTTGATACCCAGAATGGACTGAACAAACACATCGATAGAACCTATAGGCTATACGAATAAAGTCTGGTGTATCATTATCCTGCAGCTGAAGCACTGAAGATTCGTAACAGGAACGTAAGCACCAGTGTTGAAAGAAGAAATTGTGATAGGATCTGCACTCGGATCCCTGTTGTCTTCGCGCAACTTTCCTGCAGTGAGATCTTGCCCGGAGCCGACGCGGCTTCGCGGCTTCGGCTTCGGCTACGGCTTCGGTTTGGGGGAGTACAACGGACTTCCGAACATATATAACACTGCACCTTACAATTTTGTAGTGATATGTCTCACCAGGCGTCTTTGTCATACCAATTGTTTTAGAGAGTGTCTTCCTATTGGATCCCAAAATCCAAAACACTCGTTTAATCAACATGGAGGACAAGAAAGGGGCCAGCGCCGGGGTCTTGGCTGCCAAGACGGCGCCGTCCCGTTCCTCTCGGGAGGAGACAGGGGACCATTCTCCAGACGACCCCCACGGCCAAGCATTTTCCGGGAACCCTAGCCAAGAGCTTCCCACCAACACGGATGATGTCGCGGCCGACGCGATAGAAGCCAACGAACCCAGCAGCCATGACGACGACGACGGCCGGACCAAGCAAGAGCAAGATGGTGCTGCCGCCAGCGATGAGGCGCCCTACACCGTCTTGACGCTGAATCAGAAGCGGCTGATGCTCTTGAGCGCCTCCTTCATCGGCGTCATCAGCCCCTTGACGGGATCCGTCTATCTGCCGGCCCTGAACGACATATCCAAGGATCTCGGAGTGAGCATCTCGCTCGTCAACCTTACCATCACCACGTACCAGATCTTCCAGGGGCTGGCGCCTTCAGTAATCGCCTCGCTGGCCGATACGCGCGGCAGGCGGCCGGCTTACATGGTGTCTCTGGGCATCTATCTCGTCGCAAACCTCGCCCTGGCTCTGCAGTGGAGTTACCCTGCCCTCCTAGTCCTGCGCTGTGTGCAGTCGGCCGGTAGCTCTGCTACCATTGCTTTGGGATCCGCAGTAGTGAGTGACATGGTGACGAGGGCGGAGAGGGGAAGCTACATCGGATGGACGTCGCTCGGCATGTCACTTGGGCCCGCGCTCGGACCGGTGTTTGGCGGACTGCTGAACGGGTACGCAGGCTGGCACAGTATCTTCTGGTTCCTCCTGGCATTCGGCGGCACCATGCTGATCGTCTTGCTCTGTTTCGTGCCCGAGACGTGTCGTGCCGTCGTGGGTAACGGATCCGTGCGGCCCCAGAAATGGAACCTTACTCTGATGCAGTGGTGGCGTGCCAGGAAGGGTACCACGCACGTTCACCAGGAGAGGATGGAAACGATTACGAAGCCGAGAAGGCGACCTAATCCGTTCAGTGCACTCAAGATTCTGCTCGAGCCTGAAGGGGGCATCACTTTGGGCTGCGGAGCTATCTTATATGCCGGTTATTTCGTGAGTGTGCAACTGAAATAGATCAGATGGATGGACGTACTGACTTGTGTGACAGATGGTCATGACGACCCTCAGCGAACAACTCGCCAGCCGTTTCGGATTGGACTCCGTCAAAGTCGGTCTATGCTACCTACCGCTAGGCTTCGGCTCCCTGGTCTCGCGGTTCACCGCCGGACAGCTTTTCGACTGGAACTTCCGCCGGCACAGCCGCAAGCTGGGCATATCCCTCGAGTTAGCCAAACAGCAGAGCATAGAACTCTTCCCCATCGAGCGCATCCGCCTCGAGATCTCCATCCCTATGATCTATGTCTCTTGCGGCACCGTCCTGGCCTATGCTTGGACCATGGAGTCCCAGACCAGCCTGGCTGGTATCGAGGTCGCCTTGTTCTTCCAGGGGCTCTTTTTCAGTGGCGCCCTGCAGGGCATGAACACGCTGATCGTCGACACGCACCAGGACACGCCTGCCACGGCCACTGCGGCGAACAATCTGTTCAGGTGTCTTTTCAGCGCGGGGGGTACGGCGGTGGCTCCGTTGCTTATCAATAAGATCGGGGTGGGGTGGATGGGTATCTTCATCTCCGGGGTCTGGTTGGCGTTCACGCCTTGTCTGTGGCTTATCTTTTTCAAGGGCAGCAGCTGGAGGGAGACACAGAGGAAAAGGAGGGAAGCGAAGGACGCTGAAAAGGAAACTGAAGTAACCAAGGTCTAGACTACATTTATGACATGTGACAAATAGCCGCTGTCAGGAAACATGGAACGTGATATATACAGGGCTTCCACGCCTGATCAGTACTACAGCTCCCTGCAGCACAACAAGTCATCATTTTCCCCCTATGGTTGGCCTGCTGATGGCCGCACAATCCGGTGGGTTCTTTAACACGAAGCTGGAGATGCAACGTAGCCGATGGACTGCGGTGGTTGCGAGATTACAATGCAGATGGCATCATTGCAGCGGGGCCTAGTCATGGGTTACGCCTCTTCGCTTCCAACCCCAAGGCACCAGAGCGGAGAGACTGCAGATAGTGATAGGTCTTAAGGCTACGTGATCGAGTTTGCTTGTTAGTGGTGTGATCAACACCATGATTGACGACTTGCAGGGACTCAACCGACATGGTGATGTATATAGCCACGATGCCGTTACTTCAACATCAAGCTACTTGCCGAGTGGCCCAGCCTGTCAAAACAATCTATCTATACTCCTACACGAACGAACATGGCAATGGGAAGACGGTGGTGCCAATGGTACTCTCCGACGGACTCACCAGAAGAAAAGAAGCTCATCGCGAAGCTCGACCTCTTGATAGTCCCCTATGCCTGTATCCTTTACTGGGTCAAATACATCGACCAGTCAAATATAAGTGCGTTTACTCCGTTCCTCGTACAAATAAAAGTTATGGTACAGCACATGCTAACCCAAGGTACCTAGACAATGCCTACGTCTCTGGTATGTCGGAGGAGCTCGGCTTCAATGGCAACGAACTCGTGCAATTCCAGACAATATTCGTAGTTGGAAATGTGGTCGGTTTACTGCCATTCATCTACCTGTTCCCCCGCCTACCAATGCATCTTTTGGTTCTGACTCTCGATCTTGGTTGGGGCATCTTCACGCTTCTGCAATACCGAGCCCAGAGCTATGGCGAAATCATGGCATATCGTTTCTTGGTGTCTCTTTTCGAGGTCAGCTTCTCATCTCGGTCCAAAACGATCAGAAGAGGTATTGACTTTGACTTTTTAGGCTAGTTACTTTCCAGGAGTACATTTTGTGCTCGGCAGCTGGTATAGAAGCGACGAGATTGGCCGTCGTGGGGGCATCTTCTACGTCGGTCTCACACTCGGAACGCTCACTGCTGGGTTACTGCAATCTGCTGCCACGACATACCTTGACGGCCGGCATGGGCTATCAGGCTGGAGATGGCTATTCGTCATCAACGCCGTCATAACATTGCCTCTCGCCCTCATCGGCTACTTTGTCTGGCCCGGCACGCCAGCCAAGCCACACCGTTTCGTCATCACGGACTCCGAGCTCCAGCTGGCACGGTCGCGACTGGAAAGAGCTGGCGCCAGAGTCCAAAGCACACCATTCTCTCTCCATCTCCTTAGGCGTATCTTCACCAGCTGGCGATTCTATGCCTTGGTCTTGTGGGATGTTTTCTTCTTCAACACCGATGCCAACAGCGCGGCATTCCTGCTCTGGATCAAGAGCCTCCACCGGTTCGACACAGCAACGATGAACCAACTCGGCACGGTCAGTCCAGCATTAGGCATCTTCTTCGTCCTCTTCATCAACTTCAGTGCCGACCTGTGGATCGGACGCGCCGCCGCCATAACTCTCGCCTCGGCAGTCAATTTTACCGGCCTCGTCATCCTTGCCATCTGGGACGTGCCGGAAGCAGCCAAATGGTTCGCGTTCAGCGTAAGCTATTCTTCCGTCGCCGTTTCTTCCGTGCTGTATGGCTGGGCAAACATCATTATGAAGGATAGTATCGAGGAGCGCGCGCTGGCGCTGATCTTGATGACGGCCATTGCTACTTCGACCAATGCCTGGATCCCGCTCTTCGTGTATCCGACCGTGGAGGCGCCGAGGTTTCCCAAGGGATACGTGTTCTCCGCGTCCATGGTCGTTTGCTTGGTGATCATGACACAGGTTGTTCGCATTCTGTTTAGAGATGGGTACGTCAGCAAGCAGGACTGGTTAGAGGACGTTGTGCTAACACGTGATAGTAAACACTCGGAGATCGACGATGGGCATGGCATCAGTGAGATTGAAGAGCAGGTTGTAGTGAAATCACTAGAGACCAGACGGGTCGATGAAGGCGTTGTCGCCGTCTAAGGGTGTCGTCTACAATGTGTTACAGTGATGATTAATTATACTCACATGGCAGCCCCTGGATCCATGCTCTTGCCCAGTTCCCTAATCAACCCGGCGGAGAAGCATTCATTGCGATGGCTTGTCATGCACCAGAGTTTCACCGTTCCATTTTGGGCCACCTGGATATGGATAGGCCTCATCAATACCCTGCCCGATGAGTTTGGTCAATTCTCGGCAAGTAGACGTAGGGGGTGCCTACGCTAGCGGCGGTAACGATCCTAGACCCTTCTTACTTTCCACGGAAGACCCAGAAAGTGTCGTGCAATGCCCCTGGAAGAGGCATGGTCCTTCCAGAGAGCATGACAAGGCCCTATCCAGTCTAAAACGTGTCTTGCGAAGAGCACCATAGCCCTCAGTGACGAAGTCCGATCCGCGCTCATCTACAATGGCTTTGCGGAAGATGTCGAGCAGGCCAACACGAGAACACGTCCGCAGCTGCCGCCTCCCATAAGACCTGGGTTCCTCGTCCGCCTCCCAAGAGACCACGGGCAACTTCGCATTGCAGGTATTGCGGTGCTCGTCCCAGATCAAACGCATCGTCAGACAAGCCCAGGAGCCGTCATGTGTGTGCTGGATGGCCTCGATTCCGTCGGCAGCGTGCACATTTCCGAAAGGACGGGGCTGAACCGCGCTCGCGCTCCAGCTGCTGATTCGCCACCTTTTGACGACGTGCGCTTTCTCGTGGTCTGTAAATTCCCGCCATGTGGACTTGGGTATGATCTCGTCGATGTCTACCAGTTTGGCCTCGCCGATTAGACACCTGGGCTGGTCGAGGCCCTGCGCGAAGTCTGGTGCATCGGCCTACGGACACACTGTCCTCTCATGCCCTCGACGCCCTGTAGCTTCAGCCCGAGTATCCAGCCAGGGTCGGCAGACTGGCTCAGAAAGCCCGGCAAGATTTTCCAGCACGCCCAGCTCCACGAAGGAAACACTACCTGGTGATTGTGGTTAATTCCCAGCAAATACCTAGATTTAGGCATGGGCGGTAACTTCCTACCTATGCTGGGGTGCACGGGACCGAAGAAAGGACATTTATGATACAGATTGTTCAGCAACTCGATTGTGTTCAAGTGATCGGTCGTGCCCAGAGTCGATGCCAGAAAATTCCAAAGGCCTCAGATTTTGCCTGCTGATCTGTGTTCTGAATGCCCGTGCGATACAGTTAGCAAGCTTCAAGCTAGCCAAGCTGGAGGTCTCGCCAAGCTGTCAGAGAAGCGAGCGACGACGAGGTTCCTATAGGCAGAGCTTGGTTAGATAGTACTGAAACACCGCACAAAACCACCACTTCTGTATATAAGTATAGACAGGCCCAGACGAAGTAGGGGAGATTTCTCTCTAGTGGAAGAAGTTTAGTATTTATTGTAAGTCATGGCAACTTATCCGAGTCAAAATTGCACTCTTTCCAAAGTATCGTAGCAGTCGATGAACCTCGACTCTAGAGTTTGCCTCTCTAGACGGAACCCGTCCTCTCCGGGAACGCGCTTGCATTTGACATCAACGGCTTGCCACTTGAGTGTCACCAAACCGACCCGCGAGCACGTTTTCAGGACTCGGCCCTTGTAAATCATCTCGCGCTCATCGACCTCCCAACTGACGATCATGAGCTCTGCCCGAGTGGCCCGGCTGTTTTCGTTCAGCGCCAGACAGGCCCACGTGCCGTCGTCCATGTGTTGGCTGAGGAGTTGCTCAGACTGCTCGTTGACATCTGCGAGGAACCTGCCCATGTGCCACATCATGCGGTAAGGGCCATTCTTATCATCATCAGACAGTTTGTACCAGACTGATCCGAGCATAAACGCGCTTCTGGGGACAATGATGCCTTCGCCGATCAGGAACTTCGCTTCCTCGAGCTCATCGGCGAAGTGGATCGGTGCAAATTCCCAGTCAACCACCTTGCCAGTGCCGCTCTCTACGGCCTGAACGTCTATAGCCGGAACGAAATCCGACCCGTCGAAAGCTGCTCCTGGGCGACGGAAATAAGTCGCTTCTGTCCAGCCCGCCCAACTCCAAGACGGGAAATCGGGACGCCGAATTGGGTTCCTGTTGTAAGTCGGAAGATCGGGAATATCACTGAACATCCAGCTTAGTGCAAGGACGAAGACCATCTTCTGGAAATCTCGTAACTTCTCTTGCACTTCTGTCGATCGGCGTTGAAGAATGTGCTCAGGGATGTGTAAGGCAGGTATGCCTTGGTAGACCGAGAAGTTGGGATCTGCTCGGGAAAACGCCTTCATGGCCCCCTGAAATGCGCGAATGGCGTCAGACTGTATGGTCAGATCCTTGACGCTGGAGTGGCCGAGCAGCTCCAAGTAGAAATTGAGTTCCGCCCAAAAGAGCCCGCATGGGTGGCCCAGCCCGTACTGGTTATCCATGCGCCAACGGGGAAGGCGATGGATCCACGACCGTGTCGTTGTCAGCGACGCATCTTCATCGTAGACGCGGAATTGATCATTCAGCACCCAGTGCGGTTCCGGGAACGAATCGCTGCAGCTTACACCTTCGGCTTCGAACAACATCTCGCGATCTGTGAAGTATAAACGTCGAGGCGAAAGTATCGCCTCTTGAAAACACCAGCCTCGGGTGTACCAGGCTGTTTGCTCGATGAAGGTCGCAGTCGGAGGAGGAGCCGTGAACAGAGTCATCCCGCTCTGTACTGGATGCTCCTTATCATCTGATCCGCTGATATTGAGGACCTGTTGACATATTCTGGGCGTACTACCCACACCCGGTAGTGCTCCTTTCGAGCTTGCGGCAATTAGAGTCAGGTCGGCAGCGGAGTAGATCAGATCCATTCGCGAGACATGGTCGGCCACCTCTTCCTTGAGCGCTTGGTTGATACAGAACTGGTCAACCCAGAGATAGCGGTGGCCAATCTCCGTGACCACCGTCATGGCGTCATGAACGACCCTGGGTATCAGAGGCGGAAGCGCCTTACTGTTTGGAGCCGTGGGTGATCCTGTGCCGTTACTACGCAGCGACACCATGTCACCGTTTGCCAAGTTCCAAGTGTAGCTTAGAGCAACATACTTCATGGTGTTCGTTCGTCCCACGACCTCGAACGTCTCGCAATCAATCACCTTGATATAACCGACCTCCACAGAACCACCGTATGGTCGGTTCTCGCGCTCGGGCCAGGACTCGTCATCAGACGAATTCTCATCTGCGTTGGACGACTCAGTCGTGGAGAGTTCATCATCTTCGAGAAGGTGTTCCTCCTCTTCCTCCTCTTCATCATCAGAGTCTTCAAGATTGGAGTTTTGGCCCTCAGCCGACAGCTATATCCATCTTTTTATCAATTCTGGGTCGTAGCGATCTTTTATGAATCGCGTTGGTGCTACCTCGTCGGTTGTCTCGTCCTTTGTCCCAGGCCCAGAAAGGACGTTCCTTACATCCTCTGTCAAGGCAAACACCAAGAGTCCGTCTGAGTAGTAGATATCGCTATCGATAGCCTTGTGGTAATCGCGGTCACCAGTCCCGCTGTGCAGTATGAAAAACTGGGATTTGCCTGAACAGTCTCATTGCGTGGTCATCCACAGACCCGTATCGTGTGCTGAAAGACCGCAGCTGCCATAGGATATCAGAATAGAACATCTCCTTGCAGGTATCAGGGTGCACCTTGGCAGCGAAAAGCTGACACAGGGCACAATCTGGGTCAAGACCTGTCCTATTAGTTATAAACATGGGGTGCGCTCTGCCCTGCTCTTCTTTGAAGTCGTGGAACCGAGATGAAAGCTCCATTTCACGACACTGCTGGCAGATAAAGGAGGTTGTCAGCTCCAACATATCGAGTTGGTTTTGAGACGGTATATCCTGGATGAAGAAGAAGGTCAGCAATATGTTTCGAGGTGATACACAAAGCGAACTCAACGCTGCCGGTTCCAAGGAAGACTTGGGACACAAGCACCAGTCCCGTTGCGTATCCTATTGAAGAGGGAAGTATCTACTGACATTCAAGTGCCCGACCGAGGAGACGGGGGCGGAATCGCCGTCCATGCTTGAGGCGCTTCGAATAGGCGGAGTCTCCATGATCGCAAGTCCATCTGTCAGTATTTCTGCGCTCGCCGCAATGATGTCGGATGTTACTGGAATACTTCCACGCTTGGTACGCACCACGCTCACGCGTCCCAATGGCGCCTAACTTTAGAAACAGGGGAACGAAGAATGGATCCAGCTGTCATGAATCGAGGGGAAGGCGAGTAGTGCACATGCGACACCAACAAGCATAAGTGAGGGCAGCGACCTTGTTGTCATTGGCCAGCGCAGCCGCCGACCACCCCTGTTTTGCACATGGGGAACAGACCGACGTACCACAGCGCTGGGCCCCGAAGTGCGATACTGCTCAAGGCTGCAAGGCTGTGAGGCGCGCTCATCGTATACAGTCGCTTCCATATCGTGGTGGTTGTGCCCGGGCACAAGATTCATGGCAAACAGCCGAAAGCACGACAAACCAGGACAAACCACTCAGAAATGCCGCAATCACTCGATGTGTATGGCCATGGAGAAGCCCACTGGGTTTGGGGCTCTACTGAGCGAAAGACGAGGGTGGCAGTCGTCTGGTCACGTCACTGCGTGGATGCAATTTGGAAAGTGTCACGGAATTGGCTGAAATCTCGCAGAGGCGAAAGCCCCTTCCCCCGATTTGAGAGGAGAACTTTGTATGGCGGGGTCTTGACCCCACGCTCGCTATTTGGCTCCTCAACTCGGACTCATACAAATTCAGTCTGAACTGACGAATTCACTCCGATATTGCAACCCGGCGATCACCTCGTCTTATCAAGTCGCACAATGGGTGCTAAAAAGAAGACCAGTAATACTGGCAAGAATGGAGCTGGTGGGAAAGGCGTGAAGGGGCCTCAGGAGCAAGAGAAGAAGGCTCCGTCGAAAGGAGGAGGCCAGAAGGCTCGCGTCCGACACATACTTGTGAGTTTTAGGGTTGAAACTCCTACGTTTCCGCGAATATCTGACATTGAAACAGTGCACGAAGTTCTCAAAGAAAGAGGAAGTGCTGGCCTTGTGGAATGCAAACCCAACAACGGACAACTTCAAGGACTTGGCTAAGCAATACAGTGAGGATAAGGCAAGATCAGGTAGGTGGAATTCCCACAAACAAATACTATGCGTGCATGCACTGACAGTACCAGGCGGTTTTCTAGGCGAACAGCCAAAAGGATTCTGGGAACCGGCATTCGAGCAAGTGGTCTACAGCATCGAAGTGAGCTCGGACAAACCTGGCAGCAATGGAGTCAAACCAAAGGCATATGTGGGACAGGCCACCACCAAGGAAGGATACCATCTAATTTTGGTGGAGGCTAGAGGTTGAGAGGAAAACCGCAATCATGGGAGGCAATGGGAAGAGTTAGGTGACATGCCGTGACAGCAAAGATTCTGGGTTGTTCATGCAGCTTTTCCTTGATCCCGATGCTATATGAGTTCCTCCTCCTCCAGCACCTATGCCAGCTGATGACCTAGAGTACATCCGAAGGATTTGCAGATGATGGTCCGAATACCAGTCCCCCGCAGTCTATATCCCTACGCAACGCCGTTTGAGATCCCTTACTGCTCGGTCTGGAAGTAGTTGAGGAGAATAGATCGCTCGGTCGACTCCTCACCCCAGTCCTTGACGACGACACACGAGCAGTTGACAACCTTGCGCGCGTTGCCTTCCCGGTCCAAGACACCTAATTATGCGTATATTAGTATGACACAGGGCGAGGTGCACCGCATACCGGGGACAACTCACAGAGACCAGCCCACTCGCCCAATTGCTTTCCGTCGGGGACCTTGATCAGGGGAATCTTGTGCTCGGAGCACAGGGCAATGACCAGCTTCTTGTAGGCCTCCTCCTCGCACGACTCGTTCAAGACGCACATGTGAGCTTGGCGGCGGTCGAGGGCCTTAGACGCTTCGCGGAGACCTCGTGCAAGTCCATCGTGCATCAGAGCGAGCTTCAAGACACCCTTGAGGGCGTCCAGAACGGACATCTGACCCTTGGAGGCATCGGCGGAGACTTCGACCTCCTCGGGAGCTTCGGGTGCGTTGTTCTCTTCTACGTCCGACTAGAGATGAAGAAGGGCATCGTTAGCTGTATATCCATTGCAGCGCATGCGCACAGTCGAGGAGGCGTGGGCGGGCAGGCGAGCAGGCAGACCCGCGCGTGGGCATGAGGGGACGAGCCGCATGCAATGATTGCAAACGCTGCACTCGGCGCAACCAAGCCAAAAGCTGCGGAAGTAATGCGAACATACCATCGTGAATTGTGTGATACCGGTTCGATCCTCGAAGAGTGTACTGGCAGCTGGTAGAGATGTTGGTGAGTTGTGGTGGAAGGTGGGATAGTCGTGCGAAGATCTAGAAATTGTTTCGTTCGGGTATCGACGAGAAGCTGTCTGGCAATTGAGGCTTGGAGCACACAGGCGCAGTGGGATTGGCCCACTAGCGCACTCATTTGTGTATCGCTTAGGGTTAGTTGCCGGCATTCACCCAGCTGCCACCCCGTAGCAGATGGTGGCGGACTGGTAGCCAGCTCAGTCCCTCCCAAAGCACGGCCGCCAGCTGCCCACGCCCACCAGAGCAATTTTACCCGAAAACCCAATCCCAGCTGTGGAGCTCACGAACATTTTCTTACCTCGACAGTTTGCACCAGCTCCTCCACTCCCTCTTGACTTCACAACCACCACAGCGGACCAAGTCGACCACCAGACAACTTTACATCGTCGCCCACGACAACAATTGAGGTATGTGGAATCGCAATAGGATCAATATGGATTGAGCCAGCATCCCCCGGTGCGCCCTTCAAGAAGCCAGAGGAGAGCAATCCAGGATCCCAGATCTCGCTGCTGCTGTTATACGTCCGCCGGTCGCTATGGGCGTCTGTGGCCACAGCCCGGTCTGGTGGTCCTTGCGATACGCTTCTCCTCTCCAGTACTGAGCGGGCAGAACCCTACTTCATCTCCGCGATGAAGAGGGCACTCTCCATGCTCACGGCTTCTGGAGGCTAACTATGTACCGCAACCTGCAGATACCTCACTTCCTTCCCGAACGATCTGAGAATCTCCTACCACAACCGCCAAGATGGTCAAGACTTCCGTTCTGAGTGATGCGCTCAACGCCATCAACAACGCCGAGAAGGCCGGAAAGCGACAGGTCTTGATCCGACCTAGCTCCAAGGTCATCGTCAAGTTCTTGACTGTGATGCAGAAGAAGGGTATGTGTGCTGCGTCTCCATCCCCGTCACCGCCTCTCCCTTTTTTCTCTCCCTCGCTGGACTCTTGCCCCTTTGCCCCTTCGGCATGATAACTGGACGACTGTCTCAACCACCCTACGACCGAAGTCTTTTAAGTTGCCGATAGATCGATGTTTTGCAGGCGAAGGAATCTTACACGTTTCTCTGATATATCCACATGAAGTCTTGACGTTTAGTCTTTCGCTACAACCAACTAACCATTAACTATAGGCTACATCGGTGAATTCGAGGAAGTTGACGACCACCGATCCGGCAAGATTGTCGTCCAGCTGAACGGCCGCATCAACAAGACTGGTGTCATCTCCCCCCGGTACAACGTCCGTCTGGCCCACCTCGAGAAGTGGGTTGTCAAGCTGTTGCCCTCGCGTCAGTTCGGCTACATCATCCTGACCACGTCGGCCGGTATCATGGATCACGAGGAGGCCCGAAGAAAGCACGTCGCTGGCAAAGTCATCGGTTTCTTCTACTAAACGATGCGACAAGACAAAAATACAAGAGTGGAAGGGAAGGGACTGAGGACTGAGCATTTACGGGCGTTGGGTGATAATGGATAATGACCGGCTTCGTGCTTGAGATTCTAGCCAAATGAACCAAAACCATGATACCACGATACCACAAAATGCTACCCAAGTCCAGTCCTACACTGCACCTAGTCCAAGAATCCAATCCTATCCGTGCACCGTGAATCGTGAGAGCAAACGCGGTGCTCTCAGAATTGACGACCTGCATGTACCGTTCTGGTTCTGATTTTGCGGCGTCAGTTAAGCGGCTTGGCACCTGCACTGCTCCATGTGACAGTGCCGCACGAGGGCGTGCAACTGCGGTTCCTGTCAGATTTTAGATGCGCCTAATGCCGACATGCCGTGTAACAATAAACAAGTCAGAGCGACAGGTAGAATGCCACAACATTTCGGTGTCTGCACTGTAAAGGGGATGACAGAGGTCATATGGAGAATTTCATGAATGCTTGCTGTCCATAGATGAGAGACGCGTACCTAGACGGCAGGGCGTATGACGAGTACGCTCACTGACTTCTGATTGGGTGGATTGACTGGGCCGAAATCAAGGCACGGGTGACGGCAGGCATGGCCACTCCTGACCTCTTGCATGCAAGTTGCAGCAACTGCCGGTTTGCAAACATTGAAACAGCCAAAACACACTACTTCACGACCCACAGCAGTCTCAGATCGCCCAGATACCGTCTTCTTTTCTTTTGTCGAGACGGGAGGCCCAATGTCAGTACCGATACCGCACCCACCCGACGCTCAGAAGCCTCAATCGACGACGCTACCGAGCACCCCCCACGCCGCCGAATCGTCGTGAGCAATGAGGCCGCGCCAGATCATACTCACCGGCGGCGTCGTCTTCATCCTCATCTGCCTCATTAGTATCCTGCGTCTAGGCCCGTCCGGCACCAACGTCTCGAGCCTCAAAACAGACCGCAAGGCGCACTGGGGCTACCACGATGGAGCTGGCAGGGGAGACGTACTCAAGGCGCCGCCGCTCCCTCCTCCCGAGCCGTTCGACCCCCAGCCGAAGCCAGCGCCCGCGGGCTCCCACCCGATATGGCATCTCATAACAGACGCTGAGACCCAACTCGAGGCCACGAAGGCTGCACAGTCGAGGAACCTCGACGAGGCTGTCGCCGAGTACCGTCGACGCTATGGCATACCGCCCCCACCCAACTTCAATAAGTGGTTCGAGTTTGCACAGGCCAAGGGGGTGCAGTTAGTCGACGAATTCGACATGATATACGAGTCGATGACGCCCTTCTGGGGGCTGAAGCCCGCGACGATACGGGAGCGGGCCAAGGAGGCGTTGGGATTTGACAATGCGCTTCTGGGGATCCAGATCCGCGGTGGCAAGATCACACACATTCAGGGAGGAGGAGAGTGGCAGCGAGAGGCTACGGCGGGCATGATGGGCAAGTTCCTCAAGTGGCTCCCTGATATGGATCTGTGCTTCAACTTGCACGACGAGTCTAGAGTCGTGGTGTCATATGACGATTTAACGAGACTGGTCAAGAGGGCCAAGGAGATCAACATGCCCGCCGCGAACTCATACCTGAAACCGAGGAACGAGTTCACAGCGAAGCCCAAAGGCCTGAATGACGGGACAAGGTTCGAGGAAAGCAAACTAACACGGTTCAACGTGTTTGCTCACCAGCCGACATGGACGCATTCGAGGTTATCGTGCCCGCCAGAGAGCCCCGCGCGAGGACTGGAGGAAGACGAGAGGAAGGACGACCTATCGAAATACGGCCTCGGAGACCTGGGTTTCATCTACAACGTCACGGCCATGTCCGACATCTGCTACTCTCCAACCCTGAGCTCGACGTTTGGGTTCTTCGACCGACCAAACGCCTTCAACATAGTGCATGATCTCTTTCCCATCTTCTCGCAATCGAAGATATCCTCCTTCTCGGACATACTCTACCCGTCACCCTGGTACTGGTATGAGAAGGTCAGCTATGACAAGGAGAAGGACACTGAATGGGGCGCAAAGGAGGACAGGTTTTACTGGCGGGGCTCCACAACGGGCGGCTTCAGCAGGAATGGCGGGTGGCGGCGACAACACCGACAGCGGTTCGTGCAGAAGATCAATGCAGCAGACAACGCCAAGATCCTCGTCAATGCTGGGACCGACAGCGACCAGAAGTGGGAGACGAAGATGGTCCCGCGAGGCGACTTTAAGGAGTTGATGGACGTGTATTTCTCGGGCGTAGGACAGTGCGATCCCGGCGATTGTGCGGCACAAAAAGAGTTCTTCACACTCAAAGGGCACGTCGAGCAGCAGGACGCATGGAAGTACAAGTACCTGCTCGATATCGACGGAAACGCCTTCAGTGGCCGGTTCTATGCCTTCCTCAAGAGCAAGAGTCTGGTGTATAAGTGGGCCATCTTCCGGGAGTGGCATCTCGAATGGCTGAAACCATGGGCGCATTACATCCCTCTCAGTCTCCAGGGCGATGATTGGCTCGAGGCGGTGAGATTCTTCGGCGATAGCGACCTTGGAAGGAAGGAGGCTGAGCGGCTGGCCAATCAGCAGAGTGACTGGGCCAACAAGGTGCTAAGACATGAGGATATGGAGGTCTGGTTCTTCAGGCTGCTTTTAGAGTGAGTCTCTAATAAACTTCAACGTCGTTCGCGCAAGCTAATATGAGGCAGATACGGTCGAGTCGTAGATGACGACCGGAACAACATTGGCTTCTCCTTCGGCACGAAGGCGACAGAGCCGGAGAAGGAAAAGGTCATAGCCGACCGCCAACCACCGCCAGTATAAAATCGGATGTTTACTTGCGACATACGACATGGATGCTTTCCGGCGTACGGAGGGAGCTTGGTCTCACTGAAGACCGGCCTGCATGGGTGGTGTTACTAGAGAGGTTGATTACTTATTGGTCCTTTTGTATACCTAGGTAGGTGGTACCGTGGACTTGTCTCAAAGAGCTTAGCGAAGCCTTGAGACGGCTTAATTCTCTTGTACAGAGGCAAGGACAGCTGGGCAAACGAGCCTTTCGCTCTAGGTTAGGGGGTCCATACCATGGGATTAAGATGGTGCGGACATTGGAACTTTAGTATCTACGGCCTGAGGATCATAATATGCCATCCCAGATACCCAAACAATCAGGCTACGGTCTTGCATATATATAAATCACGTCCTGTCGCAAGGTATGCACGTGGCCAGACACAGCAGCTCTCTCGACCCCTGAGTCCTGACTTCAACCACCTGCAAGCTTGAGTTCATAGCCAGGCTAGTAATATGACCCCACAACTAGCCGTCGAGAGCTACGTCGAATTTCAGCTGGAATTGGACCAATTGGACCGCCCCAGGTTGTCCTGCTTCAAAGTTGTCTGCTCCCTCTCTAAATTCCAGACCTGCGATCAACAAGGCCAATGGACTCCCACAACATCATTCACATTCATGCACCGTCTTGTATGGTCTCTCTGCACACTCGCCAATACCCTTGAATAAAGCTATCTACTTGCGCGGCATCCTTTCCCCCAAATATCCACCAACATGGCATCAACGCCTATGGACCTCGACCCTACCGATGCCTCGTCCCCCGCCAACGGCACCCCGTCTACCTCGCTGAACATAACACGTACACTGGGTAGCAGCCTTCCGAGTACGTCGGTAGTGCCGGATGTCATCGCCCACTTTAGACCTACAAAGGTACCCTCTCTCATCAGACCATCCTTTCATCACTGTGATCTCTCCTTCGCTGCTGCTTCAGTCCCGACTGCTGCATCCGAGCTGCCTGGCCAAGTATCCACAGCCCACCCCAAGCCAGTCGCGCGGTTACGCAAGCAAGAAGCCGACAAAGCACAGCGAGGACAAGAAGAGAAAACCAGAGTAGACAGCTGTTCTGACCCCTCACAGCTGTTCAAGCGCAATGACACCAAAGACAACCGCCCACAACCCCACGTCCTCAGCCTCGACTTCGACGACCCCGGCGAGCTGCTCATGACCTCCGAGAGCGACGAGACGATCCAGATCTACAAAGTGCGCGACGGCCGGCATGATAAGCAACTGCTGAGCAAGAAGTACGGCGTGAAGCTGGCCAAGTTTACACGGAACAGCTCGAGCATCATCTATGCGAGCACAAAACAGAATGGTTAGCATTCCCAATAGCTTTTCTGAAGCTACGTGCCCACTGTGGAGGCCTTGGTTGATATTTGGTGGGAGGCAGACGCGATCAGATACCTCACGACGCACGACAATGCATTCATACGATACTTCGAGGGCCACGAGGCGGCCGTCACTTGTCTAGCGATGCATCCTGGTAATGACGATTTCATATCATGTGGCAAAGATAACACGGTACGGTTATGGAATGCGGGGACCAAGAATGCGACGGGTATCTTATATCTAAACACGCCCTACCTCGCGGCATATGACCCAAGCGGACAGATCTTCGCCGTGGCATCGCCATCCAGCGGGCAAGTGCTGCTCTACGACCATCGCAACTTTGACAAGGCGCCATTCTCGACATTTGACGTGCTGGAGGCTGGCGGCGCGGCGGACGCCAATTTCGTACTGAAGGGCTGGACGAAGCTCGAATTTGCAAACGACGGTCGGACGATCTTGGTAGGCACAAAAGGCAGCGGACACTTCCTCCTGGACTCGTTCAACGGCAGCCTCAAGGCGTACCTGCGGAAGCCCGAACACGGCGGGACCAGCAGACTGGCAGCCGGCGAGGAGTTCACGATGAACGGCGGCTGGAGCGGTGTCAACGTCGAGGGCAGCGGGGACTGCTGCTTCACGCAGGACGGCAGGTATGTCATCGGCGGGACGAAGAAGGGCGTCGTGGTGTGGGACACGCTGGGCCAGTCGGACGAGAACAAGGTGATGGACCCGCTGCACACGATCGAGGATCCCAGGGAGGCGGCCGTCGTCTGCTTCAACCCGCGGTTCAACTTCTTCGCGACGGCCGACCAGGATGTGGTGTTCTGGGTACCTGATCCGCATGCGTAGGCCGCGTCGGATGATGAGGATGATGAGACCGTGGACGTCGATGGTGATACTATACAGGAAAACAGTGGCAGTGGCAGTGGACAAACCCACATACAGCACATTATGCGGCAGTTTGGTGGTCTTCCGGGCACCTTGCGTGTGAGATAACTTGCACTCTTCTCCATAAGTCCAAAGTGGGATATGAGAGTAAGTGAGAGGCAGGTGAAGAGAGGAGAAATGGTGTTGGTAGTGGTGGTTTGGCTTTGCTGGAACAAGATACCCCCATATTGCATCAATGGCGCCTAAAAGGGAGGGACTGTTTTAAATGGTACACATGGATAGATCAAACTTGAGATGATACCCATGATTTTCTTTTTCTTTCTGCTAATGGTGAGCTACGGCTCTGTTGAATGGGTACTGAATTCCGATCAGTCGCAACCATCACCAGATTTGAGAAGTTATTAGAGCTCCCCCGCGATTTTGTTGGAGCTTCAGCCCCACCCACCCACCACCTCCTCAGCTGCATCACTGGTCGAGGAATGTCCAAAATCCAGGCATCCTCTCAACAGTACCACATACAACCATATCAACGACAACGCCGCCGACTTACGCCGCCCGCGCGCCCTGCCAAGCACACCGTTTCGAACGCATTTACCAAATACCACGTACGAGGTATCGACATCACATCATCACAGCCGGGCTGACTGATCGCGCGCGCGCCGTCGGCCACTTTCATCATCTGCATCGCAAACCTGCAAGTCTGGTCTGGGTGCCCGCCTCCGCCTCCACTCCCATCACGATGCCCTACTACGATACCAGCCAGGAATGGCTGCGCCAGTCCGCGCTGCTGCTTGAGGCGCGACCTAGCACCGTACGTTCCGTTCCCAATCTGCGAACAACCCAATGATTGCTCCATGTGCTGCTGTTGCGCTGCTGCCGTGCGACATATCCCGTGGTCCTCCCGCCAGTCTCTCATGAGCCTTCTTCCATGTCTATCACCTACCCATTTGATTACCTACCTCACCTCCCTTACCTACCTCCCTCCCTCCCTCATCCTACCAACCAAACCTCCCCAGTCAACTAAACAACCGAACAACTGACCACTTCCCTCCTCACAGACCCGCATAACAACCAAATATCACATAACCGCCTCCTCCGCACGCAGACGCGCCCGCGACCTCAAGCGCTTAAAGGCGCAACAAGAATCCGAACCCACGACAACCACCACATCAACCACAACCAAGCCCCCGCGCGGCTTCCTAACCCTCAAGACCTTCGATCCCCACTCGGGCACGACGCTCAAGTACAAAACCACCAAGGCGGCCGAGGTCTCGCGGCTGATCCTCAGTCTGGGCCAACTGGGCCGGCGCATGGCGGCGCTGCCGGAGCCCGAGGGGAGGGATGCGGTTATGGCGGATGCCCCTGTCGCTACCGAGGGAGGAGGAGAGGCCGCGGTGGTGGTGGAGGAGAAGGAGAAGAAGAGTGAGCCGGCGACTACGGCCGGGAAAGGAGGACAGGGGCAGGGACAGGGGCAGCAGAGTGGTGGTGGTGGCGGTGGTGTTGGTAAGGGGAAGAAGAAGAAGGGGAAGAAGTGAAAGAGTGAATGGTTGAGGAGATCGCTGTGATATGAAAGGCATGATGGGACGGGAGATGAAAACGTTCTACAAGCGGCATGCAGTGTCGTGGAATGGCATGACGTCGGAGATCGTGGCATCTAGAGCGAGTGATATGGGAGGGAGACTCTAGACCAATTTCATGGCTACGTGCTTGGGAGACTCACACTGCAGACTACCTTAGCAAGGCGCCCAGGACTAGATCGCGCAGTGAAATAAAACCCAACAATCAAGTCAATCGGAAGGAAGACATGGGTTTGTTCTAAGTTTGTTCTGAATCATCATCTTGCGTTATCTCCAAATGTAGTATTTACAAGTACACCTTCCATATCCATGCGTCAAGTCGTTTTCCCACCCACCATGACCCCAAGTGGTCGTCATTTCCGACAAGCAAGCCGCCTGCTGAACAAGCCAATGTACCTATACTTCTCGCCGGAAGAGGCGGCAGCAACAGCACCACCACCGACCAACCAACACCTAAAACGCCGTGAATGGCAATGCCCCGCGCGAGAGATGAGAGGAGAAAGGGTGTTGGAGACGACCCAACAGAAGTGAGAAAAAAGTACAGGCTCAACCAAGCCAGGATCTATACCAGACAGCAGGTCTGGCCGGCCGAAAACCGTCGGTTTGCTCGCGAAACTTCTGGTCTATAGTTGTCGTATAGTGCATGCCATGCCATGCAAATGAGGGGGGACTGTGCCGCGAAACAGGTCCAATATGCACAACGGCAGCACTAGTGAGAAGAGGGGTATCGAATGCTGCGAGTAAAGACCAACAGCAGAAACAGAACGAGCACGGGCGGCGATAGACTCAAAAGTCCTCATCGAAGGCGAAGTCTCCGCCGTTCTCGTTTGTGCTCTCTATTGGCGCTGCCGTGTCGTCATTCGAGACGTTCTTCTTGGTGCTGTTCATGACACCAGCCTTCTGGTATTCACCAACACGCTTCTCGAAGAAGTTGGTCTTGCCACCGAGCGAGATGTTCTCCATGAAATCGAAGGGGTTGGTGGCCTTGTAGACCTTGTCGTTGCCGAGGGCGAGGAGGAGGCGGTCGGCAACGAACTCGATGTACTGCTTCATCAGGTTGGCGTTCATGCCGAGCAGGGCGCAGGGCAGAGCCTCGGTCAAGAACTCTTGCTCAATCTCGACGGCGTCGGTGATGACCTTCTGGACAACCTCCTTGCTAGGGCGGTTCTTCAGGTGCGAGAACAGCAGGCAGGCAAAGTCGGTGTGTAGACCCTCGTCACGCGAGATGAGCTCGTTCGAGAAGGTGAGACCGGGCATCAGACCTCGCTTCTTGAGCCAGAAGATAGAGGCGAAGGCACCGCTGAAGAAGATACCCTCGACAGCAGCAAAGGCAATCAGGCGTTGGGCAAAGGTGGAGTTCTTGTCGGTGATCCATCGCAGAGCCCAGTCAGCCTTCTTTCGGATAGCCGGGATGGTGTCAATAGCGTTGAAGAGGTAGGTCTTCTGGGAAGGCTCCTTGATGTAGGTGTCGATGAGCAGGGAGTATGTCTCAGAGTGGATGTTCTCCATCATGATCTGGAATCCGTAGAAGCATCGAGCCTCAGGGATTTGGACCTCTCCACTGAATCGCTCGACAAGATTCTCGTTGACAATGCCATCCGACGCGGCGAAGAAAGCAAGGATGTGGGAGATGAAGTATTTCTCGTCGTCGTTGATGCGGTTGTTCCAGTCGTGGAGATCCTTGGACAGGTCAATCTCTTCGGCAGTCCAGAAAGACGCCTCGGCCTTCTTGTACATCTGCCAGATCTGTTGTGGAATGGGTGGTTAGCCAAGGTCGCGTCGAGAATCCACTTTACGCGTTCAATACGCGTCACTCACCTCGTGGTACTTGATGGGGAACAAGACGAATCGGTTGGGGTTCTCTTGTAGGAGGGGCTCGTCGGCCTCCTCGGGCTTGATTGTGGGAGCCACGGCCTTTGTCGCTGTCTGCTCTTGGACCTTCTCGGCTGTGGGCTTGTGTGATTCGATCTCGGTGGCAAGGTTCTCGACAGCAGCATCGAAAGGCGCGTTCTCTTTGCCGGCAGCGTTGAAGTCGAGCTTCTTGATGGGTGACTCCATCTTGAGGGATTCCATGGCAGAGGCAGCCTGCACAGAAAGAACGCGTTAGTCAATGACCACAGTGGAGGGACAGCCTGGAGAGGTGTTGATGTCATGTACCTTCTTGGAGGGAGTGATCTCGGATGCCATTGTGAGGTAGGGTGAGGTCGAACGAGAATTGGAGGGGTACTGTTGTGAAGAGGAAGGCAACTGCTATGTGGGATTGGAAAAAGAACAGAAGATTCACGCGTGTTGTCGTGTCAAAGGTCGGACTGAAGTGGTTGTGATGGGTGGTGTTGACTGAGAGCGTGTTTGGGACAGGCCGGGCCCAGGACTTTTAAATGGCGTTCTTCGCGCCAGGTCACGTGCACAGACCACCAGCTTTGGGACGCGCGACTGGCAGGACAACGCGAACAAAGTGCCCCGCCACTTCTTTTCTCACGCGTCGGACAGGGGTTCGGCTCCAGACCCTCCACCACTTTACCTCTTTAGCACTGGAATGCGGCTTTCTCGGTTGCTTCGCGCACGCTTGAGGCGTGTCCGACAACAGGGAGCAGGGATTCTCGGCGCTATCGCGATCCTGATGCGAGCCGACAATTTGTTTGATCTGATAAACACGGGCCTGAAGGGGCATGGGCTGAAGCACTAAGTCTGACGCGTCTGGACTGATGTAGACGCGTGTAATGAATAATTCGTCATCGAGGACAATCTTTGACAAAGCGAATCTCTTTCATACCTTCATGTTACTAATTATTATACTCCAGCACTGGAGACTACACAGGTCAACTGGTGGGGATAGCAAGTGACTCAAACTTGCTGCTTGTTGCTTGCTGCTTGCCCGGCAGTCATCTACAGAGTGCGATATTCGATCTCGATGTTAGTTACCATCATGCCACATGCAGTTCTAATACCCTCCTGGCTCGCGCATATTCCATAGACTATGTCTCGTGCAGGTATCAACACCTGCATGCATATGTTGCCTACCAGTATATACTGGTCAAGCCTAGAATAACCCGGATCTGCCTAGTTGTCAAGTTGCCTACAAGTGCCACCATCCTGTCATATTCAGTGTTGAAGATATGGGCCTACCCCGAAACCCACTGAGTGGTATGGGATGGGCAAGCGGTTTGCCGATTGCAAGTTTATTAATCTACTCTGATTCTAACAGATCAATGTTGGTATCACTCATACAACAACACTCTTCCATTATTCGCCTGTGTCATACCTCCAAAACACCAACAATCAACTGCGTCCCAAGCGTCGTCCCAACCATGCGAAGTAACCAAAGTCATGATCTCATACGTAGCATCATTACAGACCCTCTCCAACTTAAGAATATCAGTCCAACTTAGACATGTTCTGCTGCAGAACCAGCCTGCCCTACAGCATCACCACGACGAGACCACTAACCCCGTCGGCTTTGCTTTGCAGTGGCGGTTTGGCCGGCCGTTCCCGCTTCAATATCAGCGGGCCGAGACTTCTTGCCGCCGAAGCCGAAGAAGCCTCCGCCGGAACCGCCTTGCCGATCGGCGCGGACCTTCGCCTGCGCGGGTCGCGGTGGTTGAGCTGGCGCAGCGGCAACACCACTCGATTGGGGGGTATCATCTCGTGTTCGGCCAGCAGGGACCTTATCGTGCCGGGCAGGTTGCGAGGATGTAGGCGACCCCGAGCTGTGGAACCGATCGAATTCGGCCGGGTCGCTGGGATCAACGTCAGGAACCGGTAAACCACTGGCCTGGAGGTTCTTCATGCCCTTCTTACGAAGATGTTTTTCGAGAGCAGCGGCATTACGGGTATTGGCGAGAATCAGGGCATCGCCGATGTCGCCAAGGATTGGTACCGCTCCAATGATAAGATCCAGTATGACCCAGAAATACATCATGAGCTTCACGTCAAATGGGAGCCCGCCCTCGATCTGCTGGGCTGTGCGAACGACCAACATGGCCAACAACCCATCAGCGATATCGCCCGCACTGTTGTGGACAAATCAGTCGGTCTGTTCATAGTTTATGGTTTGCACAGAGCCCAATAACTCACACAGGGAAGATGCCGATTATGCTACCCCAACCAAGCTTCAGGCCCATGAAACTGCCAAAGGCCATATCTAGCCTGTAGGCCCTTCTCTTAACCTTGTTCAGAATGTTCGCATCGTGTTCGGATAAGCCAGGTGGTATGGCCTTGTGGATCTTCTTGGTTTTCGAACGGGAGGGTTTGCCATCAAGTCGTGTCGCGGGGACCGTCTCGAAGTATGGATCCTAGGGTTGCGCGTGAGTCTAACCATCCACGATCAAGTGTTCATCGAGCCACGCCGTATGCTTCTGGGATGGCGTAGGAGAACCATGTGCTCACCTCTACTCCGAACTTGTTCTGGAGGGTCTCTCCAAGGATCTTGTTGGTCACGAATTTCCCAACGTAACCAGCCATCTCGAGATGCTTGTGGATGCGGCAGTTAGGTGAGAGAACTAGGAATGAAGATTGAGACTTGCGAACGGGAAAAGCTAGTGGTTAGAGAAGACTGGTTGCAAGGGTTTTATTGACGGTTCTGTGTGTTGAGCGTCAGAGACACTGCTACTGCTAGTGGGCGGCCTCGTTGACGAACGGGAAAGGGCGCGATTGGCAAGCACGAGATCTTGGGTCGTTTCAGAAGGCGCGCTCTACGGAGGTGCAAGTCTCACGGTGGTCACGACAGCAAAACGGGGGGAGGTAAGAGTATTGGAGGTAAAGAGATTGTATTGTTTCCCAGACACCCGGCCCCGTGACGACGGTTGAGCCTGCTAAAACCTCCAGATACGTAAGTCTTGTCATTTCAGGTTTTGTGGTGCCAGCGAACGAACCCCCTGACGCATCAAGATTCAAAAGCCGGCCGACCAGCTCAAGCTTGGAAACTGGCGATGATGTCAACCCTTTCCCGTCCCACAAGTCCCGGCCCAGCCCGCTTTGGGGAAGGAGCATACCCGAGGTTGTAATATGATTGGACGAAGCTATGGGATGCTTGCATTGTGGCGCGTTGTGTCATGGCTCCAAACATAAGCGGCCTCAGTGTGGCAAAGAATATGGATTGTGGCGGTGCTTTGAGCTTACCTTACCTTAGCCATGTGAATCCCTGCATGCGATCACGAACGACGTGCGCCGCTACTACTGGAGCGACTGGCGCGATGCTTGGGACTACCGCGTCGTGCATAGCACGATCTCTATGTATTTTGCCAAATACGGACTACCGTTCTCTTTTCTCTTCCGTGCTTGTGGGAGTGTCTTGCGTTCATCTATCATGTAGCATTGACCAGAAACAGATACTGAGCCATTGAACCGCCGGGATGCTACTCTGGAGGAGAACAACGCTGTTTGCAAGCGCCTCCTGGGCGCTAAGTCAGGTCCCCTTACAGCCACAAGACCACAGCCAAGGCTACCAATTTGATGAGCTACTCCATCTCCCCGGCATCTCCCCTTACTTCGATGCTGTCGGCTTCGGCCTAAACAACGCCACACCAGAAGGCTGCAATGTCACGGCTGCCTCATACTTGATCAGACATGCGGCCATCTACGCCAACGACGATGACTATGAGGTGTACATCGAGCCCTTTCTGGAGAAGCTAGAGAATCACCGATCCGGCTGGACAGGCCCCCTAGAGTTCCTAAACAAATGGCACTCCCCAATCCCGACCGACAAACTCGAAGAAATCACACCTTCCGGAGCTGGCGATGCCTATAAAGTCGGCAAACACCTTCTCGCCCGCTACCCCGACTTGGTCCCCACCACGCAGAAAATTCTGGCGGACAAGAAATCCCGGACCTATGACACAGCCAAAGCATTTGTCCGAGCTTTCCCGCACGCGGACGAGATAGAGGTAGTTCGGATTTTGCACGATCATAATGGGAGTATGGACTCCCTGATCCCGCATAAGTCTTGCCCGGCTTTTACTAAGGAGCCTGGGAAGGATGAGATGGCTACGTTTGTGAGCAATTATGCTCCGAAGGTCGCTGCGAGGCTGGGAGCTCTTGTGCCGGTCAAATTGAGCGATAACGATATCGTGGGAATGCAACAGCTATGCGGCTACGCCTCCGCAATCGACGGGAAACGCAGTCCCCTCTGCGGCGTCTTCACAGATGCTAAAATGGATGGCTTACGAATACGCTTGGGATCTTCGCTACGCTCACATGGTTGGACCATTGAACCCCCTCTCACCGTACTTAGGAACTCCCTGGTTGGCTGCGCAGAGCGCTTTATTCTTCAGCTTCGATGGCGAACAACAACGATCAAAAAGCGCCCAGGAAGGCTGGCCCGCGGACCAGAGGCTTTTCCTAAGCTTCACTCACCGCGAAGTCCCACCCTTCGTGGCCACAGCCCTGGGCCTCTTCAACTCCTCCTCAAACTCCGCCGAAGAATTCCCCCTGAATCGGATAAATTGGACCCGAGCCTGGAAGCGTGGGGATGGAGAAATTGAGCTGTGATTCTTCGGGGTATCCGGGTATGGAGGGGGAGTACGTGCGCTTCATGGCCAATAGTGCTCCGAGACCTATCCCGACTTGTCAGAGCGGACCGGGGGCTAGTTGTCCGTTTGGGGAGTTTAGGGGGGTAATTGAGGAGAGGGTGGAGAGGTATGGGGATTTCCATAGTGTTTGCGGGAGGAAGGATAAGAATGGAGAGCATTAGACGGTGAACTGGACTCGGAAGCTGTTTGCTTCACTTGTATATAGAAGAACGAGCGTGTTTGTAGATATTAGATAGTAGCTCATTGATAACTAATATTACGCGGCGCCGAGAAACACGTCAACTGTACCAACTGCGGCGGAAACTTCACCATCGCTTTGGGCATGAGTAGATGTACACATAGCTTACTACTTTGCTAGCATCGATGTGGCAAGAACAGATTGTGGCGGTGCTTGACTGTAATCCCGTAGAACTTACACACCAAGCTCTGTATCGCATAATTCGCCTCAACCTCAATCATATCACCTCCATCCTTCTACACAAGGTCTCGTCCCATGCCTCTCCGCGCATTATTCCGTGCACGTAACATGGCTCAAAGACTTCCCACTGCTTGGTTTGCCGGCTTTGGCTCATGAGTAATGGCAATCTGCTTCCCTTGCAGAGCACGATACTATCTCCAGTCTGGGTGACTTCAGGTACCAGAGCAAGGAATCCCTTTCTTGTCCACGCCAATTTTCGTCCAATCGTAAGCATCTGCATGGCATTGAATTTTGACATCCTCGCCTGTCTCTTCAAGCTGGGAAATGCTGTCGCAACAAGTGCCTTGCGCATCTTCGATGGTTCTGGCAGCTCCTCGCCAGTGCGACTCTTGGAGAACTTGAGTGATGGTCGCTTCGACGATAAAGTCAGGCTGTATACGCGCCGGACCACGCTAAACGCATCCATGTATTCTTCGAAAGCTTGGAATGCCGCCTCTGGTCCTGCGGGCATATGCCCGTAACAACGCACCGCGCAGAACACCCGACGGACTTCCTCGCCAGTGGGATAGGACGTCGTCCTTGACAGAGCAAATTCCTCCCACTCGATGAAGGTGCCGACAAAATCGCCTATCCGGGCCATTATATCCGTCATCCCTCCCCAGGCAACCGCCATCATATCCATCAACCCTCCCGGGGCGCCCTCTTCGTGTTCGATAGTTTCAAAGATATCGTCGCCGAACAGTCTCGCCAAAGCATCGCTCATGGACGGCATTGAACGAGAGACTACTTCAATTATAGTATCCGCGACATAGCCGGATATAATCAAAGTTCGATCACGTTCGACAGAGGGCGTCCAGCTTTGGCAGTTGCCACACGCGGTGAAAAGCGGACTTGTTCCCATGGTGTTTGTCGATTCAATTCCATGTGTTGGAAGTTTCTGGTCTCTTATCTTCACGGCCCAGTTCGGTACCCAGGAAGGTAAAGCGTCGGCCACCGATGTTGACGTCAGTCGGTTGTGCCGGTGGAGGAACGCGAACATATCTAGGTTGTCTGAAGTGGTCGAGATGGCACGAGCACTGTTGATGTAGCATTTCGAAACTGTCATACCAGCACTGTAGTTGGGCTTACAGTCTGCATCGCTCAAGGCGGCGAGCTCAGAGGAAGAAACGAGCCCCATCAATGCGTACACGTGGTCGAGAGGGTTCTTTGCGTCGGAGGAGCGAAATCTCTGCAGCAAATGCGAGAGGCTGGGAAGAGGTGCCCCATCGTGATGCTGGTATAAGTTTCTATACTCCATCACTTCCAAGAGAGACCATGATGGAGGTAAGTGGCCACGAAACTGCTTTTTGTCCGCAAAGATGGAGTACATTACCATAGCCAGGAAGAGAAAGTCCAGCCCGAAGCTTATGTCACCACAGAGGACGATCACCTCTGGCGAAAGACATACCTCCTGGATTATCCACTTCCTACTCCACCACTCTCTGCTTAGAATGTTGGGCACTGCAAGACGCCAGGAACCCCATGTTGCGATACTGGTCAGGAGAGTATCGCGTTGCTTCGGCATCAGTAACAACTTCCTGCTGGCAGTGCGAAGCCAATCTGACATGTCCTTCGGCATAAACCCTCTCACAATAGTATCCAGGTCGATGTCGCGTGGATCTCCCCCAACCCTGTGGTCCCAGTCGTTTTTCACAGCTATAGCTGCGCGACGGATCATAGCTGACTTGTCTGCCCACTTTGACTGGACTCCGCTGTTGTCCCGCCAAAGCTTGTCGGGGTCTGTCACGAGAGTGTCGATAAACAAGGAAAGAAGTTCCTCCGTGGAAGCCACGAACTCCCTGAGAATCAAAGGCATGACGCTCATCCGGTTGGACGCGGATGCGACGGCAGCGACGCTATCGCCTTGGAATGCTGGTGAGAAGTTGTCTTCGTTGGCCGCCCCCAACCACACAACTGTCCGTATCCCCCTGCCGTATATACGGTGCATCATAGCAACTTGCTTCCCACGCTCGTCCAGCGCGCAAGGCTCGTTTCTCTGGTTGATACAGATAGCGTCGATCCACAATGTCCGTGGCCGGTCAGGAAGACGAAGTGCCAGGAGAGCGTTGATCAGGTTCTTCAGCGCAATGAACCTGTATCCATTGCACTCCAAAATGTACTTCTGTCCAGCCTCGTCGCCCCAAGTATACGAGAGGGCCTCATATTCAGGGCAATTATCAAACGGGTGTAAGGAAAGTTCAACCTCGATGCCTGTCGGCACTGCCTCTTTGTTGCGTCCTGGTCGTACCCCAGAATGCCCCTTTGGAAAGACCAGCTCAGAGCCTTCGGGATTGGCGAACCCATGTTCGGCGGTTTCGTACTCGTCGTTATCTGAATCCGAGTCTTCGTAGAAGGCTATACTATCCGCTTTCGAGCCCTGTGCGGGAAGTAGAGTCAGCAGTCGGAAGCAAGGCCCGTCGGACCGACTCAGTATATCTTCGTAGATGTTGTCGTAATCGGTCATGTCGGTTTGGAAGATCCAGTTGAACTTGAAGCCCCGAATCCATTTCCAAGACAAGATGGCTTTTCAGGCTCTATGCGAGCGTGAAGACATCTCGACGGCGTGTAAGCGCCGAGGATGTGGGACGACCCCCCTGTATCACTGCGGCCCGGGACGAAACGTGCATATTGTCCAATGAGATGACGGTGCTGCGAACCAACATCTCAAAGATCGGGGCTGTGCACGCATACTATGTGCCTCTCGATTGGACTGTGCCAACGCCGCAGTGAGGCAAGACGTTGTGTGCTGGCCTTGCTTTCCTGCCTATCATCCACGAATGGAACTGTCGTGAGGCTGCGATATTGACACCCACTCTTCATTTTCCACTTGACACACCCTCGCATGTACTGGTCATTCGAATTTCTACATGATTGAGCAGCCTGGCCATATATGATATACCCGCGTGCAGATGTGTACTTGCCCCCGCTCACATCGATGGTTTCACCCATCGCTGTCGCAGCCCAGAGACTCGGGAAGCCGCACGAGGCGTAGGTATGCCAATGCCGACTGCCCAGCTTCGCCCCGTCATTCGCAGAGCGAGTTCACCGACCGATGGAATGCGTACCCGCCCGCCCGGTTGCACGGCCGCCCCTCCGGAGTACACTTTGGGAATACGAGACAAGCGAATATTGCTAGTATCCCCATATGAACAGGACTGGGGACGTTTGTGTCAGTGGCTGAGATAAAGAGGACGACATATTTCTCTTCTTGCGTTATGATTTACCTGATTGACATGACATCCGTCACTCCAGAGCGTGAACCCGCCCCCTGTGTAAAGGGACCATTGCTAGAGTCATAGTTAAAGAGTGATGAACCCAGCAGAAAGAATACTGTGAGAGCCCCTTCCGCAAGCAACCTCACGTATCTACACTAGGTTATGCTGTGAACCTGGGCTGTGGCGGCGTTGGTGATTGTGACTGGATAGCTGAAGACCATGTCACTGAGAGAAATCACACTTGCCAGGTAATCTTATGCCGAGATCATCAATGTCATGGACTTTTTAGCGTAATGCCGACATATTCCAAAAGTTCAGGACCACGTCAGATCTTGGTATACTAAAGCATGACTGAATCGCTGCAGTAGTCATCATCGTCTTCGCGAAGCTCTCCAACGTTCTCTCGATGAGTTTACTGGCCGGTCCTACTCTGCCCAAGGACTTTCAGTTAGCGACATGTCACAAACCACACCATGGTCAATAAAACTCGATATCCTGTGGGAAAATGTGGTCACTCATGCATATGCTCGGGGAGGAAAAGCGGTACTGTTTCCGGAGCGGGGCCGGGAAGCATCACATAACAACCTACCTAAACAGGTTGGTTTGCCACAACTCAATCACCATTTGACCTCTATCATTCAAATTCGTTTTCACCATTCGATCGTCGTCAGGTGCATGAGTCTTCTCCAGCTGCATGCTTGGAGTTGGTATGCAGTTGCCAGTCGGCCGAACATCCGCCCCATGTGTGCGCTGAGCTTCAAACTGATAGCACCTGGTCGCAACATATAGTAGTAAACACGCCCAATACACTTCGTGGCTCTAATGGTATAGCACCGAGCTGCCTGCTTTCCAGTATGGCCTTTCTGTAGGATGGCCGGACACCTACGGCAGCACTGTCTGTCTCTCTTGGAGGCACAAACCTCAATACGGCAGCTCTTGGAAGGCAACACAAGCTACATACTAGAGAGACGATGTCTTTAAAAGGGGCACTACCATCTATTGCTCCAGGAGAAGACCAGAAGAGATGAAATTGGGAACGAAGTCTGCCGTTGATTGGCGATAGAGCCGTTCTGTGGGTGGTTCTCCCAGTCAGTCACTCCTGGAACATCCCTTCGGCTCAGGCGACCATGCATATTGTCCTTTCAACCACATGTCTGGTAAGACGAAAACTCCGCAAAACCCTTTCATCTCCTGACTCTGGATTAAAGGTTCTTCTCAACAGACACATGTCTTCGTGATCGGATGGAATTCACCAAGGTGATGTAAGCAATCCGTGGAACCAGAGTGGCCTGCAGCCATCCGTGCTCTGTGCCTCGGCTTTTCTCGGAGAATCCGGCATTGAATGGGTCTGCGCGTAGCCCCGGCGCCTTAGAAGTGAGACCGACAGTTGCCCCACGACCTCTCCGGTAGCGGTACGGTACATGATTACACATAAAGGAAATTTTACCACGGTCGCATGGTCTAATGGTTATGAGTAAGTCAACAATCATTATGCCTAATCATACTACATACTAACAAATACTCTAGCATGTCCTTCACAGTCCTCTCCGAGATTCGGACAAGGTTCCGAGTTCGATCCTCGGTGTGACCTACTATTTTGCCTATTTTTTGCATTAACCTCAATTGCTGTATCACAACGTTTGACTGATTTCCATGATCACAACTCCTTCCAAGTTCCATAGCATAAGAGGTGAGCAAGTAGGATGGGTTCATATATTTTTGTTGAGCCTAACATGTCTCCTGGCTTACTTCCCACCCCTTTTCCTTCTGTACGCAATGAATACTACATACGTCTTGACCTCCTGAATCGCTAACAATGAACCTGCAAACACAGCCGATGAGCAGGTACCATAGTCAATGGTGCACGCTTCTTGTGGTTCAGTCCTGCTAACACCTGTCAGCATACCTACACGTATAGAAGCAGCGCTTTTGGTAGAAGATGTCAATGCATCAATTGCGGTTGTTGGTAGCGGACTGATTGATTCGCTACCTGTAGAGTGTATGCCCAAGCTTGCTAAGTAGAAGGTCTGTAGGCCTGCTGTAATATCCCGCAAAGTGAGTTGTACCTGGAAGTTACTTATTCATTTTGAAAAGAAGCACCAGGCAAGATCGTGGGCTGTCAACCGCTGCTTATGCCTGTTTTTGTTCCCGCTAAACCAACAATCGAGTAAGCGTGCCTATCTCAAAGGCGCACCAACTCCTTTGCTCCATGTGGTGACCGGCAGCCACGAGCTGGACATCTCTTGCGACCTAGCAACTACATGATAGCTGCTATGACAGTCAACATTCTGTCTAGGTGCTGGTTCGGACCCTGGCTAACGCACGACTGATATCTGATGTGAGTGGATGTTTTGGCTTGAGACAAAACTTCTTCAAAGTGCTAATGGTGAACCGTGGCGCTTTTGGAGGAAGAAACCAGGACAGGAGGAGAAACACTTGGATGCCACTAGGCGGCTGCTCTTCTGCGACACTCGTGCCGGTGTTGTCCTTACGCCTAGACTCTTGGATAACCAGGCCACCCGTGCAGCAACCCCAGCAATCTCAATGCCTATGACCCTGTCTCCTGCTTATCCATGACATGCAGGTGATCGTATGCAAATGCTGAATACTGATATTATAAGAATGGTGATTTGATTGCTCATATAAGCTCCAAGCTTTAATATCTTGGGCATGTCAGCCCTACTAGGTACCCGTCTCTTCCAAGCTGTCAGCTGGTGCCTGCATGCCTCCATCTTATGGGCAATCTTAGCCACTCGCTTGATATGATCGAGGGTGTGTCAAAGAGTCTCCGTGTCTAGTTATTACACGTAGCTTCAAGGGACGTTGACCCTCAACATAATGACTATCCAGCGCCCTCCCCTTCTCTTCGTGCTCGTCCTTCGCTTGAGCGAACCGCGGATATTGAGGTATCCCGAGCTAGTGTATAACTTATATAGCCAAATCCCAAAAAAAAAAAAAAGAACCCCGCAATCTGATGATTCGCATTCTGGTACCAAGATGTGCCGCCGCCCAAAGCCCAATATCTCAACCGAAACACAAAGCGCAATAGGGGGGGAAAGGAGATCAGAAACACGAAAAACAAACACCGAAACACCAGCTTCAGGCCAGCCGCTGTGCTCCCATTTTCCAGTGGGGTGAATGTAAATCAGCCGAGTAACACACGCACGCGCCTTTTGAATATGTACTCCAGCTAGCAAATAGGTATAGTAAACGATGGACCGGAAAACGGATATATAGGTAGGTATGTTCGATAGCGACAAAGGAGATGTTCGATGAGTCGGGAAGAAGACGCGGAGGCTCTTCTGTCTGCCTGGCTTGCGCAATCACGTCTTCCGGTGCTGGGATCCCGTAGTGTGTCCTGTCTTGTCCCTGTATTTCGATCAAGACACCTTCTGCAAGCAAGAAAAACAAAGGCAATATATTCCTCATTTTAAGGTCCCCTCCCCCGAACGTCCGTCCGAAAGTACTGTCGGTTGCCCGATCTATGCGAAGAAATGTCTAGTAGCCGTGGTATCCGATTCCCCCCCCTGGATTATATAATGTCCCCTCAACAGTGGCTCCAGGTCACCGTGAGCGGGATGCAGCGAGAGATGGAAACGAGTATTAAAAGGATGAGTAGATGGTGAGAACGTATATGATTGATTCATATGACGAAGGGAAGTAGAGTTGAGTGTGAGGTGATGGCCCGTTTCGAGTCGACTTCGTCGTGCTTAGCGCTGGCCGGGATCGTGGGGGCCGCTGGGCCGTGTCGCCCATCCGGACTCGTAGGGTTCTCTTTTGAACGGTGTGTAGCCTTGCACGGGTGTGTTCGTGGCCGAGGGTGCGGTCGTAGGTGTCCCGGAAGGCGGGTCGGATCGCAACGGCGGGAGTCTCGGAGGCGCCCCTGCCGATGGCGTTCCTGGCTGCGAGAGGGTTGTCGGGTAACTGGGTTGGTGGATCGGCGGGAGCGTACTGGGAGTCGAACCATATGCATGAGAGGAGTATTCCAGCTGAGAATCTGTCCTCCGCCGCCGAGATGCCCTCTCGCCCGTTGTCGGATCGGCGGCTCCGTACTGCTGTATAGGCATCGACGTCGGCGGTCTAGTAGCAGGCACGAGGGGGCTCCTCTCCGCGAAGGAGCCACCGCTTCTGGCCGAGTTAGGGCTCGGGGGTCCCTGGAAAGCGAGTTCGCTGGTCCCAGGCGTCCGGTACACGATGTCGCGGAGCCGATCGCGCTCCGCACGGTATCTGTCGCGCTCGGCCTCTGCATCTTGCAGTCTCTTTTCGACTTCGCGGTTCTGAGCCTCCAGCTTCTGGATGTTGATAGCCTGTTGTACTTCCCTGTCCTTTTTCCGCTGCCGAAACCGCGCAGACGCTCCTGCATTTCGCTGGCGCTTCTCGTCCGCCTGCTTCGAGCCCTGGTACATCTCTATCGGTACGATGATATTATCGCCTTGGGTCGGGGCAATTTGGAAAGCAGCGTGCCCTTCCGAACCTGGCATTCCTCTTGCTCCACCCCCGCCTTCCTGTAGGGGGTGTCCGTGTCCGTAGCCCCCTGACCATCTTGGGTCATTTGGTGGAAGATGAGGGGGGAAGCTCCTGTTGTTTGGTGGAAAACCGCTCGTGTACGGTGAGGTCGAAGCGAAACTGCGTTGCTGCTGTACTTGTTGGCTGAGCCCCCCTGGGGGCTGTTGCGGTCTTTGGTGCGCTGGTGCGTTGGCTTGCACAGAACCCGGCTGTGACGGAGGCCGTGTCGGTGTCGCCAACGGGGGAAGGCTTGTTGGTGGCCCGCCCCCAGTACTGTCAACCCTTCCAAGCTGTGGCCGCAGAGATGGCGTGCCCCCCGGCCTCGGCTGGTGCTCTGGCCGCACAGATGTACCAGAGTCATGGTGAAAGGCCCTACTTGATTCTGGAAGCGTAACGGGGAAGTACGGCGCTTGCTGGGGAGTTGGCGTGCGAAATGATGGGCCCTGTCCTCCGCTGCTAGACCGAGGTGATCTTGGTGTCAAGATCCGTCTCGTCGCTGCCATCGCAGGAAATGGCTGGAATGGACCGGGAGAGCCGCGAGCCGTAGAAAGTGGTGCCAGCGCCGGTGGGCCTCCGGGCGTTGGGTTTTGCTGTCGTTGACCCCCCATGACTTGGCCATGAAATGAGAATGGCCGTGGTGCGGTTGGACTCAAGTTAGGTACTGGACCGGGTGTGTTAGGAGCCGATGTGTTGGTTTCGTTTCGCCGGCGTGCTGTTGTTGATTGTGCCTCGGAGGGATTGAGTATGTTGTGAACACCGAGTCCCCGGTATGGGTATGACTGCGTGTCTTCTCCATTGGTTCGTGGGATACTGGTGTCTCCCAGAGACCTGTCATCTTGCTGGCCGCCACCTCCTCGATGTCCTGGCTGATGAGAGTCTCGTGAGGTATTGGTGCCCGTGGGGGATGTTGAAGTCCGAGGAGAAGCAGATCGGCGCGCAGGATCCCACTGCGACATCGAAGCCTGTTCCCCTACTCGCTGGTGGTCCTGAGGACCCAGACATTGACCAACTCTACCAGTTGCAGCTTGACACTGTTCAGTTTCTTTCTTTGCTGTACTACTATCTGACGGATCTCCACGCTGTCTGCAGCACGCCCACTCCTTCCTGCCTTGACGACTCGGTTGGTATCCCACGACCACGGTACTGTTAGTGCGAGAAGGTGGTTGCTGAGGGGCTTGCCGATGACGAGGATCTTGGACCGCCACTGCGATGGACTGGCGGCCGGGATAATGGCGTATGCTTGATGTGACTGATATAGCGTGGTTTCTGTTGTCGATGTTGCGGGAAAGACTGTAGGCGGATCGTTGGTTTGACCTGATACTTGCCCTCCTCTCCTTCACCAGTATCCAGGTTATACTCGATGTGAAGAGTTGCTATGTGTCGTTCCAACCCACTGGTTATGGGAAAGCTTCTTAGCTATGTGCTGAGAAATTCTTGTCAAGCTACTCTGAGCTGGTTCAGGTGTGGTCGTAGATTGGTGGTAATATCGAGTTCTGACCGGTTCCAGTTCCGAAGCTGTACGTCTAGAAGGCGCAAAGACAGAAAGGTAGAAGACGTCTGGCCAGCGGTTCCAGACAGGCGGCGGCTCGGAGATATCAGCTAACTTGTACTGCCCAACTGGAACTGTACCAAATCACAGGAAGGTGTGGTTGTGACCAGTACAGATGGGATCAATAAAGCGGACCAGTCACGACCCTGATCTGAAGCCCTGCGTAATGAATGGCTGAGAAAGCCTACCCACGCTAGAGCCCCTGTGATCTGAACGGCAGGCAATAGCCACAGTGTTACGCTTGGTCCGGGGTCTGGAGTCGAATACACCCTGAGAAAGTCGACGGGAAAGGAGCTAGCGGCGAGATGGTCTAAGAAGTATTTCCGGAGAGTTCAAGTCGGTGTAGGTCAGAAAGTCGTTGTATGACCAGGTATCGCCTCGGAAGCGGTAAGCTCAGCGCTTTGTTCGCTGGATCAGTATGCTTCGTCAAGCTGTAGAGAGCAGATGATGGCAGAGGTACGGTTGAGTAGTCCGATATAGCAGACCTGAGTGAGATAAGTTGCCCGCTGGACTAGCTTCCACAAGCAAAGCCTCTTCTTTTCGAAATTTCCCTCTTCTTTCCATCCTTGGCATCACGTACCTAAGCTCCCCATGCCCGTTGTTATCATCGAAAGGGTGTGTGATCATACAAGGGGTGGAGCGGACATGGGGGTGGTTTTGGGACGGCAGCCGGGGTGCAGAAAACTCCAGGGGCCCCTTACCCTTGTTCAGGCTTGCGTTGGGACTGACCGACAGGGCTTAGAGGCTGGAACCCATACTATGGATGCCATATGTTGGGGGTCATAAGTTCAGTGCTGAGTAACCCCATGGCATGTTGCTTTTTGAGACTGCTGCTGCGAGATTGTGGGAGTTGAAGAACATGGAGACCAAATCTTACATTACCATAAAGCCGTTGCGAGATGTGAATATCTTCGCAGCTGTCCAAGTGTTGACATACTAACTCAGGCAACGTCTGACATCTGTAGCTGGAGGGGCACGCGGAACATAAGGTCTCACCCCCCCGGGGACCCCAAAGGCTGAGGGCGGCTATTCAGCGACCAACCCGAAGACGCAGGAGATAGTTCGGGCGACACATCCCGAACCACCTCAACCTCCTAGGTTCTACCGCCTCACATATGCCATATGGCAGCCACCTCGACAAGTAACACGATGCTGGCCAATAGTCGATCCTGCCGACAAAAGCAACATGGGGGAAACCATCGTGGCGAGCATGCTATGTATCATTTCTCTAAAGAGACATAAGCTACAAATCGGTTGTGCACAGACGGGACCGGTGTGAGAGATACCAGCACTGCCTACGTGGCTAGTGGAATCCTTCTGAGGTTGTTCCCATCTCTGCGGAGTTGTGCTGGTCGCTTCGCGTGCAGAATGATGCGAGTCATAGGTGGTGGGCAGAGGGACCAAGCAGCGGTTATGAAGTTATGACGAGCTTCATATACATGCGCGCCAGCTCATACCTACATACATACATACAGTGCGTTCCCGGTCAGTCCGTGGGAGGAAACAGGTGTTCGTCGTAGGTCAGTGAGTGGGCAGCCAGGCGCCAGGGTCACGATCGAAATACCACGATACTCCGTACAACTGCACAACAGCGGGACAAGACGGTCGCCCTAGTGCGAATCCACCAGCAAGCGAACGTTCGGTTCATCCGCAGCCGCGGAAAGCGGAAAACCCCCCTTGACTGCTTGGGTCGTGGGTCGTGGGTCGTGGGTCTTGAGACTTGGCTACAGTGCATCCAGCTGATAAGTAGTTATGATGAGTTGCTCAACTAGAAAAGTTCGAGTGGGCGAGAGGAAGCCCGGGGCTGTGTGGCCGACAGTCTCGGTCTCGACTCTCCAACTCCCAAGTCCTCCCATGGGCCATGTGAGGTTCATCTCCTGCTGTTATTAGCAATACGACTTCAATCAAGACTGGCGAACAGGCCTGTCGCAACCCTGTCTCTACCAGGCAGCTCTGTACAGTCTAGACAGTCGTTTCCCAGGTTCGTTCTGTGGTTGCTTTACTTGGTTAGTTGTTAGTTGTTTACGCTACGTAGCATGCATGGCACCTCCAAGCCATCAGGTACCAATAACACCCTGTTGGGAAGTGATACTGATTCCTGATTCCAGCCCAACGCCAGAGCGGTGTCGCATCAGGGCCCTGCCTGCCAGCCAGCGTCAGCGTAATAAGCAACTGGCAACAGGGCGGCAGGAGGATCGCCGACGCAGGCAGAGACAGGCAGGCATCTGCAGACTGCGGGGCGCAATGCTGGATGAAAACCCTGACGGAGACCCCAGCCAAAGCGGCCTGTCGATCCTGGAGTACCTGCAGCAGCGAGCGAAGGGTGATGCCATGGCCAAGAAATAGCCAAAACTTCACCGCCAAGGAGGCTTTTCGGAATAAGGATACAGAGCCAGACTTGCGACATGAACCGTATAAACGGCAACGCTACCTCATGGATCCTGGACGATTCGACTCATCTGCTTTTCTTCCTTGGTAGGCGAGAAGTGCGGCACAAGAGAGAGAGAAAGGATGATACCGTATTTTTTGTGGAAGTTGATTTCGAGTGCCCCTGCTTGGCGGCAGTGGCTTACGTGGGTATAGGAGACCACCAGCCTCAATCAGCTTCTAAAGTGGGCTTATCAGAGATAAGGAGGTATCAAGCCACAGCTAGATGAAGCTGGAGGAGCAATCCCCACACTGTCCGCGCGCAAGCCACTGACGCTAAGTATGGGGACTCCGAATCAATTATCAAACTGCACAGAAACTACGGTACTCCATAGCCCAGTCCATTTTCTTCATCCTCTACTAGGTATATGTATCACCATCGAAAGCGACTCGTCCGACGAAGCACGGCCGCACTGCGAGGCACTGCATGTAGGTAACCTTTCCGGAAGTTGGGCCACGGCATTGCGGCCATGCGCATGTAGGTATACACCATCAGGCCCTGGTCGACCGTGACAGTATGTGCCATCCGACCATATCTGCGGCCAGGTATGCGGCCTCGAGGAACATGTTGATCTTTCGGCGCAAGATTATGCCACAGCAGCAGGCCCTTCCCCCCGGCCCCCTGCCTCTCTGTCCCTCGCCTGTCCATGTTTGGTGGTGCACCCCCGTCAGCGCAGGGATTCTGTTTCGATTCCATCAACCCAACAGCTTGGGTGCGAGTGTCACGCTCTAAACCGCGTCTGGCGTAGCCGACACGCGGATGGCAGGGCTATGGCCGTCAACTGGCGACGGAGACTTCTCAAAACGAGGCAGTGTTTCGAAACGCTCAGGCAGTCTGGCAGTCCAGGGCAGGGCTGGTCAGCCGCCATCACGAAATATGACGAAAATAGCGAGGTGGACACTGGAAATCCTGCCAGACACAGCTGTCATATCTGTCATATTTCGTGCATGGCCTTTCCCTGGTGCCAGCCTCGCTTATTGCCTCGTCCCGACAGATAAGTCGCATCTGGTGGTCACTGTTACTGTCACATCGACCACTGACCACCTTATCACGGTTCCAGGTTCTGCTCCAGGTTCCGATGAAAGCCTGATATCCGGCGAGAGGGTTGACGATGCGAGGTGCATTGTGTCGCTGACACTGTGCCTTCGAGAAAGAAACAGTGGGGATGCTGAGCCTGGCTGCCTGAGTCCTGGGAGCTATCGACCGGCATGCACATTGCAAGTATCTCGCTCGGGTAGTCCTGTCCCTGGTCGTAATTTGCTTTTAATAAGCCTGCCCCTGGATCATCAGATTCATCACGCCGTCTGAAAATACCATGTTGGATTTTCAATCCAGGAACAAGGTCCGAGACATTGGATAACGAAAGCAATATTCCGTCACCAGCATCACATGTACAGCGTCACACTAGACGGCGCTGCAAAGAATGCTCCTGTGGTACACGTCACGTTCCCTCTGCCCTAACTCGGACCTATCTTCAACAGAGGTGGCGGCATTCGACAGGCCAGCCAGCATAAGACTTACAAAGGACCGTGCTTGCATGATGATGCTACCCAAACACGAGGTAGTGGGTTCTCCGGATCTCTTCAGAAGAACGCCTGGTCACTCTGGTGCGCCCTGACCAGACAGCCCAGACCAATCATCGCTGTAATCAAACCCAGGTTGCAGTGGCGGTAAGCGACCACACGCCACTAACAGAATAAGATGACGCCGTTGGACAGCAGGACATGACACGGGTAGCTACCCGTAATAATTCTAATGAAGCCATCAGTGAGATCCCCGGTCAGTGGAAACTTCGACATGATACGTACATCCTGAAGCACTGTGAGGTGAGCTGGTTCTTCGCTGCCCAATGCCATGCTGTTGAGCTTGGGGACCATTTATTCGTCTTATAGTTGCCTATGTCCAGCAGTTTCTCCCAGACTCCCTCACCTTCAACGCTGTGGGCAAGAAACTAGGCAAAAGGTATGTACTGAAAGACTCGGCCGGGCAATGGACAGACTCTAGGAAGACACGCGAAGGCCGTCTGATCAACCTCCCCGGCCCGTCCCCTAGGTCAACTACATACGGTCTAGCTGTCCAGCTAATATCGGTTGATCAATGATCAATCTCTGCAGCTATCCACCAGGCGCTTATTCTTATTAAGTAGAGCGCAGGGGACGAGCCTGGAAGCAGGCTAGAAGCTGAAGGAAATCTCAATCCCACAGCGCTCAATCTATCGACTCAACCCAGCAATCCGGACTGCCGTATCTTGATCGGACCCTACGGACCCTACGGACCCTACGCAGAATCTGAGAGCTATGGCATGCAGAACGCTGCTGCAGCTAAGGAATGACTGCAGACTGCAGCCTCGCTTGTGATCTCCCTCGCTTGGGGAACAAGGGTCCACGGTGATGGGCAGTGCTTCATCCATGGGCCACGCATGGGTTCGTCAAGGGGAGCTGTCACTTCTCGCACTTTCGTCATGTCCACCGCCGCCAGATGAATCATCATCAGAATATGGAATTGCGCGACCACCCATGCGGCCATGGAGGATGGAACTATGGATTCAAGAGCAATTGCCAGCCGCGCCGCAGCCAGGGTGGGAGGGCCCAGGAGACCGGTCTCACCGTGTGAAGCAAAGCGCCTGCCTACTTGCCACTTGCCACACACAGCAGCCAGCTGATCATTGTTCCGCGGGCGATATTGCCATCGACCTCGAGCCAACAAATCATGCCACGGGGTCAGGTCTCTTCCACGGACTAGTAGTTTCGGGTAATAATACCTCGTGTTTCGTCAGCGCCATATTCTTCCTCTCGGCTTGGCGAGATGGTATCATTAATCTCGCATCCCAGACCCAGTCCGTGCTGCGAATTACCACAGTACTTTTAGTGCTGGACTTCGCAGGATTGTGAACAGTGAAGTGCACTGAAGACGGGCTCGAATAAGCTCATAAAGATCGCCGTGGCCGTCACACTCTATCCCTGCGTGGCACGGATTCGAATAACCCACGGAGAAAATGAAGTGGAGCGAACTGCTGCATTCCGCACGCGATCGTTAGCTTCTGCTTTTGTGATTTCTTCTCGTGGCAGCCTGTCTGCCTGTGAGATGTCGGCAGCCATACCCGCATTTGTTGGAGATCATGTGCGTCGTGGCTCGCCTCGCTGACCGCCGGCGGCGGGCGGGCGGGCAGCGGCGGCGGCGGCGGCGAGGAGGGACCGGCCTGTCAGTGGTCACACTACGGGACGGCACGAAAGTCTGCCTGGTTATTCCTTTCGATCAATAGTGCAATCCTCAATGGCCTCGAAACCCATCGTACCCGACGAGCCCAGCCCAACTAACCGCCTCCGATATAGCTACACAGAGGGCGTGCGTGTTTAGAACATGGCGCATGACGCGTGCAGACCTGAAGCCGTCGCATCCACGGGGCAGCATGGCAGGAGAAGCTTTATTGGCACGGGGAGCCTTCACCGACACGACACTGCTGCCACATGTACAGGCTGCATATCCATATCCATCATACGTCGAGGGCCTCATCATGCACCTCGCGAGCGAATGTGGACAAGTCTGCACGAGTCTGCCCACCCTTCTTTCTGGAAGCGGTCACCAAAGCAGAAGCATTCCCGATGCGATCTTCGTCACAGTAGCTATTGGGCGGTGAAGCGCGGGTCGTGCCAATGGGGAGGCGGCCGGCTTCACCAACCTGCCAAACCGCTGCTGCGCGGCCGATGCAAGGCGGTCTGAAGTCGTTTGGGTACGCTTCTTTCGCTCTGCATGCGCACGACTTCGCCTCGCCAATGCACCACAGGTGTCATTCACTAGCTTCCAGGAATCATATGAGCATCGCTACCTCACTGACAGGAAGGTTAGGTGTAGGTAGGTAGCTGCTTTTTGACCGTTCGCGGGTCGGCCTTCAAACTTCCCTTCTTTTCCAAAGCACGCCGCATGAGTCCTCATGCTGATATTGCAGTCGACAGCTCGTGAGGATTCAATCGCGCCTGTTTAGCGCGCTTCACCATCGGCAGTATCATCTGAGCTCCTTCTTAGAGCGACTCTCGTCTCATCCCGCCTTTACTTGCAACAGAGGCAGGCAGACAGAGAGGACCTGTCAACCAGCCAACCGCTATGACGAACGGTCCATGTGCACTCTCCAACGCGGCAAGCGAAGAGGTGAATAGCCGCCGCTCAAGACGCGACGGCGCCTTTAGGCCGAAAACGCCGACCGGGTGCATTGGACGGAGGAACTGCATATAGCATCAACGGCTATGAGGCCCGCGTTTGCCTGAAATACATTAAAAACCATCAATGTCGCATGTTTAAAAGGCCTTTTGTTCACGCGCCATCGTGAAGTCGCCACTCGCCAGTAGGCGACGCAATTGAAGTGTTCAGTGAGCGAACGTGTGTGACAATTTACGAAGTCTGCTGGCTGTGCTATATCGGAAGACGATCCGAACCGAGTCCCGCAACCCAAGAGCATCCCCCCACCGATTCGGGACGGAGCTCAGTGTTACCTAGAACCTAACGAGCGTGTCGACTTCACAACGACAACGACAAGAGGGCAGAAGCACCAGCTCACGCCTCGTCCAACTTTATTAAGCCGATCGATCATACAGCAAAAGACCACCGCCGCCCAAGATGTCTTCCTCGGCCACCACCAAACCAGCCCTCCAGCAGTGGCACGTCACGGAGCCGTACGTGCACCCGCACTGCGGGCTGGGCGAGGGCCCGTACTACGAGGCGGCGACCAACAGCGTGCGCTTCGTCGACATCAAGAAGCAGCGCGTGCACGCCGTTTCGCTGGACGCGGGGCCGGGCTCGCTGATCACAATCCAGCTCGACACGCCCGTGTCGGTCACCGCCGACATCGCCGGTATCGACCCGCGCGACCGGATCCTGATCGGCGCCAAGTACGGCATCGCCGTGCTGGACCGCCGCGCCGGCACCTACGAGTACGTCGCCCGCTTCGCCAGCGGTGTCGACAATGAGAGGCTGCGCGGCAACGACGGCGCTGTCGATCCCCATGGACGCTTCTGGCTGGGCACCATGTCGGATATTGGGCTTCATCTCCAGGCCGAAGGTAAAGAATGAATGGAGGCTTTTCCTTTATGGATATGGACTCAGTGGAAGGGCAATACACTAGATGTTTGAAGATCAGAACAGATCACGTTTCCGGTCTTCTCATGGTTGAGCTGGGCTTCCATGAGATGACAAGTTTTCGTCACGTGGCGCGCCGGAAAGACCTTCTCTGGAAGAACTATTCCAAAGACGCAAGAGCGAGACCTCCTTGAATCCCCATTCTAAATGATAAACTAAAAATCTACAACGCGCACTAACGCACGAAAACCTAGGCCACCTCTACCTCTTCACTGGCACGCGCACAGCGGCGCAGTCGATGCGACACCCCGTCACGATCCCCAACTCGGTGGGCTGGTCGCCGGACAACAAGACCATGTACTTCACGCACTCGACGGAGCGCACCGTCTACGCGTGGGACTACGCACTCTCAGACGGTGGCCTGTCCAACGAGCGCGTCTTCTACCGGCACGAGGGCCCCGGGGAGCCCGACGGCTTTCGCGTCGACGTCGAGGGGTACATGTGGCACGCCGTGTACGGCGAGTCGCGCGTGCTCAAGATCAGCCCTGCAGGCGCGCTCGTGGGGCAGGTCAACCTGCCTACCCAAAATATCACCTGTGTGCAGTTCGTTGGCACTGAGCTGTTCATCACTACGGCCAGCATGGAGAAGGGCGAGGGCCCTGAGGAAGCGGTCGAGCTGAGCGGCGCGTTGTATCGGGTTGATGTGGGGGTCAGGGGACTGGATCCGTTCGAGTTCAAGATGGACAACTAAGAAGGCGGACGGACGAGAAAGCAGTGAGACGTTGGGGAAAACGGGCAAAGCAAAACCTACCCGGTCACGTAAAATCATCAGAGTCGCATGCGTAGTCACGGTGGAACGGTCATGGTCATATCGTATAGTTAGGCCCAATGTTCGCGTCAAGCATTGTAATTATGTATCTTTCGGCTTCAGCGCATACATGCGTACGGGATAAAGCTCGCCCGGGAACCCGTGCTGTACCTCCGTCTTGATGATGCGCAAGCCAGCCTTCTCGAATATCGCCCTGAACTTCTCATCTTGCCTGTAGAAATATTCCTGTCAGTCTGATGTATATCATATCCGCACACGAAAGACCACCTCTCAGCTCGCTCAGACCTCCGTAAAACTCACCTCGTAACACTGCTGTCCAGCTCATCAAACACGTCCTCGCCCGTCGTGCTCATGTTCTCCTTGACGGCGATGAGCCCCCTCGTCCTGCCGTCCTCGCCGACGCTCAGCACGGAGCCGCACCGCCGCAGGTACTCCTCCAGCTGCTGGTCGGTCAGGTGGCCCAGACACCACTGGTTCCAGACCAGGTCGTAGCGGACGTCGCTCTCGTCGTCGGCCGGCCGCCACTCCTCGAGCCCGACGTTGAAGATGCGACCCACGCCCTCGAGCCCCGCCAGCGGCGCCGTGAACTTGGCGATCGGCTCCACGACGTCGACGACCTCGGCGACGTCGAGGAGTAGGCCCTGCGTGATGCGTCCGATGCTGTAGCATGTCTCAGTCTCAGTCTCGAGGCTTCGTGACTCTCGTCTTTTGTGTCCACCAGATGAGAAGCGAGGCGAACAAACAGATGAAAAAACGTCAGACGTGGAGAAAGAGACAGCCACTTACCCAGCACCACCTTCCAAGGCCCTCTTCACAGCCTTTTCGCCCTTGACCCGGCCCAGCCCCAGCTTCGCGAGGAAACCCCGCGAACCCCGCAGGTCGACGCGCGAGATCTTGGAGTAGCCGCCCAGCATGCCATTGTCGTCGGCGTCGATGCCCTGCCAGTACTGGCGCCCATCGTCGGCGCTGATCTTGGCATCGGGCGCGGCGACAGTGGTCGTGGCTGTAGTTGTGGTGGGGTCCGATGCCTTTTCTTCGGAAGTTGACATGATGCTTGGTGGGGCGCTGTGAAATCGAACTCAAGATTGGGAAATGATGTCTTCACCACTTCTCCCGTCAATTGGGGTTCCTGGTTATGGCAGGTTCATTGAATTGCCTGTACGGGTATATATACGAGAAAGAGATTGAGTTGTTTACGTATGAGTGGTCGACGTTGGATGAGATTCCAGACGCGAGAGGAAAGAGGTAGAGGTGGAAACCCCCCCATCACGTGTGAGCATGGTCGAAAACACTAGTGGGCACTGTGCAGCTCCAATGCGACTGCCATGCTCCTTAAATTCGAGTGGCTTCCCCTTTTGGGTCCAAATGTCTCTGATCTAGAACAACCGAAACAATAGGGGGTTAGGTTGACTATCAATAGGTATCGCCTTGAGCGATGATCTCGCGTTGACCACAGGGCCCTTAATCAATAAGCACTTCACCAGGGAAACAGCTGCCAAGTTGAGTATATGTGTTACTATGTAATATGCCCAAAGATTCAATTATGAACATGAAGGGTATCAATGATCGGTTACACCCCTGTGGAGAATGGCGCTTGTTGCTGCGTCAGATTCCAGAAGAAACAGTGGCATGCGTTCCTCCGATGCCCTCTTATGTTCGGATTAGGATCGGACACCGCAGGACGTGTTTCGTGTCACTCTTATGAACAATGCATAGGCTAGAGCACGTAGCCATTGACACCGACGGAATTCCAATCGCGCACCCCCATTGCTTCCTCGAGCTCTACGCACCGCCAAAGCGCCTCCTTAGCCTTGTCTGGTTGCCCACTCTCTTCGTGTGCTCTAGCCAGAGCAAACCAAGCGTCTGAAAAATTCCAGCCCGTGCCTAATTGAGTAAGGCCGGACAAGAGCCCATAGGCCCTGTCCCGAGCAGCAAGTCGATCAACAAGGGGTAATGAGACTGCCTTGTGAGGGGCCGGCAGCTCTTCTGTGACTGGCAGGCCTGCTGGCTTATGCGATGGGATGAGTTTTCTACTTCGTGTTGCTGCCGCTGATTTGTCGCGTCCATTGCCGCCGAGCCCTAATGGTGAGGTAGGTAATGTCGGTCCTCCCCTTTGTGGCTTGTCCGGATATGTTTTGGCGGTAGGACTCGTGCATTCCGGGACAAGCGGATCCCCGTCAGGCAACTGGATGCTAGGTATAGAAGGCGGGGGTAGGAGCACTTCATCATTAACGTCCAGCAGGATATTTGATAGCCCAACAATAGCGGATGGGTGATCTGGGTAGTGCATCAAGGCTTCCTCAAAGTAAGCTCTCGCTAAGTAAGGTGTGCTTTCAGCGACAGCTAGAACGCCCATCTAGTTTGGTGTTAGTGGCATTACTTTCTCATGGGCCGAGAACTCTCACCTCAGTGCGTACGTCACCCCAAAGCTCCTCGACACACTTCTTCCCACCCCAGCCTGGATTTCGCGACGTCAGAGCACCGCTTGAATCTTTGGCAATCTCGATTTCTAGATTGTCCACCAACTTCTTGGCTTCATTGATCGCACTCTTGGCATCACTATACAGCTTGGCGCGCCGATAGAACGAAGCTATCATTAACCATACTTTGATGAGAATAGTATGTCTCTGGCGCTTGACTTGATCCTCCGGGAATTGTATCGTGGGTAAAGGGTTGGGGGACGACAGCGAATCCAGGACTGGTACGTCGGAGCCCGTCGCGGACCCCATGACGGAAGAGACAGATGAGTCGAATCGCAGTAGCCCACGGCCTCTTGAGAAAGATTGTTGACTCGAAATGTCGTTCCTGCTACTCCAAGCAAAGAAATCCGGCCGCTCATTGGCTGATCCATCTCCCATCGGGGTGAAGAAAGGCTCGCCGTCCACTACCGTCGTCTCATGAGGTGCGCCATCACTGCTGACGGCCCGACGCTGTTGCTGGGCGCTGCTATCTCTCTTCTTCAAGCTTCCTCGTCGGGTCGAATCACTACGTCGCCCGCGAGTGCTCGCTGACCTGGTGGATTGACGAGAATCTCCAGTATCGCCGTTTTCCTTCGTGACATGTATGGTGGGAGCTGTACTAGAGTTGCTGACGGCGGTTTGCGAAGTCAGAGATCTTTCCGAGACCGGCGCGGGCTTCTCACTTCCTATAACACTGCCTCGTCTTGAGAAGCGTGAGCTTTTCTCGGATTTATGGCCGAATATGCTTCCCCTCATAGTTCTAAACGTCCCGGCTGAACTTTTCGGCACATCTAATGCAGACTTCTGGGCTGTAACAGGAGCACGGGGCTGCATACTCCCAAACAAGCGCATATAGAGGACAAGCAGTTCGTGACTTGCGTTGACTGCCACCTCGGGCCCTTCCAAAAGTTCCAGAAGAGCGAGCTGTGTCATCTTGACTTCAACTATACCCTCCTTTTCGAGGTCGTCCATCTGATCGACGAGACTATCCGCAGGGGACTTCCCTTCCTGAGCTTCCGCCTCATTAAGGTGTTCACTCCGAAAGGTGCCCTCCAAGTTCTGCGCCCCGAACAAAACCGCAGGATCCTCAAACTGCTCGAACGCTCCCTCGCAAGCGCGAGCGGCCGTAACGAAGTCTTGTTCAGCGCTCAGGAGAAGCGCAAGTAGGTGCCAGAGAGGAATCAGCGATCTTTCCCGCCAGTACAACCCAGTTCCGAGGACCTGTACTTCAGAATTCTTGTTAGACATCAACGCGGCCTTCAGAATGTCAATGGCTGCATTCAACTCCCTCTGCTCCGCCAATAAGAGGCCAAGGGTGAAGAGAGTCCTAACGTCGGTGGGATTGCCATTCTCTGGTGATAGTGACTTCCGCAAACTTCGTATAGCTTTCGCCTGGATTTCATTCCTTTCAGATGCATCATACGTTGTCCGAGACCACTGTGCTTGTGAAAGACCAATGGCTTGCCATGACAGCCCATATACGCGAGCAGGTATCCTCGGGTGAAGGATGACACCATCACCATTCTCCTCGTCCAGGGTCGGAATGCCATCGGTGTCATTAGAGAGCGGCGTTGGCAGACTTTGAAGCATGTTCTCCAACTCAACACCCAGGTCCCGTGCCTTTTCAGCAGCATCTCGAAATCCGTATTTGCACAGGGCCGTGATCGCCTGGGATATTGTCTCCAGGACTGTAGCATCATCGTCAAGGCTCGGCTCAGGGTGGCCCGTCTTGTCCACCCGAGCCTTTCCTTTTTTGACGATTTCCATATATGAGTCAAGGGCATGAAAAGCTAGGTCGAACTCGGCAACTGAAAGATGGACCGTGAAAAGATCTCGCAGAATGGCCGTCGAATGGAAAGTCTTCGTCGCGGCCCGATATAGGATGTCTAATACCCCGCGGCTGAGACCCTCTTTGCCACCAGGCCCCAGGTCGTTCTGATGCCAATCGCGTCCACTCAGAATACTCCAGTTGCTCATCACAGCAGATACGAAGTTTTCCACGTCCTCCCTCTCCTCTTCGGCTCGAGGGAAAGACGTTTCGCTGAGGAGAAGACCTTCATAGACGGCCTCAACTTTCTTCAACTCCATTCTGAGCTGGTTCCGCGCTGAGGCCTCGTTGGTCACTGCACTGACATTTCCCGTCGGGTATGGTAAATCCTGCTGGAGAATACCCGAAATGGCAGCGTAGTATTCGTTCCAGACTCTTCTTCTAGGGACGGCCCCTCGAAAGCCGAAGCCACCAAGATGAGGAGGCCCTTGAGCCTTAGACACTTCCCAGTACTTCGCCCACGAACGGAAGGGAGACAACGAGTTGGCATCCTCGAGACTTTTCTCTCCTCTCTCCAGAGCCTGGGCGTGGAGCATACACCACTCGGTGAGGAAAAGCTCGGACCAGAATTGCAGCTGTTTGCGACCTTGCTGTCCTGTCCAGACATGCGACAAGGAAACCGAGGCCGATTCGAATACGGCCAGTGCTCCGACCGTCTTATTGCTCCGCGATAGGCAGTTGGCCTTCAGATACGCGGCTTTCAAGAAACATACCCTCGTCCATTCTGATAGGTCGCCGGACTGCTCCAGTTGGGCGAGCTGGTTTTCCAGGTTCTGAGGTAGCCGTGCCTCGGCAAGTTCGTATTCGCCCACAGTCCAATGCAGCCATCCTGCGCAGACTTGAGCCTGAAACTTGTCTTGGTCATATGCGTTTTCGCCCTCGAATGCATCGTGTAGTTTGGGTAGCAGGTGTGCAACGTCTAGGTCTGTGGGCGAAACGGCGGTCGCGGACTTCGACTCGGGTCTCTGCTTCTGGGAAGCCTTTATAATGGCGAATTCGGTTTCGGCTGTTGTTGCAAGGCCTATGGTGAAGCTGTCAGTCTCGGATCCTCGCACAAAAGGAGCTGCCGTCAGAAACGTACATTCCCGGTCACTAGTATGCTTGCGGACCTTGCGCACCAACTCGGGCACTTCATCCCAGTTCCCTTCGCATCTTGCATCCTCCAGGCGGCCCAGATATAGCTCTGCTTTCGTTGGTTTCTGCAGCGCGGTAGGTTAGCACGTATGCGACAGCACACAGCACACGTGAAGAAGATAGGGGCAGATGGGGTAGCCACGCACGCTCATTGTGGCGGCTGCTCTCCACCTCGATCGACCCGAGCCTTGAGCAAACTACGCGACCGGCTGCTCAATTGGATTCCTGAATGGCATCTCGAGTATGGAATGGTGCAGGTCTTGGGTCATAGACTCATAGTCAGGCGGCAATCACGGTGGGAGGGTCGTCGTCGTCACCAGGTGCTGCTCAATGTTGGGTAATTTCTGTCGCGGCTGAAGCTGGCAATCAACCAATTGTCCGCATCCTTGCATTCGACGGGCCAGCCAGCTAGCGCAGGGGGTAACCTACGTCGCTGAATGCTCTAAGCCAAAAGCCTCGTAAGTGGAATAAACTAACAGCCTATGCAGCTAAGATACTTAATTACCTAGTGAGGTAACAGCCACGTTGGCCAGCCCCATTTCGATGTCCATCAATGTTGCAGGGGGCCCATCTTTAGCTTCTGAAAATCTTCAAAAAGTTCAACAGTGCATATATATCCGTGTTGACATATCACGTTGCGCCGGAGTCGTTTTCACCTTTGTTTCTCCATCCCTCTTCCTACCGAGCCTCGGGACCAATTTGAATATTCTCAAGTTCGGTGGTACCCGAAACCGAATTAGCTCGAGCTGCGGCTGCAACTTCACCAGTCAGTCAGTACCTGACGATCATCGACTTGTAAGATACGCGGCGGGCGTCGTGTGAAGTCATAAGAGTAACTTCTCCCGCCACGGCACTCTGTGTAGTCGTCCGTCCGGTTGTTTTCAGAGTGTGTCAATTCTACAATCCAGGCACGCATTACCATGGCTCTTGTAACGCTACCGCCAGAGCTTCGAAGCATCTGTCGAAGATTGACGTCGACAAAGGTAGAGCAACTACCATCCCTATTGCCAAGACTACTCAAAGATGTATTTCGCTGCCAGGAGCCCTTGTCAAGGCCACAGGAGTCCAAGGCCGCAGAAGGTGCTTCGGAAGCAGCTCAACTGGTGAACAAGCTGAAAACCCAGATAACCACACTCCTCGAAGGTAGAACTGTACAAGGTCACTTTGTCGGTGTCGTGTTAGTCAAAGCCGTCATTGAAAGTGGTGGCTGGGAGTGTCTCCGGGCATCTGAGAGGTGGGTGCGCGGAATACTCTCTATTCTCCAGGTGAGTCTACAAATCCACTCGCATCATGACAACCACGGCCGCTGACACGGAGCAGAGAAAGGATCCGGCGCCCACGAAGGACTTGTGCCTTATGACTTTGACCAAGATCTACGTCTTGATGCATGGGTTCCCGACATTAGTACGAGAGATCGCGAGTGATACTTTGCCTACATTCGCAAAGGCTTGCCTGCAGATTTTGACGCCGCCGGCCTCCAGCAAAGCTCCCAAACCCCCCTACAGCCTCATTGAAACTATCTTCGAGGCAGTGTCGACTCTGGTCCCACTCTATCCTACGACCTTTCGTCCCTTCGCTGGAAAGTTCAGAGCCGATGCTCGACCATTTTCAGCGCCAACCATCTCGGACAGCGTGTTGGTTCCCTCTACCTTGCGGGAGAGCAGTCGGCGGCTGACAATACGACTGCACATGACAGCTCCGAAGGGCGGAGATTCTACGGAATGGATCAAGAGCATCGAGGCGTCTGTTCGAACGGTCCACTCGACAGCGGATCAAGTTTTTCGGGCCATCAATGAGAGCTGGGAATCAACATCGGGCTACACTCATCAGTCGGTAAATTTCGACCTCGAACCTCATGGGGGCGGTGGAAACGCAGAGCACTTGCCACCTTGGGTTGGTGTACAAGCTGGCAGTGAGAGAATGATTGGGCTGCTCGATCTCGTTGCTGATTATCTACGTTGCCGCACCAAAACCTCTGTGAGCATCCCCGTCAGCGCCATTGTCGATCTCACGGCCCGGGTATCCTCAATCATGCCGCCTTCGCTTAGAAAGGAGAAGTTCGAATCCGTCCAAATGAATGCGGCCGTCGGCAGGGAAGAGAGAGACGAACTGTGGTCGGTATTCCCTGACATTCAGATTGCTATAATGCGACTTTTACACGTCATGGTCCAGCGGTTAGGGAGGAACTTCGTTCCCATGGCCCAGGAGTCACTTGAACAGGTACTGAGGATGTTCGGGTCGAGCTACCGTTTACCTCAAGTTCGGTCGGTAGCATTTTTGTTGGTTAAGGAGTTACTGTGCCTTTGCGGGCCAACAATGGGCAAGATCACTGTTGAGGGTCTGAGCCTCATGGTCAAGTCTTGCTGTCGCGACCTCCTGGGCGCTGCAGGTCACCTCAAGCGTCCCAAACCACCAGCTGCTACACAGAACGGGTCAAACCCGAAGACACTCACTCAGAATGCCGATGCGTTCCTCCCCAACAAAGCAGAAGATGAGCACGTCTCTGTCACGCTAGATGCAGAGCATCTTCTGGCAGCTGAGGAGCTATTGACCGCTCTCTTCAGCCACGTCCCGCGGCAGTATCTCCCCTCTTCACTCCGATCGCAGATGTTGAAGACTGCCATACTGTCACGAAACAAGGACGCACAAGTAGCCAGTGTCCTGCAACCCGCAAGAGATCGAAGTGGGCGCACGCTGCAGGTCATCCTGCCTTACTTGACTCGCCAGTTCCCCCAGGACCAAAGCGTTGAAATATTGCGCTTCAACTTCAGACCGCTAGCAACCGGAAAGACCGGAGACTTCATGGACGTCGAGGACGACGACATGATCATGGAAGATGACGACGAGCCCGAGGTGAAGCCAATGACGAACGGTTTCTCGTTCGGCCAGCCACTCGAGGACTCGGTTCTGAGCTCAGGCTTCAATGCTCCGGAGGCAGTCGAACGACCCAAAGCACCAAGCCCCGCCCCAATGCGGACCGCAGGTCCCATCCCATCGCCCTTCTTCACACAGCCATCAGAGATGGTGGTTAGGACTGAGGCGGTTACCGTTGTGCAACCTGCACCCACACTCCCGCTCAAGCGGAAGAGCGAGGATGCAGAGGCGGACATCACTACATCGAAGCGGGTCGAGATCGACACTATGAGCACGTCGACATCGGACAATGCGGCGGCTAGTCTGCATACAGCCAGCCAAGCTGGCATGGTCGTTGCCGGTCTGGGGGAGGATGACGAAAGTGATGACGAGAGTGTGCATCTGAATATGGAACTCGACTCAGATTCGGATGATGATGACGACGACGACGACGGCGACGGCGACGCGGAAGAGTGAGAGGGTGACCAGTAGGGTCCGTAGCCGAGTATGTGTAATGGAGGTGGTGGCGAAGGGGCATTCGGTCAATTCGGTGCATTGAGCATTGTGGTGGTTCGTTGTCCCGGGTAAAATGAGATAGAAGACATGCCCAGTGCCTATCTAAATGAATGTGCGAAAAGTTAAAACGTGATTCAACTCGCTGTGTCTGAGAAGCAAAAAAACTGTCTCCTAGCGTCCTGACCGATATTCTCCCGTGGAAAGACGTCGGACGCCCTGGTGAACCGTATGTAGATGGGGTGGTTGTTTCAACGATGATATTCCAAGCATATAGCCATTTCACATAAGTGTACCTAGTCGATAGTTCACAAAGTACACAAAGCACAACGTGGAGAGGGAGAGGCGATTCGTCTTTTTGGCACGTACAGTGTAGGTATATGATGGTAGATAGGTACATTAAACAAATGATGAATTCCCAAGTACGTGCTCGCGGATCATCATGTATGTGTTTGCTCTATTGTAGCAAACGGCCAGCTTATTCTCTACATATACAATCGTGGGGGTATTCTCGTCAACTATGCAAGTTGGGAAGGTGTTTCCAGATCTCCGGCTCGACTCAACCAATGATCGGTATTCAAACCGGTTCCCGGATGCCCTGCAGCATGCAAAGGTCTCTTACCGATCCTCCACATGCTGTTCCGGGTAATGCTCCACGCAGCACCCGCGGCTTGGATTCCTGTAGTAAATCGCCAACCAACAACGCCTGCCCATATGCATCATGCAGCTATCCAGGTCCGGTCAGTGATTGGCAAGCCATGGTAGTAGCAAAGGTAGTCAATCGCAAAAGTCCTTTCCCAAAAATCAGATGTACACCTAGTCTCTCAGCCATGCTCTCCGTCTCTCCTCCTTCTTTGCCCGGCGCTTCTCCTTGAACTGCTTCAATTCCGACTTGCTTGGCTTCTTCCCAGATCGCTCAGCTTTGAGACTGCGGCCATCATGTGAATTTGCTGCAGCATCGACATCAAAGAAAGCGTTCATTTGCCGCTTTGATTTTGCTTCATCGGTATGACGTTCCGGATCTTGATCGGCGCCCTGCCATCGGCCAGTGAAGCGATTGAAGGAACCCATTGCGGCATATGCAGCTGCTGAATCTACTGTCGGCTGTTGCCCAACGCTCACGTCGGCCTTCTGGGCATACCAGGCATTCGGGTCGTAATCGCCGTGGATGGCTGGGTTGTAACCACCTGCAGGAAGTTCTTCATTTGGGGGGAGGGCGGCGGTGGTAGGCGGAGTTTGAAGTTGTGTATTCTGACTGGCGGCTGGGTTGCTCTTGGACTGTCGGGGGTTTTCCCATGTAGACTCGTTGGTGATGCGGTTGTGGAAGAAGTACGCTTGGTGCGACGCATCCCAATGGAAGTCCCATCCATCGTCTTCTGTAGCAGGTGGAGGCTCGTTTGGAAAGGGAGGCGCATTCGAGGCAGCGTCGGCTGGGTCTACAGGTGATGCTTCGCCAGATTCTTGCGAGCTCGGGGATGACGATGACGATGACGATGACGATGAGGAGTCCCGCGCGTGGTCCTCGCTACCAGCAGCTGGCTTGATCGCAGCATGGTCATCATGATCTGCAGCTTGGGTCGTCGGATCTTGTGCTGGCAGGGGCTCGTCTGAGGTGCTGCTGCTACCCTTCGGCAGATCGGCGGTCACATCAGACGGCCCGGGTGATGTAGGTTTTGAGGGCATGTTGCGAAGATTCAGAGTCTAAGAAATGGTTATTGCAAGCGTCTACGAGTGAGGCGGAGATTGGGCGTTGGAAGGATACATGCTGGCTGATGAGGGCGCGGCGATTGGGCTTATAACAGTGTGGTCGTCAGTTGCAGGTGAACAGATCCTGAGACAGGCCCAGGTCAAACCGTCAAAGAAGGGTGGAGTGATGCATCGTCAAAGTCCCAAGGTTGCAGATGTCTTTCGCTTCTCGAGGTGTGTTATCGGTTATCGGCACGCGGGTAAACCCCGGCAGAGCCTGTATGGGACTCCACTCCCCACGCCGTCACGGCCAGCCACCTGCACTGGACTGCACGTGTATGCTCCTAACGGGGCGATGCTATAGGTGCGCAGGTGGCTTGTGAAGTTCGTCCCAGGCCCATCTTCATTTCCATGACTTTGAGCCGGCTCCATTGCCAACCTACCACCACATCTTGCTGGCCTGCCACACCATCCGTTCAATTTCCTGTCTCCCAGCCGCGGTGGTTTGCAATGTTCGATACCAACTGCATACACCAGGGCCACTCTCCCCGTTCTTGGCGGACTATCGTGAGACACACGCTTTGTCCGTAGCCGCCCGGCTGGAACACCGTTCGTTGGTCCACTTTCAAGTTCAATGCCTCCTTGGTTTCATCAGGATGGGGATATTTCCAATATTCCATGGGGTCCTGCATTGCGCCATTGCGCCACGCCAAGTGGCGTTGTCCAGGTGCAGCTGCTCGCATTGAAAGAGCACACCATTCGGATATTTCGCCTGCTCAAATAGGCTGGCGTCTTCTTTGCCCGGCCACAGCTGCACATCGGAGGTGCCTTGAAGCACTGCTGGTTGCCGTTGTTACATTACAACCCAAAGCAGGGTCGCGCAAGATGCCATGAGGCTTTGGCAACATGCTTGATTGGCTCCATTGTGCCCACCATCGGGTTTGTCCAGCTTTGCACATATTCGTCGTCCACTGCATCATCCAGATGTCCCATACAGGCTCACGGCTGAAGGTGTATTACGTGGCTTAGCTCCAACAGCGTCTCCAAGCTCAGGTGTTACCGGTTACCTCCCAACGCCACCATTTACCCAACAGACGGATCGCCGGATAAATTCTGCAAATAGGCTGCCTAACTGGCCAGCAGGCAGCAGCGACCACGACCTCGGGATGCCTCAACGAGCCCTTTCGTCCCTGGTCTTGGGAAGGGAACCTGCTATTTTCGTGTCTTGAGTAGCACTAGCAGTGCCTTTAACAGCCCCGTCCTCCGCACCAAGACCACATACGGAGACTCGGCCCTGCGAAGAGGCGTTCGTGTCTCTCCTTCCGCTACGGTCTACCTGCATTTGGTGGTTGGATCGGTCAGTGCCATATATGAGCTACTTTTTGTCCCACTTTTGGTCCTGGAAGTTTCCAGCCTCAGTTTTCAGCACTCGACCGAAGGCAGATGCTTGGCCGAATATAAGACGCTGTGACAGAGTTCTGTACCAAATGATCGCTTTATGTTCCTTGTTCTTCTGAAAGCCAATGCTTTGGCATCACGTGGAGTGCTGCGCAGTGTACCTGGACTGAGTTGACAGCCACCACAACCTGGGAGCCATGACGCCTCATCGACACTCCCTACAAAAGCTGATCTTGAGTCTCTTTACCCTCTTCCCCTGGATCGTCATCGCCTTTCCCGAGACTAGTGATAATCGATGCGATTGTTACCTCACCAATGCGAGCAGTTCGAACTATTTCACTACACATAAGTTCTTTGACTTTCGGTCATTATCACAATACGCGGACGTGCCTGGCCCGATCGCAGACCCTTACGATAGCAGTCAAGCTCTAGCGACCAGCGACTACTTCCTCTCGGATGATTGGACCGAATATTGGGGAGTGCAGTCATGGAACAATAGCGATTCGGTTGATGCGGGAACTGCCCCTATCTTGATGGTCAACTCGCCCAATAACATCTACATCGAGAACAATACAGACGCGAGTCCGGCATCTGACACCTTCATGACCATGAGAACGTTGAGACTGGAAGACTACCAGTCGGCTTCCGAGTTTGAATCTATCTCGCAGGCGTATCATTACGCCTCGGTCCGCATGTACGCCAGAACGATCGGCGCCCCAGGGGCCGTCACAGCCATGTTCACATACAAAGATTCTGGCGATCCTACCCAGTTGACCCACGTACAAGAGTCGGATCTTGAGATAAGGACGATGGATCCGCCAAACGTTGTCCAGTACACGAATCAACCCTCATATACCTCTCAAGGTTCGGACATTCCGGCATCCACCAGGAATGTGTCGAATCCGGGGCACTTGGATTGGACTGAGTGGGCCGTCTACCGAATGGATTGGAACCCATCGAGCACCACGTGGTATGTCGACGGCGAGAGTGTGGCCTCGATCGAGTTCCAAACCCCCAGAGATCCTAGCATGGTCATTTTCAACGCGTGGTCTGATGGTGGCGTCTGGAGTGGAAATATGAGTGTTGGGAATGAAGCATACCTCCAAGTGCAATGGATCGAGCTCGTGTACAACTCGACGGGGTCAGCGAAGACGACAGACAAGCGCGGTGAAGGCGAATCCTTAGAACGTATCGAGAGGAGAGCTGAAGCTTCTTGCGTCAACGTCTGTAGCATGGACGACACGACGAAGATAGGGACTCCGGTGTTGCTTCAAGGCGGCGCTTCAGGGGTGCTAGGCTACGTGCGCCTATTCGGCACGGTTGGTTTTTGGATACCCTTGCTGTCTATGGCGTTGTTGTTTTGGTAGATTGGCTTAGTCTTAAGTTATGTCATGGCTTCTGCGCCGACTAAAATTCTGGGTATACACTCTCCCATCCTTTCCAGAAACGGGAGAAGTTCCTAGTTCAAGTGCTATATTGAGTCAATACGTTTTGATGCCCCATTCCTGTTTCATGTGGCTGCGTCAAGAGGTCCGCCAGTTTGGTGACACTGAGATGCCTTGTCATCTAAAGTCTCAACACTTTACCCAAGGTAGTCATTCAGACCTTTTGGCATTGGTCCTACGCAGGTCAATTGATACCCTTTGCTTTTGCGACCGTTTCGACCAGCCGCGATGGACGCCTTCGTCAGTTCTTTACACTGTTGACTCTGCTCCCAGCCCGCCATGGATATAGGCACAGTGAATTGGTGCAATTGAGGAGTGCCTCCTCGGAAGAAAAAGGCCCCCTTGACAGTGGTACCGAGGACATTTTGTTCAGCGACAAGCTGCTCAGCCCGCACCGCCAATACCCTCCCCATGCCTTTCTTTCAATTGAAGCTTTAATACGATTCAGAAAAATCCGACACAGAGTCTCAAGTATATAAAACGAATTCATGTCATTTACTATTTACTCAGCATGCAAGCTACTTTTATAATTATTAATAAGTACCAGAGGGCTAGCTACCTATGAGACATTCCATTCGTGAGTAACCATAATCCCCTTACTATCCCGGTCCCCAGCCGGATCGCTTCCGTGGCTATGACTGTCCTCGCTGTGCCTGGTGGCCCCGGTACCGGGCTGTTCCGTGGTCGTGATTGTGGCGCCGTACTTGGGGCCGACAGGACGCAGGCGGTACTGACTCGAGCCGTCCGACAGCGGCTCGAACAATCTGCTGCCCTTGCCAATGGTCCCGGGCACCATGCCCGAACCGCTTCCGCCTTTATAATTCGCCGTGCCTGAGCTCGAATACCCAGAACGACCGAAAAGCGGCCGCAGTAGCGGCACACAAACCAGATTGACACCGACGCTCGGTTCGAGGCCGCTGAAGATGTTGGCTTGTGGGATTGAATACGTGATGTCGGCGAAGTCCATTGTGTTGAGCGTCTTGATCCGGAAGCCGCTGACGACGCAGGTTCTGTGAGTGCGGACGTTGGCCCCAAGTCTTGGGAGAACGGCCCGGCCTCGAAGAGGAAGAGACGAGTACGGGAGCCGGAAGGGTAGACACTCACAAGAAACCCAAGCTGAAGACGCACATCAGCACCACCTTCTTGTACAGCTTCATCTGCAGCTGGAAGAGGAACGGCAGCGGCAGCGCCAAAGCCATGATGTCAGTGATCAGGTTGACGATGCCCGTGATGGTGAAAGACAAGACCTGGTCGCCGCAGCTACCTCCGGGAATCGTCTGGTCCCAGTTGAAGGCAAGGGGCTTGCAAATCAGTAACCCGGCAAGGATCGTGGCCGTCGCCCACATGATAATGATGACGATGGTAGCGCGTGCCGTCCAGATCAGCGCCGTGACCGGGAATACGTGCATGTACAGCAACAAGATGGAGATCTTCGTGCAGCTCAGGCTAAGCGCCCATGTAAGCTGAAGAGGAATTACCAGCTGCGAAGATCGTCAGGAGCCTGGAATTCAATGTGAGAGTTAAGGGCCTCGGATGCTGACCTTGAGCAGTTTCGTTATCGGTTCCATCCCATACTCCGCCGCTATATCCATACATGTCCGTAGCCGATACCACCATGCATAACACCTGTCAGTTTCAGCTCAAGCCCCCGTCTCAGCTCCTACACGTAGGGTTCATGCCAAGGGCCACGAACCGGTGATGCTGATGGCTTCTAGAGAGACAGCGAGGACCTATGCAGATGGTGGTAAGTCCTGACCGCCACGAAGACAAGCTAACACAATGGCAGGGAGCGCTACATACTGCAGCCGCCACGATGAAGTAGTCGCTTGAATCGAGTTTTCTATGGGCGACTCTGTGAGCTGCGAGTCGTAGAACCACCGCAATGAACGGCAGAATGGCGAAAATTATGGCGACAGCGAACACAGAGCGCTGTGCGCTTGTGACGATAGGGAACGTGGCTGCCATGGTAAAAGATATGGAGAAAGCGTAGGCAGGTCAAACGAAACCAGAAGAAACAACGGAAAGTTGAGACCGATCACCATGGTCCTATTATAAACACCGATGCAGTGGCTGTTTGATTTGGTACTGCTGACGTTCAGCGGCTTAGAGGCTGAAAGGTATGCCCATTGCTGGGAGCTTGTGTTCATGGCCGGCCGGTATAACTATAACGGTACCTTGCATGCGCGCAAACACCGCGATGCATTCGTCCGTCATCTCGGTACCACGCCGTCGGGATCGTGGCCATCTCGGTGTGCGGCACAGGCCAATTGCAAAGAGACGATCGTCGTAGGAAAGCAACTGACATGTGCGTTGCGAAAACTGCTGCAGAACTGTATGTCGCTATTCGTGGAATTATGATACCGAAATTGGGCACCCGAGGTGCCGGGACGTGTCGGCGCTTAGACGGTCCATCGTACGCGTATTGCATGCCTCAAAGGGTCTACTGCCGTTCTTAAGCCGAGTGTCCAGCCCCACATCAACTTTCTGTACACACACACACAAAGTTGAGCTGGCGGCAGACAGCCAAAAAGTACGTTTTGTGACGATAACGCTCTCACGCCGACGTCGCATATGTTATTGCGTACATGTATTTCTAGCTATAATTTAAGGCTATTAATATATTGACGTAATAATATATGCGACGTTGTTTTAAAAATGTAGTAGCATGGTTATGTAGTTAACATCGTTAAATAATAACGATAAAAGTACGGTATTTAACGTTGTTAATACCATTAAAACGTCGTGTATATCGATATGTATATGTATTAATAGCTTTAAGCCGTACCTATTAATATATAATTAGATCGGTATTTATAACGTTGATTTAAAAGCGTTACGATTGTAAATCGTACTTTCATCGTCGTTATTACTAGGTCGATATTTTAAACCTCGATATTTTTTAACAACTACGATAAAAGTACGTTTTTTAACGATCACGCTTTTAAATCAAGGTCGCATATGTCAACCGTGTATGTACCAATAGGTACGATCTAAGCCTATTGGTACATACACGGTTGACATATGCGACCTTGATTTAAAAGCGTGATCGTTAAAAAACGTACTTTTATCGTAGTCGATGCCAGCTTATAATTGTGTGTGTGTGTGTGTAAAATGCTTAGTCAGGCTGGACACTCTGCTTGAGAATGGCAGTAGAAAAGGGGGGCCGTGGAGCTGGGGAAGCAGGGGTGGTATACCACTATCCAAGCCCTTGGCATCAACACCGAGCCATGCAGATTGCCATTCTTGCCCTTTTCTTCGGTAGATTCCTGTTGTGTCACGGTTCGTCCGTTGGAGGAATTCTTTCTGTACTTCCGAACATCGAGGGATAGGATTGCTATCATTGTGGCGTCTTCGGCACAAGCACAATGGGAGACACGTCCAACGTCGTCGTTTTAGGCTTGCTCACGCTCGTCTTCGGCCTCTATGTGGCGTCAGGGCGCAGGTCGACTGGCAAGAAAACACTCTTGAAGTTGCCCATCATCGGGGACCTGTACAGATCGCCCATAGAGAAGCCGCTTCTGCGCTGGGATGCCTGGTCCAAAGAGAAGGGCGCAATCGCTACGCCGAAGCTGTTTGGCATTGTACCCCTTGTCGTCATCAACACGGCCGAGGCGGCGACGGAGCTTCTCAGCCAGTGCAGCGCATGGTACAGCAACCGGCCCGGCTCCGTAAGCATCGAGATGATCACCGGCGCCGCGCGGGGCCAGTCCAAATTCACCCGTCAGTAGTTTCTGGAGTTGTTTGTTCCCCTTTTTGGACATGTCTCAGGAGGAAATGATTTCTTATTTGAGCCTGTCTCGAGAGCAACTGCTCTCAACACATGCATCCGGAATGCTTGCACCTCGCTAAATTGTCTAGAATGAGTAAAAACTGACTACCATTTTCCATAGTGATGCACGACATAGACGAGGTACGTGGCTCGACCGAGAACGAACGGAACGTGTCTTGGTGGATACTGACTTATAGCAAAACATCTCAAACTCCACCACCGCATTTTGTCTCCCAGCTTGGGTGCCGTTGCCGCGCCGCGGTACCAGCCCATCATGGAGCTCGAGTGTAAGCAACTCGTCAAGGAGCTGCTAGAACTCGCCAGGGACAGCAGTGGGCGCGTCGTCGCGAGCACCGACATCTACACGCTGCTCGAGCGCACGCAGGCCAGCATCATCCTGACGCTGCACTACGGTATCCGCGTGGCCACGTCCGACGACCCGCTGTTCCACGAGATCGTCCACGTCCAGGAGAGAGTAACCCACACAGCCGCTAACCCGGGCCTGCCAGATTTCATCCCGGCCCTGCGCTACCTGCCGGCGGCGCTGTCGCCCTGGCGCCACGCCGCCGACCGCTTCTACGCCGAGCAGACACGGCTGTACATGCGGCTACTGGAGGCGGGAGACAAGGCACCGGGCTGGAACGCCACCAAGCAGGCGCGAAACGTAGCCGCCAAGTACGCTGGCGCCGACAAGGTGCCGGACGTCGACCTGGCCTTCATGCTGGCTACTTCCATCCAAGGGGGGATGGAAACGAGCCCGCGGGCGCTACTCTGGCTCTTCGTCGCCGCCATCACGGCGAACCCGGGCTTCATATCGCGCGCGCACTCGGTCTTAGACGCCGTCGTAGGACGCGAGCGCATGCCCACCTTTGCAGACCGCGCCGCCATGCCCTACATAGACGGCATAGTCTCCGAGCTGATGCGCTGGCGGCCCATCTCGCCGGGGAGCATTCCCCGGCGCGCCGATAAGGCGGACGACTACAAGGGCACTCGGATCGCCAAGGGGGCGACCGTGTTCGCCAACGCCTGGTTCATCGGCCGGGACGCCGCGGTCTTCGATCCCGCCCTGGCGTCCCTCGACGCGTTCGCGCCGGAGCGCTGGCTGGACGGGTGCGATATGCAGGGGCCCGAGGATCCGGCGGCGGCGGCACGCCAGGGCGAGCTGCGGACTTCGCTGCCCCTGCCTGTGTTTGGCCAGGGCCGGCGCAGCTGCATGGGCAGGCGGGTTGCGCTCGACAGCAGCTTCATGCAGGTCGCCAGTATGCTGTGGGCATTTGACTTCGAGCGCGTGCATGACGTGGATCCCATGGACATGGTCGTGACGGGCTTCATGACGGAGCCGGCGCCCTGCCAGGTCATGCTCAAGCCCCGTGGAACGTGGGTGACGGATGTTGTCCGTGGCGAATACCGTAGCGCGGTCAACTCTTCGGGCAACATCATGGGAGGGGCTGCGGATGCCGTGGGTGAAGTATAGTCTTGTTGATACCAAATGATAGAATGTTCCAATGACTAATACCCAACTATGTCCTGTCAGGACCGCGACGTTATTCCCAATGAAGCAATGGATGCTGGTGATATAGGCAGGAGGGATCGCCGACCACCCCCCTTACGGCAAGAGTAGCAACCTGGGCTAACGCCAGCAGTCTAACACGTCTTCCGCTTGAAAGCGACGAAGCAACGACATCCAGAGCGATCCCACCAGACGTGAGGGTTCAATATGGCTCCAGAAGACTCCGACTCGGTCCCGGCCTGGACCACAAACAATGCTGCCAGCTCCATGGAGCCTGAGGAAGTCATCTGGGAAGAGGGACACCACTTGACTTCGCCCAAGGGTATTATAGTCAAAGCCATTCAACTAGGGAACATCTAGCTACAGTCACCTCACATAAGTATCCGTCCGCGAACCTCGAGGGTTGTCTTCCGGACAAGGCATAAACAGTGGAATAAGCTCCATAGAATAAGCAATTATATCTTATCAAGCCATGCTTTATGTTGATTCCAGTGTGGTAGTCCCGCAGATAGACAAACATTCCTGAATATTCAAGACCTTGATCACGGGGGCGCGGAGACTTTTGAGGGTTTAGTGTACATATACTGAAACGTTCCCAACGTCCTGTCTTCATGTCAGAGGACGACTTTACGATTTTGGCAAAGGAGTAAAAAGGAAATGAGCACTCCTGTCGTAGTTATCAAACGTCGCCCCCAATACGATAGGGGTCAACGGTACAGGCTCATTGTCATCAGTGTAGGCGATATGACAAGTCTCCACGAGCGAAGGCAACGCAGTCAGTCTTCAAGCTATAAAGCCATCCTGTCCCTCCTCACAGCCGGGCTGAATGTGTCCGCTTCATCAACTAAGAAGTAACACATGCCAAAACGCGAATACCATACCGACGTGAACACAAGACCAATAAGAATGAGTGAAAGACAGAAGCTCCCCTTCGACGTTCTCTTCCTGATCGCTGAGAACTTGACCCTTCGCGACCAGGTGAGCCTTGCCCTGGCAGATAGGGACCTCCACGCAGCACTGCAGCGGCCCATCGTCCGGCGAGTGCTCGGGCACGCGGACAAGGAGGTAGCCCGCCGCGTGCTGCGATTCGCAGTCGTGAACGACAGAGTCGATCTGCTAGCGACCATCCTCGAAATAACCAGCACGCCCCCGCGTACCCCGGAACTCTCTATCCAGGCGCGGCGCACCCGGACCCGGTGCATCGGCCAGCAATGGAGGGACTGGCTGGACTACTCCAGCCAGCATGGCCGAAGGGCCTTCGGCTGGGGCATCTACGCCCGTCTCCCGGAGATGGTCTCGCTGCTGCTCGACGCGACGCGGTATAGGAGTGGCAGCCTGGCGCTTCTGCTCGACCTGGCCGAGGTCGACAGGCCCGAGCATTACGGGCAGACCATGGAGGACTTGTTCAAGGAGACCCCTGGGCAGCCTGGCGACGAAATGATCATGGCGAGAATCCGGGCCAGCGAACGCGTTCCTCGCGAGGTCATGTCGGAGGCCGACGTTACCGTACTCCGGGACCTATCCGCTGCTCCGCGTACGTGGTTGATGGCTTTTCTTAGACACAAGGTGATGCAGACGGTCTTCGGGCCCAACCTTGGCTTCTTCAGGGCTATAAGTCGCTGGGCGTTGATGCTGTCTGATGAGTTCGTGAAGCTCCTGGCGGAGATGAGTAGCTGTCGCAGGCCTGGTGACAGGACACGAGACGAGCTGATACGGATCTGCTGCGGGACGAATCAGGTCATGCTTGATACGCTCGCTCGCCGCGGTGTTAGTCCCGCTTTCATCTGTGCTCTGACATACATGTGTCGCTTTGAACCTCACTCTGACGCGGTCCACGAGCTTTGTGTTAGCAGTGAGTCATCTGAAAGCAAAGCACAGTCTCCAGCAGCCACGAGTTCAGCAGCGACATGAGATCAGATCAGAGTAAGTATGGTCGGATTCCAGGAAAAAGGTGATGAGGAAGATAGGACTGAGGTCGGTAACAAGGCCTGAGGTCGGTATAGAGCATTCCAAGTAGCCGTATAGTAGACCCCAGAGAAGTCCTACCCTTTAGACTTAATTCGCACCCTTGCAGAACCCATACGTCTCTGTGTGCATTTGCCATCGTGACATGACCTCCAACTGGCCTCGAAGCCTCACCAGAGCGCCCGTTAGCACTAGGACATGCATCCAGTTATGGCTTTGTCCCAGCAAGTCGAACCGACGGGGAAACCATCGCTCCGGGATCCGCATAGCATACACAGCCGCGCCAGTGAAGTTGATGATGGCGAGGCCGAGAAATGATCCCAGGCCCATCATGGCGTCCAGTTCCGCTCCTCCAAACCGCCAAATACCGTGGATCAGTGGTGCGAAGAGGCTGGCCCCTAAGAAGCAGTACATCAGAAACCGCACGGTCCGAAAAGTCGGCTGCCTGAAATTTGGCTGGAGTGTGAAGATCGCGCAGCCTGTTGCTGTTCCTGACAAGACCAGGAAATATGCGTTTCGAAGGGCCTCGTGGCAGTAGAAGGCGAAATGCGTTCCAGACATGCCAGTTCCCCACATGACGAGCACGATACCGAGGTGGTCGAGTTCGTTACCGAACTTGTGCATCTCCTTGCTATGGTCTGAGAAAGTGTGGAATGTACTCGACAGGACGAAACAGACGATAACACAGAGGTTATACAGACTCAGGGCCATGGTGTCTTGAGACCTGATCCCTTCGGAGTTGACTCCCAACGTGTAATATCGGTAGAGCATCATCGCGAAGAAGAGAGCACCGAGAAGGTGGAACCAGATGTTCGCTTTTCATCGTTATCAGCCGAGCACTTGGATTGGGTGTCGGATCTTACCAGTTTCATTATGGAGCGAAAAGATGCTCCGGGGTGACTGTAAATATGAGAATGAAGCTCGCCTAGGGGAAATGATAAGCCCTGGACGATCCAGTACGAGACCAAGAGTCGATCCTTCACTTACCGATAGCCCGTGAGAATGAATTCGTTGTCCCTAAGTACATGATCATCATAGACAAGAGCAGCAACAACTAGACACTCATTATGAACCATACTTTTGCCAGGGTACTGGGACAGATTAGAAATATAGTATGGGAGGCATCCTGGCTGGGCAGACTTACATATGTCTTTCCACGTCAATAGGTCAGATCGACGAGGTCTGTTTCTGTTGGGACCCATGATAGTCCGACTCGACTGGACTAGAGATAAGTGATGTATTCTGCTGAGTCTGAGCGAATGTGGCGCGATACTGTAAGATCCGGTCTGAATATCGAAAGCGAGTGTTTGCGGACTTGAAGCTGAAGGGGAGAGGAGGAGAGTGGACGGTCGTCGGTCAGTCACCTCCTCTGCCTGGGCGACAGACAGGGGTGGTTCCCCGCTGGGACCCGCCAGTTGGTCCCCGGCGTCAAGATCCTTCCACACACGGTTAGCACCAGCGGTTATGTGCTTGAAAAAGGCGCGGCGAAGCCCTTGTCCGAATGTTGGTCCAGCTCTGAAGCCCGCAAAATCCTCTGCCTCCAACAAACAACCTTAAGGGATCACGATGTGGAAAGCAACCTGCATATGAATTGAGTCGGCGTCGACCAATGCTTCCGAATATGCGAGCACGTCTCAGGCTGTGCCTCGCGCTTGCGGGTGGCGGTGAAGTGTCGCTCGTCTGATGTGGTGCGCATACAATTGCAAGTGCAACCCTCATTCCATGGGACAAATGTTGACGAGGTATTTCCCTTCATCTCTATTATTTCTGGTCGAAGAGATCAGATTCCAAGCTCTCTGTCATTTCTTATTTGTGTCGAAAATGAAAGTCTTAGCGATTCTACTTTCGTTCTGTCTCTTCTTCACCCGCTGTCAAGCCGACTTCGATTTCAGTATTTACTCCAACTTGACCGCCGATGCGATCACCAACGGTCATCAGCTAGTGGGATATATTCAGGATCCCAACGGGAGAGGGACCACTTCCCTGGTCGTCTCGTGCTTGTTGACCTTAGTACTTTGCGTCTGGTCCGCTCTCCACCTCAACGTTCCCCCTCGAGACCAGTCACGGTGGCAAGCGCTATGGCTCAACGTCCGCTGGATCGTCGCAGGCATCTATGCCCCTGAACTTGTTGTTTTTACAGCTTGGCGGCAATGGTGTTCGGCGAGACTCTTGCAGCAGCTCGTGCTGAAGCTAGCGAAGGAGAATGAGGGAAACCCGGAGATCGTGAAGCGCTATGCACGTTGGACGATGGCCCATAGCTTCTTCGCTTGCACAGGGGGGTTTGTCTTCGAACTGGAGGCTCTCGATCATGTTACTCTCAATGGAGTCGACGTGCTCCTAGACAGGCCTCAGAGGCTGACAATAACTGCGAGGGGTGTGGCGATACTTGCCAAATGTGGCCACTTACCAACAGTCCGCAAGGAAGAGATCGAGGACAAGAGCAAGGCAAATGACCTGGCCAAAGCGACGGTCCTTGTTCAAGCAATTTGGATGCTTGTTCAAGTAGCTGGAAGGTTGGCATCACACCTACCTGTTACACCCTTGGAGGTCAACACCGTGGCTCACGTGTAAGCTACATCCCTCTCCAGGCGTATCCTCCTGCTCACCTCATCGTTCAGGCTATGCGCCTTCTTGATGTATATGTTCTGGTGGAACAAGCCCCTTCTTCCAAACGAACCCATCATCCTCGAGGCAGAGCAGCTCGGTCCTCTAGCTGCTTTCATGTACTCTAGCAGTGAGATGAGCGGGTACGTCAGCTCCGAGCAGGTCAAGTCGCAAACAGTGGTGAAGACTCTTCTTGCACATCTCAATCTCTACCCCAGGACGCCAGAGTTCGAGGCCATTTGCCTTCGATTGCCAAACACGTGCAACGCAGCGAAAACACCGACAGTCGAAGTCTCGTATACGATCGCCGAACCCGTTGAATCGGAGCACAGTCACTCTATACCATCTCCAGACAGTTCGTTTTGCAATGCACCTTAAAGTTGCATGAGGGAATTGCTGTCGAGGCAAGAGAAAGAACAAAGCACCGCCTTCTTCGAGAGACGTCCTCGAGTAGTCGTGGAACGGCCATACCCGGACCAACCTACTACAAGGGATCAGAAGAGATGGTCGCTCATAAACACCGCCTTTGAAGCATCTCCTCATTTGTAAGACAATCGTATAGCGATGGAGCATGATGTCGACAATGTAAGATGCGTCCACTTGAAAGCTGAGCAACTCGTTGCGGACCATGTGCAGAACTGGCCTTCGAACGATCTGTTGCACAATGTCGATGGGCTGGTCGTTGGCATGGTATTGTGGCTGGCCAACTTCTGTTACGGAGGCATCCACGCAGCCGCTTGGAACGAGCACTTCCCAAGCGAGGCTGAGATGTGGCTCTGGCGAGCGTCGGCCGTCTACATCGGCTTCTGCGGAGGTCTTAGGGTGGTCTTGAACTTCATCGTCGCGAGGGTGCCTGCTCTGAACCAGTTTTGGGAGCACTGGATGGGTGGGAAGAAGACCTGGTGGCAGAGCTTTAGCTTAGGGATCAACGTCTTCGTGTGTGGCCTTAGTCTCGTTCTGGCGCACATGTTCATCGTGATAGAAGCTGTCATCAGCATCAGGGAGTTGCCAGCGTCAGCATACGAGACTCCGCAGTGGACTGACCTGTTCCCGCATCTCTGACTGGTTTCCTAGATTACAATGCCACCACAAAGTCTATGTGGCCATGAAGTTTGAATTGTGTACGCAGCGTTGGCTATGGCTGGACTTGGGTCAGGTTTGTGCAAGTAAACGAGTCTGTTCCGCTCGGCTGTTGGCAGCTGTAATGAGTTTTATTTCGGTACCCGCTTGGTCTCCGCGCTGCCTGGATACTCCCTTCCAGTCCCACAGATCATGAAGCAAACACATGGATGGGATAGAGCGACCCACCGATGAATGTTGTGAATGTTACAGAGACAAAGCTAAGGGGAAAGAGCGAAGTCTGACAAAACTCCGTTGGGTGTCGGGTGGGATCCTATACCGCTATACCCCACCTTCCCCAAGATGGACACTTGAGGAGGCGTGTTCCGCACATGTCCCCGCATTCTCCAACTTGACCCCAAGATCTCCAAGCTTCCCCCCTTGCTTCAACCTTCCCCTTTTGCTTCAACGAGGCCTGCTAGCGCCATGTCGGGACCAAGAAGATGGAGCATGCTATCGGCCCGTTGACGACAACGACAGGAGCGAGAACGAGTATGGAGAGTTGTCGGGTACATGATAGGATGGGCATTCACCTCGACTGGGTAGCCAGCCGCACCAGGTGAGCGGTGTGTGGTTACGGACGTGCCACGTGCTGTACAAAGCTTGGTGATTTCGTGGCTGGATCGAATCGCTCGCATTCAACGCGCAATCCAACGTGGGAATCAACGCAAGCCGTATAAAGCATCGGCCTTGTTGAGCAGATATTTCCGACCTTGGCCTGCCATTTCTCGCCGCTTTCAGCTTCGTCTTCTGCCCGACGCGGAACATCATCAAGGACTCACCATGAAGTTCACCTACGTCCAGGCCATGCTTGCTCTCAGCACTCAGGCTAACTGCCAGACATATGACTATGTCATAGCCGGGGCCGGGACATGCGGCTTGGTCATCGCGAATCGCCTTTCCGAGGACCTCAACGTCAGAGTCGCTGTGATCGAGCCTGGTGACGATGTGCGAAACAATCCCAATGTCACCGATCCCGCAAAATTCACCGTGCCCTTTGGTACCTCGATCGATTGGCAGTACGTAACAACGCCACAGGCAGGAGCTGGCAATCGGTCTATCGCGTGGCACGCTGGGAAAGCCATTGGCGGAACCAGTACCATCAATGGTATGCCGATTCGTGACTGGGTCTAGGTCTCACCGACTGACGCTCTACCTAGGTATGACCTATATCAGGGGCGACAAGGCCGAGTTCGATGCCTGGGAGACCCTCGGGAATGATGGCTGGAACTGGGACACCATCTTTCCGTACCTCAAGAAGGTAGAACGTTTCACGTCCCCAACTGAAGCCCAAGTAGACAATTTGGCTTCGTGGGATCCTTCCTATCACGGCGAGCGCGGTCCGCTGGACACCGGCTTCCCTTTCAGCCTGGTCAATGGGAGCTTCCATGCGGATGTCCGGACGACCTGGGAGACCCTCGGATATGAATTCAATCAGGATATGAATGGTGGAGACGTACGGGGCTTCAGTGTCTGGCCCCAGACGTTGGACAGGGACAAGAACATTCGCGCGGATGCTGCTCGAGCCTATTATTATCTGATTGAAGACAGGCCGAATTTGACGATAATCAAGGGGACGGTGAAGAGGATGACTTGGGCAAATTCCTCCGCGGCCGCCGAGGATGCTGTAGCTGACGGTGCGGAGTACGTCACTGTTGACGGCCAAATCGCGAAGATTCGTGCCAGTAAAGAGGTCATCCTGTCAGCAGGGGCTCTGAGATCTCCCCTGATACTTGAGAGCTCCGGGGTTGGAAACCCAAGGTGACCACTCTCCGCACATGACCACGATAAATACTGACTTTTTCCAGCATCCTAAGCGAACTTGGCATCGAGACGAAGATCGAGCTTTCTGGAGTGGGGGAGCACTTTCAGGACCAGCCCAACCTATCACTTGTCTACGCCGGATCCATGAACATGACAGGCAGCGCCCCATATGCGACATTTGCCAACGCTCAAGACATGTTCGGCGACGATACATCCACCATAGCAGCGACTACCGAAGCGCAGTTGCCCGCCTGGGCTGCCCAGGTCGCTGCCGCAAACAACGGATCCGTCAGCGCCGACGCTATCGAGAAACTCTTCCGTATCCAGCACGACCTGATCTTCAACCAGAACGTCACGATCGCCGAAACGCTGACAGCAATATCTGCTAGCTATCTCATCTCCGCCTACTGGCTCCTGCTGCCGTTCTCGATGGGCAGTGTGCACCTCACGTCGACGGAAGATATCGATGCGCCTGCCATCGACCCCAAATATCACCTGATTGACTTTGACCTCCAGGTGTCGATCGCACTCGGTCGTCTGTCGCAGGAGTTCCGGTACACTGAGCCCGTCAGCAGCCGGGTCGTGAGCAATGTTAGCCCGGGGGAGGTGGCTTTGCCTCGGAACGCCACTTATGACCAGTGGACGAGCTACATTCAGAGCAGTCGTGAGTCACCCTTGGAAAAGGCATCGTCTGGGAGGACATGGCTAACGGGTTCATCCAGTGACGCCAAATCATCACCCTATCGGAACTGCTGCGATGATGTCTCGAGAATTGGGAGGAGTGGTAGATCCAAAATTAAAGGTTTATGGCACACGCAATGTTCGAGTGGTGGATGGCTCGATACTGCCCTTTCAAGTAAGCGGTCATCTAACTGCCACGTTGTATGCCGTTGCAGAGAGGGCAGCCGAGTTCATCAAAGCCTCGTAAGCTCGAATGCAACATGACGATGGGCATATTGTGAAATCTAGGAATGGTCTGTGTTGGGAGAGGAACAAGGATAGCTGATGGGGGTACCATCCTACTTAAATAGGTGGGAAAGGGGACCTCTGACAGCTATTACATGTGATCCCACAGGATGACACATATTCTGCTCACAGCAATCACAACAAGGCTAAATACGCCACTGCTATTATTTCAAATAATATAGTTGGTAGATGACAAGTCCCTCAACATGTGGCAAGTAGACACATACATACCTATATGATTGTATTACCGTGTGATTCCATCCCCTATCCCCTATACCATATGGATCACCACAGCCTCAGCCTTTGGCTGCGCCCACAAGCCTAACCAAAGGTTATGTTATTCTGTTCACTGGGCAGTTGGGATTTGACACGTAACGTGAAATGAATGACTTTTGAGTCTCGGTCATTTCAGAGGCAAAGTGAATGATTCACAAATAGACAGTGATACAAACGCACACATATGTAGTAGGTTATGTAAACACAGGTGACATCGGATGCTTGGACCAAACAGAAGCTGCACCTTGACCACGTCTCCCGGACATAGACTCCACTCAGTATGCCGAGGCATCAGTGCAGATAATCACTCCGTGGGACGTGCCTGTCCTTGACCATTGTCAATGCAATCATGAATGCAATACTGGTTCTGATCATTTTCATTGATACCGTGAAATTTTTATTAGCCTTTCCGGGCCCAAGGTACGAAGGTACTTGCAGGTTGAGCACATATATCTTGCTGTGGGACAGGCTACGGTTTGATTGTGAGTTATTTTATTAAGCTGTGCCTTGAATGATCACCCGTGGTCTACCGATTTTAGTTCCTACGTTTTGATGCCTGAGATTTCCATCCGCAGGACTGGGTAGAACGATCAATTACATTGTTGGTACCTCAGGTACCGCCTTTCGCCCAAAGCACACCTTCTGGTACCTGCACCGTCTCGCAACTTTCACAAACTTTGTTCCACTCCACCTCGAGAATAACTTCGAGCGGAATCATCCTTCCTTCTCGATTTCGTCTCCAGAACACAGTTTTTGACGTACCAACCTTACCCAACAACGTTCACTCCAACCGACAAGAAGAATGCCATCGGTCGTACCCGGTCGGACGCGCCGGTGGTTCGCGATTCTCTGCCGTTGCCCAGGTAAGTTGATCATATCAACGACTTTTGTCAATCTCGATTGAACTAATTCATCGCCCTAAGGCGTCTGCTTGTCGCTCCATCTCCTGGATGGTATGTTAGCAGCCGAACCCGGCGCTCTACCAGCCGCCTTCCCCTTCCGTGCTGCTGAGCAGTTCCGAGCAGACTGCCACGTCCAAGGACACCCGCAAGGTTGGAGAGAGTATCATTACCCGTGCCAGCACCAGCGCCTGCAGTGCCAGCAGCACCAGTGTTAGTGTCACGGGGTCCACCGGCGGCGTCACCTTGTCTACCGGCAGTAACCAGGAGGCCTCGACGTCTAGCAAGACGGTCTCGCGCTCCATCCAAGCCGGAGCTGTCCGACACCCCTTCACGCAGAAGCGCTCCCACCAGACGAAGACCAAGCAGGAAAAGTGCAACGGCAACCTCCCGACCCTCCACCTGTGCATCCCCGACCACCCCGCCGTCTGGCCCTGCGAGAAACCCACGTACCCGAAGGAGATGGAGGTGCGCAAGGTAGCCCACTCCCTCGTCACGCCCGCCACGGCCGCAACCGCCAGCATCCCTGCCGGCGCCCAGGAGGTCGCCACTGTCACCAAGACGCTGTCGTCTTCAGTCGTGCCGACGGGCTCGACCGACAAGGCCGCCAAGAAGGAGGAGAAGGGGAAGCTTGTCAAGGAGGATACAGATGAGGAAGAGCCCGACAAGGATGACAAGAAAGAGGAGAAGAAGAAGTCCTGTGCCACCCGACTCGCGCACCGCGTCCTCGATCTGGCATAGGGATACAGTCGATACAGCAAGAGCAGCAAGTACCGCAACAACACGGTCTGCGGAAACTACAACAAGGTCATGGGTACAGAACCGGACTCGCAGTCGCCGTCGTGGTCGGACGAGATGCCGTACCATTACTCCAAGCCCGGTTTCATCGGTGAGAGGGAGAACCCTGATCTCAAGTACCTGGCTGAGCGTGATGGGTATGCGAATGTGGACCACAAGGCTTCGCTTAAGAACAAGAAGAAGACTAAAACTACGACTGTGCAGAAGGAAAAGGGAAAGGCGAAGGCCAAGCAGAAGGAGTAAGCGTGGCTTCCTTCATGCATGAGCAGATGCACGCACATGTGAATGAGCTTCGGGTTGAATGACAAAATACCCGGGCATTTCTTTAGCTGTATTTCCTTCATGATACCCCTTGGTTTTCACCAAGACGCTTTGGGCATTGGTTTGCCTCTCCACCAGATACCTTCATAGCAGCTCGGTAATAGCTTTGCGCCTAAGAGATTCATGGAACTCTAATCCTGCTCTTGCACCCAGTCTCATGTGAATGCAGCAGTGAATCTGGTACAATGTATCTGGTACGTTCGCTTCAGCGTCTCTCTAGTCGCTATTAGTGTTCAGTGAAGGCCTAGGCAGGCTTTACCGCACTGTTGCTCAGGCAGCAAGGATGCGTCCAGGGTCAACGCGTCAGGAATTCATGCGTCGAGATTCAGAATAGCTAGTCGTCTCCTTGCATCTCTGCTACCAAATCCAATGCCAGCACCGCATAAATCTCTCGAGACTTAACCAAGCAACAGAGCAGACAAAGACGCGCGAGGACGCGGAACGCGCGAAGTAAAGCTAGCAAATATTGACTATCGCGGATTCTTGACGTGAAAAGGCACCGGCACCCACAATACAAAGGTGATGCCTCACAATATGCAGGTTTGATAGATCCTGGAAAGACATTCCCAGCACGTCAGCATTGAGACATCCGGAATATCACAAACGCGCAAGTGAGAAGCATCCAGGCATTGATGCTGGTGCTGATGCTTTACCTCGCAATACATCGATCCGAGCCATCTAACTGTAGTCGCAAGTTCACCACCATGCGTAGGATCTCCAGTCTCTGCACTTGAGTACACAAAAAAGCACTTCATCCATCCTTCTCCCATGCGAAAACGTGCAGCCAGGCAGACACACAGGTGAGTGAGTACATAGGCAACCTAGCAATCAGACGCGCACACAACACAACACATGCGCACAACACATGCGCACAACACACACACACACACACACACACACACACACACACACACACACACACAAACAGAGCCAGGCATAAACAAAAATTTCTTCCTCGAGTCCCAGCACGCAGCCAAGTATCTCACCGAAAAAAAGGTAGGTAGGCGCCTAGCACCGGTTTCAAAAATTGCGTTGTTAGGTTGTGGAAATGGGAAATGGGAAGCACCGACGTCAACCGTGAAGAAGACGAGGGAACCCAGAACACATGACGTTTCCAAGAAGTAGCCGGTACCCCTGGGATGGAGGGCGGGTGTCCCACGCGGTTAAGCCCAGCCCGCCCGCGTGCCAGCATGGAGGTTGTCCAAAATTGCGGGTGGGCATGGAGAAGAAAGGAACAGGAAGGGAGAGGTTTGGGAGGGAGGACGAGGTTTTATATGCCATTGGGAGGGTGCGAGGGCGGTCAGGGACGGCGGTAACATTGAAGGGGGCGATAAAGGGGGCGGTAAAGGCGGGCGGTGTGCGGATGGGAGTTGGAATGTGTCGGGTATGAGTGACCTAGCAACCATTGTAAAAGGTGCTGTGGCAATGGATTGTATCGCTAATCTCGCCTTCTTCTACAAGATCTTGCGAAATAATCTATGACTTCCAAGGGCTGTTGGACGATTCCGGCCTGTCCCAGGTGCCAATTAATATACCTTTTGCTCAACCATTAGCGTTTCTCCTTCGTCGAGTACAGCTTACAGCCGTTGTTAGCGAATATTCTATGAGAGAGGGTTCATGAATGTCATTGTCGTTATCATACACCTCCGGCACAGCCGAGACCGCGTCGAAGGTAAAGAATGCATTACTTAAACCTCGCCAACAACAAAAGCCGAAAGCAAAGTCATAAAGCAATCGCGCCGACCTAAACGCTTCGAGCGTGCGATTCCACCAGGCCTATGTAGCCCGTCAAGACACCTCTTGAACCCGGACCGAAGTCCCCTGCTCTTCGATCTTGGCGAAGGGCGCGGCGAAAGCGTACCTCTCCACGCCAGCACCATAATCTGTCCCCGACGCTCTCTCTGCGGCGCGGTTGTCAGCCAAACGTTGCATACTCGGGCTTGAGCATGTCGACTTTCCATGGTCCGGTGGGAAGTTGTCCCTTCGGTCTGCGTAGTACCTTGCCGGGAGGTCAGTGCCGTCGACACTCTGTGATATGTAGCGTATACGGCTGGACCGAGCCTTATCGATATGATTGAGCGCAGACCTGTGTGCCAAGTGGCTTCCGAAGACGAGAAAGATCGCCTGGTCCCAACAGGACGGGCGTCCATTGCTGCTCGGCCTCTCACTTCTGAAGGATGCGACCGCCTTCCCCAAGCTCGACACACATCTTATGGCTGCCCGGCACGACCTCGATCTGTCCGATGTGGTCATACGCCGGAGCGTCCAACTGGGCTCCGAAGCCATTGCCGCCGCCCGGCGAGCTTGTAGTTAATCTTGTCCCTGAACATGAGCATACCGTCCCGAGTGACCTGCTTAAGGATGCCTTTCAGAGCTTCGCCGTGGAGCAGAAATGAGAAGCCTGGGTGGACCGTGGCAATCGGCGTAGTTCTCGGTACGCATCAGCTGACGCTCGCCGGTGGCGGTGATCCCGTCGTAGGGCATCATCCATCTGCCCTTCACTCTTGGCAGGCTTCTAACTTCCTATGTCCACTGCTGGAAGGGGGAAGGTCAACGAGGTTGTGTGGATCAGCCCGGAGTATCAAGATCTGCTCGTCGTTCTAGATGTGGGTATGGCTGGGGGTGTGGCTGGTATTGATGGCTGGTGCCCCCTGGTATGGCCCCAGGATTGGATAGTGGGCTTCGCAGCTGAAAGCGTAGGGAGATATCCCTGCCTGAGAGAGCACATTCTCCTTTTCGTCTTTGCTCTTCGCTCCATACTCTTTATACGATCTACCTCTTGCTGTCGACCTACGACAGCTGCGTATATGACCAAGCGATGAGTTCGTGGCCCGCTACTGGCAGCACATCCACAGCTGCACAGGGTGGACCTCCGACGGCTGACGCTCGAGATCGGTACCTCGAAAGGGTCATACAAGAATCCAAACGGCGAGGTAGAGATTGGCCGGCTATTGTGCCTGCTAGCTGCACGACCAAAGCCTATTACGATGGCCGCCGTTACAATTGGCTGGACTCCCTTCAGCCAGATGAGACCATCGTTGGTGGTTACCGCATCGTAGGTGAATTCGACTTCCAACACATGTTTAATGCAATATCAGCAAACGAGACTGCGGGCCGGTACGGCGTCTGTGTGATACAGAACATCACGAGTTCTGCTGTTGCATATCTAGGCGCCGCTTGGGACATCGACCCGCTGTTCTTCGCCGAAAATAATCGGCACTGAGACGCATATTCCATCCGGGAAGATGCTAACGATTGGACCGTTCGTCACTGGGATTTTTGGCATGTAAGTATATTGTTCAGAGTGCCGCAGATCCTGACCAAAACACCCGCTGACTTTCGTTGCCCCCGGCTAGGAACATCAAAGAGATCAACGGCTCCCCGCTACCTTTTTGGGTCTGCTTTGCCTGCCTTGGTGTCGTTGTCGCGGCGACGGCCGCCGGGTTCACATTCTATAAGACTCGCAACAGTATGGAACAATGGTGGTGGACGACCGCTGCTCATGTCATAGTGTCTACTATGATCAAGATCGCACCGGGTCCTTACGGAGTGATGAAGAGAACCGGGTTGCGTCCTCACTGGACGTCAAAAATCGGAGCACGGCGCCGAGGGAGGGGGGAAGAGGAAGGGGACGAGATGGTATGAGAGCATAGGTCGCTGTCCATGGAGATGAACCGGTCTCTCCGTTAGATTTCAGTGCGGCGATTTCAAAAGCTTCCACTAGGATGAAGAGGTAAGTCCATGAGACAAACAAGAAGCTGTCATCGTGAACAGATATCCATGCTTTTTGTTACGAGTGGCTGGGGGTACCGACCTTATTGATACCGGAAGCTACACGTTGCAATGTGGGCCGCTCTCCTTGATTCAAGAGCCTGGTCTTGAAGACGCTCTGCTTCTCTTCACGATGTGTTAACAATGTGTCCAGCGTCATAGTACTCGTCGGCTTCGTAAGCAACCCGGCTTCTTGGTTGTGCATAAACCTAACCGTCGACACAGATGGCTTCGTACCTCAGCAACCGCGGAAATCGTGAATGATACCATGAAATCAATGGAACTGATGCTCAAAACTGACTGAATACCTGACTAACGCTTGTTCATCCTAATGAGAACTCCAATAACAACTCCATATGCCTCGAGGCACCCAGAATTCGCTGATACCTGTATAATCAAAACAAGAAGCCAAACTTGGCCATAAAATCAAAGGAGCCTTGACCATTACATCGCTCGCTTAGAACGACGACACTCCCACGGAGCTATATCTGACGTTCAGGGAGTCTATGAAGTCGATGTGATGAATCCCAGTGGGTCTTTCTTCCGCGAACTCGTCGATAGCGTCACTGAGTTTGTAATTGCACCGCTCGACCAGGTAGCACACAATCAGGTATCCCGTGCGGTTGAAGCCATAATGGCAGTGGACGCCAATGACGGGCTTTGGGCCCCAGAAGTCTTCCTTTGCGCGTCTTTTCATCTGCTTCTCGCGGAGCTCGTCCACCAGCTGGATGAACGAGGCAATGTTGCCATCCGTTGGTGGTTTCTTGGACTCAGTCGCAAGCTTGTGATAAACGATTCGACCGTGGTCCTCGCCAAAGTTGTGGTAGTTATACACAGGCTTGGTATGCGAAATATCAATGACGTCCTTGATCTCAGTTCCCCTAATGCGAGTCAGTAGGAATTATGAATAGACAGACACGGATTACGAAGTATGCGTACCACTGCCTCGCGAATTCACTTGGGCAATGCCGTTCGTCTACCTCCCGAAGCGTCTTCATCGCCCGGAAGATGCCGCCAATTGGATGCGATACTGCTTGCACACCCATCCATTTCTGGAGATTTTTGACGTCCCACTTTCCTTCACGCTTACCTGTACGGATTAGATACTGTTCCTGCCACGTACTACCACTCAAAGTCAGTTCAAATAGAGGCAACTCGGAGTTGGAAGTGCAAGTCACTGTCGACAACTTACCGGGAGAGTCGTCCTGTGACGCGCTGCTCCATGAATTCACCTATGTAGCCGGCCACTGTCCGGACTTGCCGGGGATCGTACAGCAGCGCGTGCCCTGCTTTGAGATAATGGGTCCTGATTACCTTGACCGGGGCAGTGGGCTGTTCGGGAATATCGGGCAGTGGAGCAGCTGGTTCCTTGCCCTTGCCCTTCGCTGACTTTTGCTGACCGCTGGCAGTAGACGAGTCCTCGACACGCAGCTCTCCGGAATCACTGGAAGAGGATAGCTCTAGCTCTGGTATATATACAGCATCATCCACATCTGGCTCTTGTTGATCACCTGTAGCGGACGAGCCCTCGTGAGGCTGCTCGGGAATTATCGTTAGTGGCTCCTTGTGCGCCAGATCTTTTCGATGTTTGGGGGTTATAGCTACTCCTTTTCCCTTGTTGGTTGGACCTATTGGGGCTGCAGCAGCGGGAGGCGTGCTCGGGCTGGCGTCTTCGGTACCATGCGGAAGCGCATTAGCCTGAGACAGGATTGATCCGTCGAACAAAGCTATTTCGTCCTCCGGGTTGAGTATTTGCCGGATCTTCTCGACCTCTTCCGGTTCTGTGACAACATCGTCATTGCCACCAATGAGACAGACCGGAACATTGAGTCCATCCCAGGTAGGCTCACCAAAGAGTCCGCCGGTTGCCTGACCCTCGGATAGTGTCGGGAGCGCTCCCCAGGCCATTCTGCGGAACACTGGCGTCCGGCTTTGGTAGTTGAATTCGGTTTGAAGCTTTATGAGTTCGGGCGTAGCGTCAGGGCCAACGTAGCGCTTAACACTGGGACTCTCTGGTCCGCCTAACCTGTCCCATGCCCTAAAAAGGTTGAACAGGAAATCTGGGACATAGAGGAGCTGGCGGAATTTCTGGGCTTTTGCGTCTGGCGGCGGTCCAGAGACCGGGCATATGCCGACGAGGGCCTTGACATTGCGAGAAAGAGCGTTCTTAGCAGAGCTGTTCGCCATGCGAGCAGCGATGGCAGTTCCCATACTATGGCCGATAAAGATAACCCCCTGCTCTGGTTCAGCATAGGCGTCAATGGCGGTCTCCAGCAAGTCGGTGAGAGCATCGGTGGTATATGCGTCCCATGATGTCGGAGAGAATTGCGACCTGCCACAACCAGGAAAATCGATAGCCAGGCAAGACGCACGCTTGATGAGACTGGCGAGAAGGGGCTCAAACTGGGCGACCGATCCTCCTAGACCGTGGACGAGGACTATCAAAGGCAGTGGAGGGTCGTGCGGTAGTAGTTCAGCGTCTGCGTGACGCCGGTAGAACACCCGAATCCCATTGTATTGGATGCCCAGTCTTCTAGAACTGAAATCACGCACAAAGGAGTTCGCTCGGAGGAGTTCGGGATCGGTAGCGTCCGCATATTTTTTGGTTAGTCCGGCCATCCGGTACGTACGCGTTCTGCAGCGTTTGCAGCGAGCCGCAACTTTTTTGTACCCTGCGATAAACTTGGAGACGCAGGGGTCAAGACGACCTGGAGTTTCGGTAGAGTCTGTCGAGGAGTCAACGGGTGGAGTTGAGTCAATGGGTGGAGATCCCGAGGGAGCTTCCAGCGGACTGGCAAGGAGACCAGCCGCTGAATCGGTCGAGGGCCCAGCGAGTGAAGTTGGCGAGCGCTTGAGGAGTTCGCTGAGATGTGAGACTCTCTGGCGCCTGGGAGGTACTACTGCCAAGCGTCTGAAAGGTGAGTCAACGGGTCGAGTTCCCGAGGGAGCTTTCAGCGGACTGGCAATGAGACCAGCCGGCGAAGCGGTCGAAGGACCAGCGAGTGGAACGTCCACAGGGCCAGCGAATGGAACGTCCAAAGAACCAGCGAGTTCAGTTTTTGCGCGCCTGAGAAGTTTCAAGGCTACCAGGCGCCTGAGAGGCGAGACTGTAGAGGGCCTGAGAGGTGAGACTGTCGAGGACCTGACAGATGAGTCAACGGGTGGTGTTCCCGAAGGGGCTTCGTCAACGCGTGGAGTTCCCGAGGGAGCTTCCACCGGAATGGCAGAGAGACCAGCCGGCGAAGCGGTCGAAGGACCAGCGAGTGGAACGTTCACAGGGCCAGCGAGTGGAACGTCCAAAGGACCAGCGAGTGAAGTTGTTGAGCGCCTGAAATGTCCCAAGGTTGCCAGGCGCCCGAAAATTGAGTCTGTTGAAGGACCAGCGGGTGAAGATCTTGAGCACCTGAACTTTGAGAGTCCCCGGCGCCTGAGAGGTGAGACGCCCGAGGTCCTGACAGATGAGACTGCTCTTGGACCAGCAGATGATGGACCAGCAGATGAAGGACCAGCGCGTGTAACCCTCGAGGGACCAGCGGGTGAAGATCTTGAGCGCCTGAACTTTGAGAGTACCCGGCGCCTGAGAGGTGAGACTTCCGAGGTCCTGACAGATGAGACTGCTCTTGGACCAGCAGATGAAGGACCAGCAGATGAAGGTTCTGCCAAACGTTTTTTCCGACTTAAAGGGTTTCGCCGACTTGCAACGAGATCTATGTGAGTAGACATTGTGAATACTCCCTTCTATGGAAAAGCAAGAAGTGAATGTTTGTGATAAGTGAAAGTCTGATGTGAATGGGAATGGGAATGGGAATGGGAATGTTTGGGAATGCGCCCAATAGAGATAGCCAAAGAATGTTGTCAATGTTGATGCTGATGGGCGTATTCGTGTATGTGTAGGTGTAGGTGTAGGTGTAGGTGTAGGTGGAAGAGACATCTCGAAGCGGAATGAATCAAATGACGGACTGACTGACTGGCTGTTAAGAACAGCTGCACTTACCTGCTGGAGAATATGTCCGTGAAGGAAGTAGCTATAACACACACTCTCTGATCTCGCGTGTCGGGAAGTCTTCTTCATGCTTGTCCAGGCTCTTCGTGGCGGTTTCCTGATATCTGTGTTTCTGCGTCGACGGAAGGCCAAGCCTATCGACGGGAAGCAGGATTGGCAACACACCCCGACCAATGTCCGGTGAGAATTGCCGATTTTGTATGCAAATCCGTGGACCACCTGCACACTGTCGGGTTCCGTCGAGAGCAAGCTAAGGTAAGTACTGTACTTGAGAAGATTACCGAACTGAAGCAAGCGTACCCCGAAGGTGATAAATCTCGTGATTGCCGAGGTGGTGATGATTTGGGCTCGATGTCATACTGAGACCAGGGCAGTAAGCTGCCAGCTGCCTCCGGTCTCGTGCTGCTCCACTAAGCCATTGCGACGCCTCAACGTGCAGCGCTTTGGGCCCTCCCATTGGACTAAACTGCTTAGGCCAGCTGCTTACCTAATGCAACTTAATGTTTCAACCGCTTTGCCAGCCAGACGATGCGAGAACAGATCCCATCATTGCTTACCCACTATCGCGGCTTGAAATCAACGCCGAAGCCATGGCTTAATCACAATCAGAGAATGAAGTCTTTTTTTGAGATGGGCATCATGGTTTGAAGTACGGTGAGTCGTGATATAGCGCCGAACTGCTCTGGAAGTCACTTCGAGCCCCTGAAAATTCAAGCATGTCTAGCGGACTCTTACTTCGAATATCATATGTCGATCGATCAAATCGTGTTCAAAAGACACCTGACGATGATCCAAGACGATATTATCAAAGTCTAGGTGGTTGTCAGCTCAGGCGGCTGATGAGGTGTCAAATATCCATAAGAGACGAACGTCAAAATGAACCGGCAATACTAATCTCATTGCCTACGTACACTGGCGATTCTACTCAACAACCATCTTACTCTATAACCTCGTGAAAATTCAGGTCTGGAATGTAAGAAACTCTAATCATCTACGTATCCTACAGTAAAGCACGTCCTCGTCTCCTGGCCGTGGCGCGACCACGTCGTCCGATCATAACAAAGCAGGGGCCTCTTCGTCCTAACTCGGAGCACGTGAAGTATTCAAATAGCTAGATCTTGATTGGGGCGTATCGTAGGATGAAGCCACAAAGGGCCAAAGCTATACACCTACAGCCCATTCTCCTCCTCTCCGAACCGCACACACCTTATGCATGATTCACCACGCCAACATCGCGAGAAATGGCAGCCGACGCGAAGATCGTACATGCTTACCAAGCTACAACCCTGAACAAGCCCTTCTTCAAAGTTGGCGAGGACGTCCGCATCGTCGGCACTACCGGAACAGGTAACGCGACTTGAGACCCCTACCACGAGCCCGAGATCAAAAGGAGCTGAGAGCACGAGAGTAGGCGGCGGATAGCGTGGACGGTGGCGGGTGGTCTGACGATATCGATTCGATGGCGAGCCTGAGTATCACTATCAGTTCACCTAGGGGGCATGGCATGGGGGATACATCTCATTAGGAGTTAGCAGTACATGATTTACACAGCGATATAATATACATTAGCTAGCCACATTCATGGCAACAGCATGTTGAGCCCTGAAGCCGACGTTCGCGCCGTTCTTACACGTAGCATGCGATCTGCTGAGATGACCTCTCCACCTCGGCACGTAGCGGTAGCGCGAGGATGCTTCCTGGATGCATTGACATCGAGTCAAGCCCGGGTGCCACATTCCTATGCGTCCAGGCTCGACAATTTGCCCCTCGCGGTGGCGGGCGTGAGACCAGCATTATCCCTACCAACTCGCTCCAACGCCTTCCCTCCAGCCGATAGGTATCAGCGCGGCCACGACATCGGTGACGCCGCGCTCGGTAGCCAGCAGATTGAACTGCGCAGCCGCGTTGCGCGTATCCAGTACCTCGACCCGCATGCCCAGGCTACTGATATACCGCCTCAACTCCGGGCTGATCGGGCGCATCTCCGGGCCAAGGCCCAATATCAGAAGATCTGTGTCACAATGAGCAAGACTGGAGATCAATATGTGGGTGGTTGGCTGGTTGGCTCTCTCTGCCGGTGTACATACCAGGTCGCGGCCACAGCAGGGACAGCAGACTGAGCGACTCGTTCGGTACCTCCCACTGGCCCTTGGCGTTCAGCAGGCGGTGCCCGCCGCGCGGCAGCCACGGCCGCCAGGTGAAGGCCTCGCCGCCGATCAGCAGCACGCCCGCGCCGTTGAGGATCCGCGCGCCGCTATTCAGGTGGAAGCCGTCCGACATGCAGATGTCGACCGAGCTCGACGGCACCGGCGTGTTGCCCAGCACGTCCAGCGCGCCGAAATCGGTCGCGGGCGGGAGGTTGTCGTCGCCTCGGCGGCGGGACGGCGTTATGTGGATGGATGCGGTGGTCGGGCGGAGGTGTGTTCTGGGCGTGGAGGTGGGAGGACGGATGGTTCTTGTGGTGGTGGTGGTGCTGATGGCTGTGGAGAGCTGTCGGGAGCTTTGGCGTTCCTGACTTCGAAGGACAGAGGTCACGGCGGAAAGGGGCCGACAGGTGCGTATTGTAGAAGCCATGATGGCGGTTCGACTTGTATTATTGTCTGTCGGATAGAGTCATTATATGTTTGCGATCAGTGCTGTCTGAGCTCCTGGACCTTGAGGTTGGTGGTTACGATGCGCGGCGGAAATTGTGGGTTGGACGTCATCATTCGGAGAAAATCCAAAGCGGCGGACATTCCTCCACCAAGACCCGAACATCCAGATATTCGACTGCTTAACCCGCTGATGCTGTCAACTACTATTCCTTGTCAACTACTATTCCTTCGTATAGTAGAAAATGAATGGGTTCTCGCGGTATAGAGACACGTTTCTTAAAACTCCAAAGTTCAAGAACCATGAGTGGATGCGAAACATTACTTACACCACTACGCGCATCTCACCCAAAACGTCGCTATCCAATGCCTACCTAGGTACATACTATCCCTAGCCGTAACGGGGACGAGAGTGTCAGCCTTTTAGCGTTTCGAGTCACTCTTGATTCTTGAAAAGCCCAGGGCTTGGCAATGATAGCTTTCAATGTCACAGAAGTACACAGCCGAAGGAGAGCGCGCTGTTCATTAACTGCGTAATTGCACCTCAATTGTGAACACCATGTCTATGTTTCTTCATAGCATTTGTTGAAACTGGTCAGCAGAAAGGGATATAGAGCATATGTCACGTGTGATGGATATGTGGAGGCTGACGTATCCTGAGGACAGACTTGCATCCAAAGTGGGTGGGTTTGTATGTAGAATGTCAGTTCAAGAGACCGCCCAATCCGAACCAATCTCAAGGCCGAGCGTCTTTCAAAAGTGGCAGCGGAGTTAACACACGATTGTGAACACAGAAGATCGTCTTGATGTCGTTTATGGCATTCCGATCATGTAGACGATATCGAGGACGGAAAACAGAGACAGCCTCTTTGTAGCCATCTCTGTGACATGTAGCCCTGTTCCCTCATAACACCCAAAGCAATGACGGCCGAACCATTCCAACCCAGAGACCACCAACGGGTTTATTTCTTCTTGCCGCCCTGCTCCTGCTCCTTCAGTACCTTCTTGACGATCTTCTGCTCCTCAATCAAGAATGCGCGAACGACACGGTCCCGAACGCAGTTACCGCATCTTGAACCACCGTACGCACGCTGGACGGTCTTCTTCGGCTTCGAGATCTGAGCGTATTCGCGGGGTCGGAGGGCAGGAATACCGCTGAGCTTGACGCCGCAGTCACCGCACCTGTCATATGTTAGTCTCACTCCAGAAAATCGAGGTCGCTGGTCGCGCTTCGTCCGCGGTGTCCGAGTCGATTTGCTAGAGAGCATCGGTATACATACTGCGAAAGGTCAGCCTCCCCGTACAGTAAGGTAGAGCTTGGACAAGGGCCAAGTGTTCCGGAGCTTTGCGATCCCAGCACGGGCAATCTCCTCACGTACCTTGGGAGCAGTTCCACGCTTCTTGATGTGCAGAGTTCGCAGTTCACCACCGGGCGTCTTGACGATGCGGGTCTTGTTGGAGGTGGTGTTGTACCTGTAAATCGCCCGTCAGCTGTATGCAGACCCAGCGATTTGGACCTCATTGAAGAATGATCCAGGGGAGAACGCACGGGTTGCGCCGTCTGTAAGTGACTCGGTTCGCCATTGTATCGGTTTCGGTTGTCGACTTGAAGATACGGTCTGGCGGTGGCGGCTGTTGTTCGTGGAGTGGTTGACTTTGCCTCAACTACTTTTTTTCGCGATGGGTGGAGGAATTTTGGGTGTTTAGCGAGAATGGAGATGTGGGATGGATCTGTGAGCCTGCTTGTGTGAGGGGCCAATCAGGAAGGGCGGCTCAGCCACGGCTCCATGAGCCACTCTAGCTTTCACGTGATCATGAGCTACCCCAATCTGTGGCTGATAAGCTAGCTGCTTTGAGCATCAGTCATAGGAAAAATTCCCAGTCGAGTCGCGAGAGGCGAATCGCCACATCTCATCGACGTGAACCGCTTCTCTTCAAACCATCCCGATCGTCAGCCAGAGGGGACGTCGCGGTTGACTGACAATCCATCATCTATCGTTTCCTGTGGCGGGAATTTGACGTGAAGATACACTCCTTTGGTTGAGCCCGACATTCATATCATCCCCGCGACAGATCGCGGCGCGAAAGCGACAGCTTCAACAGTCGCCTAGCTAGCTACAGATCCCGTCGATTCGAGATGTCGTCCTTTCAGCCTCCTCCGCCTCCTCCGGGTTGGGGCCCTCCACCACCACCTCCTCCTCCTCCGTCCGACTTCCTCCCCCCTCCCCCGGGAGCACCTGCACCTCCGCCTCCCGGATACCGACCTCCGACCGATGCTCATGTCGCGAAGTTCGCGCAAAAGAAGAAGGAATGGCTGCGGACCCAGAGGAATCGGTTCGGCGAGAAGCGCAAGGGAGGCTTCGTAGAGACCCAGAAGGCAGACATGCCCCCGGAACATCTGCGCAAGATCGTGAAGGACATTGGTGATGTCTCGCAGAAGAAGTACACCAGTGATAAGCGAAGCTATCTCGGTGCTCTGAAGTTCATGCCGCATGCCGTCATGAAGCTCCTCGAGAACATGCCTATGCCATGGGAGTCTATGCGAGAAGTGAAGGTTCTATACCATGTCAACGGATGTTTGACACTGGTCAACGAGATTCCCCGCGTCATCCCGCCCGTCTACCACGCGCAATGGGCGACGATGTGGTTAACTATGCGAAAGGAGAAGAGTGACCGACGACTATTCAAGCGAATGAGATTTCCTCCGTTCGACGATGAAGAGCCGCCGTTGTCCTGGTCGGAGAACCTCGAGGACGTGGAGCCTCTCGAACCGATCCAAATGGAACTCGACGAGGAAGAAGATGCTGCTGTCTACGAATGGCTCTATGATCATCGACCATTGGATGACTCAGATCATGTCAACGGGCCGAGCTATAAGAAATGGAACCTGACACTGCAGCAGATGGCCACCCTTCATCGGCTGAGTCGGCCGTTGCTGAGCGAAGCATTCGACCCGAATTATTTCTACCTCTTCGATCTGAAGAGTCTGCTTACTGCGAAGGCTTTGAATGTTGCGCTACCTGGTGGTCCTCGTTTCGAGCCACTGTACAAGGACATCGATCCCAATGACGAGGACTTCGGAGAGTTCAACGCCATCGACAGAATCATATTCCGCACACCGATCAAAACCGAATCCCGAGTCGCCTACCCATACCTGTATAATTCTCTTCCGCGAAGCGTGCACTTCAACTGGTATTCGTACCCGCAAGTTGTATATACCAAGAGTGACGATCCGAACATACCAGCCTTCTACTTCGATCCTCAAATCAACCCAATCTCTTCCCGCTCTGTGGCCCCCAAAAACCTCACTGTCAGCCATGAGGATGAGATATTCGGCGAAGGGAACATCGAGGAGCCTGAAGATGACGCATTTGAACTACCTGCAGGCGCTGAACCATTCTTAGCCGATGAGGAGCTGTACAACCAGGACACTTCCGCTGCTATTGGACTCTGGTGGGCTCCATTTCCATTTGATCGTCGGTCTGGCCACATGGCACGCGCACAGGATGTCCCTCTCGTCAAGCAGTGGTATCTGGAACATTGCCCTCCGAAACAACCGGTGAAAGTGCGCGTGTCATACCAGAAAATGCTCAAGTCCTTCGTGCTGAACGAGTTGCACACGAGAAAGCCCAAGGCAATGAACAGACAAAACTTGTTGAGAACCTTGAAACAAACCAAGTTCTTCCAACAGACCACGATCGACTGGGTTGAGGCTGGTCTTCAGGTCTGCCGGCAAGGTTTCAACATGTTGAATCTTCTCATCCACCGGAAAAATCTCACGTATCTTCACCTTGACTACAACTTCAATCTCAAGCCTGTGAAGACGCTGACAACGAAAGAACGAAAGAAGTCACGATTTGGCAATGCATTCCACTTGATGCGGGAGATCCTCCGGCTAACGAAGCTCATTGTTGATGCGCAAGTACAGTACCGGCTAGGCAACATCGATGCTTTCCAGCTTGCTGACGGCATTCTCTACGCCTTCAATCACGTCGGTCAGTTGACTGGTATGTACCGATACAAGTACAAGCTCATGCATCAGATTCGTACCTGCAAGGATCTTAAGCATCTCATCTACTACAAGTTCAACAGCGGGCCTGTTGGAAAAGGGCCTGGTTGTGGTTTCTGGGCACCCGCTTGGAGAGTGTGGCTCTTCTTCATGAGAGGTATCATTCCTCTCTTGGAACGGTGGCTTGGCAATCTGCTTTCCCGCCAGTTTGAAGGTCGTCACAGCAAAGGTGTGGCCAAGACCGTTACAAAGCAACGTGTCGAGTCGCATTACGATCTGGAGCTTCGTGCCTCCGTCATGGCCGACTTGATGGATATGATGCCTGAAGGCATCAAGCAGAACAAAGTCAACACTGTTCTCCAACATCTATCAGAAGCTTGGAGATGTTGGAAGAGTAACATCCCATGGAAGGTTCCTGGTTTGCCTGCGCCTATTGAGAACATCATCCTCCGATATGTCAAGTCCAAGGCAGATTGGTGGGTCTCTGTCGCTCACTACAATCGTGAGCGAATTCGGAGAGGTGCCACCGTAGACAAGACAGTCGCCAAGAAGAACGTTGGTCGGTTGACGCGTCTCTGGCTCAAGGCTGAACAAGAGCGCCAGCACAACTACATGAAGGACGGTCCATACGTGTCATCCGAAGAGGCCGTTGCCATCTACACGACTACCGTCCACTGGCTAGAGTCCCGGAAATTCACGCCAATTCCATTCCCAAGTGTCTCGTACAAGCACGATACCAAGATATTGATCCTTGCCCTTGAGAGACTTCGCGAGGCATATTCAGTCAAGGGCCGCTTGAACCAAAGTCAGCGAGAAGAGCTTGCTCTCATTGAACAGGCCTATGATAGCCCAGGTACCACTTTGGAAAGAATCAAACGTTTCCTCCTGACCCAGCGTGCGTTCAAGGAAGTTCAGATCGACATGAACGACAACTACAGCTCCATCAATCCAGTCTACGACATCGAGCCAATTGAGAAGATCAGCGATGCTTACCTTGACCAGTACCTGTGGTACCAAGCAGACCAGCGGCATCTCTTCCCGAACTGGATCAAGCCCTCTGACTCCGAGGTCCCACCATTGCTTGTTTACAAATGGGCTCAGGGTATCAACAACCTCGACAAAGTCTGGGAGACTGCGGACGGAGAATGCAATGTCATGATCGAAACCGAGCTTTCGAAGGTGTATGAGAAAATCGATATCACTCTGCTGAACAGACTTCTGAGATTGATCATGGACCACAACTTGGCGGACTACATCAGTGCCAAGAACAACGTGCAGCTGACGTACAAGGACATGAATCACGTCAACGGCTATGGTATGATTCGTGGTCTTCAATTCTCGGGCTTTGTGTTCCAGTACTATGGTCTTGTACTGGATCTCCTGCTGCTTGGATTGAACCGTGCCAGCGAGATTGCCGGACCACCATCACAGCCGAACGATTTCCTTCAGTTCCGTGATCGTGAGACAGAGGCAAAGCACCCCATCCGCTTGTACACGCGATACATTGACAAAATTTGGGTCTTTTTGAGGTTCACTGCCGATGAGTCAAGGGATCTGATCCAACGCTTCTTGACGGAGCAACCTGATCCAAATTTCGAGAACGTCATCGGCTACAAGAGCAAGAAATGCTGGCCAAGAGATTCTCGTATGCGACTCATGAGGCACGACGTCAACCTTGGACGAGCAGTCTTCTGGGATTTGAAGAACCGGCTTCCTCGGTCTGTTACCACCATCGAATGGGATGACACTTTCGCCAGCGTCTATAGCAGAGACAATCCGAACTTGCTCTTCTCAATGTCCGGATTCGAAGTTCGCATTCTCCCGAAGATCAGGAATCAGAGCGACGAATTCCCAATCAAAGACAGTGTCTGGTCACTCGTGGACAATACTACGAAGGAGAGAACCGCACATGCCTTCTTGCAGGTCACTGAAGAAGATATTCAGAAGTTCAACAACCGAATCCGCCAGATCCTCATGTCCTCCGGTTCAACCACGTTCACCAAGATCGCCAACAAATGGAACACGGCGCTCATTGCGCTCTTTACCTACTACCGTGAGGCTGCAGTCTCGACGGTCAATCTCCTCGACACCATCGTCAAGTGCGAGACCAAAATCCAGACTCGTGTCAAGATAGGATTAAACTCCAAGATGCCTTCGCGATTCCCTCCAGCCGTCTTCTACACGCCAAAGGAGTTGGGTGGTCTCGGCATGATCTCGGGCTCACACATCCTGATTCCCGCAAGTGATAAGCGATGGTCCCAGCAGACGGATCTTGGTGTCACTCACTTCCGAGCTGGCATGACACATGACGAGGAGACGCTCATTCCCAATATCTTCCGATATATCATCCCTTGGGAATCTGAATTCATCGACTCCCAGAGAGTGTGGACGGAATATTCGCAAAAACGGTTGGAGGCTAACCAGCAGAACCGACGGCTTACACTGGAGGATCTGGAGGACAGTTGGGACCGAGGTCTTCCTCGCATCAACACCCTATTCCAGAAAGACCGGAGCACTCTCAGTTTCGACAAAGGTTTCCGGACCAGAAGCGAGTTCAAGGTCTACCAGTTGATGAAGAGCAACCCATTCTGGTGGACAAGTCAGCGACACGACGGCAAACTCTGGAATCTGAATGCCTACCGTACTGATGTGATCCAAGCCCTTGGTGGTGTTGAGACAATCCTCGAGCACACTCTGTTCAAGGCCACGGGATTCCCTTCTTGGGAGGGTCTGTTCTGGGAGAAGGCGAGCGGTTTTGAAGAGAGGTACGTTAGTTTACAGCATCTGTTGTGCCATGTTTTCGCTTGCCATTTCGATCCCAGGCGCATACTTTGTTGTCACTTTGATCATGTGTAATAAGCATGGTGGAATAAGCACTCGACGAAGTTGTTGGCTGCCAATCGCTGCTAATGACCGTGCTTATTCCATGTGCCCCACTTTTGCCCTTCCAACCCAAGTCAAAGCTCTTCAAGGGATAATTGCTAACTTGACTGTCCTATAGTATGAAGTTCAAGAAATTGACAAATGCCCAGAGATCTGGTCTGAACCAGATTCCCAACCGTCGGTTCACTCTGTGGTGGTCGCCCACCATAAATCGGGCGAACGTCTACGTTGGTTTCCAGGTTCAACTCGACCTCACAGGTATTTTCTTGCACGGCAAGATTCCAACTCTCAAGATTTCTCTCATTCAGATCTTCCGTGCCCATCTCTGGTATGTACATTTTTTGGAGTCTCTAATTGCCCCCTACGGCCACGTCTTGGGGCCAAATCTCCTCTTCTGGCGCGGTGTCAGGACCTCTTTCCTCCCGAGACATTCTCGTCACAATATCTGGAAGGAGTGATTGCTGACTCTACTTCTTTCTAAAAGGCAAAAGATCCACGAGAGCGTGGTTATGGATATGTGTCAAGTCTTTGATCAGGAGCTGGAGTCCCTGGGGATCGAAACAGTACAGAAAGAGACCATCCACCCGCGAAAATCGTACAAGATGAACAGTTCTTGCGCCGACATCTTGCTTTTTGCCAGCAACAAGTGGAATGTCACCAGACCATCACTTCTTTACGACACCAAAGACACAATCGAGCCTGCGACTACCAACAAATTCTGGGTGGATGTACAGCTGCGATATGGTGACTACGACTCTCACGACATTGAACGGTACACGCGTGCCAAGTACCTGGACTACACCAACGACAGCATGAGTATCTACCCCTCGGCGACCGGCCTGATGGTTGGCATTGATCTTGCTTACAACCTCTACTCCGCTTATGGGCAGTACTTCCCGGGCTTGAAGGTTCTAGTTCAGCAAGCTATGGCCAAGATTATGAAGGCAAACCCCGCCCTGTATGTCCTTCGCGAGCGTATCCGCAAGGGTCTTCAGCTGTACGCTTCGGAAAGCAACCAGGAATTCCTAAACTCGCAGAACTATTCCGAACTGTTCAGCAATCAGACCAAGCTCTTCATCGATGACACTAACGTGTACCGAGTGACGATTCACAAAACATTCGAAGGCAACTTGACAACCAAGCCAATCAACGGTGCGATCTTCATCTTCAACCCGCGAACCGGGCAACTGTTCTTGAAGATCATCCACACGAGTGTCTGGGCTGGGCAGAAGCGTCTCGGACAGCTGGCGAAATGGAAGACTGCGGAAGAAGTTGCGGCGCTTATTCGGTCCCTCCCCATTGAGGAACAACCGAAGGAGCTCATCGTCACGCGTAAAGGTCTCCTAGATCCCCTTGAGGTTCACTTGCTGGATTTCCCGAACATCTCAATCCGCGCTTCAGAACTGCAGTTGCCTTTCCAAGCGGCAATGAAAGTGGAGAAACTTGGAGACATGATTCTTCGTGCTACCGAGCCGCAGATGGTGCTCTTCAACCTCTACGACGAGTGGCTGAAGAGTATCTCTTCATACACTGCATTCTCACGTCTGGTCTTGATCCTGCGTGCTCTGCACGTCAACCCCGACAAGACGAAACTCATCCTCCGACCTGACAAGACTGTCATTACGCAGGTGCATCACATCTGGCCCACGTTGTCTGACGAGGATTGGATCAAGGTTGAAACACAAATGCGAGATCTGATCTTGAATGACTACGGCAAGAAGAACAATGTCAATGTCTCCAGTCTGACGAGCAGTGAAGTCCGAGATATCATTCTGGGTATGGAAATCTCGGCGCCTTCAATGCAACGACAACAGGCTGCAGAGATCGAGAAGCAGCAGCAGGAGCAGCAGCAGCTTACTGCGGTCACGACCAAGACACAAAACGTACACGGAGAAGAGATCATCGTCACAACAACGTCGCAGTTTGAACAACAGACGTTCGCATCCAAGACGGAATGGAGAACTCGAGCGATCGCCACCTCCAACTTGCGAACCCGAGCAAACAACATCTACGTCTCTTCTGTAGATAACGATGTGGACGATGTCACCTATGTCATGCCGAACAACATACTCAAGAAGTTCATTACTGTTGGTGACCTGCGTGTGCAAGTCGCCGGGTACCTGTACGGTGTTTCTGCACCAGACAATGATCAGGTCAAGGAGATCCGTTGCGTTGTCATGGTACCTCAGATTGGAGGGCTGCGCAACGTACAACTGCCCCAACAGCTGCCGCAGCACGAATATCTCAACGACATGGAGCCTCTGGGCGTGATCCACACCATGGCTGGAAATGAGTTGCCCTACATGTCGGCAGCTGATGTCACCGAGCACGCGCGTCTGCTTGAGGCACACCCGAAATGGGACAAGGAGAACACCATCACAGTCGACGTTGCCTTCACGCCTGGCTCAGTATCTCTGTCTGCTTGGGCACTGACCCCCAGCGGTTACAGATGGGGTGCCGAGAACAAGGATATCGGTAGCGACCAGCCGCAAGGCTTCACGACATCCATGGGTATCAAGCGCAAGCTGCTGCTGAGTCCTCGCTACCGAGGATATTTCTTAGTACCAGAGAACGGCAAATGGAACTACAGTTTCATGGGGAGCAGTTTTGCTGGCATGGAGAAGAAGCCAGTGCACGTCAAGCTGGACACGCCAATGCCATTCTACAGCGATCAGCACCGGCCGCTCCATTTCCAGAACTTCGCAGAGCTGGAGGACATCGGTGTGGACAGGAATGACAACTTTGCATAAAGAGTTGGGGAAGATGGTAATGGTCAGGTGGTCGAGTCTTCGACATGCGAAGGACACGATCTGGAAATGAAACAATGCATTCATTTGAAGCGGACGCCAATGAAAGTGGCGGCGTGATATTCAAAGTCATTTGCAGGCGTTTAGGGAAAGAAGCCCGTTCATGCGTTCATGAGTTGAGGGGGTGCTTGCGAGGTCCGACTGTTCCTCGTGGCAGTGGTTTCGTTTATTCGGGCTTAAAGGGGGCTTTGCTGTAACGGACGTAAGGTTATTGTAAAATTACACGTGCTATAGGAGAATGTCATAATACCCCCCCAATGGAGATATCGGACCGAAACTATCGTGACAAGCGGAACGTGTTTATAGACAGCTTTGATATAGTGTCCGTGTCCTCGAGCTCGGGCAGCGGTTGGACGACCCTGACGGGGCGATGCTACTCAGCCAGCTTCGCTATCAAACTAAGAACGAGGCGAGGGCCGTGTGGAGCGAGGCTATGGGTTTGACATTTTGACAGATGTGGGGGACGGTTGAACCAAACCCCCCGGCAGTGTAGTCAAATCAACTCCGAGTATGGTACCCTAGGTTTAGGGATACTTGGATATTTGGTGGCAGACCGCTCCGTGACCCAAATCATGTGAGATAGCACAAAGGGGCGTCCAGTATCTGATGAATACTTGGTCATGCAAACGCCGAAATGCTATAGTAATGTCTAATAACGGCAGGGCCGAGCACGTCCGTCTAGCCATCCAGCGTCCCGAGACCCGGCTACAGGCCAGGCACGGAAATTCGACAACCATGCGAAATGCAGAGTGGCACAGTCGCGATTGATTAGGTACCTTACGCGTGAGGCATACATATTGGGGTGAACTGCGCGTTGCTTTTTGTTCGTTCGCGTATATGGCTAAATGGAGAGATGCGCGGGATTAAGTGCATCAGGTACCTACTCCGTACCTGCATGACGGGCCTAGCTGTGTGGCTATCCAGTCCGGGGGTATAGCGTGGAAAAAGCAGTCGGCATGACGCGGGCGTGGCGCGCAATGCAAGGGCTGCGCCGAGTCTGCTCTGCATGTGGGTAGATGGATGGGTGCGTGTATGCAGGTCGTCCTTCTAGGAAGGCCCTCCAAGAATTCCCCTATTTGCTATGGCGTGGTCGCGTGTTCTGGTTCCTGCTCAGGGGAGAAGCGGCACGAAATTGCTGATCGCTGACTCCTGAGTGGTGACCGTGACCGTGGCTGTGGGACAAGTTGTGGTTAATCATCCGTGCGGTTCGATGTGCAAGCTCGTCGACCGAGCGCTGGACCGCGATGATGCTGGTTCCGGTTGTCACGGCTGCGCAGCATGGGGTGATCAGTTTTAACAGACTTGAATCCATGGCATGACTTCATAGCATGCGGAGTGGGAGAATAGAAGCTTGGGGCAAGTCGCACGGCCGAAGTGATGGCGGCGGCGGCGGAATCGACAATGTTGAATCAGCGCTGACAGCAAAAAGAACATTGAAACTAAATTGCCCTTCTTTATGCATCAATGCGCGAGTCCGATCTTCGACTGGGATCTCAGACAATTGGCTCGCTAGCTGAGCGCAGGCCCTGTCCATGTGAACTTGTCCCAAAATGAAAAGCTCCCGGTCGAAGGATTTCGTAGACGGTAGAGTTCGTATCTACTAGACTCTGTCGGCCCGTGGTGGGTTGCAACTTGGAGGGTCCTCGTGGGGGTTGCGGAGATTTATTTGAGCAGGGTCATCCCTCGGCTGCCCGGCTGCCACTTTCGAAGGGCTGGCTGGCATGGGGTTCTGCTCATTCTTCACTTACAGGAGCCTCCCCCGAGTACGGTAGGATGAGGCTGAGAATGCAGTGCTGGTTTTGTCACTTGACAGACTGAGCAGTTGGGGGATAGGCTTCTGCTGTTCAAACTCCTCAACGATCTTCAAGCTTGGCATGCAATGTTGACAAAAGGCCAGCCTAGGATGCTGCTTCCTTGATAGATAACGCGCTGCTTGAAGAAGGCAATCGAAGAAGACGTCACGTTCGAGGCTTATCACATGACTCTGGATTGCAGCTCGAAGCGCGGAACAGGTGTTTCTGATGATGAAGTTCGTCGGGCGTCGGAAGCTGCGATGTAACACGAAACCGGTACGTCTCCGAGGTGGGTCCCGGGCTTTCGGAAGATAGGGTCGAAACCGTCCGAACATGCAGGAGAACGACAGCCCAACTCATGTCATAGACTCGAGTGGGCATGGCAGACACACCTATGTAATGCGTAGGCCGCGGCGGCGCGAAAAGACGAGCATCCGATGTTTGTATAGTCTTGGTCAGCGCATTATTATCGCATATGGATACCCGCGAGGGGAGCCCATGCTGGTGGTTAGATGTCGGGTGCGCCGATCAGGGACTTGCATAGCGGCCGGAGCAGGCTGCGGCGCGTCAGAGGATATAAGGCATTGTTAAGCAGTGCTGGTGCTGTGACAGCCATGGGACCAGGCTGGTAGGAGCGCCTAGTGAGCGAATGGGACAAGGCGGCGACGACGGAGGTGTTCCATTGTGGTGCCATCTGGGTGGGACGAACTGGTGGATGTGTAGATCTATCATCTGTTAGACAGGTCCGGGGCCGGGGTGCTAGCAACCTGTACTACTGGTACTGGTACCGGTACCGCGTGCTTGGTCAACCACCGAGTCCCAGTCATCCTGTCATCCCGACTGGGAACCGGGAGCACAGCTGTTCGGACGAGGAGGCATTGACATTGGCGTTGGGGTTGGGGTTGGCATCGCTGGACTAACCCCTGATGATGCGTCTACTTTCTCTGATGATGGCCGTTCTCGCCATCCCCTGCCTGCAGCTGCCAGCGGTCCACGGAACTACCACAGTCGGATGCGGGAACGACGACGAGGACAGCGGCTAGGGTAGCATGCTTCTGGAAGGTGTAATAGAAGGAAATGGAGCCGACTCATGCACGCCCTGCAAGTCGCAGGCAGCAGAGCGCACAGAACGCAGCGTGATCACTGATTGGTTCTCCTCGCTCGAAGATGAAGTTGCTTGGAGATCCAATCTCGGCCGAAGACGACGATGATGTAGTTTGGTAGGGGTTCTAGGGGTATTCTGATTTCTGACAGCGGGAGAATGGGGAACGGGGAAGAAAGAGGGGACAACTGACAAGCCATGTCGCGGGCAGGGCGGGTTAAGCTAGTTGTTTAGCTTAATGGAATAATCGATTATAGGCATGCTCCTGATGCTTCTATTGGGTACTAGGTCGACACATATGCACCTTACGCGATATGTTCAAGTTCAGCAGGTGCTATCTGCAGGTGAGGTCGTCTAATATTCTAATTATAATCCTTCGCCAAATCTCCGATCCGTCCTTCCAGAACTTCTTCCCCTTTCCTCTACTCCTCTATTGAATCTATTCCTCTCTTCGTACTGACATCCGGTACCCACGAGACTGCTAATTCAACGTCACGTCACTGCTGTGGCTCAGCTATCTGAACCCCTGGTCCGTCTCTGGAAGCTTTTGATGTCCTTCTGGAAGCCCGAGTCGCCCTCGTCAGCCCATGTCTTGCAGCATAATTGATCTTTTATTGCTTGGATACCCTGAGACGCGTTTCGTTCATGCGAAGCGCTCGACAGGAACATCCGTTCTTTCAGCTCACCATCACCCGCTGCTCTCGCGCACCGTTCATTGGCCGTCTAGCCCAGGCGCATTGATTTGCGCAATATGAAAACGCTCCGAGAGCAAGGGGACTGCCCTTGCGCCGCCGGACTGTGCCATACCTCGACCGTCTTCGGTTCACTAACTGACCTGAGATTGACGGCTAGATGATGACTTGATCAGTTGGTAACGTACCGCGAGGCGAGTTACGGCACACACGGGCAGTCGTACTCGTCGATCGTTGAGACACCACCTACTGCCAAGTGCACGTTGGCCCGGTGCTTGCTGCCGTGGACGGCATGTATCGCGAGGATGTAGCCTGGAACATGCGCATGAGCATGAGCATGAGCGCGGAGATCAAGCACGGAGCAAGGACCAGCTCTGGATGAATCACCATGGTGGAAGATGTTCTGCTCTCCCAGGTAACCTGTCCCAGTCACGCTTTATCGCCTTCCACCTGTCTGTTACCCAAGTCTTCTTTCGTACTGCCTGACCCGCCACCGGTTCTATTCGTGACTTGCGCTTACGCGAAAGCCAGGCCCTGTCACGCTCGCAGTTGTCGTCGGCAGATCGTTGAGTCTTCGTCGTCGTGCAACAACCAAAGAATTGTACACAGCTGGGGCGTTCGATGCTGTCTGTGGCTTGAGTGCTGTGCTCTCTTGTTCTTTCCGGCAATCTACCCTGCTCTGTGGCTAGTTTGCGACCTTGCCATTCGCACTGCTCGCCCTATGGCGTGTCGGCATCGCAGCTCTTGAGTTCCTTACTATAACCCACCCCAGTCTCATTATATCCCTCCAAGCGGAGGCATGAGTGTGGCCCGATTCCTCCCCAACTGCTGCTCTGTGCCGGGCTCCCAGTTGGCAGTCCCCCAGCAGCCGAGCCTAGGTGCCTGGGTGTGCCACCCAGCGAGTCCCCATCGCATCGACCGGCATTCTTCGACCCTCAGGGATTGCCATTGCCCTGGTTCTCTTGGTGAGATGGGTAAGCAGGGACCTCGCTGTTGCGAGTCTGGGTGTGGACCGCCTCCATTGTTCGCTTGTGCTCTCCGGCCACTGCCCGACCGCATGGTCACGGCTTAGCTTTTTATTTCTCCATTCGGCTGTCCTATCTGGCACCTTCTATGCTACTTCCAGACTTTGGACGACCTCGACTCCCGAGCGTCTTGTTCTTTTTTTGGAAACAGCTTCGTCTGGGATCTCGAAGGTCGATCGTATCTGCCCCTTGTCCTCTCGCAACCCTGTCGACCTCTTGGAATTCTGGTCCGTTGTGGCTGTGGTTCGCCCCCGTTGCATCATATCCTCCGACTGGGGTCTTGTCTCGATTCTATACCTGGCCACCAGACAGACCATGGCATAAGATCCCCAAATTATGCTACCGTCATCGCCAGCCAAGGTAACCCATTCTCCACGCCTGTTCAGGAACGATACTTGTCTCGCACATGGCAAATCCGGTCGAGTGCTTTAACTTCTCGATGAAAAGAGAGGAAGTCCAGGTACTTGCCCGTCGACCGTCAACTTCGCCCCTGCCTGGGGAGTGTCGAAGAAGGTGATCAGACGATATAATGCGGTCCATGCCCACTCTTGCGTATTCTCCCTTATGACGTTTTGTCACCATATAATACAGCAGTTAAGCAAAGCAAGAAAAAGAGCAGATCCCCGTATCCAAAAGCTTGGGTGGCAAGCTTTTGAAGGAATCCTGCGCGGGTTGCACTGAATTTGGTTTTTAATTCTTTTGGCTTACAGGAACCCGCCGACTGCAAGAGAACACCACCAATCCCACACCATCCCGCATCTGACAAAGCTTCACCGACGACTGACTACCGCCGCGCCGACACATGCGTTCGGCAGTTAGGCGCGTTACACCTCAACCTACTAATACCTCCACGGCAAGCAGTCAAGACGGGCACCATTATCGACACACGCGACACACGCCTTCCCGCCTCACAGCCATTGGCGCAGCATCAGCCCCGAGGGCTTCCCGCCCGTCAATTTCTTTCAGTTCAGATCCCGGCGACCGTCCAGAGCGGTTCGCTCTGGCGGAACCCATGTATCGACGACACGCTGGCGGGCAACTATCGAGTAGGGCCGGACTACCATGTCGATTACTCCCCGCAAGAGTCGCATGCGGGCGAGCAGGGCCAGACTCCACACCCATACGACACACATCACCACCGAGGAAATCCAATGCAGCAGCATACGGGACACGGGAGCTTACAACATGGACAGTCTCAGTCGCACTCTCACCACGCCATGTCTCAGCATCACCCCGGGCACCACCGCCCTCATCAGCAGATCCTGATGGATCCGGCGCATCTTGGTGGTCATCCCGCCGCCCGGCACATGGGCCATCAGCCCTCCCACTATGTCCCGGGCCCCTCGCCACATGCCGTCGTTGGTCCGCCGTTGTACCCGGCAATGACACCAACCCAGCCTCATAGCGCCGGTTCGAAGCGCTCACGCCCGGATGATCTCCAACTCTCCATCCCCGGTATACCTGATCTCGAACAAGGCGATCTTGACCCAATGGGATCCTACACACAATCTGCTGGCGCCGCCCCCACGCATCATCACCACCGCCTTCCAGATCAGGGGCCCCCTTCCAAGATGATGAGGCGCGAGGGGGATGGGAGCATGAGTGCTGGAGGTGCGCCAAGCGTAGTAGGGCAAGTGGGAATGCCAACGCCCGCGCCGAGGCCCAGGGGACCGAAACTCAAGTTCATGCCGGAAGACGATGCGCTGCTCATCGACTTGAAGGAGAACAAGAGCTTGACATGGAAACAGATAGCCGACTTCTTCCCTGGTCGATCATCAGGTACCCTCCAAGTCCGTTACTGCACAAAGCTCAAGGCCAAAATCACGCAGTGGACGGACGAGACGGTAAGTTCCCTTGCCAAAGTCCGCAGATGTATACGGATAGCTAATACAGGAGGAACCAGGACCAAAAGCTGCGGACAGCGCTTCAAGACTACGAGAACGAGAAGTGGCGGTTCGTGTCGAACAAAGTAGGCCCAGGCTTCACTCCCCAAGCATGTCGAGAGCGGGCTTTAGAGCTGTCTGGTGAAGTCGTTGAGGATGTCGGGGAAGAGAACTTATAGCAATCAGCGTCCTCGCCAGGAGTTTCGGCTCCTGGCTCTGGGGACACCATCTACCCACAGCAGCTCCAAGGGTGAAGAGCTTGCAAAGAACGGCGCATTGTCCTCACCGACCGTCAATGACAGTCGCTTCGCTGATGGTTTTAGCCAAAGCGCGGCGACACAGTACTCGACGCCTGCGCTTCGAACGAGCCAACACCATAAACCTTGACCTCCGCGCGAACCCCGTACGAACGAATCCACTTTACGCACAATTCCCTTTTCAAACCACCTACGAGTCACAACACGGCAAGGCGTTTGGCGTTTCAGCCCTACACTTGAGCAACCGTTCCCCGACCCCCCTTTGTACGACAGTCACGGATAGGGGGTTGGGGTCCAACGCTGCTCTCCGGTCTGCAGAGCAGACATTAATACTAGAGATACCAAAGGACCACGAGGTCATGCATTCCTTTTTCCTTTCAGCTTCTTGACGACCATATTTGGACATTTATGACGAAGGGGATGATTCACTGTTGCTTGTTTTTCTCTGGTTTTTTACGTTGTTACTCTCCTTTCAAAAGTCAATAATACACCCAGACGAAAGATCTACTCCTCTTTACCTCCCAGACTCTTCCTTCTTCGGTGACAGACAAACAGTATTCGGGTTTTTTGACACGACGAGCATTGCGACCAAAAACAAACCGGTTTTTCGCGGCATGACCGCATCGCATCCTTGGCAGCGGTCGCGGGTAGATTGGGGGCAAGGAGACTCAACCATTACGTTCTGCGCACGGGCGCCCGCCGCGTTGGAAAATGATACCCTCGAACGATGGATGGAGGAAGGGCATTGGGTAATGGCGAGAGGGAGGGAGATTCCGCCATTGGGTAATGGCGAAAACGAGGAAGATGATGGGATGGAACGACGCACATATTAGCAGGGACCAAACCAATCAGGGAAAACAGGGCCAGAACGGCGTTTCAGGCATAATAGACAATCCCGTGCAGCAGCGAACGGGAGAAGGAAAGGAAGGGACGGCGAGAAGCAGAACTGGACAGATCCACGGTTCAGTTCTGGGTGGGAATACCTAGGACTGCGAATGGAGGCGGTCGGTGGGCAAAGAAGAAGGAAAAGGAGCATCCACCACGGCAGAGCAGCAGCATATCACGGCCCTTCTACGGATCGTAGCACCATCTTTACCTACAGTTACTTACTACCTACTAATAACCTCAATGGCATTAATCACTTCTGCCTTTCAATGTTTACTCTGACGATGTCACTTCCCTCATTTTGTTAAAACATGTCTCTACTGTGTCTACCGTTCGTTTCCCAGCTCAGGCTTCCTCTCAGGAGCGAAGAAGGCGTTGGCGAGAGAGAGCCGAAGACAAGAGACGGAAAATACGGGGCCGCGTTACATTGTCTCCAGCTTACTGCGGAGCTCCCATCTGAGAGCGAGGGTGAGGTGAGAAACAAAAACAAGAACAACGGGCTCTGCGTTGTTTCTAGTACCACTCCTACCGATAACAAGAATCGAAATAAGATGATCGACCCGGCCTGCTTCTCTGGTTGTCGGTATATTACCAACCACTTATTTGTGTGCACGGGACCCCTGAGCATCTGGGGTACCGGTCCGTGAAACAAGCCCCTGGGACTGTGGCTGCTGCTCCTCCGCATACACAGGACTATCCAGCAAACGCTTCACACAAACCTAGATACTGCAGTAAGGTGTTTATAATTATGCTGCGAGAGTTTTGAGCTACCGGCCCGGGGCCGGGGCATGGACATAGGCGCCAGTCTCGGGTGTCGGGCAAGGCGTATCCGTCATTGCGGATAGGATGGCTGCAAGCTGATCAAACTATGAGTTACCTAGCTAACCTCGGGTGTCGTGGACGAGAACACGTAGAGGTGGGTCAGCGAGCCGCCAGAGGTGGTAGCGAAACGGGCACGCAAAAACGTGGAGGCAGGCAGACAGGCGAGTGTCTGATCTGAAACCTCGATCTGCCCTCTGCTGCATTGTAACTCAGGCAGGTTCTCCCGTTTAGGGTTCGCCACCCTGTGCGCCTGTGAGTGGACACATGTGGTGTGTGCTGTCATTGTCACACATATAGCGCTTCAGCGATATACCCTCCCATCTTTCCCCATCCCAGTCGACGGTTCTTACTCTCCGTGCCCCTGGCGCACGAGGGAAGCACCTGCACTTGCGGCACGGAGAATTCACCACTTAATACGGCGCCTGCAGTTTCACAGCCCGTTCTACTCTAGGGCTTGTGGGTGCTCTTCAGTCCACGAACATCCTGACTCGAGCACCTCTCTTCCCCGAGTAGAAACTCGCTCGACGTATGCAATAGCCTTGGCGCTGTGATTTCCCGGCTTTGCACCAACACACATCTCACTGCCGAATCGGCTTCGGGGCATACCGTGTTGGACTCTGTGTCGTTCACCTGGCTGCGCATATCGTCGGTTGGGTGCGACCCACGTGAGTGGAAGCCACCAGTGAAGGCCTTAGTAAGTCCATCTGGCACGACCAAGGACTCAAGGATGTAAAGCTTAATCTTGCGGTGAGAGATCTCATTAGTGTACGCGGCGGTCCAGGTGAGGGATCTCTTGCCGGAACACCCCGTCGATTGCATGACTTGAGACCAGTCAAGTAGCGAGCTGGCTTTGGTAGTCATGTGCGCCAGTCTGTATATTCATGTGAAGCAGCCTTGAGACTCTCGTCGTGATACAGCAAATAGGCATGCGCGCTGTCTATCGTCAGCCCGCCAGCGTCGCTTAAAGTAGATTGTGGAAGCTAGAGCCACGAAGCAACGTCGAGATGCGGAAGGTTATGAAACCTGGCCACAATGTTACAAGATCTCCCAGGCTCGCCCTGGCGAGCCTGGCAAGTTGGTAGGGGTGCTACCCAGTATAGGTACAGCCTAGATAGGTGGCAAATTTAAACATAGCGTTCCGTCGCCGTGATAAGTTGGTCCTGCTGTGAATGCTGGCGTGGTTGCATGCAATGCTAGAGGCTGAATGTTGCAGGCTGAGATTGGACCCAACTCCTCTCCTGCCCTGCTGCTCGGTGTGCGGCTGCCAGTCTGCCACGACTTGATCGAGTTTCAACTGCCGCCCGCCTTGCCGTGAGGGGTCGTCAGATCAGGCCCCTGTTGCCGCAACTTTAGGAGCTTTAATCGCACATGAGGGGAATTTCTTGCCGAAGACAGGCGTCCAGCGGGACAGAGACGACGGGCAGGGTCCAGCCTGTTACCGGTAGCCGACCTTCCCAGGAAGCCAGGTTCCTGCAGCATGCACACATCATCACGCGGGCTCGCAGTTTTTTTTTGGTGTGCTCTACACGCTGTGTGAGTTCTTGTGCATAAGATGGTCTGACCAGGGGCCCGGCGTAGGCCAACATGACGGTCTGACAGATCGATGTCCGATGTGGGCTCGGCGCACAACGGTCCCGATCGACCCGGATCTTCCGCATCAAACGGGACGGCGGATGGGACACAAGGCATTGGCTTCCGGCGTTTCCTGAAACCCATTGGGTACAAGTTTGAAATGATGAATGATGTTCTCATGATCAGCGAAAGGGCTGAGGCCAAGTTACAATGCGGCATGCTGTACGCCTTAGTTCCGCCAGGAAAGCCAAGCAACTCACGCCTAAGCGACTGGTGACCCCACAGTCCAGTTCCGTGACTTGCCGGCAGGGCCTAGGAAATCTAATAAGCGAGGCAAGTCGACAAGGTTCAAAGACGATCGCAGTGGCGTCATGTGACCAGTCGACCTCGATACGAAATAGATGAGATGCTCCCCTACGGAACAATTCCTAGAGTGTGAATTGGCAGGTTGAACCAGCGATCACTGGTCCACTATCTGCTCGCAACCGCCCAAGCGACATGAATGAGGCTCAAAGCAGAACCTCATCCGATGTTGGGTTTGCATGATTGGACGAACATTGGTCAGTGGATCTGAGGGCATAGCACAGATCACCACTGATCACGGTTTCACCAGATGACCCGGACAGCAGTAGCGATTTCTTTCATGCGTGTCGCCCGTGCTACAGTGTCATTAGCAGCTCTCGCCGACTCGGCTGTCTTCCTTCCTCGAGAAAGCAAAACGTCTAATCCGAAGATGATGTTTGCGCAGGGGTCGTAGCAAAGACGAGTAGCTTGCCTTGTTTTGTTGACCATTATCAACCAACCTCTGGGTGTTGGAGACGATCCCGATGGCTTGATTTTTGGTTTTTGACATCGCTTGATGCACTCACTGCGATCTGCATAGGCCAATCGGAGAATTTCCATCGCCATCGCAGTCTGTACGACCGGGTCCCAGACAAGCCAGATGATGTGTGCACTGGGCAGCTGTGGGCACTGTGGGGAGAGCCTGTCGCATGCTGGGGAGTCTTTGGTAGCCAAATGAACGTCAAAGCCCCTGGTTCGGTTTCGCGACCGCAACCGATATTGACCGATCTTTGCGCCAGCCAGCTATCAAGAGACCCAAATCACGGCAAGGTGACAGACGTCTTGGTGGGCCGTTTTTGCACAAGCCTGGTCGCGAAGATTACACACAATGGGGATGTCGGTGAACTGTGGTCTCTAGGGTATTGGTAATTCAATCCCAACTCCAACTGTGCGAGGCGTGGTGTCGTGTCTCGGCGTTCAGGTCCTCCTCATGAGTACGGAAATTGGTGAGGTGATCCGATACATCGAGTCTGAACTGCCAACTTTCGCTATCTCAGAGTTCGTGGAATCTGAAGAGGCCGCGGAGATCAAGCTTCGTCAGAGGCTGCGACTACCTGACTCGCGTTCGACAACATTCCAGCAACGCTTTTCCAGAGCCAAGAAGCCCCCAAGCTCCATCGATGGCGCTTAGGGGTATATGTGTGGGTATATGAATGAGAGGAACCACAGTGGTGTCAGCACTACCCAACCAATCCGCGAAGAGATTGCCAACGCTCCTTTCAAAGGTCAGATGCTCGGTCCATGTGTCCTCTCTGTCACTGGGTGGCAGTGGCAGGCCGGGCGAGGGCGGTATGCTGCTTGTCTAACCAGTCAATCCCGTCCTTGCTGACCGACAGTGGGTTCATTTGGGCTCGAGCAGCGCATACAGAGGCCTCGGGGGTACAAGGAATGTTCTGTTGTGGGGGTTTAAGTGCGGATGTTCAGGGGAGTTCTCGGCCCTGTTGTCGACCCTTCCCTATATTGGGCCTGTGTTAATGGAACGGTCACACCTCGCCAAAAGCCAGACTCATCGCGGGGGACAACGCAGGACGCGCTGAAGGAGGGTAAGCCGTACCGGTGGCCTTGACAGGCTCGCGAAAGCTTGCCTAGTCTATCCGTCTGCAGGCGAGGGGTCCATTCTCGAGACCTCGAGACCTGTCGGCCTTGGAGGTCGAGTGCCTCCGCAGCTGCAGCAGGAGCAGGTCTGCACCCGAATTCATGCGATCTTCTGGCGGTGTGATGATGAAGTTGTCAGTACGAGCCAGCCATTGGCGGCGACTTGTGATGAGCTGCCAACCGCGGTCCGCGTGCAGGCATTTAGTGCCATTCAAACGGGAACGAGTGTTGTGACGCTGGCTGGGCCTTGTTGGTTCGTGAAGCCCCGGGAGGATGATGTCCTTGGCGAGCATATGCGGAATGTCACAGCAGCCTGCCCTTCCCGGCAGATCTCGAAGGCAGTTGCCAATCAAAGAGACTCTCGGAGTCAACTCAGAGAGTGGGCTGTACCGATTCACCAAAGAACAGACATGGGAGGTGGGTGGATGCAGTGGATGGATGCCAGGTGGTTTTTCTAGCAATGGAAGTGGCAGGACTGTTCAGAGCCGGTGCCTGCCAGATTCACACCCGTCGCACTTTCTGCCTCTGGACATTTGGGACATACCAAGGTGGCACTCATTGGTTCAGACGTTCCTTCCGTGACTCAGGTGGCTACAGCCCCGAATGTTCCCTGAGCGCATATATTCAATTACCCCCCTTTAGCCAGTATGGAGGTTGGATCTTACCGACTGCATCCTTCACCGCATGCATCATGGTGTTCGGGAGCCTGTTCGAACGCTCATTCCGAATCGTTGGACTGCGGACTGCCGCTTGCATTTGCATCATGTTTCCGCTCTCCTCTTGAGCCCCTTAGCTGTCTACTCCCAAGGTGGGTCCTTGGGTCAGTTGCTTCTCTCAGTAATGCCAATAATTACCGCCATCAGACGTACCACAGCTCTCAAGGGGTGACAGTAAGGTCGGATTGCGCCATACTGACTAATTGACGACGTTCCCGGGTCAGAGCGATAGGGGCCATGGAGCAATATAGTGAGATCGGGTATCTGATGGCACCCATGGCATGGTAGTAGACACAAATGGATTACAGTTCATCGCACTTCGTGTCACTTTTCTTGGCCTGGAACGACCACTCTGTTGCTTGTCAGACTCGGACTGCGTGGCCGGGGTCGAGCATATGTCTGCCCCTATTCTGACCGGCGGCAGGTATGTACTCCACTTCAACAGCCTACCGAAGCGTCTAGTTAATCAGCGTACGTGAGCACTGCCATTCTCACAAGAAGCAGGCAACGCAGCATCAACGTGTTCGAGTAGGCACCTTTCGCGCGCCCAGCCGTCACTACCCTCTCGAAAGCAATCTAGAAAACCGACATGCAACCACTGAAAGGGTCACCAAGTATTATTATTGACCAGGTCAGTTTTCGGACGCAACACACTGATTCTCCGTTAGCAAGTGCTGTATTGATGACATAGTTTTCGGTCTCATTCACCTCCCTAGCGCTGCCGGTCCTCAGGCATAGGCATCGCTTCGCCCGTCCCAGCACACGTGAGGGGCTATCGTCTCCGTCATCCCCAAAAATGATGTCGTAGCTGTCATCTCCGCTACCGCTATTCTCTCCCATGGAGTCAGATATACCCGGGCGAGCCAGGCTCTAGCGCTTCGAGTGAGACGGCTGTTCGAAGCTATTAAGTGAGGGAGCCATCAGGCAAGAGCGGCAGCGTCGGCGCTCAGGCAGAGGAATACTGCAGGGCAGTGAGGAGTGGGTATAGGATAAGCTGCCGTCGATGTTGTAGCTATTGGAGTCCATCCTACGTCGAGCTTATCGGCTATCGTCAAAACCCCAGAAGACATAGCAGACTTCTTGGTTCTAGATGATGACGAACTCGTCCACATGACTCCTGGAAACCTCGTGCGGAATGAGAGGAGCAAGCACACCAGAGACGCCATGAACATAGGCAAGACCGCGGAAAGTCCATCGATTGTCATCTGCGGTACGCAGAATGAGCAGGGCGCGTGGCGCCAGGACCACTTGATCTGCGACTTTAAGTGTGCCGGGAGCCAGTCCAACTAAGCCTGTCTTCGTGGTGAAGAAGCAAGCATCCCCGTCAACGATCCGAGCATGGTCGAAAAAAAACCCATCGCCCAAATGCCTCAAGTACTGGAAAGGGCGGTCGTCAAACGGTGGCTCTATGCTTCGGTGCCATCGACTGAAAACTTCGCTGAGAATTTTGACTACGTTTAGGTACGAGCTGTATGATTTGATTCTACACCAGTCGAGTAGGGAGCCCGCGGCAGTCTCTTCGTCCGCACGTAACCTAACGGAAGGCAGCCACGGATGGTCTTGGAACAGCCGCGTAGTATCATCGGCAAGCCGCATTGTGAACTTATCAAGTCCATCAGACAACGCTTGGGCAAAAGTGCTCATTGTATGGGAATTGGAGCGCCAAATCCTGCGATGGTCGGCCCCCTCCGGCAGTGGTACGACAGATGTGATCGAGTCTAGCGGGAGGCCATAGACGGTCAGCGCCTTACAGTCTCCGCCCAAGAGAGGTTCGGGCAAGAAGTCCATGTGATAGAGTGACGTTTCTTTGGTAAAGGCGGCGTGTGGAAACTCATGCCGGAAGTTGTTCGCCCAAGACGGTAGAAATGGGATATCATCGTATTTGAATACGGTGTTCGACAGAGTCAGCAGATGACCGTCATACGTTATGCTAGCAAAAGTGGCTTTAGCGTAAACATCTGCACAGGGTACACCGTAGTCAGCATCGATAAGAGCGGCTTGTTGAAGCGGAAGAACGCCCAGGAGGCTGTAAACCATGTCCCTGGGGTCCGAGGCTTCGACGTTCCGGAGTCTAGAACGGATATCGTTCAGCGGCCACCGTTCCTTGGACCCTTTGTCACTTGCATGGCGGAAGCCCCAGTCTGGTTTGATCTTCTTAAGGTAATCCAAGCCTTCTATGGTTTGGATGAGGTCGGTAAAGCACGGCATCCAACGCCTCGATTGTTCCAATTTTTTCCAAGAACCAAATCTTCTCAGCTTCCCATTTGGTCCGTTCAGAGCCGAAGCAGAGGAACACGGTAGAGTTCAGCAGGAATTCTTGCCTCACCCATGCTCGCTCCGCCCATTTCGGCTCCGAATCACGAATCGCAGCTTCCAGCTTTTCGGCCTGTCTACGGCGTACCCATGGGCAGCCTGATCGAAATAATTCCAAGGCGAATTTAGGAGACATTCGGTTGTCACGCAATTCCTGAATCGCCATACGTATAGCATAGCATGAGCGATGCAGTCGTCCCGTGAGCATGCGTGGCAACGGGCCCTGCACATCCCCTAGCCAGACATCTACGCACTCTGCCGACTTGTAGATGTCGCCCATGATAGCGACTTGCTTGCATCGCTCCGCAGTGTCCGACTGGTTGATGCATATGGCATCAATCCACATAGTACGCTCATGCCGAGACCTACGAAACCATCGCAGTGCTCGGAAGAGGTTGTTGGTGACTCCCACATGGTAGACTTTGCCGATGAGAATGCTTCGTCCCTCCGATGGTGATCCCCAGGTGTACGACAGGGCTTCGCAGCGCGGGCGGTCTTCCAGTGAGACCGTCCGCAGATTGCCGTGTATTTGAGCGTCTGCGTCCTTGGAAGGAAGCAGGTCGAGGAGTCGAATCTCTCTTCGGCTCGGATCCAGAGCCTCGTATGGACCGTCATTCTTCGCGTCTATCGGCACTGCTAGCAATCGACCAGAGACGTGCAATTTCGTGCTAAAGCCCGCGGAAGTTCGGTTACGCATGTTGCTTTGAGGTGAGGTCCTGTCGACGGTGACCTGGCGTTGAAGTCGACGACTTCTCTTACCTCCTGTCTGTTTATCTCAGCGATCAGCCGGAATCTTTTGGAGTGAGCACTGGCCACATCACCAGCCACCAGCTAAGCCACAACCACAGGGATTCCAAAAGAACCTTCTGCCAATGGATGGCCAAGAGAAGGGAGCCGCATGTCTTCAGGTCGCGACCCGGGTTGCCAAACGGTGGAAGTTCGCAAGGTGAATTATTCGCCAGCGGGCCGCTGCTGATATGTCCGGACTTGTCCATTTTATCAAGATGCGGCTTTCTCTGTGTATCAAACGGTTTATTGTCCGACGACCTTGACAAGCCTATCAGCTCGCTCCGATCTGCGCTGCGCGCAGCCTAGAGAGTTAGGGCCAACGCATCCCTGAAAATCACACGTTCCGGGGCTCAGCAATCTAGCAGTATTAACTATACCTAGAAACGGGTAGCATTACTACTTAAAAATAAGTACTTGTTATTTAAAAACGCTGCTTTATAACGAGCTAGGCAATGCTACTTCTTTTTAAAAAGCGGCTTTAAGCTTTAAAAAAAGGTTACGTACTTAGCTATTATTGCGAGATAACAATACTTATAACTACACTTAATATATACTTATTTTAAAGTATATCCGTTTAGCTTCTTAAGCAGCCACATTGTAACCGTATAGATATAAAAGCGTATACGGGTTTTATTTTTATATTTTAAATTAATCTTACCGCTAGTAACGTAAGTAAAAAATCTATTGATTTAAACGGTTAAATAAATCACTTTTTATATAACTTTTATATATGAATGTCGATTAAATATACCTAGTAGTTCTTTCATTATAAAAGTAAATGGTTAAAAATCTAAGGTAAAATCAATCTATTTAATTAGTTAGTCTTGATTATAGCAGTACATTTATATTAAAGAAAACTACGATGATATCAAGCTTTAGGTAACCCCCACTGTAAATTATTATGACAGATAGAGTTGGCATGATCGTGAAAGCCCCTTAAAAAGGACCATAGCAGAGTTTTCAATTCGACCACCTGAGTGCTGATTGAGGAGAACCAACAGGCACGGTCTCTCCCATTTCATGCAAGAAGCCTCTCGCAGATCTCCTCCCTAGTAAGCGTAGTCCGCGCCTTAACCAGCGCGATCAATCGTTCGTGCGTCGGTAATCTGATATCTCCATCCAAATACCTCGCCGTCTCCACAAGCCAGCCATTGAAATCGTTAATTTCCGTCTGCTTGCCCGCCCGAACATCCTGCAGCATGGAGCTCGTATTCTCCGTGACCTTGGCAGCCACACCGAGCAGCATCTCCCGCAGCCGCGGTAACGCGAATCTCCGATCGAGCTCCTCATGGGCCTGAGCCAGTCTACGGGCAACATGCTCTAACGCGTACCCGTCCCGGTCTTTGGTGGCCGGTTCTGCGAAGATCTCGTCGTTGGCCGGGTCGCGCACCAGCGCCCTGAGGGTCCTGCTCGCCTCATCGAGCAGCCTATCGATAACCTCCGACAGGCCATCACCACGCTCGACGAAGAGCTCTCCGTTCTTGCAGTCGAGGACGGCAGTCAATGGATTAATAACCGCATTGACGACCAGCTTCTCAAGCTGCGCAACCCAAAGCTCTTTCATCGATACCCGGCGAGCGGCCAGGTCCGGGGCGTTGGCGATCTGCTCGATCAGGTAACTGGGTCCTTCACCTGCCGTGTTGTTTTCTGGCTTTGGTTTTGGCATCATCACGGAACCGACCCAGGCATCGGCCGGCGAGGCGTGGATGCTCCTAAAGGGCCCGAGGGAGATGACGCCGTGCGTGGTGACGCAGGCGATCCAGCTCGGACTCGTGGCGCCCGGGAACCGGGCTCGCACGTATTGCTCTCCGAAGGGAGGCCAGAGCTTGCACATGCCGTTCTGCGTGAATGCGACAGTCGAGTTGCTGTCCAGATAGCCCCGTAGCCTGTCAACCTGTGGGATGGCATCTGAGGCTTTGGTGGCCACGACGAGATTGCTTATCCCCCTGCCCGAAGCGGGCTCTGTGACGGGGCCTTGTGTTGGCTGCTCATCCGTCCACCACTCGATGTCGAAATCCGTATTCTTCCCGACCTTGCCGTGGCGCGTAAACTCGATCCCGGGCTGTGAGACCCAATGCTCCAATAATTCTTTCCGATGGACGACTAAGGCGATGGGAGGCCTATTAGCCAGCTTGGCTAGGCATGTTGCGTACAGACGGCCCATGTTGCCGATGCCCAGGATGTGTATGCGACGCCGCTCATCGTCGCCTGAGTTTGCTCCCGCCGTCTTCTTCAGCCGGGCTGCACCGCTTGATATACTGTCCGGCGTCCAAGCGTAGAGTTTTGGCGGCTTGTGGTCATCTTCCAACACCCGACGTAGCCATGTCGCAGGGACCTGCTGGGAGTTGCCGCTGGCGCGTTGCGATGTCATGTGTAGGACCCGCCTGCAGGTGCTCCCTTTGCTTCTGAGGTTCCACTCGAGGAAGCCTATAGGTGTGCGACAAGCAACTCTAGGCATGCGTATACCCAGCCGCATAATGTCCAGCAACAATGCGGGCAAGAGATTGTGCGACTCGGCTTCGAAATTGTGAAGTTGCTTGCTTTAGAAACAGACTTGCGAAGCCGGCGGCGCTCGTGAGCGAGATGAAGTCTAACGACGGAAAAACTTCGGAAGCTGCCTGACACTCAATGTACCCCTTTTTTCTAGTCGTCAAGTGCCCCTTTTCTGACGTCACTTCTTATTTGCAAGGCCGAGGGGTTAGGTGGAATTAGGACTGTCTTTCCGTCTAGCAACGAAGTTCTATTAAGTACAGATACCGTTATGACTGTCAGAGTAATCCTTATGACTGATCGGAGTAATTCAACACGCACCCGCCAGAGAATAGAACGCAATACCCACAAACCTCAATCTCCAACACAACCTCGTGTCCTAGCAGCCTCATATCCTAGACGGGTCTATCCATGTCATAGTGAGGCGATCTCAAACACCTTAGACCTGGGAAATAACGTCAGGAACGCCCAGGCCAAGGCTCTCCTCGAGAACAGCAACGCCGTGGTCACCAACTTCCAAGGGCTCCTGGTGGAAATGTCTCTCCTCCATTTCTTCCAGCATCATGGAAGTCACATCATCACGCAGGCAGAAGTTCTCCTCGGAGGTAGGAGCAGGAAGCGGAGTCAACAGAGCCCTGATGAACGTCGCTTTTCCAGAGGGCGCATGCGAGCTAATAGACTGGAGCTCCTTAGTATCGCAGGTGGGCTGTAGCTCTTTGCATTCGATGGAACTGAGAACTTGGTTGCGGACCTGTTCGTTCGTTCTCAAAGAGGCGGGACTGAGTAATTCTTAGCAAAGACTGATACCGGTATTGAAGTGATTTGGGAGTGACGAGGGCTTACCTTCGGCCGTCATAGACAGGTGGATGATGCTCAAAGGTCGTCATACCACTCTTGTGCAAACGTGATCCTACCCAAGCAGACGGAGTCGGAGGCGGAGACCAAGCGGGACGAATCTTGTCAGGGACATCATGCCGTGGAGGCGTGCAGATAATACTGTCGATAGACGGGGTCTCTCCTGGGGTCGGCGTGGAATCTCTTTCGATGCCAGCCGCGCCAACGAGATGAGGCTCAATAACGTCTGTAACGTCCGTAAAGGTCCAATCCGAACCATCAGACGAGGGCGATGAAGGAACCGTCGAGGGTCCAGCCTTGGGCTATGAGGGAGTTAGCATGTGTCTATGAGAATGATGGAACACTTGAAGAGCATACCCAGGGCACTGGTCGCAGACCGATATATCTGATGACTTCCACATCGACAACTGGCCGTGTACCCATGCGGTGGAAGCCGAACCCAGTGGCTGCAGAAGGGGGAATCTCGTCGTTGAGAATCGCATTCAGGCTTAAGTACGTCCTCAGTGCGCAAGAAGGGCGGCAACGATGGCAATACTTAGCCTGACACTCTGCGTTCTCGCGAGGAACCCAGGGCTTCTCATTAGCCGGGTAGCGAGAACCAGGCGGAGGTTCAATGAAGCGACTGATACCCGGCGAGGGGAGATAGTATGGCAGCAACTTCTGGTTCGCCGTCATTTGCTCACGGTGGAGGACCTCCAGCAGCTTCCCAAGTTAGCATTCCCGTAGATCTCCTGGGCAAGGGACACTTACATGCTCTCTTTGCCGAAGGATAGTCACCACCTGCCCAGGAGTGTAGTTATTCAACTGGTCAAGGGGGGTCTCGGTGAGGAAATTGAGCTTGTCAGATCGTCTCTCAGCGCTTCGTGGCCCAGGCGACAGCATTACGCTGAGTGAGACACCGAGAAGATCGAAGCTCACCTAATGATGGATTCCAGTTAGCCCATTACCCAAGCAGTGATGAATGTAGTGGTGAATATGGCGGTAAGACCTACAGGATGACTCTTTCTGATGGCATCCTCGATAAGGGGCTCCCGATCCTGGATGCATCGGTATAGCCAGCCCTACTGGCCAGACCGACCACACATGGCGCATACGAACTCCTTGTCATAGATGCGTGTCATGGTAAGATGAGTGCATGTTGGCTGGAAGGCTTGTGGGCGGTAGGTCGAGTAGTTGGACAGGAGAACGGACGGGAGGAGGCGTGACGAGCCAGATAGCCGTGGCTGGTTGGGATCGTCGGTTGTAGCCATGGCTTGGTGAGCAATGTGCGACGACATTGGGCGCAATCGGCAACGGCAGTAGTGGGATAGGGATTAGGGAGCGGTGTTGTTGTGATTGAGTGCACACATCAGATACCTAGGTAGGTAGGGTTGCATGTGATGATGGGATTGCCGGGCAACCAGACCGCACCCGCCCGTAAGAAGCGTGAGCTGCGTGTGATGGGTACACGAAGTAAGGAATACTGATATGGAAGAGTCGGTATTTCTTAGGTGCCTTCAACCATGGCCCAAGCGCATGTGTGCAGGGGAGCAGTGTTTAGGTACTGTTGTCTGTAGCTGAACCCCCCCAGTTTGCATCGCAAAGGCCATGCATGCAAGGAGAAGGAGAAGGGGGTTCCGTGAAATCAAAACATTATCCAACGTTTGTGACCTTGCCTCCATTCATCGCAAATAGTGACCTTCGTCGTAACCACCTATTCTCGCCCGGGCCAACTTTGTTCTTCCCCATATTCCTCGACGTACAACATACGCTTTCTCAACACCTGCCCTTCCCAGACTGATTTACAGAAAGAGAATGCAACTGGGAAAGAGCCATCCGCGCCAGCCTACGTTTCACCTACATCCGTCCTGTGCAAAATAAACCACGCTGCCCAAGGGAGCTGTCAACTGGGCTGGAGTGCACGAAGTCTGACTGTCTAAGGCGGCATGGTCGTAGATGTGGGTGAACCCTTTCTCCTGCCGCAGCTGATCTGACGGTTTGCAGATACCACCGACTGGGACGGTCTGAAGCCAGTGTGATATGTAGAGTAGCGATATGCCTACTTGGTCGTACCTTTATTATTATCAGCATCTAATGCGTAGAGGATTGAGATGAACATATTTCTCCTATCCTGCAAGTTGCAAGCTGCAAGCTGCAAGCTGGAGTTGACAGCATGGCACTTCCAATTGGGCCATTGGGGGGAATGGAAGGGCCCGGGCTCTTCACGCGACCGAGACTTGCCTCAGAAAACTCAGACGGTGATCCGGGGGTCTGATAAGGTCCGATAAGCAAAACAAGGGTCTTCGTTTAATAGAGGCAAACCGGAACAACGTTTAGAGCAGCTGATCGGGCCAATCGCAAGAGCCAGTTGTCGCACAGGGACCCCTTGTAACCCCGGGGTCTCGAGAGCTGGGCTGTCGTGCAGCAACGAGGCCCCTAAACATTGGGGCCAATCCACGTCGCGACAACCAGCAGATGGTGCGAGGCGCTGGCACTGCAGGTGGTGTCCAACCTCATCCGTCCGTCCTCACCAGCCTCCCGCTCTCCCACCGCCTCCTCTCCACTCCCCATCTGGCATCGACGTCGATACGGATGATCCGCGAGCCCCACGATACTTGACGGCGGCCGCACCCTGCATTGCGAATGTAAGCCAGATCTCCTTCCATTATCCGCAAGTTGGTCTTGGTTGTCCTCGGCTGGCGCTTCAACCGTTGCAGCCAAACATTCTGCCTCGGCTCCGGGTCAGCGCGAGGTAAACAAACCCATTGGTCGAGCCCAACCACTCCACCACCACTGCCAGCAATCCAATTTGATGCAGAACCTGCGCGCTCATTGCTGACGCTGGCTGCCCATTAGATATATATCTGAGCGAATCGTCCGTTATCGATTGAAATCTTGTACCATGTCTATAAAAATTGAGCGGGACACCGTCCGCAAGGCCACCGAGTCCGCCGCCGCCGGCCCTCGTCGCGATGGGCCGCTGCCCGGTACGAGTGGGAAGCACCCCATCCTCGAGAAAGTCGGGACCGCGATCACGGGTGGTAAGGGCAATGCAGGCACAAAGGGTTACTTGATGGTGTGTTACCGCCTACGAATCGAGGCGCCTCGAACCCCACGTACAGTGTGGTGAATTGACCCGTGCTCTACATAGGCATACATCAACGAGCTCGAGAAGAACCCCCTGCGGACGAAGATGCTCACATCTGGTACGCTCGCCGGTCTACAAGAGTTCCTCGCGTCGTGGCTGGCGAAGGACCGCAACAAGCACGGAAACTACTTCACCTCTCGGGTGCCCAAAATGGCCGCATACGGCGCCCTCGTTAGCGCGCCGCTGGGCCATTTCTTGATCTGGTGTCTGCAGAAGGCCTTCAAGGGCCGCACAAGTCTACGTGCGAAGATCCTCCAGATCTTGGTTAGCAACTTGATTGTAAGTGCAAGGCCTCCGTGATCGCCGACCGGCCACTGACTCGCCACCCCTTTAAAGATTGCGCCGATCCAAAACTCCGTGTACCTCGTGGCCATGGCTCTCATCGCTGGTGCCCGAACCTACCACCAAGTCCGCGCCACTGTCCGAGTAGGGTTCATGAAGGTCATGAAGGTCTCTTGGGTCACGTCACCGATCTGTCTCGCCTTCGCACAACAGTTCCTACCTGAGGCGACCTGGGTTCCCTTCTTCAACGTCGTTGCCTTCGTCATCGGCACATACATCAACACTGTCACCAAGCGGAAGCGTCTTGCTGCTCTGCGCAAGAAGCACTTCGGCGATGGCCGTGGCGATGGGCGATCTGGCTCGATGCCAGGAGGCCGCAACGACGACTACCCTCCGATCGGACCCAATCCACCGTATTAGAGACGCGTGTGGTGGAGATGATTGACGATGAGGAGGTAATTGACGCATGGGATCAGCAACTGGTATAGTAGCTGAGGGCTACCTCTAATTCGACTCAGACTTGGAGGTATATCAAACCACGTACACAGTATATTTATCTAACGAGGAAAATCAGGTGGATTGGGATCTAGGGACGATCAATGGTTTTCGGGAGTATCCGCATGTGTATAATCCCTTTCATGTCGAATTTCAGCAATGTCAGATATTTCCTGGAAGCTGTCTGTGCCACATGGAGGCTACATGTCATCGATCGAGGGGAGCGAGTAACTGAGTTGGTTCTACTGGAGTCGACTCTGAGACTTTCAGCGCATCGATGACGATGTGATACGACAAAATACTTGATTCAAAGAGATGGTCTAAGTACAGTATCTAACTTCTTTCTCCCGGCCCCCGCTCCTCCCATCTGTGTTCAAAAGACTATCGCAGAAACGTCATTCATTTGGATCAGGCCGCAGCAACGGTGAAGTCGACGCAAGACTCGTAGGTCTGCTTGGCGCCCGTGCCGTACCACCACCACTGCAGGACCTGTGTATCAAAGTCAGTCACGCCATCCCACCCGGGCAGAATACTTAGGTAGATAGGTTACGACTTACACAAGCACCAGCATCAGCGCACTGGCTCCCAAGCGTAGTCGGGATAGTGACATTGAAGTCAGTCTGGTTAACGGGCGTCTCGCCGGCATAAAACGCCTGCTCGTCCGCATAGCCGCTCGGCCAGCTCAGCAGCGGCTCGCCGACGATCTCATTCGTCCGCGTGTCGACGACGCTCACATTCGCGGACCCGACGTGCGGGATCGTCAGGGCGACCTGGATATTGACGCTTTGCCCCGGCGTGTATTTTTGTACGTGGGCCACGTTGTCGGCGAACTGCACGCCGCGGCAGAGCCACAGGTTGCACGACTCGGCGTGGTACCCGGAACCCGCGGCCGCGCCGAGCTCGGGGAGACCCTCTACGTGCGAGGTCTTGTCTGCTACGATGGCGGCGACTATGGATTGGCCGCAGGCGGCCGTCGTGGCGTTGCCCGGGGCGCGCATGTAGGGGGAGGAGATGTAGCCGTGCGCGCTGACTGTGGCGGCGAGGGCCGCGAGGGGGAGGAGTTGGGGCTGCATGGTGTCTGGTGTCTGGGTGATACGAGCTGGTTCCGTTTCCTGTTGCTTGGATGATGTTCTGAGGGATATAGTCTGTGCAGCAGTTGATACAGCAGTCGATACGAGTTCTTAGTCTTAGGTATGCCCAAATAGTCATCGTGAAGTAGCCAGGAGCGCAGCTCTTTTGTAACCGTTCCGGCTTCTCCAAAGAGCTGCCTCCCCCACGCGCCTTGCCACATACTCTAGAAGTCATGTAGGTAGGTGTTCATTCAATTTAATGAAGGCGCAACTCCAGGCCGCCATCCGCGTCTGTGAGGCAATCTATTCGAACCCTCGTCTCCTGCGTGCGGGCATGGTGCGGACACCGCCCGGTAAAATAAGGGCGCGGCGGAACGGACGGGTAAAGGCTGCTCTTTCCCTATCGGACCTTGCGGTCCGTCTCCGTCCGTCGGCCCGGAATATTTATACATTTGGAGTCAGTATAGTGCTGCGCGAACAAATTGCCTGTTCCTGTGTCGGAGCCGCTTGCTCCTGGGTCTTGCGATATTGACGGGAGCGTTGCCGTTGCTGGGTTGGACATGACCACTTGATTATCAAGCAACTCCCATGGTATTCCTGATGCTATTAGGGCCGAGAGTGACTCGCCAGGTACCATCGACGCTGTCTTGGACGTGGGGTGGATGATCTGAGACGGGTTGCCGCTGCGCTCGTGGCGATGATCTTGGTAGGATGATGCCGTCTAGGATATCTCCGATGTCATCAAGAAGTGTGGACAATCTAATGGACAGCCTTTCAGTTACTGCCTCCCTTTACTGTATCAATTGTTTTGGAATGGTTTGAGGCACTGGTAAGATATATAAATAGGGGTATTCAGGGGAATAATGACACAGTGGGTCTACTCGATAAGGTGCCGGACGGCGAAATGGTTTGCAATGCAATGAGGACCTACTTGATTCTCATCCAATATTTCCCGTGGGAATAGTCGCTTAAATCATTGGTTTAACCACTGGCTTCAATAGTAATACACATTGATGAGCAGCATCTTTTGATGTAGAGTATTTGAGAAAGACGATATTTACATTGCCTGGATCAGTGAATCTGTGTCTGAGATCCAGTCTACAACGCCACAGTTGCAGACTTGAAGGAGACTGACAGGTACTGCCCCGGTCGCAAGGCTAATAACTATATCGTGAAGAAGCACGGGAGAACAACTGAGGTACTGACACTATGAGACATGGCGTGAAATATTCCCTTCAAGACACGTGAATGGGTCCTTTGAGAGTGTACCTGAGAGACCGATGCTGGTACTACCTTATGTGTGACTGGCAATGTTTACTATATGTATCGAGGTGATCATTGTAATACTGGCCAACAGACTGTTTTTCCAAGAAGTATTAATAACACTCTTATACAAAGAGTACCTCAATGCTCATCGAAAAAGAGTTGATGCCCGTCCTTACCTCGAAGGTAATCGAGATGCTCTGATTGGACTGTTGGTACCTCGTAGACATTTTTGCCCGCACCCACCACCTCGCCTTATCCCCGATTCGGCCTTGACATGAAAGTAGTCGGCTTAGAAACCGGCGAGGGCTTCACCACAAAACAACAACACCTTCCTAGGCGCCCGTACCTAGAATGCCACCCCTACGCTGCGCGAACTCGCCTCCAGCCGCGAAGCTATTTTTACAGCTTTGCGCAGGCCGGAGCAGCGTACCTCCAGCCGCAAGTTCTATCCTCGATGTGCTTCTGCCAGCACATACCCGAACTTACCACCTCGCCGCGACCCGGAACCCCACGACGAGAACAGCAGCCATACCGGCCCAAAGCAGCCTGCGACAAGATGTCGCCAGGAGATCTTTTAGCTCGACGAGCGCCTGGAGGAGGACGCAGGCGATCTACAACCCGCAGCAGGACGAGGACGGCAACGAGATGCTGATGGAGATCACGCCGCGAGCCGCCAACGTACGCCAGCTTATACTTTTACTTTCCGTCCCTCCCATCCCCGGTCCTCTCTGTGTATCGCAGGCCCAATGTCCGACATTATGGGGACTCACCTACATCTACATACGATCCCAACTAACAGACCCAACAGCGTCTATCCCAAATCATGACCAAAGACTCCAACCCGCACCTCGCGCTACGCGTCCAAGTCGAGTCGGGCGGCTGCCACGGCTTCCAGTACCTAATGTCGCTAACCACGCTCCCGCCCTCAACAATACCCGCCAGCGCCTCGCGCTCCACGACGCCCCCCGTGCCGACGAACCCGGCACACCCGCCCAACACCTCCGCTCCGAACCCGCCCAGCGAAAGCACTGTCGCCTCTGCAGTGACGCCGTCGACGACGGCGTCGACGAAGCCCTCGGCCACGGAGATCGGCGAGGACGACACGATCTTCGCGTTCGTCGCTGACGGGAAAGCGAGTGACGGAGGAGAGCGCGGAGCTGAAGCCGAGGCGGCGGCCGGCCCCAAGATCGTGCTCGATGGCCCCAGTCTGGAGCTGCTGAAGGGCAGCAAGGTCGACTTCACGATGGAGCTGATCGGTAGCCAGTTCAAGGTCGTCGACAACCCGCTCGCGACGAGCAGCTGTGGGTGCGGCACGAGCTTCGATATCAAGGCGTGATGAGCTGGGGACGTGGACGCCAGGACGCCACTTGAACGAGCGATGTGTACCATACATACATAGATTCCCTTGGGGGTCATGATGATGATCATGACTTCTCTGGAGAAAACACCGACAGCCTGTCTGCCCTATGCGGCCGCAGGTCAGATGAAGAAGGCGTACACTGGGAAAGATTTGCAGAAGTTCCAAAGTCGTGCGTGGGAATTCTTGGAAGTACCAAGCAGGATCAGAAATAGTACCTACCTAATCACCATCCGGGCTCTTTTGAAACCTTTGGGGACCTGCTGCTACGTCGTAGTACATTACAGTTGATAGTTGAACGTTAGGAACATGATTTGAACCCTTGACTGCGGATGCCGGGTTTGGCAGGCTGCCTTAATCCCCACCTTGCCATGTGCGTTTCGAATAACAAGCCCCATCATAGCTTCCGACTGCGGAATATAAGTTCGGTGGCAGCCATTAATCAGCCAGTCACATTTGGAAGTGATTCAACGCAATTTGCCAACCAGGATATTGATGCTATGGTGTCTGACTCTGTCTTGGGCTAAGTACCCCGCCACCAGAAGCGCTGATGGGGAGGTTACTTGGAGGGAACCGCTCACCATAGCAGCGTACTAGAAATGTGCCTCATAAATCGTGCACTGGTAATCGCTTCCACAAATAGCACCACCCAATCTTGACACTGTCAAGCTCTGCATACTCAGTAGCCTCATTATGTAGTGGAACAGTCGTGGTATTGCAAGTCTAAGGGCCTGTGCCTCTAAACATCTATGTGCAGTGACAAAGACAGGTCAGGCATTGGGAAAGGGGAGGCCATGATCAAAGTCTCAATTCATCATTAGCTCCCGAAGCTTTTATGAACGCCGTCCAACCATGCAGAAGCAGAACCCTCAATACCAGACCCATCCCATCACGCCTAGAACACAACACCTTAGTTCATGCGTCGGATCAGGGCGTTGATCTTGTCCTCCCGGTTACCCAGGTCACCACCCTCGATGAAGTGCTTGAACTTTCTGGGGCGGAAGCCACCGTTGGGGTTGCTGAGCTTGAAGGGCCACAGGAAGTTGGAGGCCTGCTTGAAGTTGGGGCCGACGGTGTAGATCTCGTGAACCAGATCCTCCATACAGATGATACCGTACTTGCCAAGGCTCTCCTCGATGATGGCGTTGTCGGTCAGGGGGATACGCTGCTTATCGATCTTTCCGTAACCACGCTTGTAGACGAGCTCCTTGACGCTCTTCAAGTTGGGGTAACCGTAGGCGACCCACGGCTCAACGATCTTAATCATCTCAGTGGTAGCCTTGGTAACACGAACGAAGACACCATTGTTGATCTGGAGAAGACGGAGCAGTTGAAGGATCTTGCGGGGCTTGGGGGCGATCTTGTTGATACTATATCATGGTAAGCGGAAGTCCCGACATGAAGATAGAGCGTCTGTCATACCCCTTGATTCGGACAACGAAGAGAAGCTTCTCCTCGGCAGGGACGTGGAAGCTACCCTCCTGCTTGGCGACACGCTGGAGGCGGACCTTCTCACGCTCCGCATCGCGGTACTCCTGGACGTACTTCTCGGCACGCTTGAAGATGACACCACGCTTCTCCTTGTTGGCCTAGTCGACATCGTTAGCGACGTGCAAAAGCACTGGACGGCATATATAGAAGTCGTGTTCTCCTCAACGATCAGACCCGAAAGATGGTATTTTGCAACAGCATTGACCTTGGTCTAGTCGCAAAGGGTTTTTTATACATCATATCGTCTTGGTACTCCAATAGCAAGTGAGATATACTAACCTTCTTCTTCTTGTCCTGCTCAGCGGACTTCTCGGCGCGGGCCTTCTCCTGGGACTTGCGCTTTTTCAGGAGGGTCTCGGGGACCATGACCTGGTCCTTGGTCGGGACGGAACTGCAGTCAATCTCAGATCAGTACGTAGTCCAGTCATACAAGATGTATGAGTAGAGCGCCGGTTGAAGAATTGCCGACTGCAACGCGACATTCTCAGCGGTGGCTAACTCGAATGAATGAATTTAATCGGTGAGATGCTAGGAGCCTCGACGACACCACCGAGGCAGTGCGACGAGGCTTTCCAGAGCACATTCCCTCATCCGACAACACCTCGAACTGAGTTCAAGAAAGAGTGCTCGCACTAGGACACGGCTATTGAACGAACATTTCTGTACCGCCCGCCAGCTAGTCGCGTGCGGCAACTGAATTTAAGAGAGAAGGACGAAGCCTTCAACTCCAACGTCCCGAGCGACATCTCTAAGTCTGCAAGCTATGTTTCAAGCCTGGAGAACAGAGGGAGAAGCTCAGGATAGACCGAGCTGGCTTGCGATGCTTCCAATGTCCATCGTTTTTCAGATGTTCGAAGGCGAGCAAAGCCATCCAGCCGAGAGGACCACGACAATCTGCAACAATCCAGGACCGGGCGGGCGAATGGTGCTTTTCGCTCCAATGCGCAGGTGGGAATCAGATTCAGGGAGGAGCGTACGTGGTGGGAGCCATTGTGTCGAATTGGCTGGGCGATGGCCGTGATCGTGGGTTGTCGACTCGGGTTGGTGATTTGGTGATGGCTGAAGAGTAAAAGAAAATCAAGAGGAGCGCACAAAAAGGTGGAAGAAAGTTTGCGTGCGGGATTGGTGGGAGCTCGGGCCAAGAGAGCGAGGGTCCAGAGGCGGGTCTGGTAGGCCGCTTTGGATTGGTTTATGACACAGCATGTGGGCCGTCAAGCGAGAAATTGCCAAAATTGGGAAGATGGTTAGGGTTAAACGCGTCCATTCCCCACTACCGACTTTCGTGCCGCCATCGACCGCCCGTAACTTTTCCACCACAACCAAAATCATCTTGGTATTTCGCACGAGATCCTGTCCTCGAGCCCAGATCAACCATCGCGAAGTCACCCCGACCCAAAACCCAACAATCAGTCAACATGCCTCCCAAGAAGGCCGTCCGCGCTCCCCAGGAGAACATCTCCCTCGGACCTCAGGTCCGAGAGGGTAAGTCACAGCCTCCCCACCAGAGAACCAGAGAGGCATATCGCTAACATGCCCCGCCACAGGTGAGCTCGTATTCGGCGTTGCCCGTATCTTCGCCTCGTTCAACGACACCTTCGTCCACATCACCGATCTCAGGTTCGTCTAAGCAAAGAAACACACCACCCAAGTGAAGGAGAGGGGTCGACGCACGAGGATCAGGACCAATGACACTGGACCCGCGATCCCCCCTTACCGCCACACAAACATGAAGAAGAGACTGGGATTGCGTGGTTCACGAGGCTAACATTGGGTGATTCCAGTGGCCGCGAAACCATCACCCGTGTCACCGGTGGCATGAAGGTCAAGGCCGACCGTGACGAGTCCTCGCCCTACGCCGCCATGTTGGCTGCCCAGGACGTCGCTATCCGCTGCAAGGAGGTTGGCATCACCGCTCTGCACATCAAGATCCGCGCTACAGGAGGTACGAAGAGAATCACTATCCAAACGCAATTGTGTGCAGAGAAAAGGAATACTGACCAGAAAATCCAGGTAACGGCACCAAGACTCCCGGCCCCGGCGCCCAGTCCGCTCTCCGCGCTTTGGCCCGTTCCGGCATGAGAATCGGCCGCATCGAGGACGTCACCCCCACGCCCTCCGACAGCACCCGCAGAAAGGGCGGTCGCCGTGGTCGTCGTCTGTGAGCGCAGCAATATCACCTACTTTCACCACTGCCCTTCGCATGGTGGTCGGTTTTATGTGGTCTGGGCATCATGGCAGGACAAGGAATGAACATTTTTTCGAGATCATACGGATTTTGATCTGAGGCTTCATCGTCATCTCTGTGGCGTTGACAATTACGAGGAGAACGGCGTGCGTCTTTTTCTACTTCACGAAGTAGGTACAGGACTATGCCTGGTCTCCATAGGGTGGCTTCGCCAATTGTCACATGTTGCTTTGGCACGGCTGCAGCAGAAATGAAGAAACGTTGATCACGAGAACCTTCACTTAAGAATAATTTGTGCACTACAATGTGACGAGTAAGTGACCGAACATACCACATCAGAGCGGCAAGGTGGTTAGAAGTCGTGTGTTTCATTGATCAAGACGTCATTTTGTCATTTGTGACCTCTGAAGCTGGCAAATAAATCTGCGCAGATGTCCCACGAACGCCTCCGCTATGCTACATTGCTATACCAGTAATTCCGCGCCTAATCTCAAGCCAGCCATGAACGCCTTGCCTCAAAGCTGTATAGCAGCCCCTATCCATAGGCTACGGTGTAACAGAGATCACAAAGCCCAAATCCTAGCCCTACTTGAGCGCCCAAATAGCGCGCATGCTGGAGCCCTTCTTGTCCATGCGCGCGACGCGGTTCAGCGCCGCCTTGAACTCGTTGGACTGCTGGTTGGTGACGCACAGTGGGTTGAAGTGGTCGACCAGCAGCTTGGTCGGCACCTTGCCCCCGTGGCGCCTGATGAAGTCCGGGATCAACTTCTCGAAGTCGCGCGCGCGCATCGTCGTCGTGGGCGTGCCCGCGCGCGAGCTTGCGCCGCTACTCGACGGTGGCTTGGTGGTGTTGTTGAGTCCCTGCCGGTTGGAGAGGCCGGCCAGGATGGCGGCGGAGCCGGGGCCGCCGCGGCCTCGGCGGACGTTCGACGGGCGGCCGCCTTCGCCTACTTCGCCCGTCCAGGTCACGGTGCCGATGGGGATCGAGCGTGCTTGCTCGCCTGCCCGACGGAGGGCCGCGGCTGACTCTGCTGCGACGCGGTTGGCTTCCTGCTGCAGTATTCGGCGGTCGGCTTGGGGCTTGCCTGAGCCATTGACAATCCTGTCGTGCTCGAGTGCCTGGTGGACGCCCGAGCGAGCGAACAGGCCCTCCATGATCCGATCCTCGTCATTGGCCGCTGGCTGGGTGGCCGGATCTGTTTCGTAATCTTCAAGGCCGGCAACTCCAGTGATAGCCCGAACGTCTTGGGTGTCTTCGGCGTTAGCTGGTTCTCCCTGGACCTCACTTGCATCCGATGTCCCGGGGGCTTCTCTGGTTGGATTTTCGGCCCCATTCTTAGTCAGTGACTCTCTGAACTTGACTTCGGATCCCTGAAACAACTTCTCCGTCTCGGTCGACGCCTCCTCAGACGACCCCAGTGTGAACAGGTCATGCAAATCGTTGAGATGGAAACTTGTACGCTGCTTGGGATCTTTCAGGACCTTGTTGCTCAGGAACTGCTTGAAGATCTGCCGGTGGTATATCTTCTCCTCAATAGTGCCCGCAGTCATCAGGCGGTAGATTGTGACCTCCTTCTTCTGACCAAGGCGCCATGCTCTCTCACGGGCCTGTACATCGGTGGATGGGTTCCAGTCAGGATCAAAGATGATGACTCGGTTAGCACCGGTGAGATTTACGCCCAAACCACCGACTTTCGTGGTGAGCAGGAAGAGATCGATCTCGGGGGTGTTGTTGAACTGATCCACAAGATTCTGTCGATCTTTGATGGCAGTTCCGCCATCCATACGAAGGTACGAAACGTTGTCCAGACGACGCACAAAAGCTTCAAGTATATCCAGCATTTGCACACCTTGACTGAATAGGAGTGTCTTGTGTCCAAGTCTCTTCCATGTATGTAGAAGGGCTTTCACGACTTGCATCTTCCCGGACTTGCTGGCTACGCCCCATTTGTACTCAGCCTTCGACTTCAGACGAGGGTCGAGCAAGTCAGGGTGATTGCAAATCTTCCGAAGGATATCAATCCCGTAAAGTGACTGCCTGGTCCTTTTGATGATCGAGTTCATGTCTTCCGATTTTAGGAAGAGCTCATATGCATCACGTTGCGATCGGGTAAGCTTGCAGAAAAGAACCTGTTCGCTCTTCTTGGGAAGGTCAGCCGCAACGTCAACCTTGAGTCGCTGGAGCAGATAGGGGCTGATGGCATCCTTGAGGGTCTCTGCACATTTCTGTGCAGTCATGATCTGCAGATTGCTAGCATTGGCATAACCGCCGATCTTGATGGGTATCTCAAATGAGTTCCGGAAGTCGACCAGTGTACCGAGCCGCATAGGGAAGACGAAGTCAAACAGAGACCAGAGTTCCATGAGGTTATTTTGCATTGGGGTCCCGGAGAGAATGACTCGATTAGGGGTTCGCAGCTCTTTGCAGTAGATGGTAATAGCCGTGTTCGGGTTTCGAATCTTGTGGCCTTCATCTAGAACAGCATATCCCCATTCGACTGGAATCAAGGCGTCTCCGTAGGTTTGTAGACCCGCGTACGTAGTGACTAGGACATGGCCATGTTTTACGACTCGATCGACGATTCTTTTAGCAGCCTTGCTCACTTTCCGATCGCTGCCCCTCTGGTCCCAAGCCACTTCCTCATCCTCAATTCTATCCTCGTTCCTGACATTGAACATGCCGCTGCCGGATGAGTGGAGAATTGACACACGTAACGGTGGCCACCAGCGATGGAACTCGTTGACCCATTGCTTCAGGACTGTACCTGGTGCAACTACAATGACCGGCTTGTCTAGCTGCTTGCTGTAATGCAGTGCGGCAATGAAGGATATGAGTTGGACCGTCTTTCCAAGACCCATCTCATCGCCAATGATACCTCCGACTTTCTGGAAGTAGAGTTCTGCTAACCATTGTACTCCGGTCTTCTGGTAGTCGAAGAGAGCAGGGTATATATCGCCTGGAAGCTTCAGCCCGTTGTCGAATTGGTGGTCGGGCTGGTCCGGTGAAGGTTTGAACCATTCTTTTTCGTTGGTGGCAACATCTTCAGCTTGCTCAGGTTGCTCTTCGTCATTATCTTGTTGCTGCCGAAGCCTCGCTCTACTGCGTCTGTCAACCCAGTCTGCAAGCCGGGTCTGATAATTCGCCTCAATGCCATCATCGAACTTGGTGACATCCACCTTCCCATCGTCTTGTGGAGTTTTCTTGGGCTTCTTGCGAGGACGCTCGGTCATGTCATAGTCTTCTGATTCTTGGTCGTATGCGACAAAGTCTGCTTCGGGCGCATCTGAGGCTTGCGGTGTGAAATCATCTGATGAGGCAATGCCTTTCTGTATGCGGCGCTTCTTGCGCGGGCGCAACGAGAACTCGGTCTCTGCTGCTGCAGTAGGTAGCTCAGGTTCTTCCGCAAAACCAGGTGCACGTAAGTTCTGGTGGGATCGTGGTTCGTAGCCGGCCTTTTCTTCCAATTCCTCTGCCACGGCTTCCTCCTCAGCGTCGACCAGAGCATTGGCCAGCTCTCCGTTGATACCGTCTGTGCGCGGCCCTCCAATATTGGCGAAAGGGGTTATTTTGCCCGTACGAATGAGGAACTCGCGATGGCTCTCGTTCGGTAACTTCTTGTTCCCCCCCTGTATCTGGTCGGCCTGTTCGCCATCCTGGTGTCTCTGTTCGATGCGAGCGTGGAAGTCGGCAATGTCCTTGTCGTTCAGGTCGATGTCGGAATCTATCCGGGCTATCTCATCTCGTATCCTCTGCTTCACTTCGGGTTTGCCGATGGCTTTGCGGAAACGCTCCTGTTGTGTCTTCTTCTGGGCTTCGAGTCGCACGATGTTGGCTTGGGCCTTCTCTATGCGCTTCTCGTCCCTCTTGTCCTCGGCGTCGATCAGAGCGAGATTGGCTTGGTAGGTGATGTCGCGTTCGAGGTCATCTTGGTTGCGCACATTAGATGTAAGGTTCCGGAGAGCCGATGCTTCGTCCATGTTGTCGTCACCGTCGGCTTCGTGATCGGAGTCGGAGGCAGGTGTCACTGCTGTAATGGCAAGAATCTGGTCGGTCACGGGTCTGGGTATTTCGGGTTCGTCGCTCTCTGGCTCGGACACCCGGCCGGGATGGTTACCCTCATTGGAGGTCATGATTGCCGATGTTGGAAGGCAAGTCCATATGAATGGCGCGTGATGCGTGTGTTAAAGGAAGTGCAGTGGGGGAGAGAAGTAGGGGGAAGGCGAGGAAGGGAGCTTGCAGTCTTGCGTAGTGAGTTGAAGAATGGTAAGGTTGGCGCATAAAGTGGTAGGCAGAAGGGTGGGAAATCACACCTCACTTAACGAGAGCTGTGATCAATTGTGAGGCTCTTTGTAAATGGTTCTGCCTACTGCAGGTGAATGGAACCCGACGGGAGTGACTCAGTGAGCACTCGAAATAAAGTGACGCAGAAGACTAATGACGTTATTTATCGATAAGCTCTCGTGGGGGCAAAGCGCTTGCATTAGTGTGACTAGCCACCGGTACTTGTAAGGAAGGTTCCTCCCTGCAGCCGAGGGCTCCACACGACGTGCTTTGGCGTTATTACTCAACGGCAGGACATGAACATCCAAGTAATTGGGCCTCAACATTCAAGGTCCGAAGCTACCCCGTCCTCTGAAAGCTGTTTGGGAATCGGAGGGGTCGAGCTCGCCCCCTCTGTAGCCATCGGCTCATCTTCAAGGCACGCGAGACCACTTCCAATGTGTCACCGTATCTTGGATGCATCAGGCACGATATACAGACCACGCCTAGCAGGGAGTTGATTATGTGCTAATATGGGTCTACACAAGGTGTATTTCTCTCCCTTCCATCTAATATGATTCAATACGGTTGATCAGGTATCCCTTGCAGTTCAAGAACGTCCCCATTAACCGAGCCGGACGTTACAATGGTCACTGTGATCTCCATGGATTTCCGTGCTATCCCATCTTATCACTCATCGACACTGTGATGGTGAAATATCTTCTCAGAGATCCGAGTTTGTTCCAGCCATAACATCATAGGCCTCTCGAACTCCTCTGATGCTGATGTCCTGCTCAGGGTTGTATTTCTCGAGCCTTTCGAGAGGCGCATATTTCTCGCACAGGTACAGCATGTCATTGTATGCTCTTTCCGATGATATCCGTCAGCCTTAGCGCCTTGTTATAATGAATAAATTGAGTTGTGGTTGGAAAGGAGAGTACTGGACTGACACATTTCTTGAGTTGCTTCCAGGATGACCTGCCGAGTCACCAAGCACTGTCTTGATTGAATAGAGTCGTTGGCGATCACCCCATTTCTCCGCTGGCTCCGATGGCTTGATTTCTTGCTGGTACGCCTCAATGTATTTGTGTGACTTGAAATGAGTTGCCCAGCGGGAGCGCCATGTCGCGAACTCGATCTCGTTGTGTGCATACATGCACTCGTCAGGATCGAATATGATGATTTCCCCAGTCTCCCTATCTGTTCCCACATTGCCCTCCCACAGGTCTCCGTGACACAGCACAGGTATTATCCTGCGGCCCTCCGATTGCAATGCTCCCAGGAGCCTTGGTATGACGTGGTCAATCAGCTGCTTACAGGCGCTGTCGTATTCGGGCCAAGGGCGGTTCATCTGATTGTCCAGGTTGATAAGGTCCTTGAGCAGGTATGTGAACTGCTCAGCCCAGCTCGAACTCCAGTGCTCAGTACGATCCAGAGTACCCCGACCCGTCACCAGAGGGTACCCAAACATGCCGTTTGGGGAGATGATTGTTCAGTGCAGTCCCGCTATTGCGGAAGCGAGTTTGACCGGGTCAGGAGGGCTCTGCAGGTCCATGTCGTGGTAGTTCATGAGGTAGAAGTAGACATGTATTTTGGTGTCATCATAGTATTCTCCCTTGCCCACTGGACCGGGGCCAAAGTCCGGGAGATGATCTGCTATGATGCTTGCAGAATAATGTTCTCCCCACATACTGACTTTTGCCAGTCTACCAGTTGAGCACTATCAATGTTAGTCTACGTGACGCCCCCTTAGGTTTATAATATTCACCTTCAGGAAATAGTTCATATGGCGTCCGTCGGAAAGAGTGACAGATATTCTTGCTGTCTTCGTCCAGGCGGACACGCCCCACGATTCGGCTGAGATGACGTTTGCGCCTTCTGGCATGGCTGTCGCTAGCTGTATCAGCACTGAAAATGTCACTCGATGGAATTCGTATGCGGAATTCATCTTCAACAACAGTATTGTAAAGAGCGAAGTCCCCTCCGATTCCTTGCACCCAGCGCGACATAGCCTCGAATTACGGTGGCAGCGAGGGGTTTCGACAGGGGCTGTCATCCACAGCGATTGCCTTGAGTATTTGGCAACCTGACAGATAAACCTCAAAATGAGCAGCGTTGAGAAAGGGGGCAGATTTCACATAGCGTCGTATTTCCGTGGTTATGATAGCAGTGTTAGGGTCTACTGAGGACAGGGGTAATGCCGCTGCGGGGTATACGATTGCTTGACGGCCCTCAGATGATAGCTGCCCCTTCTCATTTTCTCAGGCAGGACAAGACGTGATCTTGTTGTGTCTGTGTTATAAAGGTCTCCGTGGACCCTTGAATCTGTCTCGAGGTGAGAGTAGCCCAGTACGTATGCTTTCTTTCGGACTTCTCAAGTCGTCTTGCCTTCAATGTAAAGTGAATAAAGGCCTGATCGGCAGAAATCTATAACACCACCGCCCCCGCCCTTATGAAAAACAGGGGTTATAAGTAGTTATAAAGTGACGTACTTTATATATTAAATTTTAGAAGGCGCCAATATGTTTTCTTATAACTTATAATAAATTATAATGAGTTTTTTACGGCTACGTTTTACCCTTTCTACTCGTTATTTTTTTACTGCTTTAAAGTTGTTTTAAAGGCTTTAACTTAACATAGAAATTAGAAAAGAATTCGTAAATATACCAAACTATAATAAATATTATAAAAAACTTATGATAAGATATTAATAGCGAATTAAAGACTTTAAACTTTAATTTTATTACGTTAAATAACCTTAATAAGTTAGATATTAAGTTTATTTTATAACATTTTAACTTTATCTTTATATTAAAAAAAAAAAAATTTCCGCCTTTTTAAAGAATAATAAAGAGCTTATTTCCGGTATTATTAAGATTTTTGATTTGGTATTTGATCTTATTAGTTTTGTTTAAACAATCGATCTTTCTTAATAAAATACGGCTAAGTTTTCAAAATAATTATGTGATATAAAAAAGCCCCGCGCGCGTTGTTTTAATACTGATAAACTACTTATAAGCGGTAAAACAATAATAAAACCAGCTTTTTCAAAGAAGAAGAACACTTATTAAAAAAGCGGCAGCGCTTTTAAACAAATGAAATGGTTCATTAACAATACGAACTATTATATAAAGTATTTAATAACTTGAATTATAAAAAACATGTTTATAATATCGTGCTTTATTATTTAATAGCCGGTATAACTAACTTTACTTAAAATTAGAAATAATTCCAGCCTTTAAAAGTTGTAAACTTTTAAACATGTGAAACAAAATTAAAATTTAAAAAGTAACAATGAATAAACTACACTTTGCTAATTAATAATTATGTTAATAGTAATGATATTATTAAAAGTGTCACGACGCGTAAATAGGATGAGGACATAAAAGTCCTGATTGCACTACCTACGTGTAAGAATCTCTTGGTGGGGAGGGAAAGAAGGATCTGACCCGCCAGCCCATTCTGGTGGGATTAATGATCCTTCCATCCGCCCCACTATTACCTAGCCTAGTACAGTTGTGGCCACACGTCTTGTGCGCCAGGTCATGTGATGCTGCGCACAGGCCACCCTGATGGGTTGACAGACTTCCAGAAGGTCAGACCGTCACAAAAAGAATGCTTTTTTAAATAATAATAATAGTCTTGTTTTTTAAAGTGCTTTTTTAAAAAGTAGCTTCGTAAAAAGTTACTCAATAATAAAAACTTATATTTCTTCGCATTTTAACATAACAAGTCTACTAGTAAATTTCTTTATAAAACAAATAAAAAAGGCAACCTGTGACAGAACGCTCACCATAACCACCATGCCACGGCTGCTCCTCCCAAAAGGATGTCAAATATCAAGCGTGGCAGCTTGACATTCAATGGTGGTACATGTACTCATGTCCGGACTCCAGGACTCACTACAAGGGCTACCTGTACCAGACCATGACATTTTTAAACTATCGTTAAACCTTTTTGATATAATTCGCTATATCATATAATCTTTTATTAGCTTTAATCTTTTTCCATTATTAAGTTACTTCGTTATTAAAACGGTTCGTTTTAATAGCGGCTAATGTAACGTCGAGCTATTATATATTATTATAAATGTTAATAACTACTACTTTAATAAATAATAGAATTATTGTTTTTTAAACTCGTTATTATAATAATGAATATAAAAGTAGCTTATTTAATTAACATAATACTATTATGAAACAATCTAAGTACGAACTTTTAATAAATTAAGCTTTTATAAAAGTTTTAATTATAAAAAAAACCCTTTAAGAACTTTTTCAAAGCTAGCAATTTATTTTAAGCTATAACGTAAGATATAATATAAATCCAACGCCTTTTAACGACATTTTATTGAATTGGAAAAACAGTATTTTAAATAAGGGTTAACTTTATAAATAAGGCTGTATACGTATATCGTTTAATATATAACGTATTAATTTAAACTTATAAATATTACTCTTAATCAAAGTTTTAATAAATTAAAATAATTTATAGCGTTTTATTCCTATAGATTTAACGTATAGTACGAGGGCTCTGCTTTTTATTATCTTTCAGGGTATTTGGATTTAGCTTTTCCTTTCGGTCGAAAAGCTTATAGGAAAAAAACGTGTTCGAAAATTCTCATCGCAGAGCGAATGCAAGGAGTGCCTGGACCAGCCTAGCAAGTACCGCCTTCGGATCATGAATGTGTGGCGACCGGCCGCTCGGAATATGTGACTACTACTCCACCGTGCCCGCGGACTATGTCCCCGTACAGTTCCACGTGTCGACCGAGAATGTCGGCGAGGTGTACGGTACTGGCTGCAGCACAACAAAGACCAGAAGTGGTACTACATCAGTGCCCAGACACCCGAGGAGCTGTTGTTCTTCCTCAGCTACGACTCGGACTACAAGAATGGGCCCAAGTGTACATCTCTGTCACCCTTTCATTTAGTATTCAACGGTGCTGACTCGATTCAGGTATTCCGCACTGCTCGTTCCAACATCCAGATTTCCCATACTCGAGCGATGGTCAGAGCCTGGAGTGCCGGATGGTAGTTATCACCAAGATAGCTTGAGGCAGTTGGTCGTGAGGGTGCTAATGCATCTTCTCGAGGACTGGCAAGGAATGACCAAATTCAACGAGGCCGATGTTCTGTCGTGCGACGATTGGTTTCCATTATCGTTTGGAAGAGCTTATGCGAAACCAATCATTAAGAAGTACCTACATATTGTCGTGTAGCAGCTGCAATGACAGGTTAAAAGCTTGCGCAACAACTCACCGTGTATGGAACATACTCCGACATCCACTCAGGCTATGAGAGCAACAATAGTTCCATCGAGCTCCGTGACGAGGATCCCAAGATTCCTAAGGAAGTCCAAGAAAATATTGAAGCATAGCTGTTTGCAGTTGGATCACACGCAATTGAGCGAACCCAGATCAGATCATCACCGTCATCAATGTCACAACTTTGAGTGAAGCCAGCTCCACCAGATTGTGCCAGTCATGTGTTCATTCCGACTCACACGCAAGAGCACTATCGAGAGTCACCATTAGGGGGATGGCAACATCCGTGTCCTTGAGGATGACAATGTAGGGAAGCGCGGACTCACTGTGTATCTCAATACTGATTATTATGTATTCTTACTCGCATTCGCTACAAATTTCTACAAAACTGGCTACGCTCGGTTTACTTTCCCATAGCTTTTGCGCGCCGGATCCCCAACGGCGCGTCCTCCATTCCATAGCATGACCGACTTCGCCGCCATGAAGCGCACTATCGCCATCATAGGTTTGGTCGCCGTCGTCTCCTCGCAGTCAATACCCGGCATCCCAGACTGCGCCGCGCATTGCATCGACCACTCGCGGGCCGACTGGACGAACTGCGCTTTTGGCGGCTACCTCTGCATATGTAGGTCAACTTCCCAAGGAGCAGGCTCCGTTCCTCAGCTCTACTCCTCGATTCTACCTCAGCTTTCTCCCAACAGCTCTTCACGTGCTTTAGGTGGCGCTCGAACCCGCACCCCTACGGACGCTCCATCACTGGGAACTAGATCATAGACACTGACCTGAATATCCACGCAGGTGAAAATAAGGATCAGTTGATATCGGTCGCCTCAGGGTGTATCGTGTCCGCCTGCACTGCAGACGTCTCTGTGAACCATGTCACACCCGGGATGGAGCGCTTGTGCAGCGCCGTCTTGTCTTCCGCAGGAATAACCCCGAGCAGCACCTCGGCTACAGCGACGTCATCCAAGTCGCCAACGCTCCGCTGGATTTCATGGACTGGAGCGTACTCTTCCTCGACGACATCGAGCACCACGTCGAGTAGTCCTCCTGGAACAGCCGTCTCACCTATCTCTGTAACTACGATAACGGTAACCAGTGTAGAGTACTCGCAGGGATCATCCCACACCACTACCGGTTCCCCCTCGGAAGTTATCTCGGTCATACCGGTCACGACGCACACCTCCACCATCACCTCTACCATGAGCGGCATGCATGATTCAACCCTGAGTGCTGCGAGCAGCCCCGCTTCGACGTCGACATCGTATGCCGGGGCGTCTGCTTGTGGCTTACTTGGAGGTGCTGCGCTACTCGCCCTCGGAGTTCTTGCTGCTGCTTAGGACCGTTGCTCTCGGTCTGGTGCCGAAAGCGCTGTGCCGTTTTCTGGGAAAGCAGCGACGAAGAGTTCAGGTCAAGAACAAGTTAGTTAGTGCTAAGATTATATTCGGATCCACTTGGACTAGGGGGATCGTGGCGGTTGTGGAGGTCCGCTTTATAAGCTCCCGGGTGATCTACATGTAGCTTGCTTCCCTTAAGCCTGAGGTACCCCTGGAAGGCGAAGACTTGAGTACTCACTATATATCAAATCGTTACACGTCAAATACATCGATGAATTTCTCTGAATAATGACGAGAACAGAAGAACGGCGATGAGATGTGACCTAGTCTCCGCACATAGTGTGGTGACGTGAGGGCGGACGTCCTGCTGCTGAAGGAACAATAACTCCAAACAATGCCGGCCTCGCTGCAGTCCACAACCCTTGCCTCTTTGGTCGTGCTGATAGGTACAACCTCATATAACACATCCTACATTTGATATCAGACTCGAAGCCGCATCGCATTGCCGTCCTGCCTCCCATCAATATCCCTTACTGGAAGGACCCCGACCAAGGTCGAAGGCCCGACTCAAGCCTCGGCCCGACTTACATTCGATGAAACGTCACTTCCCCGGACGTTGCTCGCCAGTGCAAAGCAGCTTGGACACGGACCTGGATCGACACCTGACTCCGGTCCGATCCCCTCGAATACTACCTCCTTTCGGGGGAGGCGCCTGAGATGCGGCACGGGATGAGATGCTGATCTGACATCTATCTACCTGCCCGGTTTGGGTCACCAAGCGAGAATGGCAGCACGACCACGACAAAACCCGGCATGGTATGATCTATAGCTGAGCCGTGAGGCCAGGGATTCAGGGCGGTATCCCCCAAGCGGAACGTTTCAATTACTACCGTGAATGCCGGGGAGGGCCAGCTGAGTGGCCGGTCGTATGATATGTTCCTCTGCAGGGCGACCAGCCACGGAATCCTTCGTAAATGGCTGCGCCCCAGGGTCGTGCTATCTGAGATAGGGGTCGTCGACAAGCCAACATGAGCTGCATAAGAAGGCGAGGTATTTGCACGAGGAGATGGAACTTGGGCCATCAGCCTTACCCGTCCCCTTACCCCTTATCGTCGGCTTCCGCAGATATCGAGGGCAAGCTGTTCACATAGCTGCACGATACCATCAGCCAAAATGCGGGTCTGCAACGCGGCGAACTGGATGGGCAGGCTGTTGCCCTTCCTGGCGCCTCTCATATGTGTCGCCGCCGCTGCCGCCGTGAACGACCACCGTGTTGTGATCTACTACCAAACCACGATGCTGAACACCACCGAGTCCTCGCACGTGTCACTGCTCCCGCTGATCAACAACGGGTCCATCTCCGTCACGCACGTCCTCGTGGCCGCCGTCCACATCGTAGACGAGGACAACGGCATCCGCCTCAACGACTACGTGCCCGAGGACCCCATCTTCGACCGCGTGTGGAGCGACACGGCCTCTCTCCAAGCTGCGGGCGTCACTGTAATGGCCATGGCCGGCGGCGCTGCCGCAGGGTCCTGGTCGCGCCTCGACGGCAGTGACACCCAGTTCGAGCAGTACTACGGCCCGCTGCACGACTTCATCGGGACCTACAACCTGCAGGGCCTCGACCTCGACGTCGAGCAGTCCATGTCGCTCGCCGGCGTGGTGCGGCTGATCGACCGGCTTAAGGCCGATTTCGGAGACGACTTCATCATCACGCTCGCGCCTGTCGCGTCGGCACTGACTGAGGGCGGAGGCAACCTGAGCGGGTTTGACTACTTCGACCTGGAGGCCCAGCGCGGCGATCAGATCGCTTTCTATAATGCCCAGTTCTACTACGGCTGGGGCTCCGCCTCGTCCGCGGCGGACTACGAGAGTATTATCGACGACGGATTTCCTGCGGAGAAGGTCGTCATGGGCCTGCTCACGAACCCGGATAATGGGGAGGGCTTCGTCGACCTCGACTCCCAGGCCCCCGTGCTGGAGGAGCTCGTCAGTGAGTACGCCGACTTCGGCGGAGTGGCTGCCTGGGAGTACTTCAACTCCCTGCCTGGTGGCCTCGATGCCCCCTGGGAGTGGGCCGCGTGGATGGCCGACCACTTGACTGCCGCTGCGGCCCAGGAGAAGCGCGAGTTATCGAGCTCGGAGGCGCTGTGGAGGGCGATGAGAAAGGCGGGACGCAAGGTGCGGCGCGATGCGAAGAGGGTGTACCGCGACTACCTTGCTTGATGGTTCCCAGCATGTTGGTATGATTCCAAGGTATTGTCTTGGTGGCATTAACAGTTTAACACGGAATGGGCATGTTTATGATGGCACTTTCGATTCCGACTTCCATATATTGAGCATGATTTTCTCCGTTAAGTACCCTCTGCTTCCTGTCGTCTCCAGTCTTCGCTAGGACTCTCAATGTCGGCTGGTTCCTATTTTGTCGTTAGCCAGTATGCTCGGCCGAGTTCTCGATGAGCACACATTTGACCGCTAGCTGTTGTCGTTGGGCCATACTTCTCATGCATTTCGTGAGCTCACACGACAGGGGTAAAGTAGCGTGCTGATAGCGCGCTGTTATGAAGAAGAAGAAAATATAATAATCGTTGTTGCAAATAAGAAGTCGTCGTTGCGATAAAAAAGTTGTCGTCGCGATAAAAGAGTCGTCGTTGTAATAAAATCGACGTCGCGTTGTTTGCTGTCAGCTTTTGGTCCGACCGGCAGCTTATGACCTAGAAACAACCCCCCCGGTTCAAAATCTCACGTTGGCCACCCTCTCCCTATCGTCCACCGCAACCTGAGAGAAAGACGCCAACGAACTCCACTGTACGTCTCCTCGTCCTCCCAGTCTATCCCTCCCTCCACCTACTCACTCGTACATCCCCAGGCAATGTCAGGTCACACGGCTGCTGCAGTCGCATCCCCGGCAGCCGGGACCAGCGCCGCAACCACCCCAGGGACGAATGGCGGGATCCTACCACCACCACCGCCGTGCGGCTGTTGGCCCGCGACCCTGCGGATCGCCAACCTCTGCCAGAGCCACGCCGAGGCGGAGGCGTCGTCGATGCGGGAGGCGGGCGCGGCCCACGGCTCCTTCCTCGCCGACGCGCTGACCATGAGCCGCGATCTGGTCCAGCACTGGGGCACCATCAACGGGTGCGCGAGCTCCGAGTCGCACAGTGAGTTAGCACTCTAATCTCATTAAAAAAGGAGTCATCTTTCCGCCTTCCCCAATTCTCATATCTAGCCGCGCTTCCTTCCATGGGAACAAGTCAGTGGCGCTGCTGCCCCGAGACAGTTAGATATCTACCGCTCTCGTGACAGGACAAACAGAGATCTATCATCTTGCTTGCCCCGAAACGACCATGACGACGAGGTTATACTATACATATGTCATACAGCACCTGTCTTCTAACCAACTCCCCTTTAATCGGCCTCTAGTGACCCCGCAGGCACTATGCTCCATGGCCGACGCGATCGACCAGGTGCTCCGCGGCCACGCCACGGCCATCGAGGACCTGTCGCGGCGGCATCAGCATCATCATCATCATCACGAGGCGACACGCGGGCCGCACGCGGCGCGGACCTTTGTCGGCCGGCTGGAGCTCGACGCCGACGAGGGCGCCATCGTCGCGCAGGAGGCGCTAAAGCACTCCCTGATCCGCCTCGCCGCCATGCTGCAGGACGTCGAGGAGGAGAGCGCGCTGCTCCGGTCCGAGGCCGAGCCGCACCCGCTTCGCGGCCGGGATATCCGGGACCTTACGACTCGGCTGTTCCGCCTGCTCGGGAGTGTGAACAGGTTGGAGACTGCTTAGGGTTGATACAGTGCAATGGGGCACAGTGGAATGGGCTTTACCAAGGTAACGGTCCACGAAGCCGAATGTCATTATTACTTGGGTACGTAGCTAAAGTGAAGCATTTGCGTAAGGGGGATATTGTCCTCGACCAGCACTATCTAGTAATCGTAACAGTAACAACTACCTAGCGTAACGCGGGATGGAGTAACGCATTTTCTAGGCTGGAGAAGCCAGTAACACAGACTCGAGACACGCTACCTCCATACATGTATGTTCCGAAGACGCCTCCAGAAGCACCTTTGCGCCTACCTACATGTACTTATAGAGCGGGTGTACCGCCAGACTATACCTAGTCTTTCCACCAAGGCCACGTTGTAACAGACCTGGCTCCGAGGAAACCGTCGCTCAAAATATCCATGCAGCCAGTGATGAAACTGTGCGCCAACCATCGCTCTGTCGAAACTCCCGTCGCTTGTCGCTGGTCGTCACTCGTCATAACAAAGACATGGCCCCCTGCATAGACTCGACCCTCCGAATTAGGTCGTTTACCAAGGGGTCCGCCATACTGCCCAGCAGCGCACCACTGCCGCCCCAATCCAGCGGACCGCCCAGCTGCGGGCCGCCCCCCCGCCTCGCCCTCCGAGCCTCTACCAGCGCTAGCAGGCCGCTCAGCATGCGGCCGACGCGCAGTCTGAGGATGCGGCGCAGGGCCTCGGACTTGGCCTGGCCCTGCACGACGAAGCCGTCAAGCCGCAGGCTGCGGTTCGCCTCGACGACGGGCGACACGCACGGCGACGCCAGCATGCTGCGGAAAGAGCGCTGCATGCGGCGCGCCGATGGGCCGGCCGGCTGCCCCGGTCCCGGCGAGGCCCCGAGCCACACCAGCTCGTTGGCCCGGTCCATGTTGTGCGCCGATTGCGCCGCGAGCCGGAACATGTCCTCGAGCATGCCGACGACGCGCTCGGCCAGGAGGGCGAGGCCCAGGTAGACGGGCCGCTGCGACGATCGGCACGACTGCTCGCGGCTCCGGAGGGCGTTGTTCATGTTGATATCGCTGTTACTGCTGCTGCTCGACGGGAGGTGGGGGTCGAGGAGCTCTGGGTTTGCAGAAGGCCGGTATTCGTGGCCGGTACAGGCGAAGAGGCGGCGCCGTAGGGCGCAGAAGTCGCGCTCGGCTTCGAGCACGAGGTCGATTGGGGGCGCTACCGTGGTCTGTGCCAGCGCCTGCTCGAGCCTCGTAGTCTGTGCGAGAATGGCGACATAGCAGTCGCTTTCCGTCTGGTCCCCAAGTGAGCGGCTCCATGTCGGAACGTCTGCGCGAAATGGCGCTTCGAGCGATGCGGTCGTGGCTGCTGCGGCATGGTTCGCTTGCGAGTGCACGGAGAGCTGGTGTTCCAGAACCCAAGAATCGACGGCCGAGCGAAGAGGTTCGTCGCTTTCGTTCGGCGCTGGCATTAAAGGATGGAAGGAGGCAGCCGGCTGGGATGGTTTCTCGAGGGGGAGAGGACTCGAATTCACCGGCTCGTAGTCTCCCATGCCGAAGTCTGACTGGCCGCCTCCCGAATCGTATACAGTCGTCGTGCTCGGCGCTGCGCCATGGCCGAGGGAAGCTGTTGGAACCAGTCAATCGACCAGTTGCGGATTGGGTGACACGGGAGCCGGGCGGTGGGGATGCGGCTACTTACCGTCAGGCGAAAACGTCGAGGCGGCTCTCATCATAGATTCCGCACTGTCATCATCGTCATCTTCCCCCTCCCCATCCCCATCCCCTTCCTCAACCTCATCGCACTCGGACATGGCATCCCCGCTCGGTGCCTTGCGCGGTCTGCCGATGCGCCTAAGCGGGCTGTACACGCAGGCGGTCCTTCTCTGGGCGCATCGCTTGCACGTGGGCTTGTCACGACTACACCGTACTTTAGTGTTCTGGCATCTGTCGCACGACAGGCGGTATCTCGGGGACTCGGGTGCACTGCCAGGTGTCACCGTGTCACCCCTCTGGACGACCCTAAAGGGCGCCATCGGTGCTAGTCCATGCGCCGAAGAGCGTACGATATGCTGGTCTCCGGGTCGGTCGCAGGGTATTTTGGCGTCTTCGGTCTATTGCACGGCGTCGACTTGCATCATCTCGAGAGCTGGTATTATCCAACTAGAAAGGTAGCTTGTGAGGCTGTCGCCGCCGAGGGTGTTGATTCTGCAATTGTGCGATTGCTAATTGCTGCGTGATTGCTGCGTGTTTAACAACTGATGACCAATCTGTGAAGATGTTGATGGCAAGTATAAGCGGGGTCCGCTTGTGGAGCGAAGGTTAGTGTCACAGGGCTTAGCAAAGCTGACGGTCATCGGGCTAACGTTCCGCCTGTCATCTCCCCACCAAAATTTGCCGGAAAACTGAAGTCCAAGACCTCGAGGCGGGGATTGGCTAAGCCAAAAGATCTCGGCTATACGCTAAGATAACTAATTACCGCCGTATTTAGGACAGGTCGCCCTCTAGAAAAATAAAGTACGACACAATAACCTTCCGTTACACTCTTTTGATCTTCGTTCCGTTTAAAAGATCAAATTATCAACATATTAGACCACTCACTGTAACGTCCGTCCCCACATCTATTAAGTGAAGTCTTTCCTGCTGTGCCGGCCATGGGGCTGATCCCAAAAACCTCACGCGATTATGGGATTACTTCGCCATGATAGAGAGGGTGTTGATATAGGCGACCAGTAGTCGACTTACTACGAGAGGAGAATACTCCAGGCCAACGTCTCTGAACAGCCCGAATGCAGCTTACGAGATGTCTGTTAGTAACACACCCGGGCGGTCATCTCATTTACGCCAAAGAATGTCTTGGTTTGGCCAGGTGTGGGAGCATCTGTTTCCATGCAACGAATGTCAAAAGGTCTATGGGTAGAAGAACACATATGGTTCCGTAAGCATCCATCTTGCCAAGTCAAGGAAAATACATGTACTGCGGTTCGAGAGCGGCCATGAGCCCATGACGCAGCCGAGTCCCTCTATAGATACTTGTGCAACAGTCGTGCGACAGTCATGCGACCAAAGACGGCCTTGAACGTTCCCCAACCGCCAACCCCCAAGTTACTCCTAATACGTCGGGTTCAGGTACCGCGGCGTGGTGCGGCTCCAGAACTCGTTCCCGGCCATCTGGTACTCGATGCGCAGCAGGTAGGCGCGCATGTCGGGCGTGTCCTTCTGGGCCAGGGCGGCCTCGACCAGGACCTCGTGGCTGATCTCCCACTCGCGGCACAGCTGGTAGAGGACGCGCTTCGACGAGTCGATGGACATGTGGGCCTCCTCGGCCAGGATGGCCACCGAGGTGCACAGCACCCCACCCTCCTCGTGCAGGTGGGCGGCGGCGTGCACCTCCTTCTCGTAGCTCCAGATGTCGTTGATGACGGAGAGGTGCCGGGCGCAGTTGCGGTCCACCGGCTTCGCGATGGCGAGCTCCTCGGCCGACAGCCGGAGCGCCCCGGTGTAGCGGATCAAGGCGCTCAGAACACTTGCGAGGACGAAAGCCATTAGCATAGGCCATGGGAGGCTGGAATTTAACAATGGAGTGCTGCTACACTGCTACTTACCCCTTGCCGACGTCGGCCTCACGGTACTCCAGGTAGCTTCCGAGGTCCAGCTTCTGGAGGCGGATGGGATCGGTCTGAGCGCGCATGAAGGCGAAGACGGGCTCGAGCATTTCGTCGGCCAGTTCGCGGTCGCACGCGCGCAAATCCTGCCAGATGTCGTACGAGATCCACTCGACGGGGACGTTGCGGTCGGGCAACTCGTCGCCGCGGAAGATGGGCATCAGCCGGGCGTTGTAGGCGCGGCCCTCGTCGAGCGACATGCTCTCGAGGATGTCGTCGATGAGGAAGAGCACGACGACGAGGCGGCAGGCGAGGGCAAGGCGGTCGTCGAGCGACTGGCAGACATAGTAGCACGTGACGCGGCACCAGCCCTCGACTCCGAACCGCGATTTATACTTTTCGCTCTCGAAGGGCCAGTGCTCGAGGAAGAAGTCGTTGACCTCCTTTATGGTCTTCTCCGCCAGCGGGTGGTAGAGCGCCGTCAGCCCGGACGGCGGGATCTGTCGCTTGTTGAAGGGCGCTGGGAACGCGGCGGGGGCCTTGACGGCAGCGCCGTTGACGGGAGCCTCCTTGACGGGAGCGTCGTTGACGGGAGCCTCCTTGATAGAAGGGGCTGTGATGGAAGAGGGGATGGTCTTGACGGAGGGGACGTCGTCAGACAGGAGGGTTTCGATCATGGGAGACATGATGGGCAGTGGGCAGTGTTGTTCTTTCTCTCCAAGTTGAAAGTTCTTGCTCTTGTTCTTTTCGACCTTTTTGTTTCACTTCAAAAGCTCGAGCCTCGAGGGTGAATGCTGTTGATAAATCACATCTTCATAAGCATTCGTGCCATGGTGTATGTCTGGCCTTTACTGTTCACGGCTTCAAGCCAAAGAGCGGCGCGTGTCGGCGCATCTGCGTATCGCTCGCTCGACTGCTGGCTGACTCTGTCTTGGAACGACGTAAAGAGGTATTCCCGACAACTTGCCTGTATGTTGCCGTATACGGTAAAGATGCCGCCACTGCTGGGCTGCAATCAATGACCAAGGTTAGTCAATCCCCCCAGTCGTCATGGTTGTGGGATGATGGCCCATGTGTATTAGGCCCATCGCGTGCCGGGGCCCGGAAGTTTCCCATATTGGGGAAGTAGCCGGGATAATGCGATATGCCCGTGGCCCATGATACCCTGAAGAGGGGCTTGGCTGCAGGGCACGCACATAGTCTAATGAAGAAGCTTGCATTGCAAAGCTGACTGCATAGGCGACTTTGCCTCTTTACTTCTTTGCTCGTGTCATGGTTAGTTACCTACGATTATACCGCCAGTCGATTGTTGGGCTGCATACCTAAAAACCGCATCTTGACGGCAAAGTGTCTATTTCCGGGTGTCAGACAACCCTTGCGGCATCAACTGCCCGTGTTCACCGGAATGTCTTCCAATCTTACTGTTGGGCCATCTGGTGGCTCGTATACTCTACCCAGGTTCCAGCCATTAACATGGTCTCCGCAGTATGCCGCTGCCGCCTTCACCCTCGTTGTCAGCTTGGTCTGGTTCTCGTGGAAAAAGTGGACAGGAAGCCGGCCGGGGCTGCTCCCCGGCATCCACGTCGTGGGTGGCAGCAGCAGGCACGAGATGGTGAAGAATAGGGGCAGGTTCATGCATCATTCCAAAGATATGCTTCTCGAGGGCTACCGACACTCAAGCGGGCAGGACTTCTACTACGTGCCCTCCCTCGAGGGTGAGCGCCTGGTCATCCCCACGCGCTTCATGGAGGAGCTCAAGTCGGCGCCCATGCACAAGGTCGACTTCGTGGGCGTGGTCCGGGAGCTCATGGAGGGAAGATATACCCTCGTGGGCGATCGGTCCCGTCTGCATCCCGACACTCTGAAGTCGCACCTCACCCCCCGTCTTGCTCTGGTGGTGCCGGCTGTCCAGGACGAGATACGACAAGCCGTGAGCGACGTATTCCCCCCCTGCGACGACTGGACCGAGGTCGCCATCGTGCCTGCCATGACCGAGCTTGTCACCCGAGCCACCAGTCGAATGCTGGGCGGTCTGAGTCTCAGCCGGAACAAGGAGTGGATTGACGCAGCTGTCGAATTTGCCCATCATGCCTTCTATGGCGCCCAGAAAATCAAGGCGATTCCGTGGCCGGTGCGACCACTTCTCGCCCCCTTGATCCCCGAGATCCGGACGCACATTCCAAATTGCGTCCGGGCGACCCGGCGGGCTGCCATACCCATCCTGGAGCAGCGTGAGAGGGACGGGGAGAAAACAAACGACTTCCTCAGCTTCCTCAAAGAAGCTGCCAAGGGGAAGCAGAGGGACAACAAATACATCGCAAAGAGTATGCTCCTCACCGCCTTTGCCTCCGTCCACACCAGCTCCGCGGCCCCATGCCAGCTCATCTACGACCTCTGCAACAACCCCCAATACTTCGACCTGCTTCGCGCAGAGTATGCTGGGCTCATTGACCATGACGGCCAAATCCCCAAGGGGGCGTTTGGTCGCATGACCAAGATGGACAGCTGCATGAAGGAGAGCCAAAGGCTATGGCCAGCGACTTTGCGTGAGTTTTGCAACATCCATCCCCTCTATCTGCGCCGGCCCCTAGCCGGAGTTGGGAACCATCATACCACATAGTCTGCTGACACACGGAAACTGCCAGTGACCTTTGAGCGCATCATCCACGAGGACAGGACACTATCCAACGGCCTGACCGTTCCTGCCGGCACCCATATTGGGGTCTCCAACTACGCGGTCGGGCGGGATCCCAACATTTTCCCCAAGCCGGATGAGTTCGACGGCCTGCGATTCGAGAAAATGCGCAACGCAGACCCGAGCATGGAAGGCAAGGCGCAGTTCGTCTCCTGCAACCAGACCAGCCTGACCTTTGGCTATGGCCGTCACGCATGTCCCGGGTGAGTCGATGATCGAAGAGATACACCCCCTCCCCCACACCTCAATCCCGACGTGTTCCGGTTTTTTAATCCCATGCAATCCGATCACCCACTCGTGGCCGTTTTCTGACGAGACCAGCCGGTTCTTCCTAGCGGACGAGTTCAAGGCAATCATGGTGCGTCTGCTCGAGACTTTCGATATGAAGTTCGCCGAGGGACAAACAAGACCAGAGCCCGCTCAGTTCGAGTCGCAGTGGATCATCGACCCCTCGACCAAGATTCTCTTCAAGCGGCGGAAACCCGTAATCGCTCAATGAAGGTGACGTATGTGACGAGGTGATGGTCACCCTTGACCGGGGAGACGGCTGGAAAGTAATGCAAGGGCGCGGTGGTCATGTAGGGTAGACAGTGCTATGTTTTATTTCGGTTCTTTCTGCCCTGGGGTTCCTGGAATCAGGAAGTGTCGACCACGATCCCGCATTATGAAGTTGAGCGGGTAGTACCGCTAGGGCTTTTCTAATTCTGACCCGTTATAACAATTTAATGTAAAACACCCACGAACCCCATGTTGCCTTGTTACTCGGACTCATCACTATCACATCACGGTGGATACATCGGGTCCTTTTTCGGCGGTGAGCAGTCCTGCAGTCGCAGTGGCCACTGGTATGACAGTTACATTTCCTCCTGGCTGGCGCTCGCATTGGAAGTCAAAGCTCTACCAACCTACCTAAGCCCAAGCAGCCCTGCTCCTTCGCGTAACTTGGTGGCTTTCACAGTCACGAGCTTAGAATGCCAATCGGCATTACGATCAACTTGCCTGCAGCCTGCGAAAAGGACCTTGGATGAAAAGCGTAGAGTGTTCGATGAAGCTCAAATGATAGTCTAGATCGTCATACAATTTTTACTACCCTCCCCGATCCACCTTTCACGCCGCTCCCACTTCACTTCCGTCACCTCGTTTACGGCAGCCCGAGTATCTCCGATCGCTATCGATTCGGTGGAATACATCTCACTTTACACCACAGGAGCGCTGCCTTGGGAAAGTCTGTTATGCGCACGCACATGATAAGGTGCCTTCAGCCACATGATGAAGTGTTTCGACTCGGTTGCCCAGTCGATATCTCGGTCGAGCAGTTCCATATCGTACGTGTACAGAATCTTGCTCAAGGCGAGAGACATCTGCATGTAGGCGAAGCTAGAAGCATGACATGGGTGTCAGTCTTTATGTGTCTAGAAATCGAGGACTCGTGGTTAAAAAGTTGAGACGGAAGCGAACGGATGGGCTTACCTCCTTCCGATGCATGCGCGGAAGCCGAGAGAGAAGGGCTGACTGGCCTCTTTGACGTCCTTGCAATTGGGGTCGATCCATCGCTCGGGTCTGAACTCGTCCGGGTTCTCGAAGTATGCCGGGTTGTGGGATGCCACCCAAGTGCAGGTGTATACCTCCGTCTGTAGGTGGAAAACGGTGGTAAGTCAATGCTCTTTAGCTCACACCAAGGCCAATGGTGTACGTATTGATGACATAGACAGGGAGACAAGAAACTCACTCCTTTCGGCACCCAGTGACCGTCAATGGTTAGACCAGGAGAGATGCGAGGAAACCCATGCGCGCCCGACGGATGCATGCGGAGGGCCTCGTTGATAACCGCCTGCAGATAGGGCAGCTGCTGAGCTGAGGTAGAGTTGATCTCGTCGTACGACTTGTACCGCTGACGGATCTCCTTGGTGAGTTTCTCTGCGACCCGCGGGTCCTTTAGCATGTAGAACATTGCCGCCGACAGGGTCGTCGCCGTCGTTTCTCCGCCAGCGATGATAAGCGTTGACGCGTGCGCCGTCATCTCTTCAAGGGGCACTTCTCCAGACTTGACCTTGTGAGTGAGATTCGTAAAGAAGTCCTGTCGAGGGGACTCGCTGTCGAGACGGCTATGAGGCTGTCAGGGAGGACTGTCTTGGACTATTGGGGCAAACCCATTGGTCCAGAGCGAAGGGGGGCTTGACTCACCGCTTGACCTGGTCTCGGCTGTATTGACTATGCTTTGAGCGTATCGACATGAACAGGGAGGGCAGCAGCCACTTGGAGAAGCCCGTCAAAAGCTCAAACCGGCGCAGATTATCCACGAGAGTTATCTCCTGTACATGCTGAAGGATCATGTCGATCCAGAAATGTTGCTTCCCTGAGAGCGAGCACCGCATTAGTGAGCCTCGGGGCTAGACAGCTACTCCCCAATAAGGGGACGGGGTTACAGAACAGACGGGCGGAGAGCAAGGCATGTAAAACTCACCCGAAGCAATGCAGCCAAAGCTCTCACCGAAGGCCATTTCGCCCAGAAGGTCGAACGAGCTCATGTCAAACCACTTCACCATGTTGATGCCGTTGGGTGATTTCTGGCTCTCGGGACCGATCTTGGCGACGAAGCCGTCGATGCAGCGCTGGATGATGTCTTCCTGCCCAACCAACGCCTTGGCAGAAAAAGCAGCCAGCAGGTTCTTCTTCTTCTGGCCGAGGACCTTGGGGTCCCGCTCGGACGCGATGCATCCCGTCTTGAAGCCGTTTCCGAATATGTCGTAGAAGTCACTTTTGATGCATTGCTCGCCCCCCGGAGGTGGGAAGCCGTAGATGTCCCTGTAGGACTGGACAGTCGAGAAGCTCAGCTCGGCTGGAGAAACTCGCACCACGGGGCCTTTGCATCACGCTTTTGTCAGTTGCGTGCAAGACATAAGACTCAAGTGTGCACCTACCGTACTTCTGATGCTGCCTCTGCATAGTCTGGGGTTGATGACCCTGCATCGTGTGCCATAGTCGCCATAGCTGTTGCCCAGGTCAACTAGACGACGATTAAACGACGCGAGAGAGTCGATTCTTACCAGCGTTCCGCGTGCCAATAGCGGACCCGGAAACTTGGCTAGAGGATGGAAGTAGACGTTGTAGATAAAACTGCTGAGCTGGTATGCAACATACTGTGCATCACGTTGGACTGTCGTCAGCGCCTGTCCACAACTAAGACATCCACAACATCCACAACAGCGCAGTGCTCTCTTGACTGACCAAAGCGCCCAGAACCCCAATCCAGTGAGCCCGAAGGCCGGCAACGGCAAGTGAAGGATCATCCATCGAGTTCAACGTGTGTGGGAAGCACGGCACAAGGCTCAAGCAAGCGCTGATGATCAGGATCTGATCGAGGACAAGGACAAAAACAAGGGGGAAAAACAAGTTGCACGACGGACTGCTAGAATCCCCGACTCTGTAAGTAGGTAACTCGTGGCTGGATAGCTTAACTCGATGCTAACAGTTCATGTTCATGATTCGGCTGACAGGTACCCGCACTAGTACCCGCTTGGTACCTACCCAGTACATACCCCTGACTATACAGAAAGAGTAGTGGACCGGACGGTAAACCTGGTAGATGCGGTCACTTCTCTTCTCAGCCATCAGGCGGCATTAGGCGGCATCCCATAATAAGCTGCTGACATACTCGGTAGACTACCGCAGAGGGCTAGAGGGCTGCACCCAATCCGGGGCTCCCCCTTTCTCACTCCATTCCCGATATGGAGGCTTTTGAATTCAAAGGCCAAAACGGGAAGACCCAAGACGCAGGCCCCTCCAAGTAATCGTAATCCGACTTCAGAAGTTCAGCATAACCACGTCCGTCGTAACATTGCAGCCCTTTGATCTGAGTGCATGTTCGCAGTTGACCGAGTCATTGTCTGTCCCAGCTTCGCTTCGAATTGTATTCGCCGACGCGGGCTATCGGAAATTCAGAAGTCCATCGGATAGGACAGCGACGCAATGGCCGACTCACCTTTGTCGCCGTTCACGACCAGAACGCCAAGGGAGCTTCTCTGGCCAGGTCTCCTCACACTGGCTTCACTCTGGGTACGAGCGCATTCCAGGGGCCATTCCCCATTCTCATGCTAAAGCAGCCGCCAGAGTGACAGGAGTTAACCACGATTACTTCTAGGTCATATACGTGATTGTATACAAGGCATTCCTTCACCCGTTAAACAGGTTTCCAGGCCCCAAGATCGCGAAGTTTACCAACGTATGCCGTTTCTACATCTCCTTGATCCGTCCTTCACACATGGCTCTATGATCATCAAGAGACATATGCATGAGGCATTAGACGCGAATCTGATCGTTAACCCCTTTAGGCTGCTCACTCGTGGTGGTATCTGGGCGGACGACAGCCCTTCGACTTGCTGGAGCTTCACAAAAAATACGGTGGGCAGTCCTTTTCTCCATTTTGTCGAACGAACTTCGCAGTTCATACTCGCATGACCACTGACATCGGATCGGCAAGGCCATGTTGTGCGCACCGCCCCCAACGAGCTCTCGTTCAACTCGGCGCAGTCGTTCAAGGACATCTACGGTTTCCGCCACGGCCACAAGCCCTTCATCAAGGGCACCTTCTACGAGGGCGGCGTTTTCGCGGGTCGAGGTGTCACCTCCATCGTGAGCGAGCGGGATCCGGGCAAGCACGCGCAGATGCGCAGGCTGCTCGCCCACGCCTTTTCCAACTCGTCGCTGAACGAGCAGGAGGAGTTGATCATCAGCAGTGTAGACCGCTTCATCGAGCTGGTCAAGTCCAAGACCTGTCAGCAAGGGGAAGTGTTTGACATCGGTAAGGGGTACGAGAGAATGGCGTTCGACATCATAGGCGACTTGGCCTTTGGACAGACCTTCGGGGCGCTTGAAAACGGTAAGTCGAAGGGTTCTTAAAAAGATCTGGTACCCTAGTTTTTCAAACGCCTAGGTGTAGCTGGAACTGACCCGGACAGATGAACCCCATCCTTGGATTTCCACGCTTCTCGGAGCCCTCACGAAGGGGGCTTTGGCAGACACCTTCAAACGGTTCCCCGCAGCGGCGAGGGTCGTTGGACTGCTGTTGAAGAAACAGCTGACGAAGCTATATGCGGATACGGCTCTGAACGAGCAGCTGGCCATCGACCTGGTTAAAAAGTAAGAAACTGCTGTTGTCCATGACCACAGCTTTTTTCTGACACACCATTTCACCCTGTGCAGGCGTATCGACAGCGACACCGTCCGCAAGGACTTCATGACGCGCATCCTCGAGCACCGCAGCCAGGACCGACACCGGGCCTCGGACCTGCAGCTGGCAGCTCACTCGTGGGACTTTGTCGCGGCGGGCAGCGAGACCACGTCGACGGCGCTTTCGTGCTGCACCTACTTCGCACTGCAGAATCCGGACATCATGGCGACGCTCAAGGCCGAGATACGCGGTGCCTTTGCCGACCCATCCGCCATTAACGACGCCTCGACCAAGACACTGCCGTACCTTAATGCCGTCTGTCTCGAGGCCATGCGCATCTACCCGCCGCTGCCCATTGCCCTGCCGCGTCTGGTACCCGAGGGCGGCGACACCGTCGATGGACACTACCTGCCCGCTGGCGTGAGTCTTCTAGTCGGCTATTATCCTTCGGGCATGGTGTTCAGGTGCTCAGGTGTACAATTTTGCTGACGTACTGGGAAACCACGCAGATCACCGTGACCACGAACCCCACGGCCGCAAGCCTCGATCCAGCTAATTTCGAGGAACCACTTACCTTCAAGCCCGACAGATGGCTCGACTCAGCGGCGTCGGGCAAGGGGCGCGACATCCTCGAAGCGAGCCAGCCCTTCTCCCTGGGCGCCAGGGGGTGCATTGGGAAAAGGTAAGTTAAGCCGGGAGGAGAAATTCACTCCTGACCACCTGGCCCTCCTCTTCCCTGATTTTCGAGAAGCAAGCACTGACGCGGTCCTTCGCCGCTCCTGTAGTCTCGGATGGATGGAAATGCGCACGACGTTGGCCAAGGTCATCTGGACGTTCGACCTGGAGCTCGTAGATCCGAGTATGGATTGGCTCAGAGACTCCCGCATGCAGACGCTCTGGATGAAACCTCCCTTGAGGATCAGAGCTAAGCTGGCGAAATGATATGTACTTGGGGCATGAGACGCTCTCTGCGTCGGTATGAGGATTTTCGCTCCCTTTCGCGTGTGCTAGAGGCCAGGAGAGATGGCATCGATCAGTAGCTGAGGCATCGGAGTGAAGAGATTCTCGAGCCACTAGTTATATATCATCTCCATGATAAGATTGCCACCCTCAAATTCCTATCTTGATTGATCCTGCATCGTAGTTGGACATCTCTACGGGGAAAATGATTGCCATTTGCCGTAAAAGGAGCTTTCTTTATAAGCCCACTAGCATAGGCAGACAATTGATGTATGAGTGATGACGAATGTCCAGTTCCCAGAACTCCCTGCTGATGTATTTTCAATCCGAATTCGCAACGTCACGTTGTTCCCAAAACATTTGGGACCTAGCCAGCCGTGTTCTTCTCTTGACTGCATCTCAGGGGCCTGCCTGTTTGCACTGGGGATATGTTTTCGGGTCTTCATTCCACGGTGGAGACGTCGTGCCCGACAGCCAATGCCTCCCATACCCTTTTCCGGCACCTCTATGCCCACATTACTGAATGGGGTAATTGCCGAGTGGGGAGAACTATTACTTGGATTAGGAAAGTTCATTTGTCCGCCCTATCCCTGAACCACGATGCACGTGGTACGGGGAGCAGACTGGAGCCTGTAGCACGTTGGACCCTTATATCCCGCCCGCGTCGGTCTCTTTCTTGGATCATACCACACTTACTGTGTGAAATCGGTGCTGCGCGCGACGAACCCCAGAATGACTTCACTTGAGTTCGACGAAGGCGCCATTCCGAGCCTGCAGGGCAAGGTTGCCATCATAACCGGTGAGCTGGAAAACTCTCCAGTGTGCGTCTCTGTTGCTCGGGCCTCGACCTAATCCTTCTCAAGGGGGCGCGTCGGGCATCGGCTTCGCGGCGGCAAAGACCATGCTGGCGAAGGAGGCGACGGTGCACATCCTGGACGTGAACGAGCCGGACAGCGACGACGACGAGGCAAGCAACTGGCGGGAATGGCCTCGCCTCCACTTTCACAAATGCAACGTCGCCGACTGGGCGGACCTGCGCGCCGTCATCGACGCCATCGGGCCCTTCCACCTGGCGTTCGCCAACGCCGGCGTGGCCGAGAAGTCCGACTACTTCGCCGACACGTGGGACGAGTCGGGCAGGCTCGAGCTGCCGAGCCGCGCCCTGCTCGACGTCAACCTCTTCGGCGCGCTGCACACGGTGAAGCTGGCGTGGAGCTCGATGCGGCGCCACGGGATCCGCGGCTCCATCGTCGTCACGGCCAGCACGACGGGCTACGCGCCCGAGGCGGCGCTGCCCGTCTACTCGATGGGCAAGACGGCGCTCGTGGGCCTCGTGCGCGCGCTGCGGCACCGCACCGTCCTCGACGGCATCACCATCAACGCGGTGGCGCCGGCCGGGACGCGGACCCCGCTCATCGCCGAGCACGTCGGCCCGCTGTCGGCACTGGGCGTGCCCTTCAGCTCGGCGCACTTTGTCGGCGTCGCGCTCGTCTACTCGGCCACGGCGTCGCAGGAGCGGCGCGTCGAGCCCTACGGCAAGGAGCACGACGCCGATATCTGGCGCGCCGAGCGCTGGAACGGTCGCATTATCTACGTCCTGGGCGACCGCTACACCGAGCTGGAGGAGGCCATCGCCGACCTGCGCCCCTTTTGGTTTGGCAGGGAGAACCTTAGACTCACACGCTCGCAACAGGCTATGCTGGATATGAGGGAGGGCGTCGACGCGCCGAGAGAGTAGGAAGTAGGAGTTTAGGTACCTCTAGTTACTTGGACGAAAGCCGCCGAAGTGAATTGGAACCTTGGCTTTCTTGATCCCACCCTTGGAGAGCCCCTGAAAAATAGGGGGGACAAAAGGGGGGTTCAATGTTTGTGCCAGCCACCCAGCGAGCTGCAATGCTGCAATGCTGCATCATACTGCATATAGCATATAGCAACCTAGCTATACCCAGTTAGATATTGAAATCCCGTCAACAGAGTCAAGACCACGACCGCCTGTCAATACAGAAGCCATTGCTTACCGCTTGAGGGCCAACTGGGCCTCAGTCAGCCCGGCGATTTTCCTAATTGGTGGTAGCTCGCCTCGGCGTGGGCCGTCCCAAGTCGCATACATGCAGATAATCACCGCGTATAGTTGTCATATAGACGCGACGAACGACAAGTCCCAGGTAAGCCACAGTCCAGTTCGACTGTTTCTGCCTGCAGCCTGCCATCGCGTACCCCCCTCTCCACTAGACCAGCAGCTAGTAGCCTCGCCCTGCGATCTAGCCATACCATACCGTCATGTCACCAACCTCACTGAAGGCGAAGGCCACGGCGGCGTGTGCAGCGCTCGGGGCCCTGCTGCCGGCCCAGGTGTATTGGCCGAATAGCGATGAGTATACCACCGCTTCCACAGGTCCGTCTGTCCGTCCGACGGTAATATTATCTATCGTCTGACTTGCGCCCGCAGAGATCTGGTCCAAGACATGCGTGCTGGCGCCCGAGTGCGTCTTCGAGCCGCTGACGGCGCGAGACCTGGGCGACGGCATCAAGCTCATCAGGGAGCACGGGAGCAAGTTCGCGGTGCGGAGCGGCGGCCACATGCCTAACCCGGGGGCGCAGTCGGTCGGCGACGACGGCGTCATGGTGTCCATGTCCAGGTTCGACGGCCGGTCGCTCAGCGGGGACAAGTCGGTGCTGAGCATCGGGCCGGGCCAGCGCTGGGGCGAGGTGTACGACTGGCTGGCGCCGCACGGCCTGGCGGTCAACGGCGGCCGCTACCCCATGGTCGGGGTCGGCGGCGTGCTCGTCGGCGGCGGCATCGGCTACTTTGCCGGCGAGCGCGGCTGGTCCGTCGACGACGTCGTGGCCTGGCAGGTCGTGCTGGCCGACGGCAGCATGGTCGAGGTCACGACCGCCGAGGGCGACCCGTTCGAGGACCTGGCGTGGGCGCTCAGGGGCGGCCACAACTACTTTGGCATCGTGACGCGCTTCGATATGCGCACCTTCGCCGTCGGCCCGGCCTACGGCGGCCTCACTGTGTACGGCTCCATGGCCAAGACCACGTACTTTGACGCCGTCGACGCGTACATGGCGCCGGGCGGTGGCGCCGATGACCCCAGGTCGGCCATCAACGCCATCACGACGCTGCAGCGCGCCGACGGGACGGGGGAGTGGCATTACGGGTACATCAGCGCCCACATGTACAACGGCGATGACCCGAGCCCGCGCGCCCTCGAGAACTTCACCGCCATCCCCGCCGAGCACGTCGTCATGGACGGGTCGGGCCTGCACCGGGAGTGGACCGCGATCCCGAACATGATGAACTGGATCGAGTCGCGCGACTCCCGGCAGCTGTTCTGGGAGATCACGTTCAGGGCCGACCGCCGCGCCGTCGACATCGCGCACGAGGTCTTCCTCGATAGCGCCCGCAACGAGCTCAGCGACGTCGAGGCGCTCACCATGGTTGTCTCGCTGCAGCCGCTCACCCGCCCGTGGCTCCGGGCTTCCAAGGCCAAGGGGGGAAACCTCCTGGGGCTGGATCCCGATAAAGATGCCGGATCTTTCGGTAAGCAACCCCCATCCCCTCCTCTCATGTGCTCTGGGTTGAAAGGAAGAGCCCTCCTCGTCGAGTCAGACCGCTTACCGAAAACGCCTAGCTACCATGATTATTTCCACTTGGCAGAATGCTCGGGACGACGAAGCCGTCCTGGCCTTTACGCAAAAGGCCTCCAAGATCATCGAGGAGAAGCTGAAGAAGCTGGACCTCTTCAACCCCTTTGTCTACCTGAACGACGCCGGCAGGGACCAGAAGCCTTTCGAGAGCTATGCGGGTGGTGCCAACCTGCCGAGGCTCAGGGCCATCCAGGCCAAGTATGACAAGGATGCCTTTCTCAAGGACTATCTCCAGCACGGCGTCGAGCTGTCGTCGCAGGTCTCAGAACATGAGGAGCTCTGAGCCGTTGGGTCCGGCCCATATCCTTGAAGGAATCGTCCTGGTTGATCATTTATGACTCATGTTTGGAAACATGGATGGGTGGGGTCCAAGTCGATAGTGTTAAGCTCATGTAAATGCCTACAATGACTCCAGCAACCTCCTCAATTTTCGGAGACGGCCTCTCCTTACCTGCTTGATTTTTCCTACCGGAAATCCAGTGTGACACGTGCCTTGATATTTGTGGGTGCATACGATCATGTCAGATACGGCACCCCCTGCGTTGGCGAGCTCGCTACCTACTCGAAGAAGCGAAGGCGATACGGGGGAATTTGCGTATTGTTTTGACCAGCCAGTGTCGATCTAGTATGTCCAATTGTGGCGGGCAACCACTGCGTAGCAGCGACGAGAAAGATCCGATTTCGTTAAAGTGCTTGATCGTGTTGTACACGGTCTTCCGGTCGATTTAGTAGCGCTCGCAGAGCTTCGCCTGCCTTGCGCCAGCCATTGAATGTGCAAAAAATGGCTGCACGCGTATCCGGAGCCAACTCCCTGTATGGCAGGCGACTTGCCGTCAATTTGCGATCGAAACGACGACCTGGAAACTCCATCTTGTTGTTTTATTGTAGACAGAAGAGGAAGAAGCGGATAAGGCACGCGTCGCGAAATTTAACGTCGTCGCGTTGGTAGATTTAAAATGGGGAGGGACTTTTTGACCGTGATTTTACTTACAGAGAATCAATCAAGCCAGAGGCCAACGAAATAGGTGGTCAGGACGTGTGAATAGAATATGTACAATATTACAAAGGATAGCAGCATCCAATCAGCAGAGCGCCCTGCCACCAAGCGATTGATTGGGCCATTGTCTACCGTACGACCCAAATTCTCCATTTTACGCCATATCGTCGAAGATGTTCAGTCTGACGCCTCCACCACCGTGGTCCCACTCGGCACTCCACCACAACAACACGTCCCCTTTTCCTCTCGCTGCCTACCATGTCATCGTCATCCGTCCTGCCTGCTATGCCCCAGGACTCAGTGCTGAGGAATGATGACCTTCTCGCTTGATTGGCTTGACCCGGCGCCATCCTCTTTGGGCTCCACCGCCGGGACCATCTGACCGGGCCACTTGGCAAGGAAGGCGACAAAGAAGGACACGCCCCACAGGGCGACCCCCAAGGCCCACGCGCCCCGGAGGCCGACGACGTACGCCTTTCGGATGCCCAACAGTGTGTCGCCGCTGTAGTAGTGCTGGAGGTCGTACGGGCCGATGGCTAGCACCTCGGCCGCAGATGTTCCCGGCGCCAGTATCGGTACATTCTTGATGAGAAGGTTGTTGGTGATGGCAGACGAGGCCGCGATGACCATGGCGGCGGAGTAGAACTGCGTGACTGGATTGCGAAGAAGGGGGCACGGTCAGCTTGCCTGAACTGCGATCAAGACGGTACAGCAACAATAACTTACCTAGCACGATGCCCAGGGCAATCGCCTTGTCTGCGTTGGCACTGACGGTGCCCGCAATGATGGGCGGTATCTGCACCACGAGACCGACACCGGTACCCAGCAGGATCTGGTAGCCGATCTGCTTGCCCAGGCTGGTGTCGACGTCGAACGAGTAGATCAGGCCGCCGGCGACCGTGGACAGTGCGGCACCGGCGAGGAGGAACGGCGAGTATTTGCCGATCTTGCCAAAGCCGACGGAGGAGATGAAGGTCACGATGGCTGTGGACTGGTTAGCCGGAGTCGTCTTGGGAGAGAAGGATGGCAAGCTGCCCACTCACAAGACGAGCAAATGATAGGAATTGTCCGAATACCACTGTCTCTCGGCGACAGCCCGGCTGTAGCCTGGAAGTAGGTGGGGATGTTGTAGACAACTGCGAAGTATGCCCCGTACAAGCTGTGAGGAAGAGGAGCCGAAGTGGTTAGCGGGCGTCGGCATGGGACGGACCGGAAGTAGCTTACAAGAAGAGGTAGATGCAGCCGACCCTGATGTCTCGGTTCTTCAACAAGCGAAGCACCATCAGAGCTCTTTCTCCCTGCCAAATCTCATTGGCAATGAAGAGGATGGTAAGCAGAGCCCATCCGACCAGCAGGCCGATCACCTGGGATGAGTTCCACGCCTTCTCGGTACCACCCCATCCCAGAGCGAGGAAGAAGCAGATGATTGCGGCCAGGAACGTGAGTGTGCCGATGGGGTCGAAGCTGATCAGGATCTCCCTCAGGGGCGTCTTCTGGGCGATCTTGGCATGGGGCGGCGTCTTGAAGAAGAACAGGATGAAGGCAAACGGAATGCCGCCGATGGGCAGGTTGATGTAGAAGCACCACCGCCAGGTCACGCCCGAGGTGAAGACGCCTCCCAGCAGCGGACCGATGACGCTGGCGATGCTGAACATGGTACCGATCATGCCGACGATCAGGGGCACCTTTTCGGGCGGCGCGATGAAGTTGGAGATGGAGTAGCAGCCGAGCAGGATGCCGGCCGCGCCGCCGCCCTGGATGGCGCGTCCCACGATCAGGGCCGGGCTGTTGGGCGCCAGGCCGCCGATCAGGCACCCGACCTCGAAGACGAAGATGGCCGCCAGGAAGACGAACTTCATGTCGAAAAACTTGTACGCCTTGCCCCACACGGACTGGAACGCGGCGTAGCACAGGAAGAAGACGGAGCCATACCAGCCGGCTTGCGACAGCGAGTTGAATTCGTTTGTGATGGCCGGGATGGCGGTTGATATGATGCTGATGTCAAGGCCGGCCTATACTCTCAAGGTATTAGATTCGATGATTCGCTCGGTCAACACGGGAGGAATGGGGACTTGCCAGAAAGATGCCGAGCAGCAGACCGGTGACAATGAAGCTCTGTTTCAACTTGGATGGGTATATGATGGCAGGTTGCTGGGGGGCCTCCTCGCCCGCATGCTTCTCGACGTTGTCGCCGTCCAGGTGGGCATCATGGGCCTGGTTGGCCGACGTTGTGTCGGTTGACTCCATCACGACGATTCCTACTTGAGCTGAGCTGAGCAGCCTTGAGCGTGGGAATGTAGGATTAGAGTAAGTCAGTATGCTGAGACTGATATGAATGAGTAGCTTTTCCCAGTCGAAAAATTGCGAACTTGATGTTGAGTGTTAAGTATTGTCTGCCGGGCTCAATTGCAGACTGGGATGGCACTGGGGATACCGGGACTTTTACTAGGTACGCGGAAAGAGCTCTCAGTCTCAGATTGGAATGCGAAATGCCACGACGTAAAAAGGGGACCGGAATTGCCTAATTCCCAACTTCCCTAATCAGGGATTGATCCCCAGCACAGCAGCAAACACAGCTCGACAAGACCCCGGAGACGGGTACTTAATTATTCAGTATAGAATCGCGTGTGGCATCGGGGTCTTTACTCGTTTGAATCGCGTCGGGGTCTTTCCATACTTGTCTCAATCGCGTCGGGGGCTTTTACTGCCCTCGATTCCCCCCTGCAGGTTACATCGGGGTCTTTAATTCACTGACACTCGCAGAGTCATCGGGGTCTTTTATTCACTGACAGTGAGCACTGCCAATCAAAGCAGCTGAAACATGCATTTTGGGGCACGGGCCTAGTCAAAGCAGAAGAAGAAGAAAAGACCCCGAAGGCTGACTAACAGGGGAAAAGGAACAAGTAAAAAAGAACCCGAAGAAAACACCCGAGAGCATACCAACCGGCGACCGCCCAACTCGCAACGCCCTGCCCCCTGCAGGCTGCAGCATAATCGCCCCGATGATACACTCAACACATGCAGGATGACGCCAGGGGACATCAATTTTCGACAGGTTCATATGCTTGAAAGTTGAGGTAGCCCTCTGATCCTCTGACTCCTGAAGGCTGAGATACACAGTCTCCTTTGTACCGGTTATCCAGTCACCAGAACGAGACAGACAGGCCACGACGCGGAAGCACGCGCTACATGATCAGGTCCGCCGTTGCTCAGTCAGGCACGCTCCCGAGACTGTAGTCTATGCAAAGCAATGACGACGAGAGACTTTGGTTGCCCGGCAGTCAGTTACTAGCCCACACAGAGCCGCAGCGACACCTGCCTGACTTTCACTCCATCCGAGACCTCCATGCCACCCCACTCGAGCATCTGAAAGGCCGCCTCATCTCTCATGCCCGCAACATCGAGACCGATGGCGGCAGCCCAGTCAACGCGTCGGTGTTCCTCGCACACGCACATAGGCAACTCAAACGCACTCCATTTATACCATCCCCCCCATAGAAGTCGGACACCCCCACTAGTCGGACAGCCAAACCCCACCATCACCACCAAAACACGCCCTTATTCACTTATATACGAATGAAGCTGTTTAGTTCAGAGAGATACAGCGAAATTATCATTTAAAAGCGCTAAAGCTGATTATGCGTAATATCTAGCCGCGCTCAAATGGCTCGCCCGGATCGTAATAAGCGAAGCTCCTATATGGCCTTTAAAACGTCCTCATTAAAAGGGTTATCTTCATTTTTTTTATCTTCTGACTTAACAAATATTTTTTCTTGTACCTTTACGCGTACAACAGGGCTAATAGTACTTCTATAAGATAATATTTTTGTTACCGTTTTAAACTTCTTATTAAAATTAAAGATCTTTTAATACTTTTTTTAGCTGTAATCGCTACAGTTTAACCTCTAAGGCTTTAATCTTCTTATTTTTAATAACAATTTCGATCTTTTTGGTCTTAAACACGTTCGTTATCTTCTTATACTTCAACCTGGTCTTTAAAAACTTATTTTTACTAAAATTTATAATCTAATAGCACGTAATAAATTTCTGTTAGTCTTTTAATCTAATACTTTTAAAGGTATTAAGCTTAAAGGTCTTTTTCTTTTCTTTTATATCTTTAAGTATTGTAAGCACTTTTTACGGCTAACGAAATAACATTTAATAACCTTATAGCTTGAAAAGATATTTTGTTTAATAAAAGTAAAAGTTCTGCTTTGCTATAGTAGTAAATAAAGCTAATATTATTAAAAAGCGAGGCATGTATTAAAGAATTTAACTTAAAATTTGATTTTTTGTAATAAGCTGTCAAGGCGTTATAAAGCCCCTTATTTAAGGGTTGCATGCTGTATCAATATACACAAGAAAAAAATTAAGTAAAACGTTACTAAAATAATAGATGGTTATAAATTCGTCTTATTAACATGCGTTAAACTATATTATATGTAAAAAATTGAAGAAAGTTTAAATGAAATAAAATAAAATAATACATGTATAAAGGTATAGCTCTTATAGCTATTCAGTATTAAAAAGATCGCTTTAAATCAGTTTCTTTTTCGTTTTACGTCTGCTTTGTAATAAGAAAACATCTTATAGCTACTTGCAAGCGATATCATTTAAAGTCTAGTCATTTCCAAGTATATATAATGTTAATTAGCAGTCTTTTAAAACTCTTTGATAAACTACTTAGCTTCAAGGTCATTTTTTAAATAATGCCTAGTTTAAAGATTTTTTTAATTGTTATAAAACAAGTCTATCTTTAACCCTAAGAGCTTTTTAAAAAGGCTTTTTTATTAGCAAAGTTACGTAGTATAAAAAATTCAATGCTTATAAACTTAATTATATTTTTGACGGAATTAAAGGGCCAAGTATAGCTATCAAAACCCGATATAATGACGCTTTTATCGACATTGTCAGTGTTTTTTTTACTTTACTTAGCTATAATCTTCGAGAATTTAAAAAAACCAGTTAACTAACTTAGGCATAAAGCCTTTAAAGCGTATTGATTTCGTCATTTTGCTAATTTTAATCTTATTAAAGGTTATAGCGATTAAAGGCTGTTATAAAGGTTTCTTTTAAAAAGGCCTCATCCTCTTTTTTTTAATACTTTCTTAATAATCCTACGGACTAAACATTATATAAAAAGGTTAGGCCTAGCTTTTCTTACAATAAAATCCACTTGGTTATTATCGTTTCTTACGTAAAGAAAAGTCTTTATTACTATATATAAGTTTCGGTTTTAATAGGCTTGCCGTTAAGTCGATTAGATAGTGTTTAAAACGAAATACCGTGTATTTAAGCGCTTTTTCCTAAAGATAGGCCCTTGTTTATAATATTTAAGATAGCACTAGCCATTTAACCCTTTATATATAAATGAAGAGGCATTTTAAGCGGCTATAAAATGCTGCGTTACATATAAAACAAAGCTTTAAAAAAGCTGCGCAAGACCGTAAATTTACTATTTAAAATAAGAAACGCAGGGTAATTAACAGATTATTACGTAAGCGCTGCGGGCTAAATCTTACATTAAGAGAAAGCTTAAGATTAGGGCTATTTAGAATACTAATTACATTCTGAATAACTTCAATATCGGGCTGAAAGCGTACAAGTGAACATGTGCGAGTTTGGGTGGTGATGGTGGGGTTTGGCTGTCCGACTAGTGAGGGTGTCCCACTTTTATGGGGGGGATGGTAGCTGGCCGGCCGGGTAACGCAGTCAGCATAGACGTCCGGGGACAGAACCGTTCTTGCCTTCTCGACTCCGCCGAACATCATGAAGACGCGAGCCATTGTTTCGGGATTGCGCCCTTTACGGTTCGCTCCGCCGCGCCATTCTCTTTTCCGACACGCTTGTGGGCGAGACAACGGATGCCGACCAGGAAGAATCGATCGCGGACTCGAAATAAATGCACGAGTTGGCCCTAACGCCAGCCCATGCAGTGTGGTCGAGGTCCCACCGAGGTAAGGTACCGCTCATATCCATACAGTAGAAAGCGCGAAAATCCTTCACCTCGTTGATCGAGAGCCCGAACTTGATCGAGGCAGTCTGGAGGAGATCCTGCCAAGAAGTCGGCTTTTCGACGAAGAAGGCGCGACCGCCGTAAGAGATACCGATGCAGGCCATGACTGTGGTGTCTTTGGCGTTTCGGAGTGATTGGCGCGCGTTGTGGTGGCTAGGAGTAGAGAAGGTGTGAAGCTGCGGATGTGTATTGAACCACTGGGGCTGCAAAAATGGGATGCTATTGAACAAGTGCCTGTTTTGCAGCTAATAGAGTTGACGTGTAGTTGTCGTAGTTGTTGCTAGGATGCCGAGAACCTCGCAGTAGGAAGCAGGTGGTGGTCGCTGCGCTGCGCTGAATGCTGTAGGAGGCGGAGCTCAGTCACAGGCTGGCAGCGATAACAGAATGTCAATGAGCGCAGGAGTTATTGGAAGGTGGGAAACTGAGGATCCAGTACAGATTACCCTTCTGGCTGTTCCTGGTTGAGGTGTGCATGGTACATATAGTGTTTTGACATGTTACCAGGGAAGCCTGAGGTCGAAAGCTCTGTCTGAGGCAAGCAGGCCAGCTATGAGGTGCTATGAGGTTCTACGAATATACCAAAGGCCTAGTTGTCAGTGAACACCTGGATGGCTCTAGTGATCAACACCCAGAGACTGGTTTAGATGTTTCTGGTATCTGCCATGTCTCTGCGACCTGGGTCTTTCATCAGCGCGTCGCAGCTTCACTGAGGAGTTTCAGGTAACGAGTCCTACCTCCAAAAATCCTCCAGATGGATTCCAAAACATGAGTTACCGCATTGTTTACGAGTAATGGGCAATGCAACGAAAAACCAGCCGTTGATACCGAGGACGGACCACCCACGCCATATGCACCAACACAGAAAGCAACTCGACGTACTCCGCTTATATTACATGAACGATATAATCATTGATACCCCCTTTGAGGGAAGGGTAGAAACTATACCTCCATCGCCGCCATCAGCATCAGGTTAAAATGCCGCACTGAATAGGCAAGGTGGTCACCACGTACTGGTCGTGAAAAACATTCCCTCTCGCAGAGCGCCTTGAGAGGGGTAACAAGGGATACCTGAAGTCTCTACAGACTACTATAGGTTGGTGTTTCTGTTGCTCAATCCCGTTATGAGGGTCAGTAGCGGTCGATTTGAGATAGTTTCATTCTAATGGGACTTCTGCTCATCTAATCGTACACGCGACGCGACATGTCGTCCACCAAGGGGACACTACTTGGTAGCCATACAGACTTGTTCTCCTCGACGAACTTCCCGAGGCTCTTGGCCGGGTGTCCCCTCAGCGTCTCGACGACATCAGATGAGCCCAACTCGCCGTCTTGCGAAGCAAAGAGCTCTAGGCGTGTTAAGAATTGAGCGAAGTACTCTGGGAGGCCGGCGCGCAGCAAGCCGTCGATACGACCGACTTCGTCGAGCTTCACATGTTCGATCTTGCGCCCGAGGACCTCTGAGAACGTCTCGGCAACCTATGATTGTATCTCTTGTCAGCGCCGACCTAGCTACCTAAGCTACCACGGTGGGTTGCCAGACAAGAAGTGGGGTCCTGTACCTGATCGTAAGTCAGGTTCTTGGGCCCAAGGACCCTTAGGTCGCAGTTATAGGACTTGCCGTCTGTAAGGGCATGGTAGGCTACCTCGGCCACGTCATCGGCGCTGACGAAGGGAATCTTCCCGTCCCGAGTGGCGGTGTCGAACTCGTTGAACTTGCCGATGGTAAATGCAACACCTGGCTCAGTCAAGTTCTCTATGGTCAGGTCGTTATATTAGCGGTTACGGAATATGAGTGATGGGGGTGAGATACGTACCCATGAAGCAAGACAGTCGAAGCACAGCGTAGTCAATACCGGACTTCGCGAGGCGCTCCCAGGCTCGGCCCATTCCATCCTTACCGACCGCAGCTGTGGTGCCAGCACATAAGACGATGCGGCTAACGCCTTGCTCCTTGGCAAGATCCACGAACTTGTTCATGTAGACTCAAGGTTCGCGAATCCGGGGCTCCATTATGTAAACGGCCTTGATAGAGGTCTTCTCGAGCGCCTTTGCCCAGGTGGACTCGTCGCTCATGTCGAACGTGACAGCGGGATGGCCGCCAGACCCGGCGCCAGGCCCCTGACGCGAGCCTAAGAGGAAGGGTATCTTGTTCGCGGCGAGCAAGGCCGCGATACGCGGGGCCGTCTTTCCACTGCCGCCGTTGAGGAGAATCGACATAATGCGGGAAGGGATGAAGAGGGTATTGGCAACTTGTGAAAGAGTAGAGTTCAGGACTCGGTGTCTGCGTGCGCAGGGAAAACCGGAACTAGTGGCAAAAGGGGGAAGGCGGTAGAACAGATATATGACCATTCGCAGAAACGTTACGGATCCGAGCCGCTGGAAAGTTGTCATTATAGCCGTCGTATTCCGACCCTCCCGGAGGAAGGAATGAAACTCAGCCAACAGCTCGGATCTTGGCTCGGCAGACCGAGCGTCACCGAGGGACGCAACACAACCTGTTGGTCAGCTCATGTCATGGCTTATCCTTTGTGCGACCATCTCGTTTGAGAGAAGAGAGACACTGGAAAAAAAGACAAGCGACATACTGAGGTGACCAAGATAGCTGCTGTCAGCTATTTCTCTTCTCGTATACCACCAGTGACTGTCGAATGAAGTAATCAATGACCATAAGGTCCACTCGAAACTTCATGATTTTTTCCCAGGCTTCACGTTGAGTATGGGAGCTCTTTTTTCCCGTCCAAGTGTCACCAATGGGCTGAGTCGTTCCCTTGCGAGTTAAAGCACAAATGTAAAGAATCAATGCCACGTTGGAGAAGCACAGGTGACCAGATTGACAGGGAGAAGAAAAGTACGAGAAAATCAATGCGTGCTGCTAAAAGTGTGATGGATCTGCCTTCATGGCTATGCGGTGTATTTGCGTGTTCAAACGTCAGGGGTTACGCTTACGAAAATGGCCAACCTGCTCAGCTACTTTATATTGCTATCGTCAAGTCTCGCATTGGCTCATTCAGATGGCCAAAGTATGCATGGCGCAAACTATGGGATGTTACCTCGTTGGCAATCAAAGAACACTCCGCTACGTGACATATTTGAACGTAATTACGCATCTACAACGGCGTGGAGAACCAAGCCTACGTGTCATGCATCGCCCTCATCAACCTTCAGTACCATCTTCCCGAACTTATCCCCCTGGAACGTTCTGATCAGCGCTTCCGGCGCCCTATCCATCCCCACCAAGACCTCTTCCTTCGTCTTGATCTTTCCCTCGACAAGCCATCGAAACATGTCCGCCCCAAACGATGCCGCGTGCTTTTCCATCAGGTGCCGATCGGAGCAAATGAATCCGAACACCCTGAGACGCTTGAAGACGATCTGCATCAGCGTCTTGACGCCGTAGTTGTCCTCAAGCGGTTTGTTGTACTGCGAAACCATGCCGCTCACGACTGTTTTGATTTGGTCAGGAACAAGGCCGACCAACAAACAGGGAACGACTAAACTTACCAACTGTGCCATAATCGTTCAAGGCCAGCAGCGCCGATTCCAGCTGTTCGCCCCCGACGTTATCATAATACACGTCGAGGCCCCCAGGGGCAAGTCGCTTCAGCGAATCGCTGGTTTTCTCCTTCTTATAGTTCCACGCCTCGTCAAAGCCCAGCTCCTTGACGACGTAGTCGACCTTCTCGTCGCCACCCGCACTACCGACGACCTTCATGCCCTGCATCTTGGCGATCCGCCCGACGATCTGCCCGACGCCCCCGGACGCCGAGGACACGAACAGCGTCTTGCCAGCTCGGGGCTCCGGCACAAACTCGAAGAAGCTGACATAGGCCGCCGTTCTGTCTCGGGCATCAGCGGCATCTTGTCGTATTCCAACTACTTACGCCGCCGCCGGCTCGTACGGAAAAGCCCTGTCACGGTGGCGCAAGGCCCGGGGCTGGAGGTCACCAAATAAAGAAGTATTACCCCTTACAGGCAAGTAGATATATGACAGACAGACTGAATCTAACAACAACAACAGGGAGTAAGATGTACACAGATTCAAGCTCATAACGAAGATCATAAACATCGAGCTAACTCAGCACCAAGCTGAGATGTTGATTAGGATGGTCAGCTCCTAACGTCCAGGACGCCGCGTCCTCCGGACCCGACATCCACCTCCGAATACCGATCAACGAACCGAGGCTCTTAGAAAAGTACGGGAGCCAATCGGCGGAACCGATTCATGACTAGACGACGCACGCCGGGCCGAACCCTAAGATGTGACATGACAGTTGATCCGGCCACTCAGCGCGAGAGGTGGTTTGTTCTAGCGGCCGTACAGGATGAGCGTGTCGAACGAGTCATTCTTTGAATCCCGTGGTTCACTAGCCAAGACGCCTGATCATAGTAGTGTCGCACCACCAGGTCACGCGACAACCAGATTGAGGATATGTGTCTATCAAGTAGCTAGGTCGCGCAGTAGTCACTGACTCTATATGCTTGTACTCTAGTAAGTGTCTTCCCATGAAGGTCTTATGAACACACCGCCGAGCTCCTGAGGGCCCTTGGCTGCGCCCAACCTCTCCTGCCGTATCGGGCAACCATGCAGGGTCTCGCGGGATGGAACGGTGTGACTCCCGGCTTCCACTATTCCCTCACCGCCGCAGCATAGTTCGAATCCTGCACGAGAGAATGCAACATGGTCCCATGCAAATGCATCGGACGGCCAGTCATGGAAGCAATCATCTCTCAAACGTCGCTCCTAGACCGCCTCTAGTAGCTCTCAAAGCTGTGTGCTCAAACGCCCCGTAAATGCAGCCTCCATCATCGGCTTTATGCCACCTTCCTAATGCATCCAATCCATGCGCTCCCAGAAAACTCTCGCTCCAACGGCGCAATGACAAAGGAAATAAACCCGGCGAAGGGCGTAGTTTCAGATCGCAAACGTTGTTGACGCGGGGGCTCGGGGGTATCGAATGCTGCAAAATAGTAGTAGTCGCTTGCGCTGTGCTGGTCTTCCTAGCGTGAAGACTCGAAATAAGCCAAAACTTGCCGGCCCCAAATTGGGTTGCGCGGTCAAAGTGCAGTGCCGAACTGCCGAACTTGGCAATTCGAAGGATCAATAGTATCGTGTGGTGCGAAATTGAGGTGTTGGAGAGGTCAGCCATCTACACATGGCATAGGGCAGCCCTATGCCCTCTTACACCGATCGTGCTTGCAGGAATGCATATGCTAGGTGTCATGGACCACCCGGCTGATGACGTGTCACCTCTTTCGAACCTCATGCACGGAGCAGCGGTGCGATGACGAGGCACTGTTGCCAACTCAACCCTCAATTTTCTTCTCTCTTTTTTTGTTGTTGGTGGAACCAATGCATTCCTTCCTTCTACCGACGAATTGCTTCCTTTTCCCGATGGGAGTGGAACCGTTGCGGGTGGACTCCGTTCCACCGTTGGACCATGATGCATGATGCAATGGCACTCGGTCGCGGAAATCGACTAGCGTGCGGACCTGAGAGGAGCAGAGGACCCTGAAATGAGGCGGGGAGGTTGGCCGCGCTTCTAGAAGGTTAATATGGGTCTGTAGCGCCTTGCGATGTCGGCAATCGAGTAACAGATTGCGTGGGATTTGTCGTCGGATTCGTCGGACCCGTCGCGGCTCTCCCTCGGTGGTTTGCCGTCGACCATTTCCACAGCTAACACTTACTCATAGCGTCTGCCCCTGGCCACCAACCGAATTTTGTTCGGTCATAGCAAGAAGGAAGAGGAGGAGCTGGTTTTGTCGATGTTGCCGGCGTTGTCTTGCACGTTGCGCCACCATATGGGTTGGGCCAGGTCGTGAACAGATCATCGAGGTATCTTGAACCATAAAGTCGACCGTCATGTCCATGTTAGACATCCCCTTGTAAAGTTGCGATCCACCGGACTGGGACGCCGCCGGGTCCAATTTCGTAAGCCTTTGGGATGCCTTTCCTCGGTGGTAGAAGCCAGCGCGCGTGACCCTCTTGTTGAGCATCCAGTTTCCCACTCTTGCGCATGAGATGTTCCATGACGGCAATGCGAATGAAGTCTGAGTTCTCCCGCATCTCTCGCTGCCGGGGACCTGGCGGGAACACGACCACAGTAGGGCTCTTGTTTGGGCTGGTAGATTGCGCAGCCTGGCGAGTTGCTCTGGAACCACCTTTCGATCGCTGCACTTTGTAGGTTTGCATCTGGATAGAAGCCGTGTAGCTGCGGACTGGCGATGAAGTCCGCGAATCAGAGCGGAGACTGGTGGTCGGGTTCAAGTAGCGGCGCATGGCTTCGCTGGGCTCTTCCTCTAGAACAGGGGGCCGCCTTTCATCGGTGAAGGGGACACTCGGGTCTATGGTGAGAATTGACCTCGTAAGGAAGTCATCTGGAGGTATCGAGGAAGCAGTGAACGTCGACAGTGATCGCGCTGCAGAACGCAATGCCCGAAGCGAGGCTGTCAGATTAGACTTGAAAGCAGACTTCAGCGGCGCCAGCCCAGGGGTCTGCTTGCCCTCCACCATGGTAGGTTTTGGGCTGAAGGCCCGAAAATCCAATCGATCAACATCAAGCGAGTCTCTCTTGGAGAGCGGATCTCCTGGTTGTTCACCCGGTGGTGTCATCAATGGCTCCAACGAACGCCTCGGTGGCCGAGATCTCCTGCCTCTGGGGGTTACTGGAGAGTCCACAGAGGGGAGTGCGCTGGTTCCTAGGGAGTCGCCTAACGACGGAAGGCTGTCGAAAGATGCGACGCGGGTCGAAAAGGGAGATGTGAAACCACTGTCACTGATGAATGATGCCTCCTCCTCCTCGAGCTCCTCCGGAGGGCTAAGCAGAACGTCCATTGGACTGCGTTCGAAGGACGTCAAGCCCAGGTCTTCGGTCAGCTTCAGACGAAACTCCCGGCTCAGTTCCTTCTCTGAAACTCTCGATCGGGGTACAATGGAATCCACCGTCATCCGCGCCTCCTTCGATTTCTTGTGCCGTAGGTTTCCCCGGCGATTGGGATGTGGGATGTTGGTGATAGCGAGCAGCGCAGCTACAGAAGGGGGTATAGCGTCAGGCGAATGACCCGTGTCTCGCGGGCCGCGACTACTTGACGAGTGGTGGCTTCGCTGTGTGTCTGCATGATGTCGACTCTTGTGCTGCTTCAGTTTGCCGGGTATGGTCACAGCGCTCGAAGGCGTAGTTGGTCGCGCGATAGCGTTCGCCGCATTGGTTGATGGTGGGCTGCTTCTTGGCGCGGACAGCCTGTCGGACTGCCTCAATGCCTTGGCCTTCCGTTTGGACATGTCGTCTTTCTGGGTTGGTAGTGGATGAATGTTCGTCTTCGTCTTGGTGGTTGTGGTTGTCGTTGTAGTCGCACCAGGCGTGGAAATGCGGGAGGGGGCGGGAGAGGGAGAGCGGGAGGCAGAAGGTGGTTGTTGAACTTGTTGGCGAGGTCGGGAGTAGAGGAATGCCCTGGGTGTCATCATGGTCACTCTAGTTAAGGTACTCGCCGGTGAAGGCCGACCCGGCTTTACCACGGCGTGGCAGCGTGAAGGCAGCGCGGACGGGCCTTGGGATTTAGCTCCGCTTCTCGACCGCAGACTCAACCTTAACCTTAAGTAACAGAAATGCCTATGAATCGTAATATGACGCGCCAAGTGTGACCCAAAGCCCGCCGTTCTGGTGCCTGTACTATTATGTAAGGTAACTTGCGATCTCGTGGTGGTTGGTCGTGCTTGCCCCAAATCCAGGGGTCGTTACGTAACAGATCCGTGAAGCTTGATGTGGTGCGTGCAGCCAAGGGCCCAAGTTCCAACGGGAAGGGTGTCGCGTGTCGTTTCAACTTTCAAGATCTCTCAGCTGCGAGATCTGGTCGAGACCTGGTCAATAGCTCAATAGCCCGTCTCGTCGCAGTCGCATCAGCTCATTCAGCAGCTGGGTCTGATGGGAATGGTGAGGCATCTGACAAATTCAAGTGCGAAGGGTCAAAGGGTCGAGTGATGCCAAGGCTACCTTGGGTCTAGCTGGCAGTGCTGGCTGACCCGTGTGATAAAGATTGCTGATTGCTTCTTTCCGGCGGGTTTCGCAGAGGGGCGCGTGCACCTCGGTCAAAGGGAGACAGTGATCAATGAACGAGGCGGCGAGGACAAGGAAGACGAGAGAAGAACAAATCACTATTTCACCTGAGACTATGGGGGCGCCGCTGATGACCTGTTATATTGCTACTAGGTATCTGCCTGATAATGCCTATTGATAAGAGAGTACCTAGGTAGCTGAACACATCACACAGTACCTACCTACTATGCACAGCGGGAGCCAAGCCTATCTGCCATATGTGCCACGAATCTGGGACTATCAGCAACAAGCGAGCCAAGCAGAGAGCTGATGAGCAGCAGGATTGGGGTATGCCGTGCACTGCGCCGTGCCGGCCTGCCTGATTCGGGGAGAGATAAAAGGCCAGCTATTTGACATGATAAATTCATGTCCTAGTCCTACACCAACACCGAGCGGTGGAGACAGCTATGTAGACAGCTATGCAGACAAGAGTGACTGCAACACGAACCACAACTGATAAGCCTAACCACTTTAAATACCGTACTCGAGATAGTCTATGAAGACCTACAATGTATTCCGTTGTGAGATTCGAACGGCGAGGCAACCGACTCCTGAGCTGTCATTTTTATTGAATTTGGAGTTCCAAAGACTGCAGCTGTGCGGGATGGTAAGGTGACGCATAGCCAAGTCTTGGTGCCCCTTGCAGGTTGGGGCAAGGTCTGTCAAGACCCTGAAATGATAGGATTAGGCGCAAACTACAAACTTCCCACTTAGGATCCAAGAATTGACAGTCAAATGCCCAGGCACGCACACTCACCCCCATTCCTGCTCCTGTCCGATTTATCATTTGACGCTATTATGTACAGTATACCCCCTGAAATAATGTTGCCTGCTAACGATTAAGATACTTATAAGCACACTGTTAGCAACACTGCAAGGATTTCAATAGCCTCATTTATAAAGGTTATAAGTTAAAACTAACGAGCACTAGCTTTAAAGAGAACAGCTACTTTTTACACGCCATAACGAACTATTATATGTGTATATAAAAAGATGCGAATATAAAACCCTTAATTTAAATTAAAAGATTATAGAACCTAGTTGCGACGTTTTAAAAGCCTGTTATATATTTGTTTAAACGTAATTTAATATTGAGTCAAATAAATTAAAATTTTCTTTCAAGATTTATTTCAAGTTTAATATTTTAATATTTTAAAAATTACGTCCGCGTTATTGATAGCTTGCATTTTACCATAACAATTAATAATGATAAAAAAATATAGTAAAATAAAACCCGTTTTTTATTTATTAATATATTAATTTTATTCAAGTTTGATAAGAGATTTACGTATGTGTTAATTAGTGAAAAGGGATTGATAAAGGATTTTTAAATGTTTAATAAATTTACTCTAAAAAGCGACTTAATAATATTACAAAATAAATACCTTATTAGAAAAGTTAAGTTTAAAGTTAATAAGAAGGTTTTCATAACTTATTACGATGTATGATATTATATTTTAAAAAGCGTATAAATAAAGGTAAAATTATAAGATTTATACAAAATATTTAATCTTTGACACGCGTCTTTAAAAAAGGTGATTATATATAAATTTGAAAAGTGAAAAGATATTTTTAGTATGTTAAAAATATAATTATATTTTCGTTTAAAAGCTTATAGTAAGGTTATTTACGCGATAATATCGCTTTATAACTTTATACATAATTTCAATAAGATTAACCTTAAAAAGCTATAAATATAATTTTTTTACTTATATCAACGATTAAAATCTACGCGAAAGTTATAAGAAAATACGGATATAAAACTATTTTATAAAGTTAAAAAAAAGTAACTAAGCTTAACAATAACGGTCAAAACATAAAAAGCTAATAAAAATAACAAGCACATATAAGATACATTAATCAAGCTAAAGTTTTATTATAAACGATTATTAATACTTATTAAAAAAGGTTTAATTATTAATTAATTAATTTAAATATATTATATACTTATTTTACAGATTATATTCTCTTATTTATTTATAATTAATAAAATTTAATAAGTACATCTACATTGACTTTAATAAACAGTCTTTATTGAAAATATTAACTTTAACGAATTTTTTATATCTTACGTTTATAATAAAATGTTAAAATTATAATAGCTTTGATTATTAGAGTGGTAAATAAGTGCAGCTAGATAAAAGAGCTTTATTAAATACTTTAAAATAAGCCTTGCTTTGTAGTTTAAGTATGTATTTAATAGCAAATTAACGTCCTTAATTTATAGCTGAAACAAGCAAGCAACTAGGAAATCTACCTTTAATTTACACCGATATAATATTTTTAATATATTAACATATTTATAACGGCTTAAGTTAACTTTAAAGCCTAAAAATCAGCCTGTTTGTGACGGTCTGACCTCCTGGAAGTCTGTCAACCCATCAGGGTGGCCTGTGCGCAGCATCACATGACCTGGCGCACAAGACGTGTGGCCACAACTGTACTAGGCTAGGTAATAGTGGGGCGGATAGAAGGATCATTAATCCCACCAGAATTGGCTGGCGGGTCAGATCCTTCTTTCCCTCCCCACCAAGAGATTCTTACACGTAGGTAGTGCAATCAGGACTTTTATGTCCTCATCCTATTTACGCTTCGTGACACTGTTAAAAATTAGCAAAGCCTAGCTAACGGCTGTCGCTATTATAGCGCGTACTTAAAGCTAAAAGCACGAGTATTACGCTGCTTTTAGCTTCGTAAAAGTGTAAATGGTTATTAAAAAACGTTACTAAAAAAACGCTTATAAAAGCGCAAATAAATAAGTGTTTCTTTTATAAATACCTTATATTTTAGGTAAATTACGGATTTTATAGTATTTATAATTAAAGCGTGTAATACTGTAAGCTTAAAGGCGTTGCTAGTAAGAACAAGCGGCTTATAAAACGCGTTACTTAATAAATAAGTATTTTTTCGAATATTTTATCATTTAAAGCTCGTAGCGCTTATAGTAATTATTTATAACCCGCGGTAGTGCTTTAAAGCTTATAACGTAAATTAAAGCGTACAGTGCGTTATTTTAAAGGTTATAATGTATTTATAATGATTAAAACGCGTAATAATATCTTAAAGCTTATAACGCAAGTTTGATTTATAACGACACCAAGTATAATAAACTTTAAAGCGTCGCTAGTAGTAAAAGAACGGTTTATACATCGCGTTAGTTAAGGCGCTGGTAAAAATAATTATCACAAAAATTACGGCACTATTGAAAGTAAATCACTTAAAGTTTATTATAACGCTCGTCATAATTATTTATAGCACGTAGTAGTTAAAAATACAATTTAAAACTTGTTATCTTATAAAAAACTACTTAAAGACCCGTAAAATTAAATAAATATTCCCTTTTTATAAACACTTATTACCAATTACTTGAAATTTACGGTGCAAGATAATTATACTTATAACGTATAATACCGCGTTAATTAAAATCTTTACGATTATTACTTTAAAAACTAACGTTAAACGATAACGCGTAACACGGTAAGCTTAAAAGCGTTAATAGTAGAGTAAAACACGGCTTAAATAAAAGCACGTTAATCTAAAAAAAGAATATTGTATAAGTTCGATTTACAACAGCGCGTAGCACGGCGAGCTTAAAGGCGTTGTTAACAATAAAAACAGCTTTAAAAGCGCTATTAAAGTGTATAAAGCGCTCGTAGCAATTATTTACAACGTGTAGCAATTAAATTTTCTTTTTTTAAAAGAGAAAAAAACCTTTTCAACAGCTTAATTGTTTACAAGTAAAGGCAACGAATAAAAGAAACTGATCCGATTTTTATAAAGATTTTATAAACAATTAATTATAAGGCACTTTTCTTTAATAAAAGTCTGATACATATTAATTATTTACGGCGCTTAGTATTCTAAATCGTAATACGCGTAAGTTTTTTCATAACGTGCCCACTTTTAAACTAAAGCATTAGCTCTTTTAAGTAAAATATAAGATATATATCTTCCAATTAAAAGTAATACCGCATTACGTGGGATTAAATACTACGACAAGTACCGATTAAATCCTTATAAAGAGTTGTTTAACTAGCAGTCAAAAAACCCGACTAAATCTTTAATCAAATACGAAATCTTTTAGCCATTAAAAGTAAAAATATACACACACAAAGCTTATATAAACCCTTTATTATTATTAAATGGCACAAAAATTATATTATTACTATAAAAAGTAATATCTAGTTTACTACTAACGTACCCGGTAAAAAAAGCATACTATTAATAAAGAATTAGGCCGCTATATAAGATATAAAGTTACAAATTAAATAGAAGTGAACCTTTTTTACTTATAAAGTAGCAGTTAGAACGATAGTAACGACGTTGTTTATCAAGAAATACGGCATACAAACGAATTACTCAATAGTAAAATAATTATTGAAAGCAATAAATAACGTAATAAGTAAAAGCTTAAAGTTATTAAGAAACCTCTTACTACGTCGGCAAAGGCATTAAAAGGAAAAAAAACTAAGCTTTAATAACATCTTTTAAAAAAAAAATTCTAATAAATAATGCAATAAAGTATTACCGGCACCTCGGTTTGTATGTTATTATATTAGCAGCTTTTTATAACTCTTTTATATATACGGAAACCTATAAATAAAATGATTCTGTCTTTTAAAAGCACCGATAAAAGGCCTTTATAAAAACACGTATAAATATTTAAAAATAAAAGCGCTTTACTGAGCGAATAAATAGCGATAAAGTAAAGGCTACGGCTTTATACACAGCATTAAAAGCATTAAGGTCCTTAGTTGAAGAGATAAAAGTCCTTTATAAAAGCACGGCGTAGCTTAACAAAAGTTGCAGCTACAAAAGCACTTTAACAGCAAAAGCATTACGAAGTAAATACCACGAATATAGCGTTTAAATTTTTTAAAGAAACCCTTACACGGCACGGCATCTCAAAGCTAAAAGGAGCCTCATAAGGCTATTAAGCCTATTAAAAGATTAAGAGCTATTTGCAGCGAGCAGTTCACAGTTAGGTTAGTTAAGCACTACGGAAAGATTATACTAGGGCACGAGCTCACCGCCTGCCTCGTTTAATAATAGTATTACTATTCAAACGAAAGTTTTATTGTGTTTTTAAGCTTAATAAAGCTATTAAAGCCTGTTAAAGTTAGTTAATTAAACGAACGCACGCATATACAGCAGAGGATTTTGCTATGCTATCGCGTTAACTACTTTTTTATTCGAGTTAAAAAGAAACTATATAAACTAGAAACCACCTTTAGCTATAAAGGCGTATAAAAGTTATAGTAGCTTTAATAACAGAAAAAGTAAATGAAAGCAACTAAATAAAAGAGCTTTATTAAATGTTTTAAAAATAAGGCCTGCTTTATAGTTTAAGTGTGTATTAAATAGCAAATCAAGCCCATTAACCTATAGTTAAAACAAGCAAGCACCTAGGGAATTTACCTTTATTTCGCACCGATATGAGATTCACCACGTGAAATAATTAAATATAATATATAAAAACAAGCGACTTTTATTTTAAAAACGAGCAAAATATATATTTATTATTAATTTATCTAATTTATTACGAATCGCTTGTAACTTATATTAGTTAACTATAATTTATTATATTTTTTTCATTAATTTATAAATCGATCATTAATTTAACCGTTACTTTTGAATAAAATTGTACTTTTCGTTTTTATCACCCTTTTTATTTAAGGCTACTCAATCTTCGTATTTATTTAATTTTTACTACTTAATATTCTTAATTATAAGTAAGGCAGCTTTATGAATAATAGCTAGCTTTTTATAGCTATTAATCGCCTCGTTTTTTCCCTTAAAAAACTTTAACTATTACTATGAAAAACGATCGTATGCCTTAAGCTAAACGCTAATAAGAAAAGGCTTTTGTTACTAGTATTTTATAACGCGGCTATATATTTTAATATTAATATAATCAACGTAATATTTTATTAATAACTTAATTATACGATTAAATGTTGTGTATTTTAAGTTAATATACAGCGCTACCCTTACAATAATACGGCTGTTAACGATTTATTCGCTTTTAGGTTTTTTTAAGTACAAAATTTAAAAAAAATCGTCGTCGTCGTTTTTATTCTTACGCTTATTATTAATTTATAGCATTTTAATAGTTTAACGTCGTTATTTAAACTATTCGAATTAAATATATCGTTAACAAATCGAGCTAGCGTCTTAGTTTTAATTTCATTACTATTATAAAGACTAAGTACGTTTTTTTATTACTTTATTATTATCGCTTTAAATTTGTTTGACGAGCTTAGAATTATCGATATCTTTGAAGCTCAAACGCTTTATTTTAAAATATGCCTTTTTTCGGTAAATAATTTTATAACCTATAAAAATATTTTAATCTTTATTTAAATTTATGTATAAATCGTATATTTTAAAGTTATTATTATATTTCTTTAGAAAAAGTCTTAATTAAAACCATCAATATTTATTAAGTTAAACCACGTCATTGTTAAGGTTTTAGAATAAATATGTTTGTTTTCAACTTATTTATAAGTTAGCTTAGCTTTTATATAAATATAAATTGCGTCCGTAATGTTTCATACATTTATTTTTTAAACTTTTAATTAATATACGAAGGCCGTTTACTAAGTACTTTAATTTTTTTCAAATGAAATTACAAACCTTTAAACTTTAATTAAATTAAGTTAATAACTTAAAGTTAATAAGAAATATTGCTATTTTTTAAAGCTTTTTAGCTTAATTCTTCTCTTTTTTCTTGTCGTTTAGAAGTATAAAAGGCTTTTTAAAAGCCGGAGTTTAACTTTAAAAAACCAGTATATCTTAAGTTAATAATAATACTACTTAGTTAAATAAAACTAATATTTAAAACTATTACTATTAGCTTAAACGCAATATCTATAACTATTAACTCGAAAGAATTAAAACCTTAAAGGTATATTAAGGTTTAAAAGAAAAAATATCGAAAGCGGGTTATTTTAAAAACAAAATCGTAATCAAAAAAGCAAATATTTTAAAAAGATTAAGAGATATTTGAATCAATAATAAAACCCATTTGAAAAAGATATAATGATTAGTTTTAAATATAGTAATAAGTTTTATTATAAATAAACGTTAATTATAAAAGAAGTTATTTTCATATAAAATATTAGTTATTTTTGTTTTTATAAATAAATAAAAAGTTGTAAAATCTGCTTTTAAACATTGTTAAAGCTATATTTAAAAGTCCTTTATATATCGACGGCGATAGTATTAAATCATATAACGATTAACCGTATTTAAAACGAAAATATTAAAGCATTATTATAAATATCCTCTTTATATAAAAATAACGTTAAACTTAACAAGATTATTAATAGCATTATTTAAACAGCACGTTATTATTAACGATTAAAAGTGCGATAATTGTTGATAAGGCTGCTATCGAAAAGTGTTGCGCTAAGGGTTTTTTATTTTGCAGGGTTGGCACGGGGCATAAGCGTAATTTCTGCTGCTACTTCCGAACAGCGCCGTATGGACGAGGGTGTGCCGTGACGTGTGGCTGCGTGGTATGACTGCGGTCGCGTGTGGATCTCCCGCTCCGGCAAGACCCTGAGATTCCGACTCGCAAAGCAGCAGTTGAAATAAGATTCTGCATACGCGGCAACTGACTAAAGTAACCCCAGATGGCTACCTCATGGCAGTTCATGGCAGTTCATAGGTACCTATACTGTAAGGATTGCAGGTGCACAATGCGCGCGTGCCCAACTGGCAAACAGCTCCAGCCTCCCCACCCGCCCACGCACCGGCACGCAGGTCAAGAGGCCCGATCACACCTGGGCAGTGGGCATGCACCTAAACACATCGGACCACTTCTTATCCGCCAGCGCTGATTCGCTCCTATCTCTCTCTCCCGCACATCTTCCACACACCCGACTGGACCCAACGGAAGAAGCTCCATCAAAGCTGTCAAAGCAGACTTCAACCAGACGACTGCTTCTAGCTCTTGGAAGTCGCTCGATTCATTTCAAACTTTACATAGTACTGCTAGCCATACGGTAGAAAGCGGGGTGGTTCACTCGACGCATTGTGAAGATCAAGTGGGGGATCACCGTCTCATACCCGAGTCGCTTACACCCCTCCTCGAGGATCCTCTAGTAGACGCCGAGAACGTGGAACCAACGTGATCTCGAAAATGCGGCGTACTGACTTAGTAGCTACATACAATGTAATGACCTGTCACATTTTAAACTTAAAGACGAGCTGTCATGATGTATCTCAAGTTGACCCATCTCGATTGCAGCCCAAGACGGCGCCTTGAACTCAGATAACGTGTTGGAGGGTATTTACACTGAATACAAGACCGCAATCATGACCGATCAGCAACACAAAGCAAACCTCAATGCGCCGCACCATGGTGGTCCAACCCACAGCGACCATGCACACCGCACCGTACCAAAAGCAAACACACAGACCCCGAAACTACAGACATGAGGGCGCACTTCAAGAACAAATACTACTCCCCTAGCCTGATAACGTTTAAAGGTAGAGACCACGGAGACCCCGCCGTTATTAGGCTAGGGGAGTACCGTTTCAGTCAACCATCTCAGAACCACTTCCCCATGCGCTTATCCTCGGAGTCCGGACCGGCAGCGGCGGAGGGTCCCCCTACCGGGTATACATCGCTGCTCGGCCGTCGACACCGAAGACGCGGGGGGACCAGACCCGCAGCAGGGGCCGCAGTGCCGGGGCGGATGCTGTGCCGAAGTCACGAAGCCGATGTTGAGGTCTGGGTTCACCGCCGTCTCCATCATGAATAGGCTTGGACCAGGAGGGTCATGCGGACTATACTCGTGATGGTGACGCTTTTGTAAGTTCGGAGGTTGAAAGCGACGTGATGGGAGAGTGGATTGAACCAATAATTGTTAGGCAGCCCCCCCTAGTCTGATGATCTGACCGACCTCTATAGACCTCCCAATCAACGTATCAACGTTATCAACGTATTGACACTTGCGATTCCGATCTTTCAGGGATACGACAAGGGAACAACCAAGACCCACCACACGATGACGGTCCTCGTGTTCAATTCAAGTTGGTAGCCTACCACTATACCATGGAGTACTATCGGCTCACCCAGCTTCCCTATTGCTGCAGTATGCCATATTTGCCACGCCTTCTCTTCGCCACTTACCAAAGTAGAAACCACGTCTTCTCGGGACGACATGCAAACAAGTCGGAAACAAGAAGACAATGCAAGATGAGTTCAAGTACGTTTCGCCGTAATCCTTCAATCATAGTAGTCAATCATGGCGGTGGGCACTACTGTCCACACAACACACTCCGAGACGTACACCATCCCTGGAGCCCTGCAGTTCAACGCCTCCCTTTACTCTTACTCAGGTCGCTCGATGATGATTATCTAGCCGGCGTTTCGTAGCATGTACGTCCTATCTCTGGAAACTCGCTTTCACCGGTTGCGGCCATGACCTCTTTGTTCTAACCACGTCAGCGACACGAGGACCTAGGTACAACAATGAAGACGTACGCAATCAATGATGTCGCATTCACCGCACAAATCATAGGCGTAAAATTTTGTAGGAGCTCATGTCGATGTACGGGCCATAATGATAATGGACGAGCGACGTGTAGCTGTGCAGGTCCGGCGAATCCGGCATTTCTTCGAGAGTAGGGACACGCGGGGTTTCCGCTTCAGGAAGCAACTCGGAAAAGGCGACCAAGGCATCGTGGTCAAGTTTACGGAATACGACGAACAAGGCAACGAGACGCGGGATCTCGCCGTGAAGCAGTGCCGGGATAACCTTGTGTCCGCTGAAGAACTCCGAGTGATTCGAAACGAGATACACGGGCTGAAGGTAAGAAGCAGACTACTAATTCCCTATACGATTTAATTTTCTCATTAAGCTCTTCAACCGCAAGGGAAGAGCCAAGCTCAAATACCCTAGAATACAACAAAAAGCAGAGACCCTAATACATAAGTACCTGCTTCACAAGTCGGCTATGCTGATCTGAACGGGGTGATGTAGATCTTGTATGGGGCCAAACACTTCGCACAGCTCATGTGCGACGACGACGGTGCCGCGATCACGAGACCGAACAACTTGACCGGGAGACTGGCAAACAACTCGCTGCTCATATTCCGCGTTACCGAATGCATGCCCTTTTGTACCTTGGAACAATTCGTGTCAAGAGCATGGAGCAGGGATAGTGTTGTCGGTTGTCGCGTCCTATGGATGATATTACGTTGCTGTAAGTACATGAACACCGCCGCTGTCGGTCTATGTCGGGACTGGCCACAGGGCCACTCCTTCGATGACGCCTCTCTGGATGGATGGATGGCTAACCGCTCCCTCCGTGACTAGTGGTCAGGTCTTGTATTGGCATGGCATATCCTCCCGACCGCCATCGTACGACAGACTTCAGCGACGCCTGGAGAGCTCCTGCGCATCTCCGAATTCCTGTCACGGAAACGCTCCCAGCCCCGGGGACAGATCAGAGGGCCAACACCTTTGCATTGGGAGACTTCGATGCGATAAACAGTAAGTCATACAGCTGGGCACACAGGTCTGGAGCTGACAATATCACGCAATATAGTCATGTTTGGGCACTTCGACCCCGAGGGTGGTGAACATTCCTTCCTCCCGATATTGAAATGGGTCGATATCGGCCACGCGAGGTGGTATGGTGCGAGGTATGTAGCTACGTCCCTGACCTATCCCCTAATCTGCCGGGGCACCTATCAATGTCAATCTGACACCACCACAGCGGATTCCTCGCCGACGGCGAGGTAGACCCAAGGGCACCCATTGGACAGACCTCAATCCAGAGCAGCGTGACGAATACCGGTGCTGTAAGTTCTCGCCTCCACTCCACTGCAGAGGACCACAGCCAAAGGCAGTCCAGTTCAACTGCCCGTCAGCAAGGAAGGGAGCTAGCCAACGTTTCTGACCCCCGTTGCCACAGATGATGTTATTCACCTTTTTCAACAAGTTCAAGGACCCAGACTTCAAGGCGCTGATCAAGCGCTGCAATGGCCGGCCGGCCGGCCGTCCGGGGCTGCAGGACCTCCTCGCCATCTGCGACCTCGCCATCGCCACCAAGACGGACTGGTCCGACTTCCCCAACCTGACCGACGATGAGAAGTTGCTGGAGACGGACGAGGGGATCAGGCAGCTTGTTGCTGATGTCATCCTCAATGCCGACCTGCCCAAGCCCGCCCCTGCGACGGGTGCGGCGGCAGGGGCGGCCGATCCACCGGCTGCGGGTGGGTCGGGCTCCGCCGGTCCTCCAGGTCCTCCGGCCGGCGGCGCGGGGGCTGCTGGTCCTGCTGGTCCTGCTGGTCCCGCTGTCCCAGGTGCGTGGCCTGCGGGTGGTGCTGGGGAAGCTGAGCCCACGGGGCTTGTGGACAGTTGCAAGACACAGTAAGCAAGCCTTGCTTCGACTGATTAGATGGACGCCGTGTGCTCCGCGTTGGAACCGGAAAGGATTCACAATATATACATATATATATAGTCCTACGACACGGTCGGTGGTTTGAAGAGGTTCTTCCGCTGGGTCTGTTGAGTTCTGTCGTGATGGACCACGCGTCGTCGCTTGCCGCGTCCAGCTCATGACAGACAATCGGAGGTGAGATTCCTGGGGAAGGATGTTTGTGAGCGTAGCCTCGCTCAACGTCGGGAGCTTTGACCCGCATGTCAGTAGCACTGAAGATTCGACATTCGCAGCACCCGTTGGGTAGAGCATGTGTTGCCCCTGAGCGGGTGACTAGCTGTTATGCTTTAGGTGATCGGGCAGAGATCCAGCGGAGAACTCACGTACTCATAAGACGGCATAAATAAAACGGAAAGGGGTGATGGAGGCACAGATTGAGTGCCAGCTTTCAGATGTAGCTAACCATAAATCTCGTGTTGTTGTGAATAATACTTTCCTACTTCGCACTGCTATTAGATGCCATAGAGATCATTATGCCGTCTCCGCCATGGCTAAGCAATTCTCGGTGCCAGTGGATATCTGCTGGTTCCGGTCTACCACTTGAAGCGCGAGGGCATAAGCCAAGTCCGGGATACTCCCACGAGTACACGCAGGACTCGTATATCAGCCCCTGGACATGCAGAACCAGCTGCAAGAATGACGCAGACGTGCACAGGCCTTCGACCGGGTCTAGAGACCAAAATATGCGTCGTCAAATTGTGCCATGTCGGAGTCGTTGTTCCCGAAATACATCATGTCGTCGAACGTACTATCGTTAACGCTGCTGCCGCCTCCCAGGTCGAACATGCCATCGTTCCCACCGCCCGCTTCGCCGAAGTTGAACGGGTCGTCGAGGTTGGAGCCGGTATTTTCCGCGTCCTTGGGTCCCTGGCCCGCTGTATTGCTGTTGGTGTTGGTATTGTGATTTGCGCTAGTCCTTTGCATGGCCACGTTGTTGTTCCCGCCCGACGGTGCGAAGGCGGCTAGGTCGAACTCAGGCATGGGAGCGGGCGGTGCGCCTTGCGCGTCGTTGTTTGGGGGCGCGAGGGAGAATTGCATATCTGTGAAGGTCGAATCATTGCCATTTCCTGGAACGGCGTTTTCTCCTCCCGTTCCTGTCGGCGGGAGACTCAGCGTGGTGTCCAGAGCCGAGCCTTGGGCTGGCTGAGCTGCCGGTACTGGTGCTGTTGCTTTTTGAGCCGGCTGAGGTGCTGGCTGAGGTGGCTGTGGCGGCAGAATTGGCTGAGCCTGCGCTTGGGGTTTAGGTGGAGGTGGTTGTAGGCGTGGAATCTGGGGCGGCGGAACTGGCGTCACCTTCAGGGGAGGCGTAGCTTTGGGCGTGGACTTGGGAGTTGGTTTGGGTGTGGGCTTCGGCGAAGGCTTGACTTCGTTTTTCACGGGGGGAGTTGCTCGAGCTGGTGGTTTGATCACCGTGTGTGGAACCTGTGGTGATGGCCGCGGTGATGGCTTCTTGTCCCCAGCCGTGAGATCCACCACGTCGGACATGCCCATGCCCATGTCAGGGAACGGTGCCATCGACTTGCTCTCTTGTTTGGGAGTGAAGGCAGGGGCGTTCATTGTATGGGCTGCAGATGACGGCATCTCCATCATGGGTGCCGGTGGTGCCACGGGCTGCGGAGCGGGAGTGGGAGTGGGAGCGGGTACGGCTACGGCTACGGGAGCCGGGGCCCGGGATGCGCGCAAGTTCTCCAGATCGCGCAGCAGGACAGCCTTGGCTCTGGTCTGGAGTCTCCGTCAGTCCCAGTCCGAGTCCGACAAGAATGCAAGAGGCATGATGTGAACGTACAATCTCGCTTTCTATATCGTCCACAGCATAATGGTATGTCGCCATGGATTCCATGACCTTCGCCTGGTAAGCTTCAGTGGCGATGTCTTTTGGGCCATCTTTCGCTGCAGCTTTGAGTTGTTTCCCAGTTTGTACGAGCTGTGATCATTCACGTCAGCCATCCAGCCATCTCGTCACGGTCAGTCAACACTTACGACCTCGGTGATCATGTGATTTAGGACCTGCAGAGGCTCCTCCGTGGGGGCGGCCATCGCGATGAGTGTCACACAGGCAAGGAGTGGCCCTCGGGAGCCGACCGTGAAAAGGCAAGACGGGGATTTATATTGAAGAAGCGGAAGATGCCAGCATGGCTTTTTATAAAGAGCTAGTAAGACATCAGAAATGGAACAAGCAGACCACGTCCATTACCTGACCATTGTTGAGCCTGTAAGAGCCACATGCAGGAGGAGGAGGGTATGCCGTTCAATGCAATTGCCCAGTTCGAACAATGAATGAATGCAATGTTTCCAATAAGGCCCACTTTCAAGCATGCGCTTGAAGGCTATTGGCCACTGCTGATCGCCCACGCAGCAAGACGCCGGGGCGTGCTTCTAGTAGCCTCATTGTGTGGGCAAATACCAATTTTGGGGGTAACATTTGGCGAAGGGATCGCCCGCCCCACTTGCTGTCTTAGTGCACGCCGCGTATGGGATGGCAGGTGGGGCAGTGGGGCCGAGGTCCCCCCTTTAAACAAATTCATAGCTTAAACTCGCTATCAAATGGCACTCGACTGTCAAGACGTTTCAACTGGTTATGATATACATGAAGACTCGCCAAACTCAGACAGCTTGCGGTATGCTATACTAGATCTAGGCTGTTTTTTCTTTTGGCTCTTCTCGCTGGTGTGTCTAAGACGAAGTTGAGATGTGTCAGCCGTCGAAAGACGTCGTGTCACGAGCACTTCAATCAACGACCGTAGATGCCTTAGTCACGAATAAAGGCGCAGCTGTTTAGGAACAATGTTTCAACTGCTACAACCTACATGAAGACTCTCTAACCTCGCCAATTGGCGGTATACTAAACTACATCTAGGCTGGTCTTGTTTCCTCGGCATTCGTGCCGAGGAACTCTTGCCAGACAGGGGCCTTGGCCAACGCTACACGCAGTTGTCTGTAAGCTTGATCAATCGTATGACCCGTGTTCAATGTCCTTACCACTGTGTGCCTTTCAAGTTCGTGAACGGCGTCCGACAGGTACTGATCGACCCAGGCATTACGCCATTCAAGAATGCGAGCCCAATTGGTTAGGATACCAGGTACTGGACCAGGTACTGGCGCTGTGCTGTGTAAGACCGTATCTACCGCCACACGGAAGCTGCAGTCTTGAAATTGAGCAATTTGCTCAGGTACGTCTACCAGGAATCGATACGGATCGGCCCATTGTTCACGCCACTGAAGAGCGTCAACAACATTGGTCCGCAGCCCTGCACTGCGTAAGAATCTCTCTCTCGCCACCTCTTCGCTGCAGTCGACAAAGATAGACAGCCCGGTATAATCAGCACCAACTTTGTGAGTGAGCTGACTTAGCTCAAGACGAGTTAAATTTACTTCGACGATCAAAGCTCGGGGCTCACCATCAGGTACGTCCCGTGCCGCCCTCGACTGCTCCACCAGCAGCTGAGGAATGAAATACTCGTGCGGTTTTCTTTCCTGACATTGGCAGTATGATAGTCGAATAGAGAGGTGCGCGGGTCCAGGCGGTGACTTACAAGGAGCCCTGTGTGCATGGGCTCGCCGCGACGGATCATGACGTTGACACAGTGAGGTAGTTCTGGGATGTGATCTTTCTTCAACCACCGTGCCATCTCTTGGCAGTGCTCATGGAGCGATACGTGGTAAAACCCGAAGTCTTTGGCCAGTCTCGCTGCCAGAGTGCTCTTTCCGCTTGCGGCCCTACCGACGATAAGGATGACTGGTAGCATGGACTTCTGCCGGTGCATTTCAGCCCAACTGGCCCCAGAGTTGTACGCGTTCGCTACTTGGTCGTCCACACGCATTATGACTAAGCCGCGTGGAGTTGGGTTATATCCAAGCAATGAGTCGGGGTTCATCAGATGAAGATCACGCTTGTCTTCCTCGGGGCCCTTGCCCTTACATTGAGAAAGGTGAACATCCATCTTTTCGTCTGCTCTGTTCTCTTGAGGTAGAAAGTCGTCCTGCTCTTCGAAGGAGTTGGGTAGTGAATCTGCTATTCGAAGGAGGTAAGTTAGATACTGATACTGCTCTGCTAAATAGAAATGGATAACGAACGCCCGTCCATGATGTTACTTATAGCAATGAACATACGCCGATTAAACAGAGGCATTGTCACGGACTAGTAACTACGAAGGGAGGTCAACATGAACGCCGCTGTTCAGGAGAACAACATGTTCCACACTGGATGGTGCCCGCTAGGGACACCGACAAAGACCTAGCGGATTCTGTCTTTGAAGCAGCTAGAGAACAATAGTATCCATGATCTTTGAGCGAGGATAGGGGCTAAGCGGATGGTACCATCAATAGGCATTGTTGCAATGACCAATCAGCGTATCGTAAAGGCACTAATACAGATTTCCGGGAAAGGCAACGAATTAGAAAAGTCCATACCTTGGTCAAGATGAGCTGCGTACAGTGTGGGGTCCATGAGTGAGGCACGGTTTACTCAGGGGTTTCACAAAGACATGAGTACTTCACCTGGAAAGTCTTGTTAAGCTACTGGCATTCGAGACTACCCTTCTTGTGCCAATCTAGTCCACTCGCTGGTTGACTACATGACGAATCGGGCTTGGAGTGTAGTGATGCGTATGGAAACCACGATGTCCAGATTGCTGTTGATATGGCAGATGTATAGTCACTCATCATCAGTCTCCGTTCGGCGCGCTTCGAATCTTCTGTTCACATATTTCACCATGACGGAGCATCTACCCTGGAATAAGCATTAGTATGACAATACGCCGTATTTGATGCTTCATCCAGTACGCTTATTCCACAGGTTTCGTGAAACCTCTGGAGTTTCTGCGCGTTACGTAGTTACCTAGGGTTGTAGGGACACCTCTGGAGCTTCAATGTAGCAGTCTAAAATAAGTCTTTTCAACTACTGATTCATTTAAAAGTACAGGAAATCTGAAACAAGCCAGACCAACCCCCACGATGAGAAGGTATCATTCCCCCATAGAAGTCGGCCACACCTACTAGTCGGACAGCAAAACCCCACCATTACTACCTAAACTCCTACATGTTTACTTATACGCTTTCAGCCCGATATTAAAGTTATTTAAAATGTATTTAATATTTTAAATAGCCCTAATATTAAGCTTTTTCTTAATGTAAGATTTACCCCGCGGCGCTTACGTAATTATCTGTTAATTACTTCGCGTTTTTTACTTTAAATAGTAAATTTACGGTTTTGAGCGGCTTTTTTAAAGCCTTGTTTATACGCAACGCAGTATTGTATAGCCGCTTGAAATGCTTCTTATTTATATATATTAAAATTAATAGCTAATGCTGTTTTAAATATTATAAATAAAGGCTTATCTTTATAAAAAGCGTTTAAAATACAGTATTTTAATTCAAACGCTATTTAATTGACTTAACAACAAGCCTATTAAAACTAAAGCTTATATATAATAATAAACACTTTTTTAACGTAAAAACGATTATAACTAAGTAGATCTTATTATATAAAAAGCTAGGCTTAGCCTTTTTATACTTTTTGGTCCGTAAGATTATTAAAAAGGTATTTTTTAAAAATCCCTTTTAAAAATACCTTCATAATAGCCTTTAAACACCGTAACTTTTGAATTAAAATCAAAGTTAATAAAAGGATAAAAACACTGCGATTTAAAAGCTTTATGTTTAAGTTGATTAATTGAGGTTTTAAGTTTTTTAAAAATTACAGTTAAGCAAAGCTAGAAAATACTTATAATATTAATTAAAGGAGCATTATATCAGGTTCTAATAGCTACATTCACGTCTTTAATTTTTAAGAAATATTTCAATTCATAACGTCGACTTTGTTGTTCTAGGTAGTTTTATTAGTAAAAAGCCTATTTAAAAAGCTTTTAAAGCCAAAAGTAAACCTTTTTTTTAAACCATTTTAACAAATAAAAAAATCCTAAAATTAAGCATTATTTAAAAAAAAACCTTTGAAGCTTAATAATTTATCAATTTTTTTAAAAGACCGTTAATTAGTATTATATTTGCTTGAAAAACCGCTGAATTTCAAATAATATTGCTTATAACTAATTTAAAAACCCCTTTTATAAATAAACGCAAAGCAAAATTTTTTTTATTCAAAGGGATTTTTTAATACTGAATAGTTATAAAAACTACACTTATATATATATATATATAAATTTTCTTAGGTTTATTTCAACTTTTTCAATTCTTTTCTCAGTATAATTTAACACGTATTAATAAAACGAATCTATAACTATATTTTATTTTACTAATACTTTCTTTCCTTTTCTCTTTAAGCATATTAATTATAGCATACAACCTTTAAATAATAAGTTTTATAAAGCTTTAGAAGCTTACTATTAAAAATTGCTTTTTAAATTAAATTTTTTAATAAATGCTTTGTGTGTTAATAAAATTAACTTTATTTATTGCTATAGCAAGGCAAGGACTTTTGTTTTTATAAAGCAAAATATTTTTTCTACCTTTAAAGTTATTAAATGTTATTTTATTGGCTGTAAGAAGTACGTATAACACTTATAAAAAAACTTTTAAGCTTAATACTTTTGAAAGCTTTAAACTTCAAGATTAATAAACCCTTATTATGAGTTACTAGATTATAAATTTTGATAAAAATAAGTTTTCAAAGATTAAATCAAAATGTTAAAAAAATAACAAACGCGTTTAAACTTAAAACCCCGAAATTATTATTAAAAATAGAAGAATTAAAGCTTTGAAAGCTAAACTGAAGGGGCTACGGCTAAAAAGCACTAAAAGATTCTTAATATTAATAATAAATTTAAAACGAGACTAAAGATATTATTGTAGAAAATTATTATTACCATTATTTCACACATAAAGATATAAAAAGGAATAATTGTTAAGTTTAAAGATAAAAAGGAAAATAAGGATAACCTTTTTAATAACAACCTTTAAAAGCTATATAAAAGCCTCGCTTATTACAATCCGGGCGAGCTATTTGTGCGCCGGCTAGATATTACATATAAGTAGCTTTAACGCTTTTGAATAATAATTTCGCTATATCTTTTTAACCCAAACGGCTTTATTTGTATATAAGTGAATAAGGGGGTCTTTTGGTAGTGATGGTAGGGTTTGGCTGTCCGACTAGTAGGGGTGTCCGACTTCTATGGGGGGGATGGTAGATATAGACCCAAGAATTCCTATCATTGTTCATAGCTTTGTTGAACATTGCGCCATTGTATGTGTCAGGCACGCGAGGCTGGAAAAAACCTAACTCAGAGCAGCCTAGTCTAGTAAATGCAGAACATTGGTTGGAAACATCAGATGAACGCGACCTTGTAGCACTGCTTGAATGTCGAACGTTCCCTGATAGGAATGCGGCTCACCGATACTCGCCAGTATTCACAACCAAGGTTTAACGTCGTATCACACCGTTACCATAGGCGCCAAGTTGAAGTTGAAGAGCATCGGCTATTGGTTCGACCAACTATGAGTAAGCAGGCGGCAGGTAATATGCCCCTCCCATTTCTCGCGGGGGTTTCCAAGGTGCATCCAACCGTCATGTTTCTTTCCATTCTTGTCTGCAAGATTCCAAAATTTGGCTTTGTTCCATGACGCCGGTTGATCGGATATAGGGGCCATGGATGTGCACGGTGGCCCGATGCTTGATCGCGCAGGCTACTTTGTAGGGGCACAGAGCCGGAGCGCTGACATTCTTCTAAAGAATAAAGCTATTAATTAAAAAGCGGGTCAATTAATAAACTTATATGCTACATAAATATTTAAACCGTAATCAAATAAGTATATATTAAGTTTATTATAAGTAGAAATATAATTAATAAAATATATTGTATTAAAAACCAATATATTAATAATACTTATATAAAGCATATTTAAAAGTTTAAACCTCATATTAATTACTTTATGTATATTTAGTGATTTTATTATATTCTTTAAGTTTAATTAATAAATTAACAATGATGTATAAATAACGCTTTATTTATATACAGTTATAATAATAAATATGATGTTTTATTTTTATTCTATATTTAATATAATATATTAAACGTAAGTAATTTGTATTTAATATAATATAATGTTGTTATATTAGCTTTTTCAAAACTTAGTCGATAATTTAATAATAATTTATACCGTTAATTATACTTTATTCTTTTAAATATTTTTAAACCTTGACGTATAAATAAGTTTAAATTAATAACTTAGATAAGCCCTGTAAAAGACATGTAACGTAAAACTTATTAATACAACTTAAGCGTTAAGCTTTATGTTAAAGGTTGTATAGCGTTTAAACGTTATAAATACAGAAATAAAGGGTTTATATTAAAATTTGCTTAAGTTTCATACGATGAATTATCGGCTTGCTTAACGACATTAAATATATATACTTTAAAAGGGTTATTTTATTTAGTTTCAAAAAAGTTACCCAGCTTTATTGTTATAAAGCTGTTTAAACCTGCTTTTAAGATTCTTTATATATAAAATTTATTACATATATAGTTTATATCAAAACCATTATAAAGAATACGTTATAATATAACATATTTTCTTATAATTTTACCTTTTTCTTTTTCTTTAAGAAAACTAAATATAAATAATTATCATTATAAACATAAAGTCGTTTTTTCGTATTACTTTTTAAACTAACTCGACCAATATTAACGCTATTGATTTTTTTATATCTCTTTATAACTATATAATCTTTATTTCGTATATTATTATTATTTTTTAATACGTAATGCACGGCTATAAAAATAAGCAATTTGTTTAAAAATAAATAAAGTTATTTATTAAGTTTAAATTCTTCTTTAACGTTAATCACGCTTAGTTTCATGCTATTATCCTATTTGAGTTTATTTAAATTGGAAAGCACTATAATATCTTTCCGAATATCGTTATTCTTTTTAAAGTCAATTCGTAACTTCAAAATATTTATTAATAAGCGTTCATAAAAAGTAAGATTTTTTTAAATCGTACGATTTTTTAACGGTTTCTTATTATATATATATTTGAAAATGTTAGTTTTATCGTTAAAATAATACGTCTTATATGAGTTAAATTAACGATATTGATAAAATTTAATATTAATAAACCTGTTGGATCCATGTGATTCCACAGTCAAACCATCCATGCAGAACTCACATGTATGATTAGATAAGAGATTAGATACCAGATTGTGAGGTCATTTAGCCAGACCTTCAGGTCCAGCTAGACTTCCCAATCCAAACATCAGCAACATCATGACCCTGACCCAATACTCGAGTATCATGATTGATCGTTCAAGCCTGTTCCAACAAAACCTTTAATTATAAATACGCCTTTTAACCTTTTTAATAATCCCTACTTTATGGCTATTATGATAAGTCTTATTATACATTATCGTAGGTATTATTAATAATGAATATGAAAAAATCTACCTTTACAAACAGGTATAAACATATTTAATATAGCTTTTCTCATCGTTCATTTATAATAAATTAATTTTTCAACGCCGCGTTTAATGATTTATTAAAACATTACGTTTAAAAATTCAAACTTATTTGGAAAAAATATAAGCGTTATATTAATGATTATTTTTAAATTCTATATATTATACGTCTCTTATAAATCTTATTTGAGTTCTTAATTTAAACCTACTTATACGTTAAAGTTAAAAGTTAAAAAAATAAGGTATGATTAACTATAATCTTTTTAAGTAAATTATCAATTGAATATTTAAAAAGATAGTATAATAAAGTTATTTTGGATTAAATATAAAATAAAATAAAAGATGATATTTATTATTATAACTGTATATAAATAAAGCGTTATTTATACATCATTGTTAATTTATTAATTAAACTTAAAGAATATAATAAAATCACTAAATATACATAAAGTAATTAATATGAGGTTTAAATTTTTTAATATACCTTATATAAATATTATTAATACATTGGTTTTTAAATATAATATATTTTATTAATTATATTTCTATTTATAATAAACTTAATATATACTTATTTAATTACGGTTTAAATATTTACGTAGCATATAAGTTTATTAACTGACCCGCTTTTTAATTAATAATTTTATTAAATATAACGATTATTTTAATTCATAACAATATATATTTTAATTAAAAATACATATTATTTATCTTGATTAAAAAAACTATTTATAAAATTCCTGTAATAAAGGCTATTTATAAAACTAATAACGTTTTTATTAACTTACCTTTAAAGCATTCAAAAAACACTTATTTCTTTATAATTCCAAAATTTTAATTAAAGCTTTACTCTATATTGTATACCTTTTCTTTGCGGTATATAGTGTATTATAAGCTACCTAGCTACGTATAAATATAATACTTTTTCGATTTAACTAGCTTCTTTTTTCGCATTGACCTTATACCGTTTTATCGCTATGCTTATAGTTATACCGGTTTTTGGCTTTAAAATATAACTTTTAAATAGTTTATTACTTGTAATTCATATATTAAGTTAATCTTATTAAATTATATTTAATAACATTATTGTTACGAACCAACAAATACCATGGCCTATTGGAGGGCTAAGGGGAGTACACCAAGAACCAATGGAATCAGAAGCCAGGAACAAAACTGTGACGGTCTGACCTTCTGGAAGTCTGTCAACCCATCAGGGTGGCCTGTGCGCAGCATCACATGACCTGGCACACAAGACGTGTGGCCACAACTGTACTAGGCTAGGTAATAGTGGGGCGGATAGAAGGATCATTAATCCCACCAGAATTGGCTGGCGGGTCAGATCCTTCTTTCCCTCCCCACCAAGAGATTCTTACACGTAGGTAGTGCAATCAGGACTTTTATGTCCTCATCCTATTTACGCGTCGTGACAAGAACAATGGGTATTATGGATTACACAATAAAGGTCACGTGACGGATCACTGGATATCGGAGTGAGCCTGCGAGGATCACTAGATCAGGGAGTGAACCAGTGAGCATCACTCTGGAACAAGGTGATCCTACTTCATCAGTGAGGGAGGGATTGGATATATAAGGACAGACATTTCCAGCTAGATAGATAGACAGTCTCTATCTCAGTGATCGATCTAAGCATCTTAGCTAACCCCTAAGGTGGGAGAAATCTCCTGACGACTCGACTATATAGTGATCCCTTGGATCAGACTAAGCCCCAGCATCTGAGTGTCTTTTAGTTGACAGAAGTCTCTATCGTCCTTTGTGTTGACTTACCTCAGAACATAAACCGTATAGAACCCTTTAGCCTTATAGGTTAGACGGCTCTTCACATTGCATTGCACTTAAAAATTGTACGTTCGGTTTTTATGATATGTTTTATTTCTTTCATAGTTAGATCTTTTTATACTTTTTAATTACTTTATATAACATTTAATTAAAAACTTTTTGTCAGATGTTAGATCCCAGATATAGTGCCTTTAGGTGCAGTACCCACTATGAGGCTGTCAAGGGAACAGTGGATCCACCCTGGCTTGGTGCAGTATAGTATTTAGCTGTAGATTAGCCCTGCTGAGCATACTTGAGAATGACAACAACATTTGCAGTGACCGCTCACACCCACAAGGCTTGTGACCCTTCTAGAATCTCACACTTTTATTTAAAACGAATTATTTATTATTTCAATTTATACGCTTATATAGTCTTTAATTAAATAAAGTTTTAACCGTAGTCTGTAAAGAACTTTACTTTCATCTCTTAGGTAAGTCGCCTTGTAGCTTGCGTAAAGCCGCGGCGAAGCCTCGATTTTGTGCTAGTAGTGATTGCGACAAGCTTCTTCTGATTGGCCCACGACTGGTCGTTCTATAGGGACACCCGGCGGCGTGAATAGCGTCTTGATGTCCGGACGGGCCACATTTTGCAGGGCCCTTTCTCCATTCATTTCTAGGGACTGCCCCTACTGCCCCAGTATGCCTTAGAATCTATTGACAGAAAAAGCCCAATCCCACGCCGCATCTTGCTGGACCCCCAGTTTGTTTGCTTTCCTTTCCCTCCCTCCATCAGCAGATCGTGTGCGAGCATCATCTCTACGTATCGTTCGTCGGTGCTGTGTGTGTTGAAACCCGGGGGACTCCTCCTTCAAGGCAGTTTCCTTTCTTCCACCCTCTCATCTTCGTCTGTCTCGTCATCCTCAGCATCGTTGTCGTGGTCCTTTCGTCTGCTTCGCTTTTTCCCAGTTCCTCGTCTCCACGTTGGTTCGGCTCGATCTGGCCTCGACTTCCCTTTGACCCACCAATTGCCAGTCAGTCTCTGGGATCTCCAGCTTGCCGCGCAACCTCAGTGTTCTCGTTACAGAAGAGCTTCGCCTCTCCGTCTCTCATAAGGTCTCGTCATCTTCGCCGTGGTTCTCGCTTCGTTTGCGCTCGAGAACACCGTCTCTTCTGGCTTGCGTCTCTTGTCATCGTTGCGCATATTCTCTTGCTCTTGTGCAATACCATCAGGTTCGCCCGTCACGCGTTTGCGACGCCGAGCAGCACGGTTCTTCAGTCGCCCTTTACTTACTCTTGTATTTGGAACAAGGGTCAAATCTACGATACCCTACCTCATTGTCTCTCTCGACCCAACGACGCTACGACTTTCACATTTCGGAGAACCTCGATAAACACGATACGATACGGTCACCGCTTTCTCCCTCCAGATCTCAACCTCTTCAGTGAACAGTCGTTGTTGCACTGCGCCGATAGTCTCGCCTCGCGTAAATCTTCAGTCGCCACGCGACCTTGTATTCACTTACGCAAACTCCATTCATCAACCGATCATTCGCCATGGCCGATTCAGGACCTCCTGCTGGCGCCCAGCTGCCCCCTCCCCCGCAGCCCAACGCCGGAGCGCCTGGTTTCGAGAACAACCAGAATGGTCAGGGCAACGCGGCGCATATGCCTCCCCCGCCGCTTCACATCCCCCCGAACACGAACCCCATCCCGACTGCCATTACGTCTCCCATGTCTGCCATCGACAAGAATGGCGTCATGTCTCCTGGCGGAGGAGCATTTCCACGTCGTGCCGCGCCCGAGCCTAACAAGCGAGCGCTGTATGTTGGTGGTCTTGATCCCCGTGTGACGGAAGATGTCTTGCGCCAGATCTTTGAGACGACTGGTCACGTCCAGAATGTGAAGATCATCCCGGACAAGAACGTAAGTGACCCCTCCTCTGAAACATACCCATATTCGTCTGCAACTGCAGCCTACTGGTTTACCCTGTATGGCGCACACGGGCGTTGCAAGTTTGACAGTCCACTGACCTTGTGAAAGGCAAAGGGTTACAACTATGGCTTCGTCGAATACGACGACCCAGGCGCGGCTGAACGCGCCATGCAGACATTGAACGGACGACGAGTCCATCAGGCAGTGAGTCATCTCGAGTGCCCTACAGCGACAACACTAATACTTGTTTTAGGAAATTCGAGTGAACTGGGCGTATCAATCCAACACTACGAACAAGGAGGACACCTCTGGTCACTTCCACATCTTCGTTGGTGATCTGTCCAACGAGGTCAACGATGAGGTGCTGTTGCAGGCGTTCTCCGCCTTTGGTACCATATCAGAGGCTCGTGTCATGTGGGACATGAAGACAGGTCGATCTCGCGGATATGGATTCGTGGCTTTCCGGGACCGCGCTGACGCTGAGAAGGCTCTGAGCTCAATGGATGGGGAGTGGCTTGGGTCCCGAGCCATTCGGTGCAACTGGGCCAACCAGAAGGGCCAACCTTCTATGGCTCAGCAGCAGGCGATGCAGGCTGTTGGCATGACACCGACGACACCGTACGGCCATCACCACTTCCCCACCCACGGAATCCAGAGCTACGACATGATAGTCAACCAGACTCCGGCTTGGCAGACCACTTGCTACGTTGGGAACCTGACCCCGTACACGACCCAGAACGACCTCGTGCCTCTTTTCCAGAACTTTGGCTTTGTCGTGGAGTCTCGGTTCCAGGCTGACCGCGGATTTGCCTTCATCAAGATGGACTCGCATGAGAATGCAGCCATGTCCATCTGCCAACTGAACGGGTACAATGTTAATGGCAGGCCCCTCAAGTGCAGTGTAAGTTGCAACACTGGACGAACTCGGAGACAAGTGTATTAACAACTTTGCAGTGGGGCAAGGACAAAACCCCCAGCAATCCCCAGTCGGCTGGTTTCGATCCGGCTCAGCAGGCATTCAGCCCTCAGACTGCTCAGCCGCCGTCTGCGTACCCAGGCACGCCGTCTACTTTCTTTCCCCAGTATGGAGGTATGTTGGCACAAAATACTCAAGAATCTCGACTTGGATGTAGAACTAAAATTCCGCAGGTCAGTACGGAGGCCAGCAACCGGGCTATGGCGCACCCCCGGCACAGTCGCCCGCGGCATACGCAGCTCAGCCAATGGGATATCCCGGGCCGCCCAGCGCTGGTGGTTATGTGCGTGGTCAAGGGCCGCCTTCTAACCAGCAGCAATGGACGCAGCCCCCTCCCAACCAGAATTTCAACAGCGCATACCCAAGCTACCAAGGCTAGAATCCGAATCAGCAGCAGCAACGGACGCAACCCCCTCCAACCAGAAGTTCAACAGCGGGTACCCGAGCTACCAAGGCTAGAATCACAAGCAGCAAGGGAAGCAAACCATTCCCAACCAGAATTTCCAAAGCGCGTACCCAAGCTACTAAGGCTGGATCACGACCAGCTTCCTTGCAAGCGTCTGATTTGGATCAGCTCGTTTCTTTTTATTCGGCACAGGGACATCGAGATGGAAATTTGCGACAATGATGGGCGAGATCTCTTTCTTTGCTCAGACGGGTCGAAACGGCCTTACCACGCACAGTCGTAGCGCTAGATCTGTGTATCCCATCTTCTTTACCTTTCGTTCTTTACCTTCTTGGTTGTCGTAGTTTTGTGGTTGTGATGTCAAACTTGGATGTTTCCAAATCTCAAGCCCTGTTTTGATTCTACTTCGAAAAGTTTCTGGCATTTCTTTTGACACTGCTTTTTCGATACCTCTTAAGCATTGGACGAACCAACGGCGATGCTTCGCGTTGGACTTAACGAAGTTACGGTTCAATCAAACCCTCGACGCTGACTCAGTTCGTGAGAGCAGAAACTCCCTCAACTGGCCCACAAGGAACAAGCCAGACTTTTGGACATTAGAACATGGAATCGAAGCCTGTGACGAGCAGACATATTCGGACGTTGGAAACTTGACTCCTATTGGAGAAGTATGGATAGGTGGTGTAGGTAGCTTGCTGTGGACACAATTGATGAGGGCGGCCAGTCACACGGCGCTCATTGGACAAATCAGACAGCCATTTCTACCTTCATCAAGAGTACCTCACCTACCTAACCTATGAAAAAGAAACACAAAAGCCTTGCCTGCGAAGTGACATACACGAGCCATGGCAAGATGATGGCCCTGCAGATGTTTTGCTCAAGTGAACCAACCAGCCCCTCACATGATGCGATGCGACGCGACGCGATGTCTGCTCCAGTCCTGACGAGACCAGGTACTACTGCAGTATAAAAATGTGACGAGACGCTAGTACAGGTATACTCCCCCAGCTCGGCTCTAGCGTGATGTTAGGCAGGCTTGTGTGGTTTGCAGTCGAGCCCAACAATCCCGTCCTCTCTTAAAGGTTACGCCGCCTCTGCCTCGAGAGGTGGCTTAGGTACCTAATAAGGTACCTAGTCACGGTTCTTGGGAGATGAGAAGGATAAGGTATCCCCTCATCATTTCTGTGAGCTATTCCACGTAGTGATTGCCGTATTTTGAATACACTGAGCGCGGTTGTGTCAGGAGGGAGGGAGATAGATACGTGACTGATCTGGTGACGTTGTGCTGGGAGTGCGAGTTGAGAGCAGCTGATCTGCTGAAGGATGTTTGATCGCACAAGCTCCAGTTATGTACATCCTCCTACTACCTTACCTATGCACACGCAGTATGATAACAAGGTTCTTGTGGCTTTTGTTAGATGGCGCCACATCTGTCTTTTTTTGCGAGTGCAAGAAGGGTGGGAGAGGATCTGGACCCTAGCTGCAGCTCGCTCATACGACACGAGATGGGATGGGATGAGATGAGAAAACTCCTATGCCCATCCTACGGAACTAGTCATTCGACAGCAATTTATGAATTGGGTACGTAAGGCAGTTAGTTGGTCACAGTACAGTCCGTATGAGGTGCATGTGATGTGAGGAAACATAGCCGCATACTTCGCCAGATCCCTCGTTTTGGACTTGGACGACGGATTTTTCCTGGCCCTGGAGTAGAGCGAAAAGGATGTTCACAACTGCGGGTTCTCTTATATGCGTGAATGATAAGGGGGAGAGAGGAATGCAAGTGTGTTATATGTATTGCGGCAAGTATTCATATGGAAGGTTATTAGTATCGGCGGGAACGAAGGATGAGAAGGCCGTGGTATACTGGAACCGAGGATGCCGGAGCTGGCTGTTTGCGGAACCCGTACTGGGTAAATATCCTCTCTAATCCAATGTGATGACAGCAAGTGTTGGTTGGCCTTATCCGCAATCTCACCCAAGGAATGCACATGTTGTCACGTACTGCGTGGTGATAGGCAAATCGCGTACCTTCCCTACGAATTTCAAAGCTTCATGTTCTCAGTTCTACCTGCCCACAGGACAGCTTCACCTGGTACATAGACTTGGAAGCTGCTGGAGAATGGCCTCGGTGAATCAAAAACAACGATCTGTGAAAAAAGATTGATACCATTACATTGCCGGTTGGCTTGACCGACCTGAAACTTTATCTCTTGGGATTCAATGCTCAACTCACCTCATGTCTGTCTGGAAATGGAGACGGCTGCCGGCACTGCCCATGTCCAGGTGTGCCCAGGTGCCCAGGTGCCCAAGCCCCACCAAAGGTCGCAGCCACAGGCCCTCGGCTGCCTAGGAGCGGGAGGTACCTACTACCTGAAAGCCCAATTGCCTCGCCATCTCCAGGGCCCGGATGTACCTAGTCGTCCGGCCCAACACGTCCACGTCCACCTGGGGGTCCCTGTCCCTCCTCAGTCTCTCGCCTTTCCCTCTCCCACATTCTCGCGCAAGCCCTGACGTATCTTTCCAGCAACCTCACTTCTCCAGAGATACGACACCACACCCACGCATCCACAAGCAGTACCACGACTCACCTCCTCAACGAAGCGACTTTGTGAAGCGGATTCTGCTGTCTGCTGTGTCCCTACGGTCCGCGACCATTCTTCAATCATGAGTACCTAAACCCGCCATTTTGCCTACCTATATCGCATTTGGGGCCAGCTGTGCCCGAACCCTTGTCTGCGAACTCCCCCGGCGGAGGTGCTCTTTTTGTTCCCCTGCTCGGTTGTCGGTCTGGTGCAACAATCAACCACTCGACCTGTCCAGTGTCGACCTGTCCACGTAGCCCAGCCCACATCGAGTGAGCCAGGCTCGCTCCGCCGACAACTAATGCGCGTGTGACTAGCATCACAGCCGTCGACACCACTCCGCCCGGAGTTCTCCCCTTCAACCCGAACAGTTCCCGACTCATCATCTGCCGCGAAACCTGGGCTGCCCGTCGTCGTCTGCTTGCTGAGTTCTGAACACCCGCCCGACCGCCATGGATCAATGGCAGGGCTATCCGGACGCCGCTGGCGCTTCGAGACGATATAATGGCAAGAACCAAATGACCCCCGGACGGGAATACGCTCAACAAGGTGGTCAAGGACAAGTCCAGCCGCCCGTCGGCTTCAGAAACGATCAATACCAGGGAGCCATGAGCTTGCATTCCGCCCAACCTAGTGCGACCTCACCCATTACCACCCCGCAGCTTCGCGACGGGAATGGCGACGTCCCCATGCAGGACGCCCACGACCCTTACGGTGCGATGAAGTACCCAATGCGGCCTCATCACCAGTCTCACCTCTCCGGTGGTCGATCGTCAAATCTGCACTCGCCTTCCGAGCCATCGGCTGCTGCTCAGCGGTACTCGCCCATGGAGGTGCTCTCACCTACATCGCCGTACGGTTCCAAATCGTCCGGAGCTCAGGGCCATTTCTCGACGCCGCATAGCCAGCGCCAGTCGCCAACTCGAGCCGATTACCCGCCCACAAGCCCTTCCTACTACGGCCGACAGGGATCCCAGCTTCCTCCCATGGCGCCCTATGCGAACGCTTCGGACAACTACCCGTCCTCGGCCGTCGCTACTCTGGACGGCACTTTCACTAACGACCCGAAGTCGCCTAGAAGGGCGCTCCAACCTACCATGAACATGCCTATGGAGAAGAGACCTGTACCCCAGTTCAAGAAGGTTGGCACCGCGACCGATCTCCGGCCAAAGGTCAATACCCAGCCGCCGTTCCGACGAGCCAACCCCGAGGGAGGATTTATAAGCGTAGGACAGCTCTCTGCGATGTTGTGTCGAAAGCCCAGCTAAACTATTATAGCCCCTGCAAGCTCTCACCGTTCACCTACCCGCAACTTATCGCATTTGCAACCCGAACTTCAAATACGAATCTTCTCGAAATCCCCGCCGAGTCTTGACCAAACCAAGCAAGGGATCGAAGAACGATGGGTACGATAATGAGGACAGTGACTACATCCTATATGTCAACGACATTCTGGGCTCTGAGGAAGCCGGCCACAAGTACGTCTCGGATCCCTCTTGGTCAATCAAGAGTTCCTAACCATCTGTTCAGGAACCGATACCTCATCCTCGATGTGCTTGGCCAAGGTACCTTCGGACAGGTCGTCAAGTGCCAGAACTTGAAGACCCAAGAGGTCGTGGCTGTCAAGGTCATCAAGAACCGAACTGCGTACTTCAACCAGAGCATGATGGAGGTGTCTGTGTTAGATTTGGTATGCTTGTGCCTTGCTGTAAAGTCTAGGTGCAAAAGCTAACGACTGCGCAGTTGAACACCAAGCTTGACAAGAATGATGACCACCACTTACTCCGGCTGAAAGACACCTTTATTCATCGACAGCATCTTTGCTTGGTATTCGAACTACTGAGCGTCAACCTTTACGAACTGATCAAGCAGAATCAGTTCCGTGGTCTGAGTACGACGCTCGTGCGGGTCTTCGCGCAACAGCTGCTGAACGGTCTGGCCCTCCTCAACAAGGCGCGGCTGATACACTGCGACTTGAAACCGGAGAATATCCTACTCAAGAACCTCGAGAGCCCGATCATCAAGATTATCGATTTTGGTTCAGCTTGTGACGAGCGGCAAACAGTGTACACTTACATCCAGTCGCGCTTCTACCGATCACCGGAAGTATTGTTGGGTCTCCCCTATTCGTCCGCAATCGACATGTGGTCGCTTGGCTGTATAGTAGTCGAGCTCTTCCTCGGTTTGCCACTCTTCCCAGGCTCCTCGGAATACAACCAGGTATCGCGAATCGTCGAGATGCTTGGCAACCCACCAAACTGGATGATCGAAGTCGGCAAGCAAGCAGGAGACTTCTTCGAGAAGAGGCAGGATGAGTTTGGTCGCAAAACGTATCATCTCAAGAGTATGGAGCAGTACTCTCGAGAGCGTGGAACGAAGGAACAACCCAGCAAGAAGTATTTTCAGGCTGCTACGCTGCCGGAGATCATCAAAACGTACCCGATGCCGCGGAAGAACATGAAGCAGAGTGAAATTGATCGAGGTAAATACCGCATTCATGACACGACAGATGGCGACTAACCACTCTCCTAGAAATGAATAACCGAGTTGCCTTCATCGACTTCGTCCGGGGCTTGCTCACGATAAGTCCCCTGGAAAGATGGTCGCCTCAACAGGCGAAGCTTCATCCTTTCATCACCCAGCAGAAGTATACCGGACCTTTCGTACCGCCAATGAACCTGAAGGCTAGCTCGCTCAACCGATCTCCAGCACCCGGCACTCAGCAGCAGCAACAAGCCGCCGAACTGAGCAAGCAAAGGGCGCAAGCAGCACAAGCTCAAGCGCAAGCGGCTGTTCAAGGAGCCTACGGGATGCAGGGTAGTCAGTATCCTGCTTCACCTCATGCGCAGGCTCCAATGTATTCCAACAATGCCATGTACACTCAAGGCGGAAGCCATACTAACGCCCCGCCCCCATACGCGACGCAACAGTCTCCTTATGGCCCGATGGTCATGAATCAAGCGCCAGCACAGATGCCTCCGGCGAACTATGCTGGTATTCCTCAACAAAATCTGTATCAACAAGCGACGGTTCGAGCTGGTCGTCAACGTTCGTCGACGATGGACCAGCAGCAGAGTGGTATCCCTGCGGCGATTCAGAGAGTTGCTAGCCACCTCGATCCGAGCCAACCCATCCGACTGCAACCTAGTCCAGCATACTACCCCCCACCCGCCGATGGTATGGGTCTGCAAGATCCTGGAGCTGGTAGCAGAGTTGCTGGTCGAAGAGACAGCCGAGCGCAGAGGGGTGGTGCCGCCAGAGGCAATAATCGGGACTTCATTCGAAACCTGGAAGAACGAACGCTCGAAGAAGGATTCATGGGTGGCAATACCCAAGGCTGGCATTGAGAAGGTCTTATCACACGAGTCGACCCAGAACGGGCTCACCGTATGTGTTAGCCTGTACTGGGGCCTCCAAAGACTCATTTGCCGTACGCTAGGAGCTCGGAGCTCGGAGCTCCGTCGCGAGAGCCCATTGCCACGGCACAAGCTATGACGCGTCTGCGACCCGGACGCGAAGTCATCAGGCGCGAGGCGTGAGACGTGTAAAATACCCTTGGAAGCGAGGGATCAGACTATATTGTCCGCGGATCCTGGGTTCGTCGCACTGGCTGCACGACGGAAGACTGAGGAAAGGCTGCGCATGCGTCGGGACTGGAAATCTAGCTGAGGTATCCCAACAGCTGCTGATGCCCACCAGGTGGGACGTCGTCCGATGCCGCCAGTAGATGCACTTGTGTGGCAGCAGAACATGTTCCCACACCGCATTGACGAAGGTCGGGCATTGCAGGCTTGCGTTTGTGTCCCTCACATCTACCATTTTCTATATCTTGGGTTAGCATGGGTTTCGTCGGTGGCCCGGAGGATTCGCAGCTCTGCTAGCAAGAGCTTCCTCGGATTCGGTACACCATTCGAAGGACGCACGGAGGAGGGATCACTTGACGATTGGCTGCTGGATCAAGCTTGCTGCGAACGAATGCATTATTACGGCTGCAGCTGCTATAGTCCCTGTCTGTGTATGTACGAGGAGAAGAATGACTGTCGAGGCGCCTGCGAATGCATTGGGTTTATTTCCTCCCCACCGGAGCCTCTTTCTCCTTCCAAACCTGTTGATGTCTACCTCCCTCCCAGCAAAGGCATAATTCTCTTCTGCGCAGTCGGCTCCGGTTTCCCTGCCTCTTTGCCCTACCCCATCGTCACACACGAAATCAGCGCTTGTCGTCGCAAATGGGGGCGAGGTCCCCCCTTTAGACACATTTATAGCACTTTGCGATAATGATCACGACGCAGCGAAAGCAGATCTGAGATGATTTCTCGTATTACGGAAGCACTCTAATCTACATATTATCATACTCCGGGGATCGTGCCGAGAAAGGTGGAAGCACCCACCTACATACTCTTACACTTCGGGGTTCAGAGTTTGTGCCGAATAAGTTAGAATGTCTTGCCAGCGAGGGGCCTTGGCCAACTCGGCGCCAAGCAGTCTTATTGCTTCACCAACATCCAGACCGTCGTTCACCATCTTGACAACTGTGCCGCGCTCCTGGAGTGCCACGTACACGCCCCCTATATCCTTCCCCTCGCGAGCCTTCTGGAACACCTCGACGGTCTCGTCCGGCCTGGCGCGCTGTTCGAACCCCTTTATCGCCACGTCTCGGGGGGACTCGACATAGACCGACAGCCCGGAGTAGGCACCCCCAATCTGGTCCAGCTGGTCAAGGAGGTCTCCGGCAGACGAACACTCCAACCCCTGGACGACCAGGCCTCTGTGTGGGTACTTGTCGGCACGCTCCCAGAGCACCTGGTAGTTCAGCCACTTGGACACTCGGTCCTCCCCCTTGACCCTGCGGTTGTGTAGCTGGTAGAAGGAGGAGAACGGGTCCAGGCGGTACTGCATGAGGACGTGGTTGGGGATGAATTTCCCGCTCCGGATCAGGCGGTCGATTTCGGGCATCTGCCCAACCGAGGGGCTTGCGAGGTATCTCGCCATGGTCTGCTCGTAGTCGGTGAGCGACACGAACTGGAATCCAAGCGCGTTGGCTAGCTAGGCTGGCGCCTAGGGTGCGCCGGCCGCTGCGGAACTTGCCGAAGATGAATATTACTGGGGGCAGTGGTCTTTCTTGGTATACTTCTGTCATGTTGGGCTTGTAGTCTAGCTCGACTAGTTTCGACCATAGGAACGTGAAGACTATCACCTCCTTGCTCGCGTTAGTTGATGAAGAGGCCACTTTTTCTTTCTCGGTGTTTGCCCGTTGTTGGATGATAGATGCCTGTCTGTGTGTCATGTATGTTAGTGGTTTTCTGCTCTGTTTTTCTGGAAGCAGATGCCTGTGCGTGACGATGGTGGTGGTTCTGCCTTACTAGAAGCAGATTCTACATCAAGTGGCAGTCAACGGTGTTTACCTATATACATGTGTGTTCGACTCTCATCGTCAAGCTCCTCCAAGTCGCTCCACCGCAGGACAAGATAAGAGTCCCATCCCATATCAGTGCAAACAAAAGCATTCTTTACTCAACAATGGGGAAAAGGTTCACATCGGACGCCGTTGTTTAGAAGAACAAGCAACTAGTTTCATAGCAACGACAAAGGTTCGGGGACTACTTGCTGCTCCTTGAAAGCAAGCTAGGAAACAATCGTATTATTCAGATCTTTGAGCGAGAATCGGGGCTTATATTACCTGATGCTATGCTACTGGTGGCAAGCCACAAAAGAGGTAGGTAGACCGCATACTACTTGCTAGGTACCTACCTCTGCGGCGCGTAGCAGCGGTCACGATGTGAAAGAAGATGACAACAAACTTACTCAAGGCACTTACTTGGTGGCCACGGCAAAGTGGTGGTGAAGAGGCAGTGCGAACGAGGAGGCGGGCAATGGTCTTTGACTATTACAAGTAAATAGCCCTTCTGACGTACAACTATATATCCCAAATATACAATGGCCATCTACACTAGTCGGAGGATACGTATAGAAGATATATATTACAATTATCGGTTCTCCTGAACGAGGCGCCAGGAAGTGAAAGTGTCAAGCCAGCCGACTACATAAAATATAGCTGAATTTCCACGCCCTCCACCCCCTTACCCCCCCGCCCCCCTTACCTATCCCGTAGGAGACACCCTCCTCCATACCCACGCCCTCCTCCTCACATCCGGATGCGACCAGCCCCACGCCAGCAGGAACGTGACGAACGACAGCGGCAGCTACACCTCAAAAAAGCGCTGCAGCGTCATGCCGCCGAGCAGGGCGTCGCCCAGGTCCTGCTGCATGGAGAAGATGCCGGCGACCAGACTAAAGGGGATGAAGAAGGTCGCCAGGAAGGTAAGGCGCCCGATGTTGTGGTTGTCCTTCAGCCCGCGCCGCGCGTCCTCGATGGTCATGACGGCCGTTACGACGGCCGTCAGCCGGTCGATGCGCTGCTGGTATTCGTCTAGGGCTGCGCGGATGGTTAGGAAGTCTGCCTCGTAGGCTGTGATGGGGTGGTGGTGTTTGGTTCCTTTCGGCGGCGTTGTCGTGCGCTGCTGGCCCACGGACACGGGCGCGGACGCGGGTGGTACTGCCGGTACCGTGATTGTGTCCATGGGCGGCGGTGGCTGGCACGGGAAGCGGAAGACGTGCCGCAGCGTCTCGTCCACCATTTCGCGGTACAGCGGCACGAACCGCCGCCACATGTGCAGCTTCTCCAGCGCGTGCTTGGAGTGGCGGTCGGTCGCGAACTTCTCGGGCTTGACCACCTCGAGGTCGATCTGGCAGAGCCGCGTCTTGATGTAATCGCACATGGTTTGCCACTCGGAGCAGGCGAGGTGCAGCAGCGTCTGCATCGGGACGTGGGCGTTCGAGGTCGAGGGCGTTAAGAAAGCTTCCGTGTGCGTCGCCCAGTGCATGAAGTCGTCGAAGAAGAGGTTCGGCTTGAGGGACTCACCGGCCAGGGGTGCGCGCTCTGCGAACGAACGGGGTGTTGGCGTCTGGCGGCAGTTCCGCCGGCCGCCCCAGAGCGGCTTCCCATGCTTCACCGTCGGGTCGAGAAGTAGGACACCTATGCCTGGTTTAGCTACCGCCCTATTTTGTCTCGCACTCCGCTGCTTTCCATCCGACCAACTTACCGATAGAGCTCCCAGCCTGCGCGTGGTTAGGCGGCAGCCAATACGTCGCACGGCACCGAGTGATGGCGACAATGGCGCCGTTCTTGTCCCACCACGCCCGGTTGCTCAAGTCGTCGTCGGGTCTTCGCAGCACGTTGAAGCCCTGCGCCTCTTTTGTCGCGTCCTCAAACTCGGCACTCGAGTCGAAGTATCTGGCTGTAACGTAGCGCATCTGAAGCCAATTGCGCCGGCGGCCGACCAGCTCCGGGACGGGCGGGTCTCGCCATCTGTCGCGCACGTTGTACCACGCGTAGTCAACGATGTGCGAGCGGAAGAAGTCCGCGTCGATGTTGAGCTCCTGACCCAGCGCCTCGATGACGTCTCGGGAGAGGTCGTGCACGACATACAACCGGAACTTCACGGCGGCACCAGGCGAGAGGCCGTCCCGCAGGCTCTGCCGCAGCCGATCCGCCGAGTGGATCTCCTTCATCTTCACCTCGCTGGTGTCGTCATAGTCCAGCACGCGAACTCTAGTCCTGCGAAGTCGCTCGTTCCAGGCGGCTCGCCGTGGCCCCGGCTCATAGGGTGCGAGTTCGATGTCCTAGTTTAGCACAGAGGAACTAGGACACGGTTCCGGCTTCGGTTTCGGCTCCTCCGGGCGGATGTCTTTCCACCGCTGCGGCACGGTGCCAACTTCCATGAAGTCCGCGAGCAGCCGGAGATGCGGCCAGTCGGCGGACGCCTCGCGTACATATTTGAGATAGGGCTGTCTTCAAGACAAAAACAACACCCCGTGTTAGTAAACTGGAACACCCGGACGTGGTCGTGATCGTGATCGAGATCGAGAGCGGTCTAGGATCGAACTTACGGGTCATCCTCCCTCCAGTCTTCACTGAGCGTCTCGTAAAGCTTGTCGTCATATGCATCGCCAATCTTGTCATATGCCTGCGTACGCAGCTCAGGTTTGAACCACGGATCATCGCCCTCGGCCGGGGTGAACCAGGATTTCGTCATGGCGAAAACGAAAAGTCAGTTGGGTCCCTCTAGCCAGCGCGGTGGACACTTCTAGCAACGAGTTGAAGAATGAATAGAAGAGTTTTGGAAGGGCGAGGGATCTCTGCGGCTCGCGGTTGGCGGCAACCCGTCCATTTTCTACAGGAGAGTCCGAAGGCAGGCTGAGGCTGAGATGGTGATTACTGATGCCGCCCCCAATCCAGCCTGCCGCCACCTGCACATACGAAATTGACTCGGTTTACGGCAGCGAGTGACATGAGTTCGACAGGGGAAGGACGCGGTCCCGCGCGGGTGATTTGTCACGGGGAGAAGAAAAAGAAAAAAAGAAGGGAAAAGAAAAAAAGAAGGGAGAAGAAGAAAAGAAGGGAGAAAAAGAAAAAAGTAGGGAGAAAAAGAAAAAAAGAAGGGAGAAAAAGAAAGGAGGATTTGGAGATCTGCAGGCATGTGGTCTCAGCCGCAGACATATCCCTGCACAGGACCTTGGGCCATCCTGTCGAGGGCGCTCATGGTTGGGAAAGAAAGTTTGATCCTCCTATCCTCTGGCTCTGGAAAGAGTAATATCGTATCAATCGATGGACCGGGCGATAGCTGCGACCAAATGATGATGAGCCACCGTTAAGGCGATTAGATTCCCATGGGCGCGGATATGTCGCCCCTGATTTATAACAAGCCCATCTTGAACCCCAATATTGTGTGATTTAAGAAGACCCAGGGTGATCACTATCAAGGCGAAGGAAGATGCTGTATCCTGTATGGATTACACCTGACATTATGCCTGCTGTCTATCGATTCCATGCACCCCCTGGCGCAAACAATGCCTGCCGGGCGCCCGAAGGCCCGTTCTGCATGCAAGCAGCAAATCTTGCCCTTCATTGATCGGCCTGATCGCCGTCATGAAGTCGCAGTGGGAAGAAGGTGGGCATATCGATGGTCGCGGTAGTATAGTACGTGATAAGCAAGCTCGGCAGCATACTTGCTAATAGCCTACGTCGCGTTCGCAGCTAGCAGCTAGCGGCGGTCATCGCGATACTCAGGACGAAAACTGTCACGATGAGTATCGCGGGGATCGCCACGGTAGTTGTCATGGGTGCTGTAAGGGGACTTGTCTCGATGGTCATCGCGGTAGTGGCGCCGATTGTCCTCGGTCCCTCGATCACCACGCTCCGGCGGGGAATCCTATCGCCCCGGCCGGAAGCCCCGGCCTCGACGGCTTCCACTACCGTTACTGTAGTTGTCGTTGCTACTGCTGTTTCGGGGGTATAGCTTGTCGCTGTAGAGCGTTCCTCCCTTCACATAGCTACCAGTAAGATCGCGCTGATCTACCGCTTCGTGATCCATCGGGTCGTCAAACCCCATGGACCCGTCGACCAACACACTATTGTCGCCTGCTCGTGTCTCGTTGGTGCGATGGGAACGAGGGCCGGTAGGAGGAGGCAGAGGAGGATTGTACGAAGAGCCACCAGGTTTCAGGTACACGTGGAGCGTTCTACCGTCGGCCTATATCATAACTTCTTAGTAATCTTTCTCTAATGCAATTGTACAAGGTTGCATAGAAGTAAGGCTTACCGTCTGGTTGTGAAATGTTGCGATCACACTATCCGCGCCCTCCTTGCTCTCGAACACGATCTCTGCAATCACAATCGGGTGGGTCTTAACCAACCGACAGCTGCTGACGAGCCCTCCTACCGGCGTCATGGCGCTCTCGATGTCGGCGGCCGTGGTGCCGGGCGCAAAGTTCTGAGCCATCACTGCGAAGGGTCCGGCCAGACCCCTGATAGTAATACCGCGCTGAATGGGCTGCGGTGCTTGAACATTCATCTGCTGGTGTGCATTGGATGGTGACGAGGCAGTTCGGTCGAATGCATTGGCAAGCCTAGCAGTACGGTTTGCGCGCGCAGCCGGAGCTGCAGGTCGTGATCTAGGGAGGGTGGTTCCCGGCGCGTGGATGCGAGCGGCGAGCGAATTCGGTGCTGGTCGTTGCGCCACGGGTCTGGCACCGTGCAGGTCATGTGTCCATGCGCCATCAACGTTTCCAGGCGGGATGCGCGCAGCAGAGGAGACTCGCTTCACGGCGATATGAGTCGGTGAGGTCTCGAGGCGGTGTTGCATTTGGGAGAACATACCTTCTTCACACCAACTCGGCTGGCCAGCGAACCCCCAACGTTGGATTTAAGGGGCGCACTGTTGCGGCGCTTGCCATCTCGGTTGAAGATTCGCGCGGCGAGGTCCTCATTCTTCTTGCGCTCGCGGCCTGCACGGTCAGGTATCAGTTTCTGGGAGGCCATTCGCATAGTAGTCTTTTGGATGCTGCCCATGGCAGAGGGTCCATGTCGCTCCCATGGAACTCGAGGCAAAATGCCCACAAACAGTCTATTGTGATTCGCAAACGTACCTTCCTTGATGATCTTCTCGAATTCGGTCGCATGTTTCTTCGACATGGTGCCGGTTGTCGAGCTTTACTTGTGGGTCGGCTCCTGTGAGTATGTTCAAGGTGATCCGTGGGGATAGAAAGGGAGAATGATTGGCTGTTCAAGAATTCACAGCCGGTGTAAACTGATAAGAATCCCAGCGAGCTTACCGCAGGACTAGACACAAAGGCGGGAAGTGAATGAAGAGCAATGCCAGGTGATCAGAATGAGAAGACGGCGCTGAGATTGCAGGTCGTCTGCAAACCAACCGAGCGCTGTGGTCGGCGCGTGAACCTTTGATGATTGTGGCTGGTGGCGCTTTTACAGGGATCAGCCTAGATCAGCTGAGCTTTGTGGCTGTGCGGAATCAAAGCTTGTGGCTATGAAAATGATGAGCACTGACCATCTGCATTCCACCTAGCGATTAGGGTCAAGCGAGGACGGCTCAGCCCACACAAACTCCTGCATCCGAGCAAAATTGACGGCTCCTCAATTTCGGGCCTCTTGCCAAAAAACTTCAATTCCCATCACCAAGGTTTCCTTTTCTCAACCTCACGAATTACGACTAGACCGTCAACATGGGTCGCGTGGTACGTGGCAACCGCAGCGCATATTCGCGCTGGGCCCTGCCAACATTCGAGATGCTAATCTGCATTCCAGATTCGTAACCAGAGAAAGGGCAAGGGCGGTATCTTCAGTAAGTCTACCTCAGCTTCCGCAGGATCATTGATCGCTGCATCCCGCGGACGTCTTTGCTCACATCGCAACCCAACTAGCCGCCAACACCCGCCTCCGAAAGGCTCCGGCCAAATTCCGAAACCTCGACTTCGCGGAACGCCATGGATACATTCGAGGTGTGATCAAGGACATCATCCACGACCCCGGTCGTGGTGCTCCTCTCGCCCAGGTCGTCTTCCGCTCCCCGTACAAGTTCAAGCAGGTCCACGAGACGTTCATCGCCAACGAGGGCATGTACACCGGTCAATTCATCTACGCTGGCAAGAACGCTGCTCTGACTGTCGGAAACGTCCTCCCCCTCGGTTCCATGCCCGAAGGTACCGTCGTCTCCAACGTCGAGGAGAAGGTTGGTGACCGTGGCACGCTCGGCCGTACGTCCGGCAACTACGTCACCATCGTTGGACACAACCCCGACGAGGGCAAGACCCGAATCAAGCTCCCCTCGGGTGCCAAGAAGATTGTCAGCAGCAGCGCACGAGGAATGATTGGTATCGTCGCTGGTGGTGGCCGTACCGACAAGCCTCTCCTGAAGGCTTCGCGTGCCAAGCACAAGTTCGCTGTCAAGCGCAACAGCTGGCCCAAGACTCGTGGTGTTGCCATGAACCCCGTCGACCATCCCCACGGTGGTGTAAGTGCAATTATGGAGGTAGACGAGATGGACGCGGTACTGACAGGCATTCTCAGGGTAACCATCAACATATCGGAAAGGCTTCGACCATCTCGAGATACGCGGCACAGGGACAGAAGGCGGGTCTTATTGCTGCGAGAAGAACGGGTCTGCTTCGTGGTACCCAGAAGACAAAGGAGTAGACTGTTTATTACGGTCATGGTTCATCAAGGCGGATGGAGTTTACCTCGTTCTTTGCATCTCAAGGTACCGGTGAGCTCACTAAGAGATAGGCTCAATGGAAGTACCCGGCATCAGACAATGCATTTGGCTCAGGTGTCTCGTTATGAAGTGACTAGAGCATGGAAGATGGCACAAACTGCTCCCCGATTCAGCAGGACGGGCACGGCCTATGGATTGCCTTGTGTGATTCGGATGAGCGTACACGAGGCCAGAATGCGAAGTCCAAGATGAACTCCTAATTATCCACCATTTGCTGCGTGACAGTGCACTTTACCCAGCCCAACATGTCATGGTTGGACTTCGTGTTGACCGCTCAGTAGCACCTCCGGGCTGGATGCTGCTCTTGAGCACAAGAAATCAGTGTACTATTAAAGCAAAATGCTTGGGACTTAGTACAGTCAACCCTCATAAGTCTCCGTCCGTCATGCTTCTGTCAACTCTTAAATGTTAATGCTAAATTCGTATTAATAGAATAAGCAGCCTAGAATAAGCAGGTTTCTAACGACTCTGGACTGTTTCTATAAGCAACCTTCGTTCCACCAAATCTCGAGATAGGCAGTCCGACTGCAGTATCAAATGAAGCAAATACAGATATGCTTGCCTCCCAGGGGATTACTCAGATCGGCCCAGCGATGCTACTCTTTTGAAGGAGTGGTCAAACCCCACCGCGATTAACCCCACCATCAGCTATCGGTCGCAGTACAAAAACTTCCCCCGCCATAAGGGCACTTACTATTATTACTACTACCGTCCTTCTTCACCAATACATCACCAATACATCGCCAACTAGCCAGACAATTCCCTATCCACCATGGCCGCCTCCAAGAAATTCGCACTCTTGTGCCTGGAGAACCCGCTGCTTGGTGAGTTCGATCTAATATGAGTCCAATTGGGTCTCTCAGTCTCGTCACCCTGCTTGCTACCCCGCTGACACCAGGCCTCGCGCCCCTCGCCCAGACATCCAAGCGGTCGGCACCGAGGAGCTGCTGAACAAGTACGGGCTCAAGGCCAACGACGCGATCCTGGCCGAGGCCAAGCACCTGCCGCTGTACGAGGAGCTGCTGAACAACTACGACGCGAAGCTGATCGCGGGCGGCGCGGCGCAGAACACGGCCCGCGGCGCCTCGTACATCCTGCCCGCCAACAGCGTCGTCTACCTGGGCGGCGTCGGCGACGACAAGTACGCCGCCATCCTGCAGGACGCCGTCAAGCAGGCCGGCCTGCGCGTCGAGTACCGCGTCGACCCGACGGAGCCCACGGGCCGCTGCGGCGTCGTCATCACCGGCTACAACCGCTCCCTGTGCACCGACCTGGCCGCCGCCAACCACTACGACCTCGACCACCTTAAGAGCCCCGAGATCTGGAAGTTGGTCAAGGGCGCTGAGTTTTACTATGTTGGTGGCTACCACTTCACCGGTATGTGATGATATATGTGCTTGTGCGACTGCTGGTTTACTGCTGCCCTGCCTTCATATCAATCTTCAACCCCTGGAGAAGAATGAAGCGATAGTTTCAGGGGCGGGAACGAGCAGGAGCAGCGCAGCAAAACAACCAGAATCACAATCTAACCCCTGAACCCCCTATGCAGTCTGCCCACCCGCCATCATGGCTCTAGGTGAAGAGGCCGCCGCCAACGACAAGACCTTCGTCGTCAACATGTCGGCCCCCTTCATCGCCGAGTTCTTCAAGGACCCGCTCGACGCGAGCGCCAAGTACTGGGACGTCGTCATCTGCAACGAGACCGAGGCCGCTGCCTACGCCAAGTCGCACGACCTGCCCTCGGGCGAGTCCGACATCGCCGCCGTCGCACGCGCCCTCGCCGACCTGCCCAAGGCCAACGACAAGCGAAGGCGCCTCGCCGTCGTCACCCAGGGCACCCTGCCCACCCTCGTCGCCACCCAGGGACAGCAAGACGTCAAGGAGTACCCCGTCCACGCCATCGCCGCCGACCAGATCAATGACACCAACGGCGCTGGTGACGCCTTTGCCGGCGGCTTCGTGGCCGGTCTTGTCCAGGGCAAGCCCCTTGACGCCTGTGTCGACATGGGACAGTGGCTTGCGCGGTTGAGCATCCAGGAGTTGGGCCCCTCGTGAGTTGCTCCTTTCCTTATCCCTTCTTTGTGTCTGTAATATGTATCAGCCCCCTTTCTCTTGCTTTCCACATTGATCACGACTACTCTTGAACACACATAAACACATGCAATAGTTATAGTAACAATCGCTGTATCATTCCTGCCTATGTAGGTCAATCTGAGGCCGGGTTACTTCCTGCATCACACCAGTTGCAAACTTCCTATTCATACTCAATCTCGCTTCGCTTCCTTTCGCTTCCCTTTCCTGATCACTACATCTGCTGTTCTCCCATCCCCTGACATACAGCTTAATGACTGCGCTGAATCTGACCTCGACAAGGTACCCGTTCCCCAAGCAATCCTACCAGCCCTCTTCGTGAGTTCTGGAGCCGAAAGAAGAATAACCACTTCAACCAATAGCATAGTACCGTCCACCACACTTTGACGTTACTCAACTTTACGCAAAGGGCCGGCGTTCTAGATGGATAGGGTGGTCTGGGAGCATGGCATTTGTGATGGCGAAATCAAAATATCGTCGCTAATTTTTCCCTTTTCCTTTGCTGGGTTTCAACAACTGGGAAAGTCTTGAACCTTCTTTTCCACGGGAAATTTCCCTCATCTGAATCGACTGCGCACGAGAAAGAGTCGCAGCAAGCTAGCCTAGATCTGTAGATCTGAGACCTTCTGAATAAAGAACTTTCAACGGTTCACGCTGCTCAAGGCTGACCGAGTCGTGCTTCTCACAAGGTTCCGTGGCGGTGTATAGCCCGAAAGGGCTGTATCATTCGCAGGTAAACATAGGTTGACGTGGCGACCGAGTGAATGTCCCATACTGAGTAAAAGTTGACCTGAAGTATTCTCTTGCCAACGGCGGAAGTGAGTGGCTGACGCTTGTAAAATAGATAACAAGAGCCCGACATGAAATCACTTGGGACGTGGTTTGGTGAGATTATTCATCAGGGCAGCCTGAAGAATTTGCTGGTCGTAGGACAGCTCGGCGGAGCCTGTAGCCTCCTTGAGCTGATTCCGAAAGTGTGTAGGCTCATCGCGATTATTGGTCCCCCCGCCTAGTCGGCCAAATGGTGTGCTTGCACTGAACATGTTCCCGTTGCAAGCAACTGATTGAGAAGGGGAGCGGTGGGCTGGGGTACCGCCATAGAGGCTACTCGGATGCGAAAACGCGAGAGAAGAGCCAGTTGCGGCAGGCTCGGGGAGCCAAGGTGAGTACGACTGGTACTCCTGCTGATAGGCCATGGCAGATGCATCTCGCTGCCTTTGAAAAGGACCAAGTGGCTGCACATCTCCGATGTTGCTGGGCTTGGCGTACTGTTGCTTGAGGCGTGGGAAAGAACCTTGATTCGCACTTGGTCGGCCTTGGCCTATGGGGCTTTGAATTCTAGCGCTGGTGTCATGGCGGCTTGATGAACGTTCCATATGGCTTGGCGCAAGCTTGTTGTTCAGATGAGATGTGCCCGGTGAACTCAGGCCGTGTTGGGCGTACAAAGCCGAAGTCAAGCTATCGAGAACGGCATTGCGCGAAGTTTGCATGTACGCGTCGTATTCATCCTGAGGAGAGTTACCGCCGCTCGACGTCTTGAGGGCCGGCCCAGGGGCTGCATATGTCGCGCCAGTTCGAGGCGAAAAGGCATCGCGATTAGGCTGATTAAGGGGGTTGTCTAGGTCATTCAAATATGGGGACGAGTCGGAGCCATCGAACTGGGCGGTTGCACTCCGCGGTACGTAGGCCTGATCGGGACCCAGCTGATTCTGGCCTTGGCTGGTTGACCGGTGTGGGGTGGGAGTGTAGAAATACCCCCATGGAAGATTTGGAATCGTCTTGGAGACAGGGGAAGGCTGAGCCGGGCTCGCGTCCAGAAGACCAAAGACCTCGTTCGCCGTGGAAGAATTCATACCGTAGCTTGGTTCGGCCTGAGTCTGGCTCGACCGGGGCCGATCATCATCCATTGGGTCCAAAAGCTTGTTAACCATGTTGATCATCTCACTGTCTTCACTGAGATCAGCATCGAGAAAAGCTGGCGGTGGGTTCTCGAGGGATTTGCCTTTGTCCAGTAGACCATCTGGCTTGACGATGGGCTCGGTAATATTATCCATATTGGCTTGAATCGGTCTAACAGAAGCCATGCCAGCTGCTGACGAGTCGGGTCCCTTGTGGACAGTACGTTCAGGAGCTGCCTTTGGATCGCCGGGACTGAGTTTGCTCATGATGCGAGCCATGCTGGCTTCATCAGAGTAGACTGGCAACGGGCCGTCTTCTGTAAAGACCCAGGTTTCCATCTCACGATCACCTTGAGTGCTGACGGTTAGCCCTAGTGGGAATTTGGTACTCCCAGCAAGGAACACTCCGCAGCAGACGATGTCTCTGATGCGCCAGACAGTCTCCGTTTCCGGCTTGAACTGGCGGCCGAAGACGATTTGACGAGGCTTGCGGGTCTTCTGTCTCTTTGGTGGCTTTGTGCCTTCTTGTTCTCCAACGTGTAGGAAGAGCGGCAACTTTCGATCGTTGAGAGGTCTAAGACCTTGAGCCTCTGCATCTTCTGGCAGTAGGTACTTCGAAGAAGTCGTAGCCAGGGTTGGATCAACATAAACATTGAGTAGGGTCAATGAATCAGCAAGAAGGCTATATGCCTCTCTGAGGTGTGGCTCAAGATACTCCTGGTACTTGATGAAGTCGGCTCTCGTAATATAGATCCAAGAGATGTAGATGCGGAGGAACGGGAGGAGCTTCATGAGTGCTGGCCCAAAACTGATTGTGGTATCGGCATCGTTGTCTTTGCTGGCTGCCTCGGGGACAGGTACGGTTTCGTCGTAGAACGCAGTTTTTAGTAGACGAAGGAGGATCAAGATTGTGCGAACGTTGAAACGCAGTAGAAATTGACACGATTGAGATGCTTCCATGGTCCAAGAAGCTTTCAAGCACTTGTTAGTATGATGAACGGCCACACGACTGGGGCTGTGATTAGACTTACTTTTTACTTTGTCTGTAGCGACATCGTACGCTGCGATGTTGATGAGTATCATCTTGCGCAGAGTTGCCTCATTGCCTTCAGACTTCATTGCAATCTCCACGCGATGTAGGACTTCCTCCTCCAACTCCGACTGCTGGGAAAATTGCTTTCCCTGGAAGTAGAAGGCATGAAGTCGTACAAACCACGTAATCATGGCCTCAGAGGGGTCCTTGACTGGGCCCCTGCGTGAACTCGCAGAATTCTCGAGACCTTTGAACTCTCGTTCAACGTTGCCGAGTCCTAGTTCGTGTGGTTTGGCGATGGCAATAGCACGGTAGAAGTGGTAGACTATGTCTAAATGCTGCCCCTGAACCTGATACAGCACAGCCATCTGATGGTGAGCAGAGCCATCCTCGGCGTCGATGATGTTCGCCAAGCCGTAGTAGTCTAGGGCCTTATCGAAGGTCGCTTTCGAAAGCTTGTCCGATATTTGGCATCGATATCTAGCCAGGTCGCCTAGACGTACCAGAGTAGTCTGGCAAGACTTGAGAATCATGGCACGCAGCGTAGCCGGAGGTTGAACGTTGTCGGACATGGCTTGGGTAGGCTCCAGGTCCGTACCATATGCAGCTTGGCGCAACTCAGGGATGTAGAAGCGTCCGGACAGTCGTTGTATGTACACACGATAGAAGGACTCGGAAGTCTTCAAGAAGCCTCGGTAAAGCTTGTCCAGCTTCCGTCTCTGCACAACCTGGTTCTGTGACATCAAACGGCTCATGACCTTTCGGTATTCACCATTCAGAAACGTATGCGCCTGCCACAGGGAATGTTCGACCTTCTTGTCGAAGCCATACTCGAAGTCACGGAATATAACCTGCATGCAAGCCAGGCGAAGTCTGATACCGGAATTAGTATAGGAGCAGTGGTCTAGGTATAAGTGGGTATGAATTTACTCGGCCATGGTCTCTTCAGCCTCCTCAAACCGAGTGGTGTAGTTAATATTACCCCGCTCTTTCTTGAGATTCGAGATCTTTGCCAGTATATCTGTGCGGATCTTCTGGGCATCCCTACTAAGAAGTTAGCAAGCCTCCTAGACGAGCTGAGCTGAGCTGAGCTGAGCTAAGCTGAGCTGAGCTGGGCCGACCGAGCCTCCATGTGAATGCTCTGGCGCACAAGGAATCAAGAACATACCGCCAGCTCGCCCTCGCTATATCTCGTGGGTTCTCCATGGCGGGCGAATGCGAAGTATAGCGAAGCCGTGTCAAGCTATCTGTAATTGACAAGGGTTGCTAACGAGGAGGAGTGGTCCGGGTGGAGGACAGCCAGCAAGGCCGGAGCGCAAAGGCAGCTGCAGTTGCTGTACTAGTGTCGACCGAAGGGGTATCGGGAATAGAGTCACAGCCAGGGTGTCGGGCTACGCGAACTCGAGTTGGGGGTGAGGATGTCGAAGAAATCCATAGTTTGGCGAGTGCGGCGGATTGCGATTGGGACGCGCCGTGGTTGAGGATTGCGCGGCGGTAGCTTTCTCGAAGGCAGATATCGGGAATATTGGTGTCGGCGGCCTGGTGTGGAAATGCTATGCGAGTACCGAGCGAAGGCACTAAGGATAATGCGTCGATTGATGCGAGCGTGCGCAGACAGCGACGGGTGTGGAATGGTCTGGTCTGCGAAGAGTGAGGTAGGGCGGCAAGAATGTTCGTGAACGGAGGAGGCGTTGGGGTCCGAACATTCAACATTGAAGGGGACCATTGCGAAATGGAAGGTTATCAGCTGCCGATCACTCAATCAGTCACACCCCATATTAAGGTTAGTGGGCTGCAGCAGCTGGCCAGCCCACTGTTCCCAGCTGTTTTCAATGTCTTGGGCGCTTTGACACGTTAAGCTCTGCCCCTCCTCATCACGCCCCGCCCTGCTAGACCGTGGATGGTTAGGGCCTTTGGCCGTTTACGAGCATTGGCTTCTGATTTGCCATGTCTAGATGTTCCCTTCACAGCATTCCACCGCCACGAGAAGCATCTGCAACAGGTACCGCCAACACACACGCTTGGTGACTCACACGCTGTCTGGTACCCAGTTGGTGTGCAATTCTTACTCATTGGGAGCAACTCACTTGGGTTCCCACAGTATCTGGGCAACGGGCTGCAAGCCGCGCCTAACGAGGGGTGGCAGCTTCACCGCTGGTGTTGGACGTTCTGTGACGGGAGCAATATTGCATGCTCGGGACAAACAGCTGCAACATCTCATATTGTCTGATTGCCTCGTGAGATTCCAGGCTGACTTTGATCTCACTTTCTGATATAACTGCTGAATGACCCAAATTCCCCCTCGCACGAAGCTACCAAACGCTCGAACTCGGCCGAAAAAGCTGTCCGAAGTCACACTGATCCGCGAGCAGCAAAGTCTCGAGTCACTGGTAGACAAACGACTCTGTCAATGTAACTGCCCCATTCTGCAACCTCTGACATTACACAAAGATGAAGCGCTCACGCGAGCCTGAAGAAGAATCTCCCGAACCCGCCTTGGGTTCTTCAGATGGTGTAGATTCTCAGGAAGCGGAACTTCCAGCCTCAAAAATCACAGGCCTTGACGACTCGGCAATCGACAGCAGTGCAGACATTGCAATGAGATGTTCCCTCCCTCCACATCGAGAGGTGGTGTCCTTCCCGACATACGAGGAATATGAGACGCATTACAGTCAAGCGCATACGAATCGTTGTGTACAGTGCAAGAAGAACTTCCCCTCGGAACATTTGCTGAATGTCCACTTTGAGGATTGTCACGATGCCTTTGCCGCTGTAAAGAGAGAGAAAGGCGAGCATACAGTAAGCAAGGCCCTTTGAAATCCCTACAACTCTCAGTCATCAATATGAAACTTACTAACTCCTGCTTAGTACTCATGCTTTGTTGAGGCATGTGATCGCAAATGCAGAACACCTTATAAGAGGCGGAATCACCTCATCGACAAACACATGTACCCAAAGAACTACTTCTTTGCGGTCACGAAGGACGGCATCGATGGGAGGCAGTGCCTTCTTGTGAATGGAGGACACCATCGAAGGAAGTCATCTACTGCGACCACTGCTAGCGGTGCCAAGGCAGCCTCGAGAAGACAAAGCCTCCGACAAACAGAGAGTACCAAAGCAGGAACAGACGAGCCGAACGACACTGCGAGACAAAATGTTGTTAAGCAGGATTCTAGAGATACATCAGAGGAAGCACCCCAACCAGAAGTTCCTGATATTCAGATGGAGGACTTAGCAGGCGCAATGTCCTCGCTACGGTTCGTACCCCCAAGCGTAACGTTCGGCCGGGGTAGAGGCAAGGCAGGCTTCGCAAAACGATGAGATGACAATGGGAATGAGGACTTGGGCATTCACGGCATGACGATATCATGAAGCTTCGACGTAACGAGGGATGTCAATATAAGGGACAGCTCCAGCCTCAGAAGGACTGAAATGACATGAATATTCCTCTACCCATTTCTGACCCTGCCAATGTGCATGATATCATAAAGCGGAATGATGTACGCCAAATCCACCATTCGCCGTGCTTTTGTTTAAGAATCCTTTAACGCCTGCAATGCAGATGACCAATGACCGAATACTCCCAGAGCCCCTTAATCGCTCGAGGCACATCCCCTGCAACCGCAGCTGACACATTGTACGTCTTGCTCGTCTTTCAGTTGCGCCTTTGGTACCCTGCATATACACGTCGACTGGAAATTCGTCTCCTTGGTCTGTATGCACCGCAGACAGCACAGCTAGCACGGGTACCAAGTTAGCCAAAACCACAATAAGACACCGAAGATTTGGGAAACCCGCCACCCGCCCCCCCCCCCCCCCAAAAAAAAAAAAACCTACCTTCTCGTATCCCTGCTTCTTCCACTTGGCGATGAGCATGGCGTCGGCGTAGCCGTTCTTGAGCAGCCACTCGTACAGCGGGCGGCTGATGGCCTCCTTGTCGTAGTACAGCTCGTAGACGTAGCGGCTGCGCTGGTGCGCGACCTGGAACACGGGCCACTGCGCCTGGTGCTTGGGCACGTTGTTGGTCGGCGCATTCTGCGCGTCCTTCATCTTGATCCCGAACACCTCCAGGTCGTCGCGGATGTCCTCGAAGCCCGCGGGCGGCTTCTTGGCCCCGCGCGCGGCGCTGCCGAGCGAGCGGATGGCGGGCATGGTTTTGGAGGTTTGGGTCTATGGTTCGGATTCCCTGGTGAGGGAGGCGACACGGTACGTATGCGATCGCGATTTGTGCTGTTGCTTGTTCGAGAAGTCGCTCCTGGAGAGGTCGCGGTGGTGTTGATATTGGTGGGGCAAGGCTGAGAAATTGAAGATCGAAAGTCGGCCTGGAAGCCTTGAAAGTTGCCGGCGAATGGTGGAGTGGAAGCTAGCGCCACACCTCGAGAGATGACTAAGACAGTGTGGCTTGTGTGCGCCTCAACTTCCCGCTTCCACTCTGGAGACAATGGGAGCCAGCTTGACGTCGACCGAATGAACCTCAACCTACCTCAACACAGTAGAGCTCACCCACCATGGCGGTGACACCTACGCAATTCGCGCGCACGACGCGGACATGTCAGTGCCTTCCCGGGATGCTCGGTGCCTAGCTAATTGATGTCGCAGCGGCCAATTGGGGCGAAGCGAAGCGACGAGTGCTTGCGGCCTACCGAGAATGGCTCCGAGCAGTACGTTTCCCTACGACCTAGAGACGGACAGCATGCGCGAGGTGTTCGGATGGTCTTCGGTTATGGCTAACAAGGCACGGTCAACAGGCCCCTGAGATGCAGACAATGTACTCCATCCCCTTCGAAGTGGCTATCATCCGCACGAGAATGCGACAAGAGTTCGAGCGACACAGATACGTGAACAAGCTGCCGGTGGTCGACGTACTCCTCATGCAGAACAACGCCGAATACCAGGTCAGTCATGGATGGCATGCGGATGGCAAGGCTGTAGATGTCACAAGCCCGGCGGCCCAAACGAATCCAGGTTTGAAGGCTGGGGACCAGAAGGCTGACGCGGGACACTATGCAGGAAACCATGAACTTCTGGAAGCAAACCACACACGTCATGTCGTATTTCAAGACCGAGAACTTCCGCGGAACGGACAGACTGCCGGACAACTTCATGAAGGGTTTCCTCGAGGCAAGTCTCTCGCAGATGCAAGCATGCGCTTATACCGGGGAAGCCTTAACTAACAGCACAACAGGGTCGCAACTAGATTTGGGTATCAATCCCTGTACTGTACATATCAGAATAAGAATCAAAGATGCCTCCTGAGAAGGCCGTCTATCATACTCCGGACGCCGCCTGATGCTGATGTGATCGTGTCACAACTGTGCGCCTCCTACACTGAACCCGTTGCTCCAGCTGTCCCTGCGTTTTCTGGTACCGAAATCTATTTCGATGCCATGAAATCATGACGTTTGGTCCAGAACTCATCAGTAACCACATCGCAGAGGTCTTCAAGATCCTGCAAGCCCTTTGCCAGCGCAGCACTAGCAGTTGTCGTGTCTAACAAGCTGTCAGTGACTGAAGAAACGAGATGTGAAGTTTCATGGATAGCATATTACCGTAAGTCTGGATTCTGATGTTCATCTTGTCCTCCGAAGGATGCGGGATGGTGTAGGCGCAGAACTCGACATCAGGACTAGAGCTCTCATTAGCTACGCGATCCCACTCATGCCGAGATCAAGGGTGCAGATGGTAAGATAGAGAGATAGCAGACACATACTTCTTCATGATGATATATCGCAATGCGTTTCCCATCGTGTGGCCTTCCTTCAGGAACTCAAAGGAAGCGGCAGTGTTAGAGGATCCTGGCAGCTGAAGTGTGGTAGCCGACATTAGCAACTTGTTTCCTATGAGCCGCGACTTGCTTCTGGAAGGCAACTTACGATCCTGACCCGCTGGGGCTCGACCTCCTCCTCGTCTTTTTCGTCTTCTTCCTCATTGTTCCCCGACTGGTCTTCCTGCATGCCATCGCTGGGCTGCTGTGCAGACGTGGGAGCGTCCTCCATGGTGGTGTCGGCCACCTCCTCGGCGTCGGCGCAGCGCGACTTGGTCTTTCCTGGCATTTTATTGGATTTGCTCACTTCTTGTGCCTCACAGTCGAAGCAAGAAGCAGTAAATCAAAAGAATCGAGCCTGCTGGTTGTTTATATTCGCAGATATCAATGAGATTTCAATTTTGGCGGGGCACTTTGAGGCTCATGCTTGAGCCATCGTCAAAATTTCAGATTTTGCGCTTACGGCCCGCTATGCCTCTGCCAGCTGCCAGGCGCAGGTACCTAGCTCGAGATCCATCCGCCAATTGATGGCCTCCGGGCACTCACTGAAACCTGGGGGGTTTCCTGAAGCAATGGCCTCGAATAAAGCAACAGTGAAAGCACCTACCCAGCAAGCCCAACTATATATATTCTCGGTCTTTTTAGAAGCAATTAATACGCAGGGAATCTAGGGTTCCCAAGTTTGCGGGAACTATTCATATCGAGGACAATCCACACCCAATCCCTCAAGTGATGGGCGCGGCTTGCCTGATCTCGGATAGGCAGGTACCCGGCTGCTGCAATATCGAAATCCAGCGGTGTGTTGAAGTGTTCTACGAGCACGAGCAATGAATGGGGAGTTTGAAATATTGACGCAGAGCATTTCGTCAGAGGCACCTCAGCGTCGAGTGACGGTTTGCAGATGCTGACTGAGCCCCGAACCACCAACACAATCTCGTCATTATTATTATTATCAATCGGCGCCCTCGTCTGAAGAGGGAAACCGATAATGCACTCGACTGGCGCGCGGCAACGTGCCTTGCAGGTCCTGCATCTCATGGTAGGTTGGGTGTTGATGGTGGTGTGAGGCTTGGGGACTTTGAATGCGACCCGATTTGAAATACTACAGGGCCCTCGTTGGTTGGTTAGTTGGTTGGTTGAGTATGGCAGACATGTTCATCCATTCGTCCATCCAGATAGTCGAGATCTCTGGCGGAAAGGGGTTGCAATGCGGCTTGCGACTCCGCTGCAAGTTGATGTCCATCCAACACCCTTCAGTCCTCTGCGCATTCGGTATTCACCTTGTCTAGACTCGGCATGGTAGATGGCTCGCATCTGCCTCTTGATACCATCGGTCACCTACCGAGGCATCTAGCAACAGCATCATCATCGCATGCTTATTATTTGGGGATCAAGAGTTACCGTTGGCGAAGACAGGCATGCCCAGTCAGACAATCATCAGCATTCTGAGACAGCAAACTCACATACCGACGACCTGCAGACAGCAAGTCGCAGATGGAAGTGGGATCACCATCGACAGAGGCGCCCGATGGGCTATCAGATACTCTTCTCAGCCTCTGGCATGAGGAGTCCCCTGCTTGTCACCGGCGAGGTTGAAATCTAACCCAGGCTGATTGGACTGTTGGGCATGGGCACAGGAGAGGCGCGTTTCAAAGCGCCGGCGCCCTCGGGCTTCCTGATTGGCTCGCGCGCTGCCCTAAAACATTTTGCCATGTCATCCGGGCCTCGTGGTGGTGTGAACCCGTTGCCTGTCACCTCCACCGTTTCCGGTAGAGCGAGCTGGAACCAACTTTGAAGGTCGAGGGTGAACGCTCTGGAAGCCCGGGGCGACGAGTCGGAGTCTGGAGCTCGGGGCTAGAGTCCTGCAATCATACACAGGGCAGCAAGGGACCTCTTTCAAGATGCAGCGAAGAATCAGGATGAATGACTCTATCTGGGACAAGCGAGCCTGTGCAAGCTGGCAAGATGCAACCTTGCGTGTCCAGTCCCCGGAATATCTGCTGAATGCAAACATCTCCACTGCAGCACACGGAAACATTCCAGGACCTCTCTCACAGACATGACGACAGGAAGGATCACGTCGCTTCGTGACCACAAGTGCTTCATCTGGTATTACAGTACACACGCGACAGCGAAGCACGCAAGCATGATGGGATTTATCATTTGATACAGATTCGCAACTCGTATCCTCCAATCTCCATGCTGTGCTTATGATGACATTTAAGGCCGTTCGCGACAAGGGTCGTCACCTTTTCTCCTATCAGCGAGCCGAGGGATCGACAGGGACGACGTCGAACGACCCCTCCTTCTGAGATATCCAGAGCTGTCCAGGCCGCCCTCGCCAAGCACATGCAGCACGGCAGCAGTCCTGCGTTGAAACTCTTTGTGCTGATCTATCCGTTGCAAACTCGGTTTTCGCGGCACTCGAGACCGCAATTCCGTAGTGCTAATTTGCGATCTGGTGTGTTCTTCTTTTGGCCCTTGGGTCATTAGAGGGATGATATACCTGGAGCATCATGGGGCATGATCTGTAGGAGACTCGCGATATTCATTCGAGAAGTTTACCCCTGGCGGATCTCTGAGAACGACAGCTCGTTGCGCATTAGTGGGGAGCTACCTATGGACCCCAAAAGTTTCCATACATGATACCAGCGCTACGGCAGGGGAGAAGCCCCATAGATCAACGGCTTCCTGTCCGGCAAGGCTTTCTGTTGCTGCGCTTCGTCTGATGTTTCTGTCACGTTAATGATGGATGCGGCATGCCAGATGGATGTGGCATTCGGTCGAGGGCAGAGACTGAAAGCCACTTCGGTTAGTCGATCATCATCAATTCGCGGCTATGGCCTGACGTATGCGGTCGTTGAGAGGGCCACAGGGCCTCCTGAAGGAGTCATTGAAGGCCAACAGCAGCAGCGCCGCCTGAACTCACCTGAATTGATGTTGCAGCCGCAGGTGGGCAGGGGTGGGGTCCGCATATTTCGAGAGTCGTATCGGAATCTGATAGCATCGGACAAGCACCTCGGGCGGGCTTGTGTCGCACGACCGGACGAATGGGAGCTGGTCGCCGTCTGGGGTCAGCTCTTTCAGGTTTGCTGATTGGCACAGTCGCACCTCTTTCACATTCACATTTCGATAGTCCCGTTTCCGTTGATGAGCAACACGAACTCTGGCAGAGCACAGAAAGACAAGAGAAAGCCTCGAAGTCGGTCAAGACTCAAGAGTGAATTATGTATGTACTATCGTATCTGCACGACGGCACCGTACACTAATAACACAACCTCTTGAACAACGGCAACCAAACACCCGGGCTCGACGATGGTCCAATCAGAGACGCATGGCTGGCGAGCGGGACGATGCACGGCTACACGGCTGCACCGCGCGCTGGGCACGCCTTGGTCCTTTCGAGCATCAATGTAAAACACCCAACCGTCGGTACGGAGGCAACGCGACGGGGGCCCCATCAATCCCTTTGGAACTAATGATCTGTAACCCGACTCCGCTCAATAGTTCTGCGAAGAGTGCCCGTATTTTCAGGACCGAGGACCGAGGTGGCAACAACAAAAGTCCGGTCGAGCTGTTCGTCAGAGCTTCATCGTTTGGAACAGATTGTGGAAAGATACATATTCATCACGCAGCTTGCGAGTTCCTGTGATCTCCACATATTGATAATTGGCAGTGTAATAGGTAAGCATACAGACTAACACGAGCAGGAGGCGTTTATGTACACTGCCAGTCATATGTATCACATATCTCGTCACGTTGGGATGGATTCCACGAGACGTGATGCTAGCATGTCAACTAACAAATCTACACACCGATGTGATATTGGAGTACTCGGTAGGGCTCACATTGAGATTGTCCTGGTTGATCTCTCAACTGGGAAGTCGAGGGCGGCGGTCACGCGGCAAAGCCTCGGTTTGTACCAATCGAGCATTCCACCGAGGGGCGTCGATAGGGGCCAACATGGGGTAGCTGACCGCAAGCCCACACTTCTCTCACACGCAACTGTGTCACTCCCTATTCCGCCGTCCCCTTTCATAATAATAATTATTAATGGCCTGCCTGTTGGCCTGCCGCAGTTGGTGCGATCGGAGGGGAGCCAACGGTGGGCAGACGGTGGCAGACGGGGACAGATCAGGGGGGGACCTCTAGCTGGGACACTAGCGCAGGACCGCTGGGCGGTGGGCGCTGCTCGGCGCTCCTCCAGTGTCGCGGGCAGTCTGCAGTACTCCTGCGCCAGCAGCTCCTGGCCTGTCATTTTTGTAGACACCTACAGGGCTAGCCCACAGGCGGGACTCACCACTGACGAGTCCTGACTCCTGACTCCTGACTCCAGTCACTCACTGCAGGGCTGGGCCCGCTACCTTAGGCTGTCTGTGCTTTCTGGCGTCGGTCTCTGCCCCCGTCTGCCAGTCTGCCTGTCTGGGACGTGAAAGTGCGAAACGACGAAGCCTCTAAAACACCGATAACCACCACCGCGGCGCCCTGCCCCTCTCCCGTCTCGGATCTCTCTTTTCTACCTCCCTCCCTCCCTTTCTTCCTGCCTGCCTGCACTCGTGCGGTTGCTCGAGTCCTTTCGTTACTCCCTCACCTGGCTTGTCTACCCGCCTGCCTACCTAATACCTCCTATAATTCCCCACCTCACGATACCGTCGTCCTCGAAAGGTGGTAGAAGTCGCGCCTGACTTGTCGCATATTTTCTGTCCGCACTGCTACTCGCGTCTCGTGCCGTTCCGTTCCGTTTCGTCGAATCGTCCATTTGAGCTACATTCGGGATTTGCCTACTATATATCGAGCGTATACCACAGAGGCATTCCCCATCTCAGCGACTTTGCCCAGTCGTGTAACTGTACAGACGAGCGCACAGTCGTACTCGCTGCTGTGGTGCTACCCCGTGTGCTAGGAAGGTAGAACAACTACAAGAGAACTTCCGTTCCTCTATAATACTCGGCCAAGGCGACTTGGGAGAGAGAGAAGCCGAGTCCGACACGGAGTCGTGACAGAGAAACGATCTCGCAGCTGGGAAAGAAACAGACAACTGGGGACAATAAGATCCGATATTCATATTCAGGGGAGCCTCCGCCGTGCTACACAAGCGACAACCGACGATCAATTCAGTCGCATTACTCATCCTGACTGCCCCACCAGACACCAGACACCAGACATCTCTAACTTGGCCTTCTCTACCTATTGTGGTAGGTTTGCAGCCGTTCGCGCGCAATCGCAATCGACACCAACAGGAATTGCTTGGTGGAAAAAGAGGCCAGCAGACGGTGCGACAGCTGTTTTACTCTGCTTACTCGGACCCTCGCATAGCTTGCCTCGTCAACTTGAACCTGGCATTGTTTGCGACGACGCAATTGGCAAGCAACCGACCCCGGCCCAGGCAGCGCACATTGGGAAACCAGCAGCGATTCCCGGCACCAGAAGCATTGGAAGAGGAAGGTTGCTAGTCCGTTAATCGAGGGCCAGCATTTCCAACAGTCATAAGTTCGCGCAAGTGCGTTCGTTTCATCGGAAATCCCTCCAGCTGCTATTCGGAGCATTTAGGAGGATCAGAGGAAGACCAGGAACATCCCAGCGTCCCACTGCTGCACCGTTCCGACCTTCCGTTCGCTTTCCCTGCCTGGTCTTGCGTCCCAACCCCAAGGCGGCGCATAATCCATTTCAGCCGGTAACCTAGAGAGGATCGGCGAAAAAGTTCGCTGAAACAGGAAGCACGATACGACAACAGAAAAGAAAACATCTCTTTCACGATGAGTGCTGCCATCATGGCTCCGTCGCCGGCCCCTCACGACCGGCCTGCTTACGCTGAGCTGGCTCCTGCCACAACCGCTGCAAGTGCCTCGACAAATGCCGGTGCTGCAGCCGCCTCGCCTTCCATCCAGCGCACATCAGCCCTCTCGGCCACCCCGAACACCCACGCTCACAATACCTATGCCAACGCTCCCTCTGTACAACGGCCAAGCAGTCAGAGCCCTACTCGTCCAGCGACTCAACAGCAACCCAAATCCTCTCCTCCAAGCGGGTAAGTCGACCTCTGGTTATCCATTGATCTCCCCCACTCCTTCAATTGCTCTCCCATCCCTTCAATTGTATCGTACTGCGTACTGCGGTGTAACCTGTTCCATTTGATCCCATCGATGCTACAAGGTGACAGAGGACATTACTAAACATCGTCTCGTGTCTACTACAGTCTGCGGAATGTGTCAACCAATTCCGCGCCCAAGATCATCGTAAAGAAGGAGCCAGGATCCCCAGAGAACACCATCCCGACCACCCGCCATCGCCCGCGAAAGCTGGATCTCTCCAAGAACACCTTCCAGGGCTCGGGTGCGGCAACCGCGCGACCAGCGTTGGGCGCAAGGGACGGACTCGGCATTCAGGAAGTGGGCCTTGCTTGTCTATCGCCAGGCTTCGTCACACAGGACCCGATCATGAAGGAACATCTACAGCAGAGCTTGAATGTCAGAGAGCAGCAACGGCGCATCATCGAGGCGAGGCTGCAGCAACAATCTGCAAAGGGCGACGGTCCCGAAAACGGCAAGGACAGGGACTCTCTCGGCCAGTTCGCCGTAAAGACTCCGGGCATGTCAAGACGAAACAAGGCTCCTCCTGGACTCAGCATTGTCGCGCCATCCCACGAGCAATTTGCCAATGAACGGGTCATCCAGTCCGCCCCTTTGGGTCAGACCTTCACCGGCCGACACAACCCGCACCCTTTGACTCGACACTTGGCTCACCAACCCTCAAACCTATCGAGTACCTCACACATTCACCACGTCCCTGCCAACCAGACTGCCAACCGTCTGCCACCCATATCTGACGTCTTCGCTAGCCAAGGCCTTCCTCAGCACGCCGAGCACAGTGGTCGTGCTTTGTATCCACCTAACTCCAGCCACGGTCCCTTGACATCGCCCGGCCACCCCCCGCAAGCGCCTTCTCAAACGCCCATGTCGGGTCGTCCGAGAGAGTACAGGTCCGCAGAGGAAGCACAACAAGACATGTCCGGTGGACGACCGGAATTGTTGCCGAAGCTCGTGCACTACACGGGCCATCAGCCACCAACCCCGCCATCGCCCCGCAACGGGCCACCCCCCTACGACGAATATCGCAGTGCCAATAAGCGACGCACTCGAGCCGAGTACGAGGAGGGTGGCAGCCCACCGCTCGGTCATGGACCATCAGCGACTCGACGAGGACCATTCGGATCTGGCCGCGATAGTCCAGAGACACAACGACAGAAGCGCGATGAGTTCCTGCGGATATGTGAGAGAGCCTGGGATCTGTTCCACTCTTGAGCTTTCAGTTACGACCACTATGGTTAACACTGGGGTTTTTCCTCATCTTCATATCTCACGACTTAACGCCACGATACGAAACTCATCTTCCGCCTTTTCCATGTATCAGCTCGACGAGAGATTTTCTCCGGCTAATATACCATTATCTCACGACCACCGCATGTTGATGACACTCGCTCCAACGGCCATCTTCATGCATACGAGCGAGTCGTTTTGCTCCTGCAGCTGATGTATGGGCCGGTTAACGACATGCAAGGATCTAGTGTCTTGTATTATCTACAATCATGAACGGTGCTGGAGACGGAAGGTTAACAGCAAGCTTTATGCTTGTAGTACCAATGCGGATGTTCAAGCCGATGGCCGATATTACCGAGCTACGGGGAATCAACTCAGCATCGTTCACAGGAAGTGTGGGGTCTTCGCCGGTGTTTCCTTTGTTGTTCTTGGTAGGAAGGAGGTGGTATTCCGTCTCCTGTACAGGGACTTCTCATCTCTTATGGTGGTCTCCTTGACGATGGGGGATCATACTGGCGGTCTTTCAGGGTGGAGTAAGGACATGACGGGGGAATGAATAAGTGGCCACAGACTATTGAGGAGGAGAACTGTGGGCATCTGAGTGGCAGGCCGAGAAGGCGTGTACTTAACTTCGGGGTGACGGGACCTCTGGGCAGAGGGTGAGGAGCAGCTGATGAGCAAGACCGCAGGCTCTGCTGTATACATAATATGACACTTTCTGGCATATATGCTCCAGTGATGTGACCATAATGTGAATGTTGCGCTCTTCGATTTAAGCTTGTGCCTTGAAACCCCATGAGAAAGGGGACAGCCTCGACCTCCAAGCGGTCTACTTGACACACATGCGTTACGGGTCATTTCAAAGGAGCCGAGTTTCCCATACTATCATATGTCACCCTATGGACGTTGGTCTTCCGAATAAGTTCTAGATATCATGTGTCTCTGTGGTATGTTCGACCGCCCAGCAGGCGTATCATGACAAGAGCATCCATCATAGGTTAGGAGCATCCATCCCTTATATACGGCTTCCTCCATACTTGATCGCCGGCACCCCGGCTGAGGGGACGGCAGTCTTGTGCTTCGCTTGGTAGGGTGTTTGTCCTACCGATGTAGAGAGGTGGGTGGGTAGGTGGATAGGTGGGTAGGTAGGTAGGTAAATCAGGTAGATACCTATGGAAGTATGATCGTATAATGGAATTGGTAAGCTGGCGCGAGGTTTCGTCTAAGTGGATGAAATGGCTATGTATGGGAGAGGTTAGGACAGGGATGGAGGCCGGGATAGCTGATGGAAAGAAAGGATAGGAGAAGGGAGAAGGTGGAAATGGGATCGGGTACAGACATGGATTTTGGCATGTGTTGTGTTGGTGAGGTGTCGTAAGTGGGGCGGGAGGGGAGGGGGCAGGAGCAAAGGGGGAAAAGAGAAAGGGGTGGGGCCAGGAGAAGGGGGAGGGGAAATGCAGAGTTATAGAGAAGCGGTATTAGGGGATAGGAGGTCATAGGGGAGGGCAAGAGGAGAGGCGGTGCAAGGGAATGGGGATAGGGGGTGGGGAAAAGGGGCAAGCGGACGAGGCTGAAAGGGGTAAAAGGGGTAACCAGAAAAGGGATCAAAGGGGCAGAACCATCTTGTCTCATGGGATGCTCAGGGATCTTGAGACAGCAACTCCTTACTAAGAACAGATGTGATTTACCTACTTATTCACATATATGTACCCGGGCCTTGTGCAGCACGAGGTGAATAAAAGTCAAATGTTAACAGCTTGCCGACTTGATCCTCAGGAGGTTTCGTTACACTTCCCCAAAGTAGATACTAACAGAGAGGAAGATAGGTATCTGAGTAAGAGTGTATGTCACTTTAGCCTAACTTAACTGCCCTTCTTCTGCTTCACTACTTCTACTACCTACTACCTACTACCTAACGGCGGGGGCATGCAGATGGGACAGCCCCCCAGATGGGACAGTTCCCCCACCAAAACACAATATTTGCACCCACCCACATCTCTATCGGGATTGAAGCTATAGATATCATAAATATATCGTCTGAATTGTCTTTTCTTGGTGTTTCTTCCAATATGGAGTTTATTAGGTGCCCTATAGCGGGATGTCCCGTGGCGGGGGTCGGAAGTTAGCACGTCCGGCCCTAATCTGAGGGGTAATGGGACCCGTGCCCACATCCCCTCCAACCAGGCAGAAGTTCTGTGGTTCTTTTTTTTCTTTTTTTCTGTAAGCATCATAAGCTTCAGTACGTCGAAATGGCGCCTTTATACACCAAAGAAGACATTTCTGAGGCGATAGCCGCCGTGAACGGTGACGATCTGTCCCTCCGGAAGGCTGTCCCTCCGGAAGGCTGTCCAGCGTTATGGAGTACCAAAAACCACCGTTTCTCGCAAAGTTAAAGACTCCACGATGCCTACAACTGGCACCCAGCGTGAAGGACATGCTCACGGACAGAAAATAAGCCCTGCTCAAGAAAAGAAAGTAATTTCATGGATTCTGTACTAAGAAAAGGCCGGCCATGCCCCTACTCATGCCAACGTGAGGTACATCATCCAGAAGATCCTACAATCCCAGGGAAAACTGCCTCATCTTAGGGGCCATTACATGCGAAATTTCATCTGTTGGAACCCAGAGATAAAGACCAAAATAAGCAGAAAACTTGACTACAAACGTATCAATGCTACCATTCCCGACAACATCCATGGTTATCATGACTGCTACACAGATTTTGACTTTATTAAGCTCAAGAACCGCGCAAATGTCAATAAGTACGGCATTATGCAGGGCCGGCAGTACATACGTCCAATCCAAGTGTTTTTTAGACGGCTAATCAGGAGGTTATAGGTCTGATGGCCTTGTAATAGGCAGTTCTGGCTTAAAAGGGGCCAACGTCAAGTCCAACGATAACTGCACGTGGACTACTGTGGTAGAATCGATCACCGCCACTGGAAAAAAGCTTCGGCCGCTGGTTATCTTCAAGGCGAAGTCGATACAGACGCACTGGTTCAAAGAGCAGCTTATTCTCGAGCATCCTGGGGTGGCAGACTGGATAGTGACTTACTCTGTTAATGGCTGGTCCTTGAACACGATCGTGCTCAAATGGCTTAAAAAGGTTATTTTTTTCTTCTTTTTTAATGTTAATTATATGCTAAATAACCCCCTAGATCTATCTGCCAGATACTGCCCCTGAAGACCCGGATGAGTTCCGCCTGTTGGTGCTTGACGGCCATGGCAGCCACTGCTCAGATGATTTTATGTATCTATGCTATATAAACAACGTCTATCTGAGCTTTTTTCCTGCCCATACGGTAGGTTATATCCTTAATTAGTAGTTATTCCGCTAATAGGGGTAGTCTCACATCTTCCAGCCCCTGGATCTGACCGTTTTTTCTGTGGTGAAGGCCGCCTATCGCTGCCTCATTAACCAGCTCGGTCAGTTGAACGATTTGGCCCCTATTGGCAAGATTAAGTTCCTTTCTTGCCTGGCGAAGCCCGTGACAAAGCTACTCCTGTTATCGTGTGTTCGGGATGGCGTGCTGTTGGCCTTTGGCCCATAAATAGGAACAAGACACTGGCAAATGAGCATGTGGTAAAGGCAGCAGAGATACAAGCAACAGCTGCTGCTATAATGAACCCTGAAACCACCCCTGATGCCCTAGAAGCCCCTACACCAGGGCAGGATATAGCCCTGATGTTGTCAACAGTCACGGAGACCCCTAAGCAACAAGCAGCAGTGCGCGCAGTCACGAAGTCATACGATGAGACGGTGATTGAGTTAGCCATTCTGAAGCTGCAAAATGAGGCAAAAGACGACGAGATCGAGCGTCTACAGTCTAAAAAGCGCCGTAAGGCCCCCCAGAAAGAGCCTGATCAACGGCTATAGAGGATAGGAGACGTTGTTCAGGAGCAGATCGAGCATACAGAGGCCGCACAAATGCTAATTGACCAGCGGGCAGAGAGACGACGACTTTTGCGCGAAGTGCAGAACCTGGAGACCAAAGAATCAGAGGAATCGCCTTCTGAGGACTCCCTCTCCTCTGATTCAACAGATTTAGAAGATCTAAACAAAGGGGTGGTTATTGACAAAGAGGGCAAGGGGGTGTCTGACGAGCCGGATGATGAAGAGGAAGAGCCCATCGTGATGCGATCTCAGCGCCGAGAAATCCGCTGACCCGCCTGCTACCGCTAAAAACACTGGTATCGCTAAAAACACTAAGGAAAGGCGATTATTTTGATATATATAAATTATCTATAGCCTCAATACCAATGGGGTTATATGTGGGTGCAAATGTTGTGTTTTGGTGGGGGAACTGTCCCATCTGGGGGGCTGTCCCATCTGCATGCCCCCGCCGTTACTACCTACTACCTACTACCTACTACTTACTACTCATTTATATACCCATGTCTTTACGTACCTACTACCCGCCATCCGTCCTGCAGACCGGTCGTTGAACTCTAGTACCATATTTCCACTATAATAGGTATGTGATGGACACATTGGGCAGCGGGCCAGCCTGAATCACATCGGGCTGACGGTCGGGTCTGGGCAGTGCGGATTGTACTATATCAACCAGCAGCATCGTTCATCCCCTATTCAATACCATACATCAGACAAGATATACCAGAGGAGGAGGGAGTCTCCTACATGTAATCAGTTGACAAGACTCCTTAGTCGTGCTTGCCTAGAATGTTTTCTCCGAGCACATTGTATGTAACGAGGAGCTGGTTCCCTATGATGTGAACGTAGGTGGTCCAACAAGGTCTCTGTTTCTAGGGGCAGCGAGCAAAAGCGATAGTAAGAAAAGCGTAGACCTATCGGTCTGTCAAATGAGAAGTATTCAAGGGAGGCCGCATAGATCGATGGTCTCGGGTGTACGTACACCTTTAAGTTGCCCACTACTCTCAGGTATGAGGGGGTTATCTAGACTCTCTTTTGTGGTCTAAACATATAGTCTACACATATTGATACATTTCATAGTGCTTCAACGCCTACACACGAAGAAGCACGTTGGCAACCTGGGGTGGATTCGTGCCTAGGCTAGCGGAAGTGTCGTGTAGCTTGCCGGACTATAGACTGCGACAAGGGACTACGTGATAATTACAGAAAAGCCAGAGGTGTGAGCGAGCCTGTGTAAAGCAAGGGCTATTCTAGCGGCCTTCAAACTGTCCTGCCAAGGTAGTGACTGAACGAGAGTAGCCGTCGAATATGTGCCCAGAGTTGCCGTACCGGAGGATGATTTTCAAGCTTCCATTTCTCTCGCCACATCGACCGAACTCATCTGTAGCAAACCAAACCGCTTCCACCCCAGGAAGGAGGCGATTTCTTGGCCGCCGCATTTCCTCCTTGAATAGCCGTCCAGAATGAGTGAATCGAATCGCCCATCCGCCCGGCCGTTCAATTGTCAATCCGACCATTGCATCAGTTCAGAGGGTGCGAGTATGTTCTTCGTTGTACATTGACAAGAGCCGTCGGTTTCAATGGACGCTCACTCGCAGTGCGCATGGCGCATCTAATTTCTTATCCTGTCGATGCGCTGCGCGGCGGAATCCTGGCGTTCGTGGGTAATTTCATCATGGTAGAACGGTCACGAAAATAGAGGGTTTGAGAATGAAAATGAGAACGAAGGGGAAGAAAGGGAGGAGACCATGCGCCAAACTCCTTGCAGGGAAAAAGCACGTTTCAGTCGTAAGGCTAAAAACTCGATGGTTCAGTGCCTAGTAGCTCATGATGCCGAAATACTGAGACCACCAGAGGTTTATGCGAAGACATCTAGGGAACGAAGAGGCCGCCGATCTGGTCTAGATGCCGGACCGAGGTTGAGCTGCGTACCGAGGGCCTCGCTTATAGGCCCTCTTCGCCGGCCTTGCAGAGTTTGATCTCACGACCCCATTCGGACTTGAGTACTTGCGAGGCGGTGATACGTCGGGAAGGATTCGGGTCCAGGATAGAATATATGACGTTACGACAACGGGCCTTGACATGCCACCCGTATCAGAACGTTGCACCAAACATGGGATACGGGGAAAACACGGGGAGAATCGGGAAAACTTACACGATGGAGTGACTCGATTGGGCCGTAGCCTTCTTCGTCGCGACGACCCTCCAAGTACCTTTCATAGAATTCGTCGTCGTCTTTCTTTGCAACACGCCACAAATGTCTGCCCGTCCGCATCGCCATGTAAATGACACCGCAAGCCCAGACATCGACGGCACGGGCATCGAATTCTCTGTCAATGTACTCCTCAGGGGAGATATAGGGTGCGGAGCCACAGAGGCCCGATACCATGTGCGCGTCATTCTCCCAGGCCATCCGGAAGCATTCGCCGTTGCCAAAGTCGGTTATTTTCAGGGCACCGTGGGACGTCAGCAGCAGGTTCTCGGGCTTCAGGTCACGGTGGGCGACACCCATCTCATGCATATACTCGACGCCTCGCATCATTTGCTTGAAGTAGCAATCCGCTTCGAGGACTTCGAGCTTGCCGGCCGCCAGGACAAGCGTATACAGGTCACCACCGGAGCAATACTCCATCACCTCGCAGTAGTCGCCTTTCTGATCCTTGAGGAGGTCCAGGGTGTGGATGACGTTTGGATGCCGCAGGGAAGATGAAATGCAGAATTCTGCGGTCAAACGCTTGCTGTATTTCTTCTCGGTCTCCTCCGGCCTGCGGCGAAACTCCTTCACGGCGAAGAGCTTCTCGCCCGTCTCAATCTTCTTGTGTGAAATCCTCACAATGCCAAAGGCACCACGACCAACGACTTCATGACACTTGCCGTACTTCTCGACAAGGGTGATGCTCTGGTTGGCAGTCCCCTTCCGATCGTTTGCTAACATCTCCTTCTCTTCCTGGAGCGTATCGACCCAGCTGGACACCAGCGACAGATCAGCCTCGGGTGCTTGATCCTGTTTTCGGCCAAGGAGGCTCTTCCACATGTCGGACAGTTTTTCCTGTCGCTTGAGGCCCTTGAGGTGGTGTTCGTGACCACCCGGCAGGTCTGGATTCGCGACGTATCTCTGCTGTGCATGGTGCGCGAACTTGGACGATACAGAAGCGGACTCGTTGGTGGAGGGCTTGCGACTTGGTGGAACTGGCTTTGCCGTAGTGCTTGACTTCGCAGGTGTACCATTGCCAGATGCAGGGGCCGGGCTTGGGACGACGCGCTTCGATGGCTGGGCGAGATCGGCGACTGCTCCGGCCTTGGGAATCTCGTCCTTGTTGGAGAACATTCTGGTCAACCTGTCCTTGATCTTGGTCGACGACTTCTCGGCTTGCTTCGGCTGAGCCTCGGGTGAGAGGGTGCCATTGATAGGCTGGCCATTCTGCTGGTTTGGATTCGGAGATCTCGTAGGAAGCTCGACGGACTTGATGGAGGACTGTTTCGAGGCATTTGCTGAAGCCGTCCTTTCCGAAATGTTCGACATGTCTTCAGGCTCGGGCGCTGACGGGCGTAGAGGGTATGGGTAAGGAAGTCAAGGACCTTGGCGACAAGGGGTGAAGGGGACCCGCGGGGTGATGGGCGCAAGGTCTGAGGTCTGGGCGGGACGGCGGGACGGCTAAGACGTGGGTGGCGGCGAATGTCGCCTTGGTGGGCTAAGCCCAGGTATTGGCGACACGAATGACGGATGGCAAACCGGCGGCAGATGGTCCCAGCAGTATTGCAGGCTCGAGGAAGAAGGAGAGGGAGAAGGGGAGAGGGAAAAGCGGGATGAGGTTAATTTTGTAGTGACCCGTAACAATTGGAAGTCTGGCCGTAACTCAAAGCAGCGCTTGGGGTGGGCAGGTGGCAGGTGGGCGGGCAGCGCCTGTAGCGCAGTAGGGCAAGGGTGCGCAGGACCCAGGTGTGTGCCGGTGGGGGAGGCGAGAGAAGGCCACTAGAATAGCAGACTTTTAGGGCCTACGTCGCCGAAATTACAGTGCTGTCCTGGTAGTGCCACCGATGATGGGTGACGGGTGACGGGTGACGGGCGATGCGATGCGCAAACCTCTGTCTGCAGCGTTGGAATACCCGAAGGCTTGTTTCGCGGTAAAAAAGAGGAGCAAGGTGAGGGTTTTTGCCCACTTTGTGGATATCTTCGACAAGAGCCAGTCAGGAGTACTTTGGGCAAGTATGCAGAGGGTGTGTGAGAGCCTTTGTATACTTGAAGGTCTGGAGTGAGGGTAATGAAGAAGCAGTGAGCAAGCGGCGAGCAGCTGACTGATGATGTATGAGGCTGATCTTCTGTGAGCGGGCAATCAGGAGGAACCGTGGAGTGGTTCCAGCAAATGTTAGAGGCGGAACAAGTGGTGCTCAGATGGATTCCGTTTCGAGCGATTGTAGACTGTCATTGTAGGGATGGATCAGTTGGAGGAGGTGAGAGTGAGCATCTCAGGGCGGGCAGTCCGAGGAATGGATGGGATTGAAGGTCATTACCTGCCCTCTACCTAGGTAGTGAATCACACTTGACTGATGGACAAAGGGGTAGCAGAGCAAGCAGAGCAAGCAGTCTTGGCAGGACGTGGGATGCAAGAGTATATTTGTACGAGACAGCTAGGAGAAAAAACGGCTGCATGTGTGGCGGCGCCTCGTACTTTATTAACGACGGGAAGTTTGCTAGGATTCTCCCAGGGTGAATCGTGAGTTGCAGATTGCCTGCGTTACTCACGGCGCGTTATCATCGGCAACCGTTGACTATTGGCGACAAAGGAAGACTCTGGAGTCAGCTGGCACATGGCCCATGGGTGAGATGATGAGATGATGGGTGCATGAGGGGGTACTCGACCTAATGTAGGTAGGTACCTTGCTTGGACTTCAACCACACCCGGCCAACACGGGAAAACTCCCATCAACGCCGCCATCATCGTCGTCGTCATCATCAAGTACATGGGCAATATGTTTGTGGTCGAGAAGGAAACACAGTCTGGCCGAGTACCTACATGTTGTATGTCGATTGTATGCAATGTGGAAGTACTGTCAGTCCCTGACTAATCACATGCGGTCTGCAGAAGGCGTCTTCTCATTCGCTGACAATTGCGAGAGACATGGAAAATATCCCAATTCATCAAGGCCCTTGTCCCTTTCCACCTTCCAACAACACCCTCTGCAGTGCCGCCTACTGATGCGATATTTGTCTTATCATCATCGTGCTTCAATTGAATCGAGTAGCGTTTGCAGTTGATCTCGACTCGTTACCACCCAAAGGATTTATCAGGTTCGAGCCCCCGCAGCCCCCGATTCCAAAGCAGCATGCCTTTGCCTGTGGGTGGGTAGTCTCAACTCTCCTTCTCACGCGATCCGGCCAGCCATCAGCCTACCTACCACATGGCAGCCAGCCACGGCTCCGTCTTTTATTAGGTATTATCAATGAGCAAGATGTCTAACGTTAGCTGGTGTACCATGAGGTCATCCGATGCCGCCCGCAGGATAAAGAGCCTCACCGCAAAAGCAAAACCTAACTTGGTATCGACACTTGCTTTGTTCCCAAGCTGTCCCATGACTGCCGCCGATTGCCATTCTTCTAGAAGGCAGCCCAACGACCTGTCGAGTCATTCTACGTGGTAGGCTGCCGCACCTTTGTTCCACCAGGGCCACATCCACATGGCACATGGAGAGGTACAGAGAGACAGAGATCAACCTGTCGAGCCGAAGCCTGTTACACACGTCCGGCTCTCCATCCGAACCTCGTCCGCGCTATTGTATGAGGCATTTCTGACCCTCGGCTCTGCGAGGTTCTCCCTCTTCGGATCACCTGCAGCTGCAGCACCCGTCATCACGCAGCTTCTCATCCACATCGACTAGCCTTGCTTCAAGGTGCTCATACATACCCGCATACCTTACCCCCAGGCCTACATACTGCTTCCTGGTACGGTAGTGTGGTTTATTGTCTTCCAATCTTCAGGAGGTTGCCTGCCACCACGAAACCGCCATCAGCAAGTCATACTACCTCTTTACTAATTACCACCAAGTACACCTGCCACTACCAGGTAACGCTCACGCTCACCGCTACAAATTAACCGCCAACGCCAAATGCAGCTCTGTCGTTACGAGATATCAGCGTTGGGGGTCTGCAGGCGCAGCCAGAAATGCGCCGAGATGCCCTGATGATAATATGGATATGTCAATGCGCCATCGTCGTTTCCGGCAATTGCGCAACACCGTGGATTGCTCGTCACTACAGTATAGTACATACTCTGATAGCCGCCGGCGTCTGCTATCTGGCAGACACATATGCGTGTGGCATCATCCGGCCCCGGCCGCATTTGCCGGACGCCATCGTCAGGTGCTGCAGCTGGGCCTGGGCCGCATATGTAACTTCGTAACAGCGTCAGCATCAGGGTCACCATGAGAGCTCATGCCTGCTCATACCTGCGCATGCTGCAGCTCCCGGAGCTCTCACACCTCGTGCCAAGCTTGTCGTCTGGTCTCCGCGCTCTCTCACGTCGCTGTCATTCGCTTCAAGCTGGCGGGAGGCCTCTTGAAGTCCCCACAGCAACTCAACCTTCCCCCAGCCCGCCTTGCATATCACCACTTCTGCATGCGTGTTTGGTGCAGTTTTGGAACCTTTGGCAATGCTTGCCTACTCTCTGAGGGGTTGTGCCCCTCCAAATCCATGTTCTGCTACCGCGGCCAATGGCAGGGTATTGCTTCTTATAGCTTTTGGCTTGGCGGGACCGCAAATGGACCCAGTAGTCTGGGATATGTTCGAGCTGATGCTGCTGTTTGTGTTGTCGTGCGATCTGCAAGTGTGGACCGACATCCTGGCTGCCTGGGCTCGACAGCAGCTCCTGAGTCCTGAGTCCTCGCGGCACTTTCCACCGATACACATGTTGGCATGTTGGTCTGCCGCAGGTTTCAAGGGTCTCTCTTATCACTGACGTTGCTCAGCTCCAGTTGATCCTATCTCCCGTCTCCAGCCCGGTTGACGTCATCATCCTATTCCTCCCGTCGCAGCTGTGGTCCTCCTGATATATCCCGAAGTACATGTAGCAGCCTCATCGTGTGTATGTGCAACGGCGGTCTCACCAGCCACAGAGTTGAGGGAGTCGTGCATTAGCAGTTTCGTCTCTCCTTAGTGAACGGCCCTCGTGCCCAGACAACGACAAATGAAGGGTTCCTCGTCCTGTACGTTCCTGCCAAGTGGCTGTCTCCTGATATGCAACATCTCGTGCACCCTGCATCCGCGCCTTGGTAGCATCATCGCCTAAGGGACGGCAAGAACGGCAGCAGAGAGCATGCACGGCGAAGTCCTAACAGAATGCTCTAGGCTTCGACGTAAAGTTTGCGCCAACATGCAGCTCGCAGCAAGTAGATGAAACTCGGGAGACTCCCCTCCTTTTACTCTGGGCTTTTCGCGCCACATGCGGTTACAACCTCATGCAAACAGCACGCCCACCAATCGGCGGACTACAAGCGTCCATATCACAAGAGCGACATTTCGCTAATACGCAGTAGTCGTTCAGCAGTGTCCCGGGCAGGCTACTGTACAGGCAAGCCACGCTGATCATTGCGGGAGCTATCGGCCGCCCATTTTCCATGAACCTGTAAGGCTTATCCGGATGCAGCAACGTCGGTCTTTGGTGACACGGAACGATAGGTTTGAAACTCATGGCTCATACCGATATCGCATGTGCGCTCACATGCTGGCCAGATGCACAACGCTTATGTCAGTCACGAGGGGATCGAAGTACTTGGGATTTGTAAGCCCGTACCCACGCCCAATTGCGATCCCTCATAATTTGCGGCTCGCGTGGGATTCCCCATCTTGAACGTGTCTCCAGGAGTCCAGACAAGTATCAAGCCGCAACCCAGTTTCGTCTACTGAGATGCTTGCTGTGCAACCACACGAACCCGAAGAACCGGGCGGTTTTACCGGGAAATAGCACGGTCAACGGCCCCGTTCCAAAGAGATGCCGCAGGAATCACGTCTAACGTGACGTCTGCTGGATGGGAATCTGGGGTTCGAGTGTGGGGAAGGACATGCCTTTTTGGGATGCGCCTCCATCGCTTGGAGATGTCGCCCTGCCTATGGCATGTTTTGGTTTTGCTTGCCGCAGCTTGCTGGCGCGGACAGGGTGCTCTGGGAGCCCAAACACCATGGCCCAAAACAGATCACGGCCACTCGCTCCGCTGGTTGGTCACCGCGAAGCTGCTTACTTGCCGGCCGGGCGATAGTCTCGGCCGGTTGGCTGACTACTAGATCAATACGCAGTCCGAACCGACCAAACATCTGGTACCATGCGTACCGTGCCAAGCGAATCGTACCAACTAATAAGCCGCCTTCCTCCTGTCTGGTGTATGGCGTCTGGGCGGTTCCGGTTCGTTTTCGTCTACGTGATGTACATACTGCTGGACGCGGGATGTTTAGGAAGGAAGGGAAAACTTACTCCTTTGGGGATTGGGGGTTGAGAACGGGGATGGAGATGGATGGGGTTTGGGAGTGCGCATGTCACATCATTCCGCTCGCTTGTGGTGTGCTTTGCGCCTTGCGTGTAGAAAGAGATAGAGCCATTGTCTGTGGCTGCGGTCTTGGGTGCTGTTGGCTGGCTGGTTGGCTGGCTGAGTGTTGGTCACAGGATCGTGAGGTTGAGGGCGCTCGTGTAGGCAGGTTTCTTGCTTCCCCTTCCGTAAAGCAGAGGAAACGATGTGCGTCCATCTAGCTTCTGGAAGCAGGTTGGGTTTTACGGCTTGTCGATGATTGCTCGTGCTTGCAGTAGGCTGGCCATGACGGTGGTGACTGCTTTAGACGTATCGTCGTTGCTGGTCTGTCGTATGATACTGATGCGAAAGAAACATTGACTGCCATCTGCCATGAGCTTGGCGAGACCGCCTCTTGGCTCGGGAGAAAGGGGCTACGCAGTGGAATAGTGATTGCAGTATTACACAGGTCAGTTAGTCATATCGCCCATGAGAAGACGATTCAGTGCCAGTTGTTTGCGGTGGTTTGGGAGACGTCCTTCTTTTACCCCTGCACCAAGCTAGATCCCTTATTACAGAGGGTTCATGGTGTTGGTGTAGTCAAGTTTCTATGGGACTTCACCGGACGCCATGGATTCGGGGCATCCTCATGCAGCATCTTGCGTGTAGCTCCATACCACACGTAATTATTGTAGAATGTGTGCTCCGGTGTCCGTTACCTAAGGTTAGACCTCTTACTATACGCGTAGATGGTGTAGATTCAGTCGAGCACGAGGCTATATACGAACCCGTGTATACGAGTCCAGTCGATATCGCCATGTGTTGTCCGAGAAGCTACGGTCATTGCAGGATGTGAGAGTCCATGTCAAAGCGGTCACGTCTGCAGCACTCGATATCCAAACTTACACTCACTGGAGCTTCGAAGGATTTCTTGTTCGTCTGAGTGACACCTTCGGTAAGTCTACCACATGACGTGAGGGAGATTCCCGAAACATGTTCCTACGGTTTGGTACACTCAGCCCTCATAAGTCTCCGTGCTCGCATGTTGACAAGATTCCAGATGCCCCGTGGGAATTTTCAAATACTGTAATAAGCAGCTCTGAGTTCACATAATAGTTTTGATGCTTATTCCAGTGTGCTTATTCGAATAACGATAAATGTATCGTTATTCCCGAGACCGGTGGTGTACGGAGACTTAGGAGAATTCAGTGTAGATGCGCTTTGAAAGTATAGTTCGGAGCTTTTGACTGGTATTGACACCGTTTTGTTAACCATTCCGTGCTACTGCTGAACCCGGTCACAAGCCGAGATGTGATGCCTGGTCCTACGCAGGGACACCTTCTCGCGGAGGGGGCGTCGTTCATTAACGGTTTCTTGATGAGTGGCTGGCTACCAGGAGAACCAGATGACTGCGTCAGGGCACCAGGCCAGCATTGCAAGTTGGAAGAATGAGGTGGTATAGAGAAATCATGTGGATGAGTCTCTTGATGATACGGGTCCTCGCTGGTCTTGCTTTGTTCCTATGTGGTCCAAGGAGGTCACCGGTGGTATCGTCCAAGATGTTTCTCTCGCAAGGGACGTGGGACTCTCCGTCACCCTGAGAATCAAGTAAATATAAGCTCGAAGGGGACTACAGCTATCGCGAGATTTAGACTGTACTGGACGCAAGGTCAGGGCTATCATTCAAAGAGGCCTAGCGAGCCGGTCCACGGCCCTCAGGGGGCTCTGTTCTCATCATGGCGGCGCACCTGACGTATATACAAACATGTGCAAGCGATCATTGTTACGGACCACTATAATTCAAATCCAGGGGCACCTAGCAGACCAACATCACAACAGCTCCTCCTCCTCCATCACGCCCACCAACAACACTCACTCATCCCACAGCACACACGATATGCTCTGCCCATCCGGCAGCGCCAAATCCGTAGTCCACACCGCCAGCGCCACCCCATCATCCACAACGCCCGTCTCCGGATCCCTCTTAAACACAACCAGCCGGCCGGGCACGCTATACTGGTCCGCCACCGCGACCATCGTCCCGTCGCCACTGACGGCAAACGTCCGTGGCCACGCGCCGCCCGACGCCGTCAGCTTGATAAGTGATAACGTCCCGGTGTCGAGGTCGACGCCGTAGGACACGATGGTGTCGCTCGTGTTGTTTAGGTAGGCGCTGCGCCCGTCGGCACGCGTCGACAGCAGCAGGTGCCGGCCGCCCTCGGCGACGGCGATCTCGGCCGGTAGGGTGGTGCCGGAGCCGGAGCCGAAGCCGGTTTGGTATGTGCTGTCGTTGTAGAACTGGCGGAAGCTTATACCCCCCATCCCACTCCCACTCTCGCCATCGCCGTCGCTAACGTTATACAGCACCTCGAAGCCGAACAGCGAGTTGGTCAGCTCGCCCAGCACGTAGAAGAACGTCTTGCTATTCTCGGAGGGGCCTTTGGCGAACACGCCGTGGCGGGGGCCGTTGCCCGGCGCTGTGAAATGCGCGCCTAGCTCGAGGAGTCGGCCGTCCCGGCCCACGGCGTAGGTGCGCAGCACGTCGGCGCCGCGGTCTAGGACGACGACGAAGCGGCCCGTTGGGTCGGCTACGATCCCGTGTGGGTAGGGCTTGTCTGTGGATCGGGAGTCAGCCGGTACTTTACGTAGACAGTTTGGCGATCTAGGTAGATGCGTGGCTTGGGAACATGGAGCTCCTGGACGAGTCTGGGTAGGAGATCTGCTATCAGGACATGCCCAGAAGGGGACATAGGAGAACCCGAATCCCTACGTTCACGTACCCTGCAGCGTGGCATTAGGACCCGGCGCATCCATGAAGTAGTGAAAGCTCTGCAGCTCAACCAACCGGCCCGGATCCGTCGTATCCCAGACCGACACGGCGCCGCCGGCATAGTGCGCCAGCCCCAGGCGGTTCGGCGCAAAGAAAATAGCTTGCACAGGCCCATAATCCGTAGTCACATTATCGAGGAGATTCAGGGAGGAAGAATCCTCTGCCTTGTTGGTGGAGAAGGACGACAGAGATCCCGTGTTGGGCAGCGTGTAGGCCTCGTTGGCGCAGAAGAGCGTGCCCGTCGCCTTTTCGAGCGCCAGCCAGCTCGGGTTGGAGCCGCAGTCGAGGGTCCGGGAGACTTCGCTGAGGGAGAAGCTGTTGTTGTTGGCGGCGCGGGTGAGCGAGAGCTCGAAGATGGGGCCGGCGTAGCTGGCTGCGTAGATGGTTTTGGCTGCTGCTTGGGTGGCGCCGGATAGGGCCAGCATGGAGATGAGGGCGTATTTCATGGTCGCTAGTTTATGGGAGAGCCCTCGTTCTTCGTCACGATCTCGAGGGTGAGGAGTGGCTACTCAGCAAAACCTCGAATCTGCTGGAAGTAAATATTTGGATACCGCCTCGTCGGGAGTAGAACGCGGACAGTCGGCGCACCGTCACTCTACGCATTGGCAATGTTACACCGGCAGACCGGCCGGCGCGGGTGGTTGCTGAAGCCACCCGGAATACGAGCTCATCATTCTGCATGATGTCTGTCCTTGGCCCCAGTTTCGTAGACCGTGAGTGATCGGTGCTGACAAAGATAGAGAAGCTCCTGAAATGGGATGGTGCTTAAGGATGACATGCAGTGCTGCTGAGCCTTGGCTCTCCGAAGATTGGAAGCTGACCTCGCTTCAGGGGTAGAGAGGCATGTTTGCGGGCGAGCTGGTGCCTTGCTGTCCAGAGCCAACTATACGCGCATGCGGGTGATGGTATATACCAGACATAGCTCAAGAGTGCAAACGTCTCCGCTGCATAGCCACGTGATATTTCCGTTCAGATGAGACCGAGCAGAAATGCTGACGAGGTCTTTGGGGAGTGCTGGCGGGGATGGACAACAGCCGGATGAGAAGAACAAGGTATGAAAGGCCCGGTTATGATGATTCCGGTTTCCGCATTCCCGCCTCTAGATAATCGTAAAGGTTTGAACTTCACTGCAGCTGCCAAACCATCTGCCTAGTTTCGTGCGCTCCTTCTGGTCCTCGAGTCTCGTTCCAGGGGGCGAGGCCAACCCAACGCGAACACATACACCACTACCCGGAGCCGTTGGGTCCGCTGCGAGTATGAGACTCACGGGTGCCGGAAACTCGCAAGTCTCGGCTACCTGTAGCACGGTGACCTCTCCCCAATGCTCCGGAGCGGTACCGGTTGTCGCCAATGGTGGCTCGTCACAGTCCATTCGGACCTCCATACACGCGTTCAAGTCGCGATGCTCCAAGTGGAACGATGGCCGGTAAGATCCACTTTCTTCACGAAGGGAGCATCTGTTGATGGCGCGGCCGCAGAGGACAAGTCGACCACTGGTAGCCATGCCGAACGCGTTTCCATCAACGTACTCGCAACTAGCCTCCAGTACTTCGACGGTTGGCCTGGTGGGCTGTGTCAGGTTATATGCAACGGGCGAGGAGACCGAAGCCCAGGATCACGTCGGGGCCGTCCACGTGCCTGCTGCACGTCCGGGTTTGGGGTTGGTCGTGGTCCATAGCAAGTCCCCGGGAAGAGATGCAGACCACAGGCCGGCGAGGTAAGTCTGGTCCCGCCGCACGGCCTGGGTCTGCTCTGCCAACGCCCCAATGGCGAGTAACCGATCGGTTTCGTTGGTGAGGTCCAGATGAGAGTAGAATTGGACCAGCCGCCTCCACGTCGTTTCCGACTGCGTTGTCAACAGTTCTCGTCGCCTCCTTAGCCTTGGGACCACGCTTTGTCGAAGGAAGGTGACATAATCACCCCGCGGAAATTGTAATGGAGGCAATACTCCTAGGACGCTGTTGATATGGTTGATCTTTGAGCTGACGGGGTTGTAAGGTCCTTCGCAGTGGAATCCGCACTCGCAGGCCGTATCCTCGTAGCACTCCCAGATCAGTTCATCCGCCGTGAAGTAGAGCATCCTAGGCGAGACGAGGCGCTCTTGGAAAGTTCAGGCTCTCTGGAAAAGGGGCTCTGAGTTCCTGGTGAGGTACAGGTTTGTGGTTTCACGAAAGGACTGCTGTGCATATAATTCGGAAGACATGTCCCCAAGTCGCAGCGTCGCGAGCTTCACTTGGCGTCCCGGTGCCAGTGTGGAATAAAGGCCCGCGGAGCTGTCTGCTGCATGGGCAGCTCCCAGAGTCAAGTGAGCATGCTGAAATACGTGAAACATCCGACCTGCTTCTCGCAGCCAATCTTCGCGATCTCTCTGTATGATGCATATGGAGTCTATCCAGATATACCCTATTCCCAGTTTCCGGGTGAAGGATATGGCGTGTTGGAAGGTTTTGGGCAACGAGTCCCACGGTATATTGCGCTTCTGCGAGGCAACACTGTCTCTTATCGTGAGGCAATTCGGCAGCTTCTTTCCCCAGCAATGGCTCAGAGCGATATAGCGGGAGCCGTTACATGCGTCGACTCCATCTATCAACTTCACGTCGCCAAAGGTAGAACCAACGGATATAAGGCGAGTAGGGATGAACGAGTTGGCCCTTGTCCGACATCGCGTATGAGTCCTCAGACATGTAGACAGCTGGTTCTGAATCCAATCGAAGGCAAGGTCCGACTCGGTATTTCCAGACACCAGGGAGCCTCGAGGAATACCAGAGCAGCTTTTGCCCATTCGCTGTGGAATGAATAAATTCCATTCGATATCGTCCTTTTCGAACAACGAATCTTCCCACCGGATGCAAGGCTTGTCCTGGTTTATCCAGCGATACACATCCCAACTTGTCTGATCAAGCTCAGGCTGGCTGTTCAGGACCCGAAGCTCTAGATCGCAAGATATACAGGCCATCTCTTTGGACCTAGTGAAAAGGACCCTGGGACGCTCTTCATCCGGACTTGAGACCCTGAGCTGATGCTTGGGATTGCCACTCCACCCGCAGCTAGGACATGGTTCGCGTTGGCGCCACAAAGGTCCCAATATGTGCAGATAGTTCCAGTATCTCGGTAGCACGATGAGCTCAGGTTGGCTCCTGGGAAACATTACTTCGGACAGAAAATCCAGCCATTTGCTTCGTCATAGTCAGCCATAAGCAAGTGAGCCGGTGAGAATCGCGTCACGCCTTCCAGTTGCGACGATGGCTTTTTTCATTTGCAACAAGATATAATAATGGCTCTATCCGGTGTGCTGTCGAGAGCGTTGATTTCTGTACACCTACTCAGTGACGGGACTGGTTTCCGCGCGCTCGTATAGTGCAAGCAATGAAATCAGTAGGCTACTGTGTATCAAGCAGTAAGCTGACTGAAGATAGTGTTTCTGTGCTGAAGAGACAGGGGTAGTCGCTCATAGCTGATACCAATCAGCCGACGGACAAGGGAGTTCCCTTTCCCCACAAGGAATTATATGAAGCCTGGCGATGATCTCGACGCCGCACTCCGATATGGAGGCATTGATACGCAAAGTACATGCATTATCTGGCGCCAGCAGGATCCACGATTGCTACCCAGCGGCAATAGTGGCGGCGAGAACTCGATAAAGCCTGTCGCCCCAACAGCTGATCCAGATCGCCAGGGCTCGTGATAGTCGGCAGATTGTTGGCTACGCCTGGCATGATGCTTCCCGGTGTGACCAGTGTGACATGACCCCTTTGATCGCCCGTCACAGCAGATCACCCAGGTTGAAAAAGCCTATCACTCAGACCTACGACTGTAGAATGCACCCCGGGACAGGGATATTCTGCAGTGAGCCTATCTGGTGAATATGATACCTTGACGGTCATAGACTTGGCGTTCACGGTACACGCCGTGTTTATCTGATGTGGAATGTGTTCAACGTGAACTCAGTGCAGGACGGCAGCTCTGTACCGGGCGAGCACCCAGAAAGGTCTCAGAGCACGCACCCGGACTCGGCGACGAGAACAAGTTCTGCGCACCGCTTGCCGAATTCGGATTTAATAGATTGCATACACAGCAGGTTACAGGGTCTTGGTAAGCGCAATGCCTCCGCAAGAAGGAGATTTCTCTCATGTGAAAAATGCAAACGGGACCAACAAGTGGAAGGAAGCTCGTAGGGCCAAGGGTCTGCGGGCACAATCCTGGGTGTTGCATGAAATGTAGTCGAAGAGGGGGAGCCCACGGATCCGTGAACTCCTCCCATCTTCGTCCAGAGTTTCCCAACAAGCTCCCGCAAAGATGCCATTAAAGTTCCCGCAAGCTCACCCCGCTAGTACGAGGCTGCCGAGCTGACGAAGGCGATGGAAGAGTCATGATGAGTTGTCGGTGCCGCCGCATTGACGGACCAAGTATATCAAGATTGAGTGTGCGTGTCCCGTGCCCGACTGAGCCGGGGGATCCTGGGTTCCCGCGTCCCGACATATTGGAACTTGGGCCGGGTCTTGCGACGCCAAGGGTATATAGATGGGGATTCGTGATGGCCTCTTCTTCGGAGTCGCCATATACTCACCCACCTGACGACGGAGACGATAAAGCTCTGACCAGAGCCTGGCGCGCTGGAAGAGAGTGCATAATCAGGTGCGGTCGAATGCGGTCAGGACTCAGGGGTGGTTAACGCTGTGCTCGAGTGTTTCCCCGGCGAGCCTAGAACATTAAACATGGCCGAGCTTAGGTAAGCTAATGACGACCCGGGCTTAGCAATGGGGGATGATGTCACTTTACACTAACTACAGTAGGAGACGGTTTTAAATAATAAACGGTCTCGGGATATATCTGCATTAGGTGCAGTTATTAGCCTGGCTTCAGCACGCAATTGGAAGCTCTGAGATTCTTTCGATGACGAGGAGAGCCTGTTACAGCTATCGCCGTGTACCTAGTTGGTGAACTATTTCCTCATGACTGGACTGCATACAAGTCGCAGTTTGAGGCCAGTGTTCTAATAGGTAAGGTATCTGGGAGAATGCGCGGGACGGTTTGTAGCCTGTAGGCGTTGTAATGTCTCACTGTATCGAGGGAAGAGGAAGAGCGTTCGCATTTTGCCGACAGACAGGGGGAACAGGGGAACAGACCATTCTGGAGACTAAAAGTTAGTGAGATGAAAAGCAGATTCCGATCTCGAACGCACCTTTTCTAATAGGGTACTAGGATTTGACTTTGAATCCGTTCAGCCACATCTACAAGAGCATTCATGCACTGCCTCGGTTTCATGAGAATAGTGAGCAGTTCTGGCAGTTTGACAAGAGGATTTCTAGATATAAATGGATGGATGAGATGTGCCCGTGAGATACCTACCTAGCTGCCTAGGTAGGTACATGCAGGGTGTGCACGCTAAGACCAGGGTGAAGTCGATTTCCGCGGGCTCTGATTGGCCTGACGCGTGTCCGGGTATCAAAACAAAAAGAGGAGGCCATGCAGGGGGGTTTGAGCGCGTCGTCGCGTCCCAATCAACGACGTCGCTCCGTCTCGGGCCTCTCATTGCTCAATCCTCAAACTGTTGCACCGTGACCAGTGACCAGTGACCACGGCCGCGACCACCACGACGACCACCACCACCACGCACCACGCACCACGAACCACGCCGACATACGTGTCTGCCTGCCTGCCTGCCTGTCTGTCTTATCCGATTACGCGCTTCACCCACAGCCAATCGGTTCCAGCCATCTCGTCAATTGCAAACACTCGCAGCCCTCGCACAGCTGCAAGTGTTGGTCACGTCACATCGCACACATCGCACAGGTTCAGTGCCACCGGCAACGGAAAAGAATCATCACCAACAACCGAGACCTGCTGTGCTAGTAGGAAGGAGAAGTGGCCAACTTGACTTCGGCGTCGGCCACCTGTAACAACGGCCTTTCTACCTAGGTAGTTGGCCCCCATCGCTCGGTGTGCTCCGTGCCGTACTTGGACATCCATCGTCATCATCTTCGACCATAGGTTCCATGTCTGGCTTGTGCAGAGACGGGCTGACAGTCTACCGGTATTGGACAGCTGCTACGCGCTACTAAACTCAACGACCAACTAATTCGGTAACTCCACCTGCATTTCTTCCTTCGTCCCTCTTCTGCACACCTTGGACATTCCACATGCCCATGCCACTGCACTGGACCGTCCTAGACTAGAATAGACTGGACAGTGGACCTCGGGTAACCCCCATTGCCCAATCCTGCAGTACCTGGAACTCACTCGCAACAGTCAAATCGCACACTGCCACAGGTCCGATGAATCCATGATCGTCTGTACATACCTATGTTGGCAACCAAATCCATCATCTTTCTGCACCAGAACAAGGCCCTCGTCCAGCGATCGGGCAGCCTTGGGGCAAACTGTCCAACCACAGCGAGCACAGGGCCCACGTTAGGATCATCGACTACCAGGGTACCCTCGTTCGACACATTCCTTACAAGCGCTGTTCCTCCCAGGCAGTGGCAGTCCTAGGCAGTCCAAGACTCCAAGTCCTGGCGCCGACCAGCCAGCTCCAGCCAGTGGTGTCAGCCCACGGCATCCCCGGCCAATCGTCTGCCCACTCTGCCGGCCTCTCGACTCCGCACTGCCCACCTTGGCACATGGGGCGCTGCTGAGCTGGCGAGCTGCTCCCTTGTGAATTCAAGTACTGTTGTGAATTGGGTCCGTCCACCAACTTCCTTCCCACGCAGCCACGAAACTCTCATACCGGCTGGGCGTCCTGGCTAGAGTCTAGCCTAGACTACCTAGCAGAGTGACAGACTGCGGGCCCTTTGACAATTCTCCGACCTTGACTGGCCCAGAACGAAGAAGGCCGGTCGCCCGTCCGCCGACCACACTGCCACACCACTGGCAGCCCAGCAGCCACGCTCTATCAGATCCTCCCAGACTGCCAGACTGCACATGTGTGGCATGCTCTCTCGTTCCCGATTCCCCCTCTCTTAGACCTTCGGCTCGTTCGATTCAATTCTCTCAAACCATCTCATCGCCTATCACCTTACCTGACCACCACTACCAGGCCAACCATCACTGCTACCGATTGCGCAAGTTGTCGTACTTGCGAGTGAGCGTCTGGATTCAGTTGACCCGAATAGGAATTGTCACCTGAATATCGAGCACGTCCTGACCGACAATCCTGGCGCCACATCACCCTTGCTTCGTGACTCCACAGCAATTAAAATCACAACCTTGACCAAGGTGAGTAGATCTACTCCATCTTCCCAAATCTCCCAATCGTCATGCGGTCGGGCGGTCTAGCAAGTGCGAGGAAGTCAACAAGCTGCCCAAGTCTCCAGCAGGATACATTACCGGGCCCTCCTCCGCCGTCGCCAGTCGTGAACGCAAACTAATGTCGATGACCAAACAGCCTGTACTCCCGTACCACGAGGAATACACACCTTGACCCCGAGTACTACCGGCCGACATGGCCAGACCAACGCGTTTCGCGGCCAACAACGAGCCGATGCACATATTCCAAGACAACTTCGACTTCTTCGAGCAGCCCGCTCCCTCGATAAGCCGAGCTCCCATGCCGTCCGTCGGCAGACAACCACCCTCCGGGAGGCCACTTCAGGATTCAAATAGGAACGTCGTCTTGAATCCCCCGAATGGACACGGAAAGCAGCACTCTCCCTTCAAGGCGACGGGGCGCGCCACTGCCTCTCCATTGACCCCTCTGCGGTCGTCACATGGAAACATGTCACATGGGAATAGTTACAATTTGAACCCGGTCTCGATATTACCTCCTACCTCGAATGGACAAAGTACCGACTCGATGCTGAAGAGGCAACCGTCCATGTCGAGGTTCAAGACTGTGGTTCAGAAACCGAATATCATGGATATGCAGGCGAGCTTCGAGAAGGAGAATTTTCACCCGACCTACTTGGCGCAGCCGGCCTTCAGTCTGAACGTCGACGGATTCTATCCGCAGAAGACACCGGGCAAACGCGCATTACTCGAAGCTGCCCCCATCAAGGATTCCAGACCGCCGAAGAGGGTAAGGACCGAAGAGCCGTGCCTGCCGTTACCGAGCTCGTTTCCCCTTATTGTTGATGATGGAACGAAGCCCGGCCACAGTTACGCACAACTGATAGGGATGGCAATTCTGCGCGCGCCCAATAGGCGTCTGACTCTGTCACAGATCTACAAGTGGATCTCTGATACCTACTCATTTTACAGTGCGCATGATGCGGGCTGGCAGAACAGTATCAGACATAACCTGAGTCTCAACAAGGCCTTTATAAAACAGGAGCGCCCGAAGGATGACCCGGGCAAGGGAAACTACTGGGCTATCGAGACGGGCATGGAGCAGCAGTTCATGAAGGAAAAGCCGTCCAGAAAGTCTGCGGCGGCCACTGAGAACATGCAGATCATGTCGATGGGGCCTCGTCTCGATTTTGCCCATCTGGAGCCTACCACATTCCACGACGGCCTTCCTCCTTCACTCCCACCGGTACTCTGCGCTCAAACAAGCTCCTACCAACAACCGGGGCCGCCACAGGCACCCGCCCATTCGGCACCTGAAGTTTCATCTGATGCCACAATCCCACTATCGGACAACGTTGGCCCAGAGGAGCAGGAGGAAGCTTCCCAGGAGCAGAACGTGCCCCTGGAGACGCCCCTGGAGACGAGCTTGTACTCTCCACCTGCGGCGATGCAATCCTCACCCCCGATTCCACGTCACCTCGAACATCGAAGCAATACACCGCCTCCCATTATGAGAGAAGCACAGTCATCAGCCTCCCACAAGCCTTCCCACAAGCGCAAACACGCTTCTATGGATGCCCCGAACTCAATCGACGATAGCGGATACATATCATCGTTGGAATCTTCCGCCATGCGTCCCAACCAAGTCAGTCGTGTTCAAAGTTCAGAGACTGACCGTCCACGGGGCAAAAAGCGAGGGCGAGCTGAGGAGGAGATCGCCCGGCTCCGAGCATCCTCATGTGACAGTCCTACCAAGAGTCGGTCCTACGGATTCGTTCCGCCGTCTTCATCTCCTATCCGGCAGCCTACGGATGGTCAAATGCTACCTCCCCTGACGCCGGGTGTTAAAGACAAGCCTACCCAAAAGATTCCTCCATCTGTCTCGCCCAACACGAATCTGCAGATACATCGCGACAATGTCCGACAGCTGCTAAACTCGCCTCTCCGTCGTGTTAGTAACATATCGGACGAGGTTACTATGCCATGGAGCCCGGCGTTCAACATGGACGAAGAGACATTCATCGGTGGGCTCGACTTCCGTAATACAGACATCGATTTCAGCATCTACACAGACGAGTCTATCGATAACTTCCATACCGCGTCCTATGGTTCACCCGTCAAGCGTTCAGCCAAGAGACCGCGCCTGGATCGCACTCAATCCGCGAGTGCTCTTGGTGACACCACAGGCACATCGTCCAACAGAGCACTTATGTCGACTCCTTACTTGAAAGCTCCCACTCCACGGCAAGACCTTGGTTTCGAGTCACCCAGCAAGGTGTTCGAGGGTATGTCGTCTCCTCTCAAGCGTTACTTTCAATCGCCTTCTGTCCGCGCCCAGCCTCAACCGCCGATTGCCGCTAGAGATGAGTGGAACAACTTTGAGAATCTCAATGAGCACACATTGTTCGAGGACGAAGTTGAATTGGATATAGACATTTTCCAGGGCTTCGCGAAGATCAGCGGTAGCGAGAACGCCAGCGGCCCTGCCAAGCCACCGCCACCGAGACCTTCTTTTGGCCGCAGCTACACGTCGACCCTCTAGAATGAGGCATCCTTTCGTGCGGGCATTACGCGCACACAACACTGACGACTTACGACTGAACGACTAAACTGCAGGGCCCTTTCAACAATGAGACCTCTTGCTTTGCGACACCACCATAGACCTTCCCAGCCTACCTTCTCGCCTCACGGCCTTCTTGTCCATTTTTTGAAGAGATCATAATGACGCTACGTGACTCGGGTACATACGCGCTTACGCCTACTATTACCGTAAATGCCTACGTGGCCGGATCTGCATTTTGTTTGCTTCCCGTTCTCCCTGTTTTATCGCCTCAACAACAAAATTGTCGATTTGGCGTTGGCTGCCTTATTCCCGCTGCCTCTTGAGTTTGATGATATCATGCGAGGAATGGACACAAGAAGGCGTTGGATTTGTATGCCCTATAGAGAGCCAAGGGAACATGGGAACAATCACGAGGTGTTTTGTGTCAGTATGATACTGGCGGAAAAAGGAAAGGGATTTTGCGTTGAGTATGAGAGATTGGGAGCTCACTGTGCTGGATACACCTGTTGGTTTTACTCTTGTACGAAGTTGGCCTACGCACGGTATATCAGGGTGGAGTTGGCGGCCGCTTGCGTTGCTCTTTTGCTTTTGATAGTTTGCAATACGGGCTTTTCTCGTCTTGACCTTGACCTGAACTCAGGAGCTTTTGCATCTACTTGATGGTCTTTGTGGTTTGCAAGCCTGGTTCTATCTATTGTAACACGACCTCTTAAGAGGAAAATCGAGATCAAAAGACCTAATTTTCAATACTCGAAATGCCTCGACATCACCGTCAGCAGGGCAGGCGGTCAGTCAGCCACTCAAGGAGACTAGTCGTTCCATGTCACCTAGGACCAACCGCAAGGTAGGAAGAAGTCCAGTGGCTGATGACCTACCTACTCTGGTACGTAGTTATTCCATGTTGAATGTTTCGGCGAGGGAAGCTGGAACGTGGTACTATGAAGGTGGATAGGTATGTGAAGCATGACCACACATGGGTAGTGAGATTTTCTTCGGTGTTGTTTTATACAGGAACAAGGTGATTGGATCGCTGGTATTAATGAGATGCAAAACACCTGCAAAAAGGCAGCCTCTTCAACTAACAGGTATGCAAAGGTGCATGCCGTGTGCCTCCATCAAAGTATGCTTCTGTAATCGGGTATCGCTGAAACTGCCCCTGCACTAGAAATGCAACATGATCTTACTTACGCCAAAACCTCTCTATTCCCATCCAAAAGCATGCCTAGACGCCGGAGACACCGCCAAGCCCAAACGCCGGAGACACTGCTCGAAGAGTCTCTTGCTCGGCTCCCGGAACGCCGGCGGAAAGAAACCGACCCAACGAATACACGCAGTGATACCAGCCAGATGACACAGGACCAGACGTGGGGAGATCTTCCTGCGCCTTCGCCGGACAACAAGGGGGATGCAGACGGCGACGATGAACAATGAGAGCAGGAACCACTGCCACTCCTAGTAGATGCCCATGCGCGACGCCCAGCCCGGCTCGCCCTTCTGGTTCACGATGATCTGGTAGGGGAACGGATTGGCCTCGCTGGTGGTGATGGGCGGGATGTGGTCCTTGTGCGAGTTGACGCTGGTGACGATCTTCATGACTGTCGTGGTGAGGGTCTGCTGCATGGCCTGGCGGACCTTGGCGCGTTCTGGTGTAGTAGGAAAGGGGATGCGTTAGTCTGGGTATGCCACGGAGAGAAGAGAAGGGGAAAGTGCGCCTCTATCTCGTCTTCTTTGCAACCCTCTCTGCAATAACCCTCGGTAGGTATCAAGACATGGGGCTGGGGTGTTGTTCGTAACTCACCACTCTCTGTCCGCGGCTCCGCCACCGTGACGCGCACCGTCCACATCTCCCAGCACACCTCGTCGTCGCCGCCGTACGCGGCGCGCATGTACCAGGCCTTGCGGCGCTTCTTCTCGAAGAACTGCACCGAGATGTTGCCCCGGCCGCCACCACCACCACCACCACCACCACTGGCACTGCTTCCGCCCCCCACGCTGCTGGCTCGCTGGTGGGCTTGTTGCGCCGCCGACCGGCCACCACGGTCGGGGTTCGTCTGCTGCGTGTGTGTCCGCTCGGCGTCCAGCTCGCGCGCCAGCTCGGCGGCGCGCTTCTCGATCATGGTGTCGAGCTCGGCGTCCTCGACGTACGGCAGCATGATGTCGAGGACCTCGCGGTGGCGCGGCGTTAGGGAGGGAAAGAAGCGGTGGAAGAAGATTGTGTGTAGGATTCCTGCGTACAGCATTAGAGAGGTGTGCATATCGAACGATGCTGGCGCGGCGGGGCATGTGAAGATGGGATCGACGGACAGCTGGACCGCGGGAGGACTGGGGGAGGGGGTTTGCTTACCTCGGACGACATCGCGTACTGATGCTGGATCCGTGAAGGCCTCGAGTATGAACTCTTGGGGTCGTTGCTGCTCCATGCTAGGCGGGATCATCTCGCTGGACCTTCAAGAGCTCGCGATACTGTGGACGTATTGGATGAATTGGTGGGATGGAGGGCCCTTGATGCCAATGGAGGGGTTGTTTGGACTGGGGACCTTTATGACTGGGGTCAAGTGCGGATAGATAAGATGTACCTACTACATACAGACGCTGCGTCATATCAGCCACCCTGCACTTTGGAGCTGCGGGTGCAAATGTGGCTCAAGCTTGAGCATAATAATTGGAAAGTGAATCGCGTGCATTCGGTTGGATGCCGAGGCACACGCGATTGACGTTGACAGCTCACAGGGGGTGGAGCACACTCCATCGATATCTCAAGGTCCTGGTGCTGAGCTCTATGTTGCACAGCAAACCACTGTCGTGCCATCCTCTGAACGATACTACACGGGCTTCGGCCACCATCGCGTCCCTGAAGCTTTCGCAACCTGCATTATGTTCTCTGCGACACGGCGGTGGTTCCGCCGCAATCGAACCCCGATAGCCATTGGCGTCGGCGTCGTGGGCGCCGGCTACTTGGCCACCCGGTATGTGCTGAACAAGATCAACGATGCGCGCGAGCGCATGAGCAGCGATCGCATTGCGAAGGAGAAGTAAGCCTATCCTTCTTGCATTCTTCAGGGCTGAGCACGAAACGGAACTGACGGTTCTGTACAGCTTGCGCCGGCGCTTCGAACAGAACCAGGAGGACTGCACCTTCACCGTCCTCGCGCTGCTACCGACGGCCACCGCGAACATCCTCGAGACTATGAACACCGAGAAGGTCACATTGGAGATCCAGCAGATGAAAGGCGCTGCCAAGGGCGTGCGCAGTGGGGAGTCGTCCGCTACACCGCCCAGTATCGCCGACACGACCATGACGGAAGAGGAGAGCAAGAGTATAGCCAGTCTACAAAGCGAGAGCGGCGTCCACGCGAGCCAAGTGGCCTTGCCGCCTGCCTCGAGTACAGAAGATGGTGCACAAGATGGCGGCCAGCCCACGCAGAAGTCGAGGAAAACGAAGAGACAGCTGTGGGATGATCTGACGATAAGCTGTGAGCGACCACCATGAACCCCTGAACGACCCTTCACTATATGTCAAACTATGCAGTCACAACTGACCTCTATGCGCCACCAGCGATAACACGATCCTTCACCCTCGTATACACGCTCGCTCTCCTCACCATGCTCACCCGAATCCAACTGAACCTCCTAGGCCGGCGGAGCTACCTGTCGAGCGTTGTCTCGCTCGCCACCGGAACAGCGCAGTCGACTATCAGCCTCGAGAACAACGACGACGACAACCCGGAGCAGGTATACGGCAGCGACTTCGAGACGAACCGCAAGTACCTGACCTTCAGCTGGTGGCTGCTCAACCGCGGCTGGACCGACGTCATGGAGCGTGTCGAGGCCGCCGTCCGCGACGTGTTCGGCCACCTAAGCCCGCGGGACCTCCTGAGCTTCGACACGTTCTCACAGCTGGCACTGGAGGTAAGGAAGAAGGTCGAGGGCCGATCAGAATCAGATAGGAAGGGCTCCCAGTGGCTGCCCTTCCTGCTGCCGCCTACCAACCTCGAGGACTTCGTACTTAAGGAGTCAGGCGTCCTCGGCGACAGCGCGGCGGCCACGACACAGCCAACAGACTCCTCCTCCTCGACTACAACAACCCCCACGGCGCTCAGGCGCCTCCTCGACGAGACGTCCGACCTCGTCGAATCGCCCCCATTCTCACACGTACTCACGCTCATCCTCGACGCCGGCTTCTCCGTGCTCCTCAACAAGAAAGTCCTGCCAGGGGCCTTCGAACTACCCACAGCCTCAAACCCCACCCCTGGAGCCCCGGGACTAGAACTCGTCTCCGAGCTAGACCGCCGAGAGGAATCCCAACCCACGACGAATAAGGCCGTCCTGCTCCCCAAGATCCTGTCCGTGCTGACGCGGCAGGCGCACGTCGTCGGCAACGGCATGCCCAACGAGTACCTGCAGGAGATGGAGCTCGTGCGCGACCTCGAGGCCTTCGCCGCCGTCGTGTACTCGAGTAATTGGGAGAACGAGATCCAGGACGAGGAGGGACTTGCTTTGGCGGCAGCGGCAGCGGCGGCGGGGACTGGTGAGGTAGTTGGGGTGCCGGAGCCGGAAAGCGGCATGTTGGGGACTAGCTTAAGGCCGTCGCAGGCCGCCTCGACGACGCTTGGTGGCGGCGCGGAGAGCAGCGTGGTCATGGTTGAGCCGTCGCAGAGCTCGTTCGAGAGCGCGTGGGAGCGTGCTGTTGATGGGAGTCAGTCGCAGTGATGAATGAAGTAAAGGGTCATGACACAGAGATCAGGCGGGGTATGCCGGCCATGGAGTTAATGAGACTATCAATCTATCAAAGCTGGGAAGAAAGGGGCGTTCGAATACAGGCATTCTGGATTGAAATCTCCAGTGGGATACTGTCATGGCACTGTTGCATGAGGCACGTGGGAATCAGGTCGCATACCCAACAGGCACACTATCTCAATCATCATGACATTGGCCAGTTGGCTTCATATTGTGTACAATATGAAATGCAGCTTGCTTCCAAGGACAGAGAGCATATATGTACCAATACCTCAGGATCTCCCCTTAGTGACCAGTGGCACCAGGGCTTCCATCGCGGAAGTCGAGCTCCCTCTCCCGCATATCCTCCAGCGAATGCATTGACGGTTATAGGACCGTACGCCTAGTCTTTTGCTGCGTCCTCCGGCTACGAAGCACTTTGCCCCTTTCTGTGACTTGACGCAGATTCGGTCTCGGGGTGACTGGCAAGAAGGCTGCTGTCTCCTGCTGGACCTCGCCTTGCTCGCCTTGTCGTCCCAGACCTGTGCATTCTTGTCTTCCCGAAGCCTCATCTGGCTCTGGCTCGGGTCAAGTCTCCTCTCCCTTTCGCCTGTCGATACAAATGTCGATTTGGCTCAGCCGATTGGCGGCTTCACATCAGTCCCCTGATGAACTTGTCTAGGCCCATCTCAAACATCTCGTTCCGGACGCCCTCTCCGCCCTTGTGCTCCACCGGCGCGAGCGGGTTCTTAACTACTGTAGAAGGTGTTCGTCAGCATGTGCACAGACAGACAAGGAGCAACGCCCGAAGGAGCTAGTAGTCCTCCAACCTCCTCACACCCAATCGAATCATCTTCCATCGCCCAGGCACTCCTCTCCTCCCTCCTATCTGTCTCATACCCCTTATCCCTCCGAAGCCCAGAAGAACAAGAAGAAGGAAGAAAGAACCACACGCCGGGGGGCTATCTATCCAACCACTCACCATACTCAACCCACAGGTTGATGTAGATCTGGTGCAGCACGTTGCGCATGCTCAGGGCGGCGGGCTCGGTCAGCAGGGCGAAGCGCAGGTTGGTGGGGGTCTCGTAGTAGTGCAGCTTGTAGTGCTGGGTGCGGTAGGCGATGAAGGCGTCGTCTTCGCCGCCCAGCTTGCGCACCATGTTGCGCAGGCTGAAGACCGTGCCGAAGATCAGCTTCGCGTCGTCTGAGGCCTGGTCCTTGGCGCTGCGGACGGGGTGGTGGCGGCCGTGGTGAGGGCCGTTGGTGGTGTTCGCTGTTGTGGTGATGGTGGTTGTCGTCGAGGTGGGCGCGGTGGTGGTGTGTGTGGAGGACGGGAGAGGGGGTTGCTGTTGTTGTTGGTGTGGTTGGTGCCATAGTTTCGAGTAGACGCATTCCGCTGGATGGAGAGACAGGCGTTAGCTTGAGGTCTGCCTGTCTGCTTTTGTGCTGGATGGGGAGGCGTTGCGCGGTGAGGCCACCGGTAGGGGTTGGTAAAGCACGGCACACGGCAAAGGGGCAGCTTACTATGGCGGTCGAAGATATAGAAGGAATAGACCTGGATGGGCATGGCTCCGGCTGGTGTGTCTACCTGCGCGAGGTAGAGCTCACATGCCCGTGATCAATGTTGCGTCGACTCGAGTCCCTCCTTGTTAAGCCTTGGGATCGCAAGGCGCAAGTTGCAAATCGGACAGACCGACAGACACAGGTGCGATGGCGGATGCGCAACTCGGAGGTCGTATGCAGGGTCTGGGGGTTGCTATCCCCTTGACTGCTGGTCTGCACCAAGTTGTAGAGTACAGACTAGATCACCATTAGCGTCACAAGATGGGTTATACCCATTGTAATAGACCAATCATTGTGTTCGGAGCATAGATATATTTTGTCCGGGCCGGCTCGATTGGTTGGAGAAGTGGCTATGGGGCAGCCAGTGCCTCCACAGCACATCCTCCAAGTACTGTAACCCGATTTTTGGTGAGCTGGTGCAGACCAGCAGCCAAGGGGATATAATAAAGTGGTGGACCGTGGTGTTGTTTCTAAAACATGAAGTCGGTCTAGACTGACCCGCCAGTCTGTTCCGCCCACCCCCTACTCCACCCAGTCAAGCCTTACTGACGGCACACCGCACGGCAGCCCGGCACATGCTAAAGAGCTCAGAGTTGCGGGGATATCTCGAAAGAGGGGTCTCTCCAATGCTTTTTTCATCCTCCATCATTTCCATTGTCACGGTTGCCTCCAGCCTGCCTTTGCGAGGCAGATTACGAGCGCATCTCCGAAGGCGTCAGAGCTCGTGTCATGATCCATCTGGACAAGTGTCTCAGCGGGAAACACCGTGAGCAGCTCTTCATGGCAAGCACTGGTCCAACGGTCTTGACTCTTGCTATCGCAGGCGTTGGATCCCCGTCAGACATCCCGGCATGTTCTACTGCAGCAGGGATTCTGTGCACCTCCGCGGGTCGTGATTCGTTGCTAAGCAGATGATCGAGGAAATAGCTGCCGTTGGGCTGAATGCTGTGTCTTTTTCAGAACTCAACATGGGTATTCATCGATCAGCCTACCTACCTGATCTTCGCCTAGGCGATCAGAAAAACCAAACGATTATGCATACATCATGTACAGATAGATAACTGTGTCTGCCTACCAGTATCTCGTGTAGCTTGGACTACATACGTATCTATGTAGGCAACCGCTCACGACCGTTGACCTTGCCTACTTCAACGCCTCTTGTGTTTCATCTCGACGCGCCTTCCTCACGTTTGCCGTCTTACCCGTGCCATTTCTTCCATCCTGTCAAGCCACAAAGACTTCCAGCTGCGAACCCCAATTCCGAACTGAAATCCGAAACCTCGAGATCGACCACCCAGCTTCCACGCCCGCTCACTCTGGGCGATCCCTCCGTCAAACGCTACGATGATGCAACCAGCGCCCAGTGCATCGCCGCCAGCGTCTGAACAAAATGACGAGCCGCCGTCGGCCACGAGCACGCGCAGCTTGCCCATACTCTCGCCGCAAATCAAGATCCAGCCAGCTATCGACATGCCAATGAGACCAAGTCTTGCCCCTCATGTGTGAGTCGACAAGCAACTTGAAGCTTCGTCGCGATAGGTGGTCACGGCTCTTGCTAATCCAAGTCACCACATAGATCTGCACCACCAGCTGCACCCAAGTTCCAGAGCCCGATGAGACACCACAAGAGGACCCCGTCTCAGCATCGCGAGATCAAGGTGAGGAAACCAATTGGCAGAGGAGTCGGTTGGCGCAAACACTGACTGGGGCCTCGCAGGAAACCCTCAATGCGAAAACCGAGTATACGAACGACGAGGCCGATGGCAGCTCCCAACACACGATCAACCAATACACCATTCGCGAGGAGATCGGTCGGGGCTCCTACGGTGCCGTCCACCTCGCGACGGACCAGTTCGGGAAGGAATATGTAAGCGCATCACCGCCGCTTCGATCTGTCACGGCTGCATGGTGCTAATCGCTCCGCAACAGGCCGTCAAGGAGTTCTCCAAGATGCGCCTCCGAAAACGAGCCCAATCCAATATCTTGAGGCGCCCCGAAGGCGGACGACCAGGACAACTTGCCCCCGGCCGAGGTCGATGGAACACCCACAAGAAGCAACTTAGTCACCATGATGCTGAGGAGGCTAAAGACTCCTTGTACCTGATACGGGAGGAGATCGCCATCATGAAGAAACTCGATCACCCAAACCTCGTGTCTCTGATTGAGGTGCTCGACGATCCGGATGATGACTCGCTGTACATGGTCTTGGAAATGTGTAAAAAGGGGGTGATCATGAACGTTGGTGTGGACGACAAGGCAGATCCATACGACGACCAGCATTGTTGGATGTGGTTTCGCGATCTGGTCCTTGGCATTGAGTATTGTGAGTTCCCCGTCAAGCTATATGTATGCTTGGCATAATGTTCGCCGACTAATGCATGCCCTAGTACACGCTCAGGGGATCGTACATCGTGACATCAAGCCGGACAACCTTCTCTTGACAGAGGATGATGTGCTGAAGATAGTCGATTTCGGGGTGTCTGAGATGTTCGAGAAACCGGACCAGATGTTGACCCATAAATCTGCAGGTTCCCCGGCCTTCTTACCGCCGGAGCTCTGCCAAGCGAAGCATGGCGATGTGTCCGGCAAGGCAGCTGACGTATGGTCGATGGGTGTAACTCTTTACTGTCTGAAGTATGGGGAATTGCCCTTCCCATGCGACAATGTCCTGGACATGTACAACGCAATCCGGGCCGATGAGCTCCGTCTGCCGAGCGATGAAAATGAAGAGTTCGCGGACCTGATCACCAGGTTACTGGACAAGAACAGTGACACGAGAATCACTATGCCAGAAATCAGGGTAAACTCAACATGCCTTATCCTTTCTTTGGCCGGCAGGTGCTGATCAAGGCAGAATCACCCATGGATTACGAGAGGGGGCAGCGACCCCCTACTTTCAGAGGAAGAAAACTGCTCTGATATGGTAGAAGCTCCAAACGAATTGGAGGTCAACCATGCCTTCACACAGAAGATGGATCACATGTTATATGTGGTAAGTCAGACTGCTTGTTGCCTTAAAGTCCCATAATTGCTTACGTCCCTATCCAGTTGAGGGCAATCCAAAGGTTCAAGGGCCTTGCCTTGTCTAGCAGGGTCGCGACCTCAGAAGGTGGATCGCCACGAACGACTCGTCACCCGCCGGGACTTGCAGAAAAAGAAGTAATCCCAGAGAACAATGAGTTGGCACAACCCTCGAAACCGCAATTACAGTCCACAACCGGTCGCCCGCGCAAAAAGACCAACGCTGAAGAGGCCGCCGACCTGGTGGACCTGCGCAATGCGTACCACGCATCGTCGGGTCGTGCATCGAGACATACCGAGCCTGCTATTGGGACGGGTGAGAAGGGTCACACGCAAGACCCAACGGACAAAACTCCGCTGTTTCTCGGCATCGGGACAGGCGGCCGCGATGATTTCGCTAGCGGAGAGGCTCCTGCCACAATTGTGTCGGACTCTCCCACAGGCATTGACTTTGACATCTACGACCGCGCTTTCGAAACGGAAATAAAGCGCATTCGTTCTGACCGCAAGAAGGGAGGTCGTGCAAGGACGTATCTGACCCGCTTCGTGGGCGAGAAAGAGGCGGATAAGTATCTCGGAGATGAACACATGGTTGTCGAGGCTGGCAAGTCCTTCGCGTCGATCGCATACGCACGCGGTTCCGAGGCCGCGTCTCAGGGAATCGCTCGCGTCCAGGAGGCGAGTAATGCTGCTACACTCCAGGGGAACGACATCAAGGAGAAACTGGAAACGAAGCGTCAAGAGAGCCAAGATGGCGTTAAGAAGGCTGTCGAGGCCGCCAAGGAGACCGGTAACAAATTTGCCAACTTGGTCACATCGATGAGGAAATGATAGTGACTTGAGACTATGATCTGTCTACATGCTCTGCGGCGAGAGCTGTCTTGGGGTACTGAGGAAAGAGGGCGTTCGGGCAGTCTGCATCGTGGGAGCACTGTCACCTACCTGTATAAGCAACAAGGGCCAGGAGGATATTGTTTGACGAGCGGGCGTTTGGTTCATACACGAAAAGCGAACAGGATGAGGAATCCTTGGCTGGTCGATTGGTTCGTTCATATCATAGTTGAATACCAATGCTTGCGCGAATTCGAGGTACACGGTTGGTGGTAAGTATCAGGACTAACAACTGGGTTTGGGTGCTGGGTGTACACAATCAACCCTAGGTACTCAATCTGGATTGTGAAGAGGAGCAACGCCTGATGTCTTGATGGATACTGTCGTCTCATGATACAGACTCGCGGAGTGCTTACTATTGTGAATTTTTCCCGTGGGAATATCTAGACGCTCCAGCTAGCTGGGGATCTCCGCCTCACACAAACCGAACTCCTCCAAGACTCCAGATACTCATGTGTGGCCTGTCCTCAGTGTCCCACCCTGGACTTACAATGCCTTCAGTTTTGATATACTCTCTTCTCCCTTTCGAGCCTGGACGGCATGGCAACTGGTGTTTACAGTTTGTCGCAATGGATACACGTGATTAGGTACAGGGGATTGTCCACACACAGCTCCGTCGTGCCTGGCACAAGGGATTGTCTCTGCGCAGCTCCCTATGTAAGGGAGTTCTCCCCAGCTCCATCCTTTTCAGATAGAACTTAGAATGAACAACCCTTCATGTTTCTTCTATGCCTACGATCAGCTGTATGCGATACAGGTAGTTTCTTGGCTTTTGGCTTTCTTGTTTGTATAGCTGCCTGTGAATAATCCACCATTTAGGACTGGGTTTGAGTTACATTAGTTGTGGGTTTTATCGTCCTGTGATATGCTTCCATAGCTGAATGAGGCTTTGAAATGGATTGAGATACCGGACTTGAGCTGTGCGTGAAAGGCCAATTGCAAGAACACTATCAAGGTACACCAAGGCATGCAAATGTTTTTCCTTGATCAAGTACCAAAAACCACCTTAAGCCGCCACTTTGGGCGAAAAGGTACTTAAGCTAGCCTCAACTGCGTATGTACCATCTCAAAGTCCGCCCGCCAAGCCAGGTGACGTCTCTTGACCCCTCCAAGCCGTGAGCACGGGTCGGCGGGAAGCATCTGAGACAAACTGCCCACCAATTTCTCAATTTCCCTCCTGACACACACAACAGCACTCCTTGCAAACGCTCCTCGACGAGGTCAGGTCAGGTTCAACCATCGTACTATGTATATGTAGCAGAAGAACTCGGGCGCCGCACCACCCAACCACGATGCCCGACTGGCGAGACGACTACCTGACCTCGCTGCAGGACGCAGAGCGCAACAACCCCGTGAACAAGGACCTGGTGGAAGCCTGTAAGCCAGCTAACCTACCTTACGTACCTACCTACCTAGCGAATCGAGCCCGTCCGTCGTGCTGTCATTGCGCTCGTTTGTTTTCTTATTGCGCTCGTCTGCCTGCTCGTTCGTCTACTAACGCCATCGCGCGCGCCCCAGGCTCCCAGCTCGCAGACCGCGTCGCCGCGCTCGAGGCCGAAAAAGCGGTACTGCAAGGCTCCCCCACGAGCAAACCCACCAAGACCACTCCCACTGCCACCACCACCACCACCACCACCACTACCGTCGCCGCCGCCGCCGCCGCCGCCGCCGCCGCCACAGCGACTCCCACTCCCACCCCGACCGCCACCACAGGAACAACAACAGCACCAGCATCAGATCCAGCCACAATAGCCCAGCTCCGCCTCGACCTCGCCGAAGCATTACGAGCGCGCGGCCAATTACAAAACATGCTGCGCGCCGCGGACGAGGAGCTGCGGCGGCTGCGGGCGCGGACCAAGGCCGACGGCAAGCGCGTCGCCGACCTGGCGGCCGAGCGCAACTCCATACTGGCGCGCCTAAAGGACCGGAGTGAGGAGCTGGCGGGGAAGAATAAATTGTTGAAGGTATGTTTCGACTATCTCGTCGGTTGGTTATTTGGTTGGTCCGTGTGGCGGGTGGGTTACTTCCTGTGCGCCGTTGTGTGCGCCGTTGTATGCGCTCGGGTTTGGAGCGCGGAGGGGGAGAGGGGCGATGGAAGATAGGTGGGCATGGTGATGTCTGGTTGTCTGTATATTCTTCTGTCTGTCAGTGTTGGGTTGTGTGGAGGAGGACTGGGCCTGCGGAAGCAAGGAACGAGGCTGATGCGCAAGTGCTACTACTAGGACGTCCAGGACGACAACCTGACGCTGAATATCCAGCTCGATGTCACCGAGCAAAAGGTGGCCAAGGTGCAGGCGGAGAACAAGGAGCTCGTGGACCGGTGGATGAAGAGGATGGGACACGAGGCGGACGCCATGAACCGCCAGAACGAATCGCCGCACAAGCATACGAGATGAGGCAGAGGCACCGACTCGGCTGAAAGCAGTAATGCATATCGCATTGCAACCGACGCTGCGGTGGTATCATGTCTACAACTCGTTACGTTTACAGTAAGTAACCCAACACGCTGTCTCGTATCGATCCTGTCAGATCCTTCTCTCCTCGTTATGCAAACATGGTATCTGAATCAAACGCCCTCTCTGTATATAGACAAAATAAACGGCCGACAAGCTCCTTGGTGGACGAGTAGGGAACTTAAGGACTCAGAGACTCAGCTCCCTTTCTTGTCGAGATATAGTATTGTCCGTCTTGGCCTGACCAGCTAACCCAGTCTTTCTGGTAGCTGAATGTGTCGACGTCGAGAATGCTGCTTGCGACATCGTTTATTGCGTTCTTGTTGCCGGCGTACAGGAAGGAAGCCAAGGATATGATCTTGCAACCTGGCTTCAGGTCGAGGAACATGTTGACCAGGGCGGCGTTGAGGTCCGGCGTAAATGCCTTGTTGTTAACCAGCACAACATCGGCTGTCTTGAGCACGTCTTGGATCTTCTTGTTGGCGCGAAGGTCGCCTCTCTCAAGATGGACTCTGCCTGGGTTCACACCCCAAAGCAGACATCTCGACCTGAATTCTTTCTCTTGCTCTTCGGCCAGGTTACAGAGATTTTCCACCATTTCGCAACCATAACTTCGACAGCCGATCTCCAGCGCAGCTTGGAGCACGACATTGCCTACTCCAGATCCCAGGTCGACGAAAACTTGATCTGATGTCATCTTGGTCTGCTGAACAAGGATATGAGTGGCGAATGGATGTAACAGCTCCCCATACACGTTGTCACTTCCATTCTTGTATTTATTGAGCGAGTCGACGTGGGGAGCAACGACACGATCGTAAACCTGGCTTAGGATGAAAGACACAAGGCTGGGAGGCAGATGGTGAATCTTGTCGAGGTTCTTTGCCACAGTACCATCCTCAACTAGCTCCAATAGCTTCTTGTTGTAGTTGGCGAGGGCGGACCTGAAGACGGGTACATCTCGGTAGTTTTCAGTTGAAGCTCGTTCCATCTGTCTCTTGAAGCTGGCATTGTGATCGATGAAGGGTCGCGACTCGGCTTCGGTTAGGTATGTCTCGGCTACGTGCTCGAGCACTGTGAGTATATCCTTGACAGCGTCGATCTTTTCCTTTTGCCAAACGAGCTCATACCTGGGTTACCGAGTTAGTCGCATATCATAAGCCTGAGATCGGGCAGCCTTACCTCTCGCGGGCGCAGCGCGATGGATATTGAAGCTCTATCGCGACCTCGTCGTCCTTTGCGCCTGTAATCGGTGGACAGCCGGTTGCCCTCGATGCCCTGTCTGCTGCATGAATGATACGCGGTTCCCTGACAGTGTCGCCAAACGCCTTCTTATGGCGCACCCTGCGGTTCACATCAACGGTCCTCGCATCGGCGCGTCGCAATCGCTTCTTGAACGGGTCGCCGTCCTCCTCATCAGACTCGGAGTCGTTGCCGAACGCCGGCGAGTCGCGCGACGTGCTGCTGGTCGCGACTTTGCGCTTCAGCCGCGCGCGCCCCTTCTCGTCGGACGAGGGGGGTGTGCTATGGCGGCGCCGACGTTTCGGCGGTATTGGCGCTGATGGCGAGAGGTGGCTGGACGATGATGCGGATGCGGGCAGGCTGCGAGTCGGCCTCAGAGTCGTGCGCGGCTTGCTAGGCACAACGACCTTCTCGACGCGCATGGGCGGCGGCTCCGCCTTGAGTTTCGACTTCCGGCTGAAGATGCCCATGGTGGTTACTGGACCGGATCGCGGGTGGGGGTCGCAACGTGGGTGGCGTAGCGGCGCGCGCGCTGGATGACGGAATCGCGAAAGTTTATTGGGATGCGTAGGTGAGTATAGTAGGGACGCGAACGCGAAACAGGGCCGCGTAGCGCATATACTACTGGGTAGGAAATAACTCCAAGGGAGAATAGAGATGTTGATCTGAGTGAGTGAGGGTGGATTGGGAGGCTGAGGATCGCGGAACAAAAGATGCACGAGAATGCTACCTATGCAAATAATGATGCGCTCCAAAGAGAGTGAGATGTGGGTATTAGATGCGCGTGTGATGCAGAGAAGGGAGAAATGGAGGGGGGAGAGGCGCAAGGCAGGAAAGGCGACCAAATGCAAGACCAAAGGAGGGTGATCGTCGCCAAAACTTGAAAGCCTTGGGGAAGGCAGGACTGATGATGATACTGGCGAGAGGGCTCCGAGGCAGGAGGCAAATGCATTGGATTTTTCAGCTTTGAACATCGAAGTCGCCTCTCTGCTGACCCCCACTTTCCCCTTATGAGGAACGGTCCGTGATAGGCACAATGGACGGGCAAGTGACCCTGGCTGCCTGGCTTTCTAGGCAGCTGCAGGGTCCCACAGCCTTGTCGGGCGGGTCGGTCGTATTGTTCGGGTTCTTGCCCCAGTTTATGAAAGTGAGATAGTGGTTAGATGCATATTCAATTACGCACAAGCTTCTTCTGTTACACAGACAGAAACGTGACTGCCACAACCTGTGACTAGCAATAACATACTCGAGAGCTGCTGATGGTCATACAAGATGGTATACCAACTTCCAAGGTTGTCACTGACGGTGAGTGGAGTCTACACATTCTGCCGCGCCAGGTAAACTCAATTCTCAGCTTTCACGCCAACAAACAAACAATCGCGTCCGCGGCGCTAGCTGTTGATCCTACCAGTACTCTTGATACGATTTCTCCACTGCATCGATATAATAATACTACCCGGATTACAGGTTCTACTGCCTTCATCACCGCCTCCAGCATCTTTGAGGGGAAAATGAGAGCTGGTTTCGGACACCTCATACATCCTCTACTCAGCCGGCACATCTCGTACTTGAGCTCGACCTCTTAGCCGACGAGCCGATTGAATATATCAAGGATGCGCACCAAAGCATGGAGATTGATACAGTAGCCCTGGCCGGCGAGCACAGGCTCTTCGCAGGAGTCTCTTCGCCTGAAGATCTGCCAGACACCCCTGGGCACTCGGGTCGACTGGTATTACCCCCATGCCTGACCTCCCCGTCTAGGTCCAGCAGCTCAGTCAGGCGACTCGTAATTTTGCTGTGGGACCTCGTGCTAATGCGGAAGCGGTGTCCGTCGAGGCCTGCGATGTCTCTTTCCACCGTTCTTGACAGCCCGTGCTGGGTTGGTGTTCTGCTCAAGTCATTGACCATGGGCTGAGGTGCGCTTTCATTGATGGCGCTGGTTCTAGGCTAGGCGGCCTCGTCGGATGGCTGGTGGGATCGCTTCGTATAGAGGTCGACGGGCCACGACTTAAGAAGGTCGGTCGATGAGACCAGCGGAAATAATTAAACAACAGGCTGTGAGTTATCATCTCCTTTCGATTTTTCATTTGGGTCACGTCTTATCCATGTGACTGGCCTCCCTACCACGCACTGCTGCGGTGACGCAGAGGGTTGGCGATGAACATGGGCTTACACACCTGGGCAGTTATCGAGCAAAGATGGTCACGTGTAGCAGAACTCTATGTTATCAAGGCTGGCTTCTTGGGGGACGCAGTGACAATTTACCCGGGCCAGGACTCAAGAAACTTCTCACTGCTGAGACCTGACCATAGGACACGCGCGCGCGCGCACGTGGCCTAGGGAGTTCACAATGAACGGGCCAGTTTTGAGAACCTGGTTGGAGCATCGCCAGTATCTGAGCTACTTGCAATCATATCTCGCGTCGCGTGGCCACCAGGGCTGTTATTATACTGTAGCGCCACGCGTTCTCAAACACCTCATCCGGGTTCGCTGAAGACCGCAGCTGCCTCGCCTTACCCACGTTGACCGAAGCCAAGTCTGAATAGGTTCAGCCCTCCCCGCATATCCCTCATCTTCTCGACGACATGAAGCATTAGCTGGAATAGATCAAGGGAACGCGGACTAGAAGAGAAGAAGCTTTCAGCCACCAAGTGCCGTTATACGCCCCATAGCGCCTGCAGTTGTGATCGTGCCGACAACCATTCCTGAACCTCCAAGCACCTCGAAGTCAGACACGTGATGTGCTCACAAGGTAACATATGGTCGAGCTACCAAGTCAGTCAGTCCCGGGTCTCAAACAATTTATAAAACCAGCTACATCCTCCCCAAGCCAGTTGGTAGCCCTGGCCACTCCATCCATCCATCCATCTCTTCTCACCTTTCAACCTTTCAGCACTCCTACTATTGTCTAGCACTCACCATGCTCTACATCACCATCGTCGCCCTGGCGCTGGCCTCGGCCGCGACTGTATCTGCGATGCCCGCAAACATATCCCCCACGGTCCTCCGAGCCCGACGGCCTCGTTGACATTGTCGAGCCTTTTAGCCGCAGCAACTGTCGAGGACGATCCGCCCCTCAAGTTCCCATGCGGCAAGTGCAGACACCGTAAAAACGGTCACATCTGCCAGCGCTTCTGCGTGGACCCTGAGGAGCGAATCTGCGCCGAACGGCCCGCCAAAAAAGACGAGTGCGATGATGCACTGGATGAAGCTTCCCTCATCCCCGCGATGGCCTCGTTGACATCGTCGAGCCCTTCGGCCGCAGCATCCAGCAGCCACGACCTCCACAGCTGCGAGCCCTGCACCGTGGCGACGGACGGCGCCACTTGCCTACCGCACAAGTGCTGGGGTTTTAGAGGCCATGTGCTCTGCCACGAGGACCCTGCCGGACTCTACATGTGCTTGGACCCAGAGTACAAGTCCCTCTCGGACGTGGACTCGACGACCGCACCATCTGACGACCACCCTCACCCTATCGACCTCCCCCACCCCCCCCGAGGGGTGTGTGCAGTGCACTGATCACAAGAATGGAGTGTCCTGCTACCGCTCGTACCGCTATCTTCCCGGAAAACTTGGCGTCGCGCAACCACTATGCACTGAGTGGCCCCTCGGGAAAACCAACTGCGAGGACATACATTGGTCCTAGGGAGACTCTACGCGGGCGTACCTTGCCCTCAACGCGCCTCGCTCCTGCCTGCCTGCCTGGCTCTGTCCCTTTCCGCCTGTGTGCCGACGCGGAAAGGCAGTGATGCTCGAAAGGCCATGGCATTGTGAGCACATCGTTGTGGTGGAGCTTGGTGTTATGAGGGTTGGGGACTCATGTCTTATTTAGTCTCTTCTCGCTTTGGGGTCTCGGGATTTGCTCGAGGACGACTAGGTTGTTGTTTTGCTACGGATGTTGTGTACCTCGGTTCATAGAGAAAATACTTCCACTCAATGAAACTTCTCCACTCCATAAAACTTCCAGTATTGTATACCTGGGATGCCTCCATACCATGCTTTCCCCTTGCTACTCCAAACGATCTAACCGTCCAATTGGTGACGAGCATGGCAGGCCGTGAATGATGTGTTTTTGCTCCTTCGTTGCTGCAAGGTGCGATTTCACGATTTATTTTATTTTGTAAGCTCTTCGACCGGAAGGAAGGAGCCAAACCCAAATACCCCAAAAGACAACAAAAAGCAGAGCCCCCGTGCTGTACGCTAAGGTGCTCGGCTACGCGAGGTCAAGGGACAAGACGAATAGAGTTCAGCCATGAGCCACTAAATAATAATAATATCGTAGAGCCTGAACTGAATCCACAACATCGATCCCATCTAGTTCATCTCCTAGAACCAGCGCAACTTAGTCCCCCAGAACCAGCACACGGGCAGGTAAGTAGAGCCCACATTTTCCCGTGCTATATAAATCCACATCTTCACTCACCAACCCTCCTCGCTCCTTCCCTTTTCTTCCATTTTCAATTGATCTAAAATATCGAGGGCAGGGGGCATGGCAGGGTCGAGGTTCCCATCGCCATATGGCTTCCTCAACTGACCCTGCACATACTATTATTGAGGCTGGTCCTTTGGGCAGTGATGATCAACAGCGAGCACTGAGATGGGTTTACGCCATCGTGCGGGCCTACGAGCCGAAGCTGAGTCTGAGCCCGTGGATGAACTGGTCCCCTTCCTTCCTTGCTATGCCGCGCTGTCGATGCCTCGCACAATCTTCTTCCGAGGCTATCAACATCCTTCCATCCACCTCATGCGTTACCATCACCTCTGACGCCATCACCAACACTGCCACACCGCTTTAGCTAATCCTTACCGTTGCCTCTGAACATCTTCGAAGAGCCCTCGTGTATCGTGATGGTACTGGAACAGCCTTGTGTGACATGGGCCTCCAGTGAGGCTGTAGGTGTTCCAACATCTTTACAGTGACGGCAAACCGTCTTCAATATTGGTCCTATAGTACACTGGACCAGACCAGCAACAGGGCTACTCTCAACACTGATACAGTCTATCGGAGGGAAAGAGTTCAAATTCGATGACTAACTACTTTGGCTACATACATGTGGCAATGCAGGAAAACAAAACGTGCTCCCTTCTGATCCCCCGAAGTATTCATTGAAGGACTGGACGCTCCGGCATTAAGAAGGGAATTAAGGCTGGTCCTCTTACTCTACCCATGCTCGAGCTGGTCCAAGCCTATTAGGTGAGGTCAGGAACGCAACGTGATCATGGGGTGGGAAGCTGTACCAATGCACAGAAGTGCAATTGTTACTTGTGAAGTCTGTGAAGTGGCAGGGCATGGTGGATGTGAAATGAGGCGGGATGGGGATTTCGATGAAGAGAAGAGAAGAAGAGAGGAAGAAGAGCTAGACGGCGTGGGACGTTTAAATAAGTGTCCTTGGAAGGGTGGTCACGTCACTTCGGACCTATGTCTCCTCGTGGCTGCCTTGATTGTGTTGGTTGTACGGTCACGACTCACGGATTTCAAGCAGCGACTTCCATACGACATTACAGACGTCACTAAGCCCCAGGAAGTGCAGGCTGAACGAGGAAGGATCTGATCATTCCCCTTAGATCACTCGGGAAGGCAGCTTCTAAGTGAACCCCTTATGAGGTCGTTGGCCAAGTTGGCTATTACCACACACCAGCAACACCTGCCATCGCACGCCGTGCCAGTCCGGCAGCATCAGCTTATTCCAGGCAGAGCGTATGGGATGCCAAGTTCTCCAGCTCTTATGGTCGAACGTGCTTGAGTTTGCTGGTATTGTATACCTAATATATTCTGGGTACCACCTGCCCATGCCCCCGACGCCTTGTGGGTTGGCGGCACACCTGCAACAGCATGGTGAACAGCGTACGACCATCCCTCTCCGTCAAGGCAGTCCACCTTCGCTCAACAGCCTGATGAACTGATCGACTGGGCGCATTGTTCCGTCAAATGTCAACCCATCTGCCATTTGCCCGGGTGGCTCATACCACGTCGGCATTCACCTTGGCTCAATCCAGAGAGCAATGCTATACAATACAAACGAGATACGGCAGCGGAGTGGTAATCGGGTGCTTGATTGACATCAACCATTATTATACCCCTTATTATCAGACCACCGAGCGAGAATGGTGGCGGAGCTCCTACGACACTGATATACAACGACTGGCGGAACAGCCAGAGATGTGTTGATTGCAGCCCATATGCCCTTCCTTATGGAAACCACACCGGTGTATGTATGGCCAAGGGCTTCAGGAAGCTGGCTTATCGGACATTGAGCCGCTGCTATATATCAACTTGGAGTGTCACGGCATTATATGACAGCCCCACAGCTCCAGAGGTCAACCCCTATATATACCTGAGCATGTCACCTAGCTAGCTTCATAGTTTCCTTCCTTCTTCACGTACATCAACACAGCCATTTCTGGAGTCACCAGCAGTCGAACTGTGACATGGAGATGACGACCGGCGTTCGTCTGATCCCCGACTGTACTTAGTCAACACGAGCCTTGTCTGATCGACTCAAAGAAAGCTCTTACTTGCTTCCTACTAGATGAAGGCTTTCGCAGTTATGTCGGAGAAACTCGATTAGGTCAGAGTAGGTGAACTAATGAATATTCGAAGCTGGCTAACAACTCCCTGGGAGCTAGAGTGGCGAGCTCCGTATATATAGGGAGTTGCTCGCCAAACTCTTCGAATATGCGCGTAAACTTGTCGAAGAAAGGCTGGAGTCGGCCCCCTGTCTTGCTCGCATCTGGATCGGCACCGTTAATGGCGAGGCACACGAGGACGCACTCGGAGAAGGAGGCGGACGGCACCCAGGGAATAGCTGTCAATTCGGGACGCGACTTGCTGTCACGGCACTAGATGTGAACCCCACAGCCCCACGGGCCAACCCCTATATATACCTGTTCTTGTTTCCTAGCTAGCTTTATAGTTCCTTTCCTTCTTTATGTACTTCAACAAAGCCATTTATAGAGTCTTCTAGCAGTCGGACTGTGACACTTGCCTAATGCCGACTGTCACAGAGTATGGTTCGGAAACGATCCGTGAATGCTCCAATTCGCACAAGTGGCCATGCGGCGCATACGTGTCTCCAGTCTCGCAGCTTCAATTTCGGCCACCTGGTTGTAGCGGTGTCCAGTATCAGGGCATATTCGAAGCGGGCTCGCTGGTTTTAGATCGTGTACAGAGCCAGGTTCCCAGGTTTCACCTCGATAGTGTTGCCGCCGCGATCTTGCGAGCCAGCAGCAGACCAGAGACTTGAACGCCAGTTCGAAGAAACAGGGGAGATGATTTTACATGCTGATCAGATACTATACCGCAAAGGACCTCTAGCTGTCTCAGTTCGACTGCTGGAAACTCCAGAAATGACTTTGTTATTGTACGTGAAGAGGAAGGGACCTATGAAGCTAGCTAGGAGACGTAATCTGGTATATATAGGGGTTGACCCCTGAGACTGTGAGGCTGTCTTCTAGTGCCGTGAGAACAGCGCTGGTGGTCCTATTTATCATGTGATACGAGAGACTGAATGATCTTGTGAAAATTTTAGTTTCTGCCAACACCTGTATCAGTCCGCAAAGCTATCACCCGCATTGGAAGCATATGATTTATAAAGTCGCTAGTAGAATGAATCCTACCGCTGTCCATTGATGTGTTTCTGTTCATTCTATATGCTATAGTGAGCCTCTCTGGGATACGGAAGCCGCACCTTGGTCACGAGACGTGAACTAAAGGACCAATTGGCCACCACCATGCCTCAACAAAGTGCCAGTTGAGTATTGAATGAAATATTTTAGCAGAGATTGCTTAATCTTACTTCACTTGTTCCGCGGAGAAAGATTTGGAAAGTCGCCAAAGACTCGACATGGCCACAATTTTGCCATGCGAACTCCATTCAAGGGTGTCGTTGTGGACGACTTGTTGCAAATCTATTTTAGGATTGCCGCCGAGAAGGATGTAAGCGGCCACATACTCGTCGTTCTTTGTGGTATATGAGTGCTACAGCCCCAACCGACCGGATTGGGACCCTGACCAATACCGTCTTTGACCTCCTTTGACGATTGTTGCGTGGCCACCGAGCTCCGATCGCAACAATGAACCTTTATTTCTCCTGTAGATAATATGGGCGGGCAGAGTGCCGTCGAGACAAGCGCTTGTTTGGAATCTTCCCTACCAACGACAATTTAACAGTACCCTTGCTAGGTCATCAAAAAACAAAATGCCAAAGAGAGAAATTATTGGTTTACTTACCGCCCTGGGCCTCTGTGCCCAGGTGGCCAAAGGTCAGCTCGACCCGGACTGCAACCCGCTCAAAGCGGACTGTCCGACGAAGAAGGCTTGGCCGCAGGCCAACTATCACATCGACTTCACGAAGGAGACGTCGGCCCCGCCGAACTGGATCATCGCCAACTATGAAGAAGTCAAGTTCGGACCGAAGGGAGCCGAGTTCACGTACGGCGCGAGGAACGACGCGCCGAATATGTGGACCGACTTCTACATGCTGGGCGGGCGCTACGACGTCGAGATGCAGATCGCGCCCGGGCAGGGCATCATCAGCAGCGCCGTGCTGTGGTCGGACATCCAGGACGAGATCGACTGGGAGTTCTCCGGCAACCAGCACGGCGAGCAGCCGTTCCCGCCGGCCGACGGGCTGTGGACGGTCGAGACGAACATCTTCGCGCAGGGCAAGATGTGGGACGGCGCGGCCACGTACCAGAAGGACTCGGTGAGCCCGACGACGCAGTTCCACACGTACTCGGTCGACTGGGACGAGAACCACATGGACTGGCTGGTCGACAACAAGGTCGTGCGCAGCGTCAAGGCCACGGACACGCCCAGCGGATTCAACTTCCCCCAGTCCCCGATGAAGCTCCAGCTTGGACTTTGGGGCGGCGGTGATCCGGCCAACAGCTACTGGACCATCCAGTGGGCCGGCGGCGAGATCGACTTGAAGAGCGTTCCGTACAGCATGTACGTGCGGAGCGTCAACATCACTAACAAGTATCCTGCGTGCCAGTACAAGTACACGGACAGGGTACGTATAACATTCTTCACCTAATTCACTACCTTTGCTAATGTCATATAGAGCGGGAAATTCGCCAGTATCGACAAGATCCAGGATGGCTGCAATTCCTCATCGAGCTCCGCCGCTGCGGCCGCCACGCCCAAAATCATCAAGGATTCGGCTCCTGTCAGCTCATCTGCTATGTCCGAGATGCCCATGGCCAGCAGCTCCCAGAGTGCCGCCGCCGTCATTTCACCGGCTATCCATCTCGCCGCTGACCAGTCCTCAGCCGGCTCCTCGAGCGCCGCGGCCGCGGCGTCGTCCGTTCCCGGTGGCGTCGTGTCCTCATCATCGTCTTCCGCGGGTGTAGCGGCCCCTTCGTCAGCATTTTCATCTGCGGGGGCTTCTTCTTCGGTGCCGACTTCAAGCGGTGGTATCCTGAGTAGCATAAGCTCTTATATCCTGGGAACGAGCAGCAGCGCGGCGCCCTCGTCGGGAATATCATCAGGGGCCTCGTCATCAGGCTTGAGCGAGTCGAGCTCGGCAGCGGGCTCAAGCTACCCAGCATCGTCATTGGCTGCCTCCAGCTCTATCCCAGGCAGTAGCTCGGGCAGTTCAGGTCTTTCTTCCAGCGTCGGGGCATCCAGCTCGGGTGCCGCCAGCTCAGGAAGCGGCTCGAGCTATCCCGCATCGTCCTTCGGTGCGTCCAGTTCTGCGGCCCTCTCCTCCAGCTCCGGTGTACTGTCTGGGAGCTCCGGTCCATCTTCCGGCGTCCCAGAGTCTGCCTCTGCCAATGCAACTTCAGGGGCAGCAGCCAGTTCCGGAATATCAAGCTCAGCCGCCGTCAGTGGCAGCGTCTCCGCACCGCTGTCCTCCGGAAGCGCTGTCCCGAGCGGAAACAGCAGCAGCGCCGCAGATGCTGTCGTCGCGAGCACAACTTCCACTGTCTACTCGACCAACATATACACGGTCACCTCCTGTGCGCCTACTGTGACGAACTGCCCCGCCGTTCTCGGAAAGGTCACTACTGAGCTGATCTCTATAACGACGACCGTTTGCCCCGTCACCGAGGCGGAGAGTGCGAAGCCTACTGGCTCTAGCTCTGTGGACGCAGTCACTTCCTCGAAACCTGTAGGCTCCAGCTCCGTTGCGGCGGTCAGTTCTTCAGTGCCTGCTGGCTCCAGCTCCGCGGCGGCAGTCAGTTCGTCAGTACCAGTGGGCTCCAGCTCCGTGGCGGCAGCCAATTCTTCAGTGCCCTTGGGCTCCAGCCTATCCACAGTCATGTCCTCGGTATCGGCCGCGATATCCTCGGCCGTCTCGGCCAGTATCTCCTCCCTGAACAGTACAGCCGCTGCTCAGACTTCGGCCATTCAATCGGAGACGATGCCCACGACGTACAGCGTCAGCTCAGAGATCACCACGTCCACGATGTCGACGGTCTATTCCACCACCGTCTATACCGTTACTTCTTGTGCCCCAACAGTCACAAACTGTCCTGCCAAGCTGGGCCAGGTGACCACGGAAGTGGTGTCTCTGTACACCACCATCTGCCCAGTCACCAAGACCGTGCTGGATGGCAAGACTTTCGGAGGAAGCGTCGTGGCAGCGGTGACTGCCACTCCTACATCCTCATTCCTTGCTCAGAGTGTTGCTGTCAACTCCACTCAACCCGCGACTTCGGGCAGTTCCAGCATCCCTGTCGCCAGCTCCAGCATCCCTATCACCAACTCCAGTATCCCGATCGCCAGCTCTAGTATCCCTCCCACTAGCTCTGCCAGCCCCGTCAGCAGCAGCTATGTGCCCTCGGTGGGAACATCTTCGTCGGTCTCGACCTCCAACGTTGTATTCGCAAACACAACATCGTCTTTGGTCGAAGCCATGTCGACAGCGGCGACCATGGCAGCCTCCTACTCATCGACCGCTCCCTCCATCGTTCCGCTGACAACCTCGACAGTGTACTCGACCAACATCTATACCGTTACGTCTTGTGCCCCAGAAGTCACAAACTGTCCCGCCAGGCTGGGAAAGGTGACTACAGAGCTCGTTTCATTGTACACGACCATCTGCCCGGTTACACAGGTTGAGTCTGCAAGCTCTTCAGCCACGCCCGTCAGCATAGCGCCATCGTCGTCGTCGTCGTCGCCCAAGCTCTCGTCGATTGTTGCCCAGAACAGCTCGATAGCTTCCACCGCTCCCGTGGCAATATCACTGACTGCTGCCATGACAGGATCATCATCTGTTCCCGTGACATCTTCGGCTGTCCCTATGACGACATCCACTGTGTACACCAGCAGTGTATATTCGAAGATGGGTTCGATCACAACAGAGATGGTTGCGCTGTACACGACTGTGTGCCCCGGGAAGGAAGCAGAGTCCTCGGCAGTGCCGGTCCAGCAACAGTCTTCAGCATTGCCCGTGACATCAATACCCCCTGTGACTTCAACCGTCATGGCACCGTACAACTCATCCGTCAAAGCGGCGTCTTCCACCCTAGCAGTCACAGGCAGCTCCAGTGCTCCCTTCGCCGTCCCCCTGAACACCACCAAGGCAGCGCCCTCGTACACCACGTCTACCGTGTACTCGACGAACGTCTACACGGTCACATCCTGCGCCCCGGACGTCACGAACTGCCCGGCCAGGATCGGTGCCGTCACGACTGAAATCGTCGCTGTTTCCACAACCGTCTATCCCGTGACAGAACAATCCGCAGCCCCGGTCGTGACATCCGCAGCTCCGGTCGTGACATCCGTGCCTCCGGTAGTAGGCCAGGAAGCGCCCGCAACGAAGGCCATCCCGTCCAGCGCCATTGCATCCTCAGTACCCGTAGCCGACGTCCCAAGCTACAGCATGAGCGAATTCGAAAGCACCATGACCATGGCCTCCTCCGCGCCCCCGGTCGTCGCCGGCAGCTCCTCCCCCACGTAAGTCCCCCTTCTTTTCCTCCTCACATGCCCCCGCCCAATCACCACCTCCAAAGTGATGTTGCCAGTCAACTAACAGTTTCTCTCCACCAGCGACGCCGACGTCATCATCGCGACCCAAGCGACCGCCGCGCAGCAGAACACCCTCCCCTCTTCCGCAGCCGCGACCACGCCCGTCGACAAAGCCGTGCCCACGACCCCCGAGGCCGTCACCGCCATGACATCGTCCGTCACCAACGTCCAGACCGTCTACCAGAGCCTGTCGCAGGTGGCCCAACAGTCGTCGCAGGTGGTCCAACAGCAGGTGGCGAGCGAGTGCCCCGTCTGCGCGCCGACGACCGTGTACGCCACAACCACCGCCACAGCCGCCGCCGTCACCGTTACCGCCACCGTCACACAGACGGTCGCGACTACCGTCACGAGCACCGTCATGCCGCCCTTCCCGATGTCCTACGGCACGGGCACGGGCACGGGCACGGCTCCGCTTGGTACTGGCACCGGCGTGTTGGGTTATTCGGCATCGGCATCGGCTTCCGCTTACGCTTCGGATGCTGCGAGCAGTAGCGACGCGGCTATGAGTAGTACGGATGCCTCCATTGATGACACGAGCGCTACGAGTACACATGCTTCCGTGGACAGCATGAGCGCTACGGATACTTCCATGCCCATGAGCACCGCGCCGATGCGTAGGTGGTTCAGGAGAGGCAACGCCCATGGGCACGGCTATAGGCATTGATAAGTTAGCGTGCTTGGAATAGCAGTCGGCTTCGTGTGTTCGGCGTTGGGGTTGCATATTGTGGTTTTTCAACCGTCATGACTTTTCCTTTGTTGGCCTATTTCCTATTCTTCTTCTCGTATATATATATATGTTTGGGTCGCCTTTTTATTCATATGAAAATTTTGGATCTTGACTGAAGACTGATGCTGGTTACTTGGTGACTTTACTCAGTGACATGACAATGGGACGCATCGATACGGGGCGGATTTGAAGACGAGACACTGGTGGTAGAACAACATGGTTTCATCGCTGAGGCTGAAGGTCTCACAACTGCTATGTAGAGAAGGGGCTGAGCTCGTATACACACTCTCGAGGGATTGTGGATATTGACAGCGACGAAGGATACCTCCAAGTAAGGGTGAACTCCCAGCCTGCTGCGAAGAAGCCAGTCACCGTCGAGCTCCCGGGTCCAGTACCTGCGCGACGAATCATCGTGGCCGGGCTTCATGTCTTGCGACTCCATGGCCTGACTGTCGACGGCGCCTGCAGGTTGCTCGGCCGATCCAACACAGGGGTTGACAAAGGGATCATGCAACGAGATATGCACTCTTTGAAGTTACGGGCCTGCTCCACCACAGAATCCGAACTTCTGCTGCCCCCAACGGTAGATCGCGGGGAGTATCCAGAACACCAAGTACACCAGCACCAGCATGAGAAGCACCAGCACCAGCGTGAGAATAGTATCCAGCACCCGCTCAACCTACGTGAAGAAGCCAAGTCAGCACTCGTTCCCTCCCACAAAGCTACATACCAACACAATTGTATATAACAATGGAAGACTGAACAGTGGAACTGGAGTTTGGGCACGAGGGGGAACAACATACCACCTGAGGATCAACCCGCACATCCAGAGCCAAGCGCGAATGTGTCAGCGGCGCAAACTCGTTGAGATCCAGGTCGTTCGCCAACTCCTGGCTCCGGCGCAGGCGCTCAACGTTCGCTTCGTGCTCCTTCACCAGGCCCTGGTAGAACGCCATCGACTCCTGCAGCAGCTTCATGCGTTCCTCGATGAAGAAGATGTCGCGGCGCAGGGCGCGCTCCGCCTGGAAGCGGTCGAGGTAGCTCTCCTAGATGCTGTCCTCTTCTCCGTCGGCGGGGGCTTGGTGGTTGGGGCCGTGGAATTGGTCGTGGGATTGGGCGTCGAATACGTGGGCGTCGAATGTAGGGTCGTGAGAAGTGTGCGCAGTGCGGACTTGAAGGTTGCGGTAGGCGTGAGCGGAGGCGTGGTTCTCGTAGTCGCGATCGTGGGATTGAACTTCGGCTCCAGACGCGTAAGCCTCGAAAGTAGGAGCTTGGACACCACCAATATGGGCTTCGGGATCGTATGCATCCTCGCTGTCGGACTCAGAGTAGTATGGGTCGCTCGTGAAGGAACCCGGCATGGGCTCCTGGCCAGCTGCGATCAGTCGCAAGCGGGAAAGATGCAGTCGAGTTGCCTCTGACAGGGCACGAGGCTGACGGCGCTGCTCCATGGTGTCGAAGTATGAGGGTGCCGGTTGCGAAGTGCACTCTGTGAATGTTGTTGATCAGTCTTTGGGTCAGGCTGAGCGGGGCAGACCGCGACCAAGAGGGAGGGTGGTGACGACTAGGAAACGAATGGGGTCCTGACCTGAGGCGATTTTCTCCTTTCTCGATCGTGACAAGTGATCGTGTTTTTTCCCCCTCAGAAGCGGAGCTGTGCGGACAGCACTGATTAACGAAAGGGCCTGGGTCGGCCGTGCACACAGTGCTGCAGTGCTTTGATTAACCAGGCAACTATAGAACCCATAATACATCACCTAGCGATACAGGTACGCTGCCTCTTGCAAGCTGCTAGTCTAGATCCGCCTGTATCTCAGGCAATGCGGCCACCACGCACTTTGTATGATATGATGGCTGCCGCAACGATACTCCTGATTAGGAAAGTGGGAATTTACATTATGTCACATCATTGGGCCAATCCGCTCAGGGATCAGACGATCAAGAACGAACGCTTATTTTCCTAGTCAATTGATGCTATACTGGCTGTCCGAATAATGCTCTTGTCAGTGCATTAGATGATACCCGAGTGATGCTGTCAGACCTTCTCTGGAGCCGATATCCACATGAGAATCATACCAGAAATCATAGCGGCGAGAATCTACTCCTGAGTTAGTGATCATGTTCCATGCCTTGGAATAGTATATACTTACGCAGCCATAAGCCAGACTCTGGATGTACTGAAGGTTGGCCATCCTGGCCTCGAGTCGAACTTCATGACGAATCATATTGTCTCGGCGTACTTGCAAGCTTACAGCACTCTCGATCCTGCTCTCGATAGCATGGACAAGTTGGTTGACAGTGTCATCGACAAAGGCATGGAACTCCTCGCGGCCAAGGGTGGCTTCGGATCCCTGGTTCTGTCCCCCTGTCCGCAAAATAGAGCTTCACTGGCAAGTCAACTTCCCGAGATACTCAAATGCCAGATCCCCCCAGCATCGCCTGTCGGACTGCAGTACGCGCCGCAAAGCAAAGCTACTCCTGGCGCCTCACAGAGGATGCATCTGAGAATGCCCCGGGGCCATCTTACGTGAGCATACACGCAACTGTTTCCTATCCACACCCAGCCGCCCATGAGAGACGACTGGTCGGCCTGCACTGGGCACCAGTACCAACAGTACCGGAGGAACCAACCCCACCACACAAGGCCCAAACTCCCAGATTTGGAGGGTGAGGGTCGGCCGATCGTCTTGTTTGGCCCGGAAAGATGCTTAGAGGGTGTTGCCCCAGCCCAAAGTAGGGAGGTTTACCAACATCAATAGCGAACACACATGCCCCAGCAGAGCTTCCCGGACAAGACTCTCATGATCAGGCCTGTTCAACGGAGACTCCGAGGCGATGAGGCTGGCAGAGGGATCGACGGCAAGGAAAACGAGAGCGGGGCAAAGGACTTACGTTGTTGGAGAACTCCTGGTACTGATCGGTCAGAGCCTGCTGGCGATGAGGATCACCGGTGGCTCCGGGGAGACCGCGTCGGTAGCCCTAAGACTGATCAGCAGATGGTATGGTATGAGCAATGTTGCAGGTGAACTGACTTGGGCCATTGGTCCCGCCTGAAGGTGGACTGCGTCCTCTCGAGACTCAGAACCGAGCAAGGGAGCATCCTAGGCGCCCTCGCGTCGGCCGGCCGCGTTGGCATTGGTGTTGGCGTTCTGATTGGAGTCGAACATCTGAAGGTGCCTTGGATGTTAGTCACAGCTGGGATGAGAGTGTGAATTGGCGTGATCAGGAGCGCTGGGGAGATTGGCGGGAGGTGGGGTAGCATGGATGGTGGTGATGGATGGTGGTGATGGTAGTGATGGATGGTGGTGGCCCGGAGAAGACGCATGGGGAGATGAATGAATATCAATCACCAGAAGGAAATAGAGAAGAGTCGTACCTTGAAAATGAATTGTATGAAAGCGGGTTTCAGAGATTCCGAAAGATGCGCGTGGTGGTCCTGCAGAAGAGGAAAGAGGAGGGGGAGGAAGGGAAAAGTGAAAAAGGTGCCCTTAAATGGAAAATCAGATTGTGGGCGAGAGCCAGCTGATTGTGCAATTCAGTACTACCAATCGCACCAGTCCTATTTGGGAAATCAGAGATGGGAGAGACCTATAGTGAAATCATAGCAGAGCTGCAAGGTGGTGTTAGGGGCAACACTACCCTGTGCCGCCCAGCACATAGGTATCAACTTTAGGTCTAACCAATCAAAATGTAGACTGCTACGGTTAAACATTTAATTGGACTATACTGGCCTTCTGAATTTATGATTGGGTGAGAATAGATGGTGATCTGATTTCATGACAAGGCACGCCGGTAGCACGATCTCTGATCTGGAGGCCCTCGGATAGGTAGCCAGATGGATAGACAAACAGACAAGTGGCAGGGTCAATACTGGTCAAAATCGAGCGTGCTCGTCCATCAGTCGCCATCTTAACAAGTATGACTTTCGATCTCGGTTTATTCTAACAGCTACCCACGCACGGCCTGCTGGACCACATCTAACACTGCCCATGCGTTCTGTTGCTCAAGTATGTACGGCCATTAATCACTAGGATGCCCATTCATGGCCTGACTCAACACACTCCGTTGGTTGATAACCTGACTGAACTGAGTGAAATTGGATTCAGCGCCAATCATGGCAACATCGTGCTCTCGTCCAAACAGCCCTGTTCGGCCCCTCGTGTTGGTAGTGCCCCATCATGGCCTATCCTTGCCTTCACGGTTCTCTGCACGATGTTTCTCTGTACCTGCACTAGAAGGGGAGTAGCTGTCTATCCATGCATTTAAAGGTACCGGATGTGTTTTACACGCTTACTCGGTCAGTGTTTGTTTGTTTTGTATTTAACGTAGCTTCAAGACCGTCGGCTTGTCCTGAGCTGGCAGGGATGAATTCCAAGAAGTGTTTGTTTGTTTGTTTGTTTTGTATTTAACGTGGGGGATTGCTCCTCAGTAGTGCAAACCACGCCTCCCAGAGCCTCTGCATCACAGGGTTGTGGAGGTATCAAGATAATAAGTACAGTCAGTCCCGCTCATAAGCCCATCCCCGTTGTTGCGGCGGTATGACCTTGGGTCATCCATCTGGTCCTTCAAGAACAGCTATCTATTGAGGACAGATTAATGAAAAGAATTTGCTTTTCTCTACGAATTTTGTCTATTCTGTGCTCCTCTCCTCTAAGTATTATAAACAAGCTGTCCTAGGCGAGTACCTAGATAGTAGCCAATTTTTCTCCAGTTTCTTACAAAAGAAAATATATTGTGGTGTTTTTTTCTCACCACAGTTGTAGTGATCATTCGAATCTGTATGCCCAAAGCGTTCGTGGTATCTGGCAAAGTCGCCATGTCCAGATCTGGCCGCTAGAAGTCTGTATAAAATACTCCTCTTAAAAGATATAAAGTCTCTTTTAGTTACTATATGTGAGTATACTTCTTGATATCTAGGTTCTGATTGGTCTTTCTATTATTGATTGAATTCTTTCTTGCCCTTTTTTTTGAGATCTCTCTTGACCCATGAGATTATAGGAAGGTTTGTTATGTCTGTTTTTAGCATGGCACCCTCTTTTGCTAGTGTGTTGGCAGCTTCGTTGCTATTAATATCTCTGTGTCCAGAAATCTATTTGACGGTCACTCCAGGAGTGTGTGCCGTGGCAAGTTCTTGAAATTATAAAAAAATGTTCTGTGATGTCTCAAGTGGAGTCTCATTGAGCCTATTTACCATTACTGTGTTGTCCAGGCAGACATATAACTGTTTTCTGTGTCTAATTGCCCTGGCTGCTATAAGCCCTTAGAGAACGTCATGGACTTTAATATCTATTACTTCTGCTTAAAGAAGTCTGCCTTTTTCCTAGTATACTTCTTGTGTAGTATTACCTTTCCTGATGGTATAGCCCTATTTAGTGTGGGTTGTGCCTTTATTGTCTAATTATGATCTATTTGAGTAGATAACAAGGTCAGTATTCATATTTCTTTTTTATAATCATTCCTTGAAGAGCTCTGTCTCTTTGTCTTTGTCCTTTCAGATTAGGGATTTTTTTTATGATGATTTAGTGAATATTGATCTCTAGAAGTCAGGGACTAACTGGAAGCTCCTTTATAGCCATGTTGGTTCCTTGCGAGCTTGTACTTGGAGCCTGCCAACAAGAGGGTATCTTTGATCTAAATGTCCGAGTCGTAGGCTATGACGCTGTCTTATTGCCTCTGTAAGAACTCCTGCTGGAGGAATCTGTGATTTAAAGTATAGGATATGTCCAGAATGTGTTTTCCAGACCGGCAGGATAGCCCTGATCGCTGTTCGTAGTACAGCATCTATCATTCTAAGAAGCCCCTTAATATGACATGCTGATGTCTCACCTGAGCTCCTGATTTTTTTGATTCCTGGGTACCAGGCCTCTAAGCCATATGTAAGAATAGGAATAACACAAGCTTTCACAGCCCTCTTGGTTAATTTTACTAGGAGTCCTTTGACTGTGTTATATAGCCCTCAAAGGTGATTTGTTACCTTATTAGCTTTCTTGGCCATCGCATGGAGTTCTTTGCTATTTTATTCATTGTCTTGTAGCGGACTGGAGGGTTGTTTGAGTTCTTTTTTCTTAAGAAGTGTATGATCTCAGTTTTGTCAGGATTAAATTTAATAGCATTATTATGTCCCTATTAATTAAGCAAATAAAGATTTTCAGAAGCCTCTATAATTATTTCTTTAAGGTTCTTTCTAATACAGAGAGTTGCTAAGTCGTCTGTATATCCAAAGCGTCTCTTTTTCATACCAAGTCAGGCACAGATTGGCTCTGTATACAGCATGTAAAGGATTGGAGAGGCTGGTGAGCCTTGTGGTAGCCTACAAGTGAGAGCTTTTATATCGGTCACAATACCTTTAAACTGAACCCTTGCAGACCGCTCAGACATGAATGACTGGACCCATCTTATAAAAAAGCCCAGCCAGCCCTGTTCTCTCATGCGAACCACCAGCCGTCCCATTAGGGCAGTGTTAAAGGCCCCTTTCACATTTGACGTGACTACCGTTGCAACGAGGCCTTGGTTGAGGGCCTGCTCAATATCGTGTATGAGTGCGGCTATCAAGTCGGTGGCAGAGCGTTTTGGTAGAGCTCCGAAATATTGTGGATCTAGAATTCTAAGTTTGATAACAAACCAGATAATTCTTTATGCAATGAGTCGTTCTAGGCCTTTGCCAAGACATGACAGTAGCGATATTGGTCTGTAGGCCCGGGGATTGGAGTAGTCTTTCTTGCCTGGTTTTGAGATCATCACCACCTTAGCCATTTTGAATGGTTTTGGGTGATGTCCAATCTGTAGGCAGGTCTGGAAAAGGGCTCTGATATGTTCCCTAATGGCTGGCCAGCAAGCTTTCAGAATCTGTACTGTGAGGGTGTCTATTCCTGGGGAGTTGCTCTTGGTCCCTATAGTGCACCCTTCAGCCTCTTCCAGTCCGACATGGTATTCAAGGGGGATGTGTGGCTTGGGTTGTATGATCTGAGCAGACCAGGGGTCGATAATATCGTTGTCTGAGGTACTTCGTTCAAGCGTGGCTGAACATAGTGCATTTGCCTTGCTCTCTTGTGACTCGAATATTTGGTCTCCTATGATGATTGGGGGGGAACGTAATTCTGTTGATAGCTTGTGTCAAGAGACGATTTTGTATATGTCCTTTGACTTAGTTGCTGAATTGATTAGAGTCTGTCAGTATTCTTTCCTAGCTTTCCGAACCACGCGGCAAAATTCCCGTCGGGCTGAATTCCGCCTTTCTTGGCTTGCGGTCTGTTTGGACGGGGCCCTGTATGTCTGAATAGCTGCTTTGCATTCATCATTCCACCAAGCAGTGGGCCTAGATTGTCAGGACTTTTTGCCCACTGTTCTGACACAGCCTTGGATTATGTTGATCAAGCTCTGTGTAAAAGCATCTACTTGGCCAGGGGATGCATCCAGCCGGGGGAGCTCATTAATCCTGTTTTGGACATTGTCCACCAGCTCTTGTAGTTTATTATCCGGGACTATCCACTGATCAGCCTTGGGGACCCGGTCCAGGTCTCCCTGAATTGGGACAACTATTCGTAATGTCTCATGATCTGAAGTGCACTAGAGTGCATCATTCACTGAGGCTTCGGCCATGGGGACATCTGAGAAAACCAGATCTAGTACATTTCTGTCATCATGTGTCGGGACATCTGGTTCAGAAATCAGATCCAGTCCGTGGTCTGTTATAGTATGTGCAAATATAGCACCACCATAATATCCTGGATTGCTTGAGTCCCAGGATGTATCGCCAGCATTGAAATCTCTGGCTATGACACAGCCAAAGGGTGGAGTCCATACTTCCAGAATGTCATCCACTTCCTGTGGGTTATGGCATGGTCGGTAGACGCTGGTAAATGTAATACCTTGTACCTTGACCTAAGTGATGTCTTGTGTAGCGTAAGGCTGAAATTAATCCGCTTGAAGATGTTTTCTCACATAGATGAGAGATCTGGGCCGTGTACTGTCGCTGTCCCAAGAATCCACTGGGGAGTATATATCGTAATTGGGGTGTGTCTTTACTCCCATTCTTCTGCCT